TCTTGTTTTATCTTGTTGAGATGACGATGCGGAATATAGTACCGAACCATTATTTTACCGTACTCGTTTATGCTTCAGTGGCCTTTTCCCTCAATTTCCCACCAAGCCCCAAACTCCGCATCGCGAACGGAGTCGGTTCCCAATTCTGATGCGTGGCTCAGGCGCCTGGCTGTGGAGGGGGCTAAGGCCTCTCAGGATTCCAAGGTCCCAACAAACAAATTCAGCAATATGCAGACATCCACCTGATACGGAAGGGGGCCTGTGTCGTATTCAGCAATATTTGCAGAGTCGTTAGTTGCATGCAAGCTGTATGTATGAGTACTGTAGCATGTATGGAATATGTAGGTAGTTGCTGATGGGGAATGCGGGGAAAGACATTCCTTGATGTGTTAGCAACCGGATACTCGTGCTGTGTGTTGCCGAGTGAGACAACCCAAGCCGACTATTCTTGAACCTTGACCCCTCACGAGTCGATATGATACTCGTACTAACAGTCATTTCAATTACAGCAAGTAAGTGTTCAAGTAAGGGGTATTGTTAGATTGACGACACTTGTCGCCTTGAGGCCTGCTGCGATCGAGAAAGCATTGATCCTCATGACACGGTGTTGATGTCAGCATTGATCGGGGCGTGCTTTGGGGGGCATGTATGCGTTTCATGCCAACGGCTATCGGAGTGCGACAATCCCGTGATGTCTTCCTTCCTTGGAACAGAATGATACTTTTTGGCAAAAGTAACAACAACTATGCGATGCCATGCTTTAAACGATACGGGATGGAAGTAATTAGGAGTAAATATGGTCGACCGTGTACGGAGTAGATAGTGTGACCAACAATGAGGAATGGTCTGTTTAGAGATAGATGATGCCGTGGAGGGTTTAGTCTTGGATGTACTGAAACTGTATCGGAAGGTAGTTACATACCTACCTACTGTGTAGATAGATAGATAGATACTCGTACTGTGCAGAGTCGTAGTTCCGTAGATAGCGGACATGAAAGATAATTCTGGCCACAGCTTTGGATGGGTGGATGGGTTCTGCCTTTGTTGACAGGCTCGCTTGAGACATCCCAGAAGAGTTCAAGCGCAAGGGTGGGTGGTCTAGCGCCGGTGGGCAGGGATGTCACCAGTAATCCCCAAGTAGTGTGGTGCATTGTGGTGCACTGTGGCCGTCCTCGTACTCGACTGATTGGTGAAAGCCTCGACCGCCTTTTGGAAGTGCGGCAGGCGGAACGATGATCTTGACCTTGATGGTCGAGGAATGTCCATGGCAAAGCAGAATCTCTGATCGATGGCGGCGGACACCACAGTAAAGGAAAGAAGGGCAGCGCCGCATCCTTATTTTTCTTCCCATGGCCTGCGTCGCGGGTCCAGGTACCGTGAAAATCATAGATGGACCCTTATTTTTTATTTTAAAATCTCTTGAAGCCCTAGTAGTAGGTGTGGTACACCTGGCATTCGGAGTGGGAGAGGCACAGAAGTTTCAATTGAAGATGATACGAAGACAATGACGAGAATGATGTAGAGAGCGTTCGCAATGACATCATTTCTGCAAGGACCTTGGCGGGCGCCGTATTCTTTATTTTTCTTTTCGCAATTCCAACGGTGCACGGGGCGCGTGGGTGGTCAGTGGTCAGCGGTCAGTGGTTACTGGGTGGTCAGTGGTGGTACATGAGGGAGTGGAGTTGAGAGTGGGAACGAGTCTCGCCAAACCACTCCATACAGCCTGCGCTGCCCGCCAGCTCTGTGCGAAAAAGCAAAAGTAACGTGACTCTTGTTAACATCATAGTGGTCCAAGTCTAATATTTCCAGCACGTCCATTGTACGAGGTAGCCTGAAGTCGTAGTACTTAAATAGAACAAATACATGATATACAAAGGGAAAATGATGCCAACCTATAATTACTCTAGCTGGAAAAAACCTAGCATGTTGCCGTACTGGAAAATTAAATTGAATGTGGCTAGATAACGGGTCTCACGCAATCCGTAGATGAGTTATCACGATCCGAGATGTGTCAGCACACGGTGAAGAATCAAATGATCACCACTCGCAAAGCCCGTCGCCATCATCTACCGTGTATTATGCGCAATCACGATCACACATAGTACACAGTAGTGTGATGCAGAGGCGCAGGATGGGATTTTGCTGACTTGTGCTGGGCCACATCACGGTTGCACGGTTTCGTTTCGACTGTGACCTGTGGACGTGTCCAGTTTGTAGATGCGCAGTCGTGTTAGCAGGCTCAATAAAGAACATAAGAGAGATCCCGCGCGCCTCCGCGGGGGGAGCATCCTAATGGAAAACCCGTCGAGACCAGAACCAGACAAAGAGAAAGAGAAAGAGAGACAAGGAAAAAGAAAAGAAAAGTGAAGCAGAACCTCCGAAACGGTCCTATTCTCGCACCGCAGCCTTTCAGATATCATTCTTTTTCCCCGACGTTCATCTATTGCATCCGTCCGATTGAATCCTTGCAAAGCTTTTGCAAAGCGTATTATCCTCTGGATCCTATACGTTGATCTTGCTACGAGCCTACGAGGAATATTGCGTCCTCCAAGGATTGAAGTCTCTACATCCTATCGTTGCCTATCTATCTTTTCATCTATCCCTCCGCCTTCGGCCAACCCCGCCGGCCCTATCAATTGCCAGTCAGTAACTAGTCGGAGGTGGTTTTGTTACCTTACCGGACAGTTAGGTATCTAGTCACCTAGTAGTGGGCACTGGGTATTACTATCAGTCCAGTTCGGTGCATTTGTTGGGTCAGATTTGCCGCCATCAGCCAACGAGCCCGGCAAACCGCTCTGCTTCTGCTTACCGTTTGCTGCTGTCGTCTATCCGTCGTTGCCTCCACCGGTCCCTCTCTCTGACGCATCGCATCGCATCGCATCACATCGCACCATCCATCAGCGTAACGCAGCGTTGTGATAGATAGACATCCACCCATCCATTCATTCATACATTACATACATACAGGAGTACGCGCAGTCACTGCATTGTGCATAGTGCCAAACCATTCCCCGAGCCATCCCCTCTGGATTCGCCTCCACCTAGGTATATCGATCCTACAAACCTATATCACGTCAAAGCCGAACGCTGCCGCCCGGCGAACGAAGGGTAGTGGAATGCGGATTCATTGAGTGATCGACCTCGACCTCGACCTTGACCTCGACCTCGACCTCCGCGCTCGCTCTCGCGCTGGATGTCTGATTAGTTTTGTTCGTTAAGCACAGAAAACTGCTGTTTTTTGTTCGGGACACATCGTATCGTCGTCAGCAAGGGCCCACCGTTCTTGGTATCAAATCACCGAATCCGTTCAGAGTTCTGTCTGTGTACCGATTGTGGAATTTTAAATAACTAGTGCAGTACGTTGGAATTCACAAGTAGGGTTTCGTGAGAGAGTGTGTACAATTGCAGGTAAGTACAATACAGTATCTCCTACTTCCACCCACCCATACACATATCCCCCCCCCGGTTCATTTATCCCCACGGAGGCATGAGAATGGAGAGAGAGACACACGTTAGTGTGGGATTATTATTGCCATTGAGAAAGGGAGTCTGTGCAGCCGGATTCAACAACAGCTATCAAGGACTACGGGAGAGGAGACCACCATGAAGACCACCACCATCCTCCAACAACAAGCATATCCGTTTTTTCTCTCAACACACCATCAGCCATCGATCATCAACAGAGTCGGCTATCCCCAATTCTGTATGTATACCCTGGTCGGTGCCGGGGTGACCCTGGTAGGCCGTGGCATCGAGGTCATCCTGGCTCCTTCCTTGAAAATCCTTGAAGTGGGTTGAGGGAGTGGGTCCTCCACACCATCATGTTTTGGAAGGCACCCTTGTCGGTCGCTCCTCCCTCCTTCGTTCTTTCCTTGGTCTATGGCGTTCAACCCCGGTCACTTCGCTTTTGCGTCCCAAACCTCGATGCTCGGCCGCTCCTCTCCTCTCCTCTCTTGTCCTCAGCAAGAGTCTCCTCTTCTGCTCTTCGCCTACAGACTGGCTCTAGCTAAGGGGACTAGGATAGTAGGACTGGGAGTCTGGCACACTGGCTGCACATCGCCTTTCTCAACAACGCTACTCACTACCGCCCTCCTAAACCCCCCTCTCCACCCTCTCCGTCCAATAATACTACTATACACCCCCCAATATACATCCTCCATCTCATCCCATCTCCTCTCTCACACACTCTCTCTTTAACCTCCACCTCCTCCCCCATCCCCCCCCAATCCCTCCTCTAGGCCATTGCCAGCCTCGACTTCTATATACCAGGCCCGCCGCTGTCGATTGCGTCCCACTGACCTCTCCATAGCCAAATACCTTGGTCTTCATCAACCCTCTGCACGGCACCCTTCCCTTCCCGCTGCAAGAGAAGTCCTATCAATCCCATCCCGAACGCCTCTTCTGTCCATCGACGACGGAAGCTCCGGCCTCGCCCTTTCCTCAGTCAATTCGTATCACCGAATTGTCTGCTGCGAACTCCACCCCTTCATCGAGTCCCATCGTCGCTTTCGAAAGCGTCGTTTCCTCTCGAACGTCACAGCTTTGACTAGCTGTGTCGACCCGGCTAGCGAGCCTCTTACTTCGCATCTCTAAGCCGCCCTATAACGTACGACCACCGTTCTAGGTTGGCCGTCGTCCCCACTTCATATTTTCTGTGAGTCGACTTCCCTTCATTTTCTAGGTGAATGAGTCGAGTTTTCGGAGAGTGATCGGGATTTTGCAAACAAAGCCCGCGCTCGCGCTTGTCGCCGTTGCCTGGGGGTGGGTGCAGTCTGGAATTTTCCACCATCACCAAAGAAACTTTGATAACGTTCCTCATTCACTCTCACATCGCGCTACTGCATCGGCAGGTACTAAAGAGCTTTGCTAATGTCGCCATCGCAGACCTCGGCCTCCTCTTAATAATCCCCTTGTAATGCCCTGCACCCGTTAATACCACAACTTCCGCCCAACTCCGAACATCTTCAACTCACGCCACATCCACCTACGAAGTCGGCCGAATGCCTTACACTCCGCCCTCCCAACGCTCTCCAGCAACCTCCAAACCCAACAGCCCTATCCTCAGCCGCAATCATTCATACGCAGACCAGTTTCCTCTCTCACAGGTTGGACCGAACAGGCCCGCGCTCCCTCGATCCGTTTCCTCCACATCGTACCTCAACAAGCAGCACCGCCGATCATCCTCAGTGACGACGACCGCGAACAACACCGCTGCAAATGGAGCACTCCCTGTGTCGAGCAGTGCGAGCCACGGCCCGTCTGTAAATGGTAGCATCCGCCAGTCTCCCACTCCTGTGAACCATCTGTTGATTCCGTCAGGTGCCATCACAACGCCTCCTGACTCCTCAGACGACGATGAAGAACAACGGGGGCGCAGCATAGGGAACCTGAAAGAGCTTCACGAAGCACTGCAGAACATTCACATCGCCCCAGTCGAGAGGGGACATTCGCCAGTCCGCAAAGGCACCACCGAGACCTCTACCAAGCCGGTCGAGGCTCCCAAGCCTGCTGCTGTGAGGTCACTCTCCGCCGAGGCTCGCAAGATTGCACACTCCCGGTCATCAAGTGACATGAACTTGAGCAAGCACAATGTCGACCTCTCCTCCGAGAATGTATTCAGCTCATCAGATGGCAGCGATGCCGAAGATGATGAGCTGCGGATAAAACCGCCTCTGCTCCGTAAGAAATCCGGTGAGCTCGTGAAGCCTGCACTCCGACCCGCATCGCGACGCAGGCCTTCGAGCATGCCAGGAACTCCTACCTACGCCAAGGCAGTCCACTTCAACGAGGATATCGAGCAGGTGCGCCACTTCTTGCAGGTCGACCGCCCCATCGCAGTCAGTGCCGGCTCTTCGCCAGTAGAGACATACGATAGCGAGGCTGAGTATCCCTTCGGTTACGATGATGGATACCGGTCGACCGTGCCTGAATTCGACATCAAACTGGCCAACTTCCCCTCGGAAACCTTCGAGAGGAAGACTCTGCCTGTCCGTGTCGAGCGCATCTTCATGTCCTCCGATCACAAGACATTGGTGGGAACGGTTGCCGTCGCCAACATTGCTTTCCAGAAACTTGTCGTGGCTCGATTCACCTTGGACTACTGGAAGACCACGTCCGAGGTTGTATGCGAGTACAATCACGATATTCGCAAGAAGCAACTCAACGACGGTTACGATCGTTTCAATTTCAACATTAAATTGTCTGATCAAGCTAACCTTGCCTCCAAGACACTGCTACTCTGCGTCCGTTACCAAGTCGATGGACAGGAATTCTGGGATAACAACAACTCGATGAACTATCAGGTTGATTTTATCAAGAAGGCCAAGCAGCCCAAGCAGAGAAAGTCAAAGGGCAATGGTGCTGGATTCCTCAATGCCATCCCCCGCAGCCGTCACTCGCCTCCTGCCCCCCGCCCCAAGTCTATGCCTGTCGGGTCATTCGATGATGACTTCGGCCATGGTTTCGATTCCAAATTCGAATTCGGCGCCAACGCCGGCTCCATCGGCGACTCGCCCAGCTCTTCAATCCGCCTGAAGCCCAAGAACAAGCGTGGAAGTCTCTTCCCGGACCAAGCCACCCGCCGGAATCCCACTGGCCAGGCTTTCTCCTCTCGCTATGATTTCGGTGCTTCCCTAACGGCGGCTTTGTCGACTGCTCAGAGTGCCCTTGGAGATCGAAGTGGAATCAAACAAACTGCCACCCGCCGTCCTACTGGATACTTTGACAACTCGACTGCGGCAACCCTCCCTCCCGTTCCTGGCACCCGACAAGCGGCCAACCCATCCTCGGACAAGCCTGGCCTTCAGTCGGCAGAATACAATGAGTTGATTCAGAAGTTTTGTTTCGTACGTTCCCCATCTTCCAGCGCCCAGGATCTCACCGCAAAGGGTACTAATTAATCCTCAGTTCGGCACACCCACTGGCAAAGGCTCTCCACAAGCATCTACGCCTGTTGTGCAAAATTCGCACACCGATGGAGCATCCGACTATATTCTGAACAGCAACTCCAGCACACCCCAATCGTCTGCGTCGAACAGCCCTCCTTCTCCTGTCATGCCCGTTTCCATGGACGGTGCCAATGACTTGCGATCGCTCTCGCGCAGTCCGAATCATTTTTTGTCGAGGTCAGCGTCTCCAGGGCCGGTCACCGGATCAACCCCTGAAGACCACATGACCTCGCATCAATTCCAGTATGGCTTTGGCAAGCACGGCGGTATCTTCCCTGAGTCCAACCACGCCCCACAGGCTTGTGTATAGATGCGGTAGATCTGTTTGTGTATTGTGCGGGGTGTTGAGCCATTTGACGAGTTTTCTTTGTCTCACGAACACGCGATAACGACCTTGACTTGATTACGATGAGTGGAGCGGAAGTGTCCTGCCAGTCAGGACGCGGAGCGCTCACGATTCCTCCTCAACGGGTTCCGAAGCGAAGATGTGAACTGTTTTGTGTTTTCCCTTTTTCAACCAGCTTCAGTGCGACATCCTTTTCACCAGCATATCCGGGATGGCCTTATTCGCTGCATTTCCCGGACGGTTCTTCTTGCATGTTATTTTATCTCTCTCTCTTTGCACAGGCGTTTGGCGGGGGTTCGAAAGAGTTACTCGGGATCCACATCTCGAACGGTCTTCGACATTGCTCAAATTGGTTTTTTGATGCGATCGCGTCCGAGCGACTCCACACTCTGGGACTGGCGTTACCTTGCTATATCTTTACTCTCTGTCTCCTGTCCGGGAAGGAAAAGCGTTCAGTTTGGTTTGCATGTTTTCAGCGGTTGAGTCCTATCGCTATGGCCTGCGGGTCTTCGTATATAAGTGGAATACTGGCAGTGACGGGGGAGAAATCCAGAAATTATTCACACAACACAACCGGGTCTGTTGGTCCTCCGTGGAAACTGTGATGGCTCACTGCGTGATCTCCTCCGGAATTCCTGGTTGACGGCTGATGGTGTCGAAGTTGGAGACGGAATGGGTTCGTTGATGGCGGTGGTGGTCGACGGCCCGTGTATACCTTAGCAACAAATGGAAAAACATTTGAATAACCCAAAACCAAGCATGTGCATCCAGTGAAAGTGTGTGACGGGTCCTTCGAATATATAGTCGGTCGGGATTGCTGATGGAAAACAAGGCATTACTGTGAGGCCGACAGTCTAGATCGTGAGAAATTGGCCATGTGATCGGTCGGTCGGTTGTTCCGGTCCTGCCAGCGCTCACCGCCTACCCAAGTAGGCATGGCCGGGTCGTGGGGTGGATTAATTGGACCCTGACCATCGTGAACCCGTCAATAACCTCTCGTCTTGTCTCGCCTGGGCTCATCCCTCACCCTTCGTCCTTCGAAGCGCCCACAAATCAACCATCGTGACTTTCCCGTTTCGGCGCCCTTTCCGCCGAACGACATTCCCCCGTGGTCCCGTGGTTCACTCACAATGGCTCGAGGCTACTTCGGTTCCAAACCAGCAGCCCCTCCGCTGCCCGTCCCTCGGCAAGGCCCAGTGATCGATGCCACGACCATCATCTCCCTCCTGGGAGTCCTCGCACTGCTGGGCGGTGCGTACGCAACGTCCGTGAAGCTGCTCCCGAAGGCCACGACGCTCAAGACGCGGATCCTCTTCGTGTGGCACCTGTTCGACGCACTGATCCATCTGGTGTTCGAAGGGTCGTTCCTGTACAACTGCTTCTTCGTGTCGTACTCGCTGCCGACGTCCTTCTCCGTGACATCGCGTCACCACCCGCACATCCGCCTGCTCACGCCCCCGGACGTATACTGGCTGGGAAGAGAGGACCAACTGTACGGAGCGAACTATGGCACCGGGCCATTCTCGCGGCTGTGGCAGGAGTATGCGAAGGCGGATCACAGATGGGGCGGCGTGGACCTGACCGTCGTGACGCTCGAGGTTCTGACCGTGTGCATCGGGGCTCCGTTGGCGTTGTGGATCTGCGAGTTGCTGAGGAGGGAGGAGAGGAAGGGGGCGCTGAAGAGGTGGTTTTGGATGATCGTCCTGGCGACGGCGGAGCTGTATGGAGGTAAGTCGTGTGCAATTGAGTGATGTGAGTCGAGTGGATAGCGGGTCAATATTGTGTGCTTGCACTTGTTGGATATGGGTGCATATGGCATATGAGTCAACCAACACACATAAACAACAACAACGACGACAAGTACGGCGATACCAGACTATGCCTATTCGACGGGGCGGCTAACACGTGTTTATCATCCCTTTCATCTCAACAATTAGGGCTATCTCCATCGGTTTTCCTTTCTGCTGTTTGGCATATTCGAGTATCTGACTGACACGTGGTTCACCGCTTCCTCGACACAGGATGGATGACTTTCGGCCCTGAGTGGCTCACCGGCTCCCCCAACCTCGACACTTCGAATTGGATGTACCTGTAGGTTATGATTTCTGTTTCTCTGTCTCTTCAATTCGATTCCCTTTTCTTCTTTAATATTTCTTCTCTCCGTCGTGGGCTTCTTCTTGCTGTTTGTTCAATCGAACTTCATTTTCCTTATGTCCATTTCGGGCGTCGCGTATAAATCTTTATGCGCTGGCACAACACCAAAAAGCTCAACCGCAATTTCCCATCAAAGTCCCCACCGCCCGCCACGTCGTTGCGTTGTCTTTCCTTTCGAACGCCAGCGACTGGTTCTCGAAGACCCACCTTTATCTTCTTCTTCTACCCTTTTTCGAAGTTACGCACATCTCTTTCCCCTTCCCCCCTTCGCCTTCGGGTCCCTGCATTTCCTAATCATGCTGTTTCGTTTGGTTCGGTCGATTGTGCCGAGTTGAACCTCACCGCGGCAAGGCGGACGATGAGGTAGCGGCGTCGTTGGTTGACATGTGCTTTCTTCGCCTCACACGGCTGTGAATGCCGTCGTCGTCGTAGTCGTCGGTGTCCGCAATCGTCACTATCATCCCTCCTCCTCCCCAACCTCTCCTTCTCTCTCTTCTCCCCCCATAATCAACACACCTACCCACCAGTACACCCATAAATTAACCTCTCAAACCTGAATAACAGATGGCTCTACCTCGCATTCTTCAACGGCCTGTGGGTCGTGTTCCCGCTCTGGATCCTCTGGGAGGCGTACCGCGCCATGGGCTCCGCCATGTCGCAGGCCGAGATGGTCGACCTCGTCAATTATCTTAAGAAGGACTCTTGAGTTATTCCAACACCTCCTATCTCATTCGAAAGCTCGATGTTTGTTGTGTTGGAGAAAGGTCGTGACGTGCGAGGGCTGTGGGGAAGTTGGGGATAGTAGGTAGGTATATACGTGATTTGGAAGAAAGAAAATATGGGTGGTTAGGGTAGGTGAAAAAACGGAGGAGTTGGAGGTGCATAAAATTGATCGATGGATCTAGTGGTGAATACTGTTAACAGGGAGCATTGACTTCCCTTTTTTTTTTTTACCTCGTCTTTTGATAGTGATGATCGTGAGGGCAGTGAGAACTGGTGAAGTAGAGTGAAATGAGAGGTATAGTGAGGTATAGTAGCTCTCACGTCCGCGAGAATGACCAGATGCAGAGCGCTCTTTGATGCGCTTCACAGATGAAAGTGTGTTTTGCAGATTGCAGATTGCAGGTCAAACAGCACGCATGAGAACGAACGTACGAACGAATAAGGTAGACTTGAAATCTGTCTTCATTGCACAAGAGTCAGATACGGTATGTCGTGCACTGCATCCTACCATCTACGGCATCGACAAATATGAACTACATCTAAGATAACATGAAGAATCAAAAGTTCGAACAACAAAAACATAAAAGGCACTACATATCAATATTGGGTATCGTAAAAGAAGTGAAGGGTGTTCGGCCGTCTTGCATATTGAAGACAATGCTCTGGTCTACAATGTATGTATTCCAACATAAAACTGGGGTTCGCGAACTCCACGGATGCGGGATCATGGGTATAATGGAAGCTGGGAAATTGGAAGGTTGGTTGGAATGAATCAACCGTACCAGCCCCCTGAGGTCACGTTTGTTTCCTCGTCGACTCGGTGGGGGATGAGTGAGGTCTTGATGTCGAAGGCGTCGATCAGTTCTTTCCATGTCGGCCAGTCGATTCTGAACACTGCTTGATGTTTCTCGATCTTTCGCTCGCGCTGCTCTTGGACCGAGTATGGCTGTGCGGGTACTACTTGCTGTTAGTATATGGAACAATTGGTTGGAATGAAAAAAGACTTACCGAGAACTGGCAGACCATCCCCATCTTGCTCGATACTAGCGTTACTTTCACGAATCAGAAAGCTAACGTAGAACAGATTCTCCACCGTCTGTCCGAACGAATTCGGGTTTATAGCGAAGTCAAATAGAGACACGGCTGGTTCGTTTGCTTCTGTTCTCTGGACGCGATGCCGTCGACAAGCCGCTGCCTCATCCTCAGAATCTGGGTCGCCATCGATCTCGTTGAGCTCTTCTTCCACACGCTCAACGCCTTTGTCGATATGATCTTTCAGTATCGTGCGTATGCGGTTCACCATGTGCGACAGGTTCGCGTTTTCGGACTGTTTGATATCCGATTGCGATAGCTCTTGCGGGCGCGTCGCTGGACCTAAAGGCTGGCGCTGTGAACGAGCGCGACGCGCCTGAGTAGTTCTTGCGCGTCTCTGAACAGAAAGAGGCCCTAACAGGAAGCTTGATACAGGCGGGCGCACATTGTTGGGATAACAGGCGCCCCTGCCCAAGACACCCCAATCCAAGCCGTCCCCAGATTCATCTTCATCTTGCTGAAAACCACCACGTCGAGTCTGTGTTCGTGAATCATCGTCGTTGACAATGTCTCCCCCAGAATTCATGAAATGGATGCATCGCGATACGAATTGGTCAATATCGATACCAACGCCATTGTTTCCGTTCAGACTGTTGTTCAGCTTCTTGTTTGCAAGATCACTAGCAAAGACAATGACACGCGCGTCCAAAGCAGCATCGGCAGTCTGCTTTACTTTGCCCATATAATGATCTTGCTTCCTCAGATGGGTGAGTAGCAGGTTGTTGTCCGGCTTGATAAGCTCGTCGCGATTGTCTAATCAAATCAGTATGCGCCTCACCAAGTCACAAGATAACAGAACTCACCCTCCATTTCTCGGTGATTCTTCCGGATATTGGCTCGGACCTGTCGGCGAAGTTCAGGGTCCTGTTGAGGATCATAGTATTTCGTGTTTTCCTCATCATCCTCGTCACCCCCTTCATCCTCGTGTATGTCATCCCCCGTAGGGGTTCCATTCACATTGTCGCCTTCCTCGGAAGCGTCCTCGTCTTCATATATCCCTGGCGACGACCCCTCAAGACTATAATCTCCTGTTCGTCGCCTTTTGTTCCCATGGCCGGTATGGGATCGCGAGGAAGATCCACCAGAGGTGGGTGTCATCAAACGAGTTGTGTCCAAGCGGCTTCTGTTGCTCTGGGTAGGCTTTGGCGTGTTTTCTCGCGAGTCTGGGATATTATTTTCCTTATCTGAGCTGGAGGACGGCGCGGGGCTGACGACGGAATAAGAAGAGAGCCGGGATGCGCCGTTGAAGCCGTTTACGCGTTGATGAGATGCTGGTGTTGGGTCTCTATAAAGAGAATCCACTGTGGAGGATCGACCGGTCTGGGGAGTTGAGGAAAGACGCGTATTCAGACGCGCCATGATGCCTGAAGGGCCAGACGAGTTGGAGTGGTGAACGTGAAAGTGAACGGCGTGGTGAACCAACTCAATATAAACAAACAAACAAGAACTAGCAGGCGCAAAGGATTTGTTTGTCTATGCGTATTATTAGTATCAGTCTGGGGGAGGGGTAGACGATGCCGGGAATTTTGGAGGGATGAGGCGCAATAAAAGAGCCAAGGCAGGTGGTATTTCGCGATGAGGGAACGAACCAAGGGGAGAACCACTCACGTGCCACGCGACTGCCCATTTACTCCCTAACTAGAGAGATAGTAAGGCTGAGTGGAGCATGGGCCATCTGCCCCATTACGTCCGACCGCGAGACCTCTAAAGACACCGCCGCTGGGAATCCCACCATTCTTTCTGCCGTTGGGACACCTCATGGCCGTTCATAACGTATATTTTTCACACCGCTCGCGATGGAAGCTTTCTCTTTCGCAACTTCCACTGCCTTGAACGAGCTTACTGTTCATGTGCGAATGTATGACTGCCCGCACCGCTCTAGTAGTCCTTGTGATAGCTTGTGTTAATGTTTCCAGTGACCGCCTTGATGGTCATTTAAAGCCCATACCATACTCCGTACTTCTGAAGAGGCCAGACTTAAGACATAGAGCTTCGATCGCCAAGTCAGTCGTTCAAACCCAAAATATTGCGCCGTTCTGACGAGGTCGTTGCAGCCCGCATTCCGAGCTATATGTCACCGCTCAGATATGGGCCGACAGCAAACCGCTAACAGTGCCCGTACAAACGGCCTACAAGACGTTCAAGAACGCGCGAATATGGAATGAGTGGACATCATTGCCGGTCACGTATTCGAACCTCCCCGCGACAGCTCAGCTTGCTCTCACCGTCTGGGATCTCTCCCCCGCCGAGTCCGAAGATACAAACTCCCACGCTGTTCCGTTCGGCGGCACAACTATACCGTTATTTGACCAGGATAATACGCTACATAAAGGAAGACAGCGGTGTAGGCTGCATCGATTTAAGGTTGCGGACGGGCTGTCTTCAACTACCACACCATGGATAATACCACCCGCACGGAGATCTCGGAAGGAAGTCGTCAGAGAAGACACAGTAGATGAGCAAATCGCAGAGATGCAGCGGTTGGAAATGTTGTTAAAAAAGCAAGAGATGGGTGACATCCCGGAAAATCGGTGGCTAGACGGCATGGTTTTTAAGAAGATGATGAAGATACGGAATGAAGCCTTGAAAGCAGAAGCGATTGGCTCGAATCGAACAGATCCTGCCTCATATAAAGATGACGATAAAAGTGGCGACAAGGAGTCTAGCGATGAACTTTACTATCTCGATATAGAATTTCCGCGCTTCGATCATTCAATAGTCTTCACAGACGTCGAGTACCCTCCGCCGCCCGTGTCGAACATCAAAATATCCTCAGACTCGGAAGTATTATTACGGCCGCCGCCTGAAGTATCCTTTGGTCCTGGCATCGACATCGGTGACGCTGACATCGGTCGGTTGATCCGGATATACGATCCCGAAACGGGCAGGGCGGACAACCCGGCTGAGAACAAGCACCGCAAGCTGATGCGTAGCCAACAAACCGATTCACTAGACCGCGATAGGAAACCAGATGTGTCGACGCGAGATCGACTGAACACAATCCTCTCATTCGGCCCCCTACAAGAGATGACATCTGATGATCGTGATCTGATATGGAAGTTCAGATATTACCTGCTTCGTGACAAGAAGGCTTTGACGAAACTGGTTAAATCTGTGAATTGGAGAGATGCTGGAGAAGCCCGACAAGCCGCGCCATTCTTCGAAAAGTGGGCGGAGATTGATGTTGATGATGCTTTGGAGCTGCTTGGTCCTCAGTTTGATCACCCTCTAGTGAGAGCCCATGCAGTGGAGCGCTTGAAGAAGGCGGATGATGATGAACTTCTCCTCTACCTGCTCCAACTTGTGCAGGCCCTGAAGTATGAAGCATCCGGAGCCGGAGACAACTCTTCTCTTGCACGATTCCTCGTCACCCGTGCCAGCGACAGTCTCATGCTTGGCAACTTCCTCCACTGGTATCTCATGGTCGAAATCAGCGACTTCAGTGCAGACCAAGCTCCTGAACATCGGGAACTCTTCGCCAAGGTTGAGTTCGATTTCATGTTTGAACTCGAAAAGACTCCCGAGGGTGTCGAAAAGCGAAAGACATTCAAGCGTCAAGGCGAGCTTCTAACTGTACTCGCTAAGATCGCGAAAGAAGTCCGGTTCGCAGGAGGACGAAAGGCCCAGAAGCTCGAGAGACTTAAGAAGTTTCTTTCAGATCCCAAAAACGAGCTCGCCAACTTCGATCCGCTCCCTTTGCCGCTCGATCCCACCATCCAGATCAATGGAATCCATGTCGACGACTGCAATGTGCTCTCCTCATCCCTGCATCCCATGATCCTCAACTTCAAAACAACCTCGAGCACGAAATACTCCATCATCTTCAAAACCGGCGACGACCTCCGACAAGACCAGCTCGTAATCCAAATCATCACCCTCATGGACCGCCTCCTCCGCAACGAAAACCTCGACCTAAAACTAACCCCGTACCGCATCCTCGCGACCTCCACCAGCGCCGGCGCCATGCAATTCGTGCCCTCCATGTCCCTCGCGGACGCAACCAACAAATACAAAGGCTCTCTCCTCGCGTACCTCAAAGCCAACAACCCAGACGACTCGGAACCCCTGGGCGTCCGCAAAGAAGCCATGGACACCTACATCAAGTCGTGCGCCGGCTACTGCGTGATAACGTACCTCCTGGGCGTCGGCGACCGGCACCTCGACAACCTCCTGATCTCGCCCTCCGGCCACTTCTTCCACGTCGACTTCGGCTACATCCTCGGGCGCGACCCGAAGCCCTTCGCCCCGCAGATGAAGCTCGCGCCCCAGATGGTCGAGGGCATGGGCGGCACAAACCACCCCAACTACCTCCTCTTCAAGCAGTACAGCTTCACGGCGTGGTCGACGCTGCGCAAGTCCGCGAACCTCCTGCTCAACCTGTTCAAGCTCATGGAGGAGGCGAACATCCCGGACATCCGGGTCGAGCGCGAGGGCGCCGTCAGGAAGGTCGAGGAGAGGATGTGGTTGGATAAGAAGGAGGAGGTTGCGATGCGGGATTTCGATGCGCTGATTGAGGAGAGTCTGGGCGATTGGAAGGCGGGAGTCATTGATTGGGCGCATTATTGGGCGCAGTATCTTAAGAAGTAGATGCGTTGAGCAAGCGGTTAGATGCTATTAATACCAACTAGAATGGCATTCTTCATCACGTTTCGCATAGATACAGTCAAATCGTGCAGTATATTATATGTGTGCAACTCTTCAATCATGACATCTTCAATTCTTGCATTCATGAAACTCATCGCTACGTAAAACCAATCAACCAGCCAACCTCTCAATGCCAATCCCCGCGTTCCTCTTCTCCCCCAGCGCCGGCGGCCGCCAATCGAACAGGTCGAACGCCTCCGTACTCCACGGGCCGACGTCGTCGTCGACGGGCGGACTCGGTATGTCGTCCGCGGCGGCAGCAGCCGCGGGAGCGTTCGTGTCGACGACGAGGCTCTGCACGCGCGTGAACTTGCGTCGCGGATCGGTCTTCTTGACGAGGGCTGCGAGGCCGCGGGGGGCGTTCGCGGCGGGGGTCGTTGCTGCGCTGCGGGGATTGCTGATGGTGGTGTCTGTGTCGGCGGGAGGGGCTTGCGGGTCGAGGTTTCGGGCTTCCCAGTCTTCGCTGGTGCTGGGGATTGGGGCGTCGTTTTCGCTTCTCACGCGGCGGAAGGAACGCTTTGGGGAGATGGGTTTTTGGGAGGAGATGTCGTCTTCGATTGGGTCGTCTTCTATGGAGGGGAAGTTGGGTTGTTTGGAGAGGAGGCCTGCTTTGCTGGTTGCTCGAGGCGGGTGGGGGGCCGGTCGAGGGGCGCGAGCTGGGGATTCTTTTGGAAGGTCGTCGTGTATGGGCTGTGAGCGTTTCGCTTTCTTTCTCGGTCCTTCGTTTGAGGAGGTGGCTCTACGGGTTGTTTGAGGTCTGTCCGATGTGTCGAATTCCTTGGAGCTTGCCTTTGCACTGTCTGGGTGCTCTTTTGTCTGGGGCGATCGACTCTTTCGCTGCCGAGGAGCAGATTTGGCCGTGTTCGCAGACGTAATTTCATTTCTCGTCTCTGGTAACCTTCGATTCGTGTGCATTGTGGTCGAAGGGCTACTTGAATCCCGCTTTTGAGCACGACGGGAATGTGGAGCTTTCGGTGGGTATATTTGCTGGTCCATGAGGCCTGTGACGACATCCATGTCATCGGAAGGAAATGGTGGTAATTTTGAGGCTGGGCCAGGGCTTCTAGGACTCTTAGGCCGTTTATTTCTCTGATTTCTGGTGGTTGCATCTTCTGGGCTTGGATGGTCTCTTGGCGGTGAGTCGCGTTTCCTGAAGCCCGCTTGGTCGCGGGGGTTATATGAAGTAGTGGTAGGTTTTGAATGATGTCCTGATACTGTTCCTCCGCTCTCCAGAACCGCACCTGCTTTTGCGGATAGCTCAGGTGATGTGCGTGAAAGCGGTGGTCGCACTGCCTGACACATCAACATCCCGCGTTTTGCGCTTGTCGCCAGTTTCAATGCCTTCGGTTTGCGCCCTCTCGTGGGAGATTGTGATGGTTCTTCGACTGGCATAGGGTCTTTAGGGAGTTCAAGATCGGGATCTTTTCCTGTCATATGGTTCGTTGTGGAGACAGGAGGGGATGAATAACGAGGGGCAGGAGCAGGTTCAGGCCTTGATTTGGTTTTGCTATTCGGTAAAGGTACTTTTCCCTTGGGCAATTTGGTGATCCTCCGCGAGGGCTCTGCGATCACGATCTCTGATTCCATGGTGATGGGAATTACGGGAGGCTTGGGAACGGGTCGTGTTCGTTCTGCCCTTTTCATTGGCGATTCTTCGTTTGGTAATGTTAAGACGGAGTCGTCGGAATGCAATTGATCAGGGCTGTCCGAGGTGATATCTACAATCACGGGACTCCTTTGCAATGCAGCTGGGCGGGGCGCTATATCTCTTGCAATTGTTGCGCCCGTACGATCCATCGTGCTTCGAGCTACTGGTATTGTTGGCACCCGGGCAGGGCGTACAGGACTGCCATGACTTGTCTTCACCCTTTTTGCTGGATGGTCGGCAATATTTCCATTCTCTTTCCCGTGCTTCGCTTCGTATGGCGACACTATAGGTACTGCTTTTCCCATTGGGCCTCGCGAAGTTCCCAAAAGGGAATTTAAAGACCTATGTCGAAGCTGGCTGGCGGACTGGAGGGTTCTCAATGGGGCCGCAGAAGGGCGGGGTAATGGTGCCAGATTACTCGGTTTTGCAGGAGACTTCTTGGTCAGAAGAGGCGTGAGATCTGTTTCTGTAACTCCGACAGGGTCCTCGACCTGGATCATGACGCCTTTGTCCAAAGTGAGCTCGTCACCTTCCTGCAGCGCATTGCTCTCCTTCCAGTACGTGTCGCCCAAGAAGTTCCGCGAGGTATCGTACGCCATGACGCGATTGTTGAAAGTATGGAACTTGACGTATCCATCCTGCCATCTTTTCTGCTTCCGGCGGAGATCGGTGGTGAAAAGACATCGGAACTCGGCGACGGGTGCTGTGTTCTGGGATGGGGGTGCGGCGGTCGACAATCGAGGTGTTCCTCGTAGAGGGGCGGTCATCTTGGTGTCATTCGGGGAATTTGACGCGTCGAACGCGTGGATATGGACATGTGGTAGCGGCGAAGGGTATGACAGTAGGCGGCAGTGGGATATTGGTGGGTGGGGATCTTTGGGAAGAGTAGAACGCGACGCGCTAGGACGGGATAGGATGGGTGGATGACGGGTAAGCATGTGACTTTGGGGTTCCTGAGAGAGACGCTCTGCCTGGGCTCTGTCTTCCCCTCTTAGTAATTAGTCCTATGATGGATGTCGATGTCCCATGGTCAGTCTAACTACCCGTCCAAAGTCTAAACCATGTTAAACCACTACGAGTATGGTATTCATCGTAGGCCGGCTACAAGGCCGAGTATTTTGGGACCAACGAATAGGAATTCATTTTGATTCGAGCCGGACATCCATTTTTAAACCAGAAAGGGACGGAACTAAAAGAACAAGAAGACCCCTGCTTTATGATGGAGTAAACACGCGCGTTCAGCCGTCCGTGATGCCGTTTTACCTCGTACCTGCTACCTACTTAGGTACTTAGGTACCTACCTAAGGCAGACTCAAAGGTACGAGTAGATACATGAAGATAATTATTATCAGTCTGATCCTCTTAATCCCTCTTTGAAGTACAGCGTGAATGTAGTATAATAGTATTGAAGCACAAGTATAGTTACAGTAACTATAGTATGCTCCGAATTAACAAACTCCGTACAGAGAGGTAACCACACCTAGGGTATTCTTATATGCAAATCTCATCCTGCCCCTCTCCATTCCCATCTTCCTCTCCCGCTCTCCGTCAGGCTTCCAATCCACCATATCCATTTCCATTACCAATTAAACAACTCCCCAACTAAATGCTGAGTTGCCTACCTTATTTCATCACAAGCTCATCCATCCACCTACTCGGCTGGGGCTGAAACCCTGAAACACGACAAATCTCCAGCACAAGCACAAGCACCGCCGCGCCCTCTCCCCACCTTCTCACTCTTTCCCCTTCCTATATTGCCTGCGCCTCCAAACTCAACCACCACCCACCTACCCACTGTCCCATATTCCACTCCCCTAGGTCACATACCTTACCCATGCTTGCTTTTCGACGCTTCATCACCAATGCCATCAACTAATCGACCATTTCTATTACTGTCGCAGCCCTAAGCACCTCACCTCTCCACTTCACCCAGTGCTGCTACGTTGGTTCCAAACGACAACCCAACTTGACGGACACCTTCCAGCTCCCTCGACACCATCCTCTCTGACTCCCCCACCCCTCCACCTTCATTCACAATGCAGCGCATGCAGAGGAAGTTTGGCCGCTTCCTGCCTAGGACGCCAAATGAGGCCGACATCGCATCCATGCTGCGTGACTTCGAGGATTCCGCCGAGATGTTGGAAAAGGTGCGTTGTTCATCTCATCGGACCTAGCCTGTCGATATTGACGACTCCATAGATCGAGGCCGCCGCGAAGCAATGGCGCGACGCATGGACAAACATTCTGGCTCACCAGCTGAGTGCCATTGAACATTACCACACCCTATACAAACCATTGGGCGCAAAGGGAGGCGATTATGGCTCCCACGTATACGTCGATACCCCCGAGGCGACCCTCGAGCGCTGCGTACAACTGGAACAAGCCTTCAACGAGCTGAAGATTGACATGATGGAAGAGGTCAAGGACATAGACAAGAAGCTCATCATCCCCGCCCAACTCGCCCGAGACGCCCTGAAGCCAATGCAAAAGGCAATCAAGAAGCGTGAGGACAAGAAGGTCAGTCTAGACAGCTTAATCGGACATCTACCATTACTAACCTGCTGTGCCACAGGTCGACTATGAGAGATACAAGAGTCGTACTGAGACACTCGAAAGCAAAAAGACCCGCTCCGACCGAGACAATACAGCCTTGACGAAGCACACCGGTGACCTCCAGCGCGCTACACAAGAGTACGAACATGCCGACGAAGCTCTCCGCGTCCAACTTCCCCGATTGAACGCAGCTACTTTCTCCATACTACCACATCTTCTCGCGAACCAAATCATACTACAGAACAATTTGATCGGAAACCTCTACACCGTACTGCATCAATACTCCCGAGAACAAGGCTACCCGGACCCGCCGCCGGAGCTTGAAGAGGTGATTCCAGTGTTCGAAGGAGCTTTCACCTCGCTTCGAAATGAGGTCGAGACGGGTTTCGACGTCCTCAAGGGTGGTAAGGCTATACACCAGCCAATGCGATTACCCGACAAGGGAGACACAATCTCCGGTTTGGGAATAAGGAACAAGGTCATGCCTAGCCGGCGAACCAGTAGCAATACCAGCGTTCCTACAGTCAGGACCACGTCGCCGAGGCCAGGCTATGGTTTACCGCCAGCATACGAGGATCACAACAACGGACCACCTGTCAATCTGTCTAGCAAACCCTCCATCAGCTCACTCAATGCCTCCAAACCGAAGATTGGAGCCCACTCGCCAGGCCTAAGTCCTTCTCCGTCGCACGACCCATGGAATAGGCGACCATCGACGGCATCATACGCATCTTCGAATGGCACCAATACGACGGGGGGCGCACACGATGACTATTTCGGCAGGCCAAGAATCCCTTCCGCTGCGTCATCCTCTATATCGCCCAATCCAGCGGCAGGCAAAAAGAAGCCACCGCCCCCTCCACCAAAGAAGATTGGATCGTTCCACGGCGAATACGTGACCGCCATGTATGACTTCATGGCGGAAGGTACAGGCGACTTGTCCTTTCAAGAAGGCGACCGCATTCGAGTCGTTAAAAAGACGAACAGTTCGCAGGACTGGTGGGAGGGTGAATTGCGGGGCGTCAAGGGCAGTTTCCCAGCAAATTATTGCAAGTAGACTTGATTCAAGTGAAGCGTTCAAGATTGGTATTGAAGGCATAGCCAAGCGGGGGAACACGAAAGCATATTGTCACTTCAAAGGGGATCTTTCGGCATTCAATTGCATTGTGGTGGGGGCTCGATCATTATAGACGGGAGCACGGGTTGGGAAAATGCCTGGGTTTGCGGCGTCATCACTAGGAATGGCCAGAACAGTTTTTCGACGGTAAAAGAACAATAATTTTATAGTGAAACCGAGTTATCAAAACTCTTTCAATCAAAATCTCTTCATTGAACAGTAAACGGAGACTTCAATATTAATCAAATATTATTTCTTTATATACCTACCTCCGGAGTACTGAGGTACCTATGGAGGTACATATCCACTTCACTATTTGGGTGCTCAGGATGTTGTGGAGAAGTCGCCGTTTTGGCCCCCACCTGCCCCAAAGTCACTCTCGGTCTCCGGGTTGGGTTGCTTGTTACATCAACCCAGGCTCAGCCTTCTGCAACGCAAACGCGCAGCTACTGTGCCACTCAATCCTTGGCCCCAAACCTATATATCCAGTCAATACGACTTCGACCTCTACGTACCTTATGGCACTATATCGTTGCTTCCAAAATGTGCCCGTAGTGTGTTGCGATGGCTGATGAAATTACTGTAGTGAGTGGGTCATCTACAGCTTGTGATACTAGCTGCTAACCGTGGATAGACCAAGAATCGCGGTCGCGATCCTCCCTTGCCGGACCATTGCACGCCGCCCTGGCCCGCAGGTAATGATTCACAGTCGTCTCTGGACAACAGCAACGATGCCTCTGGGGATGTCCATCCTGCCTCGCTCCAATCGTTGCCCACGCTGTTCGGCGATGGCTCGCGCGTCTACCCTGCCAACGATGACATCAAAGGGTTCCTGAAGTCTGACCTAGACCTCCACCGTCTGGAACAAATATATGGCCAACTGTGGATGGCAGGGCGTCCGCTGCGTGGACGCGCCTTGCACCGTTACAAGATGCTCGGCTTCGATGTCTACCGCACGCAACAAATGGACCTGCACTTGCTCAAATACCAGAACCGTATCATGATGAAACCCCTACCGGAATGGATATTCGATTCTGGATTCTGGGAAAAATACATTTGCGATGATATCGAACTGCACAAATCAGCTAGCGGGTTTTTGCTCTCTTACGTATGGCTAATCACGACTCCTTTGGACCTCAAATTCGCGCATGAATACAGCCTGGTACCTTTATCCATCACCTGGCCGTGGTGGAAGAACTTCGTCAAAGTCTTCTATGAGAAGATCGACTGTAATGCTCTCGACCAGGTCAACAAGCGATATCATTTTGGGGAGCTGCGCCTGGGCCGTGTCAACAGCATATATCGTACACGCTTCATGTTCACACACTTCGTTCGCGGCTATCTCTACGGCTACAATCGGTATGGCGTGTTCTTCCAACGCTACTCGTGGCTATTGACCGTCTTCCTCTTCGTTTCGATAGCACTATCGGCGATGCAGGTCGGCGTCAGCGTCTACCCTCTTTCAGAGAGCGGCGCATTCATGCAGGCTTCCTACGGATTCGTGGTCTTATCACTAGTCGCTGTCGCTGTTGTCTTACTCCTAGGATTGGTCTTATATTGTTTCATCTTCTTCTTCAATATGGTTGCAGCGATCAACCACGCGAAAAGGAATATAAGCATGCGAAACAAATGGGCCGAAGAGCGAAAGGAAAAATAATCATGGTTTTGATTCTACAAGATATCCCTTCACGCCATTACTCCAAGTATGTGTGGAAACAACAGGAACCAGTCATGCGCAGGCATCGGCCATCATAGCTCGTCTCTGCCAGTGACTTTCTTCACAGCCTGGAACGCCGAGATCTTGATCTCGACGTCGTGCTTTCCCTTTCCTTTCTTATGCTCGACCGTGCCAAGCACTGCATCATCCTTCAGGCTGGCGGAATAGTTATCGAGGTCGTCGAAAACACCTACGGATTATTAGCTAGGAATCTGTACGCTAGAGGATATCTCATACCTTCACACTCGCCAACATCGGAATCGGGCTCGTCCACAAATAGTGGAAGAATTGGATAGATGGCACCAGGGGCAAAGAACACTATGTCCTCTTGTACGCTGAAGTGCTTTTGCTTGGGGTGGCTGGCCAACCATTCCCTGACGGCGAACGGAAGAGCTTCATAGTCCAACTTCAACAACTCTCTATCATTACCATGCTTGTCCACGCCATTCCACGATCCGGGGTACAGCTGCTTGTTGTAGAACACTTTGAGCTGCGGAGCCCATGTCTTCAGTGTTGGGTAGAGTTCACCCAATTTGTAGATCTCTCCTTTCAACTCGATCGACGATGCGCACTTCTTTGTGTAGGAAGATAGATCTGCGGCTTTCCATTTTGCGTTCCAGATCTCGCCAACGGGTGTTGGGTCAGGAAGCTTCGACGACGTTGATGTTGACGAAGAGGAGGATTCTGTGCTGGAAGAGGAGCTGCTGGATTCTTCGGCCGCAAAAGCAGTCGCTGCAAGTATTGCCGGCGAGAGGATAGTAAGGATCTTCATGGTAGAAATTTAATCGTGATAATTACACCTCTTATTATGTTCCACAGATGCACTCAAGAATTGTGTCAATTGCAAAGATAAAAGAAGACCAAAACAGGTGCAGCATCGACTTTTTATCTACACTACAACACTCAATCTCAAGAGGCCATAGCTCCCACATGCCTCATGATGAGTGCTCTGTGTAGTGTGTCCTTTACACCCTCTCCTCGCCATTCCGCTTTGTTTTTCCGCCTTCCATATTAACCTACCAGGGTGTTTAGCGTATCCAAGAGGGCTAGGATAGATTAATAGGACACGGTGTGTGCTTCTTTCGAGTCAAAACTATACTGAGGAGAGGAATAGAGACGTTCAAAGGACAGATGGCAACACGTGGGAGATGAATGATATAGCTTTGAAATACTTGGGTCGTTATATGTGCTTGGGGTTGAGGTGAGGGGACATGAGCGATGTGAGCGATACACCCAATCAGGAAATGGGAGATTCTGGCTGTGGAACTTGGTACCACAACGACAGACCTTCTAGCGCCCTTCGACCTGATACTAACAATCAAAGGAACTTATCACTGTCAAGCATTTCCCCTTCGCAGGAAATTTCGTGCCAACAATTATTACTCGTACCTTCGCCTGTTATCCCTCTTTCTCGACCACACTCTCTCCTTGGTTCGCGGTTCCTGCGATATGACGCACAGATCGACGCCTCCAGCCACCGACCCCTGTCCAACTCTGAAGGAACAACGACCACCCAAACCCATCAACCACTAACCACTATCGCCAGATCAAGTTTCAATCCCCGTGATCCCACAACTTCTAAGTGGCTATCGTTCGACTTTTGGAACCGACCGTTATCCGTCCATCGTTTTGCGCCACCTCACCCCCGTGTGTAGTATCGATGGCGCAGCCAGCCAGCGAAATGCTGTGGTGGTGGGTGGGTCAGGAACAGGTTTTTTGGGAACCCGGATCCTGGGAGGAGGGACGGACCTCACTTACTCAGTCATTGTTGTCGATGACTTGGACCCGTTGCGGGTAGGGTTTAAGTAGTGGACGGTGGTAAACATGCCCTGTTCGTGACAAGGAATCTATCATAATCTCAACACCATATCATCACATCTCCACCTCTTGTGCCTCTTAGGATATCAGTGACGACTTGAATGACCATGGCCAACGACGATAGGAAGGACAGCGCGCAAATGGCGTCTTCAAAGAATCCGACAAAGCCTTTACCAACCCGGACAGTATCAACTCGCACCCAGGAACCACACAGGACTCCAAGCCAGATGAACAGAACCACATCGACCACAACTCCACGCCCAACCACCACAGCACCGAAACCCACACGCCCCGACCTCCAGCGCCGCCGCACCACCGCCAAAACCCGCTACATGGACATGCTCCTCTCCCTCGACGACGTGCCCAAAACGCACAACATCCTCGCCTCCGCCTCCGTCTGGATCCTCCTCGCCGGCTACATCGTGCTCCCCGCCACCTTCAACAAATTCCAACGCGACACAGACATCGACGCGAAAGCCAACTCCGCGTTCTCCAAGGCCGCGCTGTCCACCGTCCGCAACGTCCCGCTGCTCTACATCGCGGCTTTCGCGTGCGGCATCGGCGTCGTGGGCTGTCTGTGGCTGTGGTGGAAGCACAGGACGAACTACGTGTGGGTCGTGAATAGGATTTTTCTCCCTGCGTTGATGAATAGTATCGCGGGGTTGATAAGTACGTTGGTTAATGTGTATTCTGCTCAGGCTGGTAAGACTGTCTTTTCCCTTACTCGAATCCCCCGTGTATCCATCGATTGCGTAAATGATGCTTGGACGAAGTGGCTAACGTGGGAATGATTGTGGGGGGGTTTAAGGCCAATACTCCGTCACGGCGAAGGCGACGCTCGTCGTCACTGCCGCGTGCTCGACTGTAACCGCGGCGCTGTTCCTCCTGTATAACACGGTCATGCTGAGCCTGGTGAAGAGGAAGCACAAGCGGGAGACGGACGCCGTGGAGAAGGAGAATGTGAGGAGGGATGGGGTGGTGGGTGGTGTGGTTGTTGGTGGTGCGGTCGGCGGGGCTGCGGCGGCTGCGTGAGATGGAGTTGGTAGTTTATTATTTCTTTTCGCTTTTAATGAATGGGGGAAGGTATACGGGGGACTGTGTATCGAGGGTGAGGAGATATATCGTGTGGGAGAGACGGGATGGGATGTTCGGGATTTCTCACATCATTTACTGTATGACTGTCTACGAAACCATGATCTTTTGTATGCCAACTCTATCTGTTTAAACTTTCTTCAATTTGCAAATGATCTCAAGTTTCAAAGATAGGCTCCCAGTGTCGAGTTCTATGAGTTGGGACTTGAAGTATTCAAGATGTTGAGAATTACTCGGAGAACATTATATTCATGTGTGTACGTCAGCTCACCATATACGCGACGAGATATAAGATTTTACGCACGACCGTTCACGCTAAAAGTAGCAGCGAACTAAATAATTAGAGAATTTTGGTATATGGTGCTGCTGCTTTACAGCGAGAATGATCTCCGCAGTCATGTGTATTGTGAACCTTGCGATTTAGCGGGAGATCCTTTAGAAACGCCAGATAGAGCGTGATAGGTCAGTAACTTGACCCTATAAGAGAGCGGTTACACACTAATTTACAGTTGCAGCGTCGATGCTAATTGGACTTTTACTTTCATGTATGTTAAGGGATATTTTTCACAGTTCAAGCAGGGTTGTGCAGACTTAATGTTTGATAGTTTTCAATATTAAAGTATGTATCTAGATTTCGTCTCGTAATCCCCTGGTGTCTCGCTGCGCGTCGATAGACATTATATACATTCGAAAATGAATGAACAAAACGAAAAAGAAAAGGAAAGGATAGTCAGGATCTATATAAGGTATCGAGCTCAAGCACCCTCGTCGCGTCCACCCTAAAATCAAATCACCAACTCCGCCCAATGAAAACTAACTCCAATCTACACCCTCTTGAATTCGTAACATAATTAGGCCGTGAAGAGAAGAAGTCTGCGAGCTACGCCCTCAGTACTTTCCCTGGTTCTGGCCGTAGTAGGTCGCGTAGGCGCCGTTCACGCTCTCATGGTGCTCCTTGGCGGCCTTTTTGATGGCGGACCATGTCTTGCTGGCGAGAGAGGGCTTTGGGGTTGCGGAAACAGTGGCGGTGGTGTTGTCCTTGAGGATGGTGTCGTAGGTGGAGGTGGTGTTGGTGGTTTCGAAAGAGGCGCGGGAGACTGGGGAGGACATTTTGGTTGGTGTTTTGGTTGTTGTTGTGGAGGTGATGATTGGTTGTAGAATGTTTCCGATTGGAGTTGAGGTGGTTATATGAAGCTTAGGTTGGAAGCTATTCGTAGCGTTGATTTGTTTGTTTGTGTGGTAGATTGATGGAGAGAAGTTGATATGTTGGTAGTAGATTGATCGGATGATTTGTTTTGTTTGATGATTTTATGCTTTGGAGTATGTATTTGACTAGCTTAGAAGCTTGAGCTTGATGTTTGTATTGAGAAGCTTGTGATGATTGTATTGGATTGGAGTTGATGATATTGATGAAAAGCGTCGAGCAATGGACTCTTTAATACCTTCAATTGACCCACCGTATGACTGGATTTGTAAACCGTGGCTCGGAAACATCGTCATAGTACCAGTGCATCATTGCACCATAGTTGATGCTTTTTTGACATTCTATGACTATTGTTACAAAATGACCACGCCCTTCAGCACAGTCATGTCAGACATTCTACGAGGTAGCGTACCAATGGCGTAAATTGGCCAATGACGTGCCTCCATCCATCTTAATAATTGTGGTTCTTACAAATGCTGGATCCGCCGCATTTACAAGCCAATAATGGTTACCCGTCGGCTAAGCTCGCGCCAGTCTCTTTTCCGACACGCTTAACGGGTAATTCGACGTATGATTGGTCACATTGACATCCACTGGCGCAGGGCGTGAGTACTTCGTCCTTGTTGTCCGACCAAAGCGAGAGTTTTCGACATCTGTGACTTTTTTTCACGCCCTGCACTTTGACACGCCCTGTGGTAGTCCACATCGGCATTTTTTTATGCCCACAACCTGACTCAAACACGATTGTACATGTACGTTGGACATACTCAGTCCTATATCGGACTTGTGAACAGAACATTCCTGGACAATCCATCAGAATCTACACTCCGGAGTGATTCTCATGATTCCGTGTTGCTAATTTCGGAATCAATCCTTTCTCCCCAGGGTCCTATCCTGCATTCCGAACTCTCCGGCCATTTCATTGTTCTTCCTTCCCCATCTTGCTGTACTACCGACTAGAGGTCCTCATGAATGGTTCGGTTCCTACATGTGCCTTACCTGTGGTCGATCGCATGTACCTGCCCCAAAACCAGGAATAGATGATGCCATGGCTACAGAATCAACGGTTGTCAAACGTTCTAGACATACTTCAGCTGTGGCTTGTGGCGCTTCTCTGCCTATTATTGTGGCTGGTCGTGCATGGAAATATGCATGTGCTTGACGCGATCGTTGCATGTGCTCGCGTAGCGTTGTCATTGCTAATACACAGGGCATTAATAATTGTTCGTTTAGGTCGCATTCGATGTGTCGCGTCATAGCCATCGTGACGATCATTGATAGAATTGAGAATGGGAGGATGGAACGAAGTTGTTTCTCATCATCATCGTCTATTGACGTTGTTGCTGCCTACTCCATGAACCACCAGCGCACCGTGTATGTGCGAGTACAAGAAACGCGGAGAAGGGTCCCATATCCCCCACAACGTCGCCGATCTAATGGGCAGTTCCTCTGGATGTATGGACTGTTCCAGCCAGATTAGGATTTAGTTTGTTAGGGTCTACTAAACTTCTCTTTATTATCTATACCTCTGCGTAGATGAAGGATATTTTATCTTCACCTTAGGGTCTAGATAACTAGAGTTAAGGGTACTTTACTATTAAAAGAACAACAATTAAACAAATTTCTAGTCATGAAATAGACCAAGATAAGTAGAAATGTTGCCATCAAAGACCATGACGATTTAGGGTGATGATCAGTAGCTAGGTAATATGCAACGATTCAAGTAACTGTCTCTATTGGGGGAGCCGGGTCGGATACAATGCAGCAAAGCAGTGTTTCTACAGCTATCTACAGGGCTCGGAAGATACGAAAGCTTCACTGGCTCGGCAAAGGCCGGATATTGATGTAAGCTTGCCTTGCGACTATATTACAGCGACCAGCCCCTGTGTGACTACTCATCTCATCCCGAAGTAAAAGCAGTCACACGCTTCCAAGAATCCCTAGCAGTCACTCTCTCCCACCACGCGTGTAGATTTGGATACTTCTCTTGACTGAGACCTTCTCCAGCATAATGGAGGTAATCCACGGTAGGCAAGTAAAAAGTATCAATCAAAGTGAATTCTGCTCCGCCCATGTAGTTCTGGCGGCCCAGAGTATTTTCTAACACATCCATAGTCTCACGCAAGCGCGCTACGGCTGCTGTTGCAGCCTCTTCGTCTGTGGCTATGCCTTTGGAACTGCAGGAGTGTCGAGTAAGCCAATAGATCGATCGTTTTGATGTGATTGTAGTACTTACGGATTGAACAGCTTTTGTACAAGAACCTGCTCGGCTCGTACATGGAATAAAGAATATTCGATGGATGCCCATTGTTCGAACGTTCCCCATGCAGTCAGATCACCATTCTCGGGGACCAGTTTTGTTCCTTGCCCCTGATACTTTGCGGCTAGGTACCTTGCGATAGCCCTGGACTCTGTACTCTGTTAGTAGAGGCCTCTTCCAGATCGACAAAGTAAAGACGTACCAAAGATGGTGAATGAGCCGTCTTCGAGCAAAGGAATAACACCAAAAGGGTGTTTCTCGATATATGGAGGTCTCTATATATGCGATGATCATTTATCTGCTATTAACCCTTCAAGTGAGTTCTCAATTTCCCCGTACCTTGTGTTCACCAGTTAGGAAGTCAACCTTCTCCAACTCGAGATCCAGACCTTTCTCTGCCATGACGACGAGCACACGACGTGTGCAAAGAGACATTTTGTGTCCATAGAGTGTGATAGCCATTTTGATTCAATATGCTTCTGCAGTGAGGAAATCGATACCGCCAACTCTAGCATGTATACACATACTTATACTGTTGTGCTGCATTGAATTATATCTCGGGGTGTAGGCAAGATTCAAGGCCGACGAGCAAAGGTAACGATCGTCAGCCAATCAGACGCAAGGAAGGCAGCTCGGCTTATAAATTCGCAGAGTACTTAAAACACGAGTCGCGCAGGCAGATTATGAAAACGCGGAGATATACGATCGCCGCAGACCGAACCACGCGGAGATACACGATATCCGCATACCTGATTATAAGAATGCGGAGATATACGATCTGAAGGAATTGTAGTACGCGTTGTTGGCAGGTGAAGCGAAGATCACGACGAAGCATGACGCGTGCGCGCTAAAAGATATTGACTGATTAAGGAATCATCTTTGTGAAGCCGTACAGATAGTCACAGCTGATAAGACACGATGATAAGAGTAACTTACAATCAGAGTGGTTAAGTTAGTTGAAAACTGCCCTGCCCGTTGTCTTGACTGCGAGCTCGTGGCTGGCTCCGCACACAGGCAATGGGCGCTCAAGGCACAGTCGCTATCCTATGGCTACAGAATCCGCGGTTGCCAAAAAGTTCTAGACATTCTCCAGCTGTAGCTTCGGTCTTTTTTGTCTGCCCAAGTCGCCGACTTAACGGGAACCTCTTTGGGTGTATGGAATGTTCCGGCCCGACTGAGCTTTGGTTCGTCAGGGTCCAGCATACTCTTCTCCCTATTGTATCTCTGCGTAGATAAAGGATCTTTCATCTTCAGCTTGGGGACCGAATAACCAGGGTTGAAGGTATACTTCTGCCAAAAGAACAACAACCTAACGACTTTCAAGTCATGAGATGGACGGCGAGGATGTTTAACGCATTCATAAGATGAAACCAAAAAGCTGCATGAGATCATAGCGCCAATATCTACGCAGTTGCTGCTATCTTCTCCTCACTATGGATTTCCTCATCCAGTTCACTATCCCATGCCGCATAGCTGGGCAACTTCCATTTCTCACTCGTATCATACATTAGGAATTGAACAATCTTATCCAGCTTCAAGACCGTGACGAGGCCCAGCACAGTATGTAGCAGCTTGACACCTAACTTGGACTTGGGATAGTAGAGACCTGGCATACCCGGCGGTAACTTTTGGACATGGGTGACCAAGGGCCGCAGCGTCTGGTCGTACGCTTTCAAGGCCGCATCCAAATCCCCTTTATGTTTTGATATCTCTCCGGCGAGGACATATGCCCCGATCAATGCAAGACTCGTGCCCATGCCAGTCAAGGGCGACGGGCAATACGCGGAGTCGCCCAGTAGAACGACTCTCCCCTTTGACCAAGTGTCACTCTTAATCTGAATGATCGGTTGGGCGTAGAAGTCATCTGACTCTTCCATCGCCTTAACAAGACGTTCTGCTTGCCAGCCCGCATCTCGGAAGTGCTGGCCGAAAGCTTTCTTCTGCTGATCCACATCCCCAGTCAAAGCCTGATCGAGGTCGCTGGCGCCACTCATCGTGGCTAGATAGCACTGTCCATGTGTTTCGTTATGCCATCGTGTGTTCAGAAATCGACGACCAGGGGCGTGATAGATAGTGGCGAGGTTAGGGTCCTGTGGTTCTCGTGCAAGTCCGAAATAAGCGACATGGACTCCCAATTTATGGACGCCAACCTGGTTGTGGGCATCGCCGCCTGCCCCTAGCATCATTCTTCGTACTCTCGAACCTTGTCCGTCAGCACCTATGAGCAGATCATAGCGGTCTTCACTGCCATCTGAGAACTTGACGATGACTCCATCCCCAGTGTTTTCGAAGTCCTTTACGGAAACACCAAATCTGTAGTTGGTTTCTTCCTTGACAGCATCGTATAGCGTCTTACACAGATCTCCCCTCATCATCTCATACTCCGTCGTGAAGCCCTGCTGGCCAGTCTCTGCGTCGACGATCTTGGGAAACAGGGCCTTTTGCTTGCCACTTGAATCGACAAACTCCAGGCCCTGCTCATCAACGACATACTTCCGCAATTCGTCGAGAATTCCCATGCGTTCGGTAACTTTCACTCCATCTTCGCGGAGATCGATCTGCTGTCCGCTGGTACGGAGAGAAGGGAATCGCTCTACGATTGTGCAAGAGTGCCCGAGGCGGGTGAGCCAGAAGGCGATTGCTGGCCCCGCGATGCCACCGCCTGATATTAAGACACGAAGAGACATTAAAGATGGTTGGATTAGTTTTGGGATCACCGAAAACACGTATGTAGTAGTAGTTGAAAGATCTAGCGAAACGACTTATAAGACTGCCGCGGCAACTTCTCCAACCTGATACGAGAGGATTTTGTCGTGTCCCAAAAGGGAAACCAGTCTTGATCGACTATATAGTGTTTTTGCATACGGAAATGCCGCTCGTCATTATCAGATTGAATGATCAGAGTTCTGATCGTCCGGGAGGCGATATCGGATGCCCTGACGCCATTATTGGCCTGGGGGTGCTTGCAGACTGGCAGAATGTAGCAGTGACACGCAAGTAGCCGTCAAACTATGTAGAACCGTAAGTGGCATTCAATCCGCTGATCCAGACGTCTGGCGGCGTCCCGCTGCCGGAAAGGGAACCAAACGAGACCCATCTGCCCAATAAAGAAGCTACAGCGACGACTGATCTTCGTCTCAACTTGCAAACTTTAAGCATCATCCTCCTTTGCGAAGTTTCAATGTCGACGCAGGTAAGCAACGCATCTTGGCCTGTCGATGAAATCTCTGCGAGCCCGTCCGTCCCGGCCGTCGAATCGACCCACCTCCAGACATGAATACGAGGTTCCTGACGTGATTCTGCAGCAAGCCAACCCCCCATCCCACCACCGCAGACCAAGCAGATCGACATCCTTAAGCACAATAAAGTTATCTGATCCGCTCTTAGCGAGATCAAGGCCGCGCCGGACGGGGACTTTCGATCAGATAACCAATGACTCTCTGGAGCGAGAGTCCACCGTTGCTGCGAGAACACAGGTGTACCGCAGATGCAGGCGTAAAAGTTTGCTCAAATACGAGGTCTCGTAGTCACCTTCTCCTAACAGTTCGCCGAAAGTGGGGTGTCTGCTCTGTGTTCCACTCCTGGCCGTCGCACTTGCTGCCACTCCCGCCATGCCGTGGAGGGTGTGGAGATATTGGGCGAGCTTGAAAACAAATTACGTGCCGGCGATGATGACATTCAATCCTTTGTTGAGATAATTTACGCAATCTTGGGAGCCATGAAAGAGTACGGCTTTGTATGGTTACATCAGATAATAGAGCCTCTCGCGAACAAATGGTTCCCCTGGAGCATGCTACGGCATTCGAAGATGCAGCGCCTATGATCAGAGACGTGTATTGGAACACGATGGATTTCTCTCAAGATCGATCTTCTCTAGATGATCTTTCTAGCTCCGGAATTCCTAGAGTAGTAGAGAACAGCCATCAGCAGCATTTCAACCGCATGGAGCTGTGGCGCCACTTTCACGAATATCCTTTGGGTTGGACAGTGGCAACCATTTAATTTACATGCTTCTTTTCAGGCTTGTGGAGCAAACAATATATGTATCCAGGTGGGGAAAATGCACAAACGGGACGACTTCCGAATATTGACAATGCGAGAAATTTTCGGAACAGTGACCACTCCAGGCCAGAGATTGAGAAGACATTTTCACCTTTGCAAGCATCTATCTAGGCCGGAATGCTGAGGTCACTGATGAATGACCATATGAGATCCTCCTGTTGCAGCGTGCCGAACCGAACACGCTCCCTTGACGCCATCGGGTTAAACCACACAACTGGACCCTGCACGAGCCTTTTTGATGAGATTGAACAGCCACGTAGCGCTCGGTACTGCTACTTTGCTTAGCCGAATCAAGTGATGAGAAGATTTTGTGATGATCGCAGCAGTAGAGGTCGCTCCAGGGTAGCACTGCTGATCTTGACCCACAATAGGACTTTCGTATAGCAGACCACCAATCCTAGGTTCAAAGTGGATGTATTCATGCCTTGACGTAACAATGCCGGTGGGGGCAATTTTAAACAAAGTCTATGGAATGATGAAGACCTCTTTCTGCTTTCAAACCCTAGATGCCAATGTTGCGGATAGATTCGCTTGAGGTGGATATATAAACACATCGTCAAAGCACGTCGTTGTGGTTGGAAAAGGCAGGTTAATATACCATGAGCCTTTCAAGACATCAAAATGCAGCTTTTCACTGATGATATGTGTCTGCTCTCTGGACCTTCAAGCGGAGTCGCAGAGAAGCACACCGCTGTCGGTCCACCACACACGGCGCCTCCCCGGAGCGTGTTCCCTTTGACTAGAAGTCAAGAGGGAATGTGGCTCGAGTTTGCAACCGATCCCACGAGTACAAAATACAACCTTACTTTGGAATGGGATGTTGGACAGAAACAAGATGGTGAGGCTGTGCCAACGACGACAGCTGTTTTTGATGGTAAGTCTTTTTGTTTCTTGAAAGAGTGACCATAGATCAATATGAATGTGACTAACCATCAGAGCAGTTATACATACCCTGACCAAGCGTCACCCCAACTTACGATCCACTTTTGTCGAAGTTGACAATAAACCTCATATCCAGGAGTTTGACGCTGGAGCTACCGTGCCTGATATACGAATACTATACCGGCCCGATGCAACACTTACAGAGCCATTAGTGACGCCAACTCTCCGGCGTCCCTTCGACCTACGCAACGAGTTCTCAGTACGATGGATCATATTGAAGGCTGGGGGCAGCTTGCGAATCTACCTTGTGTCACACCACATCATGGTAGACGGTCAATCGATGTCTATGATTTCTCGTGAATTTATGGACCTTTTACAAGACCCGGCTGTTCAGCTACCTCAACTCGCACCTTTCAGCAGTATGCATATGATCGAGGTATGTTGACCCTATATGGATCGATCCATTAATGAGAATCCACTAATACAAGCTGAATGCACAGAAAGCCTGGGCACGATCACCTTTGTATACCGCAAATCGAGAAGTGCTACTATCACAAGTAATAAATAAAGACAACGGACCATGGCCGCATCTGAGTCGACACCATACCTTGACTTCTAGCGATACTGATCCTTATCGAAAGATAGAATCATGGACCACATTCACCAAAGAAGTAAAATTTCCCTGCTCTTCTTTCCAACACTTTATATGAACTTATGAGCTAACATAATTTGTAGGATCTCGGGCAATGGAGCCAGATTTTCAAGACATCCTGGTTCCGTGTAGCCACAACACTAGTCGGCCTCCTCGTCCTGGACCAAACCCGCCCACAACGAAACAAAGATCTCGTCCTTTCAGTTGGTTTTGGAAGCCGACCGAAAGAGATGAACTCCTGCATTGGACAATTTGCCAACGCTCTACCTGTAAAAGTCCCCCTGTGGAAGATCTTAGAGTCCAAGAGCGCAGGCCGCAATTTCGCATCTCTCGTATCAGCAACCGGCAAGAACATCAGCGCCGTCAAGAAGGCCGAGATGTTCCCAGCTGTAGATGTCGTTCGAGCTTGCCGCAGTGCGACTGTCGATTACGAACCCCCTCGAGTTGCTGTCACATACTCACCCAAGCTGGCTAAGCCTGAGTGTCGTTTGTTCCCAGTTGAGGGAACATGGGACTTGTTCTTTTGCTTCCTCGAATACGAGAATGATGTCAAGCTAGGTGTCAGTTCGGCATTTTCGTTGAAGATCGCATATGCTGACAGGCATGATAGGTCATCTACAATCCCAAGGTCTTCTCTCTGCAACAAATTCGTGACATGGAGACTAAATTTGAAGGTCTCGTACAGCTTAGCAAGACTGAGAAGATTCAACTTGATGATATGCTTGATTGGCTTCCGAGTTATCCAGCGCTGCCCACGGAGAATTCAACTGCTTCCCCGAGCGTATCGAACAATCCTCTAAAACATGTCCATCAGTTAATTGATGCCCACTCGCTGACCAATCCGAACTCCATTGCGTTGCATTCCAGCGAGCTGGGGATGTCCATGACGTACTCAGAGCTATATTCATCCACAGAGAAGAAAGCCCGAGGTATGTCGGCCAACACGTAAATCAATAACCAGACTGTGCTAATGCATCTAAACAGTCCTCAATTCGAAAGGTATCGGGCGAGAGTCTCGCGTCGTCCTTCAACTCCGTCGCGGATTCGCCTTGATGGAATGGATTCTGGCCATCCTCAAAAGTGGCGCTGCCTACATCTATCTCGATCCAGACCTGTCCGATGTGCAACAGTCTAAGATCTTAGATGTTTGCAAATCGCAACTAGTTATCGATCAAGACACTGCTTATGAACTACTTCGCACTTCGCTTGATACAGAGGATGACCTGCGCGGTATTGAATTGGAAGAGGTTAAATATGGTACACAGGACAGTGACCTTGCCTATATGATCTTCACATCTGGCTCGACGGGTGAGCCCAAAGGTGTCATGGTTGAACATGGAAACATCGCCGCCTTCTCTCGAGCCGCTCTCGACGGGACATATGAATGTGGATTCGGTACACGAGTTCTGCAATTTGCGTCGTTCTCTTTCGACGCATCTATACTTGAATGGACTTCGGCTCTCTGTTCAGGTGCTACGCTGTGCTTTGCTCAGCATCCCAAACAGCTCCTCGGCGACTATCTCGCGGATGTGCTAGAGCAAAATAAGGTCTCTTTCCTTCAAATCACGCCGACTGCATTGGAGACTTTGCCATACTCGAGGGAAGTATCTCACCTCCGACAGATTTCCGTTGGCGGCGAGGCACCCTCACGAGAGATCTTTGCTAAGTGGCATTCCCGTGTCAATCTAGTTAATTCCTATGGACCGACAGAGGCAGCCATTGCAGTGACCTTCAACAAGATCGACAAAACAGACCCATTGCCTGAATTGATATCAGTAGGTCGCCCATCAATACCCGAAACAATGGTCCACATCTGCTCCGAGGATTTCACCTCAACCCTGCTACCGAACTCACAAGGCGAGGTATGCATCGCCGGCCCTCAAGTCGCCAGGGGATATTGCGAGAAGCCCGAAATCACAGCGAAGCACTTCGCGGTACACGCCAACGGACAGCGCATGTATCGCACCGGAGACCGCGGGCAGCTACTCGACGACGGTTCACTCCTGATCACGGGTCGAATTGATCGAGACTTCAAGGTGCGTGGATACCGCATCTCGCCCGAAGAAATCGAGATCGCAATCATGGATGCCAACTGTGGAGTACGTGAGTGCTCTGTTCAGCTTTCGGCTACCGGTCTTGAGATATTGGCTTGTGTTGCACCTGCATATGCCCAGCCGAAGGCACTCATGAGTGCTTTGAGGAATCAATTAGCGCTGCATAAGGTTCCTTCTAGAATTATTGCTGTTTCTACTTTGCCTAAGAGTTCAAGTGGCAAGATTGATCACAAAGCGGTGAGAGCTCAAGGACTCTTTGACAAGCCCAGTTCTAGGCTCCGGGGTTCACGGTCAGAGACATCGGAAGCCAGTGAAGAAGACGAGGATGAAGGTCTAGGAAGCTTGACCTACGATGCAGCCAAAAAAACAATCGCCAATATCTGGATGGACGTTCTTGGACTTCCAGAGCCGCCTCCTGATACCGCCAAGTTCTTCGACCTCGGTGGCCACAGTCTGCTCGTCGGAAAACTCCATGCGCAACTCAAAACGGCATTTCCCTCAAAGCCCATCAGGCAAATTGATCTGTTCAATCAATCCACTATTCGACAGCAGGTCGCACTAGTAGGTGGTGAAAAGAGTACACCACGCAAGCTCAAGTTGTCTACCACTTCCCGCAAGCGCTCATCTCGCAAGACATCCAACACCTCCCGCCGGAGACGGAATGATTCTGACGATCGCGTCGCAACGACGACGCCTACCATTGACACTGAAAATATGATTGCACAGATATGGAAGAACGTGTTGCAGTTGTCTGAAGCACCCTCTTCAGACACCAAGTTCTTCGACCTCGGTGGACACAGTTTGCTTATCCCCCGAATACATGAAGAGTTTAAGCGATCATTCCCTGAGACACACGTTCGCATCGTGGATCTCTTCCAATTAGCAACCATCAAACAACAGGCTTCGCTGTTTGCAGGAGCTCGCAACCTCAGCACACAAGACCCCATACAAAGAGTAGAAAGACATCGGGATACCCAATACGTCGATTCAAGTGAAGACTCCTCTTCGAGAACGCAATCCGACGTAGAATCCGGCTCCATCACTCCAGCCACATCGCACACCAGCTCTAGCATCTATACCCAAGACTCCGAAGTCGCCATCATCGGTGTAGGGGGTCGATTCCCCCGTGCCAGAAACACCGATGAGTTCTACGAGAACCTCCTCGCCCGCCAATCAGGCGTATCAACGTCCGAAACCACCAGAGAAACCCTCCCAGGCAACACCTGGATCCCGAAAGCGGGCACATTACAAGACATCGAAGACTTCGACCACGAGTTCTGGAAGATCCCTCGGGAAGAAGCCATAGAGATGGACCCACAACAACGTATCCTGCTAGAAGTCGCCTACGAAGCTCTCTACGACGCAGGAATCTCCATCGAAAGCATTGGTAACGAACGACACATTGGCTTGTTCGTCGGTGCCGCTGCAAACAGCTACCATCTCCAAACCGAATCAGTGACTTCGGACTCCTTCCTGCGCGAGAACAAGGGTCTGTTCGGCGCGTCGTTGTCGGCTCGCACGGCGTACCATCTGAACCTCAGTGGGCCGAACGTCACGGTTCAGACGAACTGTGCGAGTAGCATCGTGGCGTTGTCGCTCGCGTGCGACGCCATTCGTCAGGGGCGTTGCGATACAGCTGTGGTAGCGGGTGTCAGTGTCCAATTGTTTGAGTAAGTCCTTCCCACACCATGCACACATACATCCACAGATTTCCGCTAACAGCAACCTAAAACGATAGTGGGGGATACGTTGCGAAAGAAGGACACATGTTCTCCATGAAAGGCGAATGCAACCCCTTCGACGCGCGCGCCGACGGAACCGTCCCTGCTGATGCCGTCGCTGCAGTCGTGCTTCAACGTCATGACAAGGCAGTGGAAGATAACAACCCCATCTACGCCAACGTTCTGGGTACGGGAATCGGATCCGATGGTGCGATAGAGAAGGCCGGGTATCAGATCTCGTCGCCCAGGGGCCAGGCTGAAGTGATCAAGTCGGCGTGGAGGGCTGCGGGCTTGAAGCCAGAGAGACTTAGATATGCTGAGTAAGTCCTATCTCTAATCTTTCAAGTATAATGCCGCTAAGTAGACAATTTATAGGGCACACGGAAGCGGCACCCCCATCGGCGACTCCCTCGAGCTCGAAGGCCTCTGTCTCGCCATCCGCGAGGCTGGCGGTATAAGAGCGCCCTTCACGGTCGGCTCCACGAAGGGCAGCATTGGAAACTCACAGGTAAGATCCACCATCACCATCTCTTCACTACCTTGAACCCACCAACTAACACTCCACTCCCCACAGCACGCATCCGGCCTCGTCTCCCTCATCAAGCTCTGCAAATCCATGCAAGGAGGTGTCGTGCCACCAACTGGGGGCTTCCAGTCGCCCAACGAAATGATCGATTCCAGTCTGCCGATTGAGTTCGCGAGTGGGGAGGTCAAGCTTTCGCGCGACGATGTGCTCAGCGTTTCGGCGAGTGGGTGGGGAGGCGTGAATTCTTATGCGATTCTGGGGCATCCTGAGGAGGGGGTGAGGAAGCGGAGGACGAGGAATGTGCCCGAGGGGACGTTTGAGAGGAGGACATTGAGGGCGCCGAGGTTGGGGAGGGAGATAGTGGAGGTTGGGCAGCAGGCTGTTTAGATGTGTATAGAGATTTTGTATCTAATTGAAATGACTGGAACGATCATGTATCTATCAGACCGGGCCATATATGTGAAACTCCTATCCGTCTTCTATGGTATAGACATGTAGATGTACATGTACATCTTTCCATCTATGTAAACTCCCTCAATTCCTCTCCTTTTCATCTACTAATATTGGGTATCAACAATCAACAAAAAACAATTCTTTTGAGGAAAGCAAATAACCGGGTAATCCACCAACCACAAAACTACTGATCCATACCATCTCGCAGGTGCAAGTAGTTCGTGTACATGGGCCTCGTCCACCTCCTGATCGACTTGCCCCAGTACATCATAGGCGCCGACAAGATCATGACGACGAAGCTGATGACGGCCAAAGCGATGAAGCAGTTCTGGATGCCCGAGTCGAGCCAACCGCTAGCGGCGAAGGTGAAGATCATGGCCAAGGTGTTGTTGATCACGGCAACACCCACCATACCCTCGAGAATCATATCCGGGTACGCGTCGGCCAGATACGTGATACTTAGATCTCCAGCACAGCCGTAGCCGAAACCGATGAAACCCAGGCCTACGTAGGGAACCGGCCAGGCCCAACCGTGCTCGGATCCGATGCCGAAGAGGAGCATGCCGGCGGGGAAGATGAGTGCGCAGGGCACCATGAGCGCGAGACGGAACTCTGCCTCCATGATGCCGTTGTTGCGGCGACTCATCCAGATCTGGAATTTGTCACTGAGGTAGCCTCCGTAGAAACAACCGATTACGCTGCCGATGAGGCAGGCGAGGTTCATGTTGGCTACTGCGGCATCGCTGTAGTACCATGGAGGTCCGATCCAGTGGTCCTCCTGGACGGTGAGATAGTACGAAAGGCAGACGTTTTGCATGCCCCACTGAAGACCTGCGTAGATGCAAGCTGGGAATGTGAAAATGCGGAGAGTGGACCATAAGCGCTTTCCGTATTGCTTGAAACCCCAACCACGTAGGTTGGGTGCAGGCGTGATAACGGCGATACGCTGCCAGTACGTCTTGCGCTGGCTGAATGAAACGGAAATGCGTCGTTGTGCCGTGGCGATGGGATTTGAGCCGACATTCTTCTCATCTGGGTACTGCGCAGCAGTCGACGGAGGTGCTGCCTCGACAGTGCCATCGGCAGCATGTGGTACAGCAGTCGGATCCGCTGGGGAATCATCGATAACCTGGGATTGAAGAGATAGGTATCGATCACGCGGGAATGAGGTCTCCTCCAATCCAAAGTAGAAAATGGCGAGTGTGATGACAGATGCAATGCCTCCCCAATATCCAATCCAGCGCCAACCCAAGGAGCTGCTCGCGATATGGCCACCAAGCAGTGGGCCGATGTAAGTTCCTAGTGAGGTTGCTAGAGTGTACAGTCCCAGAGAGGTTCCATTCTGGTGCTCAAACCAAATGTCGAGGAGGGATAGTTGTACAGCAGCCTCGCCGACGGCCTCAGATGCACCAACAAAAAGCTGGGTCCAAATGGTGTCGTTCTTATTCTGGAGTCTGCCAAACCAGAAATTGCCAATAATGCCCCAGACGCAGCTCACGAGGTATGCGATTCTGCGGCCATAAAGATGGGAACCCGGGGATGCTAGGAGCGTCCAGTACCCTATCCCGATAAAGAGAATACCGGCGCCGGTGTTGAAGACGTCATAGCTTATGCCATACTCTTCGTTAACGCCTACAGCAGCCGCACCCGCCGTGTTGGCGGTGCCAGCAGTCAGGGCAGTAATATAGCAAACAAGAAGGGTGTGCCAAATTTTGCGCGCCAAACTCCAGTTCAGGGGATCGTTAGGTGACTGTGTTGGCTGTGGAACAAGGATAACATCGCCATGTTTTTCGAGGAGACTGTCGTCAGAGGTGCTCGCGTGCTCATCTTTGATGATACGTCGCGAGCCCGGAAGCAGCTCTTCTTGGAGATTATGGATTTGGAGGTCTTCCATACAGGCTATCTCTTTGCCTGAATACAATCCAGTACAATTGAAATTCCTTTTTTTTTCTTGTTAGGCGCAAATGCGATAGGTTAGAAAGTCCGTGCAGGGGTAAAATTTTTATCGTGTTCAAAGATATGGAAGAGATTGGAAAGGCCTTCACTCAGATTTCACACGGCTCTACCGAGCCGCATCAGACTCTGTTGTGTCAATCCGGGGGGTGTAAAAAGAAGAAAGAAAAGAATAAAATGCAGGAAAGAAGGACTGAAGAAGAGAGGGTGAAAGTTGATAATGTATGATTGTAGGAAGTGAACTAGTCCGGTTCAGGACTTTTCGCCGTGCTTTTACGGCGCGTCGCGATCCGAAGCGAGAGGTACGAGGCAAATTGGGCCTCTTATCTTTGGTGATCTCCGTACCAACCCGCGCCACAGTTCGCCTTCAGCTTCCTTTGTTCTTCCATGAACTCAAATCTGATGGTTCGAACCAAACATCTTCTGTGGGAATAATCCATGGCCATAAAGGGAATTAGAAGTATCTCAGTGGCGGAAGATGATGACTGCGGAACGCATCCGATAGGTCAGGAGGCCCTTCCTAGAGATTTCTTCCAACCATCGGATCGGAATTGAACCCATTTCTGCGAAATCGAAGAGGGTTTCCCCCATAATCATAAATGGCTATACTCAACAATGAACATGAAGTTCTCACGATGACAGTCAGGTCAGGTCATGGCCATTGGCGGTGGCTGGAATTGGATTGTTCTACCCCACAGTGGAATTGTCATCAAGACCACCGGCGGCGGCTTGGCACGAATTATCGCAGTCGCTCCCGAAGTCACGGGGCTTGAGTTAGGCACGTTAGGGTCATTTATGGCTTCGTTCATTCGTTCATATTCGTTCCATCGTACGTTATCGATAACTAGGCAAGCTTGACTCCTACTCCTACTGACGGCTAGCTGTGTTCCTCTGGATTCCCTTCGTGTTCCATCAACAATCCGCAAATTCTCCTCACCAGACTATGCATTGGGTGTCCAACGTTGACTGCCATCTCGTGGTAAGCAGCAGGACCCCATACCCACCCGGAACCGTATCGCCATGGGAGATTCACGACCGCGCCAGCGCAAATTTGCCCCGCGTTCCAGGCAAGGCTGCTTGACCTGTCGCGCTCGCCGCAAGAGATGCGACGAGAAACGACCAGATTGCCACAATTGCACTCGTCTGAATCTGAAGTGCGAATGGCAAACCCAGCGTCAGATCGTTCCCGAAGCGGAACGCGATCCGTCCCCACAGCCTTCGACTTCTACCGAGTTGATCTTCTCCCCGAGAGCATCGCTGGATCCCTGGGATTCTCTCCCTGGGGAAAAGGGTGCCGAGAGTAAGCATCTCCTCCAGTACTACATTGAAGCATTCGTACCAAGTATCTCCGTGGCCTCGACCCCTTCAAGCTTCTACACCTCGCTGTACATCCCTATGGCCTTCCAGTCCAATGGTATTCTAGACGCCATTACCGCCTTGTCATCTGCCCAATTAGCCAGGAGGACCACCAATCCACAGAGAGTACAATATCTACAGCAGCTCTCCGCAAAGCATCAAGTAAAATGCCACGAGTTTATCAGAGAGCGTATCTCCCCAACGGGAGAGCCGATCTCGGATACTTATCAGGTCATTGGCATGCTTATGTTATTAGTGGGGCTCGAGTGCCTTCTCGGAAACAAGCATACGAAATGGCTCTCTCAGATGCGTTGCGCCCGGAAACTCCTGAACTCATTGTATCTTGATCAGGGTATGATGACTTCGTGGGAGCTGGAGTCCCTCCACAGACACTTCACCTACCATGATGTGATGGCCTCACTGATGACCAGGGCATCGCCTTCTGACACGTTCTATCCCAGCGAACGTGACTTCTCTCCCTTCCTCTCACTGGGTGATGGGAATGCCATTGATCCATTGATGGGTATTTCGTACACCCTCTGTTCGCTCATACGTCGGATTCAGTACGTCACCGCACCCAATCCTGCGTTTCCCCACCTCTCGGGAGCTGCCTTCAAATCAATAGAAGAGGATATCAAGCAGTGGACTTACGAAAGCCCTCTCTCTTCGCCGTGCATTGATCTTCCGCTCGGACTAGACCTTATCGCATTGGCGGAGTCATATCGACTAGCAGCGTTGATACAACTGTATCACAATTCAGAAGAGCACAAACCTCTCATACCGGTATGCGCTGCTAGAGCGATGCAGTTCCTCTCTAGAATACCTCCCGGAAGTCCTGCCGAGTCGAGTATGCTTTATCCAATGTTCCTCGCCGGCGCAGAGTTGGACGAGGAGGCCCAGATTGCGCTTTGCTTTCAACGATTGTCGAATATCCAAGAGCGCAATAGATACGAGAACGTAGGCATGGTACAACAAGTACTACAAGAAGTCTGGAGACCGACTCTAAATGGACAAGAGAAACGAGATTGGGCAGAAGTATTGAAGGAATGGAATTGGTCGTTCAGTCTTGGGTGAATGCCACGACAAGATTTTAAGAAGATTCGTGCATTGGAAAGTCATTCCGCACGACGACGCCATTGCTATTCGATGGGAAAATTGCCGCCATTGCGCGCCCATTAACCAGAACAGTAACGGACTGCACCAGCCATATCACAGAAAACATAGAGGGGTAGCTTAGCAGAGTACGCGTCCGAGTCCGAGTGCGGGGTATCTCACCCGCATCTCTACTTCTTGACCTCTTTCGTACACCTGCACAGCTCAATCTATATCACACACGGCCACCCATCATCGACATGTCTAGTCATTGGCGCGGGGCTTTGCTACAAGGCACAAGTTGTTGTGTTAACCGAGACCTATCATGGCCAGCTTAGAGGCTCATCGTCCCCGCTGACTCGCTTGGTGTACGGCCCGTACCATCAATGCAACTACTTTTCTACTTACCTAGGCAAGTGTTCGGCGAGACACATGCACAGGGTTCATGAAACCTATAACAGCGACTATGTTGGTTGTTCGGGGACTTCGGTCTTCATCTTCGCCAACAATATATCATACGGTGTAGATCGCCTCCTCTAAACTCCCGACCAAGAATATACCACCCCGAGTACGGCTGTACGCATTGTAACGGACGTTAGGCGCAGACATGTCCTCACCTCTTCCCCCCGGCGCAGGGCTTGTTTCACCTAAATCTCCATCCATAGACTTCACATCGCCATTGGACACATCCACCCTCAAAGACAGATCAGTCTTGATCACGGGCGGCGCCAGTGGAATTGGCCTAGCATGTGTCGAGAAGATAGCATCACACGGTGCTCTCGTCACCGTTGCGGATGTTCAAGACAACGCAGGTCAAGACGCGGTTAAGGCCCTCACATCAAAGGGCTACAAAGTCCAATACGTCCATTGCGACGTCACTGACTACACCTCCCAAGTCGACGCTTTCAAATCAGCCATAAGATTCGGAGGCGGCGGCATCGACGTCTTCGTCCCCAATGCCGGAATCATCGCCCAGGAGAACCTCGTCGACATGGCCGCGGCCACGGAACCATCCTTGGACACAGTTCCCCCAGAGCCCGGGTACAGCGGAGGCGATGTGAACCTCAAAGGCGTATACTTGGGCTGTTACCTCGCGCTCCACTACTTCAGGCTCCCTCCGCCTGTTGGGGCTACACCGTTCAAGAAATCGATCGTCCTCGTTGCGTCTGCGGCTGGATACCTGGGCTATCCGAACAGCACGACATACAGCCTCAGCAAGTTCGGCGTCCGTGGCATATTCTACGGCATTCGAGACAAGGCGAGCCAGTCCGGCGTCCGCGTTAACCTGGTCGCACCTTTCTACGTCAAGACGCCCATGACGGATGTCCTGGAAGGCGATTCCAAAGCAAGCGTCCACATGTTGGGCTTTGCACCCCTCGAGAATGTAGTCGATGCCGTGTTGAGGTTCAGCGCGAACCAGGAGTTGGAGGGCCGCAGTGCGGTGCTGAGTCCCCAGGGAAGTTTCGACACTGAGGATGATGTCTATGGTTCTTACGGAGGTGTCGTGATGCAGAAGAGGATGAGTGCGATGATGGAGGAGATTCTTGCGAAGATGGCTCCGAAAGAGAATGGTGCTCAAGAGAACGGTGTTCATTAGCTCATTTTGCATCGCTGGTCAGACATATCTTTGCTGATCTCGCACAGCACGTTTCTATGCGATTGTCTTTGTTAGTATGTATAGCGCAATTATCATTACCAGAACCATACGTTTCCATTAGCCGAAGCTGAATATCCAAACATCCCATCCGAAATCAGCCCTCCTCCCTATTTTTTTCCCATAACTCAACCAACCAACCAAGAAAGAATGAAAGAAAGCCGTTACAAGAAGCGAACCCAATCAATCACTGACCCTCCTTAACCAAAAACTCCCCAATCCTCTCCACCGCCCTCCGCATCACCTCCACCGGCACCGAAAACCGCACCCTCGCCCACCCAAACTCCCCCTCGACGCCATTATAAAACCTCCCGGCCCCGACCCTCACCCCCATCACCGCCAACCGGTTGAAATACGCCCGCTCCTCCACCGCGCTCTTGACGTTCATGCCCAGCCGCGCGAAGAGCAGGATCCCGTGCGTCGGCGCCACGAACGCGACGCCCCAGTTTTCCAGCGCCGCGGCGAGGATCCGGTACGATGCGGTCAAGCGCTCGGAGTTGAGGGAGATGAGGGTGGGGAGTTGGTGCCAGGTGAGTAGGGAGGTGAGGAAGAGGGAGGCGATGCTGTTGGTGTGGTGGGCTGTTAGGAGGGACATGGCTTTGCATAGGGCGGGGTTTTGCTGGGATATCAGACAGCCCTGGATGAAGTCCCTCGAGTTAGAACAATGTTTGGCAGTTCGGAATGGTAGGGGTAGAGGGGACGGCTTACGATTCGAAGGCCGCTGCAGCCGAATAGCTTGCTCGCGCTCCAGACTACGTGCACGCGGCTTGGATCGACCTTTACGGCGCCCTCTGGGACGAGCGGTTCGGTGAGGGATAAGGCTGATACGAAGGTCGGTGCCTCGTCCGGTATGCTCTGCAGCGTCGTCAGGGCGTACAATTCGTCCGACACGAGATGGAGGCCGCGCTCCTGGCAGAACTCCATGACCTCGACGAGCGTGCGTTTGGGGTAGCAGCGCGAGAGCGGGTTGTTGGGGTTGCAGAGCAGCACGGCCTTGATTCGCGACCTGTCGTCTGCGAAGTTGTAGGCGGCGAGCAGAGACGGTAGCAGGTAGTTGTCGTAGTTTTGGTACGTCGGCGAGTGGGCGACTAGGATGTTGACGTTTGCTCGTGATGTGAGAATCGGGTCGAACCCATCTGAATCAATGTTTCAGCCTGCGATGCTTTGTGCTCTTTTTGCGTTTTTGGGGGGATTCAGAGAGGAGGTGCGGTGGGTGGAAGTGTGGAGTAGTGTGCCATACGCCAATATGGTCCTGGGATGATGACGCTATCGCCCTCATCGCATATCGAGTGGATTACATTCTCAATTGCGTCGCTTGCTCCCGCCGTCAGGACTATTTGTTCCGTGAGCACGGGGTGGATTGGGTTGAAGTAGCGGTTGAAGAATGAAGCCATGGCTTCCCGGACGGCTTGCTCTCCGCCATTGCTAGGCGGCATATCAAAACTCTGTAGCACAAAAGAGGTTTAGATATTGTCCTTGCCGGAGGTATTTCCGATCCTTACCTGACTGATCAAATTGGATTCAATTGCGGTCTTGAAAAATTGGCCCACTTCGCTACGCAGGACTTCATTTTGGGCATTGGACAAGTCGATAGCAGTGGTTGCATTGTAATTTTTGGGCGGTTCGAGAGCAATGCCTTTGGGGAGGATATCTTTCAAGGCTCGGTCCGCTCGATTGGACAGGCCCGAATCCATGTTTATTGTACTCGTAGATTGCTGAAATGAGTTCCCTCTGATTAATTTGCTGCGGGCTGGAAATATATCAGACCATTTGTTTGCTGACGGGGGCATTCGCCGTGATGTAAGAACCCCTCGCGTTCGATCGAGAGGAAGAGTAGAAAAGGCACACACGCGAACGATATGTTACAGAGTAAATAGATATGTAGGTAAGATCACGCATCCACGCAAGCCGAGCCCAAGTTGGTTCGAGGGGGCAGCCTTTATGCCGGGCGGTCTACGCCGCAAATGCGAGCCAGGAACAAAGAACCAGTCGGACGTCGTTGCAGCTTCAGGGGAGCCCGAATGGGTGTTCAGAGTCGCTCGCTTATCAAGGGCCTTTTGGGCACAAGTTCCCGCCTGCATCATGCGCGTCGACCCTGAATGGCACACCTCTGCAGCTCTGTAGCTCTGCATCCTGAGAGAGGGACCAGAATTGGGACCTGGTTGTTTGCAATAGGCATACGCTCAGTACGGAGTACGTTAGGTACCTATGTACGATGATACGAGTAGACAAGCCTCTTAGTTAGTTAATGTACCTGACGCAATCCTTCTGTAACCTCCTCCTCCTCTTCTTAGCAAAACAGGTAAGCACATTGCGACGACCGATTATGGTGAGATGGTCGAAACCCCCCACGAGATGAAGGTACATAGTGTGCTGAGCAGGTGATCCCGCATTCCTGCATCTGGGTGGCGCCCTGTCTGAACTTTGGAACAGCGGATACAGAACCAATCCAATGAGTCCATTCCCTCAAGAACACGATTGAAGATGCGGTCTCCCTCAACGAAAGAAGGTCTTTGGTTTGAGGTTCTTTTTTTTCTTCCCTTGTAGAGCGTAGAGGTAAGGGTGCTAAGGCAGCTAACTCAAAGCAGGTAAGAATCCTCCCAACTCTCATCCCACTAGACTCGAACATTCCTCAACCTTGTCTACAGTCTTGCGTCTTGTCTTGTCTTGTTCCTCGATCTTTTTCATTTCTTCCCTTCCCCGACCCGAGATCCCCCTATGTCCACACTTTCCCTCAATCAGTAACCAATCCGCCCAATCCAAGGTCCACGTTTGACTTCAGCCAACGCGGGATTGACATCGTTCCCAGTCCGGCGGCGGCCCGTGTCGAACTCGAGACGATCCGGGCCAACTGAACGTCGTCTGCACTGTGCAGGGTTATAAGTGTCGCGGTTCCGCGCGCCGCGGCGGCGCGGCCGTTGACAATGCGAGGCCGTGCGCGTGCATGGTGTTGACGGCAGATTCTTCAAAGGACGTTAGAGGACCCATTGTCGTAAATAGGTGTGATGTGAGTTGGTCTTGCATGACGCCGTTGGTTTTGCTTTCGCACGTGCAAATGCCTTTCGAGTCTCCGGCATCGTCTATTTGCCAGTTTGATGCCATTGATGTTTGTCCAATCGGCACTCGTCAGAATGTTCGATCCTTCTCCGCAGTTTGCGTTGACATAGGCACAGATCGTGATGTCCAATACTGATATGATGTATCTATGGGCATCGAGTTTGAATCCAAATGCTTGGAGGCAACCGATCATAGTAAAGTGCCTATAAAGTCATGGAACGGGTTCAGATTGAACACTTAGTGCAGTGTCGAATAGCTACCCTTTGTAGGGGCATTGGCGGCGTTGATGGGACATGTTGGCGTGAGGTTCTCGTCGTAAAAAAGTTGTGCGTTCAATGGTGGAGCGGGCGACATACAGCAAGGCAAAGACTATGCAGGATCTTTGTTTTGGCAGCGTGACTTGGTATATTGGGCATGGTTCATGAGCCTACGACTGATTCGCATCCTTTGCTATTGGTTTTTAAGCCCAACAGGAGTGTCGTGCGGTGAGTAAAGCTCCGTTGCATTTATGGCCAATTCAGTGGAATATTGGCAAATGTGGGCGGACTGGCCATTGGCCTTATGATTGAAGATCTCTTCACAATCGCGTTCAATGCAATTGATCAGGACAACGCATCTCAAAGTTCCCTTCAGCACTCGCAAATGGGCATGTTATCTGGGAGTATACATGCCCTTCGGCGATACTACTTGTGATTACTATCCAAAACACACACCGATCATGTTGCCCTAAAAGGTCATTGCTGGATCCCTGCTCTCATGGGTCTATTTACCCAGATCCCCCCAAGTATGTTATGCAAATGGTGCAGTGGCTGTATAGGAAATTGCAGCAAGTATGGAGAACCTTGTAGGATGACGAGTCCGCAACCCTCTGTCGGTGTGATTTCTAGCGAGGTCCAACATCTCGGGTTTGTTTGCAATTAGAAGAAAATCGTATTGTTGGTCCAACAATGGTCGAAATTCGCACATTGGGTAGGTACTAAGACACCATAAAATTCATGATCCTGTCACGGATGTTTGCATCTAGCCAGCATGAATAATGGTTCAACGGATAGATTGCCGGTTTTGCGTCTTTCGATGATTTCCAGAACTAAGGATGTAAAATGTAATCCTTGTGCCCAAGAGACCACCGAATGTTGTTCCGAATAAGCGCCAGTAGTGCCATCCTTAGTTCGTTATTGGATCGGGCCGGTAGACGAGCGGCGCACAGGCACTTTGAAACAGTCTTGCTCGTCCGGGTCTTTGAAGGATGCAGAAGACAAAGAGGTGAAGACAACGAACATGCTACGGGTATAATTATGCTGCAAATTCAAATTCCTTCATCAAAGAAATCTCAAGCGTAGCTCGCTTGGCTCAGTGGTAGAGCGTATCACTAGTAAGCCGTCTTAGGCCATGATAAGGTCATCAGTTCGATTCTGATAGTGAGCATTTCATTTTTTGCATTTTTATGAGCACCAGCCAGCATCAGCTAGTGTTTGTATACTTTTTTGCTCCTCTGTTATTTTTCAAACAATAACAGCCTCTTAATTAGCTAAATACATGTGTTTATTTTATATCTATAATATACAATCGTAATTGACTATTACAATATTTTTTACTTTCTTCTGCATGCACTTATTCATATACGTATCTTTGCCTAGGGAACTTGCAGCAAAACCGAAAGTAAATAACGGGCATCTCGCAACTAAACGAAAGTGGGCGAATGAAATGCAAATCAGATTGGACAGCTACTTTTCACCTCTATTTGGCTTTTTGAGCTTCTCATATGAAGAACGTTGGTTCAAGTTAAACGCCATCATGGCTCAGCAATGACAGGCTTACTCACGGATCGATCCTATTGGTCTAGGAAGCGAGATTCGACTTTTGTCTAGAGAGGAGGCTCTGAGGAGCCAAAGGCAGCACAAGAATTGCGGAAGCAGCACCCACATGGCGTTCTGATTGGCAGCCTGGAGCAGTGACGAGCTGGTTTCCTATTCCATGCGAACTGCTGTAAACCTGGTACGAGTAAGAAGGCCCAATTAAGGTTGGAAGGACTGCGTGTGCTATAGCGCCTAGCCTCATGCCTTGGTAAGACAAGTGAGTGTATGGAGTCACGTGCGCCAGCACCAAACAAATAAACATATCAACTCACATTGTTGGACTGATCATATTTTAGAAAACGACTCGATGATAGCTTAGCGAAGAATGAGTCGATGTTGTGATTATATCTCTGTCTACTTGTGACGAAAGCATAAGGTCTAGAACGAGAATACTTTCTTCCCACGGCGTAGTTCCCGGTATAACGTGAGAGATGGTACATCGTTTCCTCACAAGTGCATACTCTACTTCTACCTAACCTACTGATTGACTTTACTTGGAGTTGCTGCTCTAAAGAGTCTCTTCTGTCCCTGTGTTGAAAGGCCACGCAATGCCCTAGTCCATCCGTGAAGAAGATGTCGTCCAACCGTGGATGGCGATAACTGCATTTTGTTCAAGTCAGACAGACTGCTGGACAAAGTCCAGAATGATAAGCATGGAGATCCGTAAGGTCCCTTTACAACTAGACCGCCCGTGAAATGATAATCCGATGACATCTAGACTTTCGCAGTACCAAGTTGGTAAAGATCTTTGTTCGGGATCGGGATACCCGTCGTCTTACTACCCCACTTTACCCTTGATGCTGGGAAAATGCATTATGCTGCATTCCTTCACTGACTACTCGATTCCGAACATCATCGCCTTGCCTCATCCACAATGCCATGAAGAAACCACATCAAAACAAGGTTTTGCCGGTTACACAATATTCTAACCGCCGCAACGGCAAGCCTCAAATGTCGTGCATGTTCATACAACGCTCAATACGGCGACAACCATCCGCACCGTAGCACCGAATACAACACGGCCTTGTATCTCACGACATCTTGCCTCCAATTGGCGCAACAACCCGCCAGATGATGACAGGGACCATTCAGGCAGGGTATGGCCAAGTTGCGGGGGAGCATAAGTCGCCGGCAGATGTGACCCATCCCGCTCTTTTACTCAAATACTTTTATATTATGTATTATCCCTTCCTTCCCCGTGCCTCCGGCGGCGGGGGGAATGCGAAATGGGGGTTTCTAGGTCACGCGCGGGGACGGAGACGGGAACCTAGAACGCCTCGCGGGAGAAACCGCATTTCGCCCCCTCAATGCTATATGTAGGGCGGTGTGGGTCTACCTTAACTTTGACAGCCTGCCCTTAGTTTTTTCCTCTCTCAGATTTCTTTTCTCTTCCTCTTTATCTATCTATATCTGTCAAAGGTGTCTTTGCATACAATTTCGTTAGATATTATCATTATTGCAAACGTCTTGACTTCTACCGTGGTCGTGTGCGCATAGACTAAATCCGGCCTGGCTCTACCCACAACCTAAAAAAAATTATTCAATAGAACTCCAGACGGAAAGGAAACCGAAGCATATTTTCGCCGCGCACACACAAACATACCTATATACAAAATGTACCACCTCGACGGCTCCCCGGCAGGACCAGACACAAACCTCTTCGACATCGTCAAGCAACTCACGACGAAATACCAAACAGCGTATCTCAAGCGCAGGGAGATGGCGACGATGACCACAGCGGCGGCCGTGACTGCACCGACAAATCTGCAATCCGCGAGACCTTCCGTTTCGAGGAGTTCTACGCAGACGTCGCTTGACAAAGAGAAAGAGTAGGGGTTCGTCTTCACTGTAATCGTGTTAGAACGGGTGGAGGAGTGGACAGCATGATGGGGACCGAACTCGCGATTTCGACACAAGGACTACATACCACGGCGCGCAAGACAAGGCGCAAACGACAACACCGCACCTCGAACTCTTAAGACACCTCCGATTGAACCATCCTCCTAGCGATCGTGCATGCCGACCGAAACCACCATGACGGAGCCATCTACCCACCCACACACTCATCCCGGCGCAACGAAGGAACCCACACACATATTTGATCGCCCACACCAACCCACCGACCGCATTCGAGAACCATTCTCCCTCTTAAATCACGACAAGATTAACGATCCTCCCGGCGCATGTATCACCACTACGCATCAAAGACACCGCCCGCATCACCGATCCATCTATCCGCACCCGATACCGCACTCTCCCGTCATGCGAGACAAGTCTCAACATCGCAATCCGCAACCGCTGCATACAAGACATCCGGGGAGAGGATACAGCTAGAACAGCAAGGGCACGGTGCGCGACAACATATCCTTCCCGAGTCCAGACCGAGCCCATGCGATTCTACCTTCCACCTTCGATCCGTGGGAAATGCGTAAGAGAGATGGAACAGGGTACACCTACGAACCCCTCCCCCACCTAAAACGCCGTGCCGAAAACCATATAAGACAAACGCCTTCAACCACCAGAAGGAATCTTTTTTATTCTCTCGAGAAAGGACGAGTTGGAGTTAAACTTGGGAGATGCGGACAATAAGATTCCCTTCTGTCTCTTAGATCTCACAACTCTCTGAACTACTTTTTCTGTTTACTGTCTGGTGGTGTTTGTGTCCTCGGATATAATCTAGACGTACAAGATCCAGAGGCGGTTGTTTACTCACTTCTCTCCTCTTTATTTTTTTTCTAGGGGAGTGTTGGATTTTGGTGAAGTTGTAATTGAGACGTCGCGTCATGGAATTAGTGGTAGACAGAGAGATATTCAAGTCAAACAAGACGACTTGACTCGAAAAGAATATATACATTCACACTCCAACCTCAAAACCGCCTAAAACTATATATATATGTACAAGAAACCCCCCTCCCAACCCCCCTCTCTCCCCAAACAACTAGTCAAAGGTTGTTCATCCCAAGCCCACTCACGCCGTAGCCCCCGTAAGACTCAAACTATACTCCAACCCCTTCGTCACCTCCTCCGTAAGACTAAACGGATCATACAGCACGAGCTCCGGCGTATTCGCCACAACGACCGCCGCCTCCTCCCCCTCACTCAGCTCCGCCTTCGCAGTGCCGTCCGCGAAGTCCACATACCGCGTCGTCCCCGCGCCAGCATTACGAATAGACAGCGTAGCCGTGAACTTCCCCGTACTCTTGATGCTCGCGGAGACAGGTCCAGCGGAGGATGAGGTCTTGAGCGGGATGATGTTGGCGCCCATGTAGCGTGGCTTACGGGCGTCCTTAACCTTATACGACCCATCGGCCTGTACGTCCAAGTTATCGAAATCAATGCTACCCTTCTGGTCGTCGAAGACGGATTGCAGACTCGGGTGTCCGATATCCGCGAACGCCATGCGCGCCCAGTACCGCCCGACGACGTCCTGGATCGCCGTGCCGTTTGCGAGCCGCGCGAACGTGTGAAGCGGCGTCTCGTTGCTGCCGGCGCTGTACTGGATGAACGACTGGCGGATTGTGTCGGCGCCGAGGCCGGTGGTGTTGTCTGGGTTGTAGGTGAGGTAGCTGAGGAACGGCCAGGCTTCGTAATAGTTCCCCGTGTCCGCGGAGCCGTCGACGAGCACGGCGTGGGCGGAGCCGATGATCTTCTGGAGGTTGGCGCCCGTGGGGGTGGGGGAGGTGGGTTGGGAGTGCTTGGTGCGCGCGGAGGCGCACAGCGGGGAGGTTTGGTAGGTGTCGGCGAACCATTCGGCGACGGTTTCCCACCATGCGCCGGTGCGGGACTGGTCGACCCAGGTGCGGGCGTGGTAGGTGAGGCCGTGGCCGTATTCGTGGACGGTCACGCCCGGGACGGAGAGGTAGGTCGAGACGACTTCGAGGTACGACATCCCGGTTGTGAAGTCGGAGTGCATGACGCCGGCGGCGTTGCCGCTCAGGGAGGGAACGGAGTACACGTTGACTTTGGTCCAGGGTCCCGAGTCGGATTTGTCGTTGAAGGAGAGGCTGGATGAGCGCCAGTTGAGGTCCTCGACGAAGCAGGAGTAGGCGGCTTCGAGCATGTCCAGGGCCTTTTTGGAGGCGGTGTCGTCGTTGCCGTAGACGCGGAAGTGGGCTGAGTCTGAGAATTGGCTGCCTCCAGGTCCGATGTTGGCGTTGGCATCGAAGTTCGCGGGTGGTGTTGACGATGCCTGACGGGCCCTGGATCCGGCCGGGGCGGCGATGGCGATGGCCTGGAGAAGAGAAAGAAGGAAGGCCTGCTTGTTGGAAAACATGGTGTTAACGAATGACGATACAAAAAGAGTGAATAGGAATGAACGGAAATGGTTGTGGTTACATTTGCTGGTAGGGCATGCCTTTCATATATCAACGGCGCCTGAGGAGAAGTGCATCATCGCACGATCATAGTGTCCATGGCACTTCATGCAAACACCGCCGTTGCGCGACTCGCACGTCTCGGTTTGATGAAGAATTCCCACGTCATCGGCCTGCCAAGATGTCTTTTTAGAATTAGACGGCCGTTGAATTCTCCGAAAGTCGTTAAAGAATTAAGGAATTGAGATGAAAGGGGGGTTGATTGGTGGGTTGTTTCACCACTGTAGAAATCGAACTAGTTATAAATTATAACTATGTGAAACGTCAAAATAGGAGGAAGGCCTGACATGGCTCGAGAGCACGGACAGGCTTTGGGACGTAATGGTTTCTGCTCTTTAAGACAAATGATCTTCGATAGATGCAAGATTTAAACGTTATGCATAAATATTTCCTAATGCATTAAGCATCTTATATCGACTTGTTAGCCCGTTCATGGTCTTGAGATAAACGAAGTATAAAATGATCAGATATGCAAAAGTTCACTTACTATGCTTTTTGCCTTATTCCAGTAAATATTTTAAGAGAGGCCATACAACGTCACGGATCCTGAGTTATGACGCGAATTTGAGGCTTGGACCATGTGATGTTCCCACGTTGTCATCGTCGTCATGAGGCTGACTGGCGTAAGCTATGGTGAGAACTCGGATCCTCAGACTTCTAGTTCTGTTATGTGAGCAGCAGTTATGGGAAAGAAATGCGCGTCCATGATGAGATCATCTCATTGCATGACATCCCGTGGACATCAAGGAGAAAGAAAAGTCTTGGTTTGTAGTCTGATGAAGAGAAGATAATACATTGATACAGGATACAAAGTCAATTGCAGTCCGAAAAGATGCCCTTGGTGTTCTAAAGTAATACAAACATGGATGGAAAATTGAATCGTAGTAATTGTGACATGGTTCCACATCTACAAGCAGAGGGAAAGGGTATCTATGAAGAAAAGATGCTGAGACAGACGAAGGAAATTCATCCAAAGAAGCAGTCTCGAAAAGATCTAATCGCTACGTGAAGGATATGAGAAAGAGGAAAAGAGAAAAAGCAAAGGGGTTATCGACCACTCCAGCATAATGAATAAAATGACTGTATCGAAGTATGACTCTAAAATGATCATGAAAAGGAAAGGATAATCCAAAGTGGGTGAAACCGTCTAAGAGTGAGCATAAAAAGGCCATTGAATGCATCTATATCCGGAAATGGCTGTAAAAGGCAGGAAGAAAGGGGACGAGCCCACGTCCTCAATAAATGGTCATGTCCATGGGTGTGAATGGTCAAGCTCATGCCAATTATCTATCACGGAACTTCGTAATGTGTCGGTGTTGATTGAATTATGATCGTCCGGTGAAAAAGCCGTGCAACTTTTGCTCTTCTTGTAGAGTCAAGGACTAGGGACCAGGTTGCTTCATATCTTCGTACTCAACTTGGTAGTCCACGTCTCCTTTGGTCATGGTGTCAGCATTGCCGATAGCATTGGAAGGTAAAGACTCACCCGAATCATATATTTCTCGCACGAAGAGGCGACCCGGCGCGTGAGCCTGCTCTGTTGGGTCCTCGCTCACCCTTGATCTGTCTCTCCAGAAGTAGTACTTCTTACATTCGGATCCATCGGAGGTCACTCGTTGGTAGACCCTCACCCTCTCTGTGCCACAGCTCTTGCATGTACATTTGCACCCATGCCATTCCTTGATCGTGTTGCAGTGGAAGCATAGTTCTCCGATGCGGCTGGTCCACTTAATCTCTCCCTCGCGACCTTCATTCGAAGTTTTGATGATCCTTCTGATATGCCAGTTGCACCAGCGCGGTGGGACATGAAGGACACGCTCCGAATCTTTGGATGGCGGCTGGTGAGGCAATGGAGGACATTTGCGAGAAGTAAAATTGACCTGATCATAAACCTTTTTGCAGCCCCTGCAGTACACCATTGCTTTGTCGTCCTTAGAGGTCTTCAAATAGGCGCGGATCGCTTTCTGTGCGCATTCTGTGAGATCTCCCTGGGGGTAACCTTTCTTTAGATCAACGAATTTGTAGATTCCCCTACACGTGAATTTTAGGGCGAGGTGGGAATCTCGTTCAAGGTTGTCGGTGACCAAAAGGAAAACCTCTGGAGGAAGATCTCCCAGTGTCAGAGGAGTTTCCATGAGGATAGGTATTTGGTGGTTCGGATCTGATATTGTAGGCGGGAGAAGAGAGTTGTGAGGAAGTAGTAAAGAACATTTTGAGGAGAAAAGATAAGTGAAAAGATTGTGATTGCGCAAACCTCTGACACAAAGAAGCAGGTAGTCATAGACGGACTTGCGACTATGACGCGAAGTCATATCCGCCATTGTCACTGCTGCGCCGTGCTTCACTGACATTGCCATGACCACATCGGCAGCATCACATCAGAAAGGTAGGAACCGCCAAATCCTTTGAATGAACAAACCCTCTCTTCCAAGCCCTTTTGTACTCCTTTGCGTACGAAGGGTTTCATGTCAGGAGTTGGGTGCAAACTGAGCATGCAGACCTGCGGCCCGTGGGTACGTTTAGGCTCACTCTTGCCTCATGTGCCCAAAAAGGCAGAATGGCCATCGAAAACTGACGTGTTTTGGATAACACATTTCTCACTTAGGCTGTCCTGCCAGGACTAGGTTGCACCGTGAGACCCGCCCGCGCGTGATGGATGAGGGATGACTTGTGTGGTAGAGGAACGCAAAGGGCCCGAACATGTGATGCGCTGTCGTGGATGGCGAAGGACTACACAACATGGGAAATGACGTTTAATAAAGAGACTGCTGTGCCGATAAGTTGCTGAAATGGATATAGATAGCCCATAAAGTGTCACCTGTGTTGGACATATTTGTTCAACGAGTCAAGGACAAACGCTCCCGAAAGACGCAGTGTGTGCATTGCATTACACGACAGGGGCATTTGCAACGCCCAGCCCGTTCGAGAAGTATTTTCTGGAAGAAGACCCAACATTTACCTTCTGCGTGTTTAATTCTCATCGACGCAAGATGCAGGATTCGGTCATGTGACTTTTTGTGACTTTTTTGTTTGTGCTCGTACAAATCTGACGACGCTTGGACGATGCTACAGCCTCAGGGCTGTTACTTACTAAACAAAACGCCTGCTATTAGATGATATTCATGCTGGAGCACCTTTGTGGCTCTTCCTCGTCGCATTGACATATATCACAGTCAGCAGCCCAATTTTTCGGAAGGGCAGTAGAGTATCAGAGCTGGAGGAGTTGATGAGGCGTCACAGCAATCACGAGAGATCCAGGAGAAGGCATCCGGCAACGCGTTCCGACCGGGCAGCGCAGTGACCCAGTGCCGAGTACAGAGAATAGAGGAGCGAGACAGTGCATACTGGTGCGAGCTCTCTGCGGGGCCAGTGTTTGCATCCTGCCGCATGCTGTGCGTCCGATGGGTTAATGAAGGTTTCTGTCAGCACCTGCAGGCGGCGTCAATCCTTAGAACCGCTGCAACCGCACGGTGCGCTTCCAACCCCAACATTCGTCGTCCCCATTCTGGCAAGAAAGCCGTGTACTGAAGTAGTGGTCATCGGTCTGCTCATGCTCACGATCATGGCCACTTTCGATTCACTGCCTTTTCTACCATTCTTTTCCCTGTCTAGAGTGACTGAAAGGAGGCGTATGAATCTGAAAGCTAGAGCTGTTATTGTATTTCACGTTATTCGCAAGGATCCACTGCTGCCGTAGTACCAAACGTTCTCGTAGGCTTTCTCGCTTCGGGTTGACCATGGGTGTACCATGATGGATGGTTGTGATGGTTCTACTACTGTGGCATGGCCGAATGCAAGCCACACCTGCAATGGAAATGTGTGATACCTGGGTTTCCTGCATTATTGATGGACGAGATGACGGATGTATGAGGGGAATACGCGAAATCTGGGTTTCTCGCATTTCTGTCTCTGGCGATATCTCATTGGAGGCTCTCAAGATTGCGCCAGTGAGGGAAGCCCCGCACACGATGATGGAGGAGCAACGAAGGTCGGCAAGTGATGGTGGGCAGAAATGTGATCACAATGGCAGCTCCATGACTGCATGATTTCTTGGGCTTGGACACGGATAGTGAAAATTGGATCGAGTCGATGGAGGGGTTGGTTGGCGATGCGATGGCGATGGCGTTGGGAAGGTGTACTGTGTAGTGTTGTAGGGCAGGCAGGAGGGGCAAGGTGGGGTGGGGTGGATGTGAATGTGCAAAACCTATCATGTCGATTCGGCGTCCGTTACTGACTGAAGCTTGCTGCTAGGACGATGGAACCCAATGGATTCCCGCCTGCCACATGCACTCTTGCTTGCAATTTGAATATGCAGCTTGTGAGGTTGTGCAGCAGCTCGCATCGGCGGCGCCTGACAGGGCAAAAGCTGATTCTCTCGGCGCCCGGTGTTTTTAGTGCACGAAGCCGAAGCAGAGGCAGAAGCGAATGCGTTTGCATACTTGTCGAAGGGAAGCATGTGCATGGCCGTTGATGACGATGCTGAGTGGCTATTGGGCAGAGATCGGAAGATTGTCAGATGGATGCTACGTAGATGGATGATGGTGATGTGACGGGGAAAGATGGAATAAATGGAAATGATCCAAGGGTGGGTGGATTGGAGGAGGAAGGAGGGGATGCTCTCTAGAGGATCTAGCTATGCATGATTCCCCTCAATAGCACCCGTCCGTAGTGAACCATACACAGTAGAGTGATGGACCAAAGCATCTTGGACTTGAAGCTTGGAGTACACTCTCTGGTATAGTGGTTGATCAATGCTAGGAATGAACTACGAGAGAGAAGAGAGAGCATGGTAGGTATGATGATAATTATTTTACGGTCTACGGGGATGGAATACTGTACTTACAATGGAAGAGTATGTAGTTTGTTGTAGTTATACAGGGTAGAGTAGAGTAATAAAAGTACACGTACTCGATACATACATAACAATCAGTAGATGGTTGTAATGAAAAGGCACATACGAGGGTACCTACGGGACTACGAGTAACGTTAAAGAGACCCGATGCCGTTAGTGACCTTCTGGATTGGCAGCGCACGAACGCGGGTGAACGTGGCGCGGCGCTCAGGGTCCATACGGGATAGGAGACCGTAACCCATCAGTAGCTAATTACTTTAATCATCGGTCGCACCGTAGATGGAAGAGAAGACTCGTGCAATAATATCGTGTATACTTAGTATGAAGCTGTGAACACTGCACAGCAGATGACAGACAGGCACTGCTAACTACTGCATCTTGGAACAGTACAATTGCTTTACTTGTCCTGTATGCTCATCTAGGACATACAGAGTACCTTAGGTAGAGTTCACTAGAGAGTGGACTCTACAGTGTAGAGCGACTACCGGAGACATCCATGTCCAGGACAAGACCACAAGTCCCGCTCCACGGTGGCATCACTCCTCAGTTCTACTCTCACTAGACTGAGACTAGCCCGAGTGTGTTCTGCATGTGCATGCTTTGCCCGATAGAAATTGTAGAAGGTAATTATTACCTAGCTGTTGGTTGGAGGTTTGCATTGGCGGACAACCAACACCACCACAACCACCACCACTCCCTTCTCCTTCCCCTCCTCCACTAAACTGTCAGGCTTCGGGCTCATACAGTACGACGAACGTCATCCTTCTCGGTCGACCGATTGACCGGGTAGTACCTTATTTTTGGACGTTACAGCGGCTGTGTTGAAGTTAACCAGCTGACGGTTGATCCCACGTCGAGTCGACAGAGGTAGAGAGGTAGTCAGATAGTTTGTGATTCCTGATTCAAGTAGCTAGTGGGTAGATTAGGTGATTGCAACTGAGAGTGCATATGGAGGCCCTATGTGGAGCATCTCCGACGGCGGGTGGGGAATGGAATAGTGGTGCGGCGCCAGCCTTGCGAGATAGATACAAAGACGATGGAGGGAGCGACAGCCATGGTGACGGTGAGGTGTAGTCAGGTTGGTATATTGTAATGAACATGAAAACCGCGCAATAACCTATGATCAATGATTCGAGACTTTTTTGTTTGCGTCGGAAATACTGATGAAACATAACTGTAGTCTCCCCAGGGAGGAATTAGGATGAGAATCTCACTAGCCACAACTCGGTCCGTGACCTACTTACGGTTCCTGCGAGAAAGGGTCAAAGGGGAGCGAGCTGAGAGAGAGGGAATTATGATCGATGAATAGAATTACAGCTAGATTGATGGATGGATGGATGGATTGATTGATTCTTGGGATAGATCGGTTGATAGATAGATAGATTGATTGTATGAATGAATGAATTGGTTAATTGGTAATTTGATGGGACAATGATTGATTGAGAGTGAGTTGAGTACTCTGTAGAGATAGAGATGAGAGTGAATAATTGTATGTACACATTAACGTAAGTCTTCTAATCTTCCTCTCTCTCTAGTTACTCTGTACTCTCTCATCTACATTCAATACAACATCACGGCCCGCGCCTTTTCTCGGCTTGCCTTATTAGCGTATTATCTGCATCCCCTTTTGAGAAGCTGTCAAATCCAAAAAGTCTCATCCCCTCCCACCCTTCTCATCTCCCATCTCCCATCACCCACCCAACCAACCAACCCCTCCACCAAAAGGTGATCCTTTCCATCCTATTCCATCCTGTCCTGTTCAATCCCATCCATCCACACCTCCCCGCCACCATCCCCCATTTCGAAGCCTTGAGACCATTCATGATCCGACCCATCTTCTGGTCTTGGTCTTGGTTCTTGGATGGGATCGTAATCGGGTAATAGCTGTGTTACCTGTAGTACAATTGCTTTCAATTCAATACGACCCAGTCCAATCCCAGCCTACTTAGGTAGTTGCTTTTCAATTCTATTCATATCAGGCTCGACCTGCTCGTACAGTACCTTACAATTAGACATTAGTTACAATAACCTAACTTACTACCTACCTGTACCTATCTACTACGAGAAACTACCCGGTACCTCTTACCTACTACTGTACAACTACCTATTACTAGTAATAGCTTTCCCGCCCGCCGTCCGTCCACTCTTGCTCCTGCTCTCTCCACCCTTTCCCCCTCCACTACTCACTCTAGTACTAACTAATTACTCCTTCCTCTCCTTTCTCTTCTTCTTCTTCTTCTTCTTCTTCTTCCCTTCCCTTCTCTTCACTCTTCTCTTCCCTCAACCTTCCCGTCGTCCTCCTCTCCCCTCTCCCACCCCTCCAGTTAGATTCACTTCGCATCTTAGCGAAGTGGATGACTGTCACTCCTTAAGTGCTACTACTGTACTGTACTTGATTGTACCGTCTGTTGTTGTTGATTGTTGTGTCTGTCTGTTGCTTGGTCCACCAGGAGTCCATATCTCGGTAAGCGGCACCCACCTTCCCTTCCCTTTCCCTTTGCCTAACCTAACTCCTACCTAAACCCCCCTCCCCTCCCCCCATCGCAAAAGGTCATCTCCGCCTCAGGGAACCGACGCCCCAAAAATCTTTTCTGCCACCTCCCGCGACTCGTCTTCATTTCCCTTCCCCCGAGTCCTTCCGTATTTACAAACAACTACATCGCCTGTCTTTATCTGTATTCATCTATGCTTGCGCAATTGGCAGTTGTTTGATCGTGTTTTTATTTCGATCATTTTTTTTTATTCCTCGACCCTTCTCAAACTAACAGGACCGACCGTAGTTGCGACTTCCTCGCTACACCCATTGATCCTTCGGGCCGTCCTTTTACGAAACCTGACTGCGACTCCGATCCCTCGGCCGCAGCCTACACCAAACCTCGGCCACAATGTCATACTACAATGAACCTACATGGCCCGCTCCTGGTCGCCAGCCCTCGTGGGAACAGCCTCAGCCACCGTCGCGCTCTGGTATGCGAAAACGCCCTTGATGATGGGAAAAGGAGAATTGCAATTGACACATGGATGCAGGCAACAGTTCCACCGTGAACAGGGACGAGGCATTGGCATTCGTAGCCCAATTCGATGGTACGTGCTAACGGTATCGTGGGGTTTGGCCAGAATCGTGGAATTCCGACATGGCTAGCATCCGACGACCTTGCCAAACCACCAACTCCACGAAGTCATTGATACGAGCTGACGATACAATTGCAGAGGTCGAGCGTGCAGCGGACAATCTCACCAAGAGTGGAAAATTCTGGTCCCCCCAGCAACCGCAGCAGCAGCAGCAGCAACAGCAACCAGGAGGTGCTGGCCGTCGTGAGTCGATGCCCATGATGGGTCCCCGTCCGTACCCCGACCATGGTATGCGAGAGTGGATCCATACCTCACCCGTACCAATGTCTCTAACACATGGCAGGTCCTCAGCGTCACCACTCCGTAAGCGACTACGAGGGAATGCGGTCGCACTCAAACTCTAACGTTCAGGGCTTCTACCAGAACCAGCGCTATGCGCCCCGTCCCAACGACGCCGACCAGATGGCCCAGGCAAAGCGCCGCATGGCGGCTCAGCGTGAGCGGGAGCTGCGCAATTATCATCAGGAGCAGCAGTACCACAGAAGTAAGGACTCGGAATCAGGGCAACAATAGAGGAAGGACGGTTGGTTAACTAGGGTAATGCAGATGTTTCTGGGTCCAAATCCGACCGTTCCATGAGTCCCAACGCCATGAGTGAAGAGGAGCGTCGTGAGCTTATTGCTCGTCAACACCGTGCTCTATACGGCGACCAGTCGTCCCTGTACAATACCAACAATCCCACCTCCAGCCAGGACGTTCGAGTCCAAACCTCTGGTTCCGGCCGAGGCCCTTCCCCACTGGCCTTTGATCCGTTCGGCATGCAGGCTCAGAATGGCTCCAACGAAGGTTCCGTTCAGATGCCCTCTAGGGATAAGGATGTGGCCGGTGGTGCTCAGGAGGCCCGTGCCAATAGCAATTCATCCCCATCCTCGACCCAGAACCCAGCCTTTAACCTGTTTGAGAACGCGCAGCAGGCTAATCGTACTTCGAACTCCTCCCCCGGCGGTTCGCCGCCGCGTCAGGGCTCGAAGTCTAACAGCTCCAGCGTTGCTCCCATCGGAACCAGGCCAGCCTCCAACCAGAGCCAGCCCGCCGGTGCTCCGTTGAGCAAACGTGCGACCACCCCGTTGCCGTCGCCGCTCAGCTACTCGTACAATGCCAGTGAGCAGACGGCCACCACGTCTGCTTCGTTGAATCCATCGTCCACGGTTACGGACAAGGGTCCCATCTGGGGCAACAAGACTGGCGTCTGGGGAAACGCTCCCTCTCAGGGCGTCCAGGCCTCCGTCTGGGGTTAGAAATCAATCTATTGAATGGGAGTTCGATGCACCTCCGGAGTTTCTGCATTTAAGGTGTCCCGGGCATTCAGTGTCGGTCTTCCAAATTTGGGTGGTGCAGGTCATGGCGGGTCGGTGAAATTTACACTGGGTTCCAAATCGTATCCTTACGGCGCGTTTGCTGCATCTGTCTCTGGGGTTTTAGAGCGGCGCGTCTGCTCTTTGCAAAGACTGAACTTATAATATACCTTTCGCGCTGCTGGGTGGACACTGGGATCGTTATACGGGTGTTGCTCGCACAAAGGGATATGGGAGCACTACTTCTAAATCTTTTATTTTCGGATTGTTGGGGGAGTTCTTGCTGGTTGTTTATCTTGGTTTTCTGGAGATCGTTCACTACTACCAACAACGGAAATCTGGTCGGCGGTCTTACAAAGGTCAAAGGGCGGGTACATGGGATTCGTTCCGATTCCTGTCTAAACAAATCTTTCTAGGGGAGTTGTACTCATGTAAAGGGAGCACAAACGCTCGGTGTTCAATGCTATAAAAAGTTGCTTTTGGGTCAATTGGGTCTTCAATGATTGTGACATGTTAGTCTCTGCGTCTCATAAGCAACGAAATTATCGGAAGAGATTAAAAGCTCAATCAAATCGCTCGTCTAGTTCATCGAGTCCGTTCTTCAGGGTTTAATTCGACACGTGACATGCGGCGGAAACCAGCTCCTGCCACTTTGGCGAAGCACAGACGATGCGCTAACCCTGACCTCCACCCCAAGTTCACATTTCTAGAAGCGTGGCCTCTAGACCCCATACCTCCAACGTCAACCCCAAAAACACCACCACAACATCCCATTTCCCTTCTTCCTCAGGTCTTATCTCGTCGGTCTGCTTTCTACGGTCTCATCATGGTACGTCGCAGCGCCTCGGTGACTCATCGGTCATCACACGGCAATGAACACATGGCGATTCGCAATTCACCACCTCGAAGCTCCCCTCTGCAATTGGAAGCCGCATCGGGGGACACGCGATCTCGAGCCGCTTGGATGTGTTTGTTGCCGTTATGGTGTTCGATGTGTTGCTTGGATACTAGATGATATATGCCTTGGACTCGACAGCTAACTCAATCGCTACAGTCTTCTCCTCGTCCCCAGTCTCCCGTCAATGGCGGCGCCTCCGGCTCTACCACTGCGCGTCCCGCATCACCAAAGCCCCCGGGTGGCCCTGCAACCGTCATGCGAAGGAAGGCGGCCGCTGACCGCGCAGAGAAGTCCGCAAACCAGAGGCCAAGCAGCACGAGGGCGGCCGGTGCTGGAGGAAGCTCAAGCACTATGTTGAGTAAGTGCTCATTCTTATCAGGCGATGAAAGGAAGGATCCCGAGTGCAACAATTGGAATCAATCGAAGATGTGGAAGTCCCTTATGGAGCACTGGGGATCATTGCGGCACTGAGATGTGTCTCCCGGAAGAACGTAAGCTAACTGCAATCCATAGGGCTTTACACCGACGAGTCCCCTGGCCTCAAGGTCGACCCCGTCGTTGTCATGACTCTCTCCGTTGTCTTCATCTTCAGCGTCGTTGCCCTTCACGGTATGTTGAATCTCGATAGGACGTCTCCTTCGGCCTACTAATGAAGACACAGTCATTGCCAAGGTCATGCGACGATTCTCCGCATAAATGCACTTTCCCCTTGACCATCAACTATTTTTTATCCATGATTGGCGCTCTGCAGCAGCGACGACATCCTTCGTTTTTCGTCCCCCAAAACGACTCTTCTCCCGTCTCGCGTCTTCTTTCCTTTCTTCTCAGTAGCTGGTGAATTGGACGAGCAAGATGGGGCAAAGTTGGTCGGAATATAGCGATACCTGGGCTTTGATAACTCTTGCATCATTTTCAGGATGCACCGACGGTCGGTGTGTTCGTGCAGGACATTGGCGTGGTGTACTATAGCATTGCAATGGAAAATTTCGAAAATTGCATACCAATGTGTTTACAGTGACGATTGTCGAGGGTATGCTAAATGGGACGTGATATCAGATATCAGATATCAATTGGAACAAGAGGTTCGTGAGCCTGAATGTCGGAACAAATCCATTGACTTGTACATGCCAGGACCATGCAATGCAAAATTACGAAATCTACAAAATCTACAAATCTACCCCCGTCTTAATCAAGGGAAATCTACCCCTCTCACCTCTTCATATCCTCCCCATCCTTAACATCCACACCACTAGCCCTCACAACACCCCCATCACCACCCCTCGCACCATCCTCCAGCTCCGTCTCACTCCCACTCCTCAACTGCAACTCCACATCCGTCTCACTACCCTGCAACCCCACCCCACTCCCAATCACCGTATCACCACCACCAGTCCGCAGCCCCTTCCGCCTATCCTCCTCATCCTCCACCGTCCCCTCCCTACACGCCCAAGCATCCACATACCTCAACACCTCCCGATCCCAAACCCTATTCATGACCTTCAACCTGACCGGCACAAGCGCAATGATAATGATCGGAAACGCGGGCCCGGCCTTCGTCAGCGTGACTATGAAGATAACCACCGTGACCACCACCTGCGTAATCGTGTACATATGCACGGGAAGGTACGCCCTCATGCTATTCCCCGCGCCGCCGTGTTTCGCGGCGACAGAGGCCGGTAACGCGGGGAGCTCGGACGGCGGCGTGAGGAGGTAGAAAGTACGGTAGAGGATGGGGTTCACGGACAGCGATTGCTCGCCCATGAAGAGGAAGAGGCCTGCGAGGACGGATGTGGGGGTTAGCCCGAGGACGCGCATGAGCGGGGGCGATGTGAATGCCATGATCCCCGCTGCGTGCAGGAAGTGCGACCAGCGTTGCTCGTAGACGCGGCGGGAGGTCCGGGTCTCGGTGTGTGGGGTGCCTGTGGACGAGGAGGTGAGGGTCAGGGACTCGGCGTCGTCGTGCATCAGGGACTCGGAGTGGAGGGGGGCTTGGGGGAGGAGGCCGTTGGCGGGGGGGATCCCGAGGATGCCGCAGATGGCGGTCGTGGTGCCCAGGAGCACGATGTCCCATGCGAAGCCGCCGGGCTTGCGGGTCCCGTAGCGCGAGATGGTGCAGATGATGCTGGAGACTTCGTGGTCGAAGAAGAAGAGCGCGGTGATGATGGCGCCAGGGATCAGCGCCGCGAACACCCATTGCACGGGGAGCTCCCAGAAGCGGACGAAGAAGGCGGTGCGGTCCGGGTTCGTGGGGCGGAAGGAGGTAGAGACGTGGAGGGTTTCTTTGTCGAGGGATGCGAGTTCCCCTGTGTGAGGCAACGCGATGAAGATGATGATGGAGATGGCGGCCGCATACTCGGCGAGCCCCATGCGGATGTACCGGTGGAAGAGGGGTTTCCATTTCTCGGCGCTGCTGAGGAATACGGCGACGAGGCAGGTGCCGATGGCGCCGATGACGGAGTAGAGGAACGCGGCGAAGGAGAGGGAGCGTTGGGCGCGTTGGAGCTCCTGGACGGCTTTGTGGAAGTAGATGATGGAGTTGAGGAGCGAGAAGATCTCCGTGCTGAAGGTCGTCACGTACCGCATCGTCCAGTCGTGTGCGTTGAAGATGGCGAGGAGGTAGTGGAGCCAGGCTGCGTGGATGAGGGACCAGGTCATGAAGGGGAGAAATTGGATCTGACGGAGAGTTAGATCGAGTTTGATATGTTTGGACATGTGGGAACTTACATGGAAAGATGATTCACATAGTTCGTACATGTTCTCAGCCAGGATAGAAAAGGGGCCTGTGACACCGAGTATGGTGAGAGGTTGTATCGAGAATCTATGCAATGTCAGTATTGAACAAGAAATTTCCAATCCCCTCGTCATGGGTGTGTTTTCATAACTTACAGACTGAATATAATCCCACATAGTCCCGTGCTGAACACAACCTCAATAGTACCCCAGTTGCTCCCCGTCAAAACATACAGATCGTTCGCGAACGTGATACCCGGCAGCAGATTTGTGAAGAATACGTACACGGCGCTCGCAAACACCAGCTGGTTGAACGTCGTCCAGTCCGATAGATATCTCTTTGGCAGGTTACGCAGATCTTGGCGGAGGAGGCGAAATGGTTGCAGAGCTCCGTCTCTTTGGAACGCGGGTCGAATCCGTCGGTACCATTTTGGTGACATTGTTATGGATCCCGATTGTTCTGTTGTGTGTAACTGATCTGCTTGCTCACGATGTTGCCACCGAGGTTGCGCAGATGTCACCAGCAGTAGTAGATTGCGCGTGCACTTTTTTTTCGTCCCTCTTGCAGCTACTAGATCCTCGATATAATATACTCGTAGTAAATGCTTGGGGAAAACAAATACAGTTGAAGAGTGTTATTGGCAAAGTACCTCCAAGCATCAGCTACCCTTGGCACATCTAGGCAATGCTGTGGTTCGAACGGAGGACTGGAAATCCCATGGGCCTGTCAGATGGAGAATCCGAGGCACGTTGTCGTGGATTTCCAGGTTGGTCCAGCCCGCTGGCGCGTAGGGATGACGTTGGTGGTTTCTCGTTTCCTGCTTGGCGGGGTCGGCCCGATTCGAGAACATTCATCGACGAGTCTACGGCGAGGGATTGTGACATTCTTTGGTTGGAGTTTGTAAATCGAGAATTGGAGGTGCATCGATTGTTGGATATTGTTTGCATCGAGTTTTCTTCGGAGTGATCGAGTTTCTCAACGTCCGATTGACTCGACCATTGCATTGGATTTGACACCCAAATACTCGAGCATATAATCAACTAGAAACGGCTCATACATCCTACAAAATTTCGTAGAACCCTACATCTAAGCTTCTAGAATACCTCGTACTAACCCTAAAACTTTCTTTGCACTGCCAATAGAAAGCTGATACCCTGCCCCTGAATGCCCATACTGATGCACCACACGTACCTTTCTACCATGCTCAATCTCTACATCCTCAATCTCTACTCTCGGACCTTCCTTCCTTCCTGGACGTAATCCCACCTGCTGACTCACAACCTCAATCTCAGCATCCCTCAGCTCCGGCCACACATTCCTGCACCGTGCAATGATCCCCTTAGTCGTCTCTCCATCAGGCTCAGGACTACTATCATCAGCCTTCTTTGTGCCACCTAGCAAGAACATGTCCGTCCCCGGGCGCGGGAAACAATATGTCACCGCAGGCGCTGCAGCAGGATCTTCCTGAAGGATGATCCTTTTCCGAACGACCTCTTTCGTTGACGTCAATCGAACGAGCAGCGTCTGCCCGCGTATCGGATACATCGACTCGTCCTGACATAGCTCCTTCGCCCCGAGACCCGTGCAATTTACCACAGCAGCAAAATCCCTTCGTGGCTCTTCTTCGCTGCGATCTACGGCCGCAAAAGCAGACTTCACGGCGTGTGTGAAGCCTTGGTCGACTGGTAATCGAGCCCGTACGAATTGAGCGCCCAGCTCCCGGGCTCGAGATGCGAGATAGTTGAGATAGACTGGCGGGTTGATGACGATAGAGTCGTAGCTGTATCCGCTTTTGCAGTTTGGGGTTAGGTCAGCCGCGGGGACGAGGGAGAAGTTTTGGACTTGGGACGAGAACCATAGTGTTGGAGACGCTGTGTCGAACATCGTTGCAGCTCTGAGATCCGACGTTAGCATTGGGAAAGCAAGTTGCGTGCATGTGATGGTCATGGACGTACGAATATACATAAATCGGGCGACCCTAAAAACGTCAGTTCAGCTATCGAATAAAGTCGAAGAAAGACAAGTACCTCAATCCCCATATCCTTAGCCCGTCCAGGTTCATCCCGGATTATCTGTCTCCAGGTTCGGTAGCTCTCCATGTCCCACTGACACAGCTCGACTTGATGTGGAGCAGAGTGGGTCCGCCAGATCGCGCCAGCCCTGGGAATCCCCTCTTCAGATACATGCATACATAGAATATGATCAAATATAGTATTCAATGAGTTACTTACCATGGAGATGTGTACTTGATTGACTCATCACCTGGGGAATGCTCCGCTAGGATCGTGACGACGTAGCCAGCTTCGAGCAAGGTCACGGCGGTCTGTAGACCAATGACACCAGCGCTTTTGATTTTTTAGTATGATGGGATTGATACGGCATGAGAGTGTGGGGGGTCAGGTACCCGATTATCAAGATAGAAGTCATGGTAGTCTGTGGATGAGTGACTTCGAAGGTCGTTACTTCGATGAATTGCTGACGTCCACTGGTATTGTTGAGTGATATTCTTGATGGTATGCTGGTTGTTTGCTATAAGCAAGATTCAGAAGAGCCTTTTTGTACAGCTAACAGGCAATGAAATAAGTAGTGTCGGGCCCCTTGTGGTGATGAGTAGTAGTAATGGTTATCGTGATTACTTAGAGCCCAACGGTGTACCACACCATACCCTATGAATCTAATGTTCCCGAAAGAGCTAGCACACTGTACACCCCACCAACAACCTAATTTTACCAAACTATATTTTCTCCTTCTCACACATCCATATAGTGAGGACTCAATCGCCATCTCAACTCACAGTTCTCTCAAAGTCCGGCAATAAGTTCAATCTAGCATTCAAAAAACCCATCGATCACAAAAGGCTCGGTAGTGTAGTGGTTATCACGTCAGTCTCACATTAGCATCCTTGCTATCTGATCACTGAAGGTCCCGGGTTCAAAACCCGGCTGAGTCATTGATTCGATCATTTCTTTTTTTGCTTTTTTGTCTGCATGGCATTCTGTCTTTTTGCGTGGAAAAGAAGATGTTGACTTTTTGCAAATGTTTCTTTCTTTCATGAATTAAGAGTAATTAGATAGGATTTTTCGTGTCTGCTTATAATTTCAAAATATGAGCATGTACTTGTAAGGCAGGCAAGCTCAGGATGTTGTTAAAGCAAAGAAGCTTTAAGTAAAACATTGTTTTGTCCTCAAGAACACTTTTTCTTTGCTGCTATTCCAGACTGCTGTCGCTGTCGCTCTTCCTTAAGACGCAATGCTTAACGCACATCTGTCAATTAAAGGGGCATGATCCCCTCCGTGTGACCATTAAAGCAGCCTCACTGTTTACACATTTGCATCACACATCACACATCACATCACAAACACAGAGAAAAACTCATCCCAAACACAACACCAATTCCATTTCCAATTCCATTTCTACGCACAGCCTCTAGTACCGTCATCGTCGTCGTCGTCGTCGTTGTCATATCCAAACCCAGACAAAACCGCCCGCCCGGCCGCTGTTCCGTGTCGACACGCCCAATATCCAAGTATGCAGAAACCCGAAGCCGGAAATCCAGATGCTAGGAAGCCACAAAGAACAAAAAGTCCAAATGCTATCTCTTCACTTAAATGCCTAAAAGCAAACAAATCTGAAGAACTAGATCCGGTTGAAGAAGTAGATGTGAAGGGGAAGGGACGAAAATGTAACGTTGGTATGTCGATGACGCTTAAAAATGAATGATGAATGGGGAGTAGCGTGGGGAGCGGGGAGGAGACGTTAATCCAGGTGTGTGAAAAACTCCAGTAACCAAAAAAGAGGAGAAGGACCTTTCAAATGCTATTTCTTTGAGAAATGCGAAGGGAAACAAACCTCCAATAGTTAAATGAACAATGTCAGTCAGGTGAAAAGTATCAGCCGCGAGCGAGAAGGAAGGTTAAGGTAACGTTGGTAAGTCCGGAAAGCGTGTGGACAATGGGAGAAGGCAAAGTAACGTTGGTAAGTCCGAGAAGCGTGTGGACGATGGGAGAAGGCAAAGTAACGTTGGTGAAACGATCAAGCGTGAGGATGGGAGAGGGGAATAATTAATGTTGGTAAACCGTGGAGGTGAGCAAAGAGGTGAGTAGAATGGTGGTCCAGAAGTGGAAGGGCGATGTACAGTTCGATAGTGAAGCAAGGTAAAAGAAACACAGAGGGAGGGGAGGAGGGGAGACGTTATTTTTCAGTCGTTGATCCTAGGAGTCCGATAGAAGGGAAGGAGGGGAGGTTTCATGAACGTTATTCTCTGATTTTCAGGACGTGATTAAGGTTGGGGTTGGATGAGAAACGTTGAGTAGGAGTGACGTTGGAGACGAGTGGAGTGGAGAGTGAACCAAGGAGCCAGATTGCCCAAGAAGTGTTTGCGCCGGTGTATGTTTTTCTTTTTTTCGCTACGGGAGAGAAGTGTTGTCGTTATATTATCGTCGATGTTGTCCGTTGATTGGGTTGAATTTAATTGATTGAGGTGAGAAGACAGTTGTAGAAAGTAAAGAAGTATTAATGATCCATGGCCATGGGGAAGGGTATATTTTTCGGTATGTTTTCGATATAGGAATAGTCAGCCCTAAGACAGAAGGGTGGTATGACGAACAAGATCAAAGTGTATATATGTATATGGGTATTATTGTTGCTTTGAATCGAAGTCCTAAACGCCGGAGAATAGAATAGATGAAGGAGTGTGTGGAGAGTGATGTAGAATAAGACTGGGGGAGGATGGCAATGCAATGAGGTTTTATAGAAAAGACTTTGTTTATGCCGATGAAGTGAGACAGAATCTCATGATGTCACACTACTAACACTCTTATTTCTGGGGTGGCATGGCTATTGCTGTTTGTGTAATATTGGTGACTCTGATGAATGATCGTTGTCCACGTGCGGAGTCAGAGAGCAGGAGATCTCAGGATACATCTCACACCACCAGTAACGTCAAGCGACCACATGCGCTGTAGAACCTGGAAACCTGCACCTGTCACACGCGACACATTTCCGTATGCGAGCGGAAACATCCCGGAAACAATCTTCAATGATATGTTTTCTTGATTGTTCGACGACATTGACAATGCGATTCGTAGATAGTCGAGATCGATCAATTCTCCCGGTCGTGCATGGTCGTCGTTAGTTATGGACTACGATCTGCACACACAACCCAACGTCTACTGCACGTCACCCGGCTACATTTCCCCATCCCCCACAAACCCCCGACTGTAATAACCGTTTTATCGTTCACTTGTTATAGTCAACACCTATAATATACCCCACAATCTAACTCGCACTCGGATTTCTACGCTGAAGAGAGTTAGCAGAGCCGTTGCGCTAGTACGGAGAGAGTAGTTTGTGAATTGTATATGTAGGTACGAGTAGGGTAGTGGGTTAATATAAGAATTAAGGTTCTGGGAAGTAGCCGTTGTTTAGGCATTTTTGCGAGGTATTTGGGGGGGTGTGAATGGTGGAATTGGGATTTTCTGGGGTTCATATAGGTAGATAAAGTGGGGATGGGCTTGATTTGTCCCGGTTCGCCTGGAAAGGGGAAGAATTGTCTGGGGTTGACATTTTTGTCTGTATGTGTGCGGACTTGTGCAATGGGGCTCGTGAAGATGTTTAGATTGCTGGGGAGTATTTATATTGTAACTACGTTCCTCCTGGAATTTCGATGATAGATAGAGTGCGACAGTGACGATGCGTAAATCAATTGTGAGCCTGCTCTTCGCGGCGGCGACTTCATTTCTACCCCAAGTCGCAGGCCAATCGACATTTCGAAACCCCGTCATCTACGAGGATTTCCCCGACAACGATATATTCGTCGGACCGGACGATGCCTTCTATTTCTCCGCGTCCAACTTCCACTACAGCCCCGGCGCGCCCATCCTGAAGTCCTTTGACTTGGTCAATTGGCAGGTCATCGGGCATTCCATACCAAAACTGGACTTTGGCGATAGGTACGACCTGACGACGAATGAGACAGCATACCGGGGCGGTACCTGGGCGTCTACATTGCGATATCGCAAGAGCAACAAGACTTGGTATTGGATTGGATGCACGAATTTCTACAATTCGTGGGTGTTCACCGCGCCTTCTGTCGAAGGTCCGTGGACGAAGAGCGCACTCATTGGTGGGGGAATCTGTTATTATGACAATGGGTTACTGATCGACGACGACGACACGATGTATGTCGTCTACGGCAACCCACAGGTTAGTGTCGCGCAGCTCGCGAAGGATGGATTAAGCCAGGTTAAGAGCGTCAATGTGCTGAACGCGACACAAGTTGGTGCTGAGTGGATCGAGGGAAACCGTTTCTACAAGATCAATGGCACCTACTACATCCTGAACGACGAGCCTGGGAGCACGACGTACATATGGAAGTCGAAGAGTCCGTGGGGACCGTACGAGGCCAAGATGCTGGTCAAAAACATCAAGACACCGCTCGAAGGCGGCAGCTCGCCGCATCAAGGTAGCATAGTCCAGACGGCCAGAGGTGATTGGTACTACATGTCGTTTACGTGGGCATATCCGTCGGGCAGATTGCCCGTGCTGGCACCTATCAAATGGGGTAGTGATGGCTTCCCATACCTAGTCAATGGCACGAATGGCGGTTGGGGAGAGTCGTACCCGATGCCGCTACCAGCTCGTCCGTTGACGAATTGGACGACTACCTACAAGTTCGACGGAAATGCTCTTCCTCCAACCTTTGAATGGAATCACAATCCGGATAACAGCAAGGTCGCTCTGAAGAATGGCCTGACGCTGTCCACTGCAACCGTCACAGACGATTTTTACCGCGTTCGCAACACTCTCACCCATAGAATCCATGGCGAGTATCCAAGCGGGACAGTGGAGCTTGACTTCTCCAAAATGGCCGATGGGGACCGGGCAGGTTTGGCCGCTTTCCGCGATCGTAGCTCCTACATTGGCATCCACCGAGATGGAGACAAATTCACGCTCAACGCAAAGTTCAATATGACCATGGACGAGTACGGAGGGCCTACGATCGACAATGGCCAGATCGTTGGTACTGCGGAGGTACCGAAGGGATCGAAGAAGATCTGGCTGCGGACGGAGCTCGACGCCAGGCCGAACGGCACCAACGACGCCAAGTTCTTCTACAGCACGGATGGGAAGAAGTTTGTCCAGCTCGGTGGCACGTACAAGCTGTATACTGGATGGGCGTTCTTCCTGGGTTATCGACACGGTATCTTCAATTATGCTACCAAGGCCTTGGGCGGGTCGATCAAGGTTTTATCTTTTACGTCTGCGTAGAGACCAGAGTAAGTGCATGCGAGATACTTAGGTGGTGCGAAACGTGAGCATGGGCCTTTCGTGTTTGGAGTATGTATGTCCGCTGTGTTGTTTCACCTCCGATTGATGGTAAACGTCTCCCCGCATTGTATCATACGTCAACCAAACTTTTCTCCTGTCGAATTGGCCGGACATGGAAGACTGGTAGAGGGCGGCTGCAGACGGGCATAGAGACATCGGAGAACAATGTTGGTTCAGACTCAATTGTACATTTCGACAATGACGTATAGAATCAAGAGATGTGCGATTCCTGTTTACATCGTGGACCCTGAGAATCCATTGAATTCGATGTCCAATCAAGGATCCTAGAAGGATAGATCGAGTGGAGTGCTGGGCACAATTCCTCGTGATCGTACAAACTCGTAAGGTTACTTGGGGATACGAGTGGTGAGATGGCATGTGGTTGTGCAACGGGGCGGAGGGCCTCGGCAAGAAAGAGGTTACGGTAGTCCGGTTTATCCAGTACCGAACGACATCAGCATCACACCACGCTCACCTGTCGAGTCGAAGAGACCCTCATCAGATGACGCTTTCCCACAAAAATTCCATTCCAAACCCGTGTTCAAGGGATGAAGGTTTTGCCGAAGAAGATTGCCGTGCTTTGATGATGTTCTTGTTGCTCTGTTTCGCAATATTCCACAGCTCCGTAGCCTATTCATTTCCTTGTGAGAGAGTGTAGGAGAGACAGAGTTGCCGAAGTTGATGCGCGGCCGAGAAGTAAAGTATCAGTGTCAATGTCAGTGCAGCAACAATAGGAGTAGCAGTAGCAGTAGGAGTAGTAGTGTAGTAGTAGGGCACCAAGTAATTATTATACACAGTAACCAGATGCTGGTGCTTAGTATGGAATTAATCCGATCCTCTCCATTCCCTTCTCGTACGTCACGGCGCCCCCAAACGGCCGTCGCGTGCAACTTTTTCAAGGCAAAGCGGCTTGGATCGGGTCTGAGACACGACAAGACAAGACGCGGAAAAGGCGTCGGGCCTGGGATGGGATAGGATGGATTCCCTAGAATGAGGATTGGGGATGGGCTGTGCAAGGAGATTGGCAGCAGATGCATGATGATGATTGGTGGTGTGACTGCGTCGTACGTATTCAGGTTGTACAGTGTACAGAGGTATAGTAGTTATGGAGTATGCATGTACACAGTAGATTGGTCCGGAGATTGAAGAGAATGGGTGGATTATTGGTGGTATTTGGTGGTTGTACGTTTGGTGTATGCAGGCAAAGTAGCCACCTCCGCATCTCCCCATCACAAGCCATGCCACTTTCACTCCACCAGTCCACCTCCCCCATTACCTGCATAGTAATATCCCAAGCTTACTTACCTGATGTAATGTGATGTCTATAACTTAACTAGTTATGTGTATACTGTACTATAATATCTCCTTCCCTCCCACACCCCCGTCTACATCTACTACAACCACAAACCACTACTACCACTTTGTACTACATCCAACACATTCACTGTACATCACTACTACCTATCCAATCCAATCCAACTCAATAATACCTTCCTCATCCGCGGTAATCATTTACCAGTAGATTAAGCCACACACCTCACACCTCACACACCTCTCTTCATACGAGGTACATTCACACATACTCCACAAACTCCGCACATACATCAACACATCTTACATCTACTGCCGGACCCACCCACACTACAAACAACCAACTTCTACTTAAGACAACCATACACACATCAATCCAACTATACCAATACTTCGATTTCCTTTCCATCGACTACTATTCGACCATTCTACCTCTTACTCCATTCACCATGCCTGCCCGATTCTCTCCTCAACTGTTGTGGCGTCGAGCATTCGCATCGACAACACGTGCCCGAGCTACCATCTCATCACCACTCTCCACCATCCCTTCCACAAACCTCGGTGCCAGCTCCTCCTCCGTACCTAAACTTGGTAAAGTAGGACGATGGTAAGCTATCCCCCTTCTACCTAACCTCCCTCTCCCCATCCTCACCCTCATCACCACATATATGTACATACATATATATACTAACACCGCCCCAAGGTACCTCCCGACTATGGCCCTCATAGCCGCTGGTATGATCTACCTCCCCGCGAACCTCTTCAACAGCACCAGCACCAGCCTCACCTCCACCCTCTCACCGAGCCCAACCCTGGACTCGGCTAATCGCAAAATAGGCTTCGCCATCGCCAACGCCCTGGAAGAGCACAACCACTCCTCCCGCCGGCAGCGGCAGCAACCTCGCGAACTAACCCAGACCGAGAAGAACAGGCTCCTCATGGACGCGTACGGTTCGCGGTCGACGCTCGAGGACATCGAGGCCGCGTTCAGGCAGATTGAGAATGGCACTGCGAGCGTGGTGCCGGATGCGAGTGAGCGGAATAGGAGGTTGCAGGAGGCGTATGGGGGGAGGGAGAGCCTGAGGGATGTGGAGAGGGCGATGCAGGTTTATGAGGTGCAGTGAGCAAGTCCAGTCCTGTGGAGGAGTTTCTTTACGAAAGCGAGCTACCCGGCCTGGGGAGGAGGTCGGAAGGTCGAAAGGGGTTTCGACGGGGACAGAGTCGAGCTCGGTTTCGAGCTTCGACCATCTGATCCTACGGGTTGGAACAGCAGTGGGAAGAAGTGGACGGAAAAAAAGTCCACTCCCCACATGCATGTATCCACCCGGCATAGCATATCATGACCATACCCAGGCCAACGGCCTCGGGAGGAGTTTTTTCCCATCTTCATTTCTTTTGTCATGGGTGTTTTTTTTTTGGGGGGACTGGGAACCAGGAATCGGAGTCCGGGTCAGGGATATCATCATACCAGAACCACTACTCGGTCGTTCTTGGAGTTTCTGTATCGTACCATCATCATCATCATCAGTCGGGATGGGGGGCAGGGCGACTCCCATGAGGAGCGCGAGTGTCACCACCATTACCACTGTTATCATTACTAGCATTAGCCAGCAGAGCAATGTTTCTTAAACACATCAATGACTTGTTCGAAATCTTCTTTTCCATTTTCTTTAAGACTTGTGAATATGTGTTCCTTGAAGATGTGTGTTCAGGGAGGGTATACCATGAAAAACGTCCACCGATTATACCTGCACCTATACATCATGCCCTGCTCTTCAATGCCATCTCGTGTGTACACGTATCATACAGACTAAACTCGACTAAACTCCGACTTGGTTTAGGCAAAGGGAATATTCGTTTCCAAAAACGCCTGTGATATGGGTGAATATGATATGTGATGATGTATGTCCTCATACGTCAATCAATCAGTCAGTCAGGCATCTCCAATCCTTTTGAGATACCTATGCTAGTTCTTCGTACTTGATACTTTAAATTTTCCGCAGATCGTCGTTGTTATCATACGGTCTACTATTGCCTGGCCTCGTCGCTCCTGCAAACATGTCCCAGCCCGGGCTGTGAGCCTCAACAGGACGATACTGCGGAGGACCGAGACGTGCATCTGCATCTGCATCTGCATGACCTCCGGCAGCGCCGTGATACCCAACGTCGTAGTCTTTGAAGGCCGGACTTGGTGGTCCGTATTCCTGACCTGGCGTTGGCGCAGACGGCAGGCTGTCCGGGTCGCCGGGGCGCGAGTACACGTTGAGCGCGCTGTGGGATTCCTGGTATCCGTAGGGGCTGGGCTGGGAGTTGCTCAGCAGGCCTGCGGTGTCGTCTGAATCGTCGTAGCCAGTGCGGCGGCCACCATGCTTTCCGGCCGTAGTTGTAGTGCTGTTAGAAGTAGCAGCAGGATTTCTAGTTGGCCTTGAAAGCTCGGTGGCTTCTTCCCCGTTGCCGGCGAATGTCGGGCCCTGGGGATATCCAGTTCCACCGCCTTCGTTGCTGTTGAGTTTGGTCTGGTACGAGATGTCCTTCTGGCGATGGCGCACGCCGACGAATAACCAGCGCAGTCCGCGGCCGAAGCCCTTGATGATGTCCCAGGGGTTGAATGCGGAGGCGATGGCGCGAAGTGGTCCGTGGGCGTATTTGACCTTGGCGCCGCCTCCTCCGCCGCCCTCGCTAGAGAATCCATCAGATGCGAATCCTTGCTTCCCCAGATCGTACGGCTTCCATGGGAACGCGAAGAGGTGGAGGACTGCGAATATCGACATCTCGAAGCACACCAGCATCGATGGGAGGCCGATTCGCCAGTCCGGCCCGGCGACTTGCTTCGTCGGCTTCAGAGGTCCACTTGACGTCGTCAACAATGAGATGATCCAGCTCTGCCAGAAACAGAAGAAGATGACGAGCTTGATGCAAAGGACCTTGAGGAATGGACGATGCGGCGCCAGGTCCGTCTTCAGCTGGATGTAGAACTGTTCGTTGGAATCAGTATGGGCCTCGTTCTTGTCTCAACATCCCGAACCGTGCACACATACCTGAATCAAGCAGTACATGGCGATCGTAACAGATATCGCATCGAAGGCTGCCACCCAGATATATGCATATCGAGGGTCCTTCGAACTCTGGCAGTAGAGCTCGAATGCCTGGGTTATAACCGCGACGACCGTGAAGAACGGTCGGATAAAGCAGTATTGGAAAATGCTGATCCATACAATCTGCACAAAATTATCATCAGTAAAACCATACATGCGTCTGCAAAGGAACTTGCGACAACGTACATTGAACCACGTCAAGCCACTGCGTGGTTTACGCATGAATCCCTTGTCCTGGCCGCCTGAACATTTCTGCACCCAATTCAATGGCCACACCCAGTTCTTCGGCTCGATCGTCCTGAAGTATTGTTTTTGTTCGTGGAGGGTCGGTGCGATGTAGTTGCACATCAGCGTGAAGAAGCTAGAAATGGCGAATGCTTCATAACAGTCTCGGATAATCTCATAGTAGATGGCGTGTTTGTAGTTGAGGTAGGAGAGGAAAGATACGACGGCGTAGATGGGTATCATAAGCAGAATTCGAATGATGCTGCACTGGTTAGCTCTTTGTCCTTCTACGATAGTCGACATCCTTACTATCTCTGCTCATTCGGTTTCTGGTAATGCGAGGCATGTCGCCAGATGAGAAAGAACGCTACAATGACCGCAATAGATCCGAAAACCGCAGATAATATCAAGCCGAACTGGTGGAATGTAATATTGTGTCCTTCGAATAAGGGCTCATGGCTCACTAGGAGATTGTCAATATTTGAAAGTTGAACCAGCACGGTCTGGTAGATCACGCACCGTGCTCCTTCTCTTGTTCGGCACTCTGGCATTCCCGCTCTGGCAAAGCGCGAGGCCTCAAAGGATTCAGACTCCAGGCATAGCTAGTGTCCATCGTGAAGGTATCGCGAGATCTGGGAAAATCGGGAGGAAGAAGGTGGATTGTGATTGTCGTAGCCCAGATTAATGGAGCGCGACACGGCGTGATCGCACACGATGGTGTACTCTATCTGGAGCTCGCAGCGTTGACATCTGAGACTCCCAGAATCCTAGACTGTGCCTCGATAAGGCGATGAGCTGCGCGGCGTGTATTTGAAGGCTTCGCTGCCGACGGTGTGGCGTGGGTTGTATGTTGAGATGGGAATTCCATCAAGTGCAGGGTCTGAGGGGTGACGACGTGTGGCGGGAGACCAAAGCGTCTCATCCCTGTCCCGACGCGTTCCACTGCCAGAAATCGTCATTTGAAACAAGGAATGGTAGGTCCTCCATCAAAGGTTCGACCATCACTTTCTTCGCATGCAACTTCCTGGCTTTGATGGGTCAGGTCTGCTAGGGATCACCTGTGGACTTTGTAAGAATGCGGAGTATCAGCTCGTCTATCTGCAGGGCACGTCATCAAGCTTTCCCAAGCCCTTGAGGGTCGGCGTTGGCTTGGATGCGGAGAGATTTATTAATAGCCGGCTGAATTGCCACAACTCGTGGCGGTGCCAACATACCAGAACATCACCAAACCTCCAATATATTCAGCTGCTAAAGAGCTGCTTATTGATTGATGTTTGCATGCGAGTACGGAGTACTAGGTTAGTGTAAACAATCCCACACCCCTAGCAAATTATTCGGTACTTGAGGGCTTCTTAAAGAATTGCAGCGCTGTCTTGGGATTGTTAATCATAGGTTGTAGAAATTATCACGAATGTCAGTTATAAACTGTCATACTGTGTACTTAAACTTATTACAGGGTGCTTTAACACTCTGACGATCTAATTGTCTCTACGTTAGTATAAAATATGGTAAGGGTTACAAGGAAGTTTTGTACATAGCTGGCGTAGCTGCTAAAATATGTAGTATATAAACATAGTATAATTATTAATAAAAGCACAGTGAAGCGGATACAGTCTACTTTAAAGTGTTATCAAGAAGTTTAAAAAGAAGAAGTAGAAGTAGATTCAACTAGCTTGTAGGAGGCTTGTGTTGCTAGGTGTCTGCATTATCTTGATAACTGCATGGTCAAGCTTAAAGGTCGTAAACACTCAGACTTGCTGGTGTAAACTTGAGTCTAATGTACTGGTTCCTTAGGATGTTGTTCGGTATGCATGCAGATGAATAGTGTGTAGTCAGTTCGGCGTGAAGTCAGATCGGCTGATCTTGTGAAGGCATTACAGTGCGCTTGACATATATGGGCAGGGATAACAAGATTCATTTTATGGTGCGTGGTATAGTACAATATTGCGGTTGCATTTTCTTGCTGCTATAGTTGAATGGTCTACCTAAGGAAGAATGCTACGGTATAACGATGGCGACGGTTGATGCGAATGATACTATGACATCGGCGTTTACAAGCGCGCGGTTTTCACAAACTTCGATATGTCAGTGTACGGTTTTCGCGATGTGAACGAGTACTAAGAAGGCTTTATGAATGCTAAATCAGACATCCAAGGAAGGTTGAACGCTCATCGACATGTCTATGTAGGGATTACGGCGACAGCTAGCGTGGAAACTGCGAATGTGGAAAAGTTTTCATCATGAAGAAGGATTAAAGAAAGTACGAAATTTTCATCAACTTACATGTGCTGCATGGTAAGGTAGACACGATGTATCTAGAGATAGTGAGGGTAAGCAATCATGATTGACAGACTCATTGAAATCAATATAGATGTAGATAGTATAGCGTTGCCATGATCTGGGCTGTTGTTCTGATGGTGTGTTGAAAAGTTATTGAAGGAAGAAGAGAAGAAGTAGAAAAGAAATGCCAAACGGGAGAAATGCGGCTCGGCGGCATCGGAACCATGGATGACTTCGGCCCGTGCAAGATCTTGTCTTTACCACTCTAGTGTTAGCGACAGGAAGGGAATTAATTAGCTGCCGTCTCCAGTCCCTTATTCCCTTTTTGTCGTCCTCCACTAATATCCAAACTCATCGTCACATCGTATTCGTACAGGACGCAACAAAATGCTCCACTTCTTCATCTATAGAAGGTAACGCGCCTCTACCGAAAAAAATTACTGTGCCTCCTTCCAGTCTTGTTATCTACGACCGATCGATGCACCAGATTAGCAGGTGTATATGCACTTAAGCGCTGCTCAATAGATACCTAGGTTTGCTACTTGGAGTACGAAGACAATGGATTGAATAAGTTCCAATATGGAAGAGACACTGATAACTACATCCAGACATCTTATGCATGGCCGTAGGGAAAGGAGCTCAATGTCTGTTATGCCTGAGCGCTAAAGTCGCCAGATTAAAATGGCATCCCTGTAGCTCAAAACAAACACCCCATCTAATCTTCTTTGAAACGAGATGAGGAGCAGCATCAAATTTCGCAGCGAAACGATCCAAACAAGGAAAGACATAAAGAGGAGTTGCAGCTAAATCCATCAACTGTGGTTTTTGGGTTTTGCACTCGAATACGATAGTCATAGCAGTCATCAGCTAACGATGAATAATTATTTAGCAGCAGTGCGCTTCCGTCATTTGTCCCTTCTGGCCATGTAACTATTTCTCGATATTAGCATCCATATCATCTAGGGGACGAACAGCATAGAGAAGGGTCTAACAATTCATGACGGGGCTTGAGAAAGAAGCTAAGATTGTGTTTCAAGATATGCTCCGCCACAGTAAATGGCTAGCTTGCCCATGTTTACATTTTGCAGGCGCAGCTCTACACCTTCTATTTCAGAGTTCAATCGTCTGATAAGATCCTGTATGGCACGTTCTATGATTGTTCCCCACTTCCACCTGCTGGAAGGCGCCCGGCCGCAGGTTTAGTCGATTTTTCGATACTGGGTTCACCAAAGTAGACGTCTGAGGGAGTGACTTGTACTCACGACTGACTAGGGCCTCTGCTTATATTGGAAATTTTGGTGCACATCATGAAGGTGGGCTTCCGAAGCCAGCCAAATTGGTATATACGTTTCTCCTAAAAGGAACGTAGATCGACATCGTGAAGGAGTATGCTCGTATTGTGAATTATGTCTCCAACCATTTTCTGCAATTCGGGCCGTTGTTCGATTTCACGAAACGATCTTTGAGAATTACAAGCACCCTGATATTTCTTTTAGGCATTCACTCAATCCTACACAGGGATTGAAAGTCAATACGATTGGCAGCAACGACAGGGCGCCGTACTCCTGTAAGGCAGACCTCATCTACGCTAGATTCAGAAATCCCCTGATGTTCTCCCGTTGCTTGTATGTCTCTGCCGACAGACAATGATTCGCCACGCTCTCCATTTGTCACTCCACCCCCACAACCTACTACATGGGTATACAAACAGGCATCTCCATACGAGCGCTGTCCAATTCTCGTTGTCACTGTGGGTTCCATTGCCCAAGCTACACTGCTGTGCTATAATGATACGAGCAATGATACGGGCTTATGGATGAATCGCTGATTGCCCATCGGCGCGTTCCATAGCCCATCATTTAGCTTCGTGCCATGAGGTCTGCCAGGGTCGCATCAGGCTGTTCCTGGCAGATGAGTGTATATAGGTTGATAAATAGTCGATATGATAACTGATGTGCTGTTCTACCGCTCCATAACAATCAGTCACTCGCTTTTGTACTTAATTTCTTGCCGATATATCGCATCACGATGAAGCTCTCTCCGTTTCTCTTTAGTCTTTTCGCACCAGCTGCGCTTGCTTTCTCAACCTGCTTGAACGAGGACTATGACCATGATCCCGTTAACATCACCAACTCCCAGGCAGTAACTGCCGCTAAGCAATTGCATACAAGGGAAACAGCCCAGATCTATGCATACGTCCATGTCCTCGTTTCCGAGGCTCCCAAAGTAGACTATGGCCCAGGTATCAACAACCAATTCGCCTACCTCAACAGACAGTTCAATAAATGGGGATACAACATCAACCTGAGGAAGGTTACCTTTGTGATCCACAAGGAGTGGGCATCAGAGATCAATGTCGACAAAGAGAACAAGATGAGATATCTCCACCGCGGAGATTACCAGACTTTGAACATCTACATGGTTGAGAAGGCCGCTGGCGGAGTATGCTCGCTCCCCCAGAACGACCATATCCCCGTTGAGCAACAAAAGCTCGACTTCGACGGATGCTTCGTCTCTCTTGCAGTCGGAACTTCGTCCACCAGTGCTACCCTTACCCATGAAATCGGCCACTGGCTGGGTCTTCTTCACGTCTTCCAGGGTGGATGCGAGGGCTCTGGAGACGTCTGCAACGATACTGCTCCCCAGAATGGACCTGCGAGCGCCCACCCTGCCACTCCTGGTAACTTGAACACCTGCCCAGCAAAGGAGACGTGCGGTGCTGGGAAGGGACTGCAAAATGTCAAGAACTTTGTGAGTACTTTGAATAACTCTTCCTGTGCTGAGATCTTAACTGATTGTTGTTTTAGATGGATTACTCCGATTGCGCTCAGGAGTTTACAGCTTGCCAGGGAGGCCGTATGCACATTGCCTGGTACTCCCTTCGCCTGAACCGCCAACTTGCTGCCGGTGTTAAGGTTACGTGGTAATAAGCTTTCTCCGTAGATACAGGCGGATGTAGAAGCTTTGGATCCGGCAATCTTATGCAATGTTCTCGTCTTAATTTCCCCCGGTGTACAAACTAGGATGGCGGATTACTGTGGCGCTGCGCCTGACTGAAGAAATGCTACGATTGGACAACACTCTGTTATGAGCGGTGCATATATGGTTTAATTCGGAGGCAGTTGTATATATGAGTTCTTTTTTACATATGTTCATTTCTGGAGTCTCGGTGAGCCCTTACGACATCAATGATCCCATATCTTACATTCTCTATTTTCGCTAGCGTCGCTACACTCAAAACAAGCTTATCTCCATTGGCATATGTCCGCGTCATGAACGATTCGTTCCAACGAAGTTGTTCTACACGACAATTCTCATAGATTTCCCAACAAGTTAGATCTCGGACATAAACGGCGTTGAGCATGGTTGGTCTTGCCATGTGTCTGCGGGGGAAGTAGCTGCTACTACTTTGGTTCGGTACGGCACGACTACATACCTGTGTGACCGCAAACGGATCCCCACTGTTAGAGGGTCTCCATATTTATAAATACCTCGTGAACCTGGGCACACAACAAGCTTCAATTTGTTAAATCGTCTTTGCATCAACCCATTCTCATTCTTATTGGAAACTCCTCACAGACAACAACCGAAAACTCAAACATCATGAGCAACAAGGCAGCTTGGATCACAGAGGCCAAAGGCAACCCTTTGAAGGTTGACGATGCAGAGCTACCGAAAGCCGGACCGAATGAGGTCATCATCAAGAATCATGCTGTGGCGGTCAATCCTGTAGACTGTAACTATTACCATTCCTCGTGTGCAAACATTGGCAACTGTGAACTAACTCTTCTCTCAGGGAAAATCCAGGACTCTGGTAGTGTAACATAGTTAATGAGCAATAGTGCAAACCTACTAACAGAATATTAAGGCTTCTTCCTACAGAAATATCCCAATGTCCTCGGAACGGATGTTGCAGGAGAAGTTCACGAAGTTGGAGAAGGCGTCACACATGTCAAGAAGGGAGACCGAGTCATTGGGTATGTTTGCACTTTATGAATCCATTTAACCAAGAGCCTCTGCTAATGAGGTAAATCTACTAGCCACGCCTTTTCTCTCGTGACGAATGCTCCCAGAAACGGTGGTTTCCAACTCTACTCCGCCATCAACGCAATCGTAGTGTCCAAGATTCCCTCTTCCCTCTCTTATGCATCCGCCGCCGTGCTGCCCCTCGCCATTTCTACTGCAGCGGCATGCCTATTCAAGAAGGAAGCGCTGGCTCTCCCATTGCCAACATCCACGTCCCCCCAGAACACAGGCAAGTCTGTATTGGTATGGGGCGGCTCGAGCTCTGTAGGCGCGACTGCTATCCAGCTGGCAGTCGGCGCAGGCGTCAAAGTCGTCAGTGTTGCCAGCAAGCACAACATCGCCAAATTGAAGGAATTGGGCGCTAGTGACGTATTTGACTACAACTCGCCCACTGTCGCCGATGATGTCATTTCTGCTTTGCAAGGTACGGAGTTTGCTGGTGTCTGTGACTGCATCGGCTCAGAAGATGCTGTTAAGGCATGGACGCCCGTTTTCAAGAAGCTTGGTGGGCAATACGGCTCTGTCAACCCGAGGGTGACTGGTTTGCCCGAGGGAATCACGGGTGCCCCCGTTTTTGCACCTTCAGTTGGTCTGGCAGATCGCTATGTTGGCGAGGCAGTGTGGGCTAAGTATGTCCCCGCAGCCTTGGAAGCGGGCAAATTGCAGGCGAAGCCGGACCCCATTGTTATTGAAGGAGGGCTCGACAAGGTACAATCGGGTCTAGATAAGCTGAGACAGGGCGTCAGCTACGCAAAGGTTGTCATTGCCCTTTAAGATTATCCGTTCGAATTTGTCATAGAGTGGTAGAGGAAGATGTTCCCTTTTTGAATTCTTAACAATCATGATATACAATTAGCTCCAACAATGCAGCTCAATTGAGATACTATACAGTGTTGTCTACAACAACTCCAAATATGCTACAGTGACTCTTACATAATCCGACTACCTCTCAGCCAACATGTTCTTGATTTGGCGCCAGTAGTCGAACTCGACTGCTGATTTGACTTCCTCCTTGGAGAGCCACTTGAAGTCTGCCAGACCCATAGTGTTCTGCTTGAGATCAAGCTGACCGGCCATGATACGAGCCTTCATGAAGAACGTCTTGGAGCCAAGGTTGTTCGGGTTTTTGGCGGTCTTCAGAGTTTCAGGAAGAATGTCGTGCTGGTAGTGGCCAACCGGGGCGTTACCAAGTACCCATGTGTTCATGTTAACACCGCCAGATTGGGTGAGAATACGCTCTGCAGCCTGCATAAAATATTAGCATGACAACATTTAGACATATATGTTTTCACGGTTAAACATACCATGCGCAATGTCTCCCTCTGGACGATAACATCCTGTGGGAGTGTCCATTTGCCATCCTTGCCCTTGACCAGGAGATATAATGTTCTTTGTAGTGCACGGTTTAAGCTTTTGACATCACCCTTCTTGTCAGCCTCAGTTATCCTGGGCATTGGCCGTTCCACCACTTCATGTTCCACCTTTTTCGTGGGTCTCCCGGCTTCTGCAGCAGCAGCATTGGCCTGGGCGTCCGCATTTTCACCCTCTCCAGGTCGCTCAGCACCATGCTCCGCATCTTCTAGTAGTCTCTCCACCTGGTGTTCGAATTCGCTCTCCTGGGCACCAACCAAAAGCTCATCATTCCAAGCCTCCTCGCCATAGCCCTTATATCTTCCAATATCTCTGGCAGGGGTCAATCGCTGCTTTATCTTCCTCTTCCATTCCAGGTCGGCGGGTGTTCGCTTTTTGAAGTAGAAGTATCTCGTGAACGGAAGGGCAAGACGTTCGTTCAGACGGCGTTGGTAGAGGAAAAATGCGGATTCGAAGGGGTGGAGGTCGCGTGTTATTTGAGGCGGGCGAGATAAAAGGACGCCAGCATTCACTGCGTAAGATTGTCCCGGAGAAGTGGCTGTCACTGGGGGGACATTCTGCTGTGTCGCATCCTGGGACTGAGCAGCAGCGGCTGCTGTGGCATAACTGCTACGGGAGATGGAGTCTTTGCATGAGCGGCATACGGAGTTACCTTGGATTGTTAGTTTTTCAATTCGAAAATAATTCAATCAATTCCTCCTACCCGCTTTCGAGGCCAATCGCCTTGTTGTCTGTTGTCCAGCATTCATCTCGGCACCACCGTGGTCGCTATGCTACCTGTATCTCGCGATCATTCACCACAAAAAGTTTCGGGTCGGAGGTGCTGTTTAGCGTTGTCACGTGTGGCGCTAAGCTTCAGGAATCTCATAAAAATCTCCTCCACTCTCTGTTTACAGCTTCTCTTTCTCTACGGCACTATTCCTTATCCCCAGTATATTCGGTTTTCACCATGGAATTCTGGTCATTTACAAGTGCCTAGAGGAAATCTGGGCAGTCTTTTTCGCTAGCGGTACCTTCGATTAAAATCCCAAGGCGTACAGCTAGATAGTACTTGCTCACATGCCTTTGCGCGGCTCTGTCTTGTACATTGCACTCAAAGCATAGCTCTATAGATATTGTGACGGCCTTATAATGGCAATGCGGATTATGTTCGCGCAATGTGATGTTGTCTGCCGATGGGCAAAGTTCGTTGTTCATACAGAACTTGCGAACCGCGTATGTCTTCGGACAGACTGTGGACTCGTTCTTTGTTGTACGGGTGTACGACGCGGTGTCAAAGTGTAAAAACTACAATCATCGCATGAGACACGAATACATTCTAAACAGAACATCATGATACACACCTCCTGCTCAATCACACGTTCTCGTTGATTCCAAGGTCGACTTACGCTGTACCGGTGATAAATTTCGCCGTGCCGAGCGACCTAAACTTTTTGAACGCGTCCCTGTCCCGCGAAGAGCTTCAAGGCGGCACCCAGATACAGATACCCCTCACATACCGCCAACATGTCTCTCACAATACCCAACGCCCCGAACTCTGGCTTGTTCAAGCAGGGCTATCAGAAGTACGACCCATATAAGAATTTACATCCTACTTTCGTCAAGATCTAACCACCCCACAACAGTTATGATGCCGAAGATGGAGCAGTTATTCGTAATATTGACGCTTGCCGCACGATCGCCCAGACCGTTCAGACCTCCCTCGGACCCTATGGACGAAACAAGATTGTCATAAATCATTTGCAAAAAATGATTGTGACTTCGGACGCAGCAACTATATTGCGGGAGCTCGAGGTTGTCCACCCAGCAGCGAAATTGCTTGTGATGGCCAGCCAACAGCAAGAGGCGGAGATGGGCGATGGCACCAACATGGTCATTATCCTCGCAGGAGAGCTTCTGAAGAAGGCCGAGGAACTTATCAGAATGGGCTTGAAGACCAGCGATATCGTCCTTGGATACGAGAAGGCAGCGGCGGCGGCACAGACTTTCTTGGAGGGTATGTGGGATGAGACACAAATGGAGGCTATAACTTATAACTGACAATATGGTGTAGAATTGGTATGTGATAAGGTGGAGGACATCCGGTCCCAAGAAGAGCTCAGCAAAGCCATCCGCACCGTTGTAGCAGCCAAGCAGTGTGGCAGCGAAGACTTCCTCTCCAATCTTGTTGCAGAAGCCGTCCTTGCGGTTCTCCCCAAGAACCCGGTAAACTTCAATGTTGACAACATCCGAGTAGTCAAGATCATGGGTGGCGGTTTGGAGCAGAGCAAGGTCGTCAGGGGCATGGTTTTCCCAAGAGAACCAGAGGGCACCATCAAGAAAGCAACTAAGGCCAAGGTCGCAGTCTTCTCATGCCCGATCGACATTTCACAGACGGAGACCAAGGGAACGGTCCTACTTCACAACGCCAAGGAGATGCTTGACTTCACAAAGGGAGAGGAGAACCAGATCGAGACCATCATCAAGGAGCTCCACGACTCTGGCCTTAGGGTAATTGTTGCAGGATCAACTATCGGCGAACTAGCACAACATTACCTCAACCGCTACAACATCCTCGTCATCAAGATTCTCTCTAAATTCGAACTCCGCCGGTTATGCAGAGTCGTCGGCGCCACACCGCTTGCCCGCCTCGGAGCACCCATGCCAGATGAGATGGGCAGCATCGACGTTGTTGAGACTTTGGAGATCGGCGGCGACCGTGTCACCGTCTTCAGGCAAGAGAACGAGCAGACCCGCACAGCGACCCTCGTCCTCCGAGGAGCCACCCAGAACCACCTCGATGACGTCGAGCGTGCCATCGACGACGGTGTCAACGTCGTCAAGGCCATCACCAGAGACGCCCGCCTTGTGCCCGGTGCAGGCGCCACCGAGATGCAAATCATCGAGCGCATTACCAATCTTGCCGATAAGACTCCTGGTCTCTCTCAATACTCCATAAGGAAGTACGGCGAGGCTTTCGAAGTCATCCCACGAACACTCGCCGAGAGCGCCGGACTCGACGCCACCGAGGTTCTCAGCAGACTATACACCGCCCACGCCGCACAGAAGGGCCGCAAGGACGACGAGTGGAGCGTCGGTGTCGACATTGAGAACGATGACAACACGGGCACCCTCGACGCAAAGGCTGAAGGCATCCTCGACCTCTGGGTCAGCAAGAGCTGGGCCGTTAAGCTTGCCACGGACGCTGCCAGGACGGTGCTCAGCGTCGACCAGATCATTGTCGCCAGGCAAGCAGGTGGACCCAAGATGCCCGGAAAGGCCCAGCAGGGTAACTGGGACAACGATGACTAGACGATTCACTGCGCCATGGAACAATGTATCATGAGATAAATAGCACTCATAAAAATATTAGACCACAAACAGAGCTGATTTGAGGTTTTATATAATAACCTTGAGCTGTACAAGACTTTTCTTCTGCTGACTCCCCACGCTGCTGTTGCTGCTGCTGCTATGTAGACAAAAGTGAGAAATCTAGCCCGCATTGGAGTGTTTCCTTTGAGTCGCAGTAATCCCTGCGCCAAAAGTTGGTTTAAGTCATATTGATATTACAAAGGAGCTTCTGCCGGCATCCGACAAAGGGTATCAGTCTGCCCCTTTCCATTCCCTGTCCCGATACCTGGGTACGATCTGGTTCCTATAACGCCGCCTACCACCCGAAAAAGAAAAAAGTCGCAGATTTGGTAGGATGCGATGATTCTACCCAAAACCGTACATCATTTCTTCATCCAAGCTTCTCCAAAAGCTTCCTCCTTCGTCGTTCCAGTAACTCCTGGTCGACTTCCTCGAGACTGGGTAACCTCCAAGCTACGCCATCTCCAGCGTCCCCAGGTATCTCGATCCACTCCTTGCCAGCCTTCACCACCGCGCCATCAGCGACCTCATCATCAAGCATCATGAAGTTATCCCACGCTTCCTTCTCTTTCGCGCGCTCGTACGCCAAAAGCGCACCATCCTCCTCATCCAAATTATACCCATAATACGCCGCATCGACCTTCTGCCTCAACTCGCTCCTCTTCTCCCTATTCTCATCCTTCTCGTCCTCGGGCCTAACCTGCCTCTCAAAAAGCTCCTTCACACCCGGCAACTCCCTCGCGCGGCCAAAATACCTATACCCCTTCCCTCCACCAGGCACCTCCCTACCGTCCTCATCCAGCACCCTCCCGCCGCGCATGTAGTTGGGGCCCCCGAGGCTGCGGATCTGGTGCTCCCACATGTGCTTCTCGCGCATCAGCTTGTTGATCTCGTCGTTGAGGTCGCGGATCTGGAAGTCCGACAGCGCGTCGTCTTGGATCTTGGTCACCTTGCGCGAGATCTCCTTGAGCACCTGCGACCGCCACTTCTCGCATGTTGGGATGGACGTGATGGAGGTTATGAGCTTGGGCCGTCGTGCGCGCGATATGTCGATGATGCCCGCTTCTGCGGCTTGCTGCGCGCGGAAGCGGAAGAGCATCGAGTGCGCTTTTTCGGAGTTGCGCGCCATGATTGCGGTGGTGTGACTGTGGGTTGTGGATGGAAGGTTGGATCGAGATGGTGATGATGGGGCTGGTGGTCTAGGGTTTGCGCTCCTTTTGGTGTGTAACGGATTGTTCGGGAGGGATGGTTTGCTGTCTTGTGCTTCTTGTGTCGGGGGTTGAGTGTAAGGAGATTAGGCAGAGGCACGTAGAGGCCGTGGGTCGGATGGTGGTGAAAAAGCGATCTAATTAAAGCAAAAGCTGCCTGCAGACTAGGGAAAACCGTGGAAAGAAATGTTTATGCTCGGTGCGCGCAGTGGCGATGGTGGGTTAGAAAAGTGAAGAAGCTTCTCGGACGCGTTGGATGGGAAGGAAAGTTTGGTCTTGGTGTTTTGGGACGAGCGTCTCAAGGCGGTGGCAGAACGGCGCTTGGCGATGTCACTGTTTCGCAACCCCATGGCCCCATGCAGCCAGCCCTGCATATGCTAAATGAAGGTTTCAGGGATAGTGAAATTGGTTTCTGGTAAGGGGATGAGGTGTTCATGCATTTTGTATGACTGTTCTTTTCATCACGAAGTATCAGCAGGGCCTCTGACTTGCAATTTAGATCTTTTCTTTTCATTAAAGGCAGTACTTAAGCTAGATCAGTGGCTTTCCTAATCCGGCGAACGAAGACATTACACAGCTATGGAGTGGTTCTCCTCCAAAAGAAAAATATGCTTAGTGAGCGACTGACTGAAGGAGAGGGTGGAGAGAAGAGAGTACCGCCGATGTGGATATTATTGTGTCGAGGATAAGGTTATTAGATGAAGAAAGGCAGATAACGGAAGTTGTCATCAGGCGCAGAGCTTTTCTGCCGTGTCATCTCAGTGTACCAATGCCATCACGTATTTACACAGCTGGCAATTCGATGATCCAACGTGTCCGTGCCAAACGCCGAGCCCAGTTGTTATCCAAGCTGAGTGTCCTCATCCTATGACCCAAATCAAGAAACAATGTCCAAGGAGAACCGTGGTTGAAGGTGACATAGGAAAATGAATATTTCGGAAGTTATACACGCTTGCGATTGTATGAAAAGGGTTTGCGAGTCAGTTGACTATGTGAGCACCGTGGTGCAAAAAGGTGATATGAAAAGGGAAGTGAAATAGATCAATGGCCGGCGGCCGATCTTATTATGTCAGGTTCGTTTGAAGGTCAAGCCTCGCCATGATGATCTTGTCGAGTGCTGGTTCGTGATTGTGACCGAGAGTTCATGGACGCAGTCAGCGAAGCGCGTGTGAAAGAACTGTGGCGAGCCTTTAGCGTGTGGAGGTGGCCGACATCATGCTTGCCATCACAGCAGGCTCTAACATTGATCAACTGATCTTCCTGCATGCTCTGCTCGGCCATTTGCTCGGCCATATCTAGCCTAGAGTCACGCTCAGGCTGTTCATATGTGGCAACGCCGTTAGTCCTGCTCCTTCGGCTTGAGAATGAATCTCGGAATTTTCCACTCAGGCTGCTCAGACGTCCAGACGGGCGTTCTTGGCCTGGTTCGGTCGATGCAGCTCGTTGCTGCGATGCGGACGCAGGACGAAGTGTAGGTATCTGTGCATGGTGTGGCGATGTAGGGCGTCTGCTGTAATGCGAGGACATGGATGCTTTTGACCGACCAGTTTGGCGAGACATACTTCGGAAGGTAGGGTTGAACTCATTTTGAATTTCATCAGTACCCGCATGTTGCTCGTTTTGTCCCTCATCTACTCTCATCAGAAGATAAGAGAGTGCATTGAACCAAGTCTCATGACGCTGGCTGGTTGTGGCGGTGAACTGGATGCTGCGACCAGGGGTGTGCACAACAAGACTCTTGCGGTGTAGACCCGGGGGATAGGGATTGTCATCTGTGACGACTTCGACCGCCATTATCGCCACGCTCTTGGCTTTCAATTGAGCTCTTCCAGCACTGGCTGGATCCTGCTCGCTCCAGTACAGGGTGCGAGTGTAAGGATGAACCCAGAAGAAACGACGGTGGCGCTTTTCGGACATGTTGCCACTGCCAGCCTTCCGGGTGTATTTCCAGAGGAATTCTCCAATCATGGTCTGTGTGATAGCTTGGATCATTCGCGGGTCTGTAGTCTGAGGGTCGAATGCACTTGTAGCTAATGGGTTCGCGTGCGGTTGGAACCTCTGTTCGACTTCTGAAGTGAAGGACGACATGGATGAGCGATGTGTTATTGCAGGAGACGAAGCGCCGCTTCTGCCAGTGTCTCCACGCTGAGTTGCATAACGAGGACGAGGTGTCGTACCGCCCGTCTTGGGGGTAGCAGGTAAATTCGTCTTCAGCGTAGGTGTCTGCGGACGTTTCTTATACGCGGACGCAGGCATTCCTGGCGGGCCCATGCTTCCGGAAGATGTTGGCGGTGTCACTGCTCTTGAAGGTACTTTAAGGGCTGCAGCGGCAATGACTTCCCTGTGATCAGCTGGCAAAGGCGGTGCGTCGCCGATGCGAGAGCGTATGCTGGATGAGCTTCCAGGGCGTCTGGGAACTCTTTGTTCGTTGGAGTTGCGTCTTGGAGAGGCCGGCGGGGACATTGTCCTTTCAATTGCCGCTCCAGCGATGGTAGAATTCCGTTGGCTCACTCTAAGAGCGAACAATTTCTCCATCTGTTCTGCGGATACCATGGTTTGAGTACCTTCGTCAGCCACGGACAGGTGAGGTTTAGTAGAGGAAGTATCGCGGTCTTGCGAAGTAGCATTGGCAGATATCGGACTGAGTGGTGCTCGGGTGCCACGAGCCTCGTTTGCCGTGTTCTCGGGTACCGAAGGCACAGAACCGAAATACCCACTCGATTCAGAAGCAGACTGCCCAGCATTGAAGGCAGCTAGTACTGGAGGAACGGATCGGTGTGCAGTGGTCGGCCTGGACTGCGTTTCAGGTGTTGTTTCTTGTGCATGGACATTTGAGTACGACAGGCCATGTGGCACGTCTCGGTTCGCCGTCGATGGCCTGCTTGGGCTGGGAAGGAAGGCAGGAAGAGTAGGCGATTCAGGCTGGGTATTTTGAAGAACCATCACGTTCGAAAACCTGTTTTGTACTTGTGGCTGTTGGATAGGTATGGTTTGCTGCACCGAAAGCGCAGAGAATTGAGGAAGCGGGCGTCTTGGTGGTTCAACGGGCCTGGTGGCCTGTGACGTCTGGATCGAAATACGCGAAGGTGCGGGTTTGGGAGGTTCAACTGGCTCCGTGAACTGGCTGGAAAGTGCAGATAGCTTGGGGTGAGCCGGCCTTGCGACTTCGATCGGCTCTGTGTACAGGCTGGAGACAGCTGCTAGTTGGTTTTTGGGCGGCTTAGCAGCCTCAATTGGCTCAGTGAACAAAGTTGAGTGCACTGAAAGTTGAGATTGAGGTGGGAGAGCAGCCTCAACAGGCTCAGTTGCCTGGTGAGAAATAACAGAGAGTTGAGGTGCAGCAGGCTTGGGTGCATCAAATGGCTCGCTATCGTACGAGGAAGTGACAGTAGACTTCGAGAGTTGAGGACGCGGCACAGCCTCGGAGGGATCTGTAGCGTATGAGGACGATATTGCAGATCTCGAAAGGGACGGTCGCGATGGCTCATGAGGCAGGGACGCCTGTGATGAAAGCGAAGATAACTGCAGAGGAACCCCGCGTTGCTCTTCGATTATTTCTGTGGAATCGATGGATCGGTCATGATGGATCGCTGCCGCAACATTTGCATTGGATGTTGTAGCTTCCAAAGGCTCCGTACCTTGAGCAGCAACTGAAGACAGCAGCGTATTTGATGGTAGAGCTGGCACTGTTGGCTCGACTGGGTCGGTTCCCTGGTGAGAGATCGTTGAGACGTTCAAGGACGGGGGAACAATCGTCTCAACGACCGGTGAAAGCGGATCAGTGCCCTGTGACGAGAGCGTGGAAACCTTCAATGACGGAGGTACAGGGAACACAGGGGCAGTGTCTTGTGATGACAGCTGTGATAGATGAAGAGGTCGATCAGCGTCCTTAGGCTCCGTGTCCTGCGTTGAAACTTGGGACAAGTGGAGTGGTCGGTGTGGTGCCACGGGTGAAGTACCCTGCGCGGTCAACGAAGACTTCGCTAGGGTGGGCGGCGTGGGAATATCAGGCGTTGTGTCCTGCGCAGAGAACGATGAGATCTCAAGCATAGCTTGCTCCGGAATGACAGGTACAGTATCATTGGTAGAGAATGACGAGATCTGCAGTGTGGGACGTGGAGGAGATACGGGGACGGTATCTTGCGAGGAGAATTGAGACACTCCCAAAGATTGGGGCACTGGAGACTGTGGCTGCGTATGCTGGGTAGCGAGTGTAGAGACACTTAGGAACTTGGCCATAAGTGATCCCCAAGGGTCCGTCATGACTCCCGAGTCAACCATTTCAATTCTGGTTGACGATGAATCGGATGTAAGAGGCGATCGGCTCCTTACAGATCTGCGTGAAGTATCGGGCGAAGACTCAGGAGATAGCAACAGAGATCGACTTGGGGTACCATCAGCAACGCTTCCATCCTCACTCTCCCCACTAAGGTTGCCGAGTTCAGCAAACAGGCTCTTGCCCTGGGCTGGAGTGCTGTTTCTGCTGTCGCTGATGAAACTGGCGGGCGAGTCCTTCAAGCCTGGAGGGGTGTCTGCGAAGAGGTCCTGGCTCGATCGAGGAGTACCTAATTTACGGCCAGCAGGTTGTCGGAACTTCATCTTGTAACGTTGCTGCTGAGATTGGCTCGGCGTTTTGTAGCTTAGGTCCTCTTCGTCGGCAGATGTCGAGGCAGTGCTTTGAATTGAATTCTGTCGACCGACCCTGCCAATAGTGGTGGGCCTCCTGATGCGAACAGTACCTGACGGTCCAGCTTCAGTCTCGGTGAGATCGTCTGAGCTGTCGCCGTCAAGCGTCTCCGCTCCCGTCTGGAAAGCATCGGTTTCTGTCGTGGTTCCATCGCGTTCGTTGGCAGTCTCGAAAGCATCCGAGGTTTCATTGGCGGTCTCGAATGCATCTGTGCCAGATTCGGCGGCAGAGCTGAAGCCACTTGGGAATGCTCCTGGGACGGGCTCGGCGCCCCTTGGTTTGCGGCTAGGAGTCTGTTGATGCCCATCATGCTCTTCCCACTCCTCATCATCGATGACTTCATGGCTATCGGTACGCAGAGCTCCGAGACGGTCTGGTCGCGCAGGCTTCTTGAATACGTCTTTATCGTTCTTGCGACGTTTGCTGGCACTTCCTGGACCGTTGAGTGCGCTGCGGTTAGTTTCCAGCTCATCTCGAGCATCCTGAAGCATACGTTTCAATTCTATCTTCTCTGTCTTTTCACGATGGATGTTGTTCTTCAGCTGCTGGATCATACGATGAGCATGGTGAAGCGAATGCTTCAAGGTCTCGGACTCCAGCTGTCCATGTCGCGGGGTAGCCTTGCTTGGTGAAGGGGGTGGAGAATGTTCTGGAGTAATTGTGTCACCTTCCTCGGCACCGTCATCCGCAGACCCTTCATCAGCTGTTGACAGATCTTCGTTCCTCACACGATATGCTACTGCTCTTGCCAGGTCTTGATTCTGAGTGGCGAGTTCTTCTAATTTACGTTGAAGGGCACCTCGTTCGGTCTCTCCCATACTGACGTTTCGTCGAAGACCAGACAGTTCTGTCTCATGGTGTTTGGCAGAGAATACATGATCATTCTGTAATTTGGCATAGAGTTGTTTCACTTCCTCTACTTCACGTTCCAGAGCAGCTTTCTCAGTCCTGGCTTGGTTCAGAGTATGGTTCAAACGATGCTCCTTGTCAGCGGACGCCTTGCTCTGGGCCTCGAATTCTCGGACTTGGGTTTCCAGATTCCAATTGACGTCTTTTAGCCGTGATTCACTTTCGTCTAAAGTCCGCAGTCTCTGGGAGAGACCCTCCACTTCAACCTCTAGCTGCGATCTGTCTAGATCAACAGCCTTAAGCGCCTCTTCTTTCTCGAGGAGCACAGCCTGTAGATCTCTCAGCTGAGAGAGCAACGAGGTAGATATTTCGGTGGCAAGGGCGATGTCGTTCACGCGGCTTGGCTGCTGGTTTCTCTGTTTCCGCGAAGGAACGCTGACTTTGGTGGGAGAATGTTGAGCCTCACTGGAGTACACAGAAGCACCAACTGTGCTGTCTGGTGCCTCCCCACTTGAGACACGGGACTTGGGGAGAAAGGTTCTCGCAGTTTCCCGACCAACCTCGTGGAACTCCTTTTCGAGCTCGGCGAGCCTCTGGCGCAGCTCTGGACCGATATCGTTGTCTTCATGCTGTTTCTCCACTTCCTTCAGTCTCTCCTCCAACTCCTTTCGTTGCTGCACGAGAGCATTGCCGAGCTGGGACGTTTCCTGCAGCCTGCGTGTGGTTTCCGAAAGGTGGGCTTGCAATGCGCGCCTGGCCTGCTCGGGAGACCCGTCCAGGTAGAGAGAGAATTGGGAAGCATCGAAAGCGGAATAACGCTGCCTCTGCGTATCTTGTGTAGTTGTAAGGAAAGGGTCGGATCCGTTGTTCTCGTCCGCAGCGAATGCGCCTGAGGGATTCTTCAGAGTGGTCGCCATCTTCGTCGGTGGCTCGCTAGATCAACAACCCATAACACAATGTCCAAAATATGATCCGATCTGAATGATTAGGGATGGATGCGTAAATGCCGAGGTGGATGGGTGAATTATGTGGTGAGAGTAGAATCACCGTGCTTTCGTCGACAATCTAGGCAGGTGTGCAGAACGGAGGCGCAGAAGCGAAATAAGGGAGGATCAAGAAGTATTACTATAGGGCAAAAAAGGCAAAAAGGACCAGGTCTGAAGGAAAGACAATGAATGAGATGCAGGCAAGCAGTGATGGAAAGGACGTCGGATGTGGCCTGAGCGATGCGCAACTTGCAAGAGATGCGTTCGGGATCTCCAGCTGGATGATGGCCGATGGGGCGGCGGTTCGCAGATGTTGGGGAGGGGAGTCCGGGATGCTCGAACGCGTTTGCGTCACGCCTGAATGACGAAACGACAGCGCATCCCCAGGACAGCGCTCGACGGAGGAAGAGATGAGAGAGTGACGAAGAAAAGGGCAAGGAAGATGGTAGAGAGACAAAGAGACGGAGGCAGAAGCAAGAGACAGCAGCGGCAGCAAGAAGAGCGAGCGAGATTATTGGGAACGTGTGTTGTTTTGCATGGAAGAGAGAGAGAAATCAGGGTCTGTGCGCTTCCGCGACCAAGGGCATTGAATGATTCAACTTGTCGCCCTAGACGGCTTCATTAAACTACCAGCTGGGCAGAGCAATTGGTCCACAGCAGCCACACTCGTCGACCTATCCATGGCGCTACATGAGACGGTTTTAGACAACACCAAACATAAACAGATGATGTATTTTCGTCATTGATGTTTTCAGGCTGCAATTGGACGGATGACGCGGTGGTGCACGCTGAGAGAACGGAGAGCGCGACGACCCCACTAACAGTTCTACCGTTACCGTGTTGGTAATTTAAGGATATACAAACAAACATCAAAAAGGGGTATGGTTGAGCGCCCAGTTGGTCCATAAGCAGACTGGAACATGTATTGTGTAGTTTAGTATTACTTGTAAATCAGTACGCGACTCCACTGGCGTGCTGAAAAACCTGGCATTCAGCTTCAGATGGATCGCTTGTAATTATCGGACAGTGAGTCTCTTCATGACTGTTGCTGTCATGCATGTCATGTCATGTCATGTCGCCAGATGAACAAAACAAAACGATACGAGTCATCTTGCCTAACGACCAGGTCTCCACCAATCCCGATGGGCTATCTTCGCCATTCATCACGTGACCATTACAATTCGTATTTCTCAGCCACCGTCTTGGCGAGAACTTTCCATAGGATCGACGTCAACCTTCAAAAAGTGCTCCCGTACTCCACATTCAAGACACTCTCCACATCTCCAATTCACACAAATGGACGGCCCCGTCGTAACATTCAAGAAACGCGCACCAAAGGGCGTCGCTCGCAAGGCCGCACCTCCACCTCCGACCAACAGTTCAGACTCGTCCTCCGGTTCCGACAGTGATGGCGATGATGGCCGTGTTGTGAAGAAGCGGAAGATCCAAGGCAATGCTCTCAAAGCATCCACAGCAAACCAAAAGAACGCCACCGCCGCCGACTTGGGCACCACCAAATACGAAGCAGACCGAAGCGCAGTCATTGAAGCCAGCAGCGATGCGACAAAACAATCAAACTGGTACGAAGAGAACGCCAACGACACATTGAGCTCGAAGAACCTGCTCGGCACCACGCGCTCGACGAAACCTACCAACTCGCTGATCGAGACAAAACCCGATGCGCCAAAGCGCCAAGTTGGGCCGATGAAGTCCTCGTCCAACGTCCGAACGGTCACATTCACAGACTATGCGCCGGACGTGTGTAAGGATTACAAACAAACTGGATTCTGCGGTTTCGGCGACAGCTGCAAGTTTCTGCACGCCCGCGAGGACTACGCGGCAGGATGGAAGTTGGACCGAGATTGGGAGCTCTCCAACAAGGGCAAGCAACCGGGGGGAACGGTCGTGGCGTCGGCGAACAGGGACGCCAAACAGAAAGAGGACGAGTTCGATGCCGCGCTGTTGGACAAGATTCCTTTCGCCTGCATCATCTGCAAGAATTCGTATAAGACTCCTATCGTGACCAAGTGTGGTCACTATTTCTGCGAGTCTTGCGCTCTGAAGCGGTATCGCAAGGACCCGACGTGTGCTGCATGCAACGAGAAGACAAATGGGATATTCAACACCGCAAAAAATCTACGAAGGCTGCTCGAAAAGAAACAGAAGTATGAGGACAAGAAGAAGGCCGAAGAAGAGGAAAAGAAGAAACAGGAGGAAGCAGACGCCGCCGCCTAAGATAACTCCGAGATTGACGCATCTCATACACCGACAGTATTTGACGAATACTACACGGCCCATGCATTGGGATAACACCCATGCTGCGAGAAATGGAGGCAATCTTGCTTCGAAGCCCTGGATTTAACGACTCCAGCATCAGGTCTCAAAGCATAGCCAATCGTATGCAGGTTCCCACAACACCCTGCATTTCCGGCTGGCGCAACATCACCGACTTCTTGCACATGTCGAAGAACAAACTTCGTACATATCCCAAGCAAGTTCAGCCTAGAGAATAGAAGACCCCAATCTGCACGTCTAGCGATATTCTTGTCCAGACAAGACATCTATATCGGAATCATACCCTTAGCGCCTGGACAATAAACCACACTCTCACATATACCCAGCATCCATCACCAGCCTGTACAATAGCGACCTAACCCTAGCGCATAATCCAATCAAACAGATACCAAACCACCCACATAGTGGAGAAGAAGAAAAAACTTTCCTCTTCTGTAATCCCGTCTCTTATTCTAGCTCTTTTCTTTCCCGTCTGCCAACGTGGGCGCCGCGTGCCGATTGTGACCCACCCTGGAAATCTTAGCGCGAGAGTTTCTAGGGTCCGCTAGTGTGTGGTTTAGTTTGTGAGGTATGGATCGGAGGTGTGAATGAGGTGGCGTGGCGTTGGATATGTTAACACGGTGATAGTATTTGTGTATAATATGTGTTACTACTGCTGGTACTGGGATAGAAAGTTGGTTTAGATCTATAGACAATTGATCGTATAATCAAAAATCTTCCTCACTACCTCCTAATATATAGTACACGGATGAAGAAACAGCAGAGCTGTATCTATACGCTATATTTTTTCTTGTACCTACCTAGGTAAATTATCTGTATCGTATGAAGAAGACCTATTCCTATTACATCTTTCTCCTGCCTTCCCGGTATCTATGTTTCATGATCTTTGTTCACTGGAGGATATTTTGATGGCTTAGGGTTGTTTCTCGGTTTGTTGTTCGATTCGAAGGGCGATTTGCTGCTGGATCTGCTGCTCCACTTGATGGTCGATTTGTTGCTCGGTTGGGAGGTCGGTGTGTTGGTTGGGGTGCCGGTCAATTTGATGGTCAGGTTGTTGCTCGACATTTTGCTCAGGTTGTCCCTCAGATTGCTGCTCAGTCTTAAGTTGACCCAACCTATGAGCTTCTGCTAGAGCCTTTGAACTAATAGATATACGCTCTTTGGAAAATATAGCTAGAACCCAATCAGCAAGACTCCAATGTGATCTTCATCCTGCCCACACCCTTATATACCCCATGATACAAAATCGTCCCGGTTGGGTCATACTCTAAACACTCTCGAGCTGCTGCTTTGAACTCCAGCATCTATCTTGCGTTAGTGCCTAGTTATCTTGTGGAGTCGGGGACTTGTGTACTAGGGGGTGGTTCATGATTTCTTCTTCCGTTAATGGGGGTTTGTGTTCTGACATGTTGGGATGTAGTATTGTTAAGTAGATCAGGACGGTGTTACTTAAGAGGTCTTCTTGATTCAAGGTGAATTCACTTGAGCGGAGACATCTGCCATGTGGGGTTATGTAACCAACATGCAATTGTAGTTACACAGGTGCTTAATAGCGGAACCTATATTGAGAGGACATTTTTAATGGAATCGACTGTTGGCGAGGAGATAGATGGTCTTCTAGTCTCGATTGGCCCGCCAACAGTCTACTTTCAGACGGTGTAACAGAGTAACGATGACTGGTCTCCGTTGAGCAACTTGGTTTGCAACGACGGAGGATAAGCAATTCCTCACATAGATAGATTATGAGAGGGTAGAATAAGGGTGGCTGAATGAGCGAGCTCTGATGTCAGTGCAATAATGTCTCATATCACTGGGTTTAAGGGGCATCGAGGTTCAAGTGTAGATAATCTTGGAAGGTAGACAATTTGACGCGGTAGCCCTCGAAATGAGTATATACGGAGATAGTAGCCTACGAAATGGATACCTAATTACCCACTGGCGGGGCGGGCCGTTATATTGATCGCGACAATCAATGGACAGTCTGGCTGATGAATAGAATTTGTTCGAACAGATATGCGACGACCGAGTTAGAAGATTATACACACATACACACTACACACATACTTACAATCTTGCATTCATGGGTAGACGAGAAGAAGGATTCACAGACGGTCCGATAGATTGCTGGAAAGGGAAAATGCAGATCGGTGCAGATAAGTGTGCGGGTGTGCACCCATTGTGCATATGCATCGCATGGTGGGTTCGGATAGCCGCATTAGGGAACTCGGTGATCAACCGCCCCCTCGCTCGTCGTCATCTTGTTGCTTCATTTGGTAGGTTGAGGTATTGGGACAATGTGTGCTGGGTGGGTGTTTTGTTTGAATTGTTGGGATGAATCAGATGCATTGGATTGGATATGACTGGATTGAAAGGGATTTTAGCATGTGAAGTGAGGATGATGAATGAATGAATGAATGAATTGGAGGGGAGGGTGAGGTGGAGAATGGTGGGAAGATTTAGCCGCTGCAGACACAACAGTTGTCGGTGGACTCGAACATAATGGCATACGTGGGAGGTGATGGATGACTGCAGGAAAACTTCATGTTGTACGGTGCACCGAGTTCAATGATAGCGGAATTGATAATTCATGTGTATAACTTGGTGAAGGGGTATAGATTCCTCCCATGTATCTGTCTGGTGTGTTGTATCATTGTATGTAATGTTCAATTGGTGAGACGATTAAGGATGGAGCTAAAACCCTAACAAGGTCGAGTAAAAGTGGATATTTTTGAGAGAGTCTAGAAAGTCTAGAAAGGTCCATTCCGTTGCCTATCTGTGAGTTTTACCTTGTTCTGCCTGGTTGGCATACTGTGAACTGTGATGGTAATCCTGAACTGACCCCACTGTGTCCCGCCGTGGCCGTTCTTCCCTCCTGCTTCTGGTTTGGCGTGAGAATCAATCATCCATCCTCTCCCCCTCCATGATCCCTCCGTGATCCATCCGTGATCCATTCATCCCATGAAATAATTAATATTGTCCTTCTTAACCTTCCTAACTTGCTTCATCACGGTAACGGATGATAGGTTACGTTCCACCTTGCTACTCGTATACATACTTAGCATCACTAGTAACTCATCTAGTACCTTTTAGCAGCTTCCACAGCCTTTCACACCGTTTGTGTCCACTGCACTGCGTGACTGCGTCCGAGTACTCGACTTGTAACTTCTAGTTCTGCCCCTCGACGCTTCCGCTCCGCTTCCGCTTCCAGTCCCATCCCATCCCATCCCACTCTAACTATACCGGCGGTACCACACTATTCTTGTCTCCTCCCTCCTCTTGTGAGCAGCAGAGTTTTAGGCTCATCACTTAATCAATCTTTTCTTGACTCAAAATCACACATCATTGCTTACTTACTATTATCCCTTCCTCAATCACAACACCTCCCTTTCTTTCATACTCCCTTCCTCCCCCCGTCGACCACGAGTTCGTTGATCGACCCCAAATTACGGAGTACTTCCACCACCACCACCACTACCACCACCCCTCGCCTGCACCACATTTCAACGGTCTAGCACCGAGAAAGGTAGTCTTCACAAGCTACCTCCGTCCGGACCCGCAATATTTGTCCACCTTTTTCTTCCTCTCAGCTGTTAACTACCGCTGTCCGCTGTCGCGCAATCGCCTCTCGTACCCATCCAATCTACCTAGGTCCTAGGCCTAGGTACCACGCAGCTCTCGAGGGACAAGCCACACCTGGTCGAGTCCGGTGACCTCCATCCTTCACCAATCGCACTCCGCCTTTCCGAATGCGTCAATCGCGACAACGAGGTACTTTACCCACCAGCAACATTCACCTCCCCCAAACGGTAGCCTAGCTTCCGCTCTCAATTATGAGGACTGACACCACTGCTCCCAGCTGTCCCCCACTCCTTCCCCTTGAAGGACCGCTACCACGGATACCGCGACTTGCCTGTACCACCCTCCATAACCTGACACTCCCGCACCGCAATCGCCGCCTCCGGGAGCCCGTGACGTCGTCACCTGCCATCAATGCCGTATACTACACCCGACCACTCGCCGCAGACGTACCTGCACCATGACCCGTCTCTGGCCGGGCCTCCAGAATTCTCGCCAGAGCAATTGGAATCCTTGACTCGCAGTATCGAGCGCAAGCAGCAGAAACTCGAGCAAGACATCAAGCAATACATCCAGGGCAAGCAGGTAGAGCTCAAGAACTACGAGCAAGAGGTAAACGCGCCTTCGCATCCTGCAGGCTTCATTCAGAACAGAAATCGCTGACCGGACCAGCTGCTAGCAGAACATCGCTCCAAGCAACGCCCTCCGCCGCGGAATGCCGACAGCTCTAGCCAGAATTCCTCGTCAAGTGTTTCCGTGACCTCGTCCTCCACTGAGCCTACCGAGACATCCCCGGAATCGACCACGCTTGGACCGGTAGAAAAGGCTAAACGCAACAAGCACACACGTGTTCATAAACGCGAGAAAGAGCTATTAGAGATCACGCCTTACTTCTTGCCTCTGCTAGAAGCTGGGGATTTGGCATCGCCTACCAAAAAGAAGAAAGAGAAGAAAAAGCAGAAAGAGGTAGTGGCAGAGCACGTTGGCGTTCCTCCAACCGTAGAGCAGGGATCCCCGACCCGAGATGCTGAGAACGGCAAGGAAAATCGCAGATCCCGGAGCAATAACAGAGAGGAAAAGATGGAGCATGGCGAGGGTGTCCCAGCCGCTGCGGACGTTACGAAAGTAGGCAAACGAGCAGACGAGGGAAAGAAGGCCAAACGCACTGCTGTCAAGAAATCGTCACTCCGGGGTAACAATACCCCACGAAGCAGGAGGAAGAGGGTGAGTCTGGTCATCGATGACCAGATCGTTCTCCCCGCCGATAACATCATGGATCCTCCTCTTACATCTCCGAGCGAAACTACACTATCGACTGCATCCAATTCGAGCACATCACTCAACGAAATCATAGATCCACGCCTAACCTCACATGCCCACCATGATCCCGTTCACCACAGTATACCGCAGAATACCAACACCAATAGCTCGCATCGCCATGCACCAGCCAGCGCTTCTCCGCCGACATATACCGAACACACGATAACCGCGTCTTCACCTGAGGACTACGTTCCGCCCCAGACCGCCACGCGAACTTTCCTAGATCCTTCCCCCTCCCACCCGGAACTAAACATCCCCCAACGTGCCTCCGGTTCACCGATATATGCATCGGAACCTGAAGCGGCAGAGGCGGATGAAGAACAATTCAGTACCTACGTCGGTGGCCTCTCGGGATCCAATGTCGACGATGTAGATCAAGCTGGCAGCTACGGTTATCCCTCGTCGCTGGGCGCAAGCTACATGGAGAGCTACATGCAGAGCCGACCGTTGAGCGTACGCATTGCCGCGGCCGAGAAGGCCGGTCTGAAAGAAGAAGAGAAGAAGCGACTCCTCCAGGGAACTGGCGGCGACCAAAACACCAGAAAGGAGGACGAAGAACCGGAGCGTCGCCCAAGAGGCCAAGAGAACTCAAAGCAAAGACGCACGGTTGAAGACGATGACGACGACTTCGAGATTATGGGTGAAATGGACGACTTTTAATCTCGACTCCCCCACTGCCTCCCAGAGAGGATGTACACGTACGGACAGAACCCGATCCCGCGCAACTTATGCGCATGCACATATGCTCTCATCCATCACTATTTTTTATCCTTCCTTCCTGGAGTTTTCCTAACTCGTTGGCTACGCGAGTTACGGACGGCAATCTATGTTTTTAGAATTTCGAATCTTTTTTCCTCTTTCCAGATCTATGTTCTTGGATACTACTCACTCTTGGTTTTTGCATCAGCGTGGACTTAGGTCTCTTTTTCGTTCCGACAATCTCAAATCAATGTTTTTTCTCAGGCAGTTCAAAGGACCTGTTGAGGGCCTTCACGGAACTTTTATCTTTCCTAGGGGCGAGACGGTAGAATATGTTGAGGATCTCCTGGATATCAAATCACTATGTTGTTTCTAGCAGTTCAAAGTATCTTCTGAGGGTCTCCACGGAATTTTCGTCTATCCCTGGGGCAAGACGGTAGTATATGTTGAGGCCCAACTTAGTACCGTGTACATAACGTAAGATGGCATATATAAAAGCTTCATTGTGGTGCGAAAGCGGAACTTTTGACCAACTTTATACATATATGTGAACGTGTACGTGTGTATAATCCTATAAATATCCTTCCCTAGCTCCCTGCTCGCTTGAATACCCAACATATATCGAATCCAGACGTACACACACACCCTCCCCTCCCCATTCCCACTCAAGACAGCGAAGAATGCAAACTCGGATTCGACTCGGACGCCCTCTCATTAGCATCATGCTCCGCCATCTGCTCGACCCTATTCACCATCCGATCCAGCAGACTCACCATCTCATCCGCCACGAACCCGGGTCCATCCTTCTGCACGAAATGCCCACACCCGACCGCGATGATCGGCCCAATCGCCCGCTGCGGATGCGTTATCCCCACCAACCCCTCATTGTACCTCTGCCACGCGGGGTTCATGTACGTCATCGTCAGCGCGCGCGGGGTGCGCAGGGAACCCGTGAGACACTGGTCCGCGAACGTGGCCCAGTCGTGGCCTGCGACGGTGAGGTACGGGGGCTGGGAGTCGGGTCCCTCGAGGGAGGGGGAGGAGGGTGAGGGGAGGAGGGTGGCGAGGTTGCGGCGGGAGAGGCCCTCGTCGTTCGGGACGTCTGGGTGGAATGTTTGGAGATACGCGGCGCGGGTTGCGAGGACGTCGTCGGTGGTTGTGCCGGGGGGGAGGGTGAGGGGGTCGAAGGATGGGGAGGAGGGGTCCGGCCAGATGGAGACGAGGTCCGAGTTTGCGATTACGGAGTCTAGGAATAGGAGACCGGATACGGTGCCTGGGTAGGTTTGGGAGAAGAGGCGCGCGAGGGCGCAGCCGATGGAGTTGCAGACGAGGATTAGGGACGGGAATTGGGATGGGTTCGACATGTCGAGGTGCTCTTTCCAGATCTGGAGGAGGAATTGCTTGAGCGAGCGGACGGCCGACATGGCGTCGTGGCTGTGGCTGGGTGGGGGATCCGGGTCGTCGGGGTCGTGGTCGGAGTCGCCTTGGCCGTAGCGGTCGTAGGAGAGGAGCGCGGGATAGGGGAGGCGGGAGGAGATGCGTTTTTCGAGGAAGTCGTTGATGGAGGCGTCCCAGGAGGAACGGGGGGAGAGTAGGCCGTTGAGGAAGACGATGAGGCTTTGGGCGAAGGGGTTCGGGTGGTGAGGTTGGGATGTAGATGCTGGGTAGTATGTGTAGTGGAGTTTGGCGTTGGGCTTGTTCTCGAGTATCAGAGAGGAGATCTCTGGCTCTGGGAATGGAGGTAGGTCTTCTTCAGATGACTGGTTCGACATTGTTGTTGTTTGAGGCTGCATTCAAGGATTGTGCTCTCCGGATTGGGGTTCTAGCTCTTGAAGTTCCAAAGAACCAATCGTGGTTCGTAGTGTTACGATGTTGATTTCGAATAGGGTTGCAGTTGATAGTGTCTTTCCCGGATACTGATAGAGCGTCTGTTGAAAGACTGCGGTTGGGTGGGTTCCACTTTGAGATGACGATATAGGTGGTAGTGATACGTTGCGTTGCGTTTGACAAAGAAAAGAGTAGATAACAGATGTCTCACACACACATGCACATAGACCGAGCACTCAGGAAACCAATATGAACGGGAAAATGAGAGTGACTGAGATTGGAGAGGCCAGTAAGACCATTCAAATGCACGTTTTCTTGATATAGTAAGAAGCTAGTTAGCGACCGTTGACGGGTGGCTTCGGATGTGTTATCGAAATGGAACGAAGTACAACGAAGAGTCCTGCAGTATATGTGTACTGTATAATTATGTTAAGAACCCGAGTGAAAGGAACGGCGAGTCTTATATCAGAGAGATGGATGGGCTGACGTCGATAGTTATAGGACCCAGGGCCGCGTTTCCTTGAGCCGGTTACCCCTCTTGAAAGCTTGATCGAACGGAATCTAAACCCTAAGATATCAGGCGTCCCAGCTTTCTGCGAACCAGATCTGTCGCGCGGCAATCAAACCCGTTGAGGCGCTTGGAGGAACGTGGGAGTACTGTTAAACAAGGTTGTCGCGAAAGATATCGAAGGACGTGGTTGAAGTTGGTGATCGACAAAGTGATAGACGAAGTGTAGAAAAAACAATTTGGCTTGGTATGTCGTCACCGGTCAGAGCAAGTAACTAAAGCGATGAGTGAGCGACTGAACGGTCTATCTGACATGAATGGCACGAGCCAACCTTGCTGTCTAGAACGCTGATCTTATCGTGCTGAGGATGATACGAGTAAGGTCAACCATCGGAACAGTAAAGAAGGACAACGAAAGAAAGAAAAGATGAGCTACTGCGTACTGTGTAGAGAGAAAGTAAGGTACGACGTAGGTACGTACCTAAGTTAGTTGAAGAGGAAGAGGGCAATACAGGGGTTTGGTCGTCCGGTGGGGGTGGGTTGCCTGCAGATCGGGCCGACACTAGTGACCCAATCGAGTCAAGGTGAAAGGTACCGCGATGACGTGGTTGGACCCTACATGTACCTTTGTACCTTCCCTCACTACCTCATAGTCGTCGTTGCTACGGAGTACTTACTACTTGTACCACTCGGCAGTGAACTTCTCTTCCGCTATTCCTCCGCCTTCTACATCTCCATCGACAACAAAATCCCAATCCCACTCCCACTCCAACTCCAACTCCAACGCCCACGTCCCCATCTCTACGTGTCACAATTACTACCACTGCCCCATCTCTCGCTCCCGCGTTGTTCAAATCAGCGACGATCTTTCTCCATCTAAATATTTGCTTTGGCTGTGTAACCGCACCACGACACACGACCCACAAATACCTTCTCTGCCAAACACAGGGCAATCTCTACTGTGGACTATATCACCCCTACGCATTCCAACTCCGAATTCCACACACGCACTCCAAGGTCTCAACACGTCCCAGGTACCAAAGATTTGCGGGGTACTAGTGACTGACACTACTCATTGTGTTGCATGGCTTTGTGTTCCTAGCTACTCACTGCCGACCATATCGATACCGCACCGTCTCCAGTTCTCCCTCAGCCTGCCTCTGCCCATCCAGCATTCTATCCTCAACATACGGCCTTTCGATTTTCCCACGCATCCTGTCGATACCCTACACAGTTTGTGGCCTTGTTCCACGCCTCAACGCCGACCACATGGGTTACGTCGATACCAGCACGCAGACCATCATTGAAGGTCTTGCCAAACATCCCGTCGCAGTGCCTCCCGAACTCCAGCCATCTACACCACCACCAGACGCAATGTCTGTCAAGGAGGAACAGAAGTCTCTGCTCACCCAGGAAGAGCTTTTACAAAAGGATAAACAGTGGGACGATTCTGCCAATCCAACAGATGGTGCACCCACAACAGGACTGCCTGAAACGCTTCCCTTCACACCGACACCAGGACTCGCCTCCAGAAGGCGGCCTCCATTCCGGGCTAGAATCTCTCTTCCCGAACTCGACCTTGACACTGAGGGGCCAAGTTCACCGCCACCGACAGATGCTCTCATGTCTCCGCTGCCTGCTGCCAACACATTGCATGCTGGTCACACTCCAATCATCCCCCGCTCGTTGGCACCAATCCACGGAATGGAGCCAGTTGGAATCATACCCCTCAAGCAGGCGCTTGCACCTGAACCAGAGCCAGACGTGGACCTCGCGCTACATGGGCCGTTGACACTGCCCGCCAGGCCTGGCGATGGCGCGGACGATAGGATCGAACTCAAAGCCCTCGATGCGGAGCTGGAGAGAATTGCTCAAGAGCAGAGTGAGCGCGATGACGACAGTGACGAAGAAAAAGACACTGTAAAAGACATTACTAAAGATATCCCACACGAAGGAAGTCCGAAAGCGTCTGCAAAAGGCAGCAGAAGGTCTTCGGCAGATGAGGGACTGGAAACAATAGACGGTATACTCCTCAAGAAACCAAGGATGAACATGGGCGCGCCTTTAGGCCAAGCCTAGGGCCCGAAACTCATGAGGTTGCCCCCTCATCCAATTCTATGAATTATTCTCGCAAACATTGCATAGCGCATGGTGTAAGCTCATGGCGTTTTCTTCAATTTCGGAACTGTTGAATGGGAAAAAAAGTGGATTGTCACGTGTCGCAAATGAAGGAGTAAAGATATCCAGGTATGCCTTTCAGTGCGTCAGTGTCATACCGGGCACGCACTCCATTAGTGCTGGCCCGCAAGTGACCATCCTTACCTGGATAGTATGCAATCAGGGTATTGTACATAGTCGTAAATCATGGGGATTAATTATATTATCATTTCCAAACCAAGACGAATCAGGTGTTGCATGCCTAATGAAATGTAGAGAGATGCTCTAGATTCGGCTAGCGCAGCTGCAATGCAAGGAATCAAAGGACATTGAGCCAACTAAAACGAAACCTCTTCCCCTCCTTCCCCTCTCGAACATTATTGCCGTCCTGGATAGGTAGTTATCAGTATATTTGCTGTGACCAATAGCTCTCGCCACACTGTACCCATCACCTACTACCTCTCTGTCTATCTATCCTTTTCACTGATGGAAATTTACCAAAGGAACATTCCACAAACCTTCCATCGACTTTTCGAAGGAACCAATATCTCTGACCTCCAGACTTCAACAGATGCATAACGGTAGTTGAGTATGTTTATGGAGTTATAAAAAGGAAAGACACAACACTATGGCCTATCTATTACCGCATATATCAACATCGAATACCCTTGACACGTTATAAAAGGTGATTCGAGCACTCTGGCGCGCTTGGCAGCAAGGTTTGGATGCTTGAATCGGTTCATTATCTTCGCATGGCCAGATTCCGTAATCTACCTCCTCTTTGCCATTGACAACGACCATCTTGGCATAATGGAGAGCCGAACCTCTGACCTTCGGCTTTGTAGCTCCGGCAGTTGTTGCAGATCGAATTGGAGAAGCTGAGGGGCAAAACGACTCCCAGGGTTGGCGTTTTGATTTATATGTTGGAGATGCTCTCTACATTTTTTAGAGTACAGTTCAACTCTTTGATCATACCAGATCTAGGAGTGCGCTAGGATGGGTCCATTCACGCAAATACTGCTCTTTCTCTTCGCTCTCCCCATTGTCTTTGCACAAGATGTATACGACTATATCGTCGTTGGTTCCGGTCCAGGCGGTGGTGTGTTAGCTTCCAATCTTGCTCGAGCGAACTTCTCGGTCCTCCTCATTGAGGCAGGCGATCAAAGCACACAAGGCACCTCTGGCCAATATCCACCCCAGATCACCTGGGACTTCTTCGTTAAGCACTATGCTGATGAGAAGAGGAACATGATGAATAACCACCTTGTGTGGAAGACTACGGCTGGTCGATACTGGGTACTACCCTCTGCATTGAACATCAATTCAAACAGTATACTGACCATAAAATAGGTCGGAGCAGGAACAGCTACGCCACCATCGGGCGCCAAATTCCTTGGAGTCTACTACCCACGCGGTGCTACTGTTGGAGGAAGCTCTATGATCAATGCCATGTGCACTTGGCTACCTTCGGACTCTGATTGGAATCACATCGCCAACATCACAGGAGACACTTCCTGGAGGTACAACATATCTACATCCCACACCTTCTGAGCCCCTAAAACTGACAATTCCACAGTGCTGACAAGATGCGGAAGATCTTCGAACGCCTCGAGAAGAACAACTACCTCCCCGCCGGCACCGCAGGCCACGGCTTCAACGGCTACTTCCAGACGAACATGAACAAGCCGGGTACCGTTGGCCAACCCGTCCTCGGCATAATGCAAGCCATCGCCGCGAACCTGTCCAAGCCCACCGACGCAGCCAGCATCTCCAGCATGATGGGCGGCGACGCCAACTTCCTCGACGCCAAACGCGACTGGACGAACGGCATCTGGGGGCTCCCCATGCACCAGCGGTCCAACGGCCAGCGCTACAGCTCCCGCGACTACATCCAAGAAACCATCCAAAACAAGTTCCCCCTGACCCTCAGCATCAACAGCCTCGCGACCAAAGTCCTCTTCACCCCCAGCGACACCACCACCTGTGGCGGCCAGCCCCGCGCCACAGGAATCCAGTTCCTCCAAGGAAAATCCCTCTACAAAGCCGACGCACGCTACACCGACTCCAACAAAGGCACCGTCAAGACCGCGACCGCCCGCAAAGAAGTCATCCTCTCAGGCGGCACCTTCAACACGCCCCAGCTCCTCATGCTCTCCGGCATCGGCCCCAAATCGCACCTCGCCTCGTTCCAGATCCCCACCCTCGTCGACTCCCCCGGCGTCGGCAACAACATGCAAGACAACCAAGAAATGCCCATCATCGGACAAGTCTCCGGCGGCGGCGGCGGCTTCTCCCAGAGCTTCCAGATGCTGACGACCAAGCACACGCCCGATGGCGAGCGCGACATGTTCATCATGCAAGGCCCCGGGTTCGCGTTCCGCGGTTTCTGGCCGTCGAACCAGACGAACAATGCGTTGCCGGCGGAACCAGCCGGCGTCTACGGCATCTCGATGGTGAAGAACCACCCGCAGAATAAGAAGGGGTATGTGCGGCTCGCGAGCGCGAATCCCCAGGACGCGCCGGATATCAATTTCATGCTGTACGAGGAGGGCAAGGAGGCGGATATGGGGGCCATGAAGGATACGATTGCGTGGGCGAGGAAGATGTATGCGGGGGCTAAGGGCACGACGATTACGGCTAGGGAGCCCCCGTGTCCGAATGGGCCGGATGCTCAGGGGTATTGTGGGCAGGCGGATGAGGATTGGATTACGGGGCAGACTTTTGGTCATCATCCTACGTCGACGGCGGCGATTGGGAAGGAGGGGGATCCGATGGCGGTGTTGGATGGGAGATTTAGGGTTAGGGGGGTCAAGGGTTTGAGGGTCGTGGATGCGAGTGCGTTTCCTAGGATTCCGGGTGTGTTTCCTGTGGTTAGCACGTTTATGCTCAGTGAGAAGGCGAGTGATGTGCTGAAGGAGGATGCGGATAAGGATGTTTGTGCTGCTTGAGTTTGTGTATGTTGTAAAGCGTCGGAGTGAAAATGAACATGGCATCCGATTGCAAAACGCTCGTTAGGTCGAAGTATGTACATAAGAATATCAAGTATATACAGGATATACGCATGTGTCCAAGCCGGGGACTTCAGTTCGTGCACCGCATCTCTGGAGGTATATACTCAAGACCTAAGCCTTCAAACACTATTCTCTCCGCATCTTCAGGGGTGCCATCGACGCCGTTGGGACCTTCGAGTTGCACAACTTCACCTGTGCTTCGATCTCGGATGCCGCTACTATCGAACTTCCAACCTTTGATCGCTTTGGCGTACCTTCTAAGGTCTCTCTGGAAAGTCGTCCCTCCGCTCCAGCCCATGACAGCACAGCCTACTGTCCGCCACGGCGCGATGATAATATCAACGCGGCGATGAATGTTCGGATTCTTCGCCCTTGGGTTCTCTGCGAGATCCCGCTCCCGGGTCGGCCAGTGCGGATCTTGCCAGACCACGAGTGCCTTGTCTAAAGTGTCAAAGCCTGCGCCAGCGGCTCTGGTCGTGCGGAACGGTAGAGTGGACTGCCCTCTTTCTGTGTTGTGAAGACTCATGGTGAGCGTGTGAGTGATCCACTCTTCGTCTTCGAGAGACTGGATGATGTCTCTGACCAGATTGGCGGTTGACTCCAGGTCATGGTGCGAAATAATCATGTCGACATCGCCTGATGCAGCCTTTCCTCGTCGATAACCCCCGACGATGGTCACTGTAATCCTATCGTCTCGTAGGCGTACAGCATGCTGCCGCACGACCTCAGCTATCTGTTCGACTTCGGATCTGGGAATTGGGTTCAAGAGCTCTTCGTAATACTTGACGCCGATCTGCTGGACGCGGTCAAGATCATTCCACCCAAACTCGACGATGTCATCTAACTCTGTCCAGTGGTTGCCATAGTAAAAGTTCCTGGCTGTCTTTGCGCCAACTCCCCAGATATCGTAGAACAGTCGTAAGACTTTCATGGCCTCGTCTTCTTCAAAGTCATCGACTGCTTTGATATGACCTGTGTTCTTCCATTCGACGTATAGCTCGGCAGCTTTCGTATCACACCCCGGTATGCGGAGCACTTCGCGGGGATGGCGAAGCTCATATGGATACGCGGCGATAGCAGCAATGATCGTAGAGTAAGCACGAATTCCTATTTCGTCATTAATCAGAGTCCTTGCTATGCGTATCTTTTTGAGAAGGCCGATGAACTCGTCATTGGGCCCATTCAGAGGTGTAAACCGCTGACAAGAATATTTGATGTCCTTCTTGACCCACTTAGGGGCAGGTGGGAGATCCGAGTCATCACCTTCATACTCGCTCGTGGACTGCTTGAGAAGATGGGCGGTATGCGCGGCAACCTGGCCATGATGTGAGGTGGAACTTGACGCAAATGTGGCGCCGTCGAAGCGACGAGAGCCAGAATTGGTTGACCGCGTCGGTTGATGATGATGTCTCGAGGATACAGCATATAAGTCTGATTTGGCACGCTCCAGAATATCCTGGCCACTTTCTGGTCGTGGAGCCAGGTTTGTCCGTGACGCAGGGATAATCTTGGTGGTCTTGCCTGCAAAGAACGGAATTATGGATTTGGGCGTCGCTGTCGAGCTCGGTGGCCGCTCGATAACCTTTCCTGTGTAAACTAAGTTTACCCCAAGGGGCAAGATTGTTCCTTTCGCGATGCAGTCATTGAGCCAACCGACTTTGATAACCCAAATAATATCTTCGCTCCCGGGCGACTCAAATAAAACAGGCAGTGCTTCAGACTCTTCACGAGACTTTGTCGGCGATGCCGCATGAGTGTCTCGCTTCAATGTCGGGAATTCGTCTTCAGTCTCCGAATCGTCTGCGACTTGAGTCCGTGTCCTCGCCTCGTCCTGGGGCGTATGTCGAGACCCCTCGACTTTTCTTCTCTTACTAGCAGGTTCATCGTCGACCTGAACGGGGCTGGCCGTGCGCTCCAGGTCGAGAAACTCCTCAACCTTCAATCTTCGAGCCCGAAGTTCGAACTCGGACCGCTTCTTGGTTCCGACCTTGCCGATGAAAACCTTCGCTTTAGACACATCGTCAGTGGGCTGTGCGCCGTGACGGCGCAACGTTTCCTCGATATCTTTCGCCTCGTGACCTTTCAGATGAGCCGAAAGCACGAGTATAGGTGGTATAGTACTTAAATCGACTGAGTCGAGATTGGGCATGGCCAATTGAGACTCCTCGGTGGGGGTCTGGGACTCATCCATCGTCAATGCGTGCAACGTCACAGTCCAATAATCAAGTAAGTCAAGTAAGGGCACGGCTAGTTCTGTGAGCAATTGGGTTGCGACCGGGAGGAGAAATAGAAGTCATGATATTCTGAGATCCAATAAGACTCAAAGGGATGGATATTTGATTTCCAAAACCACGGTAATTATCATGAGAAGCGAATAAAGACCAAGGAGACGAAAGGAAGCGAAGAAGTGGATGAAGGTAAGAAAGCAATTTAGTGGTAGGTAGACTCGATACAAACAGTGCGAAGCAGGAGCCGGGTAGATGCGTGAACGATGGACTTGGCAATGACGAACTGGACGTGTCATCTTCCTTTGGTTAGTTCAACCCTGCGAGGTCGTTACTCTCATAGTACTCGTACTGAGTAGGAGGGGACATCACCCTGCCACCTCAACCTCACCGTCACAGTCTGTTGTTTAGAGTTCATGGTATCGTGAGAACCTCATCTGTCTTTCATACAAACTTTATTGGACGCCTCGCTGAAAAGTGCTCCATAGTGACGTTACCCGTTGCGGTGCCATGTGCCAACGTCTGTCGTCTGTGGCAAGGGAAACCAGTTGCACTCTCATGTGTCCAGTGTGTAGAACATTTGTCCTGAAATAGGATGCCAGTAGCGATTATCGATATCCCTCTGCTATGGGGGGTTTCTCCTGTTAGTAGGCGAGAGTCGCGATTCACAGCATGAAAGCCCATCCCCCACGGACAGCCAATTCGAAGTGGTATGTATGGTATTGCACTGACTATTGAATGGCTGGGGCAGGCTCGTCACAATAGCTGTTCGCGAGTATCGATCAGGAAATAATGGAAAATCAGACAGGACATTATTTCCTTTCTATCCCATACCCACATGCGCACCGTTGGGGGCAGAATGGCTTTGAAACCCGTTGAGCGTCGATTCCCTTGCATGCTCGCTATCCCTCACACACTCCTCTGCCCGCCACGCCTTCACGCGTAATTGGAAGATTCGCATTCGCGAGCACCAAGCATTCTCCAACTGTCAAGCTCATGCACCCGCAAATTCTTCCCTCCCCTTCATAACTTATTCTTGTCATATCAGCGTACGCGCCTTGCCAGCGGCGTGACTCTCCAGTCGCGCGAACGTGACAATGTCTCTCCTTACTGTCGATCCCTAGCCTCTTCCTCATATCATATTTGTCCCTTTCTAGTAACATCGCTCCCTTCCGCTGGTGACAGGTCTCTCATATAAAGAAAGAGAGCGCATGTGTCCACACGGACGGGCCTAGGTCGAGTCTCAGGCGAGCGGGTTTCCAATATCATCCTCTTTTCCTCACTCTTCTTCCCCCCTTCAAATATCGTCGATCGAGTCCTCTTACCCTCAGTCCTTCTTTGGTGCTCTCTTCGTGGTATTCCCATGCTTCTCGCTCTTTTGAAGCAAGCCAGTCGTTCCTCCCAGAATATCATTAAAGGCTTCAATCCCGATCATCAGCATTTACAGCCAACGACACATCAATTCGAACTCACTGTTCTCGATCTGAAATCTCTCCCAAATACTTCCTAAAGTCACTCGATAACATGCGTGGATTCTCAACAGCGGCCTTGATGGCCATCGTCGCCAGCGTAGCTGCCATCCCTATCACCCCAGCTGCTCCTGCGTTGCAGCGTCGAGCAGAAGTCATGCGGTCCGAAGGCATGGCCGAGGTAAGAAACTTCTTTTTCGTCACTAATGTCATGAAACTGACGTCTCCAGCACGATATTGCGGAGCAGTTGTCCATTCCCCTGATTGACAACGAGTTGGAGCATCAACCATTCTTAGACCACGTCACGTCTAGGTTGTACGCAGTATTCCGAACACCTTCCGAAGAGGAGAAGCGCGATCAATCTGGTGACATTGCACCAGGCTCACTCGAGTCACCGCAGATGCTGCCACGCGCTGCTGCACCACAGAGCTTCGCCGACACCATCTCTCAAAAGTTCGGTGCTGTCTTCCGAGGGCAAGACTTCAGCATTCGGGACTTCGGTTATGAGGGCAAGGAACTCGAGCTGAGACGGCCCACGGGGATGAGGCATTGGGACTAAAGTGTCAGGTCAGGTGGGGTGGATGTGTATGTGTGTGGTCAGCTGTTTCTTCTGCGATTGTTCATCATTAGCGCCATTCGAGTCTGTTTAACAAAATGTTTAGTTGCTAATGTGTTACTGTACTGAGCACGCAAACGCGCAGATTGATATCAATGTTGTGCACTTTCCATATTTAGCAAAATATACAATACCGCCTTTCCTGTCAGGAGGTACGCCCGCTTGCCCTTATGCCCATATTGAATCATGTGAACCGACGCCAAAACAAGAGATATACTCGTTCGCCCAGTACATTGTAGCAAACGAGTCGAAAGAAAGCTTATGGTATAGGAATAGAAATTCATATATATGTATCACACTCCCATGGTGAAGTCATGTTCGATCCCGGGAGTGACACTGCGACAAGTCAGGAACGATACTAAATATGGAGCCGAAGTGGACTTACCTGGCCATGAATTTAAGGAAGACGACAAGGTATTGGTCGACGCGAATAGCAACCTCGTCTTCCTCACTGCTGCCTTCCACAAGATCCCATTCATTGTCCTTTGATTCATCGCCGTCCTTTGTCTTGGCCTGCTCCGTTAGCTTGAGTAGCTTCGTATCGTCTACTAAGCCTTCCATGCCGCTGTCGACTTTGCCAACATCTTTGCCGGCCTTAAGCTTCGCTAGTCGAAGCTTCAAAGCTGCGTCGGCGCGATCTAATAGAACCTTCATGACGGAAGCATGCTTGCAAGGATGAACTGAGGCTGTCTTGACCGCATGATCAAAGAAAGGATGATCTTCGATTGTCACCGTCTTGTCCTTATAGTCACCGACAATATCCTCCATCATCTCTCGTGGACTCAGCGGGACCGATGTTGCGCCATAGCCGGATAGATATAGTCGAGGTGTTCTGTAGTGTGCCGAGTAGCAGATATATAGGGTGTAGGTACGAAGGGGACTGGGAATCGTTAGCACGTATGTCCAAAGACAGTTCCGATGTCAACCTACGCTGAAGTGCTTCCGCTTCCTTGAGGTTCTCTTATTATAGCCTCCTCATCATCCTCATCTTCCATATCGGGAATCTCCTCCTCTTCCTCTGCGGCTCCTAGGTTGCCACTTTCGTCCACTGTCCTCACATCCCGAACCTTTGCCTCTTGACTTGCTGCCATACCACCAGTCCTGAGCCAGCCATCGTCGTCTGCCTGTCCCTCGCCCGATGCGAATCCATCCCCAACGAGGGTTTCGTCCTGACCCGCATCCCCGGCGAAGTTGTCATCAAGGCGGCGATGGCAGGGAACACCGCGGGTGACTAGGAACTGCTTTCCAGGAGGGAAATGTGGGGAGCGTTTCGCGGGAGATGAAGCATCTGCCCACTCCCAGGAAGGAAACTTGAATACTAGGAAGTCACCAGCTAGGACGAACTCCTCTGGCGTGAGCTGGCCAGTACTGCGGAAGGTCGAAGTGTGGCTGATGGCCGCGGTTCGTTCGCGAAAAGTGTCTATATATGAACGCACGAAGTTGTAGGCCATAATGGAGGGCGTATCTGATATGGCTTTTTGTAGTTTCGAACAGTTTGCTTAAGGTGTTTTCGTGGGGTTGTTTGTGATTGAGACGCAAATGGTGGTTGTGGTATAACTGTGCGGGGTGTTGATGTATGTACTGTGGAAGAGAGATGATCTGTTGCGGGATAGTGGGGGTGGGGGACGGCTGCCTGTCGCGCCTACTAGTACTGAGTTCATTGTGTGGCCGTGCGCAGGCGGGAATGCACGGGCGTGACAGGTCAGTTTCTTGATGACGCCTCACAAGCTAGAACAGTGACTACAACTCCTCCAAGTACAGATACATACTCGTCACTCAAGATCCAAGGATTGATCGTGATTACATTCATGCTCACCTGCCAAATTCCACACGTACATCGTCGATCACCTTACAATGTGCTACCTCTGCACCTTTGCTCACTACAGTTCACTCATGATGTCGTGCTGACTCGTGCCAGTTGGGAAGTGATGATATGAGGTCTGATCACAAGACCAAGGGCCTGCCTTTTGAGAGATGCCTATCTGTCACTCGCAATATTTAGATTCAAGATTTATATGCTAGTCTAGTATGTTCGTTCGCTCCGAAAAAAATCAAGTTAGGAAACACCATGGTATATTGTTTCTACGAAGCTAACAAGTTCTTAGACCTATTCGTTATAATTTCAATTTCATCTCTTCATGATGTGACCTCAAAAGACAATAGTAACAGCAGCTTTCGGCAATGATGGTGCATTCATCACCCAGCAGCTTTCATCTTGGCAAGCATATGCACGTATCTCCAAGTTACATCACCCAAGAATTGCCTGCTCGACCTTTACTAAAAGCTGTAGGTTAGCAATTCGGATCGCGCTAGAACAAGCTTGGGGAGCTGTTGGGAGCAGCATGGTAATACACGGACGGATGACAAGAAGCCTAAAGACGGACCAAAGCTCCATCGCCACAGCCTTCAGACAACATGGAAACACCAGATGAATCGCCAACATTGACAATCCCTAAAGTAAAATGAAATTTCTAAACATGTGTTACAAATATGATCCGCGTCATATTGTAACATGATGAGACGCTGTGTCCGAGTCAATCACAATGGTGCTTATACTTCGGGAATCACTGGTCGAAAATGATATATTGCTCATAAACTCCACCTTCACACTCGACTATCGAAGTATCACAGACGGTCCATGATTGACAGGCATACATGTTTCGAGAGTCGGCGGCCATTTCATCGATTCTTGTCATACCTCAATCAAGGCTTTGCTATATGCAGGCAGTCAGTCGATCGCACTGCCAGTGATATTTTTCCCGTTTTCGGGGCAAGGTGCATTCGTGCCGCAGCACTGATCCTATACACACGCGATTGCTTCACTGACTGTTAGATTAAGATGTGTCACAATTGCCTTTCCCCCCGGATGCCTTCTGAACTCGTCACTTCGAAATTGGTACAGATCTCGCCGCACCCAAACTCTGGACAACCACGCTAGTTACCCCAGGGGCCCTCTGGGGTGGGTGCGACTTGCAGTCCTTCTATAACATAAGTCACCTATGACAAAAGGCAAAAGTGTGGCCCAATGTTCGAGAGATTCATCAGAAACACGGTTGGTACCCCCCGTGCCCCCATCCCCAGTTCGCTTATAATCCTGCCATAGCTTGCTTCGTTGTCGCGCAAAACCTGCGAACCTCCTGCGTAGGTTCTTGGAGACGGGTAGATACCTAGTTTGGCCTGAGATCAATGTATGTTCTTGAACATCACTGCCTGACGCTACGTCTTTCCTGTTGAAATTGGGCTGCTGATCGAATTATCTTTCGAATTATTTCTCCACCCCACAGACGCCATACACCTGTTTGTATCTCCTTGCACAAGTTAGAGGAAGTGTGTTTCAATCTATCCTTTCAAGTTCCTGCAGACATCCGCCCACACTCTTCCCTCCAATATCAGTTCTTCCGCTCTCCCAATTACACGAACGACAACTTGATATTACAACACAATATCTTCGGCATGACCTCCTTGAAAGTGATCAGCTATTGATTGGCACTTATTGGATCCACGGAGCTCTGGCCAATGTGCCCTTGACGATACAGTTGGGTGTATCCAGTGTGACCACAGCATGAAGGTTTGCACTTTCAGATAGCCTTTGGGCCTCTAGATTCCCTGTCCCCCGCCCGTCCTTCCCAGACCAAGGCGACGATCTCAGCACAATTTCCCCTGACGATGGCACGAACGAGGCAGGACACGAAGCGATCGTTCAAGAGGGCACAATCTTGCCTGATGGTATTTGAATTCCATACGATGGTGTATTGGCCCAGCAGGCGCGGTCTCGAAAAAGCTCATTGGAGACCTGAAAATAGCGAAAGCCATTCGCTCATGCAATTTTCTACTTGCCTGGTGCAGAGAGTCAGTCCACGTGCATCAGTAATCATGCACACCCTTGTTGTTCTTACCTCGATCGAACAGAAGATCCAAAGAATGAGCGTCTGCACGACAACAAGCGCAGCTGAGCCATGGATATAAGTACTGGACGAGTTCGCGGCGAAGAGAAGGGGAATCAGTGCTTCACACATCACCCTCACACAAAATTGAAGCTGAAAACCGTTTACCCAAAAGCCCACTACCTCGGCTTTCCAAGGTCATGGCCAGCCAGTCAAACGACACACCCCAGCCTCGTTGTGGGGGTCGGAAGACCGAGTGTCTTCAGACGTCTTCAGTACAGGTACTGACTATACTTGTCTACGTTGCCTGGTACACTCTAGAACAACTTTCTAACTGACATCGCCACCCAGCACAGTCTCGGGCCTAAGAATCGTCTTCTCAAGAAAGGCCTCTACGGTCACTCAACTACCACTTCAACTCCACTTTCGCCAATGATGGAGCTATGGTTGGGGGAGAGTGAGAACGAGACCTATTGGAACACCTGCGCCCGTCGCAATTAGGTTGGTTTTGCTTGATTGTTCCTCTGGGCGGTGGTTGGAGCGTACTTAGCAATTTGATCGTGTCATACAAACATCATTAGTTCAAGTATTGGTACCACGGCGTCCCTAGGGGCTTCAATGTTGATGTCTTGACAATACATGGTTTTTGGTTTTGACTCCTACATGATCATGATCATGAATGCTCTGCTGAGTCCCATAATGTGCTCCCCATTGAACAAAAGGAATTAAGGAAGTTGGTGTTTAGAACGTGAAATTATGGTATTATAGGGTATCAAACGTTACATTTACAATACTAGGGAAACATATGACCGAGTCATCTCAATTTTCACCGAGCAAGATGCTTTGTCTGCAATGTACCTGCAGACCTTGTCTTTCCACCAGCAAAGTGAACCATGTCTAATCGCTATTATTCTTATCCGAAAATGCTCACTGGGTGGTAATGTTGACTCCTTTCGCCTCATTTGCTGATTTTACCCCATCTTGCCACTCTCTGGGAGTATGCCCTTTGTATAGGTGCCTGACCATGCGGCCATGATATCGATCCGTCTTCATGTACTGACTCTCTTCTTTCCTTTGGCCATCTGATTTCTAAGCCTCCATCTTTAACCTTCGTTTGACTCCTCAGTAAAATGGTAAATCGACCGGATCCTCCCATTGTAGAACATGGCAGCCTCCAGCCTCAAATTGTGCATTCCATATCATAGGAAGCCCACATGTCCCTCACTAATGGTTCCTAAAATTCTTCTTCTGGTAGAACAGATCCGTTCTCGAGGAACCCAGATTGATAATCTTCGGGCAGCCGTCGCGGTCCTTCTCCAACCTTGTGCATTCGAAGCAGTAGAAGGCGTCAGATATGCCCTCGCCACCGCAGACAACGCACTTGTTTTGGTAGTTGCCGAAGGAGCATTCATCGCAGATGCGCGCGAGGGTGGTCGGGCGGACGTAGGAGTCGCATACGGGGCATTTTCCGTCGCATTTGTCGCAGAGGCGTCCGATGGAGATTCCGGCTTGTTTGCGGCACATGACGAGATCTCTGAAGAAAAAGGTTAGTATCATGTCTGACAGCTTGAGGGAGCTAAAGAGCAGGAGAACTTACGGGTGATGACGAGACATTGTGCTTGTGGGTTAGATTGAGTATGTGAGTGAGAGTTCTTCAGTTGTTCGTGAAAGGAAGGTCTCCTGCGATTCCTGCGGTGAGGTGAAATAAGTGTCGAAGTTAATGAGGTCTTGAAAGTCGCGAAGGATCCACAGGCATAACTTATTATGTGGGGTTGGTAATCGGATTGGCGGCGAAACGCCAAGAATACGCTAACGACCGCGTCGCATTACCGCGCGAAGCTTCGACCATGTTCACGCCGACGCTCACGTCCTTCACGAAATAAGAGACAACAATTGATCAATTATGAACTAATAATTGAGGATTCCAAATTGAAACCGAAGTCTTCTCGCGGTTTCCAGCAGGCGCCGTCGCCATGGATACAACGATTGCATCTGCCGTGGTACTCCCGGAGCCCGAATCTGAATCTCCACCACCGCCAGCCTCACCTTCAGGCACTCACAAAAGACGACAATCATCAATCTCTGAACAAGATCCTAAGCGCCAACGACTCAACAGCATCGACCAACCTCCTCATGCTGATCGCCGGGACTCGATTACTACGAAACCATCGAATGCGCCACCTACAGGTCGACGTGAACGCGGACGCGAACGCAGATTGTTCGGCGCAGCCTTGGGAGCACTTTCTCACAACACTGGCAGTGCCGTGCAAAAGCGACGGTCAGAGATAGAGAAAAGGCAGAAAGCTCAAAGGGAAATCGACGAACAGGAAAATGATCTGAAAAGACAGGAGCGATTGAAGTTCATCCGAGTTCAACGACAGAAAGAGCAGGCAACGTTCGAGAAGGAATCAGTATGCAGGGCTAAGCTTCTCTGTTGTTCGGATCCAGACTGACTTGCTTGACTAGACGCGGCTCCGACACGAAAATCTACGGCACACCGCCCGTTTCCTTCGGACTGAAACCGAGCCCCATCTGGTAAGTCAAACTAGCACTTTCACCTGACTTGTATGCTTGGTATGGACCGTCAAGCTAATAACTGTTATAGTACTATAAACCCTGGGAGACTACCCCCGAGGAAGATCAGCGGATAGAACAACAGATTGCGGAAGCGGAGCAGCTCATCCGACGGGAACAAGGAGAGCTTAATGGAGAGCCTAATGCTCAAGGGAACGAGGATGGCGAGCAAATACGGACGACTCATAGCAGCGAGCGGGATGCAGATGCAGAACCCTCAGATGGTAAGATCGTTCATCCAATTACCCCACAGCACCTGCCACAACCCACCACCAATGGCGGAACTCAAGATGAAGGGCCTGATCCCAAGGACCCGGAACGGAGAGCAGATCATGCAGAAGAGCTTATGGACGAGGCGGTCAATGGGGACCAGGTGGCCTCAAGCCATGAAGCTGACGTCCCAGCTCAAGAGGCCATGGACGAAGACGCACATAAGGATTTGATGGACGAAAATGGGGAAGAGATGGTTGAAGCAACAGAGGACACCGTTATTTACTGATATCGATTGCAGTATAGCTTAGCTGAGCGTCGCTCGCCCTTTGCGGCTTGAGATTCTGACTTTTCAGGATGGCCATTTGGTCTTGCTTCTATTATGATACCATTGTATTACATACAAAAGTCACGTATACAAAACGTGGAACGACACTAAGGGATGTTGGAAATCAACACCTTTGAGTACACTAGCATAAGTGCAACAAATAAACAGAGGTTCAAAAAGCCCTGATCTCAAAGCCCACCTGATGCGCCATCCATTGGCATGATAGCAATCCCTTTCCTAAACTCATTACGCACGCCGGCGTCCCTATCTTCCGAAGATGCTATCAAACGGGTGCACATATACACCTACCCTGACGATGTTATAGTTACTATTGGCAATACGGCGGTCCGCAGCATGCAATCCGACGCTCTGGGTCAAATCGGACCCCGGAGCACATGGTTAATACATGTATGTGCACAGCTGCGCTGCTGTTGACCTTCCAATACCGTACCGCACGCACAGCAACGCCGGCAAATATGGGAGAGCAGCCAGAAAGGTACCTAGCAAGGGAACAACCGCTTACTCGATGCATGCAGGTTCGCAGGAGCGCTTCGCATATCAGAACCATTTGACCCGGTACGGCGGAAAGCATTGTTATTTACCCCCACGACGAGTGGGATCCTACAAATTGCGACAAAAGGTATGATATGGTATATATGAGGGCTCGGATATAGCTTATGACATCGTGTGCCTGTGCGCAGTGGAGATCTACCAACGGACAGAGAATCAGATGTTTTGCTGCACGACTCTCCCGCTGCTACTCTTTGTTGGTGTTGGAAGTGAGGAGTTTATGCAGAGTTCAGTATAGTCACTATGGTGAAAGTCCGTTAGCCCCTCATTAACTAGGGCGATGCCTCGGTTCCGACGTCGAAACAGACAAGTTAGATCCACAAGATCCACAAGTCTCCGTCCGGACAATGTATGATTGCATCGAATTTCTGATCAAATTCCGGGCCGGCACCTCCTCGCTGTTGCACTCATAATATATTGCGTCTGCTAGACGTCGTTCTAATCTAATTGCTTGCCATAATCCTCCTTCTCCATTTCCATAATTCCGTTATACTAGAAACACCAGGGGCGATAAGGCACATCAATCCATCTCGCATTGCGTCATGTCGCTTCAGCCAATCGAACCCGACGACAGTCGGATCGAACATAAGACGGCTGTACTGAATGGGCTCAATTACCACTATCTCTACGCTGTCCCTCCTGGCGGTCAATTCAATGCTACCGTCTTTCTGGTAAGTTATCGGATCCGTCTCACGAACAGCCGGTGGTTAAACCATTCTGCTGCGGGATGCATACACCTACGCTTGCAAGTCATCATCAGTAACTAACAGACTGGTCGCGATGCGCAGATTCATGGATGGCCCGACCTAAGCCTTGGTTGGAGATACCAGATCCCTCAACTTCTGGGCATGGGCCTTCGGGTCGTGGCGCCAGATTTAATGGGATTCGGAGGCACAGTAAGCCATATTTCTTTCTATCGCTTATGCTTCATGATATCACTATGTCTTCGGGAAGCTTTTTTGATTGTACCTTCTTCTCGCAAACCCACGCAACTTCCCGCGCCATGGCGGAGGAAACGTGGGGCACGAAGGGCTTCCTGCGTGGGGATACGGGAGCGCTAACCTTGGGTTACAGGACGCCCCCAAAGTTCCTCCCAATCCCATTAATCTATACGGTCTCAAGAGAGCCTCAGATGACATCGCAGCTCTTGCCAAACACGTTGGCGCGGAGCAGATCATTCTTGGAGGCCATGACTGGTAAGGATTCTACTATCTGTGTAACGTTTTGATAGGTCTATGTATGCTAATTGACCAACTAGGGGAGGCTTCGTCGTGTGGCGATGTGCACAATGGTATACTTCGTCACCTGAAATCTAGATGTGGCTATAGACTGACGTTGAGCAGGTATCCCAAATTGATCTCTCATGTGTTCGCAGTCTGCACCCCTTACACTCCACCCCATGAGCAATATCTCTCCCTGGAGGACCTTGTTAAAGGCCCGTTGCCACAGTTCGGCTACCAGATTCATCTGGCTTCGGGCGAGGTCGAGAAGAGCGTCAATGATGAGCAGTCCATTCGCCAATTCCTGAAAGGCATCTATGGAGGCCGCGGACCGAACAGGGAGGAGCCGTTCGACCCGCACAAAGGCGTTCTCGTCGAAAATCTTCCCATCATTGGTGATAGTAGACTCCTGAACGGCAAGGTGTGTTTCTAGATTCCCCGAAAGCCTGTCGATTGCTGCAGTGAACGTATGATGTAGAGTATCGGGGCTCTCTTTTTCCGAAAAAGAGGCAATACCGTTGCCACTCTCACATCGCGTTCGACACTCCAGCGGTCTTGTGACTCCTTGCACGGTTGCGGTCTGCTGACAGATCTACAGATCCTCGACTACTACGTGAAAGAATATTCCCGCCACGGAATTCACAGCACTTGTACGTAGAAGTGCGGGGACCTCCAACTCTTGCATAACTGACCACACGACAGTGAACTGGTATCGAACGAGGAGAGCGAATTGGGAAGAAGATCAGGGGTAAGTCCAAGTTACCGTCTTTAGGTTCAACGTTTCCTAATAGCCATTAGATTGCTCGATAAAAAGCAGATCCATACTCCTGCATTGTTCATCCAGGCCACATTTGACTCCGTCTTGAAGCCAGAGATGTCCCAAAGTATGGATCAGCTCATTCCAAATTTGACCAGAGGAGAGGTCGCTTCTACGCACTGGGCTCTGACCCAGAAGCCGGAGGAAGTAAATGCTATTATCCGGAAATGGTTGGAAAATCAGGGCTTTGGAACAAGGAGTTCTTTGTAAACTTTGTAGCAAAACGACCTGAGGCAATTTCCATAGTCTCGTGGCCAAGTTTGTGGAGATTACACCGTAGCAGGTCTCTCCACAAAACGGCTTCGGTTTTTGATAATTGAGTTTACGTGCGGCTCTATCGTTGACTTTTCGAGTATAGTGCTGGGGTCCAGTGATGATGGTGTAGGATGCGCATAGATAGCGAGCAAGATTCGTTCAGCTATAGACCGTTTCGAAGCCCTTGATCACGCTACTGTCGGCTTTGCCGAGAAGACCTGGTGTGTGGTTTGCTGGGTATAGGCATGTAGCTCCTAGCTCTTATCCGAGATCAAATCAGGGTTGCGCAGAAACACTGTCGACTTGGGATTTTGATGCAGTCTTCACCCGGAACACCGGCGATTGCACTCATCAAGCGGGCTTAAGAAGACATTGTCGCTTTGGGATTTCGATATAATTATGATCGCATGGGTGATTATAAGGCCAGGTATTCCAATATGCTGCTCAGGGCTTGGGTGTAGGTAAAAGGGGACTGTCGGTTGACCGCCAAAGACATCGTGCATATTCTGGAATGGTCACGGCCAGTCAGAAGAAGCACCGGCACCCTGTGGCTCGCCGGTGGACCAAAGCAAACTTAACGACGGTGTTATTATCACTGTGGGAGCGGACAGTCCTCTCCGAACTCGCTCGTAATGGAAGTGGTGAAGAGGAATACCTGACAAATGCACGATCGACTCGTGCCTTCAAATGCATGCCACGACGCGACGAGGCTAGACAGACAAAGTTGGTAAGTCTTGCTAAGAGTGAATATCTTCACCGCTGCGGCGCCATGAGGTTAAATGTCCGAATTCTATTCGAAACGGAGACAGAGAATTGCGGAACGCAGAGGCAAGACGAGTGCGGCGTGGTAATCAGCGCAGTTCACCGCCTACTCGATTTATCATACCATGCATAAGCGTCGAGGTGGTTGCGTCGCGCCCGTTTGACGGGAAGTTGCGTGGAGTGGTGGAGTATACGGGAGGGACGGGGGTCCTGTCGCCGGCCTGTCGCGCTGATCTGGGCGTAGGGGCCTGTCTGCAATATAAATCTCAAAAACGTGCCTTATCAGTTGGCCTGCGCATGGCATTATTCGAATGCATTTGGTGTTCAGGGCATGCAACACGCTGAGAGGATGCAAGAGCATTCGAGGGACCCTGTCGGTTGGTTTGGATTGGCACGACTAGGTTTGACTAGGGAAGCCATGAGGGTGCTCTACCGGCCCGGGTGGCATCAGATAGTGGTCATAGTCCTATGTTTTTGGCAATCGGAGAAAGATAGACGAGACGTTGAAGGTGGTACAACTTATCGACTTGCCGCGGGCACATACCGGCATGGGCCAACCATCACGATCAACGGCTGCGCGATTGATTGTCGACCTTGTTCTCTTCACGCTCGCCGGCCGGGCAAAGATAGTCAACGGTTCTTTGAAGGCTGTTACACACAGAAAGAAGGACGGGGGCGGGTTAGGCAGGCCGCGTTCGTTGCGAGCATGCAATGCAGCAAACACATGCTAGAAAATGTAGTGTTTGTCCTCCGGCTCGTATACAGTGTATGGATGGAAGAAACTTGACTTCTTCCTTAGTGCCCTCGGTCGGCGCACCTGTTGCGCTTGGCTATTGATCTCCATCTTACTCAACATCAACTTGCTCTTGGATCTCGCGCTCCTTGCTTGTTCTAGGACATCATCGTCCCGACTTGCGGCCATTGGCGACCTGGACTGGCGAATGCCGTGAAGCCAGCTGGAGCCGATGGTGATCGATGGCGGGAAGTGGTGGCCAGCATTAGGGCGAGTGGTGCAATTAGAAGAGCAGTGTGGTGATGCTTCTGATAAGACTTGCCTGCACATGGCTGTCCCAGCAGAGCGGTAACGGCTGCTCAGGAATCCGTCAAACTCAGTCCCTCACTTCGGTAGCAGATGCCGCCCAGAGATTGTGACCTCCCATTGGCGAAACCATTGACATCCCGTCGTGCCCGTTAGCCATCCATTAAACATCCTGCTAAGGTACCACATCACGGATCTGTTGTTATTCGTACCGGCTGCCGTTGTCTCTGGAGGCGAGCTCGTCCGATATCTGTACACAGTACAGTCAAAGTCGCCCCTGAGTATAAGAGTATATTGCGGACCGGGCCCGCGCACGCAATCCCTGGGGGCTTCTGGAAAATTGCCAGCAATTGATCCAATATTCTGGCCAGTAGTAGCGATTCATTTTTACCAGATATCTGGCAGGTAGCGCTCCGAGATTGATGAGCCTGCCTTTCGCCAGTGGTGTTGCGAAGGCGTGCTCCAACGACGACGCCTAGGGACATGTTCGGCCGCATATCAGCCTGAACGTTTCCTGCACCGCCCAGAAAACATGGGCCCACTGCAGCAATGGACTGCTGCACGCACTACCAGATACTACCGGCAAGATGCAGTGTTCTAAAGCATCTTTCGACGAGGGCTCGCTGCTCGTATCATGCCTTATCGCTGTTTCACAGCCTCTCATGTTGAATGATAGACCGGTTTGCACGCGAAACAGTCCACCTCAGACAGCATTCTATTATTCCATCGTTTCCAGACCCCTGTGCATCTGCCCGCGTCCAGCATGCCGTCCCATGTAATGGACCTAACATTCTGCTGATCCGGCAGAAAGTAGGTCGAAGCACTTGCCCATTCTGCAAAGCTGGTTGAGCACTCCATCCCCTGGACCTATCCCATCCACATGAAGATCTAGCCACATACAATGCTCAGCGTAACGGGATAAAGAAAAGACTACGCGAAGCCATCCATCCCGAGTAGTCGTACGCATACTCATCCATGTAGACCATGTACCACGCCAGATTGGATGCGCCCAGCAAATGACGTGGTAGCTTTGGTACTTTTCATGCGATTTCCTATCTGGCCGATGCACGAACGAGAAAGCAGGCCCAGCTCTGCGCCAGAGTTCTGTTGATCGTAGGCCATTTCCGCCATGTATAAACCCTCCACGTTCCCGTGGGGTGTTGAGCGAGCTATCTTTCTCCTTCCCGTCTCATACTCATCCCTTCTGACAATTTCATTCCCATCAATTCTTTCGTAATGGCTCCCTCAGCGCTCGCGGATATCTACCCAATCCCAGCAAGGCACTACTCCAAAGCTCCTTCCATTCAAGCTTCCGTCTTGCATGGGCCAAGGGATTTGCGGCTCGTATGCTTTCCCCGTTTTGTTGAATTCATCCCACACGGCGGTGGTTCGTGGGGGTTCGTGATGTGTTGAGGTTAGCAGCTAACCGTTGAATTAGGAAACGCGGACCATATCCGATCCTGGACCTAATGAACTCCAGATCGCTATCAAAGCTACTGGAATCTGTGGTAGCGATTGTTCCTACTATAGCAAGTTCCGCAACGGAGATCTACAGGCTTGCCAGCCACTGTCTCTAGGCCATGAGTCTTCCGGAGTTGTGGTAGCGATCGGAGATGCAGTCGCTGGCTTTCAGATTGGCGATCGGGTGGCGTTGGAAGTAGGCGTTCCGTGTGACAACTGTCGCTCATGTCAAAAAGGCCGATACAACCTATGCCCTAGCATGAGGTTTCGAAGTAGTGCCAAGTCTGTGCCTCACTTCCAGGGGACACTACAGGAGCGCATCAATCACCCCGCAAAATGGTGCTACAAGTATGTCTCGCATTAGCTGTGGAAAAAGCAACTTGACTTATACCCAATACAGAGTCCCCTCGCATGTCTCGCTTGAGGCAGCAGCCCTGCTAGAACCACTGTCCGTTGCTATCCATGCAACCCGCAGAGCGACAGTGGAGCAGGGCGATACCGCTATTGTCTTTGGAGCGGGCACTGTGGGTCTGCTAGTTGCGGCCATGGCGAAATTGTCTGGTGCAACAACTGTTGTGATTGCCGATATTGACAGTGGCCGTGTGAATTATGCCCTCTCCAACGGGTTTGCGCACAAGGGTTACATCGTTTCTCCCAGGAGACATCTCAATGAGACGGCCGAGAAATTTGATGCAGCAAAAGACATTGCGGGAGATATTACGCAGATTGCCTCTCTCAATGATCCGGATTTCGAGGGTGCCGATATCACGTTCGACTGTACTGGCAAGGAGATATGCATGCAAGCTGGTCTCTACGTACGTTGCTGATGAATGTTCCATTGCTTGTTCTTGACCGCTAATTGTGTATTAGGCAACAAGACCAGGCGGAAAGCTTGTGATGGTTGGTATGGGAACACCGATACAGACTCTTCCTATGTCTGCCTCTCATCTCAAGGAGGTCGATATCATTGGCATCTTCCGTTATGCAAACACATACCCGGTTGGCATGAAGATTCTTTCTTCCGGTGCCCTTCCAAGCCTTGACAACATGGTCACACATAGGTTCAAAGGCCTCGCTTCAGCAAAAGACGCCTTTGAGACTGCTGGTAAAACGGTCGACAAAGATGGCAAGCTCGTGTTGAAAGTCCTTATCGAAACGTAGACACGTGCGTCTCCTTTCGGCTTGACACATGAAAATACCTTACGTGTCATTGGTTGAGGACACTATAATTCATGATTGGTTCTTTAATGATGAGATAGACAAGATTTAGACGTATCGGTTGAGCAAGTCGAATTGACGGTTTGGGCGTTCTGGACATGGTCGGTGAGGCGAAGATACCAGATCGACTCGTTTTCGGATTTCTAGCCAACAATAATTGGCATGGATTAAGGGGGACTGGAATAGGGAGATCATTCTTTCATTAGGAAATTAACTCTGGCGCATATTGAATCATAGAAATGATAATCTGTCTTCGCAAAGCTTGACCTCATATGCTTCGAAATTGTTGATGATGAAGCGAAGCTTTTGGCTCAATGCATCAGTAGTTACTGCATGTTGAGAGGGTGAAATATTAACCAGGATGGTTCTCGACTTCGCAAGGACGCGAAGTGGAGTGTTGATCTTTTGCCGATTACATCATACCCGCGAAAGTGACTGATGCGCTCTCACGTGTGACGGTGACATAGTTTCTCCAGGCTCCGTTACGCCGCTTGCCGCCCGCCGCCAAGCCATAACTGCCTGGGAGGATGAAGCTCTCCCAACGTCCCAATAATTGACAATACCCTTCTCCTCACTCCTGCCTACTCCTCTCTCGAATCAAAACATCCAAGACTCTCAGAACATAGTGACTTGGAAAAATGGCAGATCAATCCACGAATCCTCTCATTTCAACGGCGCGGGCGTCCGACACTAGCCCCACCATACAGCTCCATCCGCTGGTGCTCCTCACAATATCAGACTGCATAACCAGGCATACACTTCGAAAACTGCCTGGTCCCGTCGTAGGGGCAATAATTGGCCAACAAAATGGTCAAGATATCACCATGGAAGTGGCGTTCCAGGCCAAGCTACAGACCAATGCTGAGGGCGATATTGAGGTGGATGACGAGTGGTTTAAGAAGCGGCTCGATGAGTGTATGTGCAGTACTTAACATGCTGCGATGAAGTGCTGTTCTGACAGATTTACAGTCAAGATTGTGCACAAGCAACCTCAACTCGACCTTGTTGGATGGTTCACATTAGGTCCTAGCTCCGGCCCGCAACCATACCTCCTACCCATTCACAATTACATATCACAAATTAATGAAGCACCGATTCTTGTTCTTTTCCATGCGGAAGATGCCTCCTCAGAAGCCACGGCTGCCGGGAAGCTACCTCTCACCCTTTACGAATCAGTCTTTGAGAGCGCGGCTGGAGGTCCCAATGACAAAGCTATGGACATCGACGGTGCAGTCCAAGCAAAAGCTGTCAAGTTCAGAGAACTTGTATACTCCATTGAGACGGGTGAGGCGGAGATGATCGGCGTAGACTTCGTCGCAAGAGGAGGTGGCAATGCTACGGCGGTTGAGGGAGGTTCAGACGGCGCAACGAAAGCCGAAACCAAGGCGGCCGAAGAGGATAAAAGCAAGAAAGGAAAGGGCAAGCAGAAAGAGAAGCTCAAAGAAGAGGCAATAGACGAGGCAAATGTTCTGACCGCCGAAGATGAAGAAGGTAAGACTGCCACCAACCATCACCCCAACCCTCACAGCTCACACTGACCCACCCCAGTACTATCAACCCTCACCGCAAAGATGAACGCCATCCGAATGCTGAGCCGACGAATCTCCCTCCTCCGCGCATACCTCGCCTCCCTACCCCCATCCTACCTCTCCGACCCTTCAAAACCCTTCAATCCCACCCCAGACGCCGAGCACCCCCTCCCACTCAACCACACCATCCTCCGCAGCATATCCGCCACCCTATCCCGCATCAACATCCTCTCGCCCCCGGACACCGAAGCCTTCACCCTTGAATCCCAGCAGGAAGCCTCGGACGTGCAACTCGTGGCCCTACTATCCGCAATCACGAACTCGACGTCCTCGGCCAGGGAGCTCGGCAAGAAGAGCTACATCGTGGAGCACACCAAGTCGCAGAACCGCAGGGCCAGCGGGTGGCCCGGCGGCGATGGCAGCTACCTGGACCCGATGATCGGAGGCGGACCCGGCGGCGCTTTGGGGCTCGGTGGTGGAAGGCAGATGGGAGGAGGCGGGTACGACAGGCTCTAGGATAAGGCGTCGGCCAAGGCTAAGTCTCTCTTTGGGAGGAAGTGATGGACGGCCCGGCCCGTTCGAAACATCCGGACTTGCAGACTGGGTTGCGAGTGCGACGGGATCGAAAAGTGTAGCAGGATCATGATACCCCATCCCCACCCAACACCCACTGCTCCAACGGACAAACCTTACGAAAGAACAAAAAAGCAGAAGGAAATACCTCATCAAATTACAACGCTGGAGCATAATGCCCCAACCGGAAAATATCCTGTAACTTGGAGGTGGCATTAATTCATTTCTGGAACGGCTAAGCTACAATTACCAGCCACAAATAGCTTTGACGGACACATGAATTGACACTGATCCCACCCCATACTTTCCCGCGAACAGGTAATCCGGCATGTAGGCAGGTAGTTGGGCAAACACATCAACCTAGCTCACGTTCCAACCTAGGATAAGGGAATACAACCTCTTTTTTCGGATTCACGATTCGAGCATTTTAGCGGTACCACAAACATACATACATTTCAGGCGTTTAATCTTCTTCTCTCCTTTCACCCCTCCTTCTATATCTCTCTTGCCATTACAGAGGGGAGGAACCACTTTCGGCCTATCTTTCTCTCCTGCTCTAGTGGTAGTGGTGGTGGCGATGATGATGATGATGGAAGAGAGGATGGCCAATTGGGAAGCACGGTTTCGGTTGGCATTTGTTAGACTCGAGACCTACTAGAAGGGAAAAAGAGAAATCATAGCAAAGCACAAGTATCAAGGAATGACAGTGACAATACGATATGATGACCACGATGACTTGATTTGGTATTGATAAGGCTTTGCCATTAATTTCACGTTTATTCTTCATTTTTATGCTCATGTGAACGAACGAACAAACGATTGAACGTCCACAGTGCCCTCTATTTCACTCTCGATACAAAACGAACAGACAGACAGACAGACAGACAGTTACCCAGACGTATCCATACTCTCCGTCCCCCCAGCGACCCGTTGAGAAGCAGACGAGGAACTTCCTGCTTGTGCTTGTGCAGCAAACGCAGGGGTAGTGTATGCAGATCTACCCCTTGGTGGAAGTGGTAATGGTATCTTGCCATTTACAGTATCCCAGAACATTCCCGTCATGACCTTGATGCGTATTTGTTGTTCTAGATTGTTGGGATCGATGCCGACGGATTCTTCGGAGACGGTCGAGGTTGACATGCTCGATGAGGGCTCTGGGGGTTCGTGCGGTGCTGTGGGAGTGACGTTGGCTTCAGGGTTGGCAGCACTGTGGGCAGTTTCCTCGGACTGTGTGGTGGGCGGATTGTTGCCTTCGTGATGTTGCTCTGGAGAACCGTCTAAGGGAGGCGAGAGATCCTCGTCATCTTCGAGCATTGGTATGTCGTATTCGATCATTGGTTCAGCGTCTTCATCCATTGGCTCGTGGTTTTCGATCATCGGCTCGTGGTCTTCCTGGCTGGGTTGGACGTTTGCTGGCGTGTTGATCGGCGTGAATTGCGATATAGTATCGACACCTGTGTCCTGGTCCATCGCGTTCTCTACTGGAGTTTCGTCCATTTGCTCGGGAGCGTTTTCACCGATGTGCTGGACGGCTACGGTGGGTATCAATGTCAGCTTGTCGATAGAGTCATCATCAGACGCAGTGGTCTCGCCCTCTGATTCATCTTCAACGACGGACCCGTGATCTGGATGTGTGACTTCCTCGCGCAGCAGGGAGGTCCTCCGTGTGCTGCTACGTTTTCCCTGGATTGTAGTCTTCTGGATAAAGACTTTGCCACAGCAGCATGCTTGGATGCGGCCAATAGCGTATTTCTTTTTGTTGATTGAATCTCGAAGTTCATCATACAACACCCAGACAGCCCTATTTAGGACCGGGTCTCGGCGCTGTGCCACAAATTGGGTGAACCCTACGGCCAGATTCAACTGTCTGTCGTACTCTTTGTTCTTTTCCGCAGCCTGGCATAGCATGCAGTTACTCTCCATGGAGATAATCCAGCTGGTATCCGGAATGCAGGCTGGAGTGAGGCTTGGGGTTCCATCATCATAGACTAATCTGTGGACTCCACCGCATTCGGACTTTTTGATTATCGCACGATGTGAACATCTGAAACGTAGAGTGTCGACCTTGCACATCATGGAGACTATGCACTACCAGTGTTTCCAGGTTGAATGAGTGTTGGGGGTGGTAGTGACGAGTGTGGATCAAGAATGATGAATATGAGCTTTCGAAGTATCCAATATTTCTGCGCGCTGTGGGGACAATGGTCGAGCACCCTGCTCCTCTGCTTTAGCTGTAGGTCATATGTACTATAGGTGGAAACATAGTGAAGGCTGGGACGCTTCACTAGGCAGTGATTCTTGACATATGTTACGGTTGGCCTGGATACGAGAGAAGTTGTTTGGTACCACGGGCACTGGCGGTGAATCACTGTGCGAAAGGACCATCGGAGACTCGTACAGACACGTACAAGTTAAGCTTTCACTACTGAGAACGACCAAAATTTCGCGGGATTTTCGAGTCCACAATAAGAGGTTCAACCAGCGACAGTCTCAAGTTTGTAGTTGTCCAGTGCCCACGATAAGTTTGCTTGCTAACGATCCGCAGGTTTGAATTTCCGAGACTCGTCCAGGATGGTACAATGTTCAGCCACGACCGTGTACGAATATTTATTTCAGGAACTGGATGGGTGTTAGCTGAAAACATCGTCGTTGCCTTGATTCGTTGGATCTGCGATAATGTATGGACACTCAGGGTGGAACAGTGACAGAGAAGGCCTGGACTGAGGGGAAAGCAACATATGTAAAGATAACGATTGTGCTGTCAAAGCAAAGCAGTCCATCTGGTATATGAATACCAATGTCTTGACTGTGCTGGAGAGCTTTGTAGATGTGAGGAAGTTCTGTTGCTATAAGTAGGGAAATCGCTGTAGTCAATATCGCGGTGTCGCGCTATCACGTGCCAATATCAATGTACATCGAAGGTTTAAGAAGGCACGCAACGAACACAGATCATCAATTGAAAATGGGTAACAGCGATAGATACCTAAGTATCTACCAGTGACGCCGAAATGAAGATCCCGTCGTCGCAAGAACCAAAATTGTTGTGGCTTCATATCAAATTCGATGAAGGATTTGAACATTACAGTGAACTGAACTATCACATCACCATGGTCGATGGGTAGATCATTCCTTAGAGTCAGACTTCAGCATTCTTACGAGGTGCCAACAAAGTGTGGATGCCGTTACCCTCATATTTCGTGGCTGAGAGTAGTTTAATGCCTACTGGCGGACCAGATAGGCCATCAAGCTTCAGTTTGGACCAACCATTTCTCATCAAATCAGTGAAAGAATCTCAGCATTGTATCCCATGAGCTCTCCTCTATTTGAAGGAACATACGACAAGGCCAAATTACTTTCGATTCCAAACATCACAAAGGTAGATCCTCATGTAGTCCGCTAGTCACGCAATTCACACCATACTCTCTTACCATCCCGTCAATCATCACGCTTCGGGACTCAGCCTTGTAGCCGAATCCCTCTCTCAATCAACTCGAAACAACCCGATCTCCGAACAAAGATCTGATTCGTAGCCTAATCTAGTATGCTTTACAACAAACACTAAATAAAGCTTACACTGTACACTCGAGCTAATCAGCGGTACGGACGGACAAACACCCATCCTGCCGAATCAGGCAAGAGGAGTGCTCGTCATCGTCTGGCATTTACTCGACGGGAGGACGGCAATGGCATATTTGGTAACTAACGTCGGGATCTACGAGGTGTTTGTTGGGGGTCCGGGCGCTGACGAACGGTTACGGGGATTTGGAGGGTTGTTTTCTGGCTACGCATGGCTACTTTTGCCGAATCTACATCTATGTGTACATGTATGGAGAACAAAGGGCGTCGTATTTGGTGATCGTTACGAGATGCGATGGATAGATACGAGCAATTAGGTTATGGGATATTCTTGGAATGTGTTGGACTACGCGAAGGGCGAGGAGATCGTCAATGATTGCTTGCTCTCATCTCGCTGTGCATATGCATGCCCGATTGGCTACTGGCGATCTCGGGGCATGAGTTTGGATTGGGTGCGGAGGTTTGGGAGGGCGCGCGTGCTGTCGTGTTGAGTGAGTACCGTATGTATGTAGTGGTGCTTATGTCTCACGGTGATACACCGTCTGATGGGTGCGTCGGAGATATATGAACGGAACCATAGGTAGGTAGATGGATAGATAGATATTCGCAGATAAACAAGAGAGCAGACAAGTTGTTGGTGTGGCTTGAAGGTTATGCGTGAGATAGACTAGGGGCGTCAAATGGCATCTAGCGAGCCGCGATTGCTGAGACGTTGGGGGACCGTGGACCCGGGAATTTCTTGAATTTACCCAAATGGCGAGCCAACGACGGCTGTCATTGTTGCTGATCGGTGGACATGGAAGTTGTAAGTTCGATGAGAATGGGTCATGATAGTTTTACCGCTAGCACGCCGTAACGTCTGTAGCGAAGTGGCGTAGGAGCATGCGAGTGGTGAATGGGAAAGCAGGAGAGACGCTGGTGGTGTCGTTTGCAGGCCATTGCAGCTAAGCGCATGACAGATGAAACACTACAACGGTGACGATGGGGTCACACGGATGCAGTTTGGACGCTTTTAACAGGAAGAGCGATGATCATGTACTGTGTAGGACCTGAGTATCTACTAAGCAGAGTCAAGAAGAGGTTAATACGTAGGAATTGCTTTTTCTTCGTCATTGATGATTGGATCCATCGTGGACCCTGTTCAGTGTTGAGAGGGAAAGTTCCGCAGTTATGTTTCGAAGGGATTAGTTCCGGCGACTGCATGAATCAACGAGACCAGGGATGGAGAAATCAGGAATCACAATACGACCCGAGGATGCGGTGAGAGAAGAAGTACTCCGTAGTAGTAGGAGTGGTTCCTTTGTGTGGGTGGTGATGATAATGATGGTCCAACAGTGGTTGAAACATGAGTAACTACACAGTAATGGTGAATGAGAGTGGTGTGGTGTTGAAGGCAACGGGTGGAAGGCTTGTTTGCAGTTGTAGTGATGTGATGTGATGATGTGGTGGTACATTGGTACTGTCTGTGTACTCCCAGTCCTACTACTGTAGGACGATACACAGTATGTAGAACTGTAGGAGTGCTCGAAGCGAAGATGTTTCAAAGACGGGCCGGGCCAAGACAGAGACAACCACTCGGAACAGGCCAAGTCGGCGCAGAACACCTTCTCGTGCGATGGGAACGGATGGGGAAGCTATTATTGTGTTAATTACCTGCTCGGAGATGGACACCTTAGGTACATGTTCAGAACGCGACTCATTGTATTGTTATGCATTATCGATTCTGTTAGTGCTGGACCCGCCTGGTTCGGTAATGGGTCTCGTAATTTGGTTTCTGACAGCGCCGATCAGACTATGAGTTGGGTAGGTGAGCACGGCAGAGATCGTGTAGCATGGTGGGCCAAAGCTGAGGACGGTAGGTCTGCGAGAGGACCTGTGCAGGAGGCGATACTTATTGGATGAATGGTCGAGATTTGAAGGTCTACAGTTGGTTGGATGGGTCCTCTGATTGGTCGGGGTGGGCAGGTTGTGGTGTTGCAGTGGCGCTGGGTGGCTGCGTCTGTAAGAAAAGAGTTCAAGACACACCGACACGGAAACAGACTCACGGTACGAGCCTACAAGAGACATCCAGGCAGCTAACGATCAAATGACGAAACACATCAATCTTTACAATACCGAACACTGGATACGGTAAGGTAGGTGACGATATAGATAGCAATCACACTCACAGCGAGTACGGAATGCTCCATGAGTTCATGTACTCCGTACACAGGACGGAATACTCCGTCGAGTGTCTTTCTTCCAGCACGCTTTCCATTAGTACTCCCTATACCAGGAGTCATTTATTAAGTGTAGCAAAGAATAGCCAAAATCGTATGCCCATAATGATCACATCCAATATTCCAATTTTTTGGTATCGTCTCTTACTATGAGTATCTAATAAATATTAGACCAAGCCATCAAGCGCTTTCGCTCAGTCGAAGGTCGAGACCTGCTTCCACTGTTGTTCCTTGCGGCCCTGTGGGTCTGAGCTGGGGTTCGTCTAGAAGGGGTTTCCCTGTCACGTCCTCCTATATTCATTACCTGGTATTGTTTTGGATGAGTTACTACTCCGTACTACCTTGATTATGTATTGTAAAATCGACTGTATGGCTTGGATTCCTTTAGCTGCTTCTTCTGAAACGCCTCCCCCGGCTGATTCGGCTCCTTTGCGCGCATGTCTCGTAGTCTCATGGTCTCGTAGTCGAGTCCTTTGACCCTCTTCGAGTCTCTCTCCATTCTCAGTTGGTCGCCTGTCCGTCCGTTAGCAGAGAATCGCATATGCAGGTAACAGCATGGGTGCAACATGGATCATCCATCCAATACATTCAATAGATGCATCCAATAATTCCAATACATCCTCTGTAATCCTCCGTACGAGGTACACACTGCTCTGCTCCCTCATACATACTTCTACCCAAGGCGCCCTGTCACTGTCGCACACGCGCGCCGTTGTCGTTACCATACCATTGACTACCATTATCTGCCATCGCGGTTATCCAAACCCATTTCCTCCTGCTCCTTCCTCGCCTTGACCGGAACCTTCACTGTAGTTCTTCTGCACATATCGGACAGAGGGGACGCTAGGTTAGATACTCCGCACTAAACATCAACACCCACATCCACACCACAGCTACATCCTCATCTACAAACACGCAAACATACATACATACTCCGTCCATACACAAGCACCCTCGGAATCCTCGCGAATCGCCTCAATCCACGGAATACGCAACAGCACCATACTACATCAATACATCACCACCCACCGTAATCCATATCTACCACCGTAACATCAGTACTCTGCTTCCTAACCGCCTCAACCTCGTGGCATAGCAATCGCTGCTGTGCCCAGTCATGAACTAATTCGCGGCACCCATCCGTCCATCGTCAACCCCGCTTGTTCATTATCTTGTTTCCTTGCTGCGACGGAGCTCCGTTAGTTCTGTCGTGTCACCTTAACCCAGCCATCGTTGTTCGCGTTGTTCGGGTCACTACAACACGCAGCAACCCGCCCGCACACGACCACTTCCCCCTCGACATTCACACTCACTCTACGCCAACATGATCAAACGGAAGTTCTCCTTCAACATTGCACCTGTTGTACGTACCATTTTACCTTCTATCATATCTATTCCTGGCGTCATATATCCAGACAATTGCTCTGGCGCCTAATCACAATCGCTTTTACTCACTGTTATCTTTAGAAGGTCCCCTCCAAGAGCGATCTCCACAGCAAGGCTTCCCCGGAGCCAGTTCCCTCCCAATCCGCATCCCGTTCGGTCCAATCACAGTTTCATTCTCATCACCGTCATCATTCCCTTGAATATGCCTCTCCCCTCGATTCCCCCTTTATAAGCCGCCAGCGCATCGACCCCAGAACCGAACAGGAACTTCGCGCTGCGTGCGCGCTGATTCTACAGCACTTCAAACCTTCCGATCATGGACTGGAGGACGCCGACCCGAAGCTCGACTTCCAATGTCCGAACCGCCGGAAAGAACGCAATGACCTCCGCGATCAGCGAGATCAACAGGATCACCGGGACCGGAGAGAACATGGGGACCAGCGATCCGGTGCAACCGACGTGAGGGTTCGACAGCCTACGGGCGCTCCGCAGCAACATGCGAGTTCTGCCGTGGCGAAAAAGCAATCCAAATCTCGACTCAACCGGGCAGATATTTTGTTCAGGGATGACAATTGGGAGAAGCCACCCCCACGGGCGAATACTGGTCGACGAAGGGCTGATCAGTCTGCGCCGGTAGAGAAGGGGAAGCATATCAAGTCCCCACCTGTCGAACACGTGCGGCCAGCAGTGACGCGGGTCGACGTGGACTCGGACGATGGTAAGAGTGTGGGAACCCCGCTGACCGCCTCGACGGATACCCATGTGAACAATTCATCAACAGCGCCTACCTCGGCGGCGTTGACGACTGGGAGAAACTCAAAGAGGGAGTCTCACCAGTTTGACGGTGCTGCGAGGGCGGATGCGCAAGCTACCGAATGGATGCGCCAACAGCTGGAGAAGAAGAACCGAGACCAACCCGCCCCACCGAAAGTAGAGAAAGAACCTCAGACCCCCAGCCGTTCGAAGAGCATACGAACTGGCATCAAAGACTACATCTTTCCTGGATCTGCAGCCCTAAGCAGAGCCCAATCCCATGAAACCTTGAGCTCTTCAAACAACCAGACCGCTCCTCCCAAGGATCTGAGACGGACTGCCTCGTCGCATGGCTGGCGGAGTTGGGGCCTTCAGCGCAAGTCGAGCTCACGAAGTAGTAGTAGGCCGAATTCGTCCAAGGGCCGCGTCGAGAATCAAGAACAAGAGGCCAAACCGTCTATCAATCTGAACCGCGAACTGCCCCCACTTCCAAGCCTGGATTCGTGGAAGGACGAGGGGCAACCCAAGGCAAGAGAAGAGAGGAAGTCACAGATCCAGAGTGCACATATTGCGACAGTGATGCGATCTTCCGAGCAGCAGCAACAGCAAGACTATGCTGCGGCAGTGCGGAAGCATCATCGAAGAAGTGGGTCTGACACACTGGCGCTTCGCTATGCCAATGCCTCATATTCCCAGTCCATCCCGCAGGTGGGCCCTGTCCCGCCACGCAAGAATCAGAAGGCCAAGGAACGGACGCATCCAACTCGCGGTGACAGCTCCATGGACTTTGACGATATGATGTCGGCTATGAAATCCACCGAACAGCTTGTCGCCCTGAGCGGCGCCCACAAACAAAGCGTAGAGCGTCACTCACGGTCTCCCAGCATCAAGATGAGCAGTGATCAGTCCCGCCTGGAAGCACCCGTAAACTTCTCGCGCAAGATCAGCGCCGACATAATGAGCCCGCGCAGCCTCGACCACATTGTGTATCCAAACCAAGTCCAACTAGGCCCAAGCCCTCAACAGCAGCCCCAGCGACACAAATCCACGCTGAAGAAAGTCTTTGGCGGGTGGATGTCCAAGAAGGAGAAGAAGGACAATTGGATGAAGCAAGTCGAGAAGAATGGCGTCAAGAATGGTGTCATGATCCAAGACGAGGCCGCGCTTCCTCCCGTAGTGCGCTATTAATTTCTCTCTCTCTAATCGTTTCCCTTCCGTCACTTAGATGAGACCCTTTTCTTTTGTTTACAATTCTCCAGGCCTGTCGACTGGATCGCTGGCACCCTTAATCACCATTATCACACCGAGCTTTGAAGGCTTGGCCAGTCCACACCACGTTCAAACTTTCCTACCTCCTTCCCTCCCCCACGCGTCTTAACTCACATTCGCCGTTTCCTTCACGTCCACCACACCATATCCAAATTTCCGTTGCATCTCGCCCTTTTTTTCTCAATCAGCGTGCGTCAGTCCCCTTTCTTCGAAACGAACAATCACGCAATCCTCACTTACGCCCCTGCCAACGAAAACGAAAGAAGATATACTTACCTCACCACCACACCACATCACATATATGTCCCTTACCCACCATCTCCTTTTGTACTCTACTCCACCCCGTCTCTCTCGCCGCCGGAACCAAACAAAAAATAGCCGCGAAGGCGAAGACGAAGACGAAACGTTTGTATCGGAAGGGCTAGTTAGAATGAGAATGAACGTTGTTAGGCATAGATTAATGCAATGTCTGTTTGAATGATATAGAGATTGAATTTCGAAAGATATGAATGTAAAGCTTTCGTCAATGGTTGTTTAGCATGCACGGTTTGAGTGATTGGTGTAGAGAGTTATCACTGCATATGATAACAACGTTTATTCAACATCATGACGCTGCGTAGTAATTACCTAACAAACGGCCAATTACCATAGCATCAATTAGATAGATTCGCCAACAAGCGACTATCAAGCAAAGAATCAGCCACTGGTGCGATGTTGCAATATCAGACACCGTCAACTTACACACAGTAATGCTACTCCTTTGCCTGGAGTCCTCAAGTTTCCTGCTTTGTTCGGCGGGCGGTCTTTCTGTCGGCGAATTCTTCTGTCAAAATCTTTGCCGACTAACGAGTCCTACTGTGTCTCTTTTTGCTGGGCGGTTGTTTTATATGCGACTTGAAAAGGTGCGTTTTTAGTTGTAGTGAGTGTTCCTTTCGCTAGGTACTCGTTGTATTAGTTATTTTATTTGTTGAATACGCCCTCCGTCAATGAATCTTTTCGCCAGGTTGTCCGGCTGTTGGCGACCCCTTGTCAAGGGAGATTATAGAGCACGAAGCTAGTTAGCCTGGCATTGTTCATGAGCAAACGTATTGAAATCTACAACAACAAACGTAACGAGGGGGTGCGTCCAGCAGAGAAGGGTGACAAGGTTGGTGTAGGACGTTGACAACTGATAGTGAATCTATTGGCAACTCCTAATAGCGATTCTCACAGCTTATCTTTTGCTGGGCAGTCCTTCTATTGGCGACTGTACAACTGACTTGTCGCCATGTATTCTATCTGATAGCGAGTTTATCAAGTACTTCCAATAGCTATTCTGTCAACTCATCTTTCGAAACCCAGTCTGTTGAAGAGAGAGAAGGTGCAGGAAGAAGGCAAAGGTGAATGTACTGATTGTTGAATTTGATCAGGTCTAAAGTCCAACTCAATTTTCAAATCAATGGGAATGTGTTAAAAGTCTATGTCTAAGAGCGACTCGTTCTCATGCCCGAACCACTAGACTTGATATATTGTTCGAGATTGCTTCGCTAAACCTTGCGTGAATATACATTGACTTGTCCTCTACAGACATGCCAAGGATTGTCAAACTCAACGTCAATCATCCATTTCTGTCATGGCATCTTCAGGTCTGTCCAGATGACACATTGCCAGGATCAAACGCTCTGGCTCATCGCCGAAATTTTGATCCCCTAAATAGCAATACTTCCCAAGCCCCACACGACCGATTGCAGCATAAGCCATCGAAGTCCCAGGTGTCGAAGCCGCCGAATATATCAACTGCGAATTCGGTACCCTTCCAAGGAACAAAGCTTTGGACTGAAACGACCTGGCCAAGGTCGAGGTCCGGACTAGATTTTCGTCTGTCGTGTACAATTGAACCTCATGGTCCCCGAAGGCCGTGACTTGCCATCTCAGATGGAAGTGATCCTTGATAATCGAATCGAGACGTTCCCAATGAACTGTAGAGGCAAAGAAACCAATGGTGATTGCCGTGCAGCCGTGCTTTGTACATTCCACTACCGCATCGAGCAAACGTCGACTCTCTGGATCGTCCCGTGTAATGGCAGAATCCGTGATGAGTATGACATTTGGCCATCCCGTGCTGATATAGTTAAGTGCATCTTGAATCGTGGTGGATTCGTGCAGTGAGGCCCGTGAGAGGAGTTTGGGTAATAATTGTTGGTAGAGTTGACGGGCCGAGAAGGAGAAACCCTCAAATGATAGGACGAGGACGTTGGGCATGGTCGCAACTATATATATGCAAGAACTGGAAACATAAAAGGAGAACTAGCTGTTTGGGAATGCAACACAAAGCGACTGAACAGTAACAATTATGGCGTGTTTAATTATTCAAGAACGAACGACCGCTGGAGGTGGTGCAGATGCAGACGCAGTTGCAGGTGGGGGTCCCAGTCCAATCAGATGTAACTTGGACCGTTAAATTTAGCGATGAGATCTAGGGCGGAACTTGACTCAGGGAAGGGCTGCAGTGACGTTGATTGTTTCTTTGGATGACTCCATCCCCCACTACGGAAACACAGCCTTAAACTCCAGTCATTTTCTGGTGAATAACAATCCTTCTCCTCAATCATTGCGCAAGCTTATAAATGTCGAGCAAGCCACAGTAAATTTCAGGATCACTCATTCCACTCTATCCCGTACAACTTTACACATTTTCCACATGGCGCAAAAGACCGGGAAAGTCGAGCAATTGCTGCAACGGCCGCTTTATGGTGCGCAACCTCGTATTCCACACATGTTCACTGCCTAACCTTTTCTCTGACAGTGTTCGACCTGCCCGAAGAGATCTTATCGACTCTCACCCTCAAAGACCAACCTGCACAGATAACTCCAGACACTCCTCCTCAAATACCGACACCTGCAAGCGAGACCTCCGAGAAACCAGACACTGAAAATGGACCCGCGAAAGCCACCGCATGTAACCTGTGCGGTCTCACCTTCCCGTCGGTTGCGGCGCAACGAGATCATGTTCGATCAGACCTCCATGGCTATAACTTGAAGCTCAAACTGAAAGGCGCGAAGCCGGTCAACGAGGATGAATTCGAGAAGCTTGTTGGCGATCTAGACGAGAGTATATCTGGCTCAGATAGCTCGGAATCCGACACTGAAGAAAATGAAGAGGACGGCGGGAAAGCAAAGGACAGCACATTGAGCGCACTCCTCAAGAAGCAAGCGAAGATATCAAATCCAGAGTTCGATGAGTTCGCGTCGAAGAAGAAGCAGCGTGGAGCTGGGAAGCCGCCTTTGTTCTGGTTCACATCCCCGCTATTGCCAGAGAATACATCGTTGGGGGTATATCGCGCAATATTCTCGGATGCAGAGCAAGAGGAGGAATCACACATCATCGACACAATACGCAAGAAACAGCTCTCGCCGAAATCGATCCCAAAACTCAACCCTGACGGCGGCGTACCATTACCGAAGACTGATGTCGGACCGCACTTCTTCCTTTGCATGATCGGAGGTGGCCACTTCGCCGCCATGATTGTCGCGCTTGCTCCTAAGACTGGAAAGAAGAATGGAATCGATGAGCGATCGGCAACCGTCATTGCACATAAGACATACCATCGATACACGACTAGAAGAAAACAGGGAGGCTCGCAATCGGCAAACGATGCCTCAAAGGGCAATGCACACTCCGCTGGTTCCTCGCTCAGACGATACAATGAGGCTGCCCTGACAAGCGACGTCCGCAACCTGCTTCAGGGCTGGAAAGAATTGATCGATTCAGCAGATCTGGTCTTCATCCGAGCCAGCGGTGTAACAAACCGACGTACCCTATTCGGACCTTACGATGGCCAAGTGCTACGAAATAACGACCCCAGGAATCGGGGCTTCCCTTTCAACACTCGGCGCGCGACTCAAAAGGAGCTGATGCGAGCTTTTGTGGAGTTGACTCGGGTCAAGCAGAGCACGATAGATGAGGCCGCTCTGGCTGCACTCGACCAATCCCAAGCCAACGAGGCACCCGCTGCCAAACCCGCCAAACCAAAGCCACAAAAGCCATCGAAAGAAGAGGAAGTCGCCATGCTACACACCTCACAGCTAATCCCACTCATCAGGCGATCAAAGGTGCCCGCGCTGTTAAACTACATAAAGACTAACGACATTCCTCCCACCTTCAGATTCTCCCCAGAGAACCATCATGCACCGACCCCTCTGCATCTCGCTGGCTCCACAAGATCGCCCCTCGTCGTCTCTGCCCTGTTGACCAAAGCCAAAGCCGACCCAACAGTCTTGAGCGACGCAGCCCACACACCGTACAGTCTGGCCGCCGGCGACCGAGCCACCGAGGATGCATTCCGTCTGGCGCGGTTCGAGCTCGGAGAAGCTGCCTGGGACTGGGAGAAAGCCGGCGTGCCCTCGCCGCTTTCGAAATCCGAAGTCGACAAGCGGGATGCAGAAGAGAAAGCAGCAAAGGCCGCCGAGGACAATGCAGAGTCTGCTAGGAGGAAAGCCGAGACAGAAAGGTTGAGGAAGGAGAGCAGGGCGGAGGAGGAGAGGAAACTTGAGTCGAGGATAGGGAAGGGGAAGACGCTGGGAGCGGCTATGCAGAAGACGGGTGCTGAGAAGAGAGAAGAGGATGCACGCGGCCTGACTCCCGAAGCCAGAGCTCGATTGGAGAGGGAGAGGAGAGCTCGTGCGGCTGAGGAAAGGTTCAAGCGAATGCAGGGCAACTGAACGCTAGATTCGGGGAGTAATATATAATTCAATCACAGTGAAAGACACAACGCCAGTCATGGCTGTACATCACTCGTCTAATTCATGCAATGTTGCTTTGTCTATCCCAGCACGTCTCCCTATTTACAAAGACGCTACGAAATTTTCAACTCTCATACTTTACAACGCACCCAACTCCTTGAGCTTTCCAATCATGCCATCGACATCCTCAACCTTGACACCGCCCTGTCGCTGCGGCGGATCCGTAACCTTGACCGTCTTTAACCTAGGCGCGGCATCGAGTCCATAATCCTTCAGCGTCTTCTTCTCCAACGGCTTCTTCTTCGCCTTCATGATATTAGGCAGACTCGCATATCTCGGCTCATTCAACCTCAAATCCGTCGTAATCACCATCGGCAACTTCGTCCTCAACGTCTCCACCCCGCCATCCACCTCCCTAGTCACCGTCACCTTCTCCCCCTCCACCTCCACCTTACTCGCCTGCGTCGCCTGTGGCCAATTCAACAGCCCCGCAAGCATCTGGCCCGTCTGCCCCGCATCGTCATCGATACTCTGCTTCCCCAAGATAACCAGATTACTCTTCTGCTCGTCCACCACCTTCTTGAGCAACTTGGCTACGCCCAGCGGCTCCAATGCGTCCTTCTCGTCCACCTGCACGTGAATGCTGCGGTCCGCGCCCATGGCCATGGCCGTGCGGAGGATGTCCTGCGCTTTCGCGGGGCCGGCAGAGATGGCGACGATTTCTTCGACGGGGGTGGCCTTGCGCTCGCGGAGCCGGACCGCCTCTTCGATGGAGAGCTCGTCGAACGGGTTCATGCTGTGCTTGACGTTGGCGGTTTCGACAGCCGTTTGGGCGCGGTTGACGCGTGGTTTGACCTGCGGGGGTTAGTGGGAGGGGGTTTCAGAGGGGTATTTGGGGGGATTGAGCTGGCTTTGGGGTTATAGAGAGAGGTATAGGGAGGGGAAGTGAGGTTTCTGGTGGTGATGTTGTATGGGTAGATGCGGCATAGTAAGAGAACGTACAGCATAGTCAATGACCCGCTTGATCGGTACCAGGATCCTCAATCCGGACATTGTGGGCAGACGGAGGTGTTGCTCAGCGATACAATTGTCGGGTTATTGGGGTGGGTGTGGTGGTGGTGGAAATGGTCGTTGGTATAAGTCGAAGTGAAGAGGTGGGACAAAAGATCGGAGCTTGATCGCAGACAGAACCGAACCGAGGGTACGATGAATGGACGGGAATGCTTCCCTGCCTTTTCGGTTTCCCCCGCCTGGCCTGGAGTTTTCCGAGAAACGCCAAGGCTTTCATGGGCATTTAGTGTGAGGATCGGAATTATCAGATGCAAGTAATTCATCATGCATCGACCTCAGGCGATTATGTTAATGAATGTGAAGTGACAATGCGAAAATTATCTATCCTCTTTTTCTAAATCGAAGGAGCTATACGTCTACCATGTCTCTTGCTTGTAGCGTCCGCTCTTCTCTAATGATTCTAAATAGGCTTCAGCAGCCTCCCGAGTGTGCGAACCATGTTTTTGAAAACCTTCTATCAGAGCCTCTCGCACTGCCTGGGGCATCTTTCCCGATGAACCGCAAATATAGACAATACCGCCTTTCCTGGCCAATGCATCGAAAACCTTGGCACTCTCCCGCCTTATGAGATCTTGAACATACACCTTTTGTCGCTAGTCGAATGGTTAACTTTGTCGCTTAGTGGAATATAGGAAACTTACCTGATCCCTAGAGAAGGCGGGCAAAACTTCAAATGGTGCACCGCCGTCTATTAGCTCCTTCCATTCGTCTTTGAAAAAGTAGTCCGACTCTGCATTTCGACAGCCAAAGAACAAGATGTCTTTTGTGTTTTCATCAACGCTGGCACCTCCCTGCTCGCTGCGCCAGTGCTTGCGCTGGTAAGTCAATGCCCGCATGGGAGCGACACCCGTTCCTGGCCCGATCATGACCACAGGCTTCTCCGTTTCTGCTTTCGTCACCCCTAGGCCTCCCTTGTGGAGAGTGACAGCTATCTCTTGTCCTGGCTCGAACGATGCGACATAGCGCGTACAGACACCCTGTCGAATGCGTTTGATGACAGTCCGATACTTGACGATAGCGATGAGCAACTCGATACGGGTCCGCCCTTCGCTCTCTGCAGTAGGGGACTGTGCACTTGCAATGCTGAACTGTCTGCCGCGAAGAGCAGGTATGATTGAGCAAAGGCGCTGCCACGGTATCTTGACCGTTTCAAATTCCTGCAGGACCTCTAATATACTACGCCGCGGTCTAGTCGTATAGTCATAAAGTTCGTCAATGTATTCCGGATTGATGAATTCAAGGAGCCGTTCCCGTTGGAACTCGTCATTGGTGAAGTGGGCCAATTGGGCAAAGAAGGAACGCCGCGGGATTGACATAATATCCAAGTGGTTGGTCAGTAGAACTCGCAGGGTGGTGTCAGATTCAGCAGAAATATGTGGGACTGGTAATGGTGTCGAAGACGAGACATTGGGTTGACCTGGTATAAATTTGAGAGGGACGTCTGCCATGGACTCCCAGTGCGTTACTTTCAAAAACTCATCAACATCATTAGGAAAATTCTTGGGGTAAATTGTGAGAACATCTCCTGGTACATAGGGGTGATATCCGGGGACTTCGAGAGTAAGATGGCGAACATCTTGCCAATGTTTCTCTGCTGTGACTCGGGCATTGGAGAGCACTTTGGCTGATAATCCACCCTTGATAGAAAGAAGATCATTTGAAGGTCGTTCTGGAGCGGGTATGTCCGAGCTCGGAATTTGAGTTGTGTGCCCGTTAGTAGTTTCACCCGTTTCTCTTGCGAGATCCAGGAGCCATTTAGGATCCAATAAAACATCATCAGGTATTGGTTCGAGGCCTTCTGGAAGGGGGTATTCTTCTAGAAGACGTTGGCGGAGCTTGGTCGTCCACGGTAGAAATGTTGCATCTACGCCCTCGGGCAGCTGCTCATCGGACTCTCCACGATCACATACTGGGTGCGCCCCAAGCTGTACGAGACGATTGTACAATTTGCGATGCGCCCAGTTGAATTTAGGGTACGAGGTGTCGCCCAAGCCGAAAGAAGCAAACCTCATCCGCTGTAGGCATCCTGGCCGGAGACGCGCGCTCCGCAAAGACTTCCAGAGGGTCTGGGCGTTGGCGGGCAGTTCTCCCTGTCCAGTGGTTGAAATGGATATAAGGACAACCGAGTATTGGACGAGCTGACGGAGATTAATGGCGTTGAGCTCAGAGACGTGGGTGTCGAAATGCAGGCGTTGTGCAATTCTACCAAGCTCTTCTGCGATATCTTGCGCGTTTCCTGTTTCGGAACCGTAGAGGATCAATGCTCTGCGTCCCTGAGACTCGGCTGCCATTGTCCGTGCTGGTGCAGAGACAGATCCCGACTCCAGGGGGAGGTAGCTTTGGGGGGAGGAATAGGGAGGATGAATGGTACGAGACTATGAGTCGGACTGGCAGGGCAAGCGATTCAGAACCTTACAAGGGGGGAAATAATTACAAGTACAAGTAGGGCTAGAGCTATGGTAGGAGTTCAACGGTGACTCCTTGCCGCAGCAGGAAAAGATCGGTGCGGTACGTGGGCTGGGCTGGCTGGACACGTCCGTCCCGAAAAGTCAGGATTGGAATGGGTGGAGGTTCGAGAATGTCTAGCGCGAGGCGGGAGAAGGCGTGCTAAACTAAAGTGAAGCGGCATCGTCATACCTAGCCGTGGCGGTGGAGAGACGGTGTAGTAGTGAATTGTACGGAGCAGTGAGGTGAAGTAGAAAGAGATGAAGTGAAAGTGAAGGATCTTTAGATGTAATCACGTAGGTATTTTGTGTGAGTCGTCCAGTATTGAGGGACATTGAATAGTGATGATTGATTGGTACGAGTAATTGTGATGGCGAATACAATAAATACCAAAGGGAACTGGGATTGGCTACGACCGTGGTAGCGGAACTGTGGAAGTGGATAGTTCCGTGGTACAATAGTACTGTGTACCTCATGGGTACAGTAAAGAAAAGTAAAGAAAAATCCAGGATTGACAGGTGATAAGTTATCAGGTTATCTTTTCACCTTCACCTTCACCTTGTCTTGTTTTGTCAACTATTCTTCTATTGTGTGGTCCGGCAGTTTAGTGGCAAAGGCGGAAGGCGGAAGTGGACTCAAAGGCGGTGAGGCAGGAGTGGATAGATGATGTGTTCATTTGATTATATAATGAAGTGGGTCACTTCCCTTTCGAGCTACGATTCCAATGCATACCATCGTGATTCGTGACTACTTACTTTACTTCCCTTTCATTGCTTTACAAAGAAGTAACTATTGTTGTTCTCAAATGGAAGGGAAGCAGAGAGGCGCCAGCCAGTAGGTAATTAGTATCGTGCATGATACTCATAGTCTTTATCTCGATAGTCAATAACTAATGTAGTCTGTAATGAAGTTCACTGGTGTTTTTATATAGGAGGAGGCAATGGTAAATTCCACACATAATATTGATGAATGAACGAACGAACGAATGACACAAATGTAAATATTATGATACTCGTCGACTTATTGATCCCCCATCCCTTTCTTCGTCATTACCTAACTCACCCATCATTTCATTCACTTCATCCGCCTTCCAATTACTTATTCACCTGCCTGTCTGCCTGTTCGGTGCTTGTATTGTAGTGGTTGAGTATTGACTCTTCTGTGGCCCGTGATTCGAAATTTCCCCAGCCAGGGTGGCACTTGCAGGGCTAAACCCGCTTCGACTTCCCCTTCCGGTAAGTGCTTGGCGCCTTCTCTCTGCAACTTCAAAATATTTGAAGCTCCACGGCTCCTCCTTTTCTGCCCCATCCATCCAGTCAACTCAAAGGACAAACAAACCACAGCTCTTCAACCTTCCCACCACCCTCAACCACTCCTCGGGCTCGTAGCTACCCACCCTCCCAACTCCCTCCGTCAATTTACTTCCACCTTCCAGGCGGTCCTGTCAATTTCCATCCCTTTCAATTCACACACTGTTCACGGTACGACCTTTACCTAGGCTCTATACCAGGACTTCCCAAGTTTCCCTCAACTTACCACGCACGTCTCGATACTTGTTCGTGTCATCAACTCCCGTAAACTTCAACCTCAATCATGTCCGCCCCAGTCGATAGTGTTACCGCCCAGATGGCCACTACCTCCCTCACCGACAATAATGCCGCTACCACCGACAACGCTAGCACTCAACCCACCGCAGCCGAGAACGAGGCTGTTCTTGCCAGCGCCGCTGAGGGCAGGAGACTTTACATTGGAAACCTCGCATATGCGACCACCGAGGGGGAGTTGAAGGACTTCTTCAAGGACTACCTCGTGTAAGTTGTCTAGAACCACCCGATTCGAGCCATCGGGGGTCCTTCTACGTTGACTGAGCTAACCTCGTGTCCTTAACAGCGAGTCTACTACCATCCCCACCAACCCCCGCACCTCTCGTCCCGTCGGATATGCCTTCGTTGCTCTCTCGACTCCCACTGAGGCAGAGCGTGCCATCGCTGAGCTGAACGGCAAGGCCATCCTTGACCGCAAGGTCTCCATCCAGCTCGCTCGCACTCCCGAGGCTCACGCCGAGGGCTCTGGCAGCGGTGCCGAAGGTACCAGCGGTACTGAGCACCGTCGCCGTGCTTCCACTCGCGGACGTGGCCGCGGACGTGGCCGTGGTGCCCGCGCTGGACGTGGTGGACGTGTAAGTTTGGACATTACATCATAACAGGCGATCATTTTGGCTAATTCGAGATCCAGAAGGCCGATGGTGCTGAGGGCGCCGAGACTACTGAGGGTGAGGCCGCTGCCACTGACAGCACACCCGCAGCTGTTCTTCCCTTGACCGATGCAACAAACGATGCATCCGCCGAGAAGGGCGCTGAGAAGAAGAACCTCCCCCCACGTGAGCGCAAGCAGCGTGGACCCCCCGAGGATGGCGTTCCTTCCAAGACCAAGGTTATGGTCGCCAACCTTCCTTATGACCTCAAGGAGGATAAGGTATGTCGAGGGAAATCCGATTGCCTCATTTTCTAGCTAACAGCCACATCAGCTCCTCGAGATCTTCAAGGACTACCAACCCACCACCGCTAAGATCGCCCTTCGTCCCATTCCTCGCTTCATGGTCAAGAAGCTCCAGGCTAGGAACGAGCCCCGCAAGGGCCGTGGTTTCGGCTTCGTCACCCTTGGCTCTGAGGAGCTCCAGCAGAAGGCTTGCGCCGAGATGAACGGAAAGGAGATTGAGGGACGTGAGATCGCCGTCAAGGTCGCCATCGACTCTCCCGGAAAGGAGGATGACCACCCTGAGGCTGCTACCGAGGGTGAGGAGGCCGCCGCTGCCCCTGCAGCCACTGAGGCCCCCGCCGCTACTACCACCGAGACCCCCGCTGCCACGACTACGGCTTAAGAGATTTGCCAGTCTGGTCAGCAAGTAGGAGATGGAGCTGCGTTCTGACTTTGTGTCGAGCCTGATCCTGCCTGCTTAAGATATGAGTTCGGATGGGGCAATTTGGAGTTGCCGACACATATTTTCATTACCTGCTAGACATCTTTGGGCCTGGTTTACTTAGTCGTGAGTATAGGATCGGAAAAGTGAATCGGAGTCTATGGTCCCGGCAGGACCTGGGGTATGGTAGGCCGGATTACTGAAACTTTGTCTTAAATTACCCTAAAAGATCTACATAATCTCGACTCAGTCTAGCATTTCAATAATGCAAGAACATGGTCATGTCCACTCAGCTTTTGCAAACGTGATGTTCGTGTAGAATGTGAACTTGGAATCAACGTTGGTTCTTGTATCACAAAATCATCATGCTGACATTCATACGATTCGTATTTCGGAGAGACCCAAACAAGAATCCAATTATAGATCAGTAATGCAATAGCGAACACTGACAGAGCTCTTGTTGCTACACACCCCTTCTACCTCTGCTAGAGGAGTAGTGTTATGGCGAACACTAGCAGGACTCTCATTATCATACAATCTATCTGCTGCACTAGAAGACTACTATAATGGCGAAATTGTAGCTAGTAAGGGTAATTCCTATTCCCTAGAGAGGTAATACAACAGCAAACTACTAGCTAATAAGCAGAGCTCTTATCATTACACACTCCTCTCAGCTCCACCAAAAGAGTAATACACTGGCGAATAGTAACTAGAAAAGATATGACCATAATTCTATATTATGCGCCAGTAGATTTATGTAACAGCAAACAATTTCTTGTAAAGCAAGCAAGTATAGTTTTCCTTTATTTCCTTTCCTGCGTCAACAAGATGATGTAATGTTAAACAACAGCTAAATCTCCTTCGTAACGTATCTCCTTTTATATAACCTAAACCGTAATACAATAGCGAAAACGCAGACTATTTTGAATAGCTCTTATGTAGTAGTTCTCATATAGCTGTAATTCTTATATAAGAGAGCACTGTTGTAGCGAGCATAGCAGTACTAGTTGCTTTTAGTAGGCTTCTCTCTATACGCAGGAAGAAATACACATCTGTTTGGTAGTCAGAGCAGATTGTGGCGAATGTGAACGTATTAGTGAATGTAAAGCTAAGGGTACCTAGGCCACCTTATATCGAAGCTTCTCTCCTACATATTAGACCTTATCCTTTCTTCCTTGCTTACACCTCTAATCTGTGCTTTTGTCACGTTACTGAGTTCCTCACTACAGTGTGCACGGGTATCTTCCTCACAGCGGTGCGCGGACGCGCCCTCACCACAACATAAGTGGGCAAGTGGTCACTTCCGCGAACTGCATGTTCACATTCTCTACGATTCCAACACTTTAATCTCGCTGAATCTTCCGGTTCAACAGACTGTCGTCCAGGCTCGAAAGTGTGCAACGGAAGCTAGTTGATTCCGTTGCATGCGTTCTGCCAATACCTGCTCTCTCGATCAATATGAACCGGCCTCTCAGCGAGCTCACTCGAGCAGAGTTGAATCAGAAATGTCGGAATTTGAACCTTTCGTTCACCGGCAGCCGTTCAGATGTCGAAATGCGTATTCGCCTTCACCAACAGAGACCGTCAGGCTCGAAGCCCACCTTCCGACAACAACCGCTAGTCTTAACCCCTGCTCCCAAAGTCTGGCAATTGGGAGCATCTGAGAATGTCGATATTGACAACGGGGGCATCGTTATCATGAAAAAGGAAAGGATGGATGGTGCGTTGCGTGCTCTATGTTACAACGACAAGCTATTGACATCGTTAGGAACCACATTGAACAGCATGAACGAGAGTATCAAAGCACGGCTTCGTGTTGTTGCTGTTGCCAGGACATCATCATATTCTGGTAGCGATACAAGAGCGACAATTGAAGCCCGTCTTCGACCACATGTTGTCGGTCTTGCGAACTTTTTCCTCAACGAAGTGCACCCAAAAAGCCATGGTAGCGGTCACTGCGATTGCATTATTGACAAGGTTGAGCACATAGTCCTTCCTGGAGTTCCCTCAAATACAAATATTGCAACGTCGACGAACCGCGACGTTGCACGTCTCCGAGAAGCTCTCCGTGTGCCCTACGACGTCGTTCTCTGCTCTTCAGGATTCGATGGGGCTGTTACGAACCTGGCCGCATATGCAAACTTCCTGAAAGAGTTGAAAGAAAACAAGACGCGATTCGCACATCTGTATTGGCGAGCAAATGACGATTTTCGCTTCTTTACGGCAGACGAGATCCTAGAGGCTTTGGCCTTCGATATGAAGGACGATGGGCCTACGTCAATCATGCGAGAGAACGCGATGTGGTTTCGGAATGTGAACAGAGCAGCGCTACATAAAGGAGTGCTACAGGTGGTATCGCAGCTCAGTGTCTCGCATATAGGCACATCACGCAACAACACTACTGCAGGATCTTTACCTGACAGTGCATCCCACATCAGCGATAGTGCTCGAGGAACGATTACAACGACCTATGTTCCTAGAGAGAATCTGTCAATAAGTACGGTAACGGTGAAATCATTCGCTTGCGGTGTCGAAGATTGTGACAAACGGTTTGCAAACCGCTCAGGCCTGAATCACCACAAGAAATGGCATGAGAATCCCGACGTCACCTGCAAGCACTGTAAAGAAACGTTGAAGTTTCGGGACCTGTGCGGACACCAGCGTCGACGCTGCACCGCGCAGCCACGGCGAATTGTCAAATGCCCTGTCGACGGTTGTGACTATGAGACCGACCCGTGGCACATCAAACGTCATATGGATAAGTCGCATGATCAAGTCCAGGACGTTTTCGAATACTCCAAAAAATTTGACGGCGATTACACGGCCACTTTCTTTGCGAAATTGGCCAGCGAGTTCTCCCAGTAAATGCGCCAGACTGGTTCTTCGGTTCGATGTTGCTATGACGGCAACATGCTTTATGTTTGATGCAAGGAGTACATGAGCATATCTGGCAGAGGCATCATTAACAAGAGTTCGAAGATAGATCCTATGTAATTATCTTTATGTTACACTGGCACAATTAATTCAGATTTGAACGTGGTAGAGATTTTGTGATCAAATGTTATGGTTGCACTGCTCGTTTACAGCTTCCTTCGTAGTTACGGCTTGGATCTTGACACTTGAGGGTGTGAGGGAGAATGCAAGGTGAAAAAGGGGGCCGTTTCATTTCGTTTTGTCAGAATTTCAATTCGTTGTATTACGTGTATTGTGGTATATGGTGAAATGGTTCCTTTCTGATATGGTACGGTATCTTGGTTCCTATGTCCGTCATGGGTTTGGCGAATATCCTTTTTCTTTCCGTTTAATCCAACGCCGCTGCCGCCGCTGCCGCTGTCATCGCCACGCCCGAAGTAGATATATGTACCTAGGTATATAAAAACCGACACACGCCCGCCTTTGCTTCCTTGTCCTTGCGCTTGTCCTTGATTGGGGCGAGATAAAGATGAAAAAGGGAAGAGAAAACATAAAGGTAAAGTGAAGTGGAAGGAAAGAGCACACACACACACACACATACACAAGCACGCTTCTTCACTTGTTCAATCGATCGATTGTTGAAGGGAGGCAGGCGATCAATGCACGTGACCGACTTGTGTAACGAGCGGGACGAGCATGCCGAAGAGGACGGTCGCGATGTCGGACTTAGAGAGGCTGGTCGATGCGTGGTAGCTGTCGACATAGCCGTTTGCCATGGGGTCCTCGTGGGAGAGACTCGGGGCCGTGGCTTCGGTCATGGCGTGCATGGCGACGTACCTTTTTTGAAAGAATGAAGTTAGTGGACGGTTTCGAACGGAAACGACATGAGATAAGTGATTTGAGACTTACAAGAAGGTTCCGCCTGAGAACAGAAGTACCCATCCGGTCGTCCAGTTCAGGCTGTCGTCTCCGCCGAGCGAAGCCCGTCCGAGAGCGTTGACAATGGTCCATGTGACGAGAGCGCCTACCGGGGCAGCAAGACTGAAGAAGACGAGATGAGTTCGCGCAGTGCGTTTCGAAAGGCCTTGCTTGAGGAGGACGGTAGTCAGACCGAATGCCGCGGGACCCTTGTGCAGCATGATGGCGAAAAAGATGATGAAGGACAAAGAAGTGGAGGGTGCGGTCGAGGAGGCTCCCAGTGCAATTCCGTCCGCGCATGCATGGATGATGAGTCCAATGGTCGTTGCGGAAGACTTAGGGGCCGGCTTTCGCTCCGGTGGGGGGATCGGTGTGCCGGGGACATTGAGGTTGTTCAGGGAGACGCTGGACGAATTGTGAGGCCCACGAGAGAGATCCGAGAGCGAGATGTGGAGCGGGTGGTAACTTGGCTGTTGTGGTGCAATTGCCTCTGGAAGATGATCCACGAGAAACATGAGGATGAAACCGAGGACTAGCGCAACTCCTATATATGCATGCGGCTCTGGGCCTTCGTCATGGTCGTGATGAACTACTGTTTCTTCGTCCTCGGGAGCGTGTACACGGGTGTGTCCCTCTTTGTGGCCCTCGGTGGAGTCGTCGTCACCTCCTCTCTGGGGCTGCGGGTGGTTCTCCTCCTCCTCTTGCTTGTCCTTCTGGGTCTGCTTGTCGTCCGTCTTGCGGCGTTCTTGTTGAGGCTGCTCCACTGACCGCCTAACAACGATGTGTTCAACAGCCGGTGCCTTGACTGATCCACCTTGGACCTTGTCGGAATCGACGGCACCGTTTCGCTCCATACTGGGGTATTCCTGAGGATGCTTGATCCCCTTCTGCTGGCTCGCAACGCTGGGGATGGTGGGCTGGGTGTTCTTGTTGGTGGCAACGTGCATGTGTCCCTTTCCGCTTGCACTGTACATCGTCTCGATGCCCTCCGGTATGATTACAATCAGTGATGTCCCGACGAGAACGCCGGTGCCGAGTAATGTTATGAAGCGGAGCTGACGAGGAGACAGAGAAAAGGAGAGCGGTAGAGCGCCCACAAGGAAGGACCTGTGTTTGTTAGCATCCGGCGATGGGCATACAACTTTCGCAGAGGCGGAATGGGAAGCCTCACGCAATGGCCATGATGGTGCTCAAAGAGAGCAACATGAAAAGTCCCTCCCACATGTTGGCGGTGTCGTGTGTGTGTGTAGCGTAGCGATCGTAAGGAGTAATTGCCGGAAGAATAAAGTGCTCAAGTCACAGAAAGTCGAAAACGCCGCGTGAACATCAATCTATTTGTCCATGCCGAATATACGGAGACTGGTCGTTATAGTTATTGGGGGGTTTGGGGAGGGGGTATCGTGTCAGGATGGAGTAGAAAGGTACAAAGTAGGCGAAGCAATCGTTGGTTGAGAGATGGGACGGCCAAAAAAGACCAAGTTGGTCTATGCACAGCACAGCGTCCTCCGTCTCCCGTCTGGTTACTCACTGGTAGGGCTGAGCGGGAGTTTGGCGCTAAACGCGTACGATCGCGACCTTTCGCCCATTTTACGCGGTTCCTGGCTTGACTACCTTCATCCACCAACTTTCCCCACCCGCGCATAATTCGGGTTTCTTACCAGAGCACCTCGTTGTGACTGACTTCTTCTCAACCCAATTCAATCGTTTGAAGGCACCGGCATCATGGATTTGGACGAATGTAAGCTCTTTCTTTCCTCTCGTCATAGCTCCCATCATGCTCACTCAATGTTATAGGGATTCACGAAGCGAATGAATGTGTTCATATCAATCTGAGACGTCCCTCAGAGAAAGCTGAGCGGGTTTTCGATGAATCATTCAATCCAGAATTCACATACCCTATCCTCGGTGAAGAACAAAAGATTATCGGATACAAAGCTCCCAGGATAGCTCTCGAGTTTCGCGCAAACGATATGAAGCCGACCCTCGATGTTCAATTCAAGCAGAAAATAGATCTGAGCACCATGCTGCCAGACGGTGCTGAACAGGTTGACATTGAGGCTGCGTTTGACTCGTTCATTCCAACACGTAGGTCTCCTCGAGCACCCTTACTTTCAGTAGCTAACGTGCAGCAGCTTCGTCTGAACCAAGCGAGAAAGATCCCGAATCCGCATCATGGACACCTCCAGGTACTTTGTCGCAGAAATTCGAGAGACATGGGAAGAAATACGAAATATGGAAGGCAAGCCTCGCAGATCCAGCTGCCTTGGAGATCTGGCGAAACATGCAGATCCTGGTTCTTCTCTACATTGAAGGCGCGTCGATGTTGGAACTAGACGAGGACTGGACATATGAAAGGTGGACGCTGTATCTTCTTTACGAAGTCACTCCCCTATCAGACTCATCCGTGTCGCCATATAGCTTAGCCGGATTTTCTACTACGTACCGATACTGGATATTTCCAACTACCGGCATCAAGAAGGCATTGAACTCGATCCCGTCGCCTCCAGCAAGTGCCAACGAAGATACCGCATCCACGGAGCCTGGCAAATTCCCCTTTGCCGAGCAGATTGATCCTCTCCAAGAGCCAGCACGTGAACGCATTTCTCAATTCCTCATCCTTCCACCATACCAGGGTCAGTCGCTCGGATCCAGGCTATACACCACGATATTTGGAGAGCTCGTGAAGCTACCGAATATCTACGAGATACCCGTGGAAGATCCGAGTGAGACATTTGACAAAATGCGGGATTATGCCGACATCGACTATCTCCGCACAGTCCCTTCATTTAGTGCGCTTGCCATTGCTTCCACATTGCCTGCTGAGAACCTCAAGAAGGATTCGCCCGTTTCTCGGGACCAAATCTTTAATAATGGCGGTGATATCAACGCTTTACGTCTCGAGACTAAGATTGTGAAGCGTCAGTTCAACCGGATGATGGAGCTCCACCTGCTCTCGACAATACCCTCACCCCACCGTACTGCTGCCAGGATCACGCGCAAGGAGAAAGCGAGCAATGAAAACGATCGCAAGTTCTACTTCTGGCGCTTGGCTGTTAAGGAGCGGATATACCAACAGCACGCGGATGCACTTGGTCAAATTGAGGATCCATCTGAGCGAATCGAGAAGATTGAGGGTGCCTTGGAAAGCCAACTTGAGGAGTATATCGAAAGATTGGAAGGCCTAGAGAAGCGTTCCAATGGAGATAGTTCTGCTTCTGGCGGCCCAGCACCCGGATTGCTCAAGAGAAGACACAAGAGGGTCATCGAGGATGAGGACGACTGGGAAGACGAAGACGACGAGTCTGTCAGTTCTAAGAGAGCACGAGTTTGAGCTTGAAGGCCGGAGAGTTGGCGCATGGAGTTCATGGTTGAAGACGGGCATGGGAATTTCATGCTCGCACATTTGATACCGCTACAGTTCTGTTAATGCCTGACAGAACCTCGGGAATATTGGATTCCTCATGGTCAATGTATATTAAGAAATTTCTGAATTGCAGAGATATGCTCGAACTGGATGGATAGACTATCGATAGGTACCTAGACTCCAGCACCCTCCGAGCTAGCTAGAAACCCGCGGGGTAAACTAAACACGCCCCTCCAAAATTTTGTTCCAAAGACCCTTAGTCCACCTTCCCTTCAGCTTCCCAAGCCTGTAGTATCTCAATTCCCACATTTTCACATTTGAAGATTGACAATGTCGCAACCTCAGCATAACCTCACAGTCCTCATCTCGGGCAATGGCTCAAACCTGCAAGCGCTCATCGACGCTTGCGCCTCCTCCGCACTCCCTAACACGCGCATCACCCATGTGATCTCAAAGTACGCCCACTACTCTTCATTACTACGATTCCGCAATTGCAACTAACCCACAACCCCAGTCGCAAAGCTGCCTACGGCCTCGAACGCGCGAAGAAAGCCTCGATAGAAACCACATACCACAACCTCGTCCCGTACAAGAAGAAGCACCCGCAGACGCCCGAAGGCACGCAGGCCGCACGAACAGAATACGATGCCGACCTCTCCAAGACCATACTCGCCCTCTCCCCGCGACCCGACGTCATCGTCTGCGCGGGCTGGATGCACATTCTCACACCCGAGTTCCTTAATCCGCTCACCGAGGCCGGCATCAAGATCATAAACCTGCATCCTGCGCTGCCGGGAGAGTTTGCGGGCGCGGGCGCGATTGAGAGGGCGTGGGAGGCAGGGAGGAAGGGGGAGATTAAGAGGACGGGGGTTATGATTCATGAGGTCATTGCGGAGGTTGACGCAGGGAAGGCGATTGTCACGCAAGAGATAGAATTGAAGGAGGGTGAGAGCTTAGATGAGCTTGAGGAGAGGGTGCATAAGGTCGAACATGGGCTGATTGTAGAGGGGACAAGAAAAACATTAGAGGCATTGAAAAACCAGAGCTGAGTCAAGGAAAGATACCCCGGAGGTTTCTTGAGAAAGGATACGATGCATTGGACTCAAATGAAATTCTAGGGCTTAAACCCGATATCGGTAGGGCGAAAGATTTGGTACAGGTTTATGTTTATGGCGCGGAGGAAAGGCACCAATGCCCCGTCCTGCACTGAGATGATGCATATCAAAATAACAGCACTTATTTGCTTGCATGATAGTCATGTTCAAGTATGTAGCTACCTAGTACAGAACTAAGTTGTTCCGTGCCAGCCAAGCTACGTGGTGAAAGCTCTGGTTTGGCGGATCGCAATTTATCATTTAATAGACTGGCACGTCGCTGCGGATAAGAATACATGATGGGCAAAGATCATGGTCTCCCTTCCTAGGCAGCAAGAACCAATCTACAATTACTTCTCGGCCTGATGCCAGTTTCGTGGGTGTACCAAGGGAAGATCTACGATGCGTTTTGAAATATAGTATACCTTGCACTGTCTGGCAGGCATCAGCGATCTATAAGTCTGGAATGAAAGAACTATTGGTAACATTCCGTACTGGCATTCCGCATTGGCATTCCGTCTTGACACAGAAGCAGTTTTCAATTAAATACATGGTAGGGTAGTGTGAGGAAATCACTCTGTCCGCATCTTATGACTAGGAAAATCCGATTCAATCTAATCCTGTATCCTTGTATAGTTACCATACAGTTTCATCCCACCATGGAGGATATCAATTCAACCATCATAGACACTGCAGATGACATCCATAATTTGGTCGACCGGTTCACGGAGTTAGGGCATGTGAACAATCCAACCATATACATCGACCTAGAAGGTGTATACCTTTGCCGCGATGGTTCCATTTCCATCCTAACTCTTCTGTTCAACACTGGCCTTCCGAAACCGGACGTCGTAATCATCGATGTGCATAAGCTGGGCAAACAAGCGTTCGAGACTACTGTAGCCAAAGGAAGCACGCTAAAGGGTATCCTTGAAGATAAAAGATTCACGAAGGTCTTTTTCGACGTTCGTAATGATTCAGACGCTCTATTTTCTCATTTCGGCGTTGTATTGGAAAGGATCGAAGATGTCCAGTTGATGGAGAGTGCAACGAGGAAGACCACGACATCGAGGAAGTTCGTGACGGGCCTGACCAAATGCGTCGAGAACAATGTATTCAGAGGCATCCATTGGAATGACCGACGTGGCTGGCTGATGGCCAAGTCGAAAGGAGAACAATTTTTCAAAAAGGAATATGGTGGCTCTCATGAAGTTTTCAACAAGCGTCCAATCTCAGACGATATTATCTCTTACTGTGTTGCTGATGTCCAGTATCTTCCCAAGTTACGGGAGATATTCTGGACGTCACAAAACTCTCAATGGCGGGACCTGGTTGTCGCAAAGTCGATGGAGCGTGTCGTGGCATCTCGAAGATCAGATTACCAGCCCCATGGCCAAGATAGGGTGGTTGCTCCATGGAGTGAAGAAGAACACGCTACCCTAAATTTATTGAACTATACGCCTTCGCCGAATTACTTGAATCATTTCGAGCCGGATGATGCTTGGTACGAGAGAGACGATTGGGATAACGAGGAGGATGAGGATTGGGATAATAGGTATTGGGATGATTATTGGGATGATGGACCAACCAGTTGCAGGGACATTATTGACACATGTGACTACCACTTGTACTATTCCGACTGAATGAGCCTCTCGAACTGGTTAATTTAAAATTAGATACGTTGATCTAGCTCTAGCCCACGGATTGGTAAGGCATCGAGAAAATATCAAAAAGATGTTAGACCGAAACCCGTGTAGCCAGGTGGTAATCAAGTAAAGGTGTGCATATGACACGGCTTCTCCTATGCTTTTTTGCCGAGTGAACACTAACTCTCTCATGTAGCGAGATTATAGTCTCCTAGCAAAGGATCATTGCTGTTGTTGATCATGCATGGACATAGTGGCGCACCACCCGAGTCTTGAACGTTGAGTTCGTCGTGGAACGGACTGGTACTACTGCATGTACAAATCTGCAACAACGATTTGTTCTAATCCTTGATGCAACGCTCACGGGTACATGCAGCGACTCTTAATACCACGTTGGACCTTCATTCAAGATTTCTAAGGCTGTCACTACATCGCCGATAGACACTGTCGACTCAGTATCTTGCCTTCAAAACAGTCCTTGAAGGATATTTTATGACCGCATAGTTCTTCTTTCATCTTTTTTGTTTCCTCATACCCATCATATCACTTGGAATTCTGTCTAAGCGAAAGGCTATGCTATTCTCTTTCAACCCAACCCAACCCCCAACCTCCCTGCTCTTTGTTCTTTGTCACCTCCACCATATTTAGCAGGCCCGCTCCAAGCAAATATGCACAAAGATATTGTGGATGACTCCAAAATACTGTCTGCTTTGTGTCACTCTTTGTCTATGCCAGATTGGAGTCACCATAGTCGAGGGTGGCCGTGCAAGACGCAAGTTAATTAAACGCTCATGCCGCTCTGCGCATATGCCATCAATTGCTAATACCTCTCACAGAGCGTTGTCATAGTAATGCTAACTCATCCACGCCTTGAGTACTGAAAAAACTTGTTGTGAACATATAACTTTCTGTGGATATATAACTTGGACCATATAGACTCTTTTCTGGCGGAAGCGTTGGTAGTATCTTAGAGAGCTCTGCCATACCAAGGACACTAAACGACGACTTCATCACATCAATCTAAAGCCTACCTTCGATCGATTTGGAACGTATCATCAATAACAGAGCAGCAACTACCCCACCCTCACCACAGAAGAAAGAAGCGCCATCAATGCCCGAACCAAAGCGCCGCCACGCGGTATCACCAGCTCACCACCCTCACGCTCCCCACTGTCAAACCTACATAATCCCCAAACCGCCGCAGCCAACGCGTCATCAGAGACAAACCACATCCAAGCCAGCATATTCGGCAAGATTCCAAGTCAACCCCATCAACTCCTCTCCTCGCTCTCCAACAATCTACAGTGCTCGTGTATACCCCAGACCACCACCGCCATCGCCACGACACAGCAAACACCACTCCACCTCCCGCCACAGAAGCAGAAGCAGAAGCAGAAGCAGATACTCTCAGTCTCACCGACGACGCAAGCAAGATATCCCAGAGGAAACAGCGGTATACGAAGTACACTGCAGCACGAGCCAACGCTCCCGGCGCCGAAGAAGCGATGACGCGGATGAGACGCTAGTGTACGAAGTCTACATCCGGGACGTCGACCCGAAGCAGGAGGCGCTCGAGTCGAGACGTCGAGATCAAGGTCGATGTAGATGTGGGGTGGTGTGTCAGTGTTCGGCGACGAGGGTGCCCTCGAAGACTAGTATATCCACAAAGACGAGTATGCCCACGAAAACAACGGCGGCGGCATTGGAAAGCGTGGCGGAGAGTGTCAGGGCGGACTTTAAGAGGAATATGGGGGTTGCTTGGGAGAGGATGAGGGGTTTGAAGGTCAGTGATGAGGATGAGGACAAGGCGAATTTGAAGAAGAAGGTTAGGTTTGGGGGTGTGGAGGTCAGGATTGTTGATAGGCCGGAAGATGAGGAAGATGATAAGAGTGATCGGAAGAATGTTGTGGATGCAGAGACGGAGGAGTGGAGGAGGATGGGGAAACATGATGCAGATCGATTGTGATGATAAGGGTATATGAATCATTTCATGTTGCTACAATACTACTGATGAAAACTTCAAAGTACAAACCGTTCCAAAGTGCACCGTAGAAAACAGACTTCTCCATCCAAATCGCTAAGGTAACTAACTCCTTGACACTACAACCCCAACCTCTTGGGGAGATTTCCCCTATAAATCCAAGCCGCTCCCGCAGCAGCAACACTGAGCCCACCCATCAGCAACCCCAAATTACTAACGCTCGTCTCCTCCTTTACCCTTCCAATCTTGCTCTCCTTCTTCCCTCCGCCGAAAACGACTTTACTCGCGCTCTGGCCCTTATTCGCAACCTCGAAGTCGTCCCAATCGACCTTCGACAGAGTGTTCTGGTACTCGACCACCGTGCCCGACCAATTGTTCGTGATCTTTCCATCCTTGTTCTTGTACCACGACCCGCACTTGGGGTCCGCAAAACTGCTCCTGGCGAGGATCTCCTGGATCTTGTCGTTGAACGCGTCGGTGGTCGACTGCTTGGGCATGATTCCGATGCGCTCGCCGCGGTTCCGTGCGTCCAGCACGGCGGACACGAGGGTGTTGAGGTAGCGGGACTGCGCTTCGATCATGAGGATGATCGAGTTGTGGCCTAGGTTGGTGTTGGGGCCGTAGAACATGCCGAAGTTGGGGAGGGAGGGGACGGTGGTGCCGTAGAGGGCCGAGGCGCCGCCGCTCCACACGTCTGCGAGTGTGCGGCCGTTCGAGCCTGTGACTTTGATGGGGAAGAGGAATTCGACGGTGCGGAAGCCGGTCGCGAGGACGAGGAGGTCGTGCTCGTGGTGCGTTGTACCGCCTGCGCCGTCCTCGACTTCGACGCCGGTCTCCGTGACGCGGACGATCTTGTTCGTCTCGAGTGTCGTCTTGGGGTTGGCGATCGCTGGGTAGTAGTCGTCGGTGATGATGACTCGCTTGCAGCCGGGTGAATAGTCTGGTCGGAGTTTGTCCCATAAGTCAGGCCGGTTCGGGATCTGTGTTTTTAAGAGCCCATCGCACCACTCGCGGATCTGGTCGGCGAATTCGGAGTCAGTGTCGAAAATAGCTGGGTGGAAGGACTCTCGATAGTCCATCTGCATCGCTCGAACTCGCCATCGGACCGGGGGAAGGTAGCGATATATGGCCCTAGTCAGCTTGCTCACGGGTCCATCTTGTCTAGGAATGACCCAATTGGGGGATCGTTGATAGACGGTGAGGTCCTTAGACGATGGCAGTATCTCTGGAATGATCTGAGCGGCCGTTGCACCGTTGCCAATGATACCAATCTTCTTGCCCTCGAGCTTGTAGCTCCAGTCCCAGCGGGCCGAGTGCATGAGCTTGCCCTTGAAGTTTTCCAGACCCTCGATTTCGGGGTATCGTGGCTGGTTCAATTGGCCAACAGCTGAGATTAGGAAATCAGACTCAATGGTGTACGAGGGACAGAACTCGGCTTCCTTGTCGCCAGTGACCTTGACATCGATTTTCCACTTCGCAGCCGAGTCATCCCAGGTGGCAGCCTCGACTGCGGTGTTGAATCGAATGTACTTATAGAGCTTGTATTTGTGGGCAACATTGCGAAGATAGTTCTGTGCACATTGATCAGCAATGGGAAGTCTAGATTGCGTGTATCACCACTCACAAGAATTTCCTCTTGTCCAGGGTAGGCTCTCGTCCAATCGGGATTTTGCTCGAACGAGTAACTATATAGCATACTCCATACTGAAAATCGTCAACGTGATATTCCATCGTTTCGAGATTAGTAAACTCACCATCGCAGCAGCAGCCGGGGTACTTGTTGTCACTGTTGGCGAGTCAGGATTATGCCTAATTGATGCAACCCATCTTGAATGAATAGCCGACTCACTTCCAAGTTCCACCGATTCCTGCACTCTTCTCGACGATGATGAAGTTGTGACATTGGTTACGTTTGATGAGGTCAATGGCCATACACATGCCTAGTCCGAAAGAATCAGCTCTGCTCTTCGTTGTGACTGTCGGTTATATGGTTATGCGCAGACATACCAGAGATGCCGGCGCCAATGATCACGACTGCCGCACTCGTGTGGTCTTTGTTCCCCACCGGGACCTGAGGCCATGGCTGGGTGGTTGCTCCCATTTTCTATGCTGTACAATTTGAGAAGGCAAGTGGACAAGGAAAGGAAAGTAATTGGGAGTGATAAGAGCAAAGTGCACGCGGAGGAGGGCTCCGGAGAGGGGGTTTTATTATTTCGTATTTCTAGCCATTCTAGCCGTAAGAAGTAGAATCTATCTTGTCAATCATGCTTCCCTTAGACCGTTACAGCGGTCTAGAGTGGGTCAAGACAAAGCATACCCGAATGACGACCGACGACCGATAGCCGATACAAAGTTTGAGGTGACGCTCTTGCAATGTCCAGTGCATAATTGCCTTGTTATATATGAATAGTTATCGATGTATCAAAGATTAGTGAATCTAGTTTTGTGGGAATGTGCTCTTCACACAATAATTCCAACACCTTGAAATGCTAGACATACAATTACAGATTCTTTCAAAAATTTGGAGCTCATTGATACAGGGGATGTAGAACCTGGGGTGAGGTGTAGGATGTGGGGAAAGAAGCTTAAGGTGTGGCGCGACGAATGACACTAACCGCAAAAGGCAATGCGGTTATAACAATCGATTCGTTGCACTCGACTCGGGTCTTCGTTTCACTGCGAGACTTGACTTGATGACACGGATGTTGATGACACGCAAGGGATTGACACCGACGAATGTTTGGTGTTGTGAATACTGAATAGGATATTTGTACGAAGTTTTTGCAGTTATCTTATTCGGATCACCTACAGCATGATGAAGCTGTGGTGTATACTACTAATCATGTCTTCATGTTTTGATCAAATGCAAGCAGAAGGATGCCCCCTGTTCATGAGGTCGTATATATATCCCGATCGAGTTGCTCTCACCAAAAAAATCACCGCTAACCTTATGCATCATCATGGTATATCCTGCGCACCCATTCGTGCCTAGAAACCTTGCTCTCGATGCCACTTCTCTTCCCACCCAGGAAACCAAGGACTATCCTCCAGGGTATGCGGCTCCCAGTCGGCAGGAACTAGACCCTTCTCGACTTGTTCGCGAGCATACTCCTCCAATGCAGGGATGACGACGTGCTCCGTGTGCCATGTGTTCTTATACTCCATCAAGCTGCGCTTGCCCTCCTTCAGCACTTTGAGCACCAATGCTGGTACGAATGGTTCATCTCTGAAGCTCTCTACCGGCGTGAAGAGCGCTTTGAAGTTAAATACGATACCCCCAGAGAGTGGAAGGCGACGGAGCGTCTGCCAATCCACACGTAAGTGGCAGCGGGTGATGTCCAGGTCGGGACTCTGAACGTCACGGTGTTGCTCATGTGAGTCTCCTGGAGGCATATAGAGAGGTTGATCAACTTCCAATCCCCAAGATCCACGTTGAATAGCCTTGTCTGTAGGTTTCTTTGCGAAGTATCTATTGGAGAGTAAGCTCGCATGTCAAGTTACACCAACATTGTGTCACGCACCTGTCCATAGAGAACTGCATCTTCTCTTTGTAGTCCGGTATCGGCGTATGGATTTCATGGAGTTGAAGCCCAATCTTGGTGGCTACATTCCAACCCAGGGAACTGCAGATTATGCCGGCTCGGAAGACATAATGGCCGTTGGTAGGATCTCTGAGGGTGATGGCAAAATCTTCCGGTACGTTGTTCAGGAGGACATGGAGAGGATGCATTGCCTTGAGGTCTGTCTCCGTCTTCAGGATGTCGTTATAGAATACCATGTTCGTCTTGTCCAGCCTGAAGTATTGTGGGTACCGGGCACAGATAAATTGTAGTACCATCTCCATGAGTTCTTTGCATACTAATTCGGATCCAGGAAGAGCGTCTAGCACTCCCTTTCCATGCTTTGCGAAGAGGCCCTGACGCTGTTTAATACGATCCACGTAGGTATTCTCGAGTTCGATCCACCAGTCCGGCTCGAGTTTGGTCAGGGCTTCGAATGGTCAGCGGTCCATGTATGTTAGATGATATTATATCAAGACACTTACACATTGTCTGGTGGTAGTTCCATCGAAAAGGTCTATAGGGTCTTGGTAGGGCTTTGGTGATATCGAATTCTGGATAGGAACTAGGCAGAGGCACACCACTGAGTAAGGAATAGTCGGGGAAGTCGCCCAAGGCTTTGATCTCCTCTGTGGAGAATTCACAAGGCGTGAACAGAGGCTCCTTAGCGTCAAGATATGAGGCATTGAGAGGCAAACATGCTGTCTTAGAATTAGGCGGTGAAGCCAAGAAGGCATCCTGGGGCTTTCCAGTTATCGTTTGCAGATTGCTTTGGATCTCAGCCAACGTGAATCTACGGGAGGGAGGGAATGTGTCCGAGTAATTGATGACCGGCAAGGCATTTGATTTCTCTTTCCCGGGTGATAAGGATCTTGGAGGTGTTTTGGAGCCTGAAGATCTTCGATGATGAAAGTGAAGGCGGTTCAGGAAGACCGTACGTCTTCCATGCTTGAACACGAGTAAGAATAGAGAACTAAAGAGGAAGGCTGCACCAAGCAGCAACAGAAGAGACTTGTCCATCAGAGCTTAAGGTGTCAGCAAAAGTGAAACCTGGGAGCAGACCGCAGGAAAATAAAAGTGAGGATTGGGTCGGCTGAATAACGGAGGGTGGTGAATTGGCGAGTGAGGCGTAGGTCTGGCCTCGAGGGGTTGCACAGCAGGGCAAGGAGAATGAGTAGCGAGATGGACCGCGAGATGGACCGCTGATCTCGATGCTGTCAGGAATGAGACTTGTTTAAAGAATCTGGATGCTGCCTCTTAATAGAGGATTTCCGCCTCATGGTTTGTCGACAAACGAGGATGTAGTAGATCCAAGCTCTTATCAATGTGATAATGGAAGCGGGGGCGTCACTGGCGCAAACGATACGAGTAGATAGCCACGAGGCTTCTCCAGGTAGAGGTGCCAGAATCAGATCAAAACGTCAATGCGATCCGGCGACAAAGTGTGATAAATCAAGCAAAGCAGGCAAATCAATTAAGCAACCAACCAACCAGCCTACAATGTGAAGCGGAGTATACTCATTAGGAAAAACAAGCGTACCAGACGTCTAAGATTAGTAGGAGAGGATACCTCCACAGTACTGAGGAGGTAGAGTAAGCGTAGGAGGTAGGCATCATGGGCAGCCATGGCCATCACCGTCGTCCATGCGTCCATTCGTCCATTCGTCCACCTTGTCCACCCATCCACCAATCCAACCTCCACGCGGGAGGTGGACGATGGCACGATGGGAAGGATGGAGGGGTTAGCTTGTAGGTTATCAAGAAGTCTGGGGGAGCATCATCTGCTGTAGCATCAACTGATCCCGCTAATCCCGGAATGGCTGGGATGGCTGATTGGTGCTAACGGAACCTGGTATACGAGTCCAGTCGACTTTGCCGCCGCCCGCCATTGTTAATTTGTAAATCAATGGGCGCAGGGCAGGGCATGGCATGGCATGGCATTGCAGGACCAGGCCAGGAACTTGGCCTTGTCGCATGGCGTCGTTTTGGACGTAACTCGCTCGTAGGTGGTGGTATCTTTTGGGACGCGAGTTGGTCTTGCCACTACTGGCAACAGCGGCGGGATGGTCCCATACAAGATCGAGATAGAGAAGACGAAACGCGCCTTACCCCGCCGCCATATCTGCGGGTCATCGGCGTTGAAATGCCCATATTCAGTTCAAAAGTCCCGGGTTGGCAGGGGCATGCAGTCGCTTTGGGGTTTGCCCTCGATAATGTACGTACGAGGACGAGACGGAGCTGCTCAGGCGGCAGGCGGCAGGTCCAGATGTGCGATGAACATCCGACACGAGGCATGGGAAGATGCAGGTTATTACCGCCACCTCTGCACCTGCTCTTCATGGTACGATCCGAGTGGCCCGTCAGGACGTGCGAGAGCCGTTGTCAGGCCTGCTGATCGAGATAGGAGAACATGACGCGACTGTTTAATATCGTTGCATTGGGCATGTGGGTGCGATGGGTGTATGAGTGTGCGTGTGTCCACGGAGAGTTGCAGGAAGGGGAGGGGGGAACTCTTCGTTGCAATGCAATCCGGCGATGGCGGTACAAGTCAAGGTTGTATTTGTCGCTGTGTCATTTCTACCCTTCGCAGAGGTCTGAAGAAAGGTGAGATGGGCTAGAGCTTGTTATGTTATGTACTGCGGGGAGGGGGATCGAACCAGGTTTTATAGCGATGTGCAATGGAGTACAGCAGAAGAATTGGCGGGAGAAACTTCGATGACTTTGTGTAACAAAGAACACACTATACCAGATCCGGGGCACATCTCAAGCACACGTCGGTGGGTTATGGCATCAATGTTAACAGTATATGCAAGGGTTAGCTATGGAATGATGGACTGCGGCTCTATTCTTCGATCCGTAAAGTCATAGTAGTTCTCCTGGGTCCCAATCCATCGTGAGTATAGATAAGGGAGGTTGGTGTACAATTATATGGATATAGCAACTAGATAGAGCACGATCTGACGCTAGCATGCTGTAATACGAATACTATCCATCTGACTATTCAGACTACAAAAGGTAAATGCTTCAATTTACCAAGTGTCAACCACAGGGAGACAGAGAGTCGCATAATCTTGATCCCCCTAGTTCATTGTACATGTACAACCTATACAGTATAAGATTCGACAACGATAAGCTTCCTCTGACCCCAAAGACCCAAAATATCCGCCTCTCCTATAGCTCTCAAAGGATGGGTGACCAGTCCTCCTTTCTGATATGCTCTTCCATAGTAGTCACGGGCACATCAACTCCCAAATCCCAAGGGTATACGACCTCAGGATCACCACCGTCATATCCGAATTCTTCCATGTATGCAAACATATCCGCTAATTCCTGTCCGAAGCTGCCGTAATGGGTCTCCAACTCCTTCGGATCCGTCTTTGCGTACGTGCATGCGACCCCATGATGCTTGCCCCAGAGCTGACTCCACTCATTCCAAGTGATGGCATTACCAGCACCGACGAGGTTCTTACCAGGTGCAACCTCGACGAGGGCTTTCACGAAAACACCTACGTGGTGATTAGAACGATTGCAGTGCCATGGACCCGCTTACTTACCTGTATCGGCCCTTGGGTCGACCATTGGGAACTTGACATCGCCGCCCAGTGGATAACCAAGCTGATAAGATCCGTCCTCTTGCTTCTGAGGTGCGCCTCCAACGAAAGCCTTCCAGTTCCCTGCAAACATGCCCATTTGCAGAAAGCTTGTCTTCTCAGTCTGGTTCACAACCTGTAAGTGACTCTAACTTCCTGTGCTCATTCTCGGGAACTCATATCACTTACAACACTAGGATGCTTCTCCCTCAAATACTCAACAGCCTCCCACTTGCCGTCAAAGTGCAGATTGCGCGTATACTTCCCCTTACTCCACTTCTTAGTGCTGCTCAGAGTGCTCAGCACAAACCTCTCCAACACCTTCCCACCAGCACTCCCATCCACCGCCGCAACCGCATCGACCAACCTCTTCCCCTGCGCGACCTCCCGCTCATACGCCACCTCATTCGCCCCGCGGCCCTCCCTCGCAGCACGCTCATGCACGGCCGGATCACGCATGTGCGTCATGAAGTCCGTATACCCGAAGACAACATGAGCGCCCGTGAAGGCAGCTTCGAGGGACGCCGGGTCGTCGAGGTTTCCTGGAACGACTTCGGCGCCTTTGGATACCCACTCGAGCGCGCTGGGCTGGGAGGGGTCGCGCGAGATGCCGCGGACGTGCCAGCCGGGGAGGGAGAGGAAGGTGTCGGCAACGGATGCGCCCTGGAGGTTTGGTGAGTATGTGGTGGGTTTATATGGTTGAGAAAGAGAGGGATGGTACCTGGTTTCCAGTTATGCCGATAATTGCGATTGTCTTTGTGGACATTTTGAAGGATTTTGTGGTTTGTTGGAAGTAGATAGTGTAGAGAGAAATGTATATTTGATGAGGGAGTTGAAAGTCATCCCATTGCTAGCTTTCTATATATTTCATATGCTCATGCATTGTACTTCGAACACATATCGTGGATCTTCAAGAATAGTTTCTGTTCCTCCGGCGGTCGGTAGTTCGTCCGCGAGCTCACTGAACCCCCCGAGGCGTCATTGAATGGCGAGCTCACTGCTTGACTTCGTACTTGACTTCGTACATTCAAATCTTACGAGCATGGAGTTAAGCAAGAGAGTCGGCGATTCGGCCGACTCACCCTACGAGCAAATGCACTTCTTGGTTGGCATTGTGCAAAAGCATCCGACGATAGCGCATCCTGCTGACGATGGTTTTGGTGGTGACTCAGTACCCGAGATGCCGTTCTTCTGGAATCCTCCTGCACGTTTTAGTCAGCCCTCGCAATGGCACGCCTTTCGATTGCCGAACTCAACATCATGTTCTGGGGCGATGAGTCAAGGGCCACATGGGACGGATTTGATAGACTTGAGTTGGGGTGATCGCATTCTTGTTTTGTCGAGGGGCCTCGCAGAGAACCTCTCTCCTATCCTACTCACATACATATCTCCATCAACACCAATTGAAAGCAAAGCCAGGTGGACTGATACATTTGACGCTGACTAGGAACGGGATGAATAAACACTATCTAACATAAAACCGCTCTCTCTTTCTTTCTCTCTCTCGGAAGTAGCAGTCATAACCAAATGTTGGCCTCGTTTCCAATTCGTATCTGAGAAAAAGAGAAACGCCTACTCCAAATTGCAATGCATTGTGGACATAAAAAGGTTGATTTTTGATATCATCTCCTCGAACTGGCCATCTCTCCGTACCGGCCACGTTCTCTCGTCGTGTCGTATGCTTGCAGGACGCGAGCTTGTGACTCGTCGGTTTGGGAGAAGGCATAGCCGCGCTGCTTGCGCATACGCTGGACTTGACGGACCTTGCGGATGGCTTTTTGAAATTGTTCCATTCTGTGAGTATGGGTTAGCTCGTGTGTCTGAAATCTAACTCATTATATACATACCTGGGGCGGTAATCCTGGATGTTGTATTTCTGGATCTCCTGGACGTGGTGGTAGCTTTGCGGTCGATACATTCGCTTGTAGTATTTCCATGCATAGTCGCGGACCAGGCAAAGTGCGGGTAGAATGAGCAATTGAGCCCAGAACCTTGGATCCGGGAAGACTCTCTGGATTACGCCACGATACTCGGGGGAGACATTGACCATTGGAGCCACGGTCGCGTAGATTGGGAATAGGATGAACCATAGCGCCATGGATCCTGGAATAGCGAGGAAAGCGTACTTCGTCCAGATGTTGGTGATGAGAGCCGCCTTGCCGAGCACTGTCGCCAAAGCCGCGGTGTAAAGACTGGTTCCCCAGGCCCAATGACCGGCATTGCGACCATCCCATTGGGGCCAATCCCACAGCATGAAAGCTTGCGATGCAAAGTACAGAATCAGCGAATGATAGAATCCGTTGGCAATCCAGGACCAAAACGAGTGCATCCGGAAGAAAACGCCAGACTGGCTTAGCTGATAGAGCTGAGGGTAACGATCGAGAAGTCGAGCGCTGACGAATTGGTCGAACACACCAAGAACGAATGGCGGTGCAGCGGTAAAGAAGACATTGTAGAAGGTCAACGTCCAAGATTCGTAGATAATTTGTCCAGAGAAAGCGTTTTGGAAAGAATACCAGAACTGTGTCATAAAGAGTGCAATATTCTTGTAGAACGAGTACAAGATGACTTTACTGATTCTCTGGTAGCTCCAGGCACCATGGACCAGGAGCAACTTGCGAAGGTATCGGAATTGACCAATGGCGATATCAGCACTTCGGGCGGCTTGGAGACCTTCGACACCGCTGATACCGACTCCAACGTGGGCGGCCTGAATCATTGAAACATCATTTGCACCATCACCGATGGCAAGGAGAATAGCTTTCAGATGGCGTTTGACCAGCTTGACGACTAGAGCTTTCTGTAACGGAGATACACGACTATCTTTATGTTAGTGGCAATGAGTTGATATCCGAGTCTAGGTACGTACCAACAAATGACAGCTTTGCATTTGATCGCAAGCTGCAAGAAGCTCTCTTCGAGATCTTTTTCGAGCGCGTAAGTGAGAGATTTTCCGTCGATAACGAGAGCAAGGACATCCATCTCTGCACCACCTTGACTTTGACTGTTGATAGCGTTAAGCTTCTTGTGAATGTTGTCTCTCGTGTCCTCTTTATTTTCCTCGTTGACAATGAGAAGACTCATGTCTTCACTGATTAATTTGCAGCTCATGCCGATGTTGATGGCAGTTTCTTGGCGATCACCAGTGAGAACCCAAATCTTGATGCCTGCAGACTGCAGAGTCGCAATCGTATCGGGCACACCATCCTGAAGTTTGTCTTCGATGGCTGTTGCGCCCAAAAGAGTAAAATCATGTTCGATCAACTCAGCAGCTTTGTCCAGTTCGTCAGCACGGTTGCCACCCACAGTCGTCTGGGCAGCGTTGAAAACGCTCCACCACTCCTGGAACTCGTTCTCGGGAATCTCCCTCATAGCCAAACATAGTGTACGTAGACCCTCCGCGGCATATTCCTCCAGATGTGTAAGCGTGGTTTCTGTGTATGGGTTGTCTTTTCCAAGTCGCTCCAGGATGACGGTATCTGCACCTTTACAATAGCAGACGATCTTGCCCTCTGGGGTACGGAAGATGGTCGACATTCTCTTCCTCGTGGAATTGAACTCGCAAACTGCTAACAACTCATACTCTTGCTGTTCCTTTTCATCGACGAGGATCGTGACAGACCGAGGTTTTCTAGCAATAAATTTGTAGCCGAGTTGTACAGCGCCTTCCACCAATGCACCCTCATCTGGAGAAGCTGCCTGATATTTGATGGCGGCCTTTTCACTGGTCCTTTCTGGGATGACTGTGTGGCAGGTAGAGAGTAGAGTCAGGAAGTGTCTTATGATGTCTCTGTCGCGGTGTGTTTTTCGGTTCTCCTCCAGTTGCTTGAAGTCGTGAATACCAACAGCGACACCATCCTCGAAAGTAGCCCTACGGTCCTCAGGAATCTCATCCGCATACTGAATACCAGCGATCGAAGACTGTTTGAATTCCATGATGTTCTGAGTCAATGTTCCGGTCTTGTCCGAAAAGATATATTCGATCTGTCCCAGCTCCTCGACCAAGGACGAAGTACGGCAGTTCGCAGGTGTATCCGTTGGTTCGTAGTAGATGTCTAGGTCAGAGTCGATCAACGAGCCAGTGTAGTATTTGACGATTTCAATGGTAACGAAGAGCGAGATCGGGACTAAATTGGAGTACAGAACCCAGTATGTTAGCAGATCTCGGAAGAATTGCTTGGCACCATTGAAGGCCTCCAACTGAAGATAATCAAGATTGTCTCGTTGAGTCGAACTGATGATGACATCGCCCACAGAACTGACAATGCTGAGTGCGATCAAGATGGCGACGAGCATAAGAATCTGTCTGTTGACCATCCGCTCCATGGCAGTTGTCTTGATAGGAGCAGCAGTAGCATTTCTCATAAGCTTCGTTTCGTGACCAGTGAAAACTACGACACCGTGGATCCAAGGAGTATTTCGAAGTGTTGCGCCACGCAAGAGCAGCTGATCTGGGGCTAGAGGCAATTCCCGTTCACCGCCCCCAGCAGCCATGGTCAAGGTTGCCTCGTAGGTGTAAAGGCTGCTGTTCGGTTGCTCGGATCGGATTTTGCCTCCAAGGCGGCTTAGTTCTGACGGACTGACGAGCTCTGCTGTCTCCGGGATGGCTTGTTTTATCTTCAAGTTTGTCTCGCCATCGAGATTGGCGGTCTCAATGTAACATAGTCCCTCCGGTTCAGACGAGGCGAGCAAGACAAGGTCCGCTGGGAACGGGCTCTCTGATTGGACACGAACAATGTCTCCGACAGCAACATTAATCCATTTCGTGTCTGTGAACGTAGATCCTTTCAAGACCTGTGCCTGAGAGTTATTCAAACTTTGATCCGACTTCTTTCGCCTAAAGTCCTCCACAAACTCCTTTACTGCCGATACTAGCAACACGACACCGAGAGGAACAATGGTGGTATAACGCTTCGTAGGGGAAATTCCGGGAATCTGCTGTAGAATGGCAGTAAACAAGAAGAACAGATTGGCGTATTTCGAGAACTGTTCGAACAGGAACTTGGGTAGGAAAGTGAAGGCATTGTATTTCGCTGTTGAGACATGGTTGTCGACATATTTGTTGGCAGCATTCGCGGGCGGATTGTTCAGATGTATCATTCGTGGACCAAGTGTTGAGGGATCTGGACCACCTCGACCAAATCCGAACTTGAACTTTCCCGAATTTCGTTTCTTTGGTGGCTCTTTTGAGTCGCTCATCCCGCTGTTATCTGGACGATTTTGCTGGGCCGCATGGTCCGTCAGAGGCAGATCCATTTCCGAGTATTCGGGGCCTCTTCCTAGCATATTCTTAACACGCCCAGTCAAGCCCCCTCCAAGACTTAGGATACTATTTCGGTTATTCTTTTGAGAGCCAGCTCGCCGGAGTCCTGCCGGGGGTCCCTCGAAATTCGTGGTCGTGCCATAATACATGGAATGGTCGTCGTCTACATCCGCGTCGGAGTATCTTTGATAATTGTTGAGATCTGAGGTTTGTGAGTATAGCCTTTGACCGCCTGCAGCGTATGGTCCCTGCCCAACTGGTGGCGCCCCGGGACCTCCTGGAAGATCCCCCGTTGGCCTGCCTCCGCCTACGAAATCATCGTAGGATACTGACGGCCGACCTTGGGGTTGACCGCTGGTATGGCTTGTGTCATATCGGTGCTGTAGTTCGTCATCATTTACAGGCGCTCGTGCGCCGGAGTTGTATGAGGGTTGAGGGTCATCGAAGTCTATAAGGTTCTCGTTGTAAGGTGGCCGGCCGGCCATAACGGCCAAGGTTGTGTGATAGCAGACAGCTCGCGTAGGATGTAGCAAGCGTGTCGGCCAGACTCATCTAATGGGTCGAGGTACGTTCCGATGTTGTGTTTGTACGTTGCGGTACGGAGCAGACACAGATGCGAGGCTGGCGCAGAAATTCGCAATCCGTTCAGCGGTGCGCAATGTAGGCTTCCGTAGCTTCGCGGACCAGGTCTGATAGATGACGAGGGGGCGTAGCAATAGAATTCGGAAGTGATGGAGCAGCGAATGATTGTTCGTCGAGAGTCGTACCGCGTGAGGAGCTGTGAGTGACTTTTGGAGGTTGAATTGAGGAGGTTGTTGGAGGTAAGTTGAGGGCACGGATTGTCTGAGGTGTGAGGCAGTGCGGGAGTGGTCCAAGATCCTCCCGGTCCCCTGTCACGCCGCGCGCTTTACTGCACTTTTGTCGTCGCAACACCTTGGCCACCCTTCGGAGTCGGTTCAACAGCATACGAAGTGAGCAATTATTTACAGAAATGGTTCAAATGGAAGCTGCATGTCACATTAGAGATCTTCACTATTAACTTTTCATCGATCAACAAGTCTATGTTGCCGCAATTCTTACAAAACCTATGGTTTGCGCTAGCGGTCAACTTGCAGAGGTTACGTAGGTCTTTGAGCCACGCCGGAAGCTGACATGAAGCTCAGCCATTCTGCCAGAATAATGAACGACACAAGGACTGCAATCTCTGCTCTATTCCGCTACTCATAATCTGCTGTGCAGCTGGAATCCATTCCCTACGCTTTCGTGGCCATCACTATCACAGACTATCGATACATGTATCCTGCATGCCTCCTCAGGGGCAATGTGTGCTCTCCATCATTGGCAATCAGCTGATGTAGCACACTCGCAGTTGAGAATATCTACTCAAGAGCAGGATGCAATTATGGTAGTAAGAAGGCGACGACTGCGTTGTGGTTCGGTTGGATTAGGATGCCCTGTGTTGCAGACGATATACGTTGAGCTAGCGAGTGAGCTATCAGCTTTAAATAGAAATAGTATACGAGGAGGCCAATATTCTGCAAATAGCATCCACATACGAATCTACGATGTACACAGTATGCAGTTCAACGCAAGTGTTGTTGATGGGTCTGCTGATTATCAGATTCATTACTTGTAACCTCGTGCCCGCCCCGTCAAAGATTCTCATGAGCCTCCAGGGGCAGAGGAAGGGGAATGCGTCCCTGGACATTAGAGCCGCGTGTCTCCCCGCAATAGGCATACAATCCGTGGTACAACCATTGCAAACTGACGATCTTCGGTTGACTGTGACTTTTAATTTGCTGCCGCCTTAGTCATAACGGCCGCGCGAATTATGGGTACCTTGGACGCGGACCCAATCTATCTCGCTTGACCGCCCCACGTAAGAGAGACTGTGCATTATTGCCTGCAAACCATGAGCGGACACTCTGCAATGGAATTTAGTCAATATATAATCACAATAATTTACAAACATTTCATCAAACAACCGAATAGCCCGGTTAGCTCAATCGGTAGAGCGTGAGACTCTTAGGATTCACGATCTGTCAAACACGATTGGAATACGATGCAATCTCAAGGTTGCGGGTTCGACCCCCGTAAGTTCATCTGACTCATTAGGTTGCATTAGCAAGTAATTAACATTATCTCAGGCATCGGGCTTTCTTATCATCACATCAGTGATATGCACTTTTTTTTGCACTTTTTTTTGCACTTTTTTTGGTCCTCATCAACGTCTTCTATTAACTACTACCTATACATAGCTTTATGAGTAACACTTACTATTCATTAATACACAGCAGATCTATCTTATTTTTACAGAGAGAAGAGAGTGGGTAATGCCATTTTATTCTATGTGTTGCCTTCTACACAGGATATCCTTGATTTTCTAAATATATTTTTACTTTTAAACTTGCAAGTTCATGACCTATGTTGACAGACTTATCAACCACCCATGATGGCGGAATCGATGAATGCAACTTCTCAACATCGCAAATCTCAGATAGGACCAGCCACAAACAGATGGCTCCATTCTACACGCAAAGGATTCGATTTGACCAGATCCTCCCGCGGACCAAAGATCACTATCGAGACAACGTCGACGCCCATCACGATCAGCCCCTCGCTCTCCGCCCTGGTCATCATCGACATGCAAAACTTCTTTCTCAGTCCCGCCTTCGGTCGTTCCAAGGAGAGCGCAGGCCATAGTGCTCTTAAGCAGCTCGTAGATCACGCCGTGCCCGCGGCGCGGAAGGCCGGTATTCGTATCATCTGGGTGAACTGGGGTCTCACGGAAGAGGAGGTAAAGACTATGCCGCCAGCAGTGACCCGTGCATTTGGTTTCGAGGCCGTAGATGAGGATAGTAGTTTTGGCGACGGGTGGACAGAATCTGAGAATGGCGTTGGTGTCGATAAATTTGGAGAGGTACGGTCCGAAGCCAAACATGGGAAAGCAAGGAAGGCCTCCAGGGGCCTTGGATCGCAATGCGGCGAAGTCACTCTTGAGAATGGCGAAAAGGTCGACGGGGGCCGTCTTTTGATGCGTGATACTTGGAACGCGGCGCTATACCCTCCACTCGATACGGTGTATGAAGAAGGCTCCAAATTAAACAGAACGCCAGATGTTTGGATACACAAGAATCGTATGTCTGGTATATGGGGGGGGAGGACCGACCTGGAAGATTTTCTCGAAGCTGAGGGTATTCGAACTTTGTTCTTCACCGGCGTCAATACCGATCAGTGTGTAGGTGGGACCTTGATGGATGCATTCAGCAAAGGATATGATTGCGTCTTACTCGCTGATGGATGTGGTACTTCGAGTCCGGAGTTTGCACAGCAGGCTTTTCAGTTCAATGCCGCAAGAACTTTTGGGTTCTGTACGACTTGTGGAGATTTCGCAAAGGGAGCTGATGCAATGGAATAACGATTGGGAACCGAAGACATATTGTGTGAATGATTGAATCTTGGGTATCATTGAGTAGATGCTATCCAACATATTGCTATGAGCAGATTGCCAATTGAGAAGATCAGTGAAAACTGTACATGACCTTAGGCGAGCGTCTTCCTTTTCATCCTTAGAAGTTTCTTCTTCGCCTCCGCAGCCAATATAGGCCACTCCTCTGCCTGGTCCGACGGCGGTGGATCGGCTATAGTTTGGAGCCAGCCGATTGCTACGTCTGTCTCATCTTCGATCTCCGAAACATCTGCCAGCTCAAGCATTGAAGGTTTATGTCCACTCTCCGCGGCAACAGTGAACCACTCCAACCCCAAGTTCCTCGGGCTATCCTCTTTCCACATTGTTAGCCACCAGAGCGACCGGACAACGGTTTTGTCATGTAGATGCGAAGTATCCACCTTCCCACGTCCCTGGGAATTGATCTTCATGAAGAAATGCCCTAGCTCGTACATGGCTTCCCTATGCCCAGCTCCAGCCGCCTTGTGCATGTATTGCAGCCATTTACCACTTTCCTTATCTTCGAACGATGCTAGATGATAATATGCGACTGGATCATCACCCTCCAACGCTCCTTTCGTGAACGCGTGCTTGGCCTTTTCTCTCAACTCCGGGTTCTGGCTATTTATGAGAAGCGTCCCTAGGGCATTCCAAGGAGTAAATCGTGGCAGACCCATGGGGTGCACCTCGCCCATGTTGTACTTGACATTTTTCGATTCCAAGGCTTGTTCATAGAGCTGAAACGCAGCCTGCTCGTTGCCTTCTCTCTCGGCGAAAAGGCCCAGCAACGTCTTCGCGTCAGCAAAATCCGTATCGGCCAATGCTTCGAGATCCTGGCGACACGATCGGATCTCAGCTGGCGAAAAGAGACTTGCTATCTGCCTTGCTGAGTCTTTCGAGCTCGCAAGATAGACTGCGTTCATTATGTGCATGATGGCACCGGGCTCTTTGGCTTTACAGCAGGACAGGAGGAGAGTCCTTGATATGTTCTTGTGTGGACTTGGCGGTAGCTTGCTCCCAGATGCATCGGCGTCGGGAATCCGGTAGGTCGTTATGGCGAGGTTTGTGATGTCTTCCAAATCTATTTTATATCGAGAGTTCGCTGGGAATTTACATTAGCTCGTGTACCTTCTAGTCTATCAATTGACAAGCTAACCTTCCACCAAACCCAAAGCTAGGTCTGCAGAAATAGTTTTGGGCGGCGATTTGAGGATGTCACGAATAATGGTTTCCGCAGCCGCAGCGGGCATAGCAATCAATCGCTGTGACTTCATGGTCGCAAAATGGGTGCCTCGATTTTTCTTGTCGAACTCAGCGCGCAGTTCTTGAGGTGACCTCTGTGGATCGGCTCTGACCCTCCTTGGGCCTGAATTATTTGATCTATGGGATGCTGGGCGTGTGGAAGTCCATGATGAGGTCGTTGGAGGGGAGAATGCGGAGGGGCGGCGATTTCGAGCCTGGCAGAACACGCAAACCTCCAAACTTGTACGTGGCAGGGCACCTCGTAGGAAATTGGCGCGGGCCACCGATTTAAGTGCCATTGGTTACAGGAGGAATTGGGTTGTCAAAAGTCAATCCATAGAAGCTCAGTCGATGAGCATAAGAGCTCCATTTATGACCGAGCTTCTGCCGAAACCTTTTTTTGGAAGGGTCCAATCATCCTCCTTGGCGCCAGAAAAAAAATCCAAACCTCCGCAACGCCATGTTCAATAAAGTGTTCAACACCGCCAAACGTATTTTGAGTCGATCGCCATCGGTCCAGGACGTTCGTGAGGAAGTTAAAAAAGCTCCACCAACAAGTCACGGCGCTTCAGACGAAATGGTCACATCTACGCGACGTGGGCCAGTGACGCCGCAAGGTTCGGCCTCGAAGACAAAAGGCAAAAGGGAATTGGATGCACACGACACGCCTACGGTATCGAAGAAGAGGAGGACTTCGATTATCAATGAAGAGGATGCCGCCCATAAGGAAAGCACTACCGCCGACGACGAGCAGAACGCCGTAGACACCGCCGAACCCACAGAGGCCCTTCCACTGCGCGAGAAGCACCAAAAAGAAGAAGACGGAGAGCCCCGCCGGAGTCGTCGCCTTCGACACAGCTCGCCGCCGAGTGCGCTCGAGGTTGCTGCAGAGATCAATCAAGCTGCGACACCAATGTCGTCGAAAGAGGATGCATTCTATACACCAGCCACACATAAGAAGGGTTCTGTATTCGAGACCCCGGCATCGGTACTTCCTGACAAGGAGGGTTCAGTGACACCTAAGGCTAAGCCCGCGTCTTCTACTAAGAAGTCGTCAGGAAAGAGGTCACAACAGGCCAAGGCTCCAGAGGAGACACCCACTGCGAGAAGGAGCAAAGCTAGCATACCAGATGAGGTCCCTTCATCGACATGGGAGGGCGAAGAAACAGAAGAGGCTATTTCAACACAAGAGTCCAAGGCAGGGCAAGAGGCTGAGACCAAGAAGAGTCACGTTCGATTCGGCAGCGAGGAGCCTCATCAAGAGGAAGGGGCTGTTTCCTTAGATATCACCGCGCAGCAACCTGTTGTAGAGGAAGAAGCGCATGATGACGAAGAGGAGGATTCTGATTCTGACGAAGCTCCAGAGGAGATCACTGCCTCTTCAGCTATCACAAAAGTCAAAGCGGTTGAGGCCGAAGCCGCGAAGGCTTTCAAGGCTCAGCAGGAGAGAGAGCGGGCCAGAAAGCAGGAGCGTGCTGAACGTATGGCAGAGGAGCAGGCGCAGAAGAGGAAACGTCTTGAAAAGAGAGCAAGCGAGTACGCAAAGGTGGAAGCTAGAAAGCAATCCTACAGCAAGCGAACGGGGCTTGATATTGATGCCAGCAACCTGCCTGCCCTTCTGCCAGCTTCCCTTCTGGAGGCCGCTGGAGACGTTCGACCACCAACCCCTCCGGCGGAAATTCCTGGCAAGTCTGCTGAAGAGATACGCAAGGAGAACCTCAGCCGACATATCAAGTTTGCAGAACAAAGCCAGAAACGCGTTAAAGATTTGAAGAAGGGCTCCCTTAGCGTACGTGTTCTTGATCGTCAGAACGGTGCCCTGGCACCCAAAAGCAACAAGAATGGGAAGAACGTACGGGAGCAATGGCTAAAGGGGAGAGAGCAAGAGAAGAGGAACAAAGGAGGGAAGCGGAAGGTCGATACTCGCAAGATGCAAAGACGGCCTTTTGGGGGCAGCTTCCTTCGTGACGAGGATTAAAGGTGCAAACATGACTAAAATGGTCGAGGATTCATTCATATTTGGTACCGTAACGAACATGGTACATACATATATCCAGGGTAGAAAAGGGAGCATAAGATAACATGAATTGAAAATGTTACGGAGAGCAACAATTGGATAAGACCCACTAAACTGTGCGTTCGAGGATAGATATTCGTTGCGTTTAACATTGTTCCATCGCAAATTGCCTTACAAAGGAACAATACAAGTGTCACGTGGTCTATGACCCAGGTGGCTTGAGTGATGCGCGCGCCAAGGGTAGTAGCGTCGTGAAACGCGACCAAACTTCTTTGATTGAAAACGGTCATGTCGTGTTCATCGCATTGAAGCGGGCTTGACAAACATTCCTTTTTCTCTATTCCAGCACCCACATACTCTTGTATTAACATTGATTTATTCCGTTGCATCTAAATGCAGTATCGTAGTATATTTCGACGAACAATTATTCATCCATCCCATTATGACCGACTATAACAAGCTCACAGTCGCGAACTTGCGCCAAATCCTCAAAGACCGCGGGATAGCTTCCACAGGACTCACGCGTAAGGCGCAGATAATCGAAAAGCTAGAGGAACGCGATCAAGAGGAGAATGCAGCGCCTGCGGAGACTGAGCAAACCCCTGAGGTTTTAGAAGCTCCTGAAGCTCCCGAGGCTCCTAAACCTGAGGTGAAGCCTGCGGAGGAGCCGGTGCAAGAGGAGACTGCGCCAAGCCCAGGTAATAGAGCACTGCACTTGAACAATGATAACTGGACTGACGACCGCAAAGAAGCACTTACTCGGGAAGACCAAGAATTCAACTCTATATCCCAGGAGGACGTTCCCGAACCCACACCAGCTGCAGATGCCACCCCTATAGAGGAACCCGAGAAACAACAGGAAGCTGCACCGCAAAGCCCATCCGAACCTATGCGCGAACCTTCTCGCGAGCCTTCACGAGAAATGTCTGAGGCATTGCCTACGGAGAAGGAAGCTACACCAGATGCGCCGGATGATGCTACCACAACAGCAGACCCTATAGTACAACCTTCGGACACTACGCCGCAGACAGAGACACAAGACTTCGCAATGAAAGATCCACGCACCCCATCACCCGATCCAAACGAGAAGCAGTCGGTGGAGAAGGCCACCCTGGCTCCCATCCCGGAAACATCAACAAATGCATCTATAGATGCGTCGAGATTAAACACGGAAGAGCTGGAGGCAGATACAAAGAAGCGCAAGCGCAGAAGCCAATCCCCAGATGTCGCATCACAGGATCTACGAGCCAAGAAGCCCCGACCAAGCGAAATAGCTGCGGAAAATGTTCACCTGAAGGAAGACACGGATGTGGTCATGGAGCAGCGCGCACCAGAAGCAGAGGTGGATAAGGTCGAAGAGAAGGAGGAGAGAGAACAGACAGAAGAGTCGGAGGCAGTGAAGGAACAAAGCGCGGTAATGGAGAAAAAGGAGAAGGATAACCGATACAAAGACATACTCCCGCCGTCCGAGCCAACAGTCTCCGCTGAAGCAACGGCCGACGATCGACCTATATTTCCAGCACTGCATCCTGCAACACCTGCTATCTATATCCGCGATTTAATGCGCCCACTCCGACCAGATCCACTCCGTAAACACCTCATATCACTCGCCTCGCCACCAAATTCTTCGCCCGATCCCTCGATACTCAAATCGCTCTTCCTAGATCCTGTGCGAACGCATGCACTTGTGCTTTTCGCTAGTACTACAGCTGCCTCACGCGTACGTTCCAGCCTCCACGGCTGCGTCTGGCCACCGGAAAGCCAACGTAAAGAGCTCTGGGTAGATTTCGTCCCAGAAGACAAGGTTGATCTCTGGATTCAAGAAGAGGAGGGTGCCATCGCCGCAGAGAAAGAGGCACGCGCTTCGGGCCGCCCAATACCTGCCAAGCGATTCGAAGTGGTCTATGATGAAATCCATAATGATGCAGGGAGCGCCGTGGAAGCTGTGTTCCAAGAAGTCGGCGCACGCGCTCCAGCAAACGCACCCCGAGGCCCCAAGGCCAGTATGGATCGATTCCGCCGTGGATCCGAACAACAGGGACCCCCTCTGCCAAAAGCTTCAAGCGACGAAGAGACTCGCAAGGATCTAGGAAAGAGCTTCCAGACCCTCGACCAGCTATTCAAGTCTACGGCCGCGAAACCCAAACTCTACTTCCTTCCCGTGTCCGACAACATCGCCGATCGTCGACTTGATGAGCTTCGTGAAGCGACGAGTAGAAAATACAACCCGGATGAGAAGGTCAGGGGCAGAGGTGCTCAGTTCAATGATCTGAACCAGAAAGTCAGGTTCTCTTTCGACGAAGATGACAGGCTGATTGAGGTTGGTGGAGACTTCGGGCCTTGGAAAGATGATACTGGGTTTAAGGGAGGAAGAGGCGGTGGAAGGGGAGGAAGGTTCCGAGGTGGTGGTGGATTTAGGGGTGGCCGTGGAGGAGGATACAGGGGCGGAGGTCGTCTTGACTAAGTCGACATCGACTCTTTCAAAATTTTATCAGCAGGTCATTCTGGGGCATGAAATCTGGGTCTGGCAAAGGGAAATTAAAATGTCTATATATCAGCGGCGTGTCATCGACACTGGAGGTACTTTGCATTGGGAATTGGCGTTATGATGAGAGATTATGGGTGGACTACTGAGATGAATCTAGCTTCGGCTGGTGGAACGAAGGAAAATACATGAATATAAAATTTTCATCGCCAGCTTCATGTTATCACCGTCTTGCTGACTGCCATTGATCGTAGGTGTACATAGTGATCGTTGCTATTTCTTGCTGTCAGTGTTTCTCCTCCCTTCTACTCTAACATAGGACACTTAGCATGCCAACTTCAGCATATTGTAAACAGATCGTTCCAACTTGATCATTCTATCATTACCAATCGTAGGATTCACCTTCAGTGCCTGGTTCCCAACTTCCCAACGTCGCCACTCCCAACTCCCAACTCCCAACTCTCAATTCCCAATTCCCAATTCCCAATTCCCAATTCCCAATTCCCAATTCCCAATGTCCGACTTCCAATACAACCCCCAAAAGCCAACATTTCCAGGACCAACAAAAGGCATCTCGACCAATCGAACCCCCTAAAAAAAACATCAGCACTCAGCTCTCCCTCCCTCCCAATCCTCTCCCCCCACTAATCCACTCACCATCTCAACCCCCATCGTCCAATCACGCCTGCGTACACTTATGCCTCCCATCATACATCTGCTTCGAGATACACTGATGCCCCCCCGTGTACTTGTACCCCCTATGCTTATCCGGACACACGCAGTTGTTGACGAACGCCCAGTACGAGCACTTCACCGCGCACCGGCCCGTCGTGTACGAGCAGGACCCTTGCTGGCCCACCGCGCAGGTGAATGCCGCGGCTGGGGCGGGCAGGAGGGTCAACGTGGAGAGGAGGAGGAAGAGGGGAGTTGTGAATTGCATTGTTTTGTTTTGTTTTGGTTGTGTTGTTGGCAGTTGAAGGTTTTGTTTGTGGAAGAGAAGGGGTGAGGTGGGATTGTAGGGTAGGGTTGGGTTGTGGTATGGTGGGAGGATGTGAAGCACTTGATGGGTTTTTATATCTACAAAACCTCCCACCGTCCTCACCACCAGCACAAACCAACCGATTTACCCAAGCGACGAACCACCTTGATCCTTCAAACAATCCCCCTCCGCTCTTAGCGCTTCCATGCCAAACGAAGCCATTCAATTCCTTCGGTTTTGGGGTCCACATATCAGACCCTCTGATCCGCACAGAAGAAGCCTTACTACTTGACAAGGCTGGATCCAAACGCTCGTATACGTCTCCCACAGTAGTTACAGTACCTGACTGACGAACTGGTCGACGATATCCCCACCACTCTTCAGGTTCACCAACGTCAAGTACACCGATTCAAGAAAAGCAAATCACACACCATCCGTCCGTTCCATGCCTCTGAGTCCAGACTCACCCTTCCCTTCCCTTCCCTTCATTTCCACTAAAGACTCGGAAGCAATTCGCTTTACAAGGCACCCGCCCATCCTCCAGCCCTAAGTTGATATACGAGGCCGAAGGATAGCTAAACGTGAGTTGGGTACGATGTAACAGTTGGTAGTGACTATGCATATGTATGAGGCTTCAAGGTGCGAGACTAACTCCATCAAATGCACACACGCTATAGTTAGTAAAACTGCTACCTAGGTACGTGGGTGGTAGACGATCCTGTGTGTTGTTGCGGGTACCACGCGTTCGATCGAGCGGATGCGTGTGGTGGTGGATCGGGAATCATGCCGCGAGGTCTTCCTAATCGAGCGAGGTTTTCGAAGGAACGATTAATGGCTCGAGGCCAATATTGAGGAACGGGATTGATAGATTAAGTTAGGCTTTCTCGAGAGTAAAATGGGTAACTCGGAAGTGAGAGAGCCATGGCGGGCAAAGGCATGTGCGATGAATGGGTACGGATAGGCATTTGAAGGATTTTGGGTAGCAGTCACGCTGGGGGGCCTTCTCATCGACACAAGTGCATTGGAAAGTAGAATCTCCATGATTTGAGTGGGTTTCATTCTTTTATTCATTCTTATACAACAAGACTAAAGAGATGAGGCGGCGGGTTCGTGGTCGCTTCGCCGTGGTAGTAGTACTGGAAATAATGCTAACCTGTGGGTTGTCTCCTCCTCGCAATCTGGGGTATGGAGAGAGAAGCACATGGTGGTTGGGAAACAGGAAAAACGCCACGCCATGCATGTCATGCGTATCTATGTATACAAAGAACAGATGTGAGAGGGCCTGGTGCGACAGGGTATAGTGATGGTGTTGTGGTGTAGAAATGATGGACGGATGTCTTGATCCGTCAAGACGTTTTGGCTTTTTTGACATAAGAAATGTAACCGATGTCGGTTATGTTTGCTCCTCCTTTGGACTCTTGGTGTTGGTCTCCCTCTCCCTTCTAACAGCTTGCTTCAAGGCTCCTAGTTTCTCTTCGGTCGTGCGGATCGCCTCGTCGATGACCCTCTCTTTCATCTCGGCGCTCTCAATCACGAGTCGGTGCTGCATTTCATTCTCTTCTCTCAAACGATTCCCAGCTGCGCTGTGTACGCGATCCAGGGTGACACGCTCTTCTAGCCACTTCCACAACTCCGACTCTTCTGTGCGCCATATCTCCTCGTAGGCTGCGATACGTTGCGCGGGTGTATGATGTCCAGGCGATGTGTGTGATCGGCTTGGGGCGCTGAAGAGCCAATTCCAGGTCAGTAGCAATACCAATATAGCAATGATGATTTTGGGTTCAAAAAGCGATTCAACAATGTCGGCCAGTGGTCCCAATAATCCGCGCACAGGCTCGAGGACACCCCAGTTCTTATCTTTGGCTTTGGGCTCGGCCGTCTTCGAAATTGGTTCCGGACTGGCTTCGTCTGCGACCTGTGCCCTACGTTTTCTCGATTTGCCTCCCTTGCCTGGCACTTTGGCTGGAGCTTTGGCGGACACTGCAGCCCTGAGAGCGGATGCCAATGCTGTAGCGTAGGTGAGCTGGCCTTCATTTGCACCCTTCTCTATAGGACCTAAAGTACTGTTAGTGATTATGTTTATCCTGAAGAAATGAGAGATATACCTCTGAGCCAACTCTTCCCACTCCACTCCACCGTGAATGTCATGAGCAGCCTCGTGCTATTATTTGGCCCCCAACTTAAGCAATATCGAGTCTTGGTCAAGAAAATACTTCCACTGGGTACGTCTGGAGTACCAGTGGAGCAGAGGACAGTAACTCCCTTCTCCAAGTCGAATTGCTCCAAGCTCATGTCGATGTTGCACTTTGTCTGCCTTGGACCGATTGAGCCAGGGAGAGGCTTGATGTAAGAGAATTTGAAAGTCTTGTTCTCGCTTCCCAGTCCCTTCTTGTCATCCTCCATTTGTAGCTCAGTAGATTTCTGATCTTCAAGGAGCCATTTGCGCATGAAGACTCCGCTTGCAGGTCCAAACATTAAGCTGTAGATTTTGCCCAAGGGTGCTGGAATAGTCGTATCGATCAGGAGCTTATCATAGTGTGAATCGGCGTCCCCACAATCAGTTGGCGCATGGGTACTTGGGCCTGGGAAATCCTGGGCCCCGGTTGCATTATTGACTGCCACCTCAGCACCCTCGGATAGCTTTGATGCTCCTCCACTCACAGCCTGTGCGATGGTTGCACTCGCCTTCCTGGTCTCACCAACTTTCACGGAACCGGCCTCGCTGACTACGCTACCATCGGCGGCATCTGTGAAACTGCCCATTCCATCATCATCCTCGGCGTCTTCGTCGTAAACCTCGTCGTCGGAATCCTGAGTAGAGCCCTCATCGCTTCCAATAGACTCGGCCTTCTCGGTCCGGTCACCAGTACCGGAGCCATCCAGTGCCACGCCGTTCAGGGACGACTTAAGGTTGGGATGCGAAATCTTCCAGATCCCAATGATCAGATCGTATGTCGAGTCTCGAGTGAGAAAACTGGCGAAGATGTTGCGAGCATGGAGAGTCTGGATGACGATGGCGTTCGGGAATAGTACAGCAGTAGACTTCTTCTCCACAGAAACTACCTCGTCGAAGCTGATGACCAGGTTCGTTACCCAGCCCAGGATGTTGCTGGAAAAACACAAATGACCTTCGGATACGTAAAGGCGTCCGTGGAGCAGGATCTCCTTTTGAAGGGCTGCACTATAGTCTTCAATCAAGTAGTCGTCTTCAGGCACACTCTTAAACAAGTTGTGGAAATCCCGATTGCGCTTCGAAGGAGCCACGGCAAATCCAGTCCCATTGAGTCGTTGCCCACTCGTAGGTGTCGCGGTCAGATTGGTCGTGCTGCCTACTATAGCAGCTGCAATGTTGTTTCCAGTCGTAGCGGAGCTGCCACGGTGCCGCCTTCGCCTTCCTCCGCTGATGCGGCTCCTGATACTACCTTGTCTCTGGATCGACGAAGGTGCTGGCGAGTCTGTGATCTCAGGCTGTCTCTGCGGTGAGACTGCACCTGTAGCTCCGCCCGCAGGCGCTGAAGTCGAAGTTAGGGACCGTGGGCGATCGGCTGACTTTTCTGCAGCATATGCAGCGGACACTGCCTGCGCTGCCGCGATATCCTCCGCCTTGGCCGACGCCTCGTCCCCCTTTGCATTCAAGTTAACCGTCGAAGTCATTGGGCTAGGATCGCTACTCTCGGATATTCCAAGTTCGGCCAAGCTCAGATTTCCGGATCCAAGTGTCTCCACGGCTAATCTACGCTTCTCAGTCCCAATGTTCACCGTTGACGAATTTGTGCTCTCTGGACCAATGACTTCTTCGCCTCCCGGTGTAGATGGTCTCTCTTCCGTATTCGTGTGCTGGCTGGCTGGTTTGTTCTTGTTCTGGATCGCGCTATCGGCTATCGTCTTACTGAGCGAATTGGCGGCGTTTTGTGCTGCAGAGAACACGGACGAGAAAAACCCGCTGGGTGACTGTGTAGACTGCGCGGGTAGTGCGGCTGTTCCACCTGGCGTCTTAACCTCTTCAATTGTAGGGGTCAGCGGAGCAGAGATGGAGTTCGATAGCTTGCTGGGTGGGTTTGTAGCTGAGCGCGCACGTCGGTGCGATATCATATTCCCCGAAGGGGACACGACTACGTTGGGGTTTGATTGAGACGGAGTATGCTTAGCACCGATCCTCGAGCTTGAAGTGGATTCGGTTGGCGACTTTGCCTTTGCATCTGTCGGTGTCGGCGGCGTGACCAGTGTAGTTGGAGTCTCGTGCAGATTGGGTGGGGTAGCCGGGAGCTGTGTTATAATTCGCTTTGGGATGCTTGGGGAAGACCGTGTCTGCCCGCTCTCGTGAAGCTGTGGTGGCGAAGCGTGTAGCGGACCCGCGTTCTCTAGAATGTTCGAACCCTGCCTGCTGTCTCCTCCGCTTAATGATAGACCCAATCCGTCCACGGTAGCTCCGGGCTCCTCGTGATCAATGATAGGTTTAGGTGACGTCGCTCTTCGCTGAGGGGAGAATGCTTCCTTGAGTTTCCCAAGAGGAGAAGGGCCACGCTTGACGTTTGCAGCGACGTCGGTTGTGATGGAGCGTTTCGGAGTGTGTGTGGTCTCGGCAGAGGTATTGGAATCGGTAAGGAATGGCTCGGAGGGCGCAGTAGAGTCGATTGTTTCGGATGTGATTAGAGGAGAGGAGAGCGTTAGGAGGCCAGCGTGGGAGTGGTGAGGTGAGATGCCTGGACGAGCTGGAGAGCTGAAGGGAGTTAGCGGCTAAGCGCAAGGCTGATTTCGGATGAGATTGTCGACGACGACGAGGACAACAACAACTAGGGACAATAAAGAGAGAGTAGAGGAATGCAAAACGAATGCTGGGGGTATCTTATGTAAAACGACGGTAATAAAGGGAAAAGGAAGAAGCGCGTCGTAAGCGACAGTACAGTAACTATAGGAATACGCGGGCGTATACGGGGGAATACGTATGCGAAGGCGGAGGAAGATGTGGTGGACGGATGGTGGTGGTTAGTGGAAGTGGGGAACGATGAAGCCAGAGAGCGCATTTGGGGGTCGTCGGCCAGTCGGTTCGGTCGGTCCAGCCAAAGTAGGTAGCCGTCTCATCCCAGGTAGGAAGAAAGCAACAACCACCGTTACCTGGCTACCACAACCACCACCGCCTGGCTAACAATTGAGCAATGACAATATTGCCATACTGTCAAAGCTCCTTTCCAATTCCAGCTTATCCACTTCTCTCGATGCCCTTTCTTTCAAAGGTACGCCCGTGCTTGTGACATTTTGTGTTACACATGATCTGGATTCCAGAACCATGGATAGCAAGCCAGGGACGAAGAATGGTAGCAGTAGACTATGAATCATGACATGTACAGACACTGCCATGGTTCAACTCCATTGCTCCCTTCAGCCGCATCCTTTGGCTGGACCTCTGCGCATCCAAAGGTAGACGGGTTATTGCCAATTGTCGCATTGCAGGATCAAGTATGCAATGCTTCAATTGGGAAACAATATAGTCAAAAAGAAAGGAAAGGAATACAAAGAAAATAAATTCAATACTTACGATTCTGTTGCTTCCTCAGAGTCCTCTGTAAGCAAACTGCTGGCGACGCTCTTGTGAAGGCCAAGCGACTCTTCGCTTTGCGTCTGAAACGGCGACACTGCGCTCTGGGGCCTCTGCACTGGTAAGGGAGGTATCTCGTCCGCGTCGCCCTGCAACAGTTCGTCCGGCATGGACTTTCTCCGCTTCTTTCGGCCCTTGAAAAGCTTCGACATCCTGCGTCGATGCGATGAGGCCTCGCTGTGGCCGTCATCCGATGTGCGGCTCTTGGATCGGTCGAGAGAGCCAGCGCCGGTGGATTTCATGTCATCGTCGCGAGTGTCGCTGCTGGCAACCGAATTGATGGATGACCTGAGGCTGCTTTTTGAAGTGCTCCTGCCATAGGGGGCTGCCAGGGTATTTTCTGCGCCGACTTTGCCGTGCGAGGACCGTAGTGACGTCGTGCTGCGAGACCGACCCGAGGCCTCCATTGTTGCGACCAAGGAATCGGTAAGTCGGCTAGTGGGAGGTGGGTTTGGAGGCGGAATTCGATGAATGACCTAGATAAAGAGGCAATCAAGCTGCCATGTTGGCGTGATTTTGTGGGTTGCTCGATGATGCAGTGAGGAGGCGGGGAAAACGAGGTGGGTGGTTGTGGGAGGGCGTCGTGCGAGAGGTCGTGAGCTATTATTTTGCTATTACGTCGGAGGTCGGAAGGGTAATGGCGGGAGATGTTAGGATAGATTGGACAGTAGATGAAGACGTCCACGAGAATAAAAAGAGAGGAAGAGAGAATCGGAAGCCGTTCGTAGGGGCGAGGCAAGCAGCAGGGTCAGGGTTTATGTTAGATCGAGGTCAAGGTCAAGGACAGGGCATCATCTATGGGGATGGGGATGGGGATGGGGATGGGGATGGGGTTTGCGACGGACAGCGAAAACGTTAGTTAACTAGGTAGGCAATAGGTGAACGGGTATTTTTACTGTGGCACTGGGGGCTACTGGGTGGGTGGTAGCCAGGTGGACCGTGATTCGTGATGGTGTTACTCGTATGTACTCCGTACTGCTGGTGGTGGTTCGTCCTCAGCTCTGAAACCCCCGAGAGTTGCATCCTCATAGTTGTTTAAGGTTGGTTAAGGCAGGTTACTATTCTACTCCCAGTCACCTTAATTACTACCTAGTAGGTAGTAGGAAGTTAGTCCAATCAGTCATTATGACAACGAGTACGAGATAATTACGTACCACCACCTCCACCACAAGTCTACAACCACGGCCAACCGAACTGACACCAGGCAACCTGGAAGGGCAGGCCAAGGCAGGTCAGCTCTCCTCGGGGACAGCCTTTCTCCAGCCTTTTCCAGCCTCTCTCAGCCTGTTTCCTATTCCAGGCAGGCGAGGCAGCTGATCGTTGGTTGCATGGGGGGTTCACACTGTTTGACAATTGATCCCTGTCACCTATGACTGACCACCCTTATCGATAACGATAGACACTTTGACAACCAACAACGTCAATACCACCATCACACTTACTCAAACCCATACCACCCTCAAGATACACCACAACTCCCACACTCCATGATATATTATGCCATGATATGACGCTCCACCATGGAAACCGCTCATCTCACAAAGGCGCACGAACATGCCCGCAACGCTGCCACCGCCACCTATAGCAACAGCATCGTCACCGCGGGGGCAGAGCATGAACTTGCTGCCTCCGCATTTCGCGATGCTGCCCAAGACGCCCACAACGACGAGGTACTGTCCTCACGCATACACGCATTTGCCTTATACCTCATGTTCTAACAGTTTACCAGGCCCTCCGTATTCTCGCCCTCCTCGAAGATCACCACCTAAAGCTCGCCAGTCTGATCAAGGAACCCCCGCGCGCCACAGAACCCAGCAAGGACACCACCTCATCCATTCCTGAACATGCCGATACTCACAGCTCCACTGGCCCTGCCAAATTATCCTCCTCCCGTAGCTTGTCTCCATCAAACACACGGGCACCTCCCCGACGTAGACTCCCTCAGTCGTCTATAGCGAGCAATCTTGCGGAGAAGAGGGGGATCCCCGGCGCGCGGAGGAGCACGCCCAGCGCATCTTCGGTATCGGTGACAAACGCTCTCGCAACTCGAAATGAACAGACTTCGCCTTCGGTTCGGGATATGCTACAGCAGCAGCAGTCGCGCAAGTCAGAGTCAAACAAGAGCAAGGAAGATGAACCCAACGAGCCCGCAAAATCGAAAGCTCCTCCGCTTCGCCGAGACGTATCACCTCCGCCAGACGATAACTTCAGGCGGTTCTACTCCGCCTTTGGAGGCGTGATATCCGCCATATCGGCACCGCTAGCATTCACGTCACTCCCACTCAACCCACTATCGTCTTCGCTATACGGCAAGGAAGATCCTCCAGCGACGCAAACGCCCCTCCAACCAGCCAACAAATCGAAACCCACGACCAAAAAATCCGACCAACACCACTCTCTCGAAGCATCCCGAACCATCAAATCCTCAGAGCCCGACCTCGCAGCCCTGATCTCCAAACCCGCACTTCGAGCCCTCCGAGAAGACCAATCCGCACCCCTAGGCCCCTTCGCAAACAACGAATCCTTCTACTTCGTCCCGACATCAGGCGGCACCGTCTCGTACGCCAACATCCTCCGCGACCCCCAGGCACACCCTCACCACGCAGCGCAAGACCCGCACCTCGACTCCATCGCGGAGGGCGACAACGAAGGCGGCAGCAGCAGCGCCGGCGCCCTGGGCCTCCGAGGAAGCTCTCACGAAGAATTCGTCGACGCACGCGAGAACGTCGGTCCCCCCTCCCCAACCACTCCCCGCCGCCCACGCTCCTCCAAAGGCCCCTCCTCCACCACCACCCCTTCCGGCGGCGGCGTCACAACCGCGCAAACCATCCGCGCCGGCCGCGGGCAAGGCCTCAAAACCCTCGAGGAACTCCACCTCGAAAACGAGACCCTCCGCGCCCTCATCGACAAGCAATCCAAGCGCCTCTCCATGTGGGAAACCACATCCCAATCCTCGTACAACGCGCTCGCACAATCCTTCCGCGCCCGAGGAGGCGGCGGCCCTACCCTCAAACCCACCCTCTCCGACCCCTCAGCCCTCGCACAAGCCCTCTCCATGGGCTCCAACGCCCTGCCGTCCCCTCCCCCAGTCCCCAACATCCCACCACAGTACCACCAACCGGGCGGCACGCCCAAAGACACGACCACGCAAACCTCCACCCCCTCCACGGCAAACGAAACCGAAACCGACGACGCGAAGAAAAGAATCGCAGACCTAGAATCCCTCCTCGCGACCCACGCCGCGCAGATCTCCAGCCTAACGGCGGATAACCAGCGGCTGTCCCGCGACAAGGAGCGCAATGCGCAAGTCATCTCGCGGTACAGGGAGCAGTGGGAGAAGCTGAAGGCGGGGGCGCGGAAGAAGGAGCAGGAGAGGAGGGAGAGGCGGGTCACGGAGTTGAGGGCTGGGGAGGGGCAGCAGCAAGGTGGGAATGGGAGGGATAGTGAGAGTGGGGGGACGACGACGGGGGATGCGGAGGGAGAAGGGGAGGATGAGATTGGGGATGCGGGTGAGGAGGGGTTTGGGAAGGCTTGATTGATTGATTGGGAAGTGAGGGTTGGATGTATATATGAGAGAGAGATATGTCGTTGCTAACTACAGTTTCACGATGTCAAAGTGTTGGAATTTGAATGTTGGAATTCATATATATTCAGTTTATCAATTTGTCGGAACTTGACTACTTTAGGCAAGACCATACTACGTGCATGCACCCATTGAACCCATACTTCCATAACAAAAAAAGAGCAGAAAAGGGATTCAGAGAAACTCCATAACGACCGACCGACACCCACAGCCACCGCCCAGAAAAAAAACCCTTCAGATATCAATCAAGCAAACAGGACGCACACTTAAGCGGCAGCTGCGATGGGCTGGGGCTGGGGAGTGCCCTGGGTGCCGACGACCACCTCGGGCTGGGTCTGGATGCTTCCGGCAGCGAAGCCGTCGAACTCGAAGTCTGGGTGGACGCCGACGCGCTCCTTGCTGAGGAGATCGACGAGGAGCGGGCTGGGCTTGTTGTTCCTGTCGGAGAAGGAGGCCTGCTGATCCTTGTACTTCTGGACGCTCTCGGCGTACTTGTCGAAGAGGTATGCGGAGTCGAGGGGTCCGCCCTTGGCCTCGGGATGGAACTGGGAGGTGAAGATGGGGCGGGTGGCGTGGATCAGACCCTCGTTGGACTGGTCGTTGAGGTTGGTGAAGTACTCCCTCCAGCCGGAGGGGAGGGTGGCCGGGTCAATGGCGTAACCGTGGTTCTGGGAGGTGATGTGGCACTTGCCGGTGGTGAGGTCGAGGGCGGGGATGTTGTGGGCACGGTTGCCGTACTTCATCTTCAAAGTCTTTGCACCAGCAGCGAGAGCAATCAATTGGTGACCCATGCATATGCCCATGATGGGAATCTGGGAGTCCTCCATCAACTTGCGGAGGTTGTAGACGGTCTCAGTGCAGTGAGTGGGGTCACCGGGTCCGTTGGAGATGAACACACCGTCGAAGTGGTGTGCAACCTTGTGGATGGGGTAGTCGAAGGGGAAGCAGGTGACGCTGGCACCACGGCTGACGAGGCTGCGAAGGATGTTCTCCTTGACACCGCAGTCGATCAAGGCAACGTGCATGTCACCGAGGGAGGAGCTGACGTGGAAGGGAGCCTTGGTGCTCACACGGCGGACAAGGTTTATGGCCTCAGGGTCAATGAAGGCCTCGTCCTCATCGGCGTCGTACTCCTCTCCAATGGAGATACGGGCCAAAGAAGAACCCTGCTCACGGAGGTAAGTGACAACCTCACGGGTGTCCACTCCCGAGATGGCTGGAACGCCCTCACGAGCGCACCACTCAGAAAGACTCTCGACAGCGGTCCAATGGCTGTGCTTCATAGCGTAATCCTGGACAACGATACCAGCGCACTGGATGTATGGGGATTCGAAGTAGCGGAGGAGACCGTGCTCATCACGGGCCGAAGAAGGCACACCGTAGTTGCCAATCAGCGGCTGTGTGAAAACGAGAATCTGTCCACGGTAGGAAGGGTCGGTCATGGACTCAGGGTAGCCAACGAGAGAGGTGGTGAAGACGGCCTCTCCGGAGATGTTGGCTTTGGCACCGAAAGACTTTCCAGAGAAGATAGGTCCATTCTAGGGAGGCGGTGAGTCAGATGGACTATCAAGACGAGGGGACCACCAGCAATTGCATACCTTGATGGTAAATGTAGCACGCTCCGTAGAGATTTCAGTTGCTCGTCGCTTGGGGGATGGCACCTGGCGAGCAGTGCTCTGTACAGTGGCCATGAAGCGAGTCTGGGAGCGGGCTTTGGCGATTTGTCCCAGGACGGCACCCGCAGACCGGAAGGTGGAAGGCTTGATGGATTGGAAAAGCATCTTGGCGAAGGGGTTTGTTGGTTATTTGGAAGTAGTAGTGGTCGTAGTATTGCTTAGGTAGGGCGAGGCTTTCAGTTTACTGAGGCCTTCCACAGGTGGTCTAGTCATTGGTCAATTGATACGTCCGAAACGCGGCGTCTGTTGGTGATGATCATACCTGAGATGTAGTCCTATTGAAATTGATCAGCCATTGTTCATAAAAGAGGTTTGTATCATGACGGTCGAGAGAGGAGAGGTGCATTGTGGGGTTATAAGGGGTGTGACACATTCACGGCGAGCATCGGGAGGGACGAAGATAAGGGTCGGAGCAAGTGTGAATACATACCTGGGAGGTGAAGATTGTTGCAAAAGCACGCATAAGCGCGATGAGGTCAAAATGGAGGAGTCAGGACAAGAGGGGGCAACACGCGTGCCTTTTGAGAGCGAGTTTTGATGGGAATCTGGATAGTAGCAAGAGGTGTGTGAGTGTAAGAGAAAGGGCGTGGGTGATATGAACAAAGTGCGAAGAAAGACTTATCATCTGCGTCGCGCCGGCGGCGGGGTTTTCTAATACCGGAGAGGCCGCTAGACCCCAAAGGAGAAAGGCACTGGAAGCTCACTCAAGCAGCAAAAGCTCTGGCGGTGACGCAAAAGCCAACACTGAAAGTTTTTTTGCGTCATTCGGGGTTTCGTTATTGGGCAGTTCCTGGAAAGATCGTCGACGGGCCGGTATCTACACACTGCACACAGTCTGGCTTAAATTCCTAGGTACATAATTCTATTATGCATCCATACAGCAAACCCTAAATCCCCCAGTCGTTTCGTTGTCATGGTGCTAGGGGGAAGAACATCGACTATCCAGGTTGCGCTGCAATATGCTTGTCACCTTGCCATACCGACCATTCAGTACTCAGAAGTTTCATGACACTCCTGTATCGAATCTGTCCGGGGAGATCTCATCTCCAATCTCGCCGTGCTTTGACTCTTCACCTAGTACCTCAACTTCCGAGAAAAGATCCCCGCTCCACTTTTCGCACGCCTGCGGCCTGTCTGCAGGACCCGAAATATTTCCTACCTAAAAAAGTATCCTTGATGTTAAGAAATTTCCGTGCTGTCCTTTTTTTCTTTCTCGTTCCGACTTCGGCGGCTAAGTCGCTTCGCGTAACTCCTCGTATGAAGCAACATTACTATTACCACATACAACGCCCAGATACAACGTTAATTAGTGACTGGAAAGTACACACACATGGAAATTGGTCAATGTCTGACTTCTTTATTGGTCCGACTAGCCGCGATAGATAATCGCATCGGGAATTTCAGACGGCCACTTAGAGACAAATCTGGCATCCAGAGGTGCTTAGCTTCAGGGTATTGCCGGATGTAGAATTTTTCTATGCTGAGGGTGCTGTGCATGGAAGCTCATTGGTCGGCTAGGACTATCGGATTGATACTCGTATCTCATACTCTAGTGAGGATACCATGGTAAAGAATGTGTGTTTATAGTAGTATGTAGGTAGCTTGTATATACATTGAACCACCCCTTCCTTCTCCCCAAGACCCTCAAGACATATCTACGATCAAACTGTGATCTTCCCCGTCAACCTGATATCCCTCGAGCTAGCCCCGACACTGACTGTAAAGTCTCCAGTCGGGACCGCCCAAGCCTGACGGCCGCTATCCCAGTAGCTGAGATCTCTCCTCCTCAGCTTGAACTCTGCGGTCTTGCTCGCGCCGGCTTCCAATTTGAACTTGTTGAAGCCGCGGAGCTGCTTCGGAGGACTCTGGGGAGCACTGGAAGGGAGAGTGATGTAGAGCTGTGGTACCTCTGCGCCGGCAACACCTCCGCTGTTTGTGATCTTTGCAGTGACGGTGGCGACGGTTTCCCAAAGGTCGGCAGCGCCTCCGGGTCCCTTTGTACCTGTTGCGGGTCCCGACGATGGTTTGCCTGTGACGGTTATGTCGGAGTATGTGAAGTTAGTGTATGCTTCTCAGCTGTTAGCAGTGCTATCAATTGTTCATCTATGAGGCAAAGACTGACATAGTCCGAATCCAAACTCGTAGCGGGGCTCAATCTTCTGCTGGTCGAATCTGCGATAGTCGATGAACAAGTCCCAGTTGGAGTCAGTACCCGAGGCAAAGTTCGTGCCATAGTCACCAGGCTTCTTTGCAATGGTGTATGGTAGTTTTCCACTGGGATTTTCGGCTCCGTAAAGTACGTCGACGAGACCATTACCGGACTCCTGGCCTATCGAGTTTCAGTAAGAATGTAAGTAGCGAACAGAGAATGGCATACCAGGAAGGCCTGCCCAAACGACAGCAACGACGTTAGGATCCTCAATGTAGGGCTCTAGAATGATAGGCCCGACGCTGTGAACGACAACGATAGTATTCTTGTTTGCGGCAGCTACGGCCTTGACCAAATCGTTCCCATTGTGCCAGGGGTCGAGGTTTTTACGGTCGCCTGCATTTCCCTCAACCTCGATATAGCCCTCGCCCGAATCGGCGTTGATGCAAACAATGGCAAAATCAGCACCTTGAGCGGCAGAGGCTCCTTGTTGAGGGTTGTCATTGGATGACGTCTTGACAGTGGTGCCATCCTTTTGGGCTTGAGCTCTGATGGCTTCTAGTGGGGCGATGAGGTACTATTTACAATGTCAGCGTAGAATAGACAGGTCTTTTGGCAAACTCACTGGGAACTCAGTCGTTCCACTTCCCCATCCCATGGCTAGAGTACCGCCATTGCCACCTCGATCGACGTGTCCATTCATTCCCTTAGGATCAACGATCGAGTCAGTTCCAATGACAGCGATAGTCTTTGGCTTGTTCAAAGGAAGTGCTTTGTTCTCGTTCTTCAGAAGAACAATTCCCTGTGCCGCCATTTTCCGCACATTAGTCTTGTGATTGCCGCCAACGTCGAATCTCCCAATGCTCCAAGAATTGAAGCGTGCTTGAGGGTACCCCTGATCTTGGCCAACGAGATACCACCCAGCAAGAACGCGCTTAACCATGTCGTCGAGACGTGCCTGTTTGACTTGACCGTTCTGGACGGCAGATTGCAAAGCTGCCTCTGTTAGATTCTTCCTACGGAATGCGTCAGTGACAACAAATACCTGGACCCCAAAGTACATTTCCCTTATTGAAATCGCTGCCGTTGAAATTAGAAGGAGAAACACGATTCTTGGAGACTTCACACTTACCTTCCTGGCATAGTCATATCCAGACCACCGTTCGCGCTGCCGACGGTAGTGTGTTGAGCTGCGACAAGTTAGGTCCCATAAAGAGATAATTGATGAAGGAACCCACCATTCCAGTCACTGAGAACATGGCCTCGGAAACCCAATTCATCCTTGAGCAGTTTGTTCATAACACCATCGCTCTCGCAGGCCCACGTCCCATTGACTTTATTGTAGCTAACGAGAATCAACACATGGCCAGCATCAAAGGTTAGACGATCTCACCTGCACATAAATGACGCAGCATTGGCCTTGACAGCATCGGCGAAAGGCCAAACATACAGCTCGTGCATGACTCTGTCTGGTACATTCGAGCTGATGGACTCGCGCTGCTTCTCCTGCTCATTGGCGATGAAATGCTTCGCGCACGCCTGGACACCGCTCTCCTGCATTCCCTCGATCGTCTCCGCCATGGCAATGCCGGCAAGGTATGGGTCTGGGCCAAAGCCCTCCCAGTTCCTGCCTCCAGCAGCGAATTTGCCTAGTGGGCCGGCTGAGGGTCCCAATTGGACGTGTACGCCTAGTTGCTTTGCTTCTGCGCCGATGAACGAGCCTCGCTCTCTGATGAGGTCCACGTCCCAGGTGGACGCGGCGTGGATTCCAGATGCGAATGCGGTTGCGCCGTTGATGTAGCGAATGCCGAGCGGGCCATCCTGGAGACAGAGTGAAGGGTAGCCGATCGATCCAGCAGCTTTGGTGTTGCCTACACAATTACCAGCTTGCCAGCCAGTGCCCGTGACGATGCCAATCTTCTCGCTCTGGGAGAGCTTTGCAAGAGCAGCTGTGGCCTTGGTGTAGGCTGCGTCCCAGTCGATGACAGCACGTTTCTGTTCCGAAGATGGGATTGCTGTTCGGAGGTCAGTATCAGTGATAATGAAGTTCAAGCAGTTCAATCGTACCGGACGCTCTTGTTAGAGCGGCCGTAGCTAAGAGAGGCAAGAAGTATCCACGCATTTTCGCTCAGTTGCGCAAGGCCTAGTGATAGAGTCGATACCGGTCGCAGACACCTACGATTACCATTGGAATGAGAACCTTTTAAATCGCGGTCGATCACACACACTCTCTTCGGTACATCCATGGCCGTCGTAAGTGCGGAAGAATTATTACCATGGCTGTACCTTGTATGACACTTAATAGAAAGCTTGGGCGTGCTATGTTTCCCACTACGCGGAGGGTACATTGCCATCATGCTGCTGTGGGTATATTAAATATCTGGTCACATTAATGAGGCGAAGACAAGATTTGTATGGTATTAAACTGTGGCGGCCCGGCTCTCCAAGATGATTCATTCCCGGAACAAGGGTGATCTCGCCTGTTGTCGAATAAAACCGTCCATCAAGTGCGTCACGAGTGAAAAAGTGATCAGGGACAAGACGATCTCCCAAAATATGGGGAACGTAAGTTAATATGCAAGCCTCAACTGTGGGGTGCGTTAATACACTACCGTAAAACATGCCCCTATACTCGGAAGCTGTCACATCGATAGCATCCATGTGGAGACTGCCAATGATGCAACGCGTGCAGGTCGTGACATGCAAGTTGCAATGAAAAATTCCCATACATGATGTCTGTCTACGAATAAAATACTTGACTCGCTTCATGCGCGTACGTATGGGTATCATGAATAAAGTACGTATGAAATGTGCGCAATAATCGAGGGTCTGCATCGGATGAGAGGCGACTATATTCGGACAATTGGCATTATCACTTGGCCATAAAAGCTGCATCCCCCTAATATAGGGTGGGCAGATTAGGTCAGCTGCTGAATTTGTTCTCTGATGTACCTCTGCCGGAACATGGATAAGGTTCGGATTGCCTCTTTCGAACGTCGAATCAGGATGTATGAAGGGTATGGCCACCTTGATACATAACATGACGTGCTGAGTAGTCAGCGCAGACGGGTTCACTGGCACTAGCCAGAGACGTGGTAAGTCTTCCAACACTCCCAGGCTATGAACTGCTCGCCGAGTTAAGGGTACTCGCAATCATCATCTAACTTTATACAGTGTGCGCATGAGGGCTTTTCTTCTGTACATTTCCGTCTTCGTTGGCGGCAATTGGTACATCCGTTTTTGGATCGTTTCGGCGGCCTTGGAACAGGGTACTGGCAAGTCCACAGGCCTCTTTGGCACTGATTGCAGGTGGGCCTGGCATAATCGCACTTGATCTTCTTCTCACGACATCGAATGCATGCGCCTTTGGTGCGCGTTGGGGCAGGTGTCGGCAAAGGAATCGGAGTTTTAATAGTAGGCCGACCTGTTGAAGACGCTTGTGTTTTCTTGGTTTTCGATCCTGTCGATGACTCCGAAACGTCGACTTTTCCCGACGAATTGGTTCTCCTCTTCTTGGTCTTTGCTGCTGTCGACGGCTCTGGTACGTCAATACTTCCCGAAATCCTGGTCCTCCTTTTCTTCGGAGAGCCCGATACGGGTTGAGGTGCTGATGGTTGAGGATCAGTGTTGGCATGATCCAGTTCGTTCAAAGCACTCTTTTTCTTTCTACTTTTCCGGGGCTTTGGCGGTTCTTCTGGGGAATTTTCTTGTTCTATAGATATTTTCTCTACCGCAGGTAAAGGGCTGTACGAGGTCAATAATCATTGTCATTCTTGAAACCTTTGATTGGGAGAATAGGTGGCAACGATGGAGCAATAGCTAAGGCTGCTTAGCACAGGGAAGCTTACCTGTTTTCTTGCTCGTTTTCTTGTCGGCTTTTTGTGTCTCGATGAATTGGATTGTGTATGTAAATAACGTTCACTGCGTCGCGTTTGAAAGAAAACTTAATATGGATGGCTCCTTTGCAGTCGAATGTAGGGAGCTGCCTATTCGCTCGTTCGCTTTTGTGCTCATCGGAGTCATTCTGGTCGGTAACATTCTCCTTCTTGGAATTTCTCTTGCGATCACGGTTCTGCAACGAGTCCCAGCAAACATATTTGAACCTAGAGCCATCGCTGTTTATCGTAGCTTGGCGCTCAGAGTATCTGAAGCCATCTGCCTCTTGAATGGATTCAATAAAGGAACGAGCAATGGCCCTTTGGACTTTCAATCGCTCTTTTCCTTCAAGGTTACGGCAGAAAGCGTGTTCGACAGTGATGCTCTGCGGAAAGTCGGCAGGGACAAGACCGAGGGGTTCAAGTTGTCCCTGATGCGACACGGAAATTGTGATGGTTGATGTATTTGCAAATACGAATTCTGTCACCACCTGGGTGGGAACGAAACTCGTGGCAGATTTCTCGAGCTCATTTCGAAGTGCTCCATCCAGCTGTAATGGTTAGATAGAATTATGATTACTTAGGGTCCAAGCCATCGTACCGATTCGAGGGTCGGACAGCGATAGTAAACATCAGGCTTCATCCCGCGATGATAGCGGAGATCAAGCTCGTCCTCTAGTTCATTCATGTTGAAACAGTTCGCGTCACCTCAGCGATGACCAGTGCATACAATGATTGACCATTCTTGTTCTCGATGTTTCCTGTTTCCTAATGTGAGGAAAGATACGTAAAGGGCCTACACAGTAATAGTGTATTGGGAGGATGCATGCGTGCACATGATTTGTAGATTGAGCACGCACGCGCGGAAGCCGGAACCGGAAAATAGTAGGGCCGGATCATAAAGGCATTAGCCAGTCCATGGGCAAGTAGAACGAATGAACGTGCGAACGAATGAGTGATCAAATGAAGAAATGAACGAACCACCTGCATCAATGTAGTTGAATCTCGTTTTCCTTTTCCTTTCGTTTGCTCTTGATCGTGGCGTGCATATTTTTTTTTGCACCAAGTTCGACCGGTTGGAAGTTTGGTCTGGAATTTCTTAGTTGGATCCACCAACTTATCCAAGGTCCTTATGCCCCACGCATAATGCGCCAGATCAGCAAGAGCAAGACAGCAGCCCATAAAATTACTGCAGCACTTCTTCCTCTCATATGCTGTGATATTCGTAATTCTAATTGAGATGTTTCCCCTGGAATAACTTCGGAAAGTTCGAACGATTTCATCACGTGGAAAAGGAGCAGCCAACCAATTGTGCTTACAGTGCATTATTGGAGCATATGAAAAGCCCGTGTTGCACAAAGACAGCGGATGCTGCCGTGTCCACATCACTCCGCACAGTAGGCTGGTAGTTGGAGACCCAGCTACGGCAATGCTTGCGGAACAATGAGCAGTCTATTGGTATGCATACGAGTAGTATTTCTCCAAGCACGTTGATGCTGCATGGTCCTATGGATAAGCTACACTTCGCTGTTTGCTGCTATCCACTTGTACAAGTGGACAATCAATCGACTTTTAGTTTCCGAGGGTGCACGGGGCTTATCATGGCACATGGAAGGAATCCGAGGGATCGAGCTGTACGTGCCCTGCATGTGGTGTGCCACGCATCTGGTAGGCGGTCAATAGAATCTAGCCAGGACTCGTGTTGATCCTCTATAGCTTATATTGTTATTGCGGGCGACTGGGTATCTCGCCATGATGATGGGATACGCTACAGCACATGACGGAGCAGATGCAGCATATCAATGAATGGGTAGATTGTGCCCTTTAGACAGGCTCACACGCCGACGGATAGTTGCAGGCACAGCCATTTGCCATGCAGAAATGGGGGGTGGAGTACTCCGTACTCGTACAATAATAGGAGGGCGAACAAAAGAGAGAGATGCACAGCACAAAGTAATGATTCAAGGGAGGTAGATAGGCAGCTGGCTGGCTGGCTGACGCACACAAGCGTGCACAATAACTAGAACACGAGAGAACCCTTAAACGTTTTACTCGCGGAACCAGAATGATCAATGATAGGAGAAATGGGTCAAACCCCAGGACCCCAGATCCAAGACTCGATGCTTTGTTTTGTTTTCTTCTATTGTTTGAACTTTGTCTGCGCTCTGGTGGGCGGATCCTTGTATTCGCCCAATTAGAAGCATAATTGATGGTAAAGACTTCTTCAATGGTTGAATGAAACCAGGTCAGAGATGTATATGGGTGTACCTCCTTATGTAGAAGTACATTTGAAAAGCAAGAGTCTGGTAGAGGAAGCTCGTCCTTTTTGTTGACTGTGGTTCGGAGTACAATTGTAATACTGACTGCATCTGCACCATCTGCATCTGCATTGCCGCACCGCGTGGAAGTGGACCCGGGAAGTAACAGATCCTACCTGCCTACTACTAATTAGCAGCCATTTGAAGTCCGTGGGACAGGAAATTGTGTTCATCTAGTATGTTTGTAGTGTAGTGAGTTGTGAATGTTCATGGTGCCCCCTCGTCGTCTTCAGCGGCAACGGGCAGCAAGCTTGATCTAGCCTCTACCGGCGGCCGGACGCTCTCCACCGTCAATCAACAGTCAACAGTCCGCTCTCGAGGTATACAGTACAGTCTTCACAGCTCACAGTCACAATGATCATATCAGTATATATCGCACCCCCGGGTTCTTTCTACTGTAGTAGAGTTAGCTCTGTTCAGTCATAATTGGGCGACTCATCCAGGGATTCTAAAAAGAAAAAAAAAAGGTCGCGATTCTCCGCTTCTCTACCTAGGTACTCCGTACGTACCTACACACTGCGCAGTACAGCCTGCCCTAGCACCTAGGTACCTAGTACTTCCCTACCTGCCCGCCTACGACTCTCACAGCTAGCTCGTAGTAGCAAGCCTTCAAGGTAATTAGCAGTGCATCCCACATACCGCCTACCGCCTACCGCCTACCGCCTATACGCCAACGTCTAATTGCACCTTAGGGACTACGCCTCCACGCATCTACGCCGTAACCTCTCAACTCTCTCTCAGTCTCGTACTCTAACTCGACTCTACTCTAACCTACCTAACCTTGCCTTTCCTTACCTTACTCACCTCGACTCTACTCTACCCTTCTCTTCTTTACCTACTCTCTCCATCACTATCCCGTGCTTCTCTCTCTCTTCCTCCCTCTCCCTCACTCTCCACCTTCACACTCTATCACGCCCTTCGCCCTATCCAGCCGCATCCCTTCTCTCCTCGCCACCACCACCCACCTACACCACCGCGCGCACGCTCAAACACCCGCCCTAAGCTGTCATCTCTCTCCCTCTCCCGACAGCCCCGTCATCCCGTCCTCTGCTCCATTGTTCCCTTCGGCCCGCCGCTTTGAAACCTCGACCGTTCTGACGTTTCGAGTTTCAACCTTCACTTTGCGGAGCACGCGCCCCGGAGGCCCTCGATAGAACAAGATTCCACAGGTAGGATGATGCACACCCCGTACAATAGCGCCGCTGCGAATCACTACCAGCTGAACAACACTAACTAACTTGTTTGTCTTAACAGGCTTCTTCCGCTTCCACCCACACCTCACCCCTCGTTTGGTTCAGAGCTTCACCACCTTCACAAGCTTGATTCGCCTCGACCGCTTGCCTCACTACCTCCAAGTCTCGCTCCTTCGCAAACTCCTTCTACTCCCGTATCGCCAAATATTCAATACCTTCGCAGAAAGCTGCCCCTCATCAAGATACCCCCTGTCATCCACCGCAGCTCAATTTCAACATGGTCGTGGCAACAATCAAGTACGTACAGCCTTCGAGTCGCGTTCAATCTGCCATGCCTATCCTTTACCCACTGCTTTTCCTGGAATGCTTCCAATGCTAATTGCACAATCGTAGATGTGTTGTCGTAGGTGACGGTGCAGTCGGAAAGACATGTCTGCTTATCAGCTACACCACAAATAAATTCCCCTCGGAATATGTCCCTACCGTCTTCGACAATTATGCTGTCACCGTTATGTAAGGTTTCCCTTCTAAATCACCTTTCAATATTTTCGCTTGGTTAAGGAGGTTGCCAATTTGCCCTTGGCTGGTTGGGCCACACGTTGGAATAAACTAATCCCGTGTCTCCAGGATCGGTGACGAGCCGTACACATTGGGACTTTTCGATACCGCTGGACAGGAAGATTACGATCGACTCCGCCCTCTCTCATACCCCCAGACAGATGTCTTCCTCGTCTGCTTCTCCGTCACATCCCCCGCATCGTTCGAGAACGTCCGAGAGAAGTGGTTCCCCGAGGTGCATCATCACTGCCCCGGTGTTCCTTGCCTCATCGTTGGCACCCAGGTCGATCTCCGGGATGATCCCGCGGTCCGAGATAAGCTCGCCAAGCAGAGGATGTCGCCTGTTAAGCGGGAAGACGGCGAGAAGATGGCCAAAGAGCTTGGTGCAGTCAAATATGTGGAGTGTTCTGCCTTGACACAGTACAAATTGAAGGATGTGTTCGACGAGGTAAGTTGCGATCGTCCATTTGGCCGACTGACAAGAAACGGACTAATGAAAATAGGCAATTGTTGCAGCTCTTGAGCCACCAGCACAGCGAGAGACCGGCCGCGGGAAGGGCACGAAGAAGAGCTCAAAGTGTGTCGTGCTCTAGGCGTGTCATTAGAGTCTACATGGGGCACATTTCATGCGGAAGTGGTGCTGCAGTTCTTTGATTGTTTCTGTAGGCCGGCGTGGCTATTTGGGATACCTTACGTTGAATTCCCGGCGCTTATGTGGGTAGCGGTGTTTTCTTGCGAGCTATGAAATGCTGCTCTTCCTTCCATCGACTTTTCTATCCGTACTTGCCGGTCATGCCTCGCAAGCATTGCATACCGCTTGATTATGAAATCGGATATCACGGCCTGCCATCTGAACAGAGGGCTCATTCGTAAGCCAGTGCTTGCAAATCTGCACTGCGAAGCTAAGATAGAGCACACAAAACGTAGCAGCAGTTCAAGCTGGTGGTAGGCTATTTACCTTTACCTTCAACTCCTTCAACTTCAAAGACTCACTCTCAAATTTGAACATGTGACATATGTTTTTTCTATTCTTCGTTTACTACCTAGGAATTCATGCTTGGACAGTGTAGAATTTGGTCACTGACGTAAAGTAAAGCAAAGGACATAGTACATGGTCGCAATGTTGCTCGAAAAAGGTTAGCATGGCAAGTTGATTCTCACCTTCACTTTACCTGGTGTTGTTTACGCTGTCTCCGCGTTTGTTATTGTTGTTCTGCCTAGGTGACCACGCGAAGCTCCAGTTCAAATATCACCGCGCCCTCCGCCTTCGTCACCTTCTCCCCCCAACAACAATCCGCCCGACGTTTTGTTTCTTTTGTTCAAAAAGAAACAAGCTAACGGAGAAGCAGATAATACAAGCTCACCCACCCAATCACACAATCGCTCAACCACTCAATCAATCTGTCCAATGTCGGCGGGTCCTGGCTTCAGGCGCCTGCCTTCGGAAATCGAGATCACCCCTCCGCCGCCGAATCGACCGGTACCTAGTCCCAATGCCTTTGCGATTGCAGCAGCTCGTGAGAAGGCCGAGCGTGAGATTCAATCTCGTCGTAATGTGGAGTCTAACAATCCTTACTTACCCTTGATGGCGCCGCCTGATAACATTCTACAGGGTGAGCAAGCCACTGGCCATGGTCTCCGGCCCTCCACTGGAACGAGGTCTCTCGGACACGAGCCCGGCCTCACTCGAAGCTCGCCTGCGAAGTCTGACATACGCCCATATACTGAAGGTGATCGTCATGCTAGCACCGCTCGCTCCAGACATTCCAACCACACTGAACCAGGAAGCACTCGAGGTTACAAACTGAGCCATGGCCGAACTGCGAGAGCGAAGCCTGATCTTAGGACTGCCAGAGCACACCTTGAGGCCAAGTCAGAGAAGAAGCATTTCGAGATGTTGCACCAGCCCTGGGATGAGAGCGGCCGTAAGTTTCCCTGATCAACGAGCGAGTTCTATTGTGACTAACAACTCTAGGTGGGGACTATGATATGCAGATCACGCGCATCGATAGAACTCGTGAAAAGCCTATCAAGAAAAGCAACTCTCTCAAGAGTCCAATTAAGAAGATGTTCGGTAACCTAGGCCTTCCGAGCTTTCTCTCGTCTAACAACGACGCGGCTGGACCAAGCACCCCTCCTCCCCCAATGCCATTGAAGGCTGCTAAACTCCTTGGGACGGACTCACAGCAAGGTCGTGGATACACCTATCGTCCTTGGAACCATACACTGCGCTCTACTACATCGAAGTCACTTCCATCGAAGATTCAAGATCCTCAGAGCCGCGTTCGTCATCCTCGACCTCGCAGCCCTCCTCGCACCGCACTCAGGACTTCATTCCACAAGAAATCATCTTCCCGTGACAAGGTGACTATGACCAAGAAGAGGCCCGTAAAGAAGCCTCTTTGGGCAACGGAAACCCCTCACGTCCCACCGACTCCGCCAGCAAAAGATACGCCACCAGATGTTCCAGAGAACATGCTCGGTTGGACTCAGTCCAAGCGTGTCATGAAAGACCGTGCCAAGGAAGAGTATCGCAACAGGGCAAGGAACGGCGATCCCATTCCCAAGATGCCAAACTTTTATACTACTGCCCCTCTCATCCCGGAGGGCGGAGGTGAAAGCCCAACAAAGTTCGTTCCTTATACGGCCGAGGACTACGCCAAACTGATTGAAGCTCCTGACATCATGTCTGCTCGTGGAGAGATGGGCTATGCGACCAACAATCCCTTTGAGAACTCAGACAATGAGCAGGAGCCCGAGAATGAGCAAGATGAGGATGACATGCACCCAGCATTGAGGCAGGAGAAAGGAAAAGGAAAAGTCATCGAGCAGGTGTCCCCCACCCAGCAGAATGTGGCTCAGCGCTATTGGGCTCAGCATAATTTTGCTGATTCTCCTCTCAAGCCTCGTTTCTTCACTCCAACTGGTCTCTCTATTAAAGGATTTGAGGAAGATAGGCCGTCTAGAAATGTAAGTCATCCTGCCCCAGTCGTACCTTCCATCACGTTCTTCGCGCACGTGGCATCTTCGTCCATGTCTCCTTCACTCTCACTTTACTCCACTTTTACCTCTTACTCCTCCTTCACTTTATTTCTTCTCCCTTCCCCGCACACAAACACAAGCGCACAGATCGCTGATAATTCGCCCAGGCCGATCCTCGCCGCCTGCTCTTCACCGTTCCAGCACCCAAACCCAACCAGTCGACCTCTTCCGTACAGACCAGCTCCTCCAAAGAACTCGTCGAGATGATGTTCAAGGGTGATTCCAGTGAGATCAATATGGCTCCCGGAGCTATGGACGAAAATAAAACAGCTGGCGGTCAGAAAACTTCACCACAGAAAATGCAGGGAGTCTCATATACCTCAGACACCGCTTCCATCGCCCCTTCGCGCAATGAGCAAGCTTCCAAAAACGTTCGCTCAAGCAACGGCTCGCAGTTTCTTCAGCCTGATCCATCCTCATCTCGCCTTACGGCGATTCTCGATGCTGTGAGTCCCTCCAAGGCTGGTTATAGCCACAACAACAGCGATGCATACGCCAGCTGCCCGAGCGCGGTCCCGAGCCCGCTTCACCATCAGGCTCCACACCTAGGTCTCGTGGCTGCTGCTATGCAATCTGGCCAACCACTTCCAGTCGATTCCAATGATCTTAGCAACATCTATACTCACTTCTTTATGTGCAATGAGCATATCGATGTAGTTGGCCGCACACTCTTCGATGCAGTTATCAATCAGAGCGCAACGCAATATACCCTCATCACGACGAGACACAATGACATGGTTGCCAAGCAAGAGGCAGGGTTCAAGGAGGTTCAAAGCAACATGACATCCACTGATAAGCGTATTGACGACGTCTTGGAGAAACAGAAGGCCATCGAAGCCAAGATGGACAAAGTCATCGGATTGTTGAAGTCGGACGTTGCCGAACCGCTGTCTGCCCAGAATCGAAAGAACACTGAGATGCAGAAGCGAATTGAAGATCTGAGGAAAGAGATGGTAGCGCTTAGAACCTCTCTACCATCTGCTCAAGCATATGTCCCGCAAGGACTAATGGGCCCGCCGATGCCACTTCCCAACCATCGCTCACAGCCCTCTCTCGCCTACTCTTACGACCCGGTCGCGGATTCGCCTGCTGAAGGCCATCGCATGCCGCCAGCAGGCATCTTCGAGATGACCAACCACGCGTACCCTCGGTTCGGTCAAGGCTATACCAGTGGTAACAATGGCGGTACCGGCACAGGCAATGGTACCGGCAACAGCAACGCTACCGGCAACAGCAACAATAATGGCATCAACAATGGAAGTACCAATAGTAACGACAATAACTTTGGAAATGGACATGCCTGGCGCAACCAGAATGCGGGCTCCGAGAATAAGGATCGATATGCCTCTTCCAACCCGTACCACAGCAACAACGGAGCAGGCCACTTCAGTGGTGGGAACGGAAGCTTCTATGGAGGCATGCCCTCGTACTACTCTGGCAGCAATGGCCACGATTTCAGCAACGGAGGAACCAAATAGATGAATCCTGCAGGACGACAGTGGGTTGTTCGATCGACGTTTGAACTGGATGAGCCCTTCGTGAACTACCGCTAATCTAACGACGTATGAACCGGAACGATTCTCCTTGCGCGACCGCTATTTGGACGACGTATGAACTGGATGCGAAATGTCTTGATATGACTTGTACCAACACACTTAGCAACTGGAATTGACGTAGCCTAATTGTTTCTGGCGCCAAAGGCCTTGTTTGGACTTTGGAAGAGCCGATCTTTGGGCTGTCTTCCTTTTGTTACTTTTCATTTTCCCTTTCCCCTTTTCCTTCACGATTAGGAAAACAATTTGCCTCTTGGAAGGCTCAGCTTAGTACACTCCAGCTCAAAATCAGGAATCGACTTGTGGTCAGGACTAGGATCAGCGAGCAGGCAGAAAGGAACCGTTGAGTTTGCCATCCACGCTTTGCTTGCAAACTTTGCGTTGTTCAACGCTTGGTAGCGTAGCAGTGTAGGAAGGAGAGCACAACATCTTGGACTGTATACTAGAAATCAATGACTCGATAATAAATATACTTAGTAAAAGCATGTCCCATGTCCTTTGCTGCTGTGAATGGATGTATTTTTGCAAGTGTCATCCAGAGAATCAAAGTATCTACTTGTAGATGTATGATGGAAGTAAACGCAGGCATGGTTACCTATGTACTCTACTCATAGAAGGAAGAGTTAAGGTAAGGGATCAGGGGTCATATAGCTTGTCGCTGACGTTCTAGAAGAAAATGTAGGAAAGGGTCCCGGACGATATAACAACATTCTACCTATGAACAAGGTATGGGACCTGGGACCGCGATCGTGGTAACATCTACTTGTACTCTCCGTACCAAGTTCCCGACCCTCTCTACAGAGTCTACATGTAAACTTTCGAGGAAAAATAATGAACACAGGAAGGAAAAGCTTGTACTTCTAGACATCTGCGGGAGGCGTTCGGGGGCGCCGCTCCATGTGGGTGGGCGCTTGGATTCATTGCGACCGAGGCGAAGGGAATTAATGGAGTCATATTACAAGTAGTTACATTTTGAGGTGTTTTCTCCCCCGGATTTCGATGTTTTGGTCTGGAAGCGAGGCTGAGCGGTTAGTAGGTGGTTTTTGGTGTAGGGCGCCGTGGGACGAGGGACAGGAGAGAGGACAGTCGAGTATCAGACTATGGGGAAGGGGGTCATGGGGAATCTAGAATACACATCGACCCATTCCTTCGATACATTTTCCCGTTCAAGCGAGCGAGTAACCAGCCAACCCCTCAAGAGATGTAACCCTTTTCTTGTTCCTGCTGATGCTCTGTGACTATTATTGGGGTTGTGTTCACCAAGGTAGACATGATCATTGCAACGCCGTACCAGTATGATTGAATATAGCTCAACCACTACTACAACTACTAATTGCATTACCGGTAATTACTGATTGGATCTCCACATTCATGGCTTGCGGCTTGCCTACAAAAGAGTTAATTGTCTCGACCACTAATTAATTACTGTACAAGTGGAGGTGACTTAGCTGTAGTCTGTGAGTCTGTCCCGCCCGGTTACTGCTTGGTCACTGTATGGTGTGTGCTTTTTTTACTCTCTGCTCTACTCTGGTCTGCTCTCATTTGGGGTGCAACTCAGACAAAGTCAAAACGAGAAAACACGGGGGAGCGAATTGCCTTGTCCTGCCCTGCCCTGCCCTGCCCTGCCCTGCCCTGCACGCCCTGCCACAAAGGACCTGACTCTTGTTGAACTATTCCCCCTCGTACCTGCTCAGGCACATTACCTTGTTCTGTACTTACTAACTACTAGGCCATTGCCCTACTGAGCTGGGTTGGGCTGGGCTGGGCTGGGGTACAGTTCGTTGGATTCGATACGGGTGACCATATGGTACTAAGTGACCTACGGGATCTTCCTAGTTATTACTACACAAAGTACTATTACTGCTACTACTGCTAGTACAAGTACATACTCACTGACTACCGACGCCTTGCGCATTAACTATCCCGACGCAGCGTTTCCCGTTTCTTTCTTTTCAAGACTACCATTTGCTTGTTTGCTTGTCTGCCGACCTGATTGCTTGCTATTACTGCTGCGCCCGCGGTAGGTTGGCAAGCAATACACCATGGCTGACTCCGACTCCAACTCCAACACCAACATCACAAACACAATCTCCTCCTTGTCCTCCTCCACCACCACCACCACCACCACCTCGACCCCCGAGGGTCGACCTCCTCCTTCATCCTCGACTACCACTACGACCCCTCCGCGACCTCTGCCCGGCCACTGGCTGGCTTCTCCTGTTGTCTCCAAGACTTCGACGACGCCGCATGCGGCGGGTGCCACCTTAGATACCTCCAGCAACACTTACAAGACAACTGCCTCAAACTACGCGGCTCCCGCCGACGCCATCGCATCCTCGCGCCTCTTGAATGCTCACCTTCCACCTCACAACTCTTCAGACGGCGACTCTTCCTCCTCCGCCATCCCCTTCCGCGCACACATCCGCCACCCCACCGCGGCCGGCCTCCAGTTGCAAACCGACATCTCCTCCCTCGTCCCCCACGCCGAATCACGGATTTACCAATACTCGACGGACAATCTGGAGGGGTCTACAGCAGAAGGCCTGCGGCACGCGGCCACCGCGCCGATCACAATCCAGGAGGGAGGCCATTTGAGGACTGCTCTGTCGACGGCGAGCATGACCGGTTCCCTATCGCCCGGCTCCGCACTCTCCTCGCCGGCCCTAAATGCCCTATCGGACCTCACCCCTCTACCTTCTCCTCTAGTAATGTCAGACTCTCCCGGGCCATGGAACCGCGCCGGCCTCCCCCAGGTACCTCGCTCGAGAGGCGCGTCCAGCGCGTCTTCAAAGGATGACTCCTTCGCCATGCTCAGCAGAGGAACACTCTCTCCGTCCCCGTCGCTCAAGAAGAAGGGATACCAACGGCTCCAGGCCGCTGCGGTCGAAGCCGCCGCAGCGAATCTATCCAGGAACGATAAGAGTCGCGACAGGAACCGAAGCATCAGCGAATTCACTCCGGAAGCATTGCACAACATTCGACCCCGCCACGTCACAATCTCCAACATAGCCCCCGAGCAGGCGGCGCCAGAGCAGGATTCAGAAAACCATCTCCATCGAGAGGCCTACCTCGCGGCGCAAAGAGGACTCGTTTCTACCACGGCCCCCAAAGGTCTCCCCACACCCCCGGCCAGCAACGCGAGTAATGCGAGCAACCGGAGCATGACCGAGAGCGAAGGCGAAGATACATCAGAAGATCACGGCATTCAATACATTCGCGTCAGGCATGGATCGCAAAAGACGAAGAGGCTCTGGCGCCCCGTCAGGCAGCTCGGCCAGGGAACCTTCAGCAAAGTCTACCTCGCGACAAGCGAGAAAGTTTCGTCCAAAGACCCACTCGATGAGTCTGTTCTCGATCCCCACAAGTTGGTAGCGATCAAGGTGTGCGAGCACGGTCCGGCGGGTGGCGCGGATGAGGAACGTGTAGAACTAAGCCTCAAAAGAGAAGTCGAAATGCTCCGGTCCATCTGCCATCCCTCGCTGGTACACCTGAAGGCCTTCGACCATGATGAAGCACAGGCCCTGTTGGTCTTGACGTACTGTCCAGGTGGTGATTTGTTTGACGTGGCCAGCGCGCACCGCGAGCTGCTCGGACCGGACATCGTCCAACGCATCTTCGCGGAGATGGTCAGTGCCGTGAGGTATCTGCATAACAAACTAATCGTGCATCGCGATATCAAGCTTGAAAGTACATTTCTCCACCCCCCCTGAGAGCCATTGGTCTGTCTTCCGCAAGGGACAATGAAAACTAACTCTCGTAGACGTTCTCCTAAACATCCCCACAAGCACAGTGCCATTGCTGAAGCACCCCCAATCACATCCGTTCCCCATAGCGACACTCACGGATCTGGGGTTATCTCGTCGCATCCCTGCCCCGCCAGAGTCCCCTCTACTAACCACACGCTGCGGAAGTGAAGACTACGCCGCCCCGGAGATTCTCCTCGGCCAGCCCTATGACGGCCGTGCCACTGATTCATGGGCTCTCGGCGTCGTGCTGTACGCCCTCATGGAGGGCCGCCTGCCGTTTGATCCGCCGCCCGGGAAAGTAGGCTCACGCAGCCGGGCAGCCCATAGGATTGCCCGATGCGACTGGGTCTGGGTCAAGTATGGCGACAACTACGGCGAGTGGGATCCCGAGAAAGGCAAAGAGTGGAACGGCGCCCGGGAATGCGTGGAAGCACTACTTAAGAAGGCGTCTCGCGGCCGCAAGAGCCTCGACGAGATCGAGAAGATGGAATGGGTCCAGCAGGGGATCCAGGTCGAAGGCGGCGTGAGGCGGAGGATCGAGGACGAGGAGGAAGAGAGGAGCACAGGCGACATCACGGCGAGGTGATCGTTATTGAGGATTCGATGATCCTGAGAGACGAACGACGAAGACGACGACAAATGTACCGATACCCCCATCCCCCTCCCTTGAAGATACGCGGGCGGCATCCCCCATCGGTCTGTACTACCATCCTTTCCCATCACCTTTTCTTGTCACCTTGACATTCATCATCTTGATTCTCTTATCGTTCATATTCATGTTCACACACATTCACACATTCACACACAAAGGGCAGCAAGCGGCAGCAGTAGGGAAGGGAAGTGTTTTTTTGGTAAAAAGAAACAAAACAAAACGACTGTAATGAACAAATATAACCAAATCACAAACAGCTTTTCAAAGATCTTTCACACTGTCGTGGGGTTTGAGATTATGTGCCCTTCCCATGCACGCACTTGGTTGCCTGGATATACTTCTTTACTTCTTCTTTTTTCTTCCGTTTTGATTCGTCGTTGATTGTTATATCCTACCTACCACTTCTGATATCCTGATCGACCTCTTTTTGTTTTTGTTCATTATATATCCGTTTCTTCACACAGTCGTATTCCCCTTCTTCTCCGAGGCAGATAGCTCGGTTTTTCTTTTGTGTCATGCATTTTTTGCTGCCTGCTGTCGGGCTTTTTTTTGAATGAACTCTTCACTGAATCTAATTTTCACCTTCTTCTTCTTTTCGGAGATATTGCTTATGGTCTCGCACCACCTCTTCAGAAAACTTTGACACTCTCGGCCGTAATACTTTTATAACTTATACCTATACCTATACCTATACCTATACCTACCTTTACATCTACACGCGGAGGCTGGCTGTTGTTGCAATGACGACGAAGTGGCATCTTTGCTATTACTTTTACTATTACATACCTACAATCTATCTTCACGTACCACATCTCGAGGGCCCTCCACGTCTCTTTTCACTTTCTCATATACCAGAAAGAATGTCCAGAAAACGTCATCGTTGGAGCAAAGTTAGAAACCGGAGAGATTACGGTGCAGACCTCGCGGGTCATACCTACCTTTCCGTACAAATCGAGAGTCTATTGACGGATGTGGATTAAGAGGAATTGGAATTGAAGTTGAATTACATTCGAGACGGGACTTTTCCCCGGGAAAAGGTTGGTCGTACTTCCATATATACCTAGGCATACATAGGTATCAGAGAATCATGTTTATCACATCGTTTCTGTGGCTTTCAGGGAATCTTATTCACATCTTCTATAACATTTTCATTTCCTGCCCGTTCTATTCTTTCAATCTAGTGCGTCGCTCATCCCAAAACGGGGTTTTAGTCCCCGGGGATTGTTGTAAGGGTATCAATTGGATCGCACCGTCTACCTATCTATCCATCCATTACATCACACCGTAAACGCAACCCCCTCCCTCTTAACCACCGCCTTGCCGCCCCCCGCGAACCCCGTCCCCTCACTCCTAATCGGCACGAGGCCCGGCTTCGGCGCCGCGTCCTTGTCCTTCCCTTTCTTCCCCTTCTTCTCCTTCTTGTCTTTGCCTTTGTCGTCGACGGAGTTAGGGTCGGTGGTGAGGTCCGCGTCGCAGACGTAGCAGTGCACGGTATCCGGGTCGGGCCCGTCGTCGTGCGCGTGGCGGTCGTGCCGGAGTTCGGGCCGGAGGAACTTGTCGACGCAGGGCTTGCAGAGGACGTGGCCGCAGGGGATGGCGAGGACGGCTTTTGTGGCGTTGGTTAGGGTTTTACGACAGCTGGGGCATGTTGGTGCTGTTGTCTTCGTTGGTGCTGTTGATGTTGAGGTTGTGGATGGGGGGTCTGAGGAGGTGGATTTGTCGTCGTAGGTGAAATTGACGGTGGTGAGGGACTTGAGGGAGAAGGAGTGCGGTTTGCCTGGGTCGGAGGCTGGACATGTGGGGGATTGTTTGGCCTTGTCGGCGGCTTTGTGGTTCGTGTCTGGCGTCTGGGACGGCACCCAGAAGCTCGGGAGAACCGCCTTCGAAGCCTTCTTCTCCTCGTCGAGCGCGAGGCGGGCGCGGGACCTCTCCTCCAAGGCGATGCGCTTCAGTTCCTCCTCGTCGAGTTCGAATTTCCTCTTCTTGCCCCTGCTCTCGCCGTCCGCGTCCTCGACCGTCCGCTCAACAACCACCTTCCCGTCCTCCCTCCCCACGATCTTCGCCCCACCGCTATTGAACTTAACCTCCAACCCCATCTGCACCCTCTCGAATTCCTCCACCGCCCTCCTCCTCGCCTCCTCGTCCTCCCTCTCCCTCTCCCCCTCTTCCTCCTCCCGCCTCCTCTCCTCCCCGCGCTTCACCCTCTTCATCTCCTTGCGCTGCGCCAGCAGGTTCTCCACCGCGCACTCCCGGCAGAACAGGTCGCCGTCCGCGCAGCACACGGGGTCGATGGCGGGGGAGAGGAGACATAGCTGGCACGAGCCGAAGGGGAGGAAGGAGTCGCGCGTCAGGCGTGTCGATTGCGAGCCCCAGGATGATTTGAGGGAGTCGCGCTCGTACGAGGTGAAGAAGGCGAGGGAAGTGTTGCGCTTGGAGTGTGACATTTTGGACGGGCGGACGACCGGGTGAGGTCGAGGCGTGAGGGAGTTGGATTTCTCTGGCAGATAGATGCGTGGTTCTGGGGGATGTTTGGAGAGGTTTATTGAATGTCTCGTCGGAGGTTGGGGGTGGATGAAGTCGTGGAGAAAGTCCTCCGTTGGGCCAGCGAGTCGAGCGGTTAAGTCAATTAAGCGTTCAGTGACAGAACGATGCGACGGGTGTATACTCGCGGCACAAACAACACACCCTACACGAAACCAAGGAAGTAAAAAGGCGTATGATCGCAAGGTCGTCCAGATCCCCTACAATTGCATGTACACATGTACAAAATACTCCAACGAAGTCGGGAAGTCGGAGCCTCGGAGAACCCCTGCACGTCCCCACCAGCGATCCAAGCTTCCTCTTCCCAAAAAAATGTGCGTGCACTGTGACGTCTAAATTATTAGCCACCCACTGGACTGACCTAACTGTGGTACCTGGCCGTTTCTTTCCCCAAGAATCGCCCGCCCGCCGATCGGGTGTTCGTCGAGTTTCTACTTCTGTACTATTTACTGACCCTACTGCTGTGCCACTGTGGTGGTCCTGCTTTATCCGTAGTCTACAACCCAGCGTCCATAATCGCTTTCTCTTTTTCTTCTCTGTCCACTACACCTCATCGGCCAATCCCACACGAACGCAACCGGACGACGAGCAGCGGGAGCAGCAGCCACTCGCCCCCAGTGCGCCATGGCGCTTCGCGTCGTCGTTCACAATGGGCGCGGTCGGCGTGCTGTGCCGCGGGTTCCTCATGGGGCTCAGCAAGACTGAGGTCCACGGGCTGGAAGGGTTTCTGGAGCTGCTGGACGAGCGGGAGGATGTGGAGGGGAGGAAGAGGGGGTTGATCACAGGTGTGTACTTCTTCCTCTTCTTTTGCGCAAGGTGTTTAGATGTCTGGGAATTGAGAGATTCATATGTGGAATGAATGTGTGTTGACGAGATTGTGTGATTGAATAGTTTCGAACCATGTTTCCGTGTACGTACGATGAAGAAGCAAAGATCCCTCCTGCAGAAATCGAGGAATGACTTCAACGAAAGCCCCTCGCCACCTACGAGAAAAAAGACGAGAGACTGATGCGATGTGCTCGGTACAGATTAGACGATCCGATCATGTGGGGTGTGCTGCCGCTGCGATACTTGTTCAACCCGGATAACATGCGATGGGGTCTCGCGAGCTACGATCTATGTTTTACCAACAAGTACGTGCTGCCATGTATCTACCTCATGAGAATGTTCCTCTGAGCGCTTACCGATCATTCACAGGGGATTGTCGACATTCTTCACATTAGGACAACTCCTACCCACGCACCGCATCATGTGGTCCGAACATGGCGGCCTCTTCCAACCCACCATCACGCAAGCAATCCGACTACTCTCCCGCGGCCCGTTCCTGCGCGACAACGAGCCCGCAGAGAAACCCAACCGATCGCTGAAAAGTCCAGATCTGTCCGATCCGTTCAGCTCGGGACACCTCACCTTCTCTACGAACGGGATCGATACGTTCCCGGCGCCTTCGGCCTACCTCAGCCGCCGCCACAGCTGGATACACATATTTCCCGAGGGGAGGATATACCAGACGGAAGAGAAGACGGTGCGGTACTTCAAATGGGGCGTCTCGAGGCTGATATTGGAGAGCGAGCCGTGCCCGGATGTGGTGCCAATTTTCATTCAAGGACCGGACGACGTGATGCACGAGACAAGACAATTTCCAAGATTCATACCGCGACCGTTCAAGAATGTCAGGGTGACGTTTGGCGAGAAGCTGAATACCGAAGAGGTGTTTGGGGATCTGCGGAGACGCTGGAAACAAATGCGGACGAGAGAAGAGCAGAAGAATGGGGAGATGGAAGTGGGCGTGCTGAATGATGAGCTGAAGTTCTCGGACGAGGCTGTCAGGCTGAGGATAGAGTGTACGAAGAGGGTGCGCGCTGCTGTGCTCGATGTCAGACGGAGGGATGGATGGCCCGATGAAGATCCCAAGGCAGGGCTCGCGGAGACATATGCGCACGAGGGCCGGCCGGGGGAGGGAAAGAAAAAGGACGGAAGCATTGTGAAGAGCTGAAAAAGAGGATTAGAAATGAGTTGTAAGAGGTATATTGTATATTGTATATTATATTGAGAGGATGAGCTCATGGCTGAACGAACAAGAACAAGAACAAGAACAGAACAGAAGAGAGCAAAATAGATGATCGTTTAGAATTCTCAACCAAAGATCGGGTTGCGAGAATAAAAAGAACAATATCGTTGCTTCGCAGGCGGTACGGACGATCGCGTTGTCAGATTAGATCAAGTAATTTGGGCCCTCATAGACAGCCCTCCTCCGAGTCCAGTCGCACCCATTATTCAACGGCCGACAGAACCACGATTGGAAAACCAGAAGTTAGGCAACGGGCTTCGTCTGCGTCGTAGGCAGCAACGGATTCGGAGAAAGGCGGCGCGCGCAAACACACGTGTATGTTGTCCATATGCAGTGTAGTGCAGTACACATTACAGGACATATGGAAAGCAACCGCACGGTATATGCGCGCGCGCATTATCCAAAATAAGGTCTCTGGCTGTGCTCTTAACATCACCCAACGCTCGTTCGCTGCGACCGAACCGCAAGTACCACGAAGCCTGGTCTCTTTTCCCCCTTCCCCGTCGTCGGGGTCGTGATCGTTGAAGTCATGCGGCACCACCCGACATTGGCCGCCAGTGCGAGTGTGTGTGCATACAATGCACTCTGGGGTAGTCGAGTAGACCGGCGACGACAGCGATGACGACAGTTACGACGAGGAGTGGGGAAGCGATAGAGGAAGTGGAAGGGTTGGCGGCAACGCGATTATAAGGGGAAAAGAAAGAGAGAAGAAGAAGAAGAAGACAGGCGTTGATGGCTTGTAGATGGACTCGAGGGGGATGAAGAGTCTTGGCGAGATGGGTGAACCGTAAGGAGGCTAACTCATCTGGACTACTGGACTAGACTATAACAGGGCATTAGTGCAAGTGGAACATCGTCATCGCCTGCCTGGTTGCGTAGGGAATTATCATGAGTGCGGTGCGAGTGTAGGTGTAGTCAGTAAAGCGGTAGACCAGGAGAGCAGTAGTATTGATTGGGAGAAAAGGTCAGGGTAAGGGTGTTGGAGGCATCCACAATACAAAGAGGTGGAAGTTTTGATAGTGGAGTGGATGAGAACAAGAAGAAATTGTATTGTAGGGCAAATGCGGCGTCGGGGATGAACCAGGGGGGGGGGGGGGAAGGGGAGGGGAGGGGAGAGTGAGGGAGTGATGATAAAAAGCCCCGGCCAGTCGCTCCTTCCACCCTCCGACAGCTCCTGCCACTCCCACAGCTGTTGCTGCCCCGCTACCAAACAGTCAGTCACTCATGGACCCATAGGGCTACAATACTCTATACTCTATAGCTATATCATCATATACACTAGTTATATCATATACTATATTGTTCATATATTATTACACCGCCCGTCCTCATTATTACTTCTACTAGTTACTATTACTTTTCACTGCTGTTCTATACACCACTCTCCCACTATCGAGTACTATTATATCTACAGTTGCACCTCCAACTACCTTTCTATCCACCCAGCACTAGGTTCCTAAGTACTCTCACACTTGAACACAAACAACACTTGCGAGCACAATCACAACAACGACAAACACAAACACAACTCGTAACACACACGTCACTCTGCAACAGTTCAGATTTCGGCGCAGGCAGATTCCCGTCCCCATTTACTACTCCGTACATCTTTTGCTACTTCCGGAATTCACATCCTCTGTCTGCCCTACTATCATCCATCTCCCATCACTACTGTCACTGCCAATACCAACTTACCATACTACCAACCACTACTACCACTGCTACCACTTCCGCTACGGCACACTACGACAAAGACTAACGGAGTTCGTCCTCGTACATGCCAGGCATACATATAACCTGCAACCTGCTCCGGTAGTCTGCATAAGCCTTGCCTTAACCCTCATTCTACTCCTCTTTTTTGACATCTTTTCCATCTCTACACAGACACTTGTCACTTCCACCAACCAACCAACCAACCAACCAGCCAACACAAACACCAACCAAACAACCAACAACCAACCCTCTCTAATTCCTTCACATACACACACTCTCACTCACACACGAGGAACAAAGGTACGTTTCATCCGTACTGTACCTTTTTCTTTTCTTTCGACTCCATCTCGTCATCCTCCATCCACGCCTACAAATACTCCGTACGCTCGAGTCAATCCACCCTTCGCTAAGGCTCAAGCTTTTTTTTCTGGGTGACGCCTCCACATCCTGTGTGTCCACTCTACAGTCTACTGCTCGTCATCGCTTATTCACCCAATTATCCTCCTCCGTCTCCTTCTCCCAAGGGAATCCATCTCTACAAGTTCTTGTACTAAAGCTCCAGTCCCTGCAAAGAAAGAAACACGAGCAGCTGCTGCTGCTGCTGCTACTAGCATCCTTCCCTACCCGTAAGGCCGCAGATACATTATTATTGTGTACCGACTGCTCCGTTCGGGTTCGGCGTACTGTTCCTGTACTGTATCGTACCATACTGCCCGCACAAGCACAAACACTGCACGGGTACTGGCACTGGCACTGGCACTGGCACTGGCACTGGCACCGGCACTGGCACACAGATACAAGCGCATTCCCAACCCCATCCCACTGTTCCCGTTCCAGATCAGGTCTTCGTACTGTACTGTACGGAGTACTACTACTTTTGGAACGTATTGTACCTGGTAGTCATTGCTGCACTGACTGTACCGAACACAACCCCGTCACTCACCGCCAGAGCCAATAATGGAGGATCCTGACGCAAATAATTGGGCTCCTCAAAGTCCCGACCTATCATCTTACCATTCCTCCACTACAGCTACTGACACGGCTCCCGTTCATCCCCAGCACCAAGGGTATAGAGGTTCCGTTTCTCATATCTCGCCTTACTCTCCCTCCCTCCCAAATCTAAATTCGTCCAGCCCCACGTTGCACTCAAACTCAATTCCTACCTTCCACCCTGCTGCACCGCTGGGCCCGGCTCCAATTCCCTACAATCCTTCTTCTACCTCCACCTACGCCTCCGCCACTACATACATGCCTCGCCAAATCAAACAGGAAGAGGGCGTGCAAATGCAGGACCCAGACTACATACCCGACCTATCTACTACACAAAGGTCCACTCGAGGAAAGAAACCAAAGCTCGAAGACGAGGGAATCGGCGCCGCAGACTCCTCCAGTCTTCTTCCAAACATGGACAACATCGTCATAAAAAATCACTTCCCCGTCGCCCGGATAAAGCGCATTATGCAGGCCGATGATGATGTCGGCAAAGTGGCACAGGTTACCCCAGTCGTTGTTTGTGAGTACATTTCATATTTTTCTTTCACACCTGTCCCTTCTGCCTAACATTCCAACACGCTCTGCAGTAGCTAACTTGACATTCCTATAGCCAAAGCATTGGAGCTTTTCATGATCTCCCTCGTCACAAAGGCTGCCGCCGAAGCCAAAGCGAAGAATTCGAAACGCGTCGGCACCGCGCATCTCAAGCAGGCCATCACCAAAGACGAGCAATTCGATTTCCTCTCCGAAATCGTTTCCAAGGTTGCAGATGCCCCCGCCGCAGCAGACAAAAACGACCCCGACGCAATGGAGGTAGACGGAAAAAAGCGAAAGTCGACGGGCCGGAAGAAGAAGACAAAGGCAGAGGAAGATGACTTTTGAGATTGGACGGATGGATTTGAGCAAGCACAAAGAAAAGGAACCTGCGCGCCTGAGAAGTACACGAAATGACGACGGAAGAAACGATTGATTGAATGCCGGATGTTGGCTGTTTGCGATCGGAAGGCAATACCGTCCTGCTGTTGATGGGAATCTAGATGGCCTTTCGGCGGGTCCTTCAAAAGCTTCCTGGCGCGCCCCAGAAGCTTCGGAATCATGTCGAGCAGCTTCCTACCTCCCACAAGTGTCCACTGCCTTCATTGGCCAGTCACGACTCGCATTAAGGGAACGATGGTAGCCTGGGCATGGCGTCGACCAGGTGCGCGTTGTACATTCACCTCGTACTTGACTGCATCTTTCTAAAACGCGCCCAGGACACGATTTGTACGTCATATGTCTGTTAAGGGGATTCTGGTTGGGGAGCATTACAATGATACCAAATGAGCAAACGACTTCCAACTCCAGAGAAATTATCGCCGTGATGTATTAGGTACTTTTTTTTACGGCAGGCAATGTTCTCATGGCAGTGTATCAGCCACGCAGCCATTAACTTAATGTGAACAAAGCCTAGGTCCATCGTTGTACAGCTTCCGCATCGATTACTTTTCGCCTTGAATTCACCGCGGCTCCTCATCAACGACAACGCGCTATCATTCTTCCTCGCGTCATGGACTAACAGGGCCGATGGATAAATTCATAGCGTCAGTATCCCGGCCCTGGAAGTTTGCGAACCGCCAACCAGGACTTGATGCGGCCCAATTTAACCGTTCATCTCGAACATCCTTACCTGCAGCGGCAGCATCTCAGGAACCATCTACGGAATCGTTAAGTCGTCCTCCTTGACGTTGCCTCATTTAGACTTCGTGTCGAACCTTAGCTCCAGTTACTCCATGTCTCCGCAATCTGGGCGGCTTCTCCAGATGGGTATTAAATATGGCAGTCCCCGCGGAACCTCCATGGGACTCTGGCGCTCTTTGATCTCGAATTTCGACCTAATCTGTCCGAGTCAAGATGTTCCGATTGTTGTTCTTGTTCCTTGGCATATTGGTTGTGGTGAGAGGAGATGCCAACAAAGCGACGACACACACCAAGCGAGCCATTCGACCAAACCCTCGCAACGGACGATGGATCGATACGTGGGCCTCCATGCCTCAATTGACTGAGCCAGCAAACTTGCCGCCTCCACCTTTCGTATGTTCTTTTCGGGCATCTTCAGAGTATACCTATTGACCATCCATGTAGAACCAGACTGGTGCTGTATTTGTCAATTCCACCATTCGACAGACGTTGAAGGTATCCGTGGGTGCATCCCAGATCCGTCTCAAGATATCAAATGCTTTCGGTGTTACCAACTTGCCGATTACGGCAGTCACGGTTTCGCTTCCAGCAAACAATACTGCCGGTATCCACCAAATCCAGCCCAACACCGTGCAAAAGGTCACCTTTTCAGGGAATAGTTCCATCTCGATTCCTAACGGTGCGCTTGCCGTCTCCGACCCTTTGGATTTCAAAGTCAATCCTCAGAGCGTAGTGACTGTGACTATTTATCTGAAAGATGGTCAGACTACGAACAGCATCACAAGTCATCCAGGCAGCAGGACAACAAGCTGGTGGCAGTTTGGGAATGCTGTTGATGCTGCATCGTTGACCATCTCTGACCGAGCGAAACAGAGCGCGGCACATTGGTACTTCCTCTCAAGCATTGAAGCATGGGTTCCGCAACACTATGGCAGTCTTGCTATCGTAGGAGACAGCATCACAGACGGGAGAGGATCTGAAACGGATAAGAACAACCGTTGGCCAGACCTTCTCCTCGCCCGTCTTCAGAAGGGTCCCTCTACGCGACATATCGGAATCGCCAACCAGGCTGCGGGAGGGAACAGGATTCTAGCTGACGGTCTTGGTCCTAATGCACTTGGAAGAATTGATCGTGACGTCCTTGCCCACCCGGGTGTTAGATATGCCATGATTTTCGAAGGTGTCAACGACATTGGTACGGCCGCTACCACATCGACAGCACAAGATGCAGTCTATGATAGTCTCACGCAAGCGTATCGACAGATGGTGACCCGTATCCACGCTTTTGGTATCCCCGTATTCGGAGCTACCATCACGCCCTTCAGCGCGCCTGCGAACTTCACGGGTCAGCCATACAGCCATCCCGAGAGGGAGAGGACGAGGACGCGGATTAATAATTGGATACGAAGCAGTGGCGTATTCGATGCAGTGGCTGATTTTGACAAAATTCTGAGAGATCCGAACATTCCGACGCAGCTCAAGTCGGAATTCGATAGTGGCGATTATCTCCACCCGAGTGTAAAGGGATATCAGAGGTTGGCCGACTTGTTCCCTGTGGACGTCTTCGCCGCATGGGAACAGGGTGCCGATGAATTCTTTTAGATAACTAGCAGGCAGCGTACAAGCAAGAAAATATCTTATGAATCTTATTCCCGATCCGAAAATATAAATGTCAAAGGGAGAACTATTCCGAAGGTTGATAAACTCCCATTTGACAATGATCTTCGTCAAGCGGTCAGGCACAGTAGACGAGCTTATCCAGTCCTTTTCCTTTTCCTAAAGTGGGCTTTCCCCGGCACCTTCGGAAATGCTCCTCGTTGGGAGAGTGACTCGTCTTATTTCCCCCCCGAAATCCGGTCCGGTCTTGGATGCAGAATTTAAGCACCGCGAGTCTATCACCCACTAACGCATGACAAGATGGAACCATCCAATGCTTCGAGTCGACATCTGTAGCCCACTAACCAGAAGCAATCCTAGTGCCCATCACGGTCGATCCTAACCGTTGTTATTTACGTCACAGGGTCTAACAGACATTACGCAAATCGTTCTCTTAGTAACGTTATCTTATTTTCCCATCCAACCTCCTAGCAACCTCCACCGTATTAGAGTGGATGGTAACCTGCATTATGCAGCTCGCATGCGTACACGTTTTGGCTACTGTAGGTGCTCTAAAGTTTGTAAGCTGAATTCCTGGGCTTTCCCAATTCAGATGGATAAACGTTCAATTGTCGGAATATAAGTATTCACGGATACCGCTGTCATCATGGTCAACATAGAGCAACACAATCCCTCGGCGGATGCGACACCAGCAATAATGGAAAACGAAAATCCCCCCACCAATGCTGCAACATCTACGACCCAAGCACCGCCAGAACACCATGAGCCTCATACAATGGATCCCGAACTCGCAGCGACACGAAGCAATGCCTCGACGTCAAGCTCCAGTTCATCAAGCTTCCATGAGCCTGCCGATGAAGAGAAGGACCTAGACGGGCACCGCCCATCCTACCATGAAATGCGACAGACATACTCGCGGTCGTCGCGATCCATCAGTCTCCATCAAAGCCAGTACGAAGGCATATCGACAGGTATAGCCCGACCGTTGACCCGCACACTGTCCCGTCGAGAGACGGTACTCTCGAGGATAAGATCTCGGCCCAGCGTTGCGCCCTTCTCCCACCCCCTCGCAAACGAAAAGACAGCCAACGATGTGATCGTCGACTTCGAGGGCCCAGACGACCCGTACCGACCCATCAACTGGCCGATGAGGAAGAAAGTCATAACGACCATGCTGTACGGACTGTGCACCATGTCGGCAACCTGGGCCAGTTCTTCCTACTCAGCGGGCACGAGGCAAGTCGCCCATCATTTCCACGTCGGAGAGCAGGTCGCGGTCCTGGGCACCACGCTGTTCCTGTTCGGTTTTGGCGTAGGACCTTTGCTATGGGCGCCATTGTCCGAAGTGTATGGTAGGAGGGTCGCCGTCATGGTGCCCTTGTTCGTGGCAGTGTGCTTCTCGTTCGCGAGCGCCGTGGCGAAGGACATCCAGACGTTGATGATCACGAGATTCTTTGGTGCTTTCTTTGCCAGTGCTCCTGTGACGAATACCGGCGGCGTTCTGGGAGACATGTTCGCTCCGGATTTGAGGGGTATCGCTCTTGCGGGTTATGCGATGGCTGTCGTCGGTGGACCAGCGATAGGTATGTGACTCCTGAACTTTATCACCCCAAATCGACGAAAGGAAAACAACAGTGAAAGATATACAGCTAACACTTATCCCCCCAAAAGGCCCCATCGTCTCCGCAGCATTCGTAGCCCAACCCTCCCTCGGCTGGCGATGGACAGAATACTTCACCGGCATTCTGCAAGCCGCCGTCCTCCTCATCGCCGTGCTCTTCATCGACGAGACCTACCCGCCCAAACTCCTCGTCTACAAAGCCCGACGCCTCCGCCACGAAACCGGCAACTGGGCGCTCCACGCCAAATTCGAAGAATGGGACGTCTCGGTCCCAGAGCTCGCCCGCAAATTCCTCGTCCGCCCCATCCAACTCCTCCTCACCCCCATCTGCTTCCTCGTCGCGCTCTACGCCTCCTTCTGCTACGGCATCCTGTACATGCAGCTGGGCGGAGTCCCCATAATCTTCGCCCAGATTCGCGGGTGGCACCCGTTCGTCGCAACCCTCCCCTTCCTCAGCGTCTTCATCGGCGCATCCATCGGCGCCGCCCTAAACGTCTACAACCAACACCTCTACAACGCGCACTACCACGCCGCCGGCGACCGCGCCGTCCCCGAGAAACGCCTGCCCCCCATGATGCTCGGCTCCGTCCTCTTCTCCGCGGGACAATTCCTCATGGGCTGGACCGCCGCGCCCAACTACCACTGGATCCTACCCTGCATCGGCCTCGTGCTGCTCGGGACCGGCTTCTTCACCATCTTCCAGGCCGCCCTCAACTACCTCGTCGACACGTTCACGCTGTACGCGGCGTCCGCCGTCGCCGCGAATACGTTCCTGAGGAGTTGCTTCGCAGGCGCGTTTCCGCTGGTCGTGGCGCCGCTGTATGGGAATCTGGGGACCGGCGTGGCGTGTAGTATCACGGGCGGGTTCGCGGCGCTGTTGATTCCGGTGCCGTTTGTGTTTTATGCTTTTGGCAGGAGGATTAGGGCGGGGAGTAAGTGGAGTAGGGATAGTGTGTTTTGATTTGCTTCGTTTTTGTTTTTGAATGATGGGGGGAAGGGAAAGGGGGGATATACCCGTGGTGATTGTTTCTTCACTTTTTTCCTTTGCTATTGTTAGAGAGCGTCTCAGTTGGCCAAGATGCATATAAAAATTTCATATCGTCGAACTTCCGTGATTCGATTCTTGTCCGTTCTTGGAAGCTAAAACAAGGTTGCACCTGACCTCCCAAGGACTTTGCGTCGATGAAATATCAAACCATATTCAGCCCTATCCGGATACTTATGATTAATGCATTACCAATTTCGGCTAGAACGTACACCCGAACCATTAGCATTATTAGCAGTTATGACATTGATGCTGCAATCTAATTGATATTCTGCAAGTAAGTTATGTTCTATTCTCCTGCGATTGCAGTTAAAGGCAAATTGTGTGTCGTAAATGCGGGGTAGCCTGTGGCTGATGTGAATTGTACATACGAGGTCCAGCTGTGACCTTCGTCTTTCTACTATCGTCAACTCCAACTACGATAGCATCATACTCGACAGTCTCGATATACATGGGCTGATCCAAACATAAATCAACAACAAGTTGCAAGGTGATCAATAGCCCACTAATAGTCCACTGAATATCCATCCTGCCAACATCGCATCTGGTGCCTGCCGAGCTCGACCGTCCAAACATGCCAAAATGCCCCAAGACGATCGCAGCATCCAAGCAAGACACCCCAGAGTCCACACCTTCCTCTACCAACTCGCCCTCGCCATCATAACCTTCTACAGCGCCATCGCAATCTCACATTACGGCCCCACGACCCCCGCATCAGCAGCCGCACCCAGAGCGACTACCCCATCCAGCCCACCAAATCCGCCAACACCGTATGTCTGCAAGACCGACGATGTCGACGCAATACTAACCGTACGAACTCTCCCCCCTCAATCATCAAAGAGAACTCCTACTAAACAGTCCCCCCCGGGCAAACACAGGCAATAACACCCCCCATGCTCCTCTGCCCCAGCACCACCCTCTTCCTCCTCTCCCTCTTAACCTTCATCCTCGGCATCCTCAAGTTCAACGCCCTGCACACGCAGGACATCGACCTCGTCGACGGTTACGCGTACTTCGTCTTCGTGGGCGTCATCTCCCTCGACTGGGACGATGTCTGGGTGAGCATCCGGGCCACGATGCCGATGGTGATCTGGAGCGCTACGGTGGTTATCCCGGTTGCGCATTGGGTGCTGAGGACGGTGGTGCCGGGCCCGTATGGGAGGTATAGGGAGGCGGTGAGGGTGAGGAGGGAGGCGGTGGGGAAGGCGTTGCGTTGGGGTGGTGTTGAGTCTGGGGGAGAAACTGTGGGGGGAGGATGGATGAGGAGACGCCGTTGAGGAGAGAGGAAGGGGGGACGAGATTGGATGCTTGATGGGTTTGTTGGAAGATGGGTTTGGGCGCTTCTATGCGTTAGATATAAAGGGGTAGTAGTACTCTTTTTCCTTTGCCTGAACGTAATGTAGAGTATCTTAAGATAGTGTATCAGGTTTTCCGTTAGAGATGTAGCAATACTTAGCTACTCTGAGGTATGAGTATAATCGAAAGTGGAAGTACCCCTATCTTGTCTTGCTACGTCGTGAGTCTCGCGACCTTAGGTATCTCACTGGGGGAAGTTAACGGTCGTCATCCTAGGAAGTGAAAAAAAAGAATAAACCTCAACATGATCACGCTGATGATTATGAGGATCGATTCTTCGACATATTGTGGTTTATCTTTATCGAATGAAATGGGACCAGATACCATACATACATATTTAACTCCTTCCATTTCCAATTCGTTTGCATCTCACACTCCCTCTACCTAAAACCTAAACAGACATGCAAATAAAATAAAATAAGATCAATTTCAGTTCCCATACATAACCTTCCATTCTAACACCAACCTACAACCCCACCCCCGAAGCCTTAGTCCTACTCCTCGTCCTCTTGGCCACAGGACTCGTGTCTAGCGGCGTGGTGTCCGCTTTCCTTTTCGTTCCCTGCTTCTTCTTCTTCGTCGTCTTCGGTTCTTTGTTTCCCCCATCACCCCCGTCGTCGTTGTCGTTACCGTCCTCGACTGTTTTTGGGGGTGGGTTTGGCTTTGGTTTCGGTTTGGCCTTGGGCTTAGCTTTCGCTTTGGGCTTTTTCTTTGGCTGAGGACGCTTCTTTGGGGCAGTGTCTGGGGGGTTGGGAGCTGGAATGTCGGTAGTGGTGGGACTGGGTTGGGGATTTTCCACGGTAGGGGTGGGTTTGGTGGGAGCTTGTGAGATGGCTGGGCTGATTGATGGATGCTCAGCGGGAGGAGTGGTTGTAGTAGGTACTTGTGAGGGCAGTGAAGATTGGGATGTCGTCTGTGGCTCGAGGGGTTCCTGAGTACTCGACGATTGTGCCTGTGGCTCTAGGGGCTTTTCTTTGTTCGATGATTGTTCCTGTGCCTGGACATCTGGTTTAGGTGATGATTGGCCGTTGTGGATTTCTTGTGAAGACGAGGACGCAATTTGTTGACCGTCGGGTACTGTCAGATCTACCACTTCTACTTCTGCCTGAGAATCATGATCAGGAAAGGATGGAACGTCATGTGCTTGTGGCGAAGGCGGAGGTTCATGCTGTTGACCGCTGGTTCCAGTGATATCTACCGAAATGCCATCTACATTGATGCCTGGCCCATGCGATGATGTGACACTGTAGAAATCATCGACGCTCTCACCATCGTGATGTTGGTCACTGGTTCCATTGACATCTGCCGCATTGCCATCTACGTGGATATCTGGTCCACCTGATGACACGACACTGTAGACGCCGTCGATGCTATCACTGTCGTGCTCATGTGTACTGCACAAGATCCTCTCTTCTTCGATTTGTACCTCCGTGGATGCACACAAATCAGGTGCTTTGAGAGGAGTTAGATTTGTTGGTTGGTTTACCGTACATTGGATGGGTGATGAAGGCGGAGATAAACGTGGTTTCTTCGTGATAGATTCCATCGCCTCGTTGACAGTAGACGAATCGTTAGGGGAAGTAGTATATTTGCGTTTCCTATTGACCAATTCTTCTGTCGGAGAGGAAGATACCACTGTCACTATCGGAATTTGGGTTAGGGATTGAGTGGATTCGATCGCGTTTTGGCTGCTTTTGATAACAATTTCGGTCTCCGGTGATGCGGTGTCGATTTTGTCGGGCTGTGGCTGGAAATCCATATGCTGGTTCGCATTTGGGAAGATTTCGTCGGAACTAATTGTGAGATCGATGGTCTCCACATTTTGTGTGTGCACGGCTGGAACCGCGGTGATCTCATTAAGCAATGGTACTGAGGATTCCGATGAGGATTCAGTATCAGGTGCTGGGTCAATTACTTCCCCGGCTATCTGAGCTGGCAGTGGTGCTGGATTGTTTAGTGCCGGAGGGGTTGCTGTCATGTTCTTATCATCTAGAGCCACCTGATTTCCTTGTGCAATTGGCGGTGTTGATTCAGTCGACGATTCAGTAGCAGGTAGCAGGCCAATTACAACTTGATCAGCAGGCAAAGGAGTTGCTACCTCTGTCTTCCGATTTTCGATTTGTACTCCAGCATCGACAGGCCTTATCTTACCATTGCTGTTGGGGCGCTCACTTATCACTTTGTCCATCTGTGTAGATTTTGAGGAATAATCTGGCGAACCATTTGGTGGATCCCTTTCCGGAAATTGTACCTATCTCAAAGCTCTCTTGAAGTCATTCTTGTCTATGAGGAAACTGGACCAGCGGAATGAACCTGATTTCCCAAAGATTGGCGTCGGATCTCGCTGTAATTGTCCAAGGAGGTTGAGTTCTTTTCGAAATCTTGCCTCCTCGGACACCATTAACCCACCGGCGCCATCATGGGTTCGTGCTTGAATATGTCTTTCCAAGGCTCTAATCTCCCCTTCAAGACGTTGCCTCCATTCATAGTGACCAATGTTCCGAAGAATGTCCACGTACTGTTCATCTCTTTGTTTTCGATCATATGTGGCTTTCACCTTATCATCCTGTCTTATATCATCACTTTCAGCTTCCTGCTCATTCTCGCGTGCTTGTTCTGCTCTATCAACAGCCTTGCACACTGCCTCGTACTCCAAGGCCTTCGTTTCCACCCAATCCGTGTCATGCAGTATCCTGTATTTTCCTCTCCAGAAATTTGGCACATGCATGGCCGAAGCAAGTCCTCTGATAGTGTATTCCTGCCTCCAGCTGACCTCCGCGCCCGCCCAGAACCAAGTTCGGCTGCAGAAAGGCCCGGCTGGCCAGATCTTGGACTCCTGCTTGTTTTCGAACTCTAACTGATGCAATTTAGGCAGTAGGTGCAGCAAATCTTCAGATGTTTGCATATGCTGTCTTTCGTTGGTGTAATTAATCACCTCCCAGCCTTTTTTCTGGTTGAGGAGTCGTGACAGTCGACCGGAAATGACTTCATCAAAGAAACGAGGCATGTGAAAATGCAATGATTTCAGCTGGGTAAAGCATAAGGCATACGTCGACCAGAACCTTAGCCAGCCTACTGCTTCTCGTGCGTAGACTGCTTGACGTGCGAGATGATGGATGGGTGTTAATACGGTACACTCAGGTTTATCGTTGTCGGAAGGATGGTCATCTGCATTTTCTCCGGTTGGTGGATATCCCGGAATCTTGGGGATAAGTCGAGCAGAACTTGCGACAGCTTGCGGTCTTAGTACCCGTTTGTGTGCCATCTTCTGTGAAAACCGTGGTCTAGACCGTCTTTGGGCACTTTGATTCGGTCTTTTGAAGGGACAATTGCTGATTTCATCATTCGACCAGGGACACACGGTTTGAGGACACCTGGCAGACGGCCCTTTGTATGGCTCTAGCATATCGAGCTCTCTCAGCCGTTTATCATCGAGAGGGTTCCGCATATCGTAAACGATACTCAATTTATCAACAAAAGGAGCGATCTCATCGAAATTAGCATCGAAGTCTTGATCCAGCCAGTTCTGCCATTCAGCAGCATTGTATGGCCAGCCCCAATAGCAACTAGACGTATCGTATTTGCGTCGACCAATTAGGATGTGGATAGGTATCCCTGCCTCTCGCATGTACTGAAACTGTGTTTTGATGCGCTCCATATAGTCTCCCTTATCATATATCTTTTGATATGCTGGATCAACACTCTGTGCCATACGTTCAGGTTGCATCAGCCAGTCCCAGTCGTATAGAGGCTCCCACTTGAAGGTCTTCGATAGGAAATCGTATACATTTCTTTGGTCGTCTTTGACTGATTGAGGCCCCTCACGGACCAATGGTGTGCTACCTGCAGTCTCTCCATCCTCGTCATATTCAGAGTCATCTTGTATGAGAGTGAAAGGATGTACGGGATCCATGGCTTTGGAGGTTTCTGGTTCGAGGGGAAATAGCTGGATGCCCTCGATGTCTGAGGCTTCTTCTAGTATGCCAAACATGGAACGCAGGGTTTTTGGATATATTTGGCCTTGACTTGCATGTCTGTGGTTGCTAACATTGCACGACAACATGCAATGCTCATCCTCCAGATTCGTTACGTCTTGCCCTGTGTTTTGGCTTGGCAAGGAGTGAACAGAAGAACCATCCCGTTGGGAATAATAGCCTTTCTCAGCTTGAGAACTCTTATGATGTAACGCTTCAACCTCACGATCCCTGGATCTTTTCTCGAGAATATCTAGTCCCCGTAATATGTGGTAGCGGTGATAATCAACAAAAGGGTCCAAAGATCTATCCACCGGCAATGGCTCCCTACACGCGCGAGCTATAGTAGAGCCATGAGCGTTCATTTGAGCATCGAGACATGCGTGTTCTACTGCCACTCGAGTATTTTTCCGGATATCGTCATAGATCCATGGTCGATCAAGCTCTGAGATAATCTTGGGGGGATTCCTTCGTAATGGGTACATATGAATCCATGCACCGAAGTCTATACCAACTCTTCTGATTGATGGATGACCATCGCGCAATTTCGAAAGAAAACCCTGCAGGGTCGCTACTGGACGGCGTAGCTCAATGCTTGTGACTGTTGGTGGAGCAAACTTTGAGATGTCCCAAATCAATTGACAAAGATGGTGATGAACCAGCCCAGACTTCATAGTCTCGAGATTAGGAGACAAACTTTCCTACCGATAACCATTTTGACCTCGAATGGATAGCGTTTCAAGGCTATGGCAATGGGAGACAATCTCAGTGAACAAATTATACATCGGTCGTTGCCTGTCCTCGTTCTGCCGAATGCCCAGCCATTTGATGCCTTCCAGAGTGCTCTGAAGTGCTTTTGAAATCAGACGCCAGTCTGGAGCTTGATCAGCCGATCTATCTCCCTCTCGCGGTGCAGCCATGAACGAAGGCAGAGAATCATCGATGTCGCTGAGATCCAGTGCCTCGAGCGCTGGCAACTGCGTGGAGATCCATTCAAGATCTTCCAGTGCCATCCAATGCGAGACTGCAATTCTTCTAACGTATTGCCTGTTAGTGTCATTGATTTTGGTTTTGAAATTTTTCCATCTCGTCGAGCCGTTATGGTATGAGGACCATTCTCCGCGACGTCGATATCCCCTTTCACGTTCACAGAAAAGGCGACGCTTCCACCTAGCATCTTCGCCGAACCCATGTGTGCGATAGCTCTTGCTTTCCGAATGAGTACCTTCACTAACGCCCCTATAATAAAATATATCGCTCCGGTCCCATTCGTCGAGTGTCAGGTCAGCCCAGTCTTGGTAGGTGAACGGCTCGTGCCAGGCATTCTTTTGGACGTAGGATTCATCATTTTCTTTCTTGCTCCCACTAGCGATTTGATAAGCGAAGACACCTTGCCTTCCTACGAGTCCCAAGATCCTCTCTTTGATGTGATTAGGTAGTGATTGGCCAGCAGAGGCCAATATATCACCCGAAACTGGATGCCCGCTGCTCATCTTTGGATGTAGTAAGAGATTAGAAAGGTGAATGGACTCGAATTGGTGTGTGAATGGAGATATATAGGCTTGAGATAGCCATGAGGGCTTCGTTGGGAGACTGTTCGCAGTGGTTCATGACGGACAAAGAGGTGCGAAGGATAGCCAGTCCAAAGTGGTTCGCACACTCTGTACTTTAGAGCGAAGTCAACGAGAAGAAAGAGCCTTATGTCCAACTGAAAGACCGGGTTTCGAAGTAACCTACATTATTTCGTAAACCCGAGAGACGTCCAATAAGAACATGTTGCCTTTGTTGGACGGGCATTGCTCAAGAAAGCCACACTGATAGCCATCTGTACAAAGAGCAGTGACCGATTGAGGACAAGTCAAATGAGGCTTGGGCGAATTGGCTGAAGTAACAACGTCAGTACTTGTAAGAATGCTCGATCAATGTAAAGCTGAACAACTACCTAGGTACGTACCTGATTAGAGACAATCTCACCGTAGTTAGGTCGCACCTACCTGGGTACCTATCCAAGTGCAAGTGCAATCGCAACTCCCCGGCAAGTATCAAGCACGTGATTTACGATTTTCCTAACTCGTGAAGCAATATTGCGAAGCCCACTTGAAGACCACGGTGCGGAAGTATAAAAAGCATCTGATATAGATACACGAAGTTATAATATTGCTCAGAATGTGTTGTGTTGGTCGAACAGCCTTGCCTACCTCTAGGCTAGACCAGCCTGCAGGCCCAGGGTCCAGACAATGCCAAGTACATACGGTTTATTTATATTTCAATTGTATCTGTAGGACCGTGAGCGGAGCATTTATACTCATGGGTTTTAAGCGAAATATAGTCGTCGGCGGCCATCATCCTGAGAGTATGCGGGGAGAAGCGGAAATCGTCACAATCGACCTATTAGTGTGAAGTGAAGACAGCAAAAAAGCACAAAAGTAAGGCACCAATGAATAGAATAGAGGATATCGGGAGTGCAGTCCTCCATCAAAGGCTTAATTGTTGACAAGAAACAGCAAATGAGTCTTCTAAGCAGCCGGTGCCTCAACCAATAAACCGATCCGTTACTCGTTGCAGGGAAGTCTCAACCATAACCACATAGCCGTATGCATGTACCAATCGTGAATCAAACTGACAAAGGTTTACTTCTGCATCATCAACTGGACGAACTCGTTGTCTAATCGAATGTCAGTAAGCGCAAGGCAACAGCGCGGCGTAGCAATGCTCACAGTCGATGCGTCCATCGCCATCCTGATCAGCCTCCCTGATCATCTCATCGACCTCGTCGTCGGTCAATTTCTCGCCGATCGAGGTCATGACGTGGCGCAATTCCGCGGCGGAGATGAAACCGTTGTTATCGCGATCGAAGACCTTGAAAGCTTCCCGGATTTCCTCCTCGGAGTCGGTGTCCTTCATCTTGCGAGCCATCATGGTGAGGAACTCTGCACCAGGAAGTCAGTTGCTGCATTGCGCGTGCGGCGGAATTTGCCATATGTACCTGGGAAGTCAATGGTGCCGTTGTTGTCAGCATCGACCTCGTTGATCATGTCTTGCAACTCGGACTCGCTAGGGTTCTGGCCGAGCGACCTCATGACGGTACCCAATTCCTTGGTGGTGATTTGACCTGTAATAAAACGGTTAGTGAGGCCATTATTGTACGAAATTGTTGGTAACGCGGGGCGGGCTTGTTGAGGGAAGACGAGCGGCGGTGGGTGGTCGTCATCGCAGAGTGCGGGCAGCCTGACGGCTGATGCGACGATAGTACGGTCCGGCCATCCAGCAAACAAGTTACGATCCAGCATGCAGCGATATCGAAGTTGTACGGGAAGATGCGAAAGAGGGGGGAAACTAACCATCGCCATCCTTGTCCTACAGGAGCGGTCAATGTTAGCAAAGTCGTGATTGCGGAGCGCACACAAGTTGTTGTGTGTTTATGTGTGTGTGTAGTAGGCAGCGGCAGAGGGGAAATAAAGCTCGAGCTGAGGGCTGAGGGCTGAGAGCGTGTAAGAGGAAAGGGGATGACTTACGAACAGAGAGAAGGCCTCCTTGAACTCGGAGACTTGCTCCTCGGTGAGAGAGTCAGCCTAGAGAAGGGATGTTAGTGAATGCGCGCCCCACGTATGCGTACGTGTTTGTGTGAACATAGTTATCGTGATGTTTTCCAAGAGCGGGGCGGGGTATGGAAGGTAGTTTGGGAAGGGAGCGAGGGGTAGACGCACCATGTTTTATCTGTAGGAAAGTGGAAAGAAGTTGGAAAGGTGAGGTGGAGGTGAAGAGTGAGGAGTGAAGTAAAGGTGTGAAGTGGTTGAGAGGAGTGTTGGAGAGTTGGAGAGAGTTAGAGGGAAGTTGGTTTGAGAAAAAGGGTCTTGGGTGTGTGAATGGGTAATGGTGGTGCAGGTGGGTTCTGGTTCTGGTGTGGAGGAGGACAGGGCGGAGACGGGAGGGCGGGAGAGAGCAGCAACACAACAGTAGGTAACTACACACTGACAGTACTAAGTACTATTAAAGTACTCCGTCCGTAGTGTTTGTTAAACTACAATCAAGTAGGCAAGTAGTTGCTTATTAGTAGGAATGATTGGGTATTAGTAGAAATACTATGAGCAGTAGTCAACACACGTTCACTGAACAGTAACTGTTTGTCCATACATACAATAATACAAGACTGCCACTCCCACTAGTTACTCAGGTCTATGGTAAGGATAGTCCAGTCCAGCCCATTCCCCCCCCGTTCCCTCATTTCCCTGCTGGTAGACACGCCAGCTCCTCTCTCAGACTTCATCATCTAATTGCCTGACTACTCCTAGTTACTACCTAGTTACTCCGTACATGTTTGCTAAATGTTCTATTTACGGGTGGGAAAGTGCCGCTAATTCTCTTCATCACGGGGTTTACGCCTCGCCTCGCCTCACATCTTACGGTACCCTTGCTTGCATCATACGTACCCCCCCCAAGACATGTGAACAAGGCATACACGGCCACGGCTTGTACTGCGACGACCCAAGAACCAATCTTTGGTATTTATTTTTTCTCGCCGAATGGTATTACAAGAACTTGATTGCTATCAAAATTTTATAACCATTGATACAACTGCATCTCATAGACGTACAATCAGATTAAGTAGTACTCCGTATCTGCTTCTTTAATTACTATAGAAAGATACAACGTAGGTACATAGCCAAGCCCCTACCTTCGGGAGGCTCTGCGGCGTTCGAAACCATCCTCCAACATCATCGTTCGCTACCTGTCACCCTTCTCTCCTAAGCCACCTTTTTTGTTTGCATTGCCACAACCAACTCAACCAACCCGTTCAGCTGCCTCTCCGCTATCCTCAACGCCTTGCAACCCTCTATCATGACCTAGACTCCATCGCGCGCTACCTGCCTACGCTATGTGGCGGGATCGCACCAACCTGTATGCATATCCTACCTCTCCTGCAGCTCCCTCTGGGGTGACCTCTCCCGCTGACGTAGCCTCTTTGAAACCCCCAATAGCTTCATCTCCTACCGCCAGTCCTATTCCCACCACCCCGTGAAGAAGACGCGATTTGGCGGTCCTGGCTCCAATGGCTACAGCGATGGCCGAGTTTCCGAGGAACGCCTCGGCCTCATGTCCTCAGCGGCATTCGAGGACGATGGAGATGCCGTAATAGAAATGGACCTCCTGCCTCCGCGATGGCTCGACGTCCAAGACGAGATCACAGAACACCTCGCCGACATCGCAAAACACACCCGCAAGCTCGACCAGCTGCACCAAAAGCACGTGCTTCCCGGCTTCGACGATGAGGAGGTCAAGAAGCGGGAGGAGAGGGAGATCGAGCAATTAACCCAGGAGATCACTCGCAGCTTTCAAAAATGCCAACAGGCCATCAAGAGAATAGATCTCATGGTGCGGGAATCGAAACAGCAGGGAAACATCAATCAGGGCGAGGAGATTATGGCGAAGAATCTGAAAATATCTCTTGCATCCCGTGTTGGCGATGTGAGCGCAATGTTCCGCAAGAAGCAAGCCGCATATCTCAAGAGTATGCCGAATCCTATGCCCCTACAATCGAATGACCACAACTAACATAATCCGCAGAGCTCCGCGACCTAGGCGGCTTCGACTCGCCCTTCCGCTCCGCAACCCCCGTCCAAAACCCCTACAACGACCCAGCGCTCCAAGAATCCGACGCCGACCGATCCTTCTCGCAATCGACGCTCCTCCAGACCCAACAGCAGCGCCGGCGCCACGACCCCAACGAATCCCTGATCGCGCAGCGCGAGCGCGAGATCGAAGACATCGCGCAGGGCATCATCGAGCTCGCCAACATCTTCCAGGAGCTCCAGACCATGGTCATCGACCAAGGCAGCATGCTCGACCGCATCGACTACAACGTCGAGCGCATGGCCACGGACGTCAAGGAGGCCGACAAGGAACTCAAAGTCGCCTCGGGCTACCAGCGCCGCACCATAAAACGCAAAATCATGCTCCTCCTCGCCATCCTCATCGCCGGCGTCTTCATCCTCCTCTCCCTCAAACTCGGCACCCGAGGCAGCAGTAATACCGGCAACGACACGCCCGCGCCCGCCGCACCAGACGACCAAGAACCCCCGCTCATGCTCGCCCCTCGCTCTCCCGCGTTCGACCGCCGACGCTCCGCAAGGCCGTGGAAGGGCCCCGAGTCGCGCCGCGACTGGCACAGGCGGAAACGGAGGTTATGGCAGGAGATTGGCGACGCTTTGGCTTTCGAACATATTTAAACCACACCTAGATAACAACAAGAGAACGGATTGACATTCTCTTGTCTTAGAAACACAAACGTATTTAATCTTTTAAAACTACATATCAGTGCATGCATGCGTGTGTGCATTTCCTTATTTATTGTGATGGATGATGTATCGATTAGCCCGCCTTTGTCAGATGAGACTACATGTATTAACTGTTGTTCGATGAACGAAACCCCTTTCACAAATGACATCTGTTCGTATCCTATGTCAAACATCACCAACAGAAATCCCTTCCCAGTCGGAAACCATCATAACGCATCACGCAGCCTAGAAACCATCCGTCACAGTGAAATTTCAAGTAGTATGTGTTTGTTTTTCCATCCATTATCTTCTCTATCTTAACATCCTCGGATCACTTTTGTTTCAGCCCCTCGATATAAGAGAAAGGGGGCTAACAGTGATCGAATACACAGTACAGACAAAACAGCAATTGGCACAATCAAACAGGAAGGAAGAGAGACACAGAGAGAAAACATGTCGCTAACGGAGTAAAAACCCATCGCCCGCCCTCCCCGCCCTTGACGTGGAAAACAGGAAGGAGAGAGAGACAGAAAAAATGGAACATCGAATCGATATCAAAACAGAACGCCTTTTCCTCCACGACCCAACATGAGAGGTATGATTGCTCGAGACATGAGTCTATCCGTTGACGGACGCGAAGGTGGTGTCCGGAGCATCCCCCATCTCAGTGTCCCCGCCGTCTCCGTTCTCCTCTTTCGCCTCGTTCGATCCGGCGTTGGCGTTCGATCCGGCTGCCGCGGGCGTCTCGTCGTACGCTGGGTCGAACGTGCGGCCCCGCGATGGCGTCGATTCTGCTGCTGCGGCTGCTGCCTCGGCGCGGGCCGTCTGGCGTGCTGAAAGCGATGAAGCCGCGGGTTGCGATGTTCCGTTTATCGCTTGAGGCGAGGCTGCGGCGGCAGTGACGGCGCTGAAGAATGGGTTTCGCCCGCTGGGATCCGGGGTGCTCTGGGCGCTTGACATCAGGTGTGATGCCGCGAGCGTCTGTCGGTGTGCCGTCGTCGAGCCGGGGCTGCCTTGCTGTGCGGTTCCTGGTAAATCGCTGCCCAGTTGCGCTCCGCCTCCTGGGGGTGTCTTCTGCCTATGGCTCCGCTTGCTTCGGAGCGGTTTGTCGGTTGGCGTGGGTGGTGGGCTGCTGCTTCGGTCGGAGTCGTCGACGTTGTATTCCATGTGCTTGTGGAGTGCTTCTAGAATGAAGGCTCGCTCGAGGCGCATCTTGGTGATCGCGCGGTTGAGTCGCTTTATCCGGAGGCGGGTCCCGTCATTGTTCTCTTCGATGTCGTGGATTCGTCGTCGCAGTTCGATGCATTTCCGGTAGTAGGCGGCTTCTACTGAAGGTGGGAGGTCCTTTTGCGAGAAGGCTCGTGGGCCAGTAGCAGGTACGACTGTGAAGGTGTAAGTTCGTCAATTTGACGGACGTGAGAAGGTTCATTACATACCTGGCTGAGATACCTCTGGTACAGGATTCGATAATGATGCGCGAGGCATTGTGTCGAGTGAGATAGAAGGTTGGTGTGGGGGTTGGAGTTGTGAAGTTGCAAGAGAAGGGTTTGGTGATGCGATCTACGTTCTGGAGGACGCGGTCAATGATGGTTGGGGAGCTTTCCCAACGCGCCAAGCCAGTCTGTGCCTGGGGAAGAAGCGCCGAATAATGTAAGGTACCACTGACCAGTTACAAGCCGCAGCAGACCAAATGGACCATTACTCGCGCGTTCGGACGTCCAAATATTTCCAAATTGATCAAGTACAGAGTAAACTAATCATGGTGTAATCATGGACTACTACTACTGGATTGATTTTGAGTGAAGGCAACAAATCATGAGCTGTAGTCTTGCGACAAAATTGAAGTCTATTGTTTTCTTTATACTAAATGTATATCGTGTACATTGTATTTATTGTAATCATTCTGAATCGGTGGCCTCGTAAACGTTATTTAGATTATCGGTATCTGCTAAATGCTTCCTCTTCGAGCATCTTGCGGTTGACAGCATCGACGACTCTCCTGTCGTAAAGGTCTTCGGGTGCCTTGCGGCCCATCAAGACTTTCTTCTCATGCTTCACGGCCTCCTCTTTCGTCATGCACACAAGCTCATTCATCTGCAACAGAGAGTTCTTTTGGCCTGGTGTACGCTTATCAATGAAGTCTTCGCTTGGTCGGTGCCAGCGGACGAGACATAGACGGGTAGCTAATCCGCTGATGACGCTTCGGCCATGGTAGACCTCTTCCACGAGGTATCCGACATCCTCAGGGGTGAGCGGAATCCTCAAACCTTGGGCATCGAAGCCATTGTGCTTAGCGAGTCTTTCTTCGAATCCTTGGAGAGCACCTAGGATCCCATCGTACATCTTATCTCTTGACTTGGCAGGGAGATAATCATGAGGATAGCCTGTAAGCTCTAGAATGACGTGGTTCGCGACTGCGAGACCGAATATTGCCGGCATGGTGCCTAGCACAGGAAGAATTCGTACACGGAAGTCTGGAAGGACACTGAGGTCGGTCACGCTGCCTTTTGCATATTCTTCTTCGGGCAAAGGCAACAATTCGGCCTTGCCAGGACCAGGCTTCTCTGTAGAGAATACAACTGGTATACCTTGTTTGACTCCTAGAGCCCGGAGCCTACGCCTGGTCGACTTGGAGAGGGGGTCATCTGTGCTGGCCGAGATGTCTCCTATGAACAACTTTGTGGGGTCCGATTTGCATCCAGCGCCCATGGAGGATATTACAGGGATCTTATTCTTGTAGCAATAGTTAAGCAATGCGACTTTGCTGTCGATGTTGTCGATGGCATCGATGACAAAGTCTGGCTCTTGTCCGTCCATAGGCGCCAGCTGTGAATCTGCAGTGTCCTCGCCGAATAGCTCATTGCGGCATTCGAAATGTGTCCAGGGAGTGACTTGCTCCAGACGTCGTCGAATACAATGTACCTTAGGAGTACCTACATCTGCAAGCGTGGCAACCGCGTGTCGATTTAGGGAAGACAACGTAACTTGATCAAAATCGATGAGCCGAAGTTTTGACACACCAGAACGAGCTAAGGCGGCTATTGCGTGAGACCCCACGCCACCACAGCCCACCACCACGACGAAGGATGAGCGTAGACTTTCAAGTCCCTCATCAGTCAAGAAGACTCTGTTTCGTGCCAATTGCTCCAAGATCAATTCTGACAATTCGTCAGTATATCGGACATTCTCCTAGATTGCGGGGCTCACCGTCGTCATAGTCTCCCTTCCTTGCTCTTGCTGCAAGCTCAATGCTACGCTTGTCTTCAGCGCTTGCAAACCATCCAGAAGCTCCTCCATATTCGGTGAGCTGGGGAGGGTTAGCTATTATAGTCGATTTGGGTGATTTGAAAGACCGATCACATGATACAGGAGACTCACCCTCGTTGCGTGATGATTCTCATCTATATCTGGAATCGACTCTTTCAGCTTATCTACCTTGTACATCCGAAGTGCCTTCTGCATTCCCAGAATGGCAGTCCCTACAACAACTCCCGAGACGACGGCGACAGTGACCAGTTGAGCTTGATTATTTTGCGGGCGATGATGATTGGCGCTGCTGGTCACAAGATTCGTCGTTGCCGTCGTGGCCTTGGAAAACCAGGAGGCCATCATTGCCAAATCCCGCTCGAAAGTGACAAGTTTGGATGATTCAAATCTTCAGGCAACGAATTGTTGAGTGATGAGAAGCGGTAAGAAATTTAAGCATCGAGTGATGTGTATGCTCTTGCGGTCAAGGCACGCGAGTTGTTCGAGGGTTCGAGAATTCGACCATGTTCCACGCTAACACCAAACGGGAAAGCGTATAATGACCCCAAATTTCTCTTTTTGGGTTTCTCCAGATGACCTCGAAATTCAATCGATAGCCGCCGATAAACCATAGGGCAGAGCCCGACGCGTCTGAAACATATTGCACGCGCCGTCGGTGCAGCTGATCTCGGGACCGGGTAGTTCGCACATAAAGCGGAGTGGTCTTACAGAGTTCAGGTGTTGGACTGCTAGCCTTTTGTTTTTGCTTTCCACCCATAGACATCTACACCATGTCGAAGGCCACATTCGCAATCATTGCAGCTGCTGGTGCTGCCGCTGGCGCAGCAAGCACAGCAGCTCTGTTCTCATTCAAGAAACAGACTCCTCCTACCGTAACAAGTACGACAACAACCACGACTACCACTGCAGCTGGCCCGCCATCACCAACGGCTCAACCTCCGGTCCCTGTACCTGCATACCCCGTTAAACCAGCCGTGAAACCTCTCGTAGATCCGAATGGCCTCTTTCAGTACGGGTTCCCGGGACCTGTTGCTGACCTTAAGCCTGCTGCTTCCCTTACCTCCTCCTTCGATCGTCGAACCAGAAACCCAGCGTGGGTCGCCGAACACATCACTCCAGAATCGCTTGCTCAAAACAATGCCGATCGAAAGCATAGTGTCTTTGTGGAGGATGTATCGATCCCGGAGATGTTCCGCGCAAAGCTCAAGGACTACTTCCGTTCAGGCTACGACCGTGGACACCAGGTTCCTGCAGCTGATGCGAAGTGGAGCCAGGGAGCAATGGACGACACATTTCTTCTGAGCAACATGTGCCCACAGGTTGGCGATGGATTCAATCGGGACTACTGGGCACATTTCGAAGACTTTTGCCGACGATTGACAAAAACGTATCCCTCTGTCCGTATCGTCACTGGCCCGTTGTATCTGCCTAAGCGTGATCCCGACGGCAAGTGGAGGGTGACCTACGAGGTTATTGGCCAGCCTCCGAACGTTGCAGTACCAACACATTTTTACAAGGTCATTCTTGCGGAAGATGGCGTTCCTGGTGGAAAAGTCGCTTTGGGAGCCTTCGTGCTGCCAAATGCGGTGATTGCCAACAACAAGCCCATCACCGATTTCGAAGTACCACTTGAGGCGGTCGAAAAGGCAAGTGGTCTAGAGTTTGCTTCTAAACTCGAGCCACACCGACGAAAGAGACTCTGTCAGGACACAAATTGCTCCCTTATCATCAAGGAGTACAAAGAAAGACAGAAGAGTTTTGGAAAGAATTAGTTGCCAACAATGGTTTGGTTGTGTATCTGATATCATATGTATGCACGCACCCTCATGTTAAGCGCCTGCATACAACGGAGTTATTCTGAGATAGCATTGATGTAACGGCGATCTTAATGAATTTTTGTGTGTATATGGCCACTACGGATTGTAGAGTCATTTTCGTGATTTATATTTCTTTTTGACTTTTGTGGTGCATGTTACATTAATGTACACCCAGGTCCCCCACTTGAGGGAACTATGTCCCAAAAACAATGCGTGATCCAACATCGGCGTATATCATACATTTGCAGGCTCCGCCGACACAAGGCTGTGTCGTATACTGCACGCGAAATGGGCGTTCCGTTATGGAAAAGCCTAGAATCATGAAGTTTCTCCTGCGGTTCTCCCAATGAACCCACTGTTCTCGTCTATAGGCTCCTTCCGCTCTGCGACTCTTGCTGTATCCGGGCGACATACTGTTTCGAGACGGTATTCCAGGCCTGCATGTACTTCTCCATGCACGATGTGAAGCAAGTCTCTTCGCCCTTGGAGAGGGAGCTTCCGGGCTTTGGCACGCAACGTTCGAAGCAATGTTCGTTGAGTTTCTATTCCTTATCAGTATTTCATATAATCTCGACTCTGGAGAAATTCAAAATAATTGATCCAGGCCCAAATTGAGAGCAACGCACCTCAACGAGCATCCGCGCATTCTGCATGGCAGCTTCTTGCTGGACCTGGCGCATAATTTGCGTCTTGGGGTCGCCACCAAAGGCGCTGAGACCGGCACCACCCAGTGAGTCCATGATTTCGGATTTTCAGGAGTTGATCGGGGAATTGAGTAGTTGAGATGTTGAAACCGGGTGCGGATGAGATAATAGTTGATGTTCAAAAAGTTCGATGACGAACCGACCCTGGTCCGACCTTCCTTCTTGGCAGACGTGCACGAGCACATGGCATCGCCGAAAGGCCACGGAACCACACACCCCCGACATCACCCACCAGTCGCCTCCAACTGAGCACCAAAAGAGCAGCGCTTTATGTCGCACGCTCCGCCTATTGTTCTTTTCTTACAGCTTCAGTACCTCTAAGAAGCTTGTTCCTTTCAATTGCTCAAGCTAGATTCTTCCTTTCATTTCTTGCCGAGCCCTGCCTACTACCGTCTCGAACACGTAAAGTAATTGGTTTCGTGCAAGGTGTCAGTACGGTGCGACCATGTTGTTCCAGCGGCCATGGGCAAGCTTGTGCCTGCTGGCAGGAAGCTTAAGCCAGAGTTTGGCAGCTGTAGGATTGCAGGAGCATCCGGATATTAAAGCTATTTCCGTATGTAAACATGTACTGATGTGCATCCATGATGCTAACATAACAATAGCTTCGAACGCACAGCCTCGAGCCCGTGAGTTACAAGCTCTCAGCGAACTACATAATGTCGCAGATTTCATGATCCTAATACCCGCTTGCGCAGCCCTACCTTGACTCGGACATGCAAAGCCGTTGGTGGGACTTTGGCGACGACACCATCGTTCGAACAGACAAGTACATCCGACTAGCTTCAGACAAACCATCGCGTACGGGTTGGATTTTCTCGAGAGTACCGTTGACGGCTACCAATTGGGAGGTGGGTATATGATATGCAATCCGGAATAGACATTTGGCTCACGCGATTAGATCTTGGTTGAATTCAAGATTTCCGGTCAGGGAAATCTGTACGGCGATGGCTTCGCTATGTGGCTCACCAAACAACGTGCCACCCCAGGACCGGTTTTTGGATCAGTGGACAAGTTTGAAGGCTTGGGTGTCTTCTTCGATACATACAAGAACAACCGACCCGGCACCGTTTTCCCATACATTATGGCCATGAATGGAGACGGTAAAACCACGTATGACAAAGACTCTGACGGCAAGGCCAATGAAGTCGCTGGATGCTCTGTAAGTTTTAGCCATTCAACATCATGTGGAGACTCGTCGCTAACCAACGATAGGCTCGCGGAGTTCGCAATGCCAACATCCCGACCAAAGCCCGGTTCACCTACTTCGCGGATGAGGGACTCAAATTGGACTTGCAGTACAAGGCCGAGGACGAATGGACCGAATGCTTCAACATCGCTAACTTCAAGGTTCCTCCTGTTGCTTACCTTGGTTTCTCGGCTGAAACTGGCGAGCTTTCCGATAACCACGATATCGTTTATGTTAGCACCAAGAACCTCTACAAGCACAACACTGGCACCAATGCCGCTGGTGCCGCTGCCGGTGGAGGTGGCGGAAGCGGAAAGACGGCAAGCTCATACTCCAGGCCACAAAAGGAGAGCGGCAGCTGGACCTGGTTCTTCATCAAGTTCGTTCTTTTCGGATTGGCCTTGACGGGTGCTTATGTCGGTTACACCGTCTACAGGACAAGGCAGCGTGACCGATTCTGAGGGGCAAGATCGAATCAAAATTGCATGTATGATGGGTTGTAGTAACACGACTAGGCGATGTGATGGATCTGGGTGGCGAGGATTTTGGTTTTGCTGTTTATATACTTGCCAGGGTTGGATGAACGGATTAAGGTGTTCACCTACGGGCTATTCATAGCGTTTCTACTTGTCTTTGATAGTGATTAAAGATACTCTAGCTAAATGAAAAAAGATGCATAACGTTGATGGCAGAAGGTTATAAAATTATGAAAGATGTCCTATCTATGAGAAAGACGTAAAATCAAATGTTGCATCCGCATTGAGTCCTCAGATCAGCTCTCTGCACTATAGTTCTCATATGCTCCCACACGTCCGCTTGTGCCCCAGTCATAACACTCCCAGGCTTTCACCCTAAAGTGCGTCCCCCAGGCAAAGCTGTGATCATTGGGGTGCATGCTTCAACTTTGGCTTTTATGCCCCAGTTCGAAGACCAGAACATCATCACTGGACCATTGCAGCAACTTTGCAGTCGCTCAACTTGTCGTCGACCCCATATCCTAGAATACCGAGACATGGCAAAAGGCGCTCAGATTGAAAACTACTTTATGGTATCATCAGCTGCACAACCGACCTACTTTGTCTCTCACCTCCAAAGGAACGCAAGAGTTGCAGGGACAGAGGCGCTTCAACCCTTTTACCAATTACTCCTCAATGCGCAATCGACAAAACACAGATACCCAGAACATGCGAGAGCAAACTCCATCCCCCGAAGAGAACGTAGTTTGTTATGCTCTACGGTTGTGACGTAGCAGCACTCCCTATGCTTTCTGTTCAGCATGCCAGCTACGGCACGCAGGCCATGTGGAACCACGTGCGTTGATTAGACGGACTATGGGTTCCTGAGCCATGATTAAGGTCGTTCATCGGGATACTGAGCGTGGGTTAGTGATGGGAATGTTAAATAAGAAAGAAAACAATACGTACTCGCTATTCGGGTTTTTGTGTTTGAGGGAAGAAAGAGAGAGGGAAACGCGAAGCTGGAGCTTCACATTAGCGGAAGGCGCGAGCTCACGAGACTTGGCACGCTAGTAAAGTTGACCAATCAGTGATAGTCGTCCCCTTTGGGAAGTCGTATAATTTTACCACTGAAATCATGCTGCGCTCGATTCTGACTTTCTCGAGCTGTTGAAAGCTGACTAACCTTCATCTTGGAGGTCGCAAGACATAGCGACCGATGACATGTGATGATGTGCCATTCCAATAATCAGGACACCACGCGGTGGCTATTGCGGGAGAACAATGTGAAAGATCGTTCTTCTGAATGTTCATATGTATATGGACTACCATGCGGTGTTAACTATGATTTTATGGGTGGTTGCCGACTACAGAAACAAAAATGACCACAAGATGTTCCTTGCCAAATCACCAGGTTATTTACTCATATACGTAACAGAACGGACCGTCAACAGTGCTGACCAGCTCCTTGATCTTGTAACCTTTACCTCCAACATTGAGGACATCCAGATCGACAAGATCCTCCAAGGACTGCTGCTTTCCGCCTCCCATCATGCTCGTGCCGCCGGCGATGACCTGCTGCCTATTGGCGAAATCCTGAGTTTGCCAGATGTACCACACCCGATCGACTTGACCGTGATGGAGGTAGAACGCTGGATCACCTGGACTGACATAAAAGTCCGAACCAGGATCTCCGGAGATGGTGAAGTGTCCTGCGGGGTGAACACCGTCTCCTGCTTGCATCTTGGTTTGGAATGCGTTGATGTTGGCAGAGCCTGTGATAAGAGATGCAATCTTAGCGGTCGTAGCATCTCGTTGAGTGAGATAACCAGAGATATCGCGCTTGATGCAACGAGGATTGTAGCCAAACCCATCGGTTCGTGGATTTCGTGGTGGTGTTGTGTCACCCATGGCCGCCAATGGACTAATAATGTTAGAGGTGATGCACATATCGAAAGCATGGAAGATCATACCCAAGATTGACCTGCATATCTTTGAACGGGCCTTTCTCAATGCATCCACCGCCATTGCCAGCAGGCTTGATACCATTACTCTGATGAGTAACCTTTATGCCTTGGCCGCTCATACTGGTATCGCTACCGTCGAAGATAGGTGATGTCTCTGGGGACGTAGCCCATCTACCCCAATCCCAGTACTATCTCAATAGTTAGAATGTTCCACTCAGTATCCGTATTTGTGAGCATGCTTACTGGCTGGGTACCGTTATAGTTACATTCGTTCCTTAAGGCTTGCTCGTACGCCCAAGTGTAGTAACGATGCCACGAGAGGAAGTTACCCTGTTTCATCAGCCTCAGTCTACTTATTGCGTCGGGACGTTCTTACAGTGCCATGGATAGTAAGCGTATTCTTCATGTGGATGGCCACGAAGTCGTCATATCGAGATTTGGCCCCAGGGTATGTCGTTGCACTCAACTTTGATGGTGCTTTGGTAAGGCCTGGATGATCATCAGACAGTGATTCTATCAGATCCTACCGGGTAGTGTCTTACACAGTACGGCAGCAATGTATGCCTTCTTCTCGGCGGTAGTAATGTCACCCCTATTGTCGATCGTCAGAACTCTCCTTTTCTAGCGTAGGTCTCCATCACATACCACTCTTTCCGCACCTGAAGCTTGTCTTTGGTACAAGTCTTTGATTTGGCAAGCTGGGCATCGACTGCTGCACGCCCTTTTGTCTGAAGGTCACCGACAGCATCAGCTGCACATAGAGCTGTCAGAAGAGCGAGAGACACGACTAGAGCGTATAACGCTCTGAAAGAAGTTCCGCCCGCCATGGTCCACCAACGAAATGGATATCCAAGTGATGCCTTCTATGAACACGGCTAGAGAAAACAGCTATGCCTGGTCTTATACTGTACCATCGTCTCGAGATCAACTAGGCCGACCCAAGCCAGTGCAGCGATTTCTATATCTTCTTAGCCGCGGCAGGGCCATAACTTCGTCAGAAGGATGCTGCATGCTACCATCAGCAAGCTTTGCGATGTCTTTAGATGAGCCTGTAATCAAAGCTTGTGGTAGGCTCATGAGCGCCCGTGGCCATAGTGTCATTCGGCTGGGTCTGATAGGACCGGCAGATGCGAACAATATAAGCAGATCTGGGAGGTGTGGGGTAAACGAAATTTGGAGTAAGTTGGACTAGGTTCGGCTCCCGGCTCGTAAGACATGCTTAATTCATATGGAGACCTTGCTTATGGGGAGTTGGGGAAGGCTGGAAGATTTGGAGATGTGGTTGTTCCACTAACGTGCATCTGAATGTGCTCAAACCTTCACGACCAGCATTTGGAGGCCTGCCTAGTCACCACCGGTTACTAAGAACAAATGTCTATCGGAGCTATTACTCCAAATACATGTTGCCAAGTCGGCTTAAGAGTTGTTGTCACTGTATACTAGTATACTACAACCTGAGCAAAGAATCGACGTTGGGCGCTCTGATCCATGTCGAAGCCCATCTCAAGACTTCTTGATGCACAAACATTGCACGAGACCAAGCTTAATCATAGCCAGTGTCGATCACAACATGTCGTATGGATTGAGAGGGCATAGCAGTTGCAGAATAATGAACAGTTGATACCGCTATGTGATTAAAGATGATGTATCCAGACTCTTCAAGATTTTAGCTGTTCAAACTTTTGTACCTTTGTCCTGGAGTAGTTGAGCGAGTGGTCTCGAAGAGTCTGAACCTTTGTTATGTCTAATCAGTGCGATCGAAAGCCTCTACATGCTCTAGCATGTAAGATTTCATGTCTCAATTTTGTCTGTGGAGAGCGCATAGGAAATAATTAGCATAGACTCCATTCGTCCTTGTGTAATATAAAAAAAGCATACCCTGCATTTTGCCGGCATTAGACCCAATCTAGGCAGCCTTGTAAAGAAATGTGCGATCCATGCCTGAAGGTTTCCTCTCGCTGTGATCATCAATTCGTGTTTGATCTTGAGTCTGCTAATACTCTACATCCCGCCCGTGTTTGTGTGTGTGATTATGGTCTGCCCTAATCCTCTCCTTTGTGAAGTGCAATACCTGAAGGGATCTATTTTAGCCGGTATGTTTATTGTAATGACGCTTGAACGGCGAAATCCGTTCTTCAAGTGCCGTAAGCGATACCGCAAGAGCAATCCACCAAGGCACTGATTGAATAAGCAAGAAATAGTTGAAAGATACTGTTATAGTTGCTTGCGAGCCAAGTGTTTGGTGAGATCTTGATCGAAACTGACTGAGCGCCGAGTACTTGGTTGGTGGATACCACTTGCCGATAGGATATGTTCAATCACTGGGCCTTGTCGTTCTTGTGTTCCCTGAGGTTTTCATCGTTGATGCAATTTTACTATTGAATTACTAAATGTAGTCCTGTCTTGTAACGTCTATTTGCGAACCGGCATCAATAATAGGTTTCCGATGCCCAATTGGTGACGGACTACCTCGTAGCCCTGCAGATGTGGCCTGATGAATCTATACACTCAAAGCGAATTATCGATGTTGTACATCTTCTCGTGCGTCTCTCGTATTCCTAATGCTCCCTTGCCCCAAGTTTCTCCTCACATGGCCTTCGGGGTCATCTTTCCTTCTCCAAGGAAGCGCTTCAGCCGCACATAGATTGCCGTGGCGTACAATCGTCAGCTTGCCTTTCTTCGGCTACTTACACCCCTTCAATTTATAATGTCGAGCCTTTCATGGATGAGTACTTTACACATTGTAAAGAAGGACCGTATCCTGTAAAAGAGGACTGTATCGAGACGAAAGGTTCGAATATTTGACAGGCTTTGATGGATCAGAACCGGAGGGTTTAGTGACCGCTGGCGTTGTCATTAAATGAAAGTTCAGCCTGGAGGCAACCGGTACGTCACAATGCATTTCGGTGCATGACAGCGGCCGGTAATTCTACAGGTGGTGGATGCAGAACTCCCGGCATTTCATGCTTGGCAGCATTTTCGGGGTGCAATTCATATGTTGTCGTTTCTGCGTTCGCTTCATGAATGAGGCTTTCTTGCTTCAGTGTCGTTGGTAACGATTGACCTCGTTGTTTCCTCCGTCGCAGGTATGCAAACCCGATGGCTGCGAATACCAGAACAACAACGATGACAACACCGACACCTATACCAGCTTTTGCGCCAGTAGATAAATTGTTCGACCCAGAGTTCGATGCAGGGTTATTTGGCACCGTGGCTGATGTTCCTGTTGCAGTAGCTGAGGATTCTGCCGTACCAGCGGATGCGCTTGTGGGTGTAGGTAGCTGCTTGCGGATTAAATGTCACGTCGCAAGCTCTAGAAGGAGGATATACCAACATTAGTTGTTGAGAATCTTGACTGATTAATAGGTTCGATAGAATTGAAAGAGAACCTTTGACCCCCTCGGTCCACGGTGGTGTTTGAAGTCAAAACAGCGGCTCCGTTACCCTGCTTTTCAAGATTCCACGATGTCCAATTGGCACCATTGTACATCTTGAACGTTCCATCGCCCCAGGGTTCAATCGTCCAGTAGATGGAGGAATCAGTTAAGTTGTCCCTGACCATTAAGGCTTGCGTCCCACCTGGTGCTTTCTCCTTCGGCTCGTATTTGGTCCCAAGAAAGGCATTGTCTCGTCCGTCCTGCGAACGAATAACATAAGTGGTAGCGTTGATGCCAAACATCTGCCATTTGAACATCGGTTGCGTCAGATTGGCCTCTTTGAAGAAAACTGTCCCGTACTGTCCATCTCTGTAGAGACTCGAGCCCACCATCGCCTGTTTTTCATTCTGGTTCGGGAATACGTGATACCACGTATTCGAATTGAGGTTTGCCATGAGATAAATCGGCCGAGTGGGTGCAAGGTTGCGCTAGATGATCTGAAGACGACGAAAGGACGCTGCACTTGATCTATACGTGTAATGAGCCAATTTGTATCAATTGCAAAAACTTTGATACAGCGACGGGGACTTGAATGCTTATGTGAGAAGGCTGAGGGTCGCAAGTCAAATCTAGGGGTTGCCGCAGAGTTGCAATACTAGCGAATCCATACTCTTGAGAGCCTGCATCTCTCAGGCTGACAGCTTCAGGCGTTCAGCGATAGCATTTCTCATTGTGAGAGTTGAAGAGTTCATTGGCAAATCTAAGGCTACCGGCGCGCATCAGTGGAAGATCCAGAGCCAATAATAAAATCGCCACACTACTATGCTTATTCTTTGGGCCTGCAGGGATGACAACAAAAAGGTATAGATATTGGGGGCCAACTATTCTTCAGAAAATACACTTAAAGGGGCCTTCGCTACTGTTGTCCCACTTGTAGATGTCATTGCGTATCGTGCGTTGATAATTCGACCCGTGCTACCTCGTGTGTAGAATAGTCTTCTCAATACTGACAACTGCATCGCGGACGGCTGGACAATAGTGTTTCCGTAAGAGTTCTCCTTCCCATACGGTTGCCGCAAATGGATTGCTTCCTTCAATTTCCAGTTTGAGAGCATCAAAAACACCGTCTCCTCGCCTCTCTTCCGTATTCCAGAGCGCCCCCACCTTTTTACCATGTGTCTTAGAGACCTTGTTTAATAGGCCTAGCATCGCGATGCACGATTTCTCGGGCAATTGTAATGATACAGTCATGAGCTGTTTGCAGAAAGCCGCAATACGCACGGGTGGTACGGCGCGAATTGAAGCGGGAGGCAAAAGGACGGACGACAAGGATCGAATCAATAACACCACCGTAGTTTGTACGTTGATCTTGTTCGTTGAGCTCTGTGCCTGATTTCCTGGCGCATGAGGATCAGGAAGGTGCAGTGACTTAGATCCAAGTTCGATATCTGCATTGAGCGCGACCGGATGTAGCGTACGGTAGAGATGTGTGATAAAAAAGCTAAGGTCGAGTTTGAGCGCAGACGCTGCGGTGGCGCCGTCCTGGCCCTCAAGCAAAGCAAAGGCCGTGATTACACACAGCAAAGACTCTCGGGTGAGATTCCTGTCGGGCATTTCGTTGTCATCTTCCTCCTCTTCGTCATCTTCGCTAGCTTCTGCAGCAGCTGAAACTTCCGCTGTAGCAATGATGTCCCTCAATGCTTCCAAAATGTCTCCAAAGAAATCCTGGTTGATGAGATGGGCGTAACGTGCAAGACCTTCCAACACAGCACCCATCAACATCTGAGATCGAGCCTTCAGTATCCGGAAATAGGTGACAAACACCATTTTCAAAGTTTCTGCTTGCATTCGATCTCGTTCTTCATGACCCACTACAGCGTCTGCTTCCTCCATCTCTTTCTCGATAGCTTTCTGTTCTTTTAGGAGCTTTCGCTGTTTCTTGGTGCGAAACACCCGTTTTTGCTTGATCTTTCGCGCCTGGTCCTCGGTAGATTTATCCACAGAATTGTAAGATGCCTTTGAAGAAAACTCTGTGAGTAGTCGTAGGTGAAGAAATGTGTTGAGCACGCTTTCATCAAAATGATAATTCCTGGCCTTCATCATCTTGGTCAACATAGTGACTGCCTCCAAAGTCGGATTTCCCTCATCATCGGCCTGGAAGAGTTGTTCTAAAGTCTCCCTGCACCGAACAAAGTCGCTATCGACCCGCCTTGTGCTTAGCTTTCCGATCAAAATTTGGAGTAGATCTCCTCGAAAATTGAAATGTGGCACCGCAAGCAACAAATTGCACGCGCAGCTTATCGCAACAGTTGCAAGATTAGCTGCAACTTCGGAGGAAGACCCGCTTGATTTGGCCAGTTTTGCAAGGTCACGGATGAAATTTTGATATCCTGATACCAACTTTTGTTCGAACATGCGTAGCTTTCGAACATCTTTGGAGAGCTTGTCGTTGATACTTTCTTCCGAGAACGGTCGAATGCGATATCCGGGGATAAGGTCTTTGTATATAGCCACCTGCGAAGCCAACGCCAATTTCTTGATCGACACATTCTCGGATGCGGCATAGTTCGCGAGCGATTTCAGCGCACCGATGTGCTCTTCCGGGTCTTCATTGATCTGTGTTGCAATCTTCGCTAACTCTTCCTTCGCTTCGAGCAATTGTTGCCGTGGAGATTTCTTCGGCTTCTCTTCCACAACCTCCGGTTCTTGTTCATCATCATCTTCCTCGTTCTCGCTCCCTGATCCGAGGAAGCTGTCCGATTCCTCTGCAGCATTGACTCCCACGGGATCCGCCTTTTGTTCCACCCATCCTTCTGTAGTTCGAATAGGAAGTTTGCTATTTTCCTTTTTCTTCTTTAGCTTTCGGGGCCGCTGCTCGTAATCCTGCTCAAGATCCCATTTCGCGGCATTGGCGACAAAACTCGGCTGCGCTTTTGGCGGAGGGGAGACTGAGCCATCGTCTTCGGGGGGAGAAATGCGTCGACGCTTCGCAGCTGGAACGCGCGACATAGTGAGGGTGCAGGCGAAATAAAAGCCGGCGTGAATAAAAAGTTTCGGAGGAGCTTGAGGTTTAGCTTTCGTTCCCATCAACAGGACGAGATAATTTTTGGCGCCTTTGCTTGGCAACGCTACCTTATCGATAACATATTTTTCCCAGCACCAACTCCAACACTCCGTTCTTCAAAGCATACGAACTTCCTCTACTCATAGGTGCTACTAATCAACATGAGGTATGTGCCCATGGCAACGTTCTCCTTATAGTAATTGACAGTTTATAGGCCGCTTACAGAATCCGAGACGAAGACTCTCTTCGAGGTTTGTCTTTCATCAGCTATACACCACAAAAGCATCCGGCCTAATCATGCATCCTAGAAACTCGCAACGTATTGCGGCAAGGGAATCCAAAATTTAATCGATGATCCAAATTCGAAATCCGATCGCATGGTATTTCGCATTCAGGTACTGCCAATATCTTCCCAATGACCCTATTGCGCTGACATTTGCGATTAGAAAGACCGCGTTTACTACGTCCGCGAAAGCTTAGCAAATCTTGCGACATCTGTGAAGCGCGAAGCACTTCTCTCTCTCGGTACGATTCATGAATGCGCACTGGCGATAACTCTTGCTGATTGGACTAGGCACGTGTCTTGGAAAATTCACCAAGACTGGCAAATTCCGACTTCACGTCACCTCTCTATCGATTATCGCACCGCATGCGCGCTATAAGGTTTGGGTGAAGCCCAATGGTGAAATGCCTTACCTGTATGGAGGCAATGTTTTGAAAGCTCACGTCGGAAGGTGAGCATCTGCGCGCGTGCGTTGGACATATGAGATATCTGACGATGCATAGGTGGAGCGAGGACTGCCCGGAACACCAAGGTGTTATTGTTTTGAACATGAGCGATACCCCTCTTGTGAGTACATCAACTACGAGTTCTGCGCAACCTTGCTAATGTTCGAGTAGGGCTTCGGAGTATCCGCAAGATCCACCGCTGAAGCACGCCGATTGGACCCAACTGGTATTGTAACGTTTAGACAGGCGGATATTGGAGAGTATCTGAGAGAAGAGGACACTCTCTTCACCACCTGAGCGATTCCAATCTGGATTTGTGTTACGAATTTTGAGGATAAGACACATGGCGACAATGGCAATTTAGACAAGCTACCTTGCAAGTCAAAGACATATGAGACAAACGCGATTTAGGATGCTGGCGGATCGATGAAGGAAAGCTTCTGTTCTCGAATGAGCCAGCCGATGGGGTTGTTTGGGGGAATCTAAGGAAGAGCCACTGGCGTTATATGTGCCGATACCATAAACATTGAGATACCCACGCAGTAGAAGGGGATAGCCTAAGAATCCACCATTACCATATCTCCGACCTAGCACCACGAACCACGGCATTCACCCGCTGAAGCTGGTATGATTCGCATTTCTAAGTTGACGCAATTAAATTGTCCTCATTTCAATGGGCTTGAATTGAAACAACATGGAACGTGAATACCACATCTTCACAGCATGGTTCACAGTCTGAAAACTCGAATCTGTTCACATTGCAAAATTGCATGATAATACCCATTCTCCTTCCCCAGTAACGACAGAATTACAACACAAGCCGAGTCTTTACATCCATCAACACTGAGTGCGCGGACCTCAGAGCCTCTTCTCAGCCTACCTCCATTTTCCGGTTTACAACCATGTCGAAGTCCAAGCTAACTTACTTCTTTTTCCTGATCTTTGCCGCTTGCGTTATTGCAATATATGTAGCATACTTCATCCTCCTCTTTCCCACACTCATCCAGTACCGCAGATCATGGCCGGTATATGCGATACTCGCCATCCTCTTTCCTGTTGCTTTCCTCGTTGGTCTCCTCGGTTTTTGTGTATACTACATCCTCCAGTGGAGAAAAGCCAAGCGACGTCGCGAAAATGAGCAGACAGAGCTGGAAGAGAAGGCGGAGGACAAGATATACATCGAGGAGCTGATGGATGCAAAGAAGCCAAGAGCGGTCAAGTTCCGAGACAGCCATTCGAGTGAGGGGTCATCAAATATTATGTGGGAGCTTGAGAGTACTGGATTTGAGGATATTGAATTGGGCGGGCCTTCGCCGATGCCGAAAGCACATGTGTAGTCTCTATGTGTCGATCTGGGGCCGTCAGATGCTACTTTTTGATGGCAAATTTTCAGGAATATAAAGGGTTCTAATGATATCATGGATTGAGCTTAACAACAGAATATATGCTTTCAATGATAATGTCGCCCTTTCGCTAGACTATGGGGAGAGTAGAAGGGGTATAATTGCGTCATAAATAGAAGGGCTCTCATGCATGGAGTCTACCTATACATTGGTAACCACTATATCCGCCTATGCATGGCGTACCTCGCCGAACAAGCTCGCCCTGACTTGAAGAAGGGCTACTAGTTCCAGTATAAACTCTTGTAAAATGACAACGTTTGTAATGATGTGCCCGAGACTGGCTTCTCTCACATCGTCCGCCTCCTCTTCAGCCACTGCTGCTGTATCATCGTCCTCCGTTGGCTCTTTGGGTGGAGGCTGGTACTTGGACAGCATCACCTCAACTGTTTGGGACCCAGCTGGCTTTCGGAACCGTATACGGCGCTTAAGATTTGGGTTGTTATTGACATCAGCGAGATTAGAAAGGACATCGGCCATAAAGGTAGTCTGGCGCTTGCCGGCTTGGGGTGCTGGTAATGGAGACGTTCCACGTGGAGACCCGCCAAGAACTTGTCTACCTAATCTTGATGGCGTTGGTGACGAAGCTGGAGTATGTTTCGCATCTAAGCCTTCCTTTCTACCCCGAGGAGATGATACTCTTGAGGGTGTTGTGGAGCTATCCATCAGATGCTTTGGTATCTGTGGAGTCCAAGATCCGGGAGGTGGCTCAGTGGGTTGCTTGACAGATGTATTTGGGTTCTTCGATACCTCAGACATTTCTTCATATGTTTGGAAGACATGTTTTCGGTTAGCAACATGTTCGTCCCAATCCTGAATATCTGCACGGAGTGCCTCAACTTGCGACTCCAGCTGCTGAAGGCAGGCTAGAAGTTGAGGTGCGGCTGATGGACTCCATGTTGGACGTCGGTTAGCTCGATACATATTGCGAAATACGTCATCTGTTATGTCTGCAAGCTCATCCTCGCCCTCCTGAAAGACATATTCTGCAGGATCAACAGAGAGCCAGCCTTCGAGCCGAAGCTGGGAACAACTCCCAAGAGTTGTTATCACTTCCGTCAATGCAAGGTTTGTCTCAACATCGTTCGTAAGGAACATCAAAAGCTGGCTCAGGAGCGAATGATAGAGAGGATCTTCGGGCATCAGGTAATGCTGCTCTACCTCCCGAGCTACTACATCTCCGTCTAGGTATGCGGCATTCTGCGTCGTTGTATTAGGCAACGCAAGTGCCTTCAGTGAGCACGGATGACCTTCTAGCAGGCTTAATTTATCCTTCAGGTGATTCTCATAAGCTTCATCGACACCAATTTCCCCAGCTAAGCTGATAGCGATGCTGAGGTAGAGCTCAGTCTCGACATTCAGCGCGCCGATGGTGCGGTAAGGCTCTTTGTGATGAACTGCCATATACTTGATGAGAGAACCAAGCGCGTAGCCATGGTTTTTAGCCAGGATGACCGTAGTCAATTTCAAAGCTGCAATGACCGTCTGAGAATCCTGAGAATCCGTGCTACCCAACACCAGGTCAACCAGGTTGAACAGAGACGGATTCATCTTTTCCTCGTCTTTATCTGGGGCTTGCAGCAACAAGAGGGACTGATGTCTCTTCAGAGCTGCAGGCGATTTAGGAGTTCTAGTAGATGTAGAATGAAAGTCGGGCAAAGCAAGAAGATAGTGCAAGATCATATGGATCAACTCCGGATGATCAAGTGCGTCTAAGATACGGCGTAGGTAGGTCAGAACAGCAACAGATGAACCACCATCAATATCTGATGACTCAAGAAGTGATGGGTATCTAGAACCGTCAGAACGCATTCTCATTGAAGATATGATGAGACTTACAATAGCTGCTGAAGGAAAAGAATCTGGAAGTGGTCGATCAAGGTCAGCCGAACATCAACTGAACGGCAATGCTCAAGTACATCTTGCCAGAAAGCAAGATATGAAAGGAACGTTGCCATGTGGCCCTGGAAATCTTCAGAGAAAAAGCTGACAGCTTGAGGATTGGCTTGCATTTCGCGATAGTCAGATAGCTTCAGGATCAGGGGTAGATCCTCCGTATCAGCTGTATGCAAAATCGACAATTTTCTATAAGTGTTAGAACCAGCCTTTAGATTAATGCACACAGATCCTCACCTGCTCAGTTGGCTATACAAAGCGCCTAATCCAGTCGCCATGAATGTGGGAAGATCACTATTAACGATCCACTGCTCAAGAGTCGTAGACTTGGATGCAGACTCAAAGATGTACAGTAAGCCTGTTCGCGCAAAGTCGCCAATACGGCCCTCGTGGTGGACATGATCGATCAGCTGATAGCAGAGAGGGAAATCCTCCTTCTGTGTAATACCAGCAAAATCAACCTTTTGCACGGCGGCACGCTCCTTCGCATCTGATGAGGTTGTTGTAAACCAAACAGGCAATATTTCGGGCTGCAACCTGATCTTGGTGGTGATCCCAAATAACAACTCGACAATGTCGGCCTCGATGTCTTCCCCTACGCCCATGCTACTAGAACCCACTGTGCGACCGATGAAATTCATGAGAGATGCCGCGAAGACATCGTTTTCTAAGAAGTCCTCCTCTTCGCTGTCGATGAGAGCACTGTATACTGCAACCGCATCTCGAACCATACCTTCATCATGGGAAGTCGCAGCAATCTTGGAAACAGCAGTATATATTTGTTGAGCCGCAGCGAAACTCAAGCATAGATGGGGGGCGGGGGATCGAGATTCATCGTTTAGGATTGCGGTTAAGGCCTGAAAGCCGCGTCTGATATTCCCTAAGGCCTCGCGGTCGGTGGCTAGTGTCTGTGTCTTTTGCCATGTTTGCTTGGAGGAATTAGCGGAGAGAAGATCAGTATGATTTCAAGAGGTTCATACCAGAATACTATTGTATCTCTGTTTGAAGCGTGCCAGACGCTGTTGCGGATTATTGGGGGCGGCCTGCTTCCTCTGACCCCCGAGCAGCCGCGTGAACTGGACATAGCGTCAGCACGCGGCGTCAAGGAATGTAAATTAAGTGATTCAAGAAAGTACTGACGAATTCCATAGCAATGTTTTATCTACCCATTGTAGGGCGGTATTTGGCGGAGGGAAATAAGTAACGCGATGCGCCGTACGACATGATGTTGACGTGCAGCTTGCGGACCTGATACAGAGTGTGGTTACAGGGTCTGAGACTAACCATAACAGGCGTGGTCTCACTTTGAAGCTTCGATGCTCCCGGGTACCTTGATGTAACGTCTGGCGATCATCATGCAAATAACAATAGCCACCACAACCTCTGCATATACACTTTTCGTACGTTGTAGTCAGGATGTCTTTTGAGATTTAATATGTTTATAGGTTTCAACGCCAGCATTTCTGCGGGCTATCTTATTGTACAGATGCTCAGCTCAACTTGGGCGAATCCCTTCCCCAACACCGGACTTTGCTAGACCCGCCAACAATCATGATGCTGGCACTACTTGCAGATCGTGAAACACCACCCTCTGTTTGGACACCTGCCGATTCTGCCGAATATGGGCCTCATTCGGACCTTTTACAATAAGACGATATGCGTACAGGGCTTGAAAGGGGTCGTTCTTGGTGTTTTTCTTGCATTCAGGTCGCTGGATACTCTTGAGATTGTATGCAAGGCACAATCCTTCCTTGACTGTCAATACGAGTAGATTGAGGTTGTCTTGTGAAAGTCCGAGTCTCTATTCTTTCCAATCTAGTTCTGGTAACTAGAAGAACGGACATTGAGTGCAAAGCAGCCCCCACGTCGAACACAGCAGTTCTACAAGTACTGCCGACGGTGTTATGTTGCTTTACACAGCCCCATACGGGGATACTGTGTTCCTGACGCCACTACACCAGGTAAATTGAGGGAGGGTCTTCGATTTGCTCGGCAGGTTGCCTTGCTAAAGCCAAAGCAGTAATCGTGAACTATCCAGGAGGACTCATTGGCCATTCATGGATGCATACCAAGAAAATTATGCTACCAGTCTAACCTAAGGCACGAATGTTTACCATGCACTGAACTGAACAAACCATCGATGGAGATTAACCCCAGGGGATTTCACTCTGGCCCATGTATCCATGTAACCATAATTATGTCTATGCTTCTATCCCTTTGCGAACAATGATTACATAGTAGGACCGACAGTTTAGGAGGCCTCGAATGTAGGCAAAGGGAATTGACTATTTATTGAGCCTCTCTGCTCTGCAAAAGGTACATCATCACAATAATTACATTGGCCTTCAACTTACCGAAGCCGTCCTGTCTTTACGCTTTGCGTTTACACACTCGTTCATACATTCGTTTATACTTATCGGATTATATATCCACAACCTAATTGCAAAATGTATTTCTCTCCCAAGACTTTGCTGCTTAGTGCATTCACTGCTCTTTTAGCTGCACCAGCAACTGCAAGATACTGTGGCGATGGACCCTGGAGCAATTCTGGTGCCATAGGTGGTGAAGGAGGCGAAGAGTTCTGTGAGACCCGATTCATCAAAGACGGTCTAGTCATGAAGGGTTTCCAAGTATGGGACCACAGGAAGAAGGGAATCATCGCCATCCAGTTCCACTACTCAGACGGCAGCACCAGCAAAACTTACGGAAGACAAACCGAAGGTGATGTCCAACCACCTTTCACTTGGGATCCTGCCACCGTCAAGGTATCCCAACTCAAGCTTTGGGGCAATGGAAGGGGAACGCGAAGTGGCGCCGTTTATGTCCGCCTCTCGGACGGAAGGGAGGCTCAATTTGGCAAGAGCGTCGACGGTCAGGATACTTATGAGTGGGATGTTGCTTCAGGTATTTACGCATCCTCGTACGATTTATCACTTCAACACTAACAATTTCTGATCAGGCATTATGCTGAATGCCTACGGCGCACATGGAGATATGATCGACAGACTTGGATTCAATTTCCTTAAGAGCAAGGTCGAGAAGGTGACAATAGACAACGTAGCCTTCAAAGAGACTCCCGAAGAACTCAACAAAAGACAAAAGTCAGTGACATGCCTTCCTTTAAATTCCTATACACCATCTTTACCCGACTCTATGCAACCAAGCACCGACTAACGCACTCAACAGAGGCATCGAGTCCAAGACCATCCGCCAGCAGAGCCTCATCAACGACTCTGGAACCGCCATTGCCGAGAAGTTCGGCGAGACTGTCGAAGAAGAGAACACCAGGTCATTCTCCGAAACCCTACAACACAATTTTGGCTTCTCAGTCACCGCCGAAGTCTCCGGCAAGATCCTTGATCTCGGCGCAAGCGCTTCAACCACCCTATCCTACGGATACACCAACACGCAGGAGAGCTCGGAGACCACGCGCGAGAACGTTGTCATCTTGAGGGAGAGGTCCTACACCGTGGAGCCGCGTTCATCTCTGTACTGCCGTGCTACTGCTTACAAGGGCACGTACGAGGCCGAGTACACTTCTACCGTAAGTTCATATCTGAAATAGTAGTTCGCGCAATAGCTAATATCTAGTAGGTCACAGTTCACCTGGCGGACGGTGATAAGATCGAGTTTGAGCGTGAGGGCGTCATGGAACAGCTCACTTGGTCAGAGGCCGAGACCCACTGCTCAGACAAGCCGTTGAACGGAACGCGCGCTGTTGCGTTCAGGGCATAGAAAAAGGACGAGGGTTTTCGGGAGTATTTTTGGCATTCGGTATATATTCGGCCTGGGGGTCGGTGATATTGCCAGGGACATGGGGACATGAGACGTTGGAGCTTTTAGAGGCTCTGCGGATACTTGACGATCAATATAATTTCTTTCACAGTGCATTCGTAGACCCTGTTGTGATGATCTATTATTATGAATTACATAGGGGGAAAGGTCAGAACAATACTGAGCAGTCTAGGTATCACGTCCACGCATCCATCCCACGGATGCCAAACACTCACCCAAATTTTCCCATCCTCAACGCCTCGTAGAAATCAACTCCACCTTCCGCCGGTCCATCTCCTAAGTTGACTTCTTGGCCAATTCCAAGTGCCAGCCCATGACATGTCGGAAAACGCTCTTCGCATTTCCCTCAATAACATCTCCGTGGCACGGGATGAGCCTCTCAAAGTCCCATTTATCGATCGCGGCCATTCTCTGCGCAAACCTGGGACGCTTCTCAGCCCCCTGCGAGTACCAGAGCAGGCGGCTCTGACCCAATCCCTGCGTATTGGTAAAAGCGCCGAACAGCTTCGTCAAAATACCGCTCGTGGGGCTAGCGCCGGTCTTGGAGAACTGCTCAGTGGAAGGGTAGTTGAAGAGGAGATCGGCCTCGATAAGAGTCTTGGTGGGCTTGTGGTTGAAGACGATTTCCTTGTTCGAGTGTTCGGGCACGTAGGCGTACTCGAACTCTGCATCGAACTCTGGAGAGATGGAGGGGAGGGGCTTGTCTGCGGTGAAGACGTGCGCGAAGGGCACGTCTTGATCGCCCTGGTTCTTTCGCTTTTCTGGAAGGCCTTCAGGTCCGATGATTTGGGCCGTAGGATATGCTGTGTGCCATGGTCCAAGGAAAATGTGGTGCTGTGAGTTACGTTAGTCGCGTGACACAACATGCAGGTTGAGGCTGAAGGTGGATCGGCATGGTTACATACCTCAATGTCGAGTGCGGCGATATATTTGACTTCTCCAAGCTCGGAGACTCTTTGCTTGACGTCGTCGGTCAATGCGACGGGAGAGAAAACAGCAAGAGAGCCGGATTGAAGGCGGACTATGGTTGTCTTTGTCAATACTTAAATATAAGGCGAAGTGACCGGAGAGCTTACCAACAGTGCCTCGTCCACCAATCTTCAATTTTCCAAATCGCCAGAATGGAGTCGAGAAAGTGACAATGGTCTTGGGCACGACATCTCGAATGACCATTACCTTGGCGGGATCAGACGGAACTAGCTTAGATGCCATGATTGGGACTTCGGATTTTGCAGGAGATTGAAAAAGGATTGGAGCCGGTGGTGAACGTGATTATTGATTGTAGAGTGTCGGTAACAAGATTTAATGATCGAGGGGATTTAAGTATCTTAAGAGAGAATAGAAGACGTCAAGGTCAAAGAAGCAGATAGACCGCTAGGACGTTGTTGGATGGAACAACAATGACGCAATCTGGTTGGTCGGACAGTTGGTCAGTTGGTTGCTTGTATTTGTTTGCCAAAAGCTGCAGATGTGACGGCTTGGAAGGATTGAACGGAAGCTTAAGTAGTCGGACTCCTGTGTATGTGTAAAAGGACAAATCTATCCATAAGGCTTCGGCCGACTTGTAATTCTAAACATTCGGAGGCCAGAACGTGTGGGTCGCCAGGCTGTTGCTCTGTGTACAGTAATCGTAAATTGTCAGGGGTTCGAAGAGTGCCTACCAACTACCAACCCAACTACCTAACTCGACGCGATAGAATCGTATTTGCAAAAGACAACAACAAATAACCGAGGCTGGCGCAACGTCATCTGCTTCTATTTGGTTGATTTACAACGCCTCTGTCCGCAGCACGCTTGGCAACGGTTTTGTATCACTCTGGTAGATATGGAATTTACAGCTGAGGTGCGCAGTATGTACATGGACATCAGGATATTTGGAATTATTATTATTCGTCCGTAAGATATCCGGGCACCCAAGTCAGGGTCCCTTCACAACGCTAATCGCTGTATGAAGATTTGGAAGGTTTCTTACTCCTTCTAGATCGCCTAGAATGTCCGATGGCCTATCGCACATCGGATCCGATTCCATAGTCCCTGTGCTGTGGTTGGAGGTCCGCATGATCTCCACATCCGATTGCATGTCCGGATATTTGAATTAAGATAACATCAAGGCTGGCGTCAGATGTTGTCTCAGAGCTATGGGTATGTATACTGGCTGTACACTGGCTGTCGATGCAATATGACGTCCGGTGGTCATTATTTCATGCGTCTAAGCCAGTCTTGCCTAAATGATGAGAGCGTGAGTGCGTGGAATCTGCCCATCATCGCGCATTTTCAGCGCTCAACTCAGCCATCAATCCTCCGGCGTCCCTTTTCTTGGCATCTTCTTCCAGCCTCTTCTGGATTGTTTTGCTAAATTCTTTAACCTTCTGCAATGCGACGTTGGTGCAATTGAGGAGCGCGAGCGCGTCAATCGTAGCTCCACCATACTTTGCTACCTGGCAAATTTCGCCATGCTTGTTCATGCTGATGATGACCTCTCCTTGTCTAACTTGTTCCTCTGCAAGGTTCGCATCAACCAAGAATATTTCTCCTTCCTCGAAGTATGAAAAAGTAACACATAGCGGCTGATGTAGGATCGATAGTGGTATAGGCTCCCTTTCTCGTATGCTCAAAATTGTCGCCTTTTCGCCCTCAACAATAACATCCGGCCTTCGAAAATGTTGCAAAGCAGCCATAACAGCGACGCAAGATGCGTCAATCAAACCTCCGTCGTGATCGATGATGTGAACGTCAGCGCGGAGGGCGAAACACTTCAGTCCTGCGATTATACATAAAGATTCGGTGTCGAGTGCGTTCGATCTGCGGATTGTCTTTTCCAGTATTCGCGCCAGTATGACTTCCGCATCCGTGGGTCTACAATCTTAGTTAGGTGCTTCCGCTACACTTTATACCCCAAAATCCCAAGAGTAATCATACCGGCCAACTTCGAACGCAGGCGAAGCCATTGGAGAGAACTCCGTTACGATTTGGAAGATACCATCGAACTTGCGCTCAGGCAGTGGGGCGGTTACATCTACGGAGATTCTCGCGATAACCCTGGTAACATGTTAACAAAGAACGCATCTTTCGGTATAGAATATAAAACCTTGTCTTTCCAAATTGAACATCTGCAACACCATATTCGTCTCCAAAAGATAGCTCTAATGGTCGAAACGCATCAAAAGCTCGTCCATCCAGTCGTATGTCCTCTTGAAGCGCCTGCAGGATGAACGCGCGCTCATTGACCGATATTTCAGCTTCTCGAGGCATATTTACCCCAGCTGCATGTATGTATGTGGTGTAGTGACTTTGTGATGGCTACTTGAGTTCCTCATTGAAAAGATAGCGGGGCCGGCGAAACCCTTTCACCGAGCCTTGGCATGAATCTTAAAGTATCATCGCAATTGTATTTCCTACATCAACACAATCGAATGCTATAACAAACACGTACATATAATCGGGCGCATCAATCTCAGCAAAAGAATCACGCGAATACGAAAATGACGACAGCTCATCGACCCACGTTTGATCCTGCTCGCGGTAAAGAGGCGCAACGCGGACCTGCATACCACCAACGTCTCCTACCAGCACATACTGTGTTGAAGCACCGACAGCCTGGACAGGGTGGTGATGCGGACACAGTCAAGCGCGACCTCCGCGCTGAGCTTCTCGAAGCTGAAGCCCGCCATTTTGCGAAGAAGAACGGCACCTACGTACCAGAGGAAGACTCGGCGACAGATGCAACCTCGACAGCGAAAAGGCCCCTAGAGGCAGTTTCACAGGACGATGGAGAGGAGGGGGATGAAGCGGAACAAAAGAGACGGCGAATAGAAATGTTGGAGAAATACCGAGACGTCGATGCAGACGATAGTAGCGACAGCAGCGAGAGTAGTGACGATGAGGATGATGAGGATGACGAAGACGAAACGGCGGCATTGATGCGGGAATTGGAGAAGATCAAGAAGGAGCGCGCGGAAGCAAAGGCTAAAGAGGTATGCTTTTTGCGTGCTTTAATCACGGACATTCCAATGGCTCTACATACACAATGCGGGTTGGGCTTATGTGCTACATTTACAACTACGCGCTAGACAGCTCCTTGCTCGAGTCCAGCCAGTGCACGCCGTACCCCTGGAATCAGTTCTGATCAACAGAGCTTGAGGAGTAGAGGAGATGACTTTGCTAACGCTTTCCTAGGATGCACTTCTAGCCGCAGAAGAAGAAGAGCAACGAGAATTCGACATAGCGCGTGGTAATCCACTACTCAATCCTCGAGATTTCACCATGAAGCGTCGCTGGGATGATGACGTGGTATTCAAGAACCAAGCGCGTGGCACCGAGGACAAGAATAAGAAGAAAGAATTTGTGTGTACCCTCCCGCAATATTCAGAGAACGAAACTGCTGACACAGACCCAGATCAACGATATGCTGCGATCTGATTTCCATAAGAAATTTATGGTAAGTTATTATCTTCAAAACGCCTCAATTGGATGTGATATTAACCAACCATCAGTCAAAATATGTCCGATGAAGTCAATGGCACCCAAGGATTTTCAAGCATTTGCTTTTGGCGTAAGCGGAATTAGGTTGGCGTTCTGGGCAAAACATATCGTTCTCAAGCATTTCTGTGCATAGCGTGGGATACCCTGGATCTCCGAGCTTGGTGAAGCCCAGTGACGCATGTGCGTCTTATCTCGATCAGCACCCTATTACCCGATTTGGCCATGCGCCAGTTCCTCAACCACAACTCGGTTTTCAGATGAAATCGGTCGGCATTCTAGATAACAAGCTCCTGGTTAAGAGACCGAGTTATTCTATTAAAATAATAGATCAATCAACAAGTAACTGATCACTTTCATTGTGTCAAGAATGGTCTAGCCCTTGCGTAGATTAGTCTCAATACAAAGCAACTTTAATCTTCTTACCCTCGTAGGTTGTATCTCTTATCAAGAGCTTGATCCTTACGCAGCCCGTTTGGCTAACCCCACACCTTGGGCCGTATAGCTGCATGATTTCAATTCCCAAGATAGCTAGCCGTGTCTCTCCACAGTGAATGCTCTGGCGATCCGAAGTTCGCGACTGGTTATGCTCAGGCGCGGTGACGACATATGAAGTCCAGATTCATGTCCATCTATCTAGAGTCTTGGGCGTAAGATATATATGTATTCGTTGTCTTCCTTACCTCTTGACCTAGTTTACTTCAAGCACATGCAATTATAAATCCTCCCCATGACAGCATAGCATACCCTCTACCAATTCCTCTTAACCAGACCCAACAAAACAATACACCAGCCTCTCATCCACAGATCCACACAATGGCAGGCTACGGCAACCGCACCAACATGTCCCCCGACCTCCCCTCGCTCGCTGACGACCACAACAACACCCGCTTCGACCTCAAAACCAACTCGCACCCCTACACTGATGCCGACGCGCGGCCCTACGGCTCAGGCGCAACAGGCGGCGCAGGCTTCGGCAACAAGAGCGCCCCAGACCCCGTCGCGCACTCCCCCGAAGAGGCACGACAGCACCGATTTGGAAGCGGTTCCAGCACGGATGCGTACAGTGGGTCGACGGAGCATGGGAGCGGGGCGACAGGTGGTGCGGGTTGGGGAAACAAGACAGGGAAGTTCACGGAGAGCCATGGTGAGTGTTTGGTGTGTCAATGACACTGATGTCTAGAACGATTCTGACAGTGATGGTCGTAGATTCTACCGTGGGCAAGTTGATGGAGAAGGCAGGTCATATGGTTCATAATGAGAAGTTGGCTGAGAAGGGTAGAGCGATGAGGGTAGAGCAGGGGCTAGGACAGTAGTGGGTGATCTTGCCCTTTGTTGCTCTCTGATATCTTCTGTATTGATGCAGTGGCGTTGTGTGATCATTGGCGAAATGGACATGCTAAATTGCAAGTTGGAAACTTTTGATGTAATGGCCAGGTATGAAAAATGATGATTCTTCTATCAGATCTACTCTATATCAAGGCTACAAGTGGAATAGAACGCTACACAAGGATTAGTAACAGTTGGGGAGTATAGGGAAAGGAGCAATTGTTGCCCGAATATCGTTTAAACGACCTCAACAGGAAGCCATTTGAATTCCTTTTTCACCCTGTCGCCACTCACCAGAGGAGCTGCCGACATTCCAACCATGAAATCTCTCGACTTGATCAGCCAGACAGCCCAGCTAGGCAGTTTCCACCCGAACACGGCACCGACACCGCCACCAGAGCCAATAGGGATGATCGTCGTGTCTTTCTCAATGGGCTTAAAAACTCTGTCGCTACCCTTAGGTTTCTGGTTCGGCGAAGCTGGATCGTAGGACAAGAGATCGCGGGTGAAATTTATCATGAGAACGGGGAGGGCCTCCTGAATGTCGAGAATGTTGTTGCGGGAGAACGATGCTATGTCGCCAATGGAATAGACACGCGGGCCGGCTGCATCAACGCGGGTAGTTTGAGAGTTCGTTTTCAGATAACCGCGATCGTCGAGGAGGGACTTGGGGAGCCATGAGGAATTGGGCGTCACGCCATGAGCCGGGATGTACAAGTCGACCTCTTGCTTTTGGCCGTTGGAGAGAGTGATTTGGGTGCGGCCGTCTTTGGAAGGCTCTGCTGAGGTGACTGCGGTTTTGTATACTACTTCCACGCCGAGGGCCTTAAGCTTTTGCTCTGCTATTTTGCCAATGTCTGATCGAATTGTAGGAAGTAGTCGGTCAGATGATGTAAGGAGTCTGATGTTGACTTTGCGTGTAGGGGTACTGAACCAGCCAGGAGAGCCATTGAGAAGTTCGCCTAGTTCACCCGCTGCTTCAATGCTTGTTGATCCACCTCCTGAGAGGACAATATCTTTTGCTGTCTTGACTTGATTGTTCATGGACTTGAGGTCGTTGAGAAGAGACGGGGTGTCGGTGTGCATGGAATAAACTGAGGCATGGGTCTTGCTTCCAGTTGTAACAACTAGTGCATGATACTCCAAAGTTTCTTCCTCGAGGTACTTGCTCCTGGAGTATTTGACTGTGCGAAGTGAAGTGTCGAGTCCAGTAGCACTCCCTTGGATGAACGTGAAGTCGGATTTCGAGTACTTCTCGAACGGTTTGACAAGATCTAATATGATCTTATGTGCTGGTAAAAGATCATCTGAGGCACTTGTTCGAGGTGATGCGACACGGAAGTAGTAGTCGGAGGAGGGATTGATAAGGTAGACATGGTAGTTCACCCCGGTACCCTTTTTCTTCAGCGCTGGGAGTGTGTGTTGGAGAAAGTAATGTGCGACTTGAAGGCCGGAGACAGAGGCGCCTAGAATGACTATGTTACGTTGTTGAGAAGACATGGCTGTGGGTTTAAGCTGATGCGTGCCAACAACTGCTCCTATTGTTAACAGATTGCGGTAGTCCTCTGGCGGTTGTAGGGATGGCTCGATGAAGGTATTGCGCTATGTATCACTATGAAGATGTGAAAATGAGCAGACTGGGAGGCTGTAATGATATAATATCATTTTGGACACGGTCATTGATATTTATATATACACTGCGAGGTTGAGGTAGTTCGAATCATTACAAACGCAATGAAAACTTACTTACCGATTCAGAGTCGTATCATTGTGATTGACCATGACGAATTTGACACAAGTATCCCTTTTCGAATAACTCGATTAAAGTTCTTGTAGTTTCCATTGCCGAAAGGGGATTAGTGAGTGAATGATAGGTAAATTATGGCTCTAATTTCACCGATGTGTCGCGTAAGCAGCCAATGGTTCGGAAGTTGTACCTTCCGACGTACCGCGCCGCCGATTCAATTAGTGAGTGGTCGATTATGAATCTCACGGACGAACAACAAGCCTGAAGGACTTTTGGACGAGTTTCGGTTGAATTTATTCTTTACACGGTACACAACCTGCTATTCTACGTAAATGAACCATTTCCCCACCCGTCTGCCCTTAAGAGTAGGGACGACTCTGTGCCTCTAAAATATTCATCCCTGCTTGGAGATTGTGTCTGAAGCATTTTCCAGAGTTTTGCGCCATGGAATCCCGCCAATAGTAAGTATATTTGAACGACCAAAATTAAAAATTAAGCAAGAAGCACTTTGGGCAGGGATTTCGAGGTTCTCGACAGAAACGCACCACTATTACAAGCCCACGAACCATTCCAGATCCACCACGAATTGGACCCTATTCCCTTCACTTGACTGTTGAATTGTCGTGAAGCATCCTTCGTCAATCAAATGATAGGATCATGGTTCGGGTAATCCCAGGCTCGCTAGAGAATACAAGGCTGATTGTTTCGTCTTTGTCCGTCTATTCTCCCACTTCATTCCTGGACTCCTTCAACCTGCTCTGTGGCGGCCTTTGCCAGGGAAAGACATATTGTCCAAGCTTTATCGCCGTGCGTATAAGCCGCAGTCCCGTTCTGTATGCCGCCTCACCTTCCGCAGCCCTGCCGCACTCGAAAGGTACATTATAGTCAGGCGGCGTTGGTAGGTCGGGCCATGTAAGCCGGTTTGGTGCGTTGAGATACCGTTCCATGTCGCCGTCGATCCTTCGTGTCAATATCCACTCGTCCAGAAAGTTCCGGAAAGTGGTCAAATCAGAGTCAAGTTCGCGATTGCAAATCCACTCTGTGTTCAAAACCATGTCCATGTTTCGATCCCAATGAGGAATGCTCGTGAAGTGCGTATCACCCGTGATGAGCTCGTATAGCGTGAACGCAACACCGATCACGTCGTCTCGCCCTTCCAGTAAGTTCTTTTTTCCATGAGCAACCCAGCCAAAGTCGAATAAGAGAATCTGTTCTGTTTCAGGGTGGATAATTAAATTCCGAGGCGCAATGTCTTGGTGCATGATCCCCAGATCTAGATTCAGAAAGTCGACTAGCTGTGTGAGTTGTTTCAACCACTCAAAACGCAAAGGCAGATGTGGGTTTGCTTCAAGGGTTCCACCGGGGATGTACTTGGTTGTAAAGCCAACCACGCGAGATTCCACATCCTCGAGGACTATGCGATCGATTGGGACTATATTTGGATGAGGCGGTAGGCTTTTGTGGACGTTTATTTCATCCCAAGTCATCTGCAGCACCCTAGACTTTCCTCCCATAGGATTGAATTTAAATGCAACCTTTTGGGATATCTTGGAGTTCTCATCGTAGTAACATGATAAATCGACACCTGGTCCGAGCCTGTCGAGCTCTTGTAACTTGGAGTATTGGACAGTACGGCAACCATGGAGTGATTCGGTAGTCGAAAAGGGAAAATACCCAATGAACATAGTGTCGTCCTCTTCTGGGTCTGTGGACACTCCAATAAGACATCCATCGTCATCGACTGTAATCGCACGAACTTTAGGCGATAGGTAATCGGCATGCCGTGCCAGTATCGGAACCTCAACGTCCTCGTCAGGTCGCAAGAGCTTTGCAGTACCTCTAACCTTGATCATCCGTAGCTGATCCCAATCCCAGACATTACAATACGTTTCTGTTGTAGGAATCTCGCCGAGGCCATAATAACACTGCCCCTCAGACATAAACCTTTCCTTGGGCTTAATCATGGCGAGTCGTGTTCGTGTGGATAATCTCCCTGCTTGTGCTTTGTTGATGCAGGCAAAAGGTCAGTCAGTATATAGTCTGGTCGAGAGGGTATGGGTGATTCTGAATTCAACGATTCGGAATTGGACGGTCACTCCCATCAGTTGCGTACTCTTAGGATCTTATGCCAAACAGATCTTACTAACTTCACTCAGTCTATTCAATCGAAACAGAATAGAACAAGTAGGCAGATGAGTATGTGAGCAGGTGGACAGGTGAAGGTAGGCTCGTTGGTAGGAAGCAGGTGAGCAGGTGAAGGTAGGTCAATTGGAAGCAGACCAGCACCCCGGGTCCAACTCCTGGCAGCCCGGGATAGCCGGGAGCGTGCGCTCCAAACAAAGTGAATCATATGCCAGTTTTGATGCCTATTCTAGGATAGCGCGATGTATAACGTTGTCAGGCGTCACTGATTCCCAGAGTGAATGCGTGGAGCTGTTTGTAATATCTCTTTACGGCCTAGTTTACATATCCCAGAGGACTGCTTTTAAGCCTCAACTTCTACTTCTTTCGTATCAATTCCTCAATCCTCATACTATCAATTTTCTGACATTGACGCTTCCCAACTCTTGTCATCTCATCAGAAGCAATTGGTCAACATGGATGCGGAACCAATTTCACCAGGTCAAACCGGAAACGATGTCAAAGACAGACTCGTAAACGACCTATCGAACCCGAGCAGCTGCACTTGCGGCTGGTACATCTACGCTTCGGCCGTCTGTGGTCATGTACACTCCAAAGTGGCACAACGATGTGGCTCCAGGACAACAGCTGACGGCAAGAGTGGCTTTTGCAGGTTACCAGCGCCGAGGCACACGGTCGAGTCACCCAAGGTCAACACGAAGTGTCAACACTGCTAGTCTGACTCGCTAGGTAGTTTGGGAGATCCTATTTTTTCGAGGGCTCATTTACTAATTAATGCTAGCAATCGTCACAGCAATCGTCGCCGCAAAGGAGGTGTTTGCACGGGGGGACTGAACCGACATAGTGTTATCACTCAGAACATTTGGGGACGGGTCCATCATAACTGGAATAACTTCCAACAACCGAACCAACTTTTGGAGAGAATGAGAGGAAGGGGTGCGGAATACCTTCCTGACTGAATATACCCTTCAATTACATATCATGCCTGCGGACCACCATCGAGTATCAGTGATTTCTCTTCATTATCCAAAAGAAAATTAGGTAGGGTAACAAACACGTCTCCTATCAAGTTCGCGTAGTAATTCTAGGGAGTATCTCGAGATGAATCAACTGTAGTCTTCTAAATCCACCACCACTTCACCTGAGCCAACTAGTTCTTCGTATGCTGTAGCCAACACAATATATTCCGTGCGCCAGAAAAATGCACCAAAACTTCATGATCTCCTCAGTGTCACACAAGGGAAACACGGGCGGCCTGAAAAATCCCCGCCATACACGAATATACGAGTTCATAACGTCGCCTGCTAATGCCAAAGTCGAGAGAGAGGAGTAATCGAAGACAAAGTGGTTAGTATATGCCTTGGGTGCGGTACTGGAAGGTGTCGTAACTGCGGGAGACATTAGTATATGTTCATGGGCGCTATATATTGCTTTGCAAAGCGTGGTTTTTTTCACTTACAGTCGGGTGTAATAGCTTCCAACGCTCTTTGCAATCAATTCGTCCACAAAGACTTCAGCTTCCTCTTTGCTGAGATGTAACATCATCCTCGCACGCAATGAGTTTGTAACACCGGCCGCACCGGCCGCAAAGCATGGCATCTTGCTCTGCTTACCCATCATGTCAACCAACATGATGAGTCTCTCTGCTTCCTTTCGTAGGGCCTGGAATGATTCTTTGCACAGCTTCTTGAAATCTTCGTATGCCGGCGAGTTGAGGCCACCGAGGACATCCACGTAATCCTGCGTGAGCTTGAACGGGGCAGCTTCGAAACCCATAGATCCAGGAGAGTTTGACAGCATGAAGCCGAAATCGATATGGATGATGTGGCCCATATTGTCAATAAGTAAATTGCCATTGTGGCGATCCTTGAGTTGCAACACATAACAAATAATGCTGTACGCTGCCAAGGACCGAGTGAAAGCGTCCACGCCAGACTTATAGCTCTCCGAGTCCGGTTCACCAAATGTCTTCACAAAGTGATCCTTGAGAGTCGCGATCCGCTTACGTGGGTTCGTTCCTGCAGCTATGCTCGCCAGGGTCAGGGATCGCTTCAGCGAATGGAGAGAGACGCCATTGGTTATGGTTTCGATAAGCCCACAGGACTCGCCAGTTACCAGGATCCGCATGCGCTTCGTCCAGATTGGTACATTCGCATCTTTCCAGATCTTGGTACACACTTGTATCAGTTGACATGCAAATGCCTCCTGACGAAGATCAGCCCCAGTCTTCACAATCACACTGATCAAATCCCAGTTCTTCATGTGACCGTATGGCGACGATCGACGAATTCGTTCTCGCTTGGCACTCCATTCCTCGCCAAATGTAGCAGCACTAGGATCGTCACGGTCGCCGTTCCTCTGCATGCCTCCTGTCTTCAGATCGTTCTCCATTCGTGCGGCACCTGCACCTGGATTAGTAGTCGGCACAGCAATTCCTTCTTCAAGCACATCTGGTTCGGCCGTGATGGCAACTGGATCTGTTTCTGCCATGATGGTGTCAAAGGTGGGCGTTGCATCTTCTGACATGAAATTTTGCTCTTCTAGAGTCTGCATGCTGGCAATGATTTTCGCTTTTATGGCTGCAACTTCGGTCTTCGGCCGTTTAGATCCGCTGGCTTCCAACTGTGCCAACATCTGAGCGGCGGTACGCATGTGAGTTGCCAATGCTGAAAAATCAGGCTGGTCCATGCCTTGAGATCCCCGGCTCAATGGTAGAGTCATCTTCCGTGGGGCTGGGCTATTAGATCTACTGATTTCCATGTCTGAAGTCCTTGGGGTGGAGCTCGTGGCAATTGAAGACATCGTATTAGCCCCGCTTGATGACCTTGGAGCTGTGTTTTTCCCATTCACCACCGTACTTGGCAGTGTAACCCGAGATAGTCCAGAGGAGATGTCATCCTCAGCCAGGTCCGAAATCAAGGAAGTGCTGCCCAAGTCGCCATTTGCGGGTTCGAAGACGCTATCCGTTCCATTTGGTGGTGTTTTGTCATGTGAAAAATGGTCCGCATGTGTGATATCGAATAGCCGTCGCTTCGATGTACCCTTGTCCAGCATCAGCTGTTCTAAGAGCTGCTGGTTCTGCTCGGTTTCTGGGTCGAAGTCAAAGTCTTCCTTCAAAACTTCGACCATCAAGAGATACGGGACCCTCTCTGCACTGTTCAAACTGGTCGACTCGGCCGGGTTGATTCGTACTATGCGATGGTGCTGACTATGCGACGCAACGCCATCTTTCAAAGTCGCCGGACTAATAACAGGAATGTCGACCTCTGCCGGAAGATCTTGTGCGATCAAAGCGAGCTCGGCACGCAGAGCACTCAAACGCGCTGGTTTCGGGACGATAACCAGTCGATTCGAGATATCTTCAAGAGCACTCAAAAACTGAGTCTCGTTCTTGAAGTAGTTCGAGCGCAGAAGTCGGATCTTCTGTCTTGTAGAAAGTGCCGTTGGTGTTAAAGGTCTGGAGATATGTGGAGGCTTTCGGCTACCGTGATGGTCCGGAGTTGGTCCAAGCCCCGCTGTTAGAGGAGGTGTTGGAAGAGGGGATAGCTTAGGACTTCTGGGAAAATCGGGTAATGAGGACGAGCTCAATCGAGCTTCGGAAGTTGCTGAAAGAAGTGACGAACGAGGTACCGGGCCTGACGGTGTTCGGTTCGTTATGATCGGTCGCGCAGCTTTCCGTCTTAAATCCTTTGAACTCTGGATATCTCGAGTAGGGCGGAGCTTGGAGCCCTGGTCTTCCGGGTCTGAGTGGCCCTGGGTGAACTTCGATTGCTTTGGCCGAGGGGATCTTCCTGCTACAGTATGACTGCGACCAACCTTTGCCGTTTGTACGTTATCTGAAATCATATCTTCTGCAGGACGGGGTTTGCGCGCTTGGGCGATAGCCAAAGGACCGGCATGTCGTGGAAGGAACGGAGCCGCGATACTGGCCAGCACCAGGCTAGACAGAACAGTAACCGGCAATATATTCTCCTTGATCTTCTCCCTCCGCTGCGGTTCCGCAGAGCCAAAAACAATGCGCTGGACTTTATTGTATATTCTCCTGCATGTCTTGAATGCGTTCGAGTTTGGATCGCTCGCGAGGTCATGAAGGTATGTTTGGAATAGCCAAAAGGTCTGAAGGACATGTTAGCAAGCTCGCTCTTCGTGAGGGGTGCTTCGCGTGCACAAACCAAGAGTGCACCATTTACGGATTCTTCGCATAGGTCAATAATGAATTCTTCCAGAGCCATAGACTCATTATCAACACTGATTAGGAGGTGACATAATCTGTTCCGCTTAAGCTATGGTCCTTCATCGGAACAGTAGGATGTATGCTTGACGTACTGCGGGAGGAAGAATTCAATTTCCTCGTAGGCGAATTGGCGAAGCTTAGAACAGAGAACGTAATGGATTCCAACATGGTCTGCGTATCGCCTAAGAAACGATCAGAGGTCAGTAAGTTGTTCTAGTCTTGCGGGAGCATGGCGGTGCGGAGCACGACGCAACGGTGGCTTTCGGCGGACTCACGAAAGGTACGCAACAGTGAGGGAAGGATCAGTGTTGAAGTGATCCGACTCTATGAAGCGCTCTAGCAGATTCCAACTCATCTGGGACGGTTCATTGGGGCGTATTGACAGGTGGAGGTGGACACGGTACACTCATAAATCATTTGACTGTCGAAGGGGTTCACTTTAGCATGACCGAACAGGGTTTGGGCACCGAAGCGACATACTTGGCACCGCCGTATTCCCGAGCGAGGTCTCCAGTCTCCGCTTAGTACAATTGATACTGTGTGCCCATAACCACAGTTTTATAGCTAATCGGTACTTTGATCAGAGCAATTATGATGGGCTGGCTGGACGATTACATTTTTCCGCGACGTCTGTTTATTGTTCCAGCGCTTTTCCATTTGATAATTCTCTCAAACATGTTCTTGACATCATCCATGACTCGCGCGCGCAATTCTTCCACGACAACTCATCCCGATAATATGTAATCCAATGCCAAATATGTACTTATTGTTTATTGCTACACTTCGTTCTTGCGGAAAAAGAGCAACCATTGATAGGCTGCTCGAAAGAAGACCAGAAATTCCAGTTAAAGCTGTGTGGGCAAATGCCTATTTGACACCAATACGCCAGTCCACGCTTCCGGTGTTTGTATGTCGTTGAAAGGTACACAATGATGGCAGACAGTGCCTCGGGAAAGAAAGGTTAATGACAAGATAGAAACGTATATACAATTCCGAAGAGAACTCCTCGCTTAATCTGCTGCATGGAGATCAACAAAAATGTTGATCGCGGCAACGACCACTTCAGCGAAAATGAGAATGATGACAATCCACTCAAGAAGTTCGCCCTGTTTAGAATTAGCTTTATTTCATACATATAGACCTCTCGAAGAACTCACGTGTGTCACTGTTAATTGGTCTTTGAGCACAGCTAGCAAATCGCCAATGACGTTCAACCGCTCTGTGAGTAGTCCAACACGCTGGTCCATCTCCAAGTAGCTGCGCACAGCCTGGTAGACCGGGTCCAACTGCGGCTCTGCCCACATAAGTTCAGGCGCATCCAAGACAGACCCTTGCAGATGTATACTGATGCGCAAGATAAACAATTCTCCGATCTGCATGTTGATTTGTTTCTTGTTGAGGTTGATTTTTCCAGAGCTCGCAATTTGAGCAGGAATATCCTTTGTGTCATCAATGGTGTTGTCGACAAGATCTTCGAATAACGATGTTTTTACACTCTGTGAGAGCGCGTGGCTAATAGCGAGTTTTGTCATGTAATGTTTCTTTTCGCGTAAGCTGATGAAGTCGTTGTATATACGAGCTTGATATTCTCGTGTATAGTAAAAGTTGAACTCTTCCGTTTCGATCTCGTCCTTTCCTAACTTGTCGACTTCGAATTTAGCAATCTCTTTGAGAAAGCGCTTCTCTTCCTGCAAGGTCATGCCCCATATAACAACTGTGCCGTATTCGAACAAGAAAACCTCTGGGGTATGCACTTGGATATCAAAATCGGGTGTGTTCATTGAGGGGTCGGAGTCGGCGTGGACTTGCGAGGGTCTTCGTGGTCGCATCGACCCCTCTCCATTCTCTGTTGGCATTTCTTCCTCCTCATGATGCAAATCAATCAAATCTTCTCTTCTCCTTTCACTTTGGGCTTCAACCTCAATAGCGCTATCGGAGAATCGCCGTGGCCGGTCTTCTGAAAAGCCTTCATGAACAGCTGTGCTACTGACAGTATCTGGTCCCTTCTGCCCGTAGTTATAAGGAGAGTATATACACTCGTCGAATCGCTTAGGAAGGGCGCTGCGTTGCCTGGATTTGCCCTTCAGGAAACGCATCAAGTCACCCATATTGTAGGACGCGGCCGTGCAGTAAGCCGTTACGCGTGGTAGTTTCTCCCGATCCGCCTTACCCAGGCGGGCGGCATCCCTTCGCGCAGTCGGATCCTTTATTCGCGTATATTGGACATACACGTCGCGCCCACTTTCTTCATCCTCTTCTTCTTCGCCATGCTCCGGATCTGGCAACAGCTTCAGTTTCTGGGCAGTCCTTGTTGTCCTTTGAGGTCCAATCTTTGGAGCAGGTACATGGGGTAGATTCCCTGCTCCCGCGCTATTTCTACGTCTTAGCTTGCTGTTGAGGGTGGAAAGCATAGGCTGGCCTCCATGGCTTGTGGGTAGACCAGAGGTGCCGGTTGATGATCCAAGATGGGAATGCGATCGTGCTTGAGAGGGTGGCTTGGGACTATTCGATGTTACAGTAGGATTGAATGTAACAGTTCTTTGCGGTCGCGGAGGATTGGATCTGTGCGATGTCGACGCATGAGACATCGACGATATCAGAGGAGTAGTCTCGGTAGAAGCCGACATGGTGGGTGAAGGTCGCTGTCTGTTACGATATTAAGGACGTGTATGTGAACTTTGAATCAGTCATAGTCAATCTCATACGAGATCAAGTCCGACTCAACGTATGTCGAGTGGTGTCGTGTAAGTCCTTCAGAAGAGCTTGCCCGGAACACCCTAAAGGAATGACGTTCGTTCCAAGACGGGGAGCTCGGGTGCACAGGCCCACAATTCTCCACTAAGAACCTAGGTAGTCGCGAACGTCTGCAAGCCAAGCTAAGCCCCCATGTGACATGTAAGTATTCATGATAAAACTCTTGATCTTCCTAACTATACATTATTAATCAAACACCAAACGTCAAACATTCCATTTCGTATTATTGCTTTCATATTTATACAATTGTAAAACCACCTTTTGTACATAAACAGAGGGCTGCCCTTCATCTTGATTCTCAATCACCCCAACCTAACCTTTTTCCACATTCTCAAGCATTCTTGTAGATCACCAACAATGCTTCCTATGGGATCAGTCATTGTACTTCGGACGGCTAACAGCAATAGGCTCGCAAGCGAGAAGGCCACTTGATCCTCTTTGACGGCCAAAAAGTGCGATCTCGTCATGCCTCCTGACTGTGACCAATTTCTCCAAAGGTCGAGCATGACAGATATGCGTCTGGAAAGTGAGTCGTTGCGTACCATTGCATATAAGATCGGTTCAAGAAGCAATGCGGAACTGGCTTCTTCGGAGAGGTGCAAAGTTCGAAGAAGCCACTTTCGGTTGGCTTCTGCAATGATTGAGATTGGCAATTTGCGGCTCTGCATCGCTTCAACGACTTCTGCTTCCTTCCGCTGTTCCTCCTTCATCTGTCTTCGACGAAAGTCATTATGAAAGTCTGCGGCTTCCTGTTGCATCCTCTTTCTTCGTGCTTCTTCTCGCTGTTCCGGTGGCATTCGCATCTCTTCTGCAACTCGGCGACTCTGCTCCACGAACTTGACGTGTCTTTCGAATCCCTCAGCTTTCACATCAAAGACAGACTTGGTTCGCCAGGTCGGGACCTCCTCGTCTGTCATCGCGCCGATAAGTACCATAACACCACCTGGGACAGATTCGCCTCTTGCAATGGCTACAATCTCATCCGGTATCCGAAAGCTCCAGAGTCCACCTTGCGGAACCTCATACGCAGTTGCTGCGCAGCAGAACCAGAAACCAGCGGTTGAGTCAGTGACCGGGCCTGATCCAAGATGAAATAATGGAAGTTTCATTTTCGCGTCATCTTCATCGTAAGCTTCTTGGATGCCTGTTGCCGATATCTTCATCCTGACGGAAGACCGTGATTCCAAGCCGTCACTGACCGCGCTGGCATCATCAAGGAAGCCTCCTCTTTCATCAACCTCTTTAGGATCTTTGCCATCTGGATCATCTTCTAATGCTTGCAGTGCGGCCAATACATTAACATCTTTGCTCGGCGGGTTCAAGCGGATCCAATATGGCGGCAAACTATCCTGACTTCTTTTGTCCCATTCCTTTTTCCAGTTGAGGCTCAAACTAACAATTCCATCCGAATCATCACTCATTGCTACACTTAGCACTTCCTCCGCAGATATAGGACTCAGCAATAGTTTTGTCCCTACTGGAGTCCACAGACCAGCGCTTCGCAGATCAGCCCATCCGTCTTTACTCGGAACTGCACCACGGTCCAATAGGAAAGCCACCAAGGCTTCGAAGTCTATCTCTGCCTGTGGTTGCGCCAATTCATCGTGATACTGTAGTCGATAACTCTTCACCCCAATGACCATCTCTTTCCAGTTGAACAGTGTCCATGAGCCTCCCTTCAGGCTTGACGATTTGGGATTCAGTCCGAAGTAGTTAGGGTCATTGCGGTCCAGTGGGATGATGCTACGCCGGGGTATCTCGATTTCCACGATTCCAGTCAGAAGTGCGCTGCGCGTGATCGCAATGACTCCATTTCTGTGCAGTGTTTTTGTAATTTCGCGCAATGTAAAGTAGCTCTTCAGGCACACATAGATAGTCGGAAGGACACCCAAGACAGCGAGCGGTATACCAACGTATGTGATGATATCTACGGCAGACGCCATTTGGGTCGCAGCACCCGAGAGGATAGTGCAATGAAGAACACGGCCAACCTCATGGCGCGGCGCGATGATCTTATGTGAGTGTATCAGCTTTTTTGTGGCTTATTTTGGGGGCGCCAGGGGCTTAATTACCCCCTGCAGCTGAAATCTAGGTTAAAATGCTGAAGCGCGTCGAGGCTGAGAGGTACACGAACGCATGTGATGGCGCGTGCACTGTGGGGGGTCCGACGATCGCGTTGTTGTCGATCGTACACAGCATACTGCCCTAGATGTTTTGAAAATTACGGCTTCACAATCAGTGTATGAAGAATAGTTGTATAAGGTAGTTTGGTGTTTTTTTTTTGGAGGAAAATAATGCTACCCCTTTGTCTGCAAGAGCCGACTTACGATTCACGACACACTTAATCTCGGCCTCCTCTGAAAGGAACCGCTATCTTGTGTCTCAATGATAATCTATGAACAAAGTTGAAGTCTCCATTTTAGTCCAACTAGATTACTTTCCTCTTAAATTTTCAAGAATCTACGAGAATGCTCCCAACTCTCCGACATAAGGCAACACATTCCGGCCTTGCTCTATTATCTGGTGGGGTATCTAGGTAGCGCGGGGTCCGGTGGGTACTAGATGTCGACACATTATCTCCTATGTTATTCTCGTTGATCACACGCTACATCTTCAAGCATCGTGTTCTTATCTGTATGATTGGCTAAGAGCAGTCCCACCGGGCCTAGCGTTCTGTTGTCAGGACATATCTTCGGTGCAATTGATACCGTTTCTTGTCTACTTACTATTCATATTCATAACTCCTAGTGTCAGATCCGGCACATCTTTCTATCTTCCAGATCATCTTCCATATCGAAATTTTAACATGTCTATGTCAATCGAGGATAGCCAGCGTGTCCGGGAGGGATTCCCCAGACCGGTCCCAGATACGCCGAGCAATGTAATGGACCAATTCAAGATGACCGACAAGGTGGTCGTTGTTGTGGGCGCGGCGGATGGAATCGGTAAGGCCGTAGCGGAAGCTATGGCAGAGGCAAAGGCCCATGTTGCTTTGTGGTTTAATACGTGCGTTGCGCCGGTTCCCATGTGATGCTGTTTCGTTTTGACCGCTGATGACTTCGGGCTTTTAGCAACACTGCAGCGGTAGAACATGCAGATTCGTTTGCGAAGGCACATGGAGTGCAGACCAAAGCTTACAAGGTTGATGGTGAGATGATTAAGTGCGTCAATTGTTTACAACATCTACTTAGAGTGCGTTTTAGTAACAAATGCCGAGAGCGTTCGAAACTCCATTGCAAAAGTCGTGGAAGACTTCGGCAAGATCGATGTTTTTGTCGCAAACGCTGGTAGGTAGCATGAAGATGAGTGGTTTCCCTTGCACTAAACAAATCCGAATAGGAATTGCCCACTGTCAGCCTCTGCTTGAACAAAGCTTGGAGCATTATAAAGAAACAATGGCTGTCAATGGTATGTATTTGTGGGTAGCGCGCAAGAGTATAACTGACATTACTTACAGTTGATGGTGTTGTCCATTGTGCCAAATTCGTAGGAGAGGTCTTTAAGCGTCAGGGGAAAGGAAATCTGATCATAACATCAAGTGAGTTGCACCTTCGCTAAAGGCTATCACACCTATGTTAATTCAAACAACAAAATACTAAATCATTGTCTCATAGGTATGAGTGCACAAATCGTCAATGTTCCAGTTGACCAGCCAGTCTACAATGCAAGCAAGGCTTTTGTCACGCACTTAGGCAAATCTCTTGCGGTTGAGTGGAGAGACTTTGCACGAGTAAACATTGTTTCTCCTGGATATTTCAACACTAAAATGGGGGCTGGCGAACTGGAACTTAATGAAGCCTATCGCATGACACCGTTAGGTCGGCAGGGAGACACAAAGGAGATCAAGGGTCTATATCTCTTGCTGGCTAGTGATGCATCAAGCTACATGACTGGAAGTGACGTCTTAATTGACGGAGGGTATGTGTTGCCCTAGAGGAGTAAGATTGCTCGATGAAACAATCAGTATCAAGCAAGCACAGTGGCATATAAATACATTGAGAAAGTTACAGGAGACGCATATATGTGACCATATGTGTGACAATCATTTTAGTACATTGAATGCTAGGGCTTCTGATTTGCAGAAGACTTCGTCACTGATGTAATTGAACAGCTATTCGACCTCAAGCTTTGGTCGTTCCCATACGACCTGACTTGGTAGAGTATGATCGTGCTGAGTTCAAAGTGAACTACATGCAGGTGGTTTCAAGGATACTAGAAGAGTACTCTGAAATCTGCGGTGTAGTCTTCTCCATTTCTAAGCACTCAGGTCTCTATACCGGCTCTGCTTTCTCGAATGGGTCTTATTGGGTTGCCCATCTTAGTTTGCTTCCGCTTTACAAACAAACCCCTTCCAACGGCCACGAAGGTCGTCGAGATCATGCTCTAATCTCCAGGACAATCCTATAGTCCTCCGTGGATTGCGAAAGAAGACAGAATTAAAACCACGGCATTGACCAGGGCCCAGATAAACGGAATCCAGGTTGACATTTTGAAGTATCCGGCTTGGTAGACGGCGCCTAGTCTTCAAATGTGTCAATAAGGGAACAGGTGCTGGGTATTCTGAGAACTTACAGTCCGCCTACAATGCTACCAGCAATTATGCCCTCAATTCCTCCTACTACAACATAGAATATAGGCGTTATCCAAATAAGCTTCCAATTCCGCCATTGGACCATGCAGGCCCAGGCCGAGACAACCAGGTGGACTCCGCCAAAGAATAGAACAGTCCATAGCGTGGTAAAGCGCCAGATGTCGCTTGGATGGTACAAATAATACGGCGATGTAGCGCTGACTGGCAACGGCCAATACAGGGACGGGAAACCGGGTGTTTGATAGCCTAGAGGAACGGCGCTGTCAACGCGCTGGATGAAGCTATTAATCGCAATTAGCAGCGGAACCGTCAAAGATTCTGTGAAGATTGTTACCTCATGTTAGTGACATGATTTGGTCGCTTCACTAGATTGCCTTTCGTTAATATGCTCAAATAGTAATGCTGTAACTTATTGAGAGATGTTGCGTGGTGACGTCGACCCTGAGTCCCATAGAGTTGTCGTCGATATAGGGCTGACTGGGGAACGTTCCCGAACTTCCCCCGACTACCTCGGCGGATTACCCTAAGCGCATCGCATCTCCATCCCATCCCATGTGCACCTGAACATTCTACACGAACTACATGATCCAACGCGACAGACTCACGGCCGTCGCAAGTCACAATGCCGGTTGATCGTCTCCTTTCGACGCTCTTACGATCTCTGCAAACCTATACGGACCAGCAAGACACACCTCGGTAGTACCTCCGAGACTCCTACACCTTACGCGTAACTTACATTCATAGGATATTGGGAACTGCTTCCTCCCTCTTGACGACGCTTGGAAACCCTCATAATCTCAGCCTTTTGACATCACATCTTCTCACTGCTCCGGCTCTATGGGATCGTCCCGATGGTGTCCGCACCCCTCTCCGATTAATCTCCGTCTTTCACACTGCGATCACAACTATCCTAAAGCATCACGACGATGTAAGGTATCGCAGGGCCCCTGAGCTTGCGCCCGGACAAACTCCTGTTGGAGGTGGTCTCTCGCTAGACGAGTGGATACGCGCTGTTGTCGCCGGCGCAGATGATAGGAGCCAGAGATGGAAGCATCTGATTGTTCTGGGAGGGCTACTGATTGGCGTTGGAAATCAAGAAGAACAGGGCATGGACCTGTATTGGATCTCTGGGATGCGCAAGAGAGTTGAAGGAGCGCTCGTTAAGGCCGCAAATCTAGCCTTGATTGAAGTCAGAGAACGATCAGAGGCTGACGGACTCGGTGGGCACACAATTACTCTTACTCTGAATCATTCCTTCGGGTGCCTTTCGGATGCAGAGCGAGCCCAACTTAACTACGACCTCTTACTCCCCGTTCTCCTCGGAACAGCATTTTTCTCCAACGAGGGTTTCCAATCTGCCTACTTCTTGGGTGGGTTAGATCTAGACGTTAAGATGAATGGGGGGCGTTTGGTGTGGTCAGCACAGTCTACCTCGTTTCGACAGGTTGAGATCATTATGGCTCGCCCCCTAGTCTCGTCGATGGGCCCGCTGTCTAGACTTATTGCACATGCAGTCGAAAATGTCAAGGATGCGTGGGTCATTCAAACCATGATGGATGATCTGGCGAGCTTTTCTCGAGCGCTTACTACTCAATGGCGGCAGAACAAGCTTTCGGAAATCGATCCTAATGAAGAGTCGACATACTTGGACGAGGAAGCCCTTCAAAAGACAGTACCACTTCTATGGCGATTACTAAAGGCTGCCTTATTTGCGACCACGATCATATTGAGGGGTGTTTTCAATCGAACCCTTGGAGACCCTGTATTGGCGTCTGATGAGGTGGCACCGGTGATATCTTCCCAGGCCCTTCATACACTTCGACATCTCTATTTTGTTTCTTCTCGTCTTGGCCCAGCATCATTTTCTCAGCATACATTCGTTTACTTGACAGCCATCGACATTCTTGCTACTTATCCTATGCACGCGGACAAATTCCTCAAATCCATTGCGTCACAACATTTTGGCCAGATCCCCCGGCACCAATTGGACAAAATTCTGGACCTTTACTTCCTCAATACCGCGGAACATTTCACCTTGATCTTATCACCTGCGACGAACGAAGAGCTCTTGGTGGCTTCGGCGATTCCATACCTTGCCTCAGGTGGTAATCATAATATGCTTCCAATCTTTGAAGCAGCACACAGTGTAATGCTTGCGGTTTTGTCGGCTCCACAATCTGCGGACATTACACCGAAGCACCTTCCTTTCTACATCGATGCGCTGTTTAGTGTCTTTCCACACAACCTATCGCCACGACAGTTTCGTTTGGCTTTCAAGACCCTGATGCGAGTGACTTCGCCTCCATCGGCACTTTCCGCATCGCATCCAGATTTACCTGCGACTCTTCTCGAGCTAGTCTTTCATCGCGCCCTCGACGCACCGACCGTTCCATTACCACCAGATGAAACAAGTCTGGCCTTGCAAGGCTCGGATGCCCCACCACCGGCTTTATCTGAGCAAGCCGTATTGGCTTTGACCTTAATCGACGCATTACCATACCTTGCGGTCGGTCTCCTAGAGGAATGGCTACCAATGTGTGCTGAGTTGCTAAATGCCATCAACGATGTTGCAATGCGTGACACTGTTAGAGCTAGATTCTGGGAGGTCTTAGTAAACGGGGAAATGGACCCCGAGCGTGGCAGTCTGGCTGTAGCCTGGTGGGGAACAAGAGGAGGGCGCGAGCAAGTCTTGTATGGGCGTGAAGGCGAGGATGATTTGAAAATGATGAGCGGTGCGCTACCAGTGGAAGGAAATGCACGAGAGAGCAAGCTTTAGGCTCTCGACATTCGCACTTTACATCTTGATACCCTGCAATAAAACACACTTACGTATTATCGTTGTGAATAAGTGATGGCCAATGCTCGCTCACTGCACCAGGATCTCAACGTGTATGATTTGCCATGACATTACTATTCGTGAATGCTACAGAGGGTTGGCACGTCGGGCTGGCCACCTGCTAGCTTCATGTATCTTCTATACCTAAATCTAGAGTATACGGTAGCCAGTAAAAAGTCTTAACTCCTCGCGATACAATCTCGCGAATGCACTGTTGTGGACATGAATTACATAGCAAGGTGCATGCCCGACGTGCCAAACCTCTGTACTTACCTAACAAATCAAAGTGGCGGATCTCACCTTAGGCAGGGACAAATCCAATCGATCGATCCTTCCACGTGGTGGGCATGTCCAAGCTCTGTTCCAAAACGTCCTCCTTGTTCACGCTGGCCCATTTGATACCTTTGAGACACTGTTTGACTACGGACAGAAGCAGGCCGTACAACTCACAACCAAAATTCCCAAAGCGTACACTTGAGCTCGGAGAAACCACATCTACCTGTCGCCGATACAATGCATTATAAGACTTGCACCTCAACGATCGATCCGTGATCGAGCCAATACTGCTGTTTCTCCAATCACCCTATCATTGAGATTATCACGGCTTCTTGATTCGCGAGTGAATCGCGAAAGCTAAGACAGTATCTCCGGATCGTGTATCTACCCCGCGTTCGCACAAGCGTAAGGACTTCGTTCATCGGATACTCGTAAGGACTGCTTCGTAATACGCGCCACCTGCATTTAACATACTGAATGCGGAAACGATACCTGAGGCCACGTTAAGACAAAATGACTGCAACGCTGAAACAACCTTCGACATTAGGTGATGGTTGAGATGCGTGCATACAGAGCATTTCAAAGATCATTGACTCACAACGGGTGCAGAAATTTATAAGTAGCCCAGATGTTGTCATACGAGACTAGCTCATCCATGAAGGATCCACAGTCATTGCTACAAATATTAAAATACAAGAAGCGCTGTATAGACATCATTTCTGTCATATCATAGCAGTCGGACCGTTAAGACGAGGAAGCGAACAAATGGGTTCGTTAGGAAAGGTTTGCATTGGCAAGCCAGCGCCTGACTTCCACTGCGACGCTGTCATTGAAGGCAAGATACAAAGTCAGTCAAATCTGCAAAACCTGTCAAAATGAAAACAGGAATATTCTAGTCTTTTCATGCTTTACTAACATACTTGTAGAGGTCACACTGAACACCTACATATCACCAGCACGTCAAAGATGGTTGATACTACTCTTCATTCCTGCCGCATTTTCTTATGTCTGCCCGACTGAAGTTCTTGCCTTTGAGAACTGTCTCGATGAATTTCATGATCGCAGATGCGATATTGTATTCATTTCGGTCGACACAAAACATGTTCTCTGGCACTGGAAGAACGTTCCAAGGCAGTATGGTGGTCTTGGGAAGATCAAGATTCCACTTCTTAGTGATTCAAATCATCGCATGTCAAAGGATTATGGGGTGTTAATCGAAGAGGAAGGTGTGTCACTACGTGGTATGTTCATTCTGGATGAGGTCGGCATTGTGCAGCAGGTAGGATTCTGAACTTTGGACTTATGTTAGCCGCTTCCAAGGGTGACTGACTCACGGCAGGCAACTCTGAATAATGTCACCGTGGGACGCTCCGTCTTGGAAGCCTTGCGACTACTAGAGGCCTTTCAAGCAGTTGCAAAACATGGTGTTCTCTGCCCCATCGATTGGCACCCTGCCACTGATACGGATGAGATGCTCAATACCATTCCCAACACACTTCCAGACCCATCTGACGAGCACCTCCTCAGACTCCAAAAAGAATTCGGCGATACACTTGTCACTGACTTAGACGCAAAACACAAATCAAAGGATCAGTCGCCAAACCGACCGAATACGTTGGGGGAGAGGCTTAGTAGTGACAGTGTGGCGATATCATCCAGCCAAGAGGGATCAATGAGATCGAGGGAAGGCTCTCTCCGAAGCAATCAAGCTGGGTCCGTAAAATCCCTCGACGACCTGTCGCATCCAGCTCTTGGTCCTTTGGATCCTATCCCTTCTTCTCCAGACACATTCTCGAGGATAAACAATCTGCCAAACAATTCACAAGAAGTTAATAAAAAGACGTTGTCTCTTCTGAAAGTAGAGTCCACATCAGCTCCTCCGTCTGCAAGCGTTACCCCTACCCCTACACCTTCGGCACAGAACCCACCTCGACAGATTACCAGAATCAATGCTCCTTCAGGGTCAGTCAGACAATCAAAAGGTACGTATTTGTAGTTATGATGTCTTTGATATTCCTTCATATCCAAGACAGCCATCTCACGGGAAGTTCAATGATACTAATAATACTGGCAAGGTTACACCAATGGACTCGTCCCCCCCAATTTGTCCAGGCACAATACCTACGAGTCTCGAAGAGGAAGCCACATCTTTCTTGAATTTGCAGATCCAACCCTGACGCCAAAGCGTTCGCCTCCTCCGCCTGCCTCCAAGTTGTCACCAATATCGATACAAAGTTCTTCGCCGAAATTATTGTCACGCACCACATCTATGAACCAGAGTTCCCGCGGCTCGACACCGAAACTGGAGACACCGCCACCGTCGGGGAAAGGGCTGATGAGTCCTATTGGTACTGGCCAAACACGACTACAAGCGACCTTCGAAGCGATTAAAAAGATGAGTTCAGGCCTGGCAAGTCCGAAACTAGACCTATCGTCTAGGAAGAACAATGGAAAGATTGAAACCAAGGAAGAGGCTGAAGCGGGTCCTGGGTACTTTGATGCTGTTTCTTGAATGAGCATATACCTAGTTGGATCATTGAAAGTGCGTTCAGCGCTTCATAACCGCTACATTTCGGTTGCGTTTAAATTTAATGTCTGTATATGTTTGATTTAGTGTTGATCCTTTCTATTCTCACTGTGAGATGGTCATACTGTATTAGTACGATATTCAAGCAGTCAGCAGGTCGTTCCAAAGAAGTGAGACAGGCATTCCATCCGTTTTATTCTGTTTTCACAAAGAAAATTCCACCATCCTATCAAAGCTCGCTAAAAGTAAGAAACATAAAATAGTATCTCTACATGTGTATCTTGAACCTTTGCTTGACCTGTTTTCTGCATTTCGGGCATTTCGTAGACCGGGTGGGAACATGCGAGTGTTTGACAGGAATAAGAATCTCCGCACACCACTCGCACATGATCATGTGTCCACAGGGCAGCAGTGCGGTATTCGCCAACTGCGAGTAGCAGATACTGCATGCTAACTTCTTCGTCATTTCCTCCTCTTCCAGGGGCGGAGGTCGGTCGTGCTGCTTATCCATATCGAGGTTGCGATCCGTGTCGGCGTGACGCATTGCTTCAATGACTGAAGAGACGGAGGCGGTGGCGCTCTCGATCAAAGAGATATTGCTGTTCATGCGTGCAACGGCCTCCCTAAGCTCGGATGTCGGTCGGCCTGGAATAGTAGGTAAAGATGTCGCGGTCATTGAATCTCCCGATGGCGCAGTGGCAATGGAAGCCCTATAGGAATCTGCGAAGCGGCCGAGCTCACCACGGGAGTCGTTCATCACGCTCCATAGGATATGTTGCTCGATACGTCCTCGCTCAACCTCGACTAGTCCATCGAGTGGAGGGGCCGATGTGTCGCCAGATTCTCTAATTCTCTCCGCTTCGTTGTATCGTGCATATGCACGTTGGTACATTGTTGTCAGTGGTGATACATAATCATCCTGTTCCACATCTTGGCGCGTTCCGAAGAGGCGAGTAAACCGTTCGCGTGCGCGTTGTTGGCGGATCGACTCGGATTCTGCAATGTCTGGCTCTGCAACTTGCGTGTCTGGAGACTCGACCTCTTCGTCCGATGCTGCTTCTAACAGATCGTCAAGTGCGGATTCCAGGCTCTGGTGTGGCTCTTCGACTGCATCTGGATCTTCCGACGACAGTCGTCTGCGGCGGAATCGATTCGCAGCTCTTGTGGCATCGTTGGCTCTCCGCGATCGCATCTCATCCAGAGTTCGAGGCAAGAAACCTGGACTGACCTCCTTCCACGGCTCTCCTAGAACCGACATACGGTTTTCCGTGCCATCTGGTTGATGGACGATCCGGTAGCCTCGATGGAACTCAAACCATCGCTCTAGGAAGTCTGCTTGATCCGGTACCTCGGGAATTCGGGTTTGTGATACCTCAAGTGGAGGATCAGTAGCAGCGAGGCGGTTGTTCCAAAATTCTGAAATAAATCATGTCAAATTTCTGGCTTGGAATTTGCATTCATTTAATGAAAGAGTACATATCACCATTGATATGCATTGGATTCAACGCACCTTTACAAAACCAGCAATATCCTTGCCACCTCGTCCCTCGCTGAACAAAACCAACGCCATCGATGTACACTCTATAAGTGCGTGAGTGAGGACGCTCATCGGCACAGGCACAGCAATTCAATGTTGACGTCAATCGGCAAGATGTGGCGAGCTTATGAGGGCAATGCAAGTCCAGCACGGGACAACCGCCGGTGAGAGTCCCCATGATTGAAAGACAAAAGACTTAGCTAGAAGTTTGCTAATATAAATGAAAGTCTAGTTTGACAAGTCACGAGAAGAAAAGTAGGAACTCTGATTGAAAATGGGATGAAATGGCCTGAAGTAAACGTCGGACATAACGACGATAGAGCCAGCCAACCATGTGGAGGGGCATCTAAGGAACTAATCTACATTTGGACGAGCACGGATTTTGGATGATCCAAGCTCCTACCAGTTCAGGTACCTCATCGCTAGGGTCCAGCCGACGTCAGAGATCGATAGTAAGCGGAGCGGTGCTGCCTGTATTCACAACGTTCTCGTACCACACTGCAAAGTTTGAATAGATACACTTGTTGGGTTCTTCTTTAAATTTCTTTTCAAATATCACAAATCACTCTCTGACTTCACAAACCACCCTTCAATAGCTGTAAGCTGACCTGGCTTTTCTGTACCATCGGGCGCAATCACGCTTCCAAACCACTCACCATTATCGCCAAAATGTCGACGTCCACGTTCACGCTTCCCAGATCCAATCCTCCATGCAAAGTAGCTCTCCCAGACAATCTCACTCAAGAACAACTACTAGAGTTTCCCGCCTTCAAAGACTGGATTTCAACACTCCAGCACACCTTGGCGTTGCAGGAACGATCTGACCACACATTCCACCGCGACCCATATCGACTCCGTCAGATCGACGTGCAAGCCGCCGATTGGTTTGGACCGAAGCATCTGGGTTTCGTCAAGTTGCAAGCGAAGATCACCACAGACAACGGAGAATGGGTGCCGGGTGCTGTCTTCCTGCGAGGTGGTAGCGTGGGTATGCTAGTATGTGAACACGCCGCTAAAGCCATGATTAAGTGTTTTTGAATGCGGAACTAACAAGGTAGATCATACTCCAACCCGACGACATCCCTGAGGGAAGCGAAAAAGATAAGAAGGTTATTCTGACCGTCCAGCCTCGCATTGCGGCTGGTTCGCTTGCCCTTGCTGAGATTCCCGCCGGCATGCTTGACGGTGGGAAACTTGCCGGCAAAGCTGCCGAGGAGATCAAAGAAGAGACGGGCCTTGAAGTGCACGAAAATGAACTGATCAACATGTCTGAACTCGCTATTTCGAGAGCATCCACCAATCTTTGGAAAGCGCAAGGCGCAAATCAACGTGGTTCATCACCAGACGCGAAGGAGGAGTTGAAAAATGCCATGTACCCCAGCCCAGGCGCCTGTGATGAATTCCTGCCACTCTTTCTCTGCCAGAAGAGACTTCCACGAAAGGAGTTGGAAACCCTTGGAGGCAAGCTGACGGGGTTACGAAACGAAGGAGAGAAGATCACGCTGAAGCTTGTCCCTCTGGAGGATGTGTGGATAGAGGGTGGGCGCGATGCCAAAGCATTAGCGGCTTTGGCCTTGTATGAAGGTCTTCGTCGGGAAAAAAGGCTTTGATTTTCTACCTATATACTTCAAAACCCGAGTACGCCATTATGTACCTCATCAGGTCGAGAGTCGCACTTTGTGCGTGGTGTTTTCATAATATATGTACCCTCTCTGATCTCTGAATGATATGCAGTGACCTCTATAATTTTGCATCTCTTTTGATAGAGTGCCATCTAAAACCAGCTGTTCTCGACCTGCGGCCTGCGCAGGGGATGTGCTTCCGTATTACTATTACAATATTAGCTCAATGATCATCGTTCAGAAATCTAAGAGGAACGTCTTACAGGACATATTCATCCAAGCTCACGACATGGGGCTCGGAAAATATCAGGTAAAAGTACTTCAGAGTTTCCGACATCCAGAAACTCTCGCAAGAATCAAGCTTCTTTGTCGGCAGGCCCTTCGGTGCCGTGACATCTGCGATAGACGAGTAAGCGAACTCGGTCTTGGTCGCAGTGCGGATGGCGTCGAACATGCGCCAAGCTGCCTCGAGTAGTTCGTGGTCTCCTGTTATACGGTACAGGATGAACACGGACTCGATCGCCTCGGGACGAAGGAGGAATCTGGGGTCAATGAGTTGCGTAAAGGCTGGCGGAAGACGGTCATCCTTGATAATCTCATCTGGCGTCTGGTCTCTCCCCATTCCAGCATCAAACTGCGCGGCACTCTTCCAGACTCCTTCATCCCACCTGCACTGGTAGGTGGGACACGGGACGAGTCGATAGATCTCCGGCATGATTCCCGACGGCATGGAATCGTATGCCCAGATACAGCCATTCACAAGTTGGCGCGCGACTCTTAGGTCTTCCGATCTGTTGAATATTTGGGCACCCATGCCTACCATGCCACCGGCAAAGCAGGCCAAGTGTTGGCCTTCGGGTATCAGTTTCACGTTGCCTGACAGACTTGTGCTGAGGCTACCGGCTACGAGAAGATCCTGATTCTCCGGGTTCATGGGTCGGAAAAACAAATGCTGCTTCGCTACGTCGATTGCAGTCTCGTACATCTGTCGGTATTTGGGGACTAATCCTCCGAGTAGAAGCCACTGCTTGGGCAGATATTCGTACAGAGAATCAGACATGCCTCCAAAGGTGAAAGACCGGTCGTCGTTGAAGACTTCCTGTAGCGGATTCACACGAATCGGGAAGAGGCCTGCGATCCTGGTCTTGTTTTGGTGCTTCAAAAGGTGACCCGAGATGCGTTCTACCGCATCAAAGTACTTATCATCACCAGTCAGTTGGCTGAGACGTGTAAACTCGAGGGTCAACGACCCTAATTCGGCACTGAGTGAGCCGGATAATGCTTCCTGCGCGCCACCGGCAGCAGCACTGTTGAATATTAGCAATGCCGAGTTACTGGGTTTGGTGACCTTACTTAACCCAATTCCACCTCGTGATAGGCATGCGATTCGGGGTATCGAATGCGGCATAAAGCATATCACCCAACTCAGTCGCCTTCTCCAACAGTATCGAATGTTTCGTTTCGCTCAAATCGTAGGCGCCCAGCAACCCACCAAGATAGCGGATCGTAGTTTCAAAAACATTCAACGTAGTTTCCATACTCGTGGTGAAATCGATCTCTTTGAGCGCCGCAAGCGCCTCTTTGAGCTCGTCGTCCAATCCCATTATAATCAACGTATCCAGGTTGTCGACAAGCGTCGCTGCGCGCTGGCCGAATCCATTCTTAAATCCCCCGGAGACCGGCGCGATCTCGTCCTGTAGCCAGGCATGTTCTTTGTATCCCTTCCACGAATGCTGAAATGCCTCCTTGACAGCTTGCTGCCTCTCTAACCGCTTTTGCTTATTGTGGTCTGTCTCCACGCCGAACCGGTGCTGTATCCGAGGAATCGTCGTGGGCTTGCCTGTAGGCAAGGGAACTATCGACGTCACTGGATGACGAATGGGTATATCTTTCCACTTCACAGGCTGTTTTAATCTAGCGGACGACTTGTCGTTTGCCAATGGAAATCGGTGATCGGGCTCCAGGAGCTCAGGAGAAAACTGGCGAAAGACAACGACAAGGAAGATTGCTGCGCTGCAGAGTCCTATGATTCGGCGGATGAGGATAGTCATAATTCTAGAAGCGCCCCGGCGAGCAGATTGATATCATTGACCGTGAAGTGAATAGCTCCCTAAAGTGTAACACGTTGTTATTAATGTGAATGTCCGGGGCCCGTTGGATCGCGCGACGCTGCCAGTGCAGCAGGGTATCAAAATAGAAAGAAAGGTGGTGAGAGGAGACTGCAAATATATATTGTCTAAGAATGACTATAAATACACAACTAAGATGTAAAGAGAGATGTCAAACTACAATGCAAATTGAAGCGCAACGGTCTGAGGTGGCCTGAAAGGAGTTCCGAGGAACACTGGACGAAAGAAGCTGAACTCTAAGATCCCCCGAGCCCTGCATTATCGATAAGCCCGCCTAATGCGCGTGATAACCGCGCGCAGCCTTGGTCGATCTACCCGCAACAATAGCAACAATACCTCAAACTTTCGGTCAGCAATTGCATTGTTGAGGGCGTCCTTCTGAATACATTAGGTACCCATGACATTACAATGGTGACAATACAATTGTTTACTCCCTATATGCTTTCATGACCCTTGCTTCACTCCGTAAAACTCTCGTTCCAGCTTCTTACTTCCACTTCACCCACATCGCATCGCAACGCAGGTAGAACTGATACCCATACACACAAATTGTGAAGAACGACCGCAAAGATGAAGTACAGCGGGTATGTTCAATGCGCTCCAGCTCCCCATGAAAAGGCCAATTCAATTCGCATACTAACTTCGAACAAGTCTCTACTTCATCCCGTCCCACGCAAACACACCCGACGCCTCACACACGACCTTCACCACCCTCCTCAACAGCATAGAGCGGCACTTCGAGCACGCCGTACGGCAAGGATCATGGTCTCTCACGCACCGCATGTTCCGCTCGACGCCCGAGCCAAATAACACACAGCCGCCGCAGCACAAACTCCAACACATACTGTACCTCACGCCGCAAAGCACGAGTAGGACCTACTGCTTCATACACGCCTTCACGCCCTCGAACTTCGGCGGCGCAAAGACGGAACCGCAATCAAATGCACCCACACCGCAGCCGGGGGGTTCGTCACAGCCAGGCGGCACCCCGCGAACGGATCCAGGCGTGGTGATATCGATTCCGTCGCACAACACCGAGACGCATACGAGTTTTGTGGGCAACCAGCTCCAGCCGCTGTGGGCCATAAGGCATATTTTGAATTTGGGCAATGGTGTTACGTACACCGTGGGTCAGTTCACGATACATTTGGGAGAGCTGGAGGCCGTGAGGACGTCGGCTACTGCGTCTTCGGCGTCGCCGGGCGTCGTCGTGTGCATATCGACGGTCGCGGCGGGTGGGGAAGAGGATGCGTCGCAGGACGATGAACTGAGGGATATGGGCTACACGTCGGTATCGGGAGCTGATGAGAATGGTGTTAATGGAGCGTCATCGGAATTCACAGGCGCGGAAGAGGCGATTCGCGGGCTTTGGGCGGTTCTCAGGGAGGGTGTCGATTTCGGCAGGGCTGAAGTGCGGGAGGTTATGATGGAAAAGGAGGGTCTGCAAGCGTCAAAGTTCGCCGAGTCTGAGGCTGCTGTGAGGATGTGGTGTGACGTTTTGAGACTGCGAGTGTAGGATGTCTCCGAGAAGTGTTCACTGGCCACATACATATTATCCAAGAGGCGGCGGGGGAATGACATTAGATAGGTCGTTCAGAAGAAGGCACGTTCGGATCGGTACCTTGGTACTTAGGTATACATCTATCATGCAGTTCAGACATTGGGAATTTGAGAGAATATAAGAACGTCACATGAGCAATCGCGAGCAGGTGCAATCATAACACTTAGACAGAGATAATTATTTCCTCCGACACATCCATCCGATCGACCTATTCCTTACATCCCATCTATCCCATTCCATTTGCTACTGTCATGATGAACCAAGCAACCCTACAACACATTACCCGCCCTCTTCATACCGGCGGGGAACAAAGAAACATACTACGAGTACAAGCGAGCATTTGTGGACAACGAAGGCCGATATGGTTTCATCCATATGTGAGACAAGGTTCACCCGCGCTCTGGCGTGCCGTCTTTCGGATTGTACTTTTTCCGCCGTCTTTCCCTCCTCCAATCCTTCCTCCTCTTCGTTCATGGCTTCAACAAGAAATTTTTGATCCCCCACCTGAATGATCCTTCAGGATCGGTTCCTTGCCACTTCACTCAACCTCCCTTTGACGTTATGTTGCCACGTCAGGCATAAAGATTAAGATAAAACCACAAACGAGAAAGAAAACTAGTTAGACAACCGGGGTGAAAAGAAAACAAAATTATTAGGGAGTGTGGATGAAGTTGAAAGTAGAAAAATGGAAAAGCTAAGTGAAGGGGTGGGAGTTACAAGGCAGTACAAAGCACGCATGCGCATAACAAGGGAGGAGAAATTGTAGCTTTCCAAATCAGATTACAAACGAAGTACTGTAAGCATGAATGATGTGATTCGCGCCAAAGCCCTAGCCAGAAACCAATTGAATGCAGAGGATATAAAAGAAATTGAAATCAAGAAGTCCTTGACTAAATGGGTGTAGATGGAACAAATATCGCACAACGAAGTAGAAGAGAAGATTGTTTGCCACGTGAATGAGACTACTGGGCACCAACTTCCTCTTCGGCCCAGCCTGGAAGACCACCGTCACCTTGGATCGCCAAACCGTAGCCTCCATTTCCGCTACCGAACCCACCAATTCCAGAGCTCAGGCTACCGAACGAGTTTTGCTGGGGTGCTTGCGATTGTTGAATTGGTTGGGTGAATGGTCCTTGAGTAAAGACGGGAAGGCTCACAGCACGTGAATGTTGAGCACGAGCATTGAGGTTGGTCGGAGCTAGCAGACCACCGACCGTAGTAGCACCTGTTCCGTTCGAGGAGCCATTGATCAGGCTGAAACTGGACGTGCTGTTATGGGCGGTGTGAGATTGGTGAGCCGGCGGCGGGGTGTTCATGTCGGCACTGTAGAATGCGGCCTGCGGCGAGGGGTAGGCTTGTTGCGACTGCTGTGGCTGCTGTTGCTGGGGTTGTTGCTGCATGTTATCATTCTGTTGCTGCTGGTTTTGTTGGGCCTGGAGATACATCATCAACGGGTTGTTGTTTCCAGTGTTCAGAATGTTGGATGGTGTGGGAGCCTGGATGCTTGGGAATTGGCCGTTGGTGCTTCCGCCTGATCCAGGAGCGCCAGAGCCTGTAGGTGAAACTGAAGGACCGGGTTGACCACGGTTGGGTTGTAGGCCACTGATTGGCGATGGTGATTGAACACCGTCACTGCCGGCCTGCTGGCTCTGGCCCTGGTTTGAGTTGATCTGACGAGGAGGGTTACCACATCGGTCTTTGCCGAAGTTCACCTTGAATCGCTTGTACTCCTCACGTCCACGAATAGCCTCGATGGCCTTGATGGCATTTGCAATGTTCGTGAAGTTCACAAAGGCACAGCTCTTCTCGCGGAGAGTGTTAACGAGTTCAATTTCGCCGTATTCAGAGAAATCCTGCCTCAAGCGCTCCTCCGTCCATGATTCGTCGAGGTTGCCGATGTAGACATTGCGAGAGGCTCCGCCGCTGACAGCCAAAGCAATGGCAGGAGGCAAAGCACCAGAGTGCTTGCCCCAACCAATCTTTAGGCGACGATTATGGATCATGAGTCCCTGAAGGTTGCTGAGGGCGTAGAACGAAGCAGCGGAAGTGGGGTCGATAAAAGTAACAAAGCAGATGTGCTTGTCTGGAATGTAACGAATATGGTGGAGCAATCCACCGCGAACCACGTTGCAAATCTCCTCGATAGTCGTCTCAGGATGAATATTGCCAAGGTAAACAGTCCTGTTACCCAAGTTGTTCACGCCTCCAGCTGAAGTTGCTACGGCAGCAGCTGCAACAGACTGCTGAGCAAGAGCATTAGAGATCAAGTCGCGGTCCGCTCCGTTGAGGACATGGGCATATCCTGGAGCGATTCCAAGATACTGCGCGGCGTTCTGTTGCTGTGTCTTCGAGACGTAAGCACATCGGTCCTTACCGTAGTATACTCTCCTAGGCGCCTGCCATTTTGGCTCTTGAGGAAGCTGTGCAACAGCCTTGATAGCATTGCCAATCGACAAGAAGTGAACGAAACCAATTGCCTTCTCCCTTACGATTTTGACGGTGTCAATGGGGCCAAACTTGCTCAAGTCCTCGCGAAGCTCATCCTCCGAAACATCCTCTGGCAAATTACCGAGATAGACATTGCGGGAAGCACCCGACTGCTGCACGGCAAGAGCTACAGACGTAGGGACTTGGGATGGCTTTCCCCATCCGATCTTGATGTCTTGTCCACGAATGGATAGCTTCTTCAAGATAGCATCTGAATGGAAATGGGTAGCAGAGCTGCTATCAAGGAAGGAAATGAAGGCACAGTTCTTGTCAGGAAGGAGCCTGACGGACTCAATCTGGCCGCTCCTGACGTGACCAAGAATCTCCTCGGCAGAAGTCTCAGGGGGAATGTTGCCCAAGTACACAGTCCTGCTTGTGCCAGATACCAAGCCAGGAGCAATTGGCATAGACGAGCCAATCCCTCCGAGACCCTGGGAACCGTATCCCGAGAAACCTCCAGTGGGGGATTGAGGTCCAGCAAAGAAGCCTGGACCGTTCATGCTGGTGGGGGACACAAGGTTCTGGTAAAGTTGAGGCGAAAGTGGCTGCTGCAACACGGGGCTACCCATCTGGTTGGGTTGGTTCTGATGTTGCTGTGATTGATTCTGGCCGGCAAAATTGGCGAAGTTCTGGTACTGTGGCGAGGCAAAGGCAGAGGGAGAACCTGGTTGAAAGGGGCTACCTAGCAACAGCTGCGATGGGAGCAAGGGAGTGAAGTTCATGTCGAATCCGGTCCCGGGAGTCTGCAAGTCCGCACCATTTTGAGAGTTGGGAGCAAGCCTGCCGGTATTGATCGAAGGGATGTTGGACCTCTCGGGGTGCCTATCAGCATAACCTGGCTGGTTGGTATGAAAAGCTCCATGAGAGAAGCCAGTATGTCCACCATTCATTTGCTTCTGAAAGCTCGTCTGTAGGCGGGGGCCGCTGGGGGCATTAGGGGCAGAGTCGTGGTGCTGCATTCCGAGAAGATGCGGGGGCAGGAAGCTGTCCCGCGCGTTTTGAGATAGAACAGCCGTGGCGACGGTGTATTACTGCGTCCGGTCTTCCAAGACCTGGACAGCGAAAGTATATGGCAGAAGGTACAAGTCTGGCGGAGACGTTGTGTGAACGGGACCAACCAGTAGCGAAGAAAGATGCTATTAAATGGTGTATAGTCCGATCTGTTGCAAGTTAGAAAATGTGGCAACGCATCGATGAAGACAGCAAGTGTACTTGATGGCAACGAAGAATGGATGGGGGGTGAATGAATATTGAAGGACAGAATACGAGGTGACACGCACCAAATGGAACGACAAAGGGGTCCAACAGGCGGTCAAGCGTGAGGGAGCTTTGAGAACGCAAGAGACGACAACACAGGGGTTATCTCGTCTGAGTCAGAGGGCAGGCTGTTCTGAGCGATTGAAGCTTCTCGAGCAAGAGCAATGACAGCGAGTGTCGAGCGGTTGCAGGTGCGAAGTTGATTACGGTATTGATGGCTCGGAAAGTGTGGTTTGGTAGAATTGGGCGCTGAGGCTTTCTTGTTGTTGTGAAGATGCGAACGGACTTGAAAGAGCGAACAATAATAATGAATGAAGCAATAAGCAACAAGCAACGAGGCGAATTGTCTTTGTCGTATGGTACGACCCTCGAAGGTGAATAGAAAGGGAGGTAACGAGTGGATGGGATAGAAGAAGGAGAGAGAGGAAGGTAGATAGGTAGGAGGTGCGGTGGAGAGGAGAGGAAGGTTGAATGGAGAAATGGGAGAACGAGAGAGAGAGAAAGAGAGACGAGGGCTAAGAGTAATTAGGTGGTATTATTATTAGGGCGAGGGTAGGTAGGGAAGGTACGAGCTGTTGTATTAGGTGTTAATAGGGCAACTACGGTACGGGAAAGGGAAGGGGGAAAGTTGTCTAGTAATGGACGGTGGGACGATGATTCTTATTGGTTGGATTTCTTTGGTCTGGGCAACAGAACAGAGACAGGAGAGAGAGAGAAAGACACCACGACACAGAGAGAGAACAGAGAACAAACTCCAGGAAGAGAAGAGAGTGTGTGAATAGAGAGGAACAAACAGAGATGCGATCGACCTAATCGGGGATAATTCATATTCCTCTTTCGAACGCAATTCTTCTTTCGCTTCTTCTTTCTTTTGCTCTTCTCCTCAATACCCCTTCAATCTAGCCACTCCCTCTCCCTCTTCATATGCATGCACCCATCATTTAATTATCATTATTACTGAACCATGTGCATATATGTAACTAGCTAGGTACTTGAGGTAGTTCGTAATGGTATTTTATCACGCATATGTAATTAAACAACCCATCCCTTTCCTATCTGTTTTCAGCCCCTATCGTCTTGTATGATTCGCTGTCGACTTTGTCCTCCGATCGTTCGCCGCCCATCTGCATGCCGCTCGTCGGTCATTCAAATTCAAATTCAAATCAAACACCTCTGGCGCCGGCCCTGCAGCCCTGCATTACAAGCGCTAGTCAGTTTTTGCTGCGATGAGGCGGTTTCTGGTGGATCGTGGAGACCCGGCACCATTGTTTTTGACCTCAGTAATAACATACGACGTATGCCTGTCGGTGCTTTACCATTCATCTGGAGCTGCCACGCTTTATGATTCCATCTCGTTTGCTGGTTGAGGATCCGCACTCTGTGACCATCTCCTACACTGCGTCGTGTTCTTAATCCTTTTCACATATAGGTAGTACGTTTCATGACAACGATTCGCCTAGAAATCTCGCTGAAGCCAGCAGATAGGTATGCACCGGATAATACGCTCCAGTAGACAGACAAAGACACAGTAGGTGCATACATATTACGGGTCCGATACTTTAGGAAGAATGCCACTGGTTCCACCAAGAAAAAAAGGAGACTCTTTATGTGTCCACTGCGGCTTTGCGCCTGTCGTTCCTGACTAAAAGTCTAGCCCTCGCCTGGTTCCAAACCAATTTGGCAGATGGCGTTGCCCGTTCTTCAGAAACGGGAACCTAACTTGGCGGCGGACGGCCAGAATTGTCGCGGAGGTGTGCGATAGCGTGGTCGAAGGGGGTCATGAACTGTCTGTGCCACGGCGTCTCTCGCCGAACGCACTGAAGCATCTCTCCATTGTTCCTGTCAGGGGCTGACACTGCAGCGGAGCCTTTCAGGGCTGGCAAGCGTTTCTCCCCGATCCAGTCGGAGGCGCATTTCTCACGTGGGAGAGATGTTCTCCTTTGACCAGCCCTTCTTTATGCCCTACATAATCGTATTAGATGCTGTGTGCAGATAACATATTATACATAATACAGTACTCCGTGCATAGAATCTCGTCTGCGCGTATAGTTTGGCCTGACACATGATGCAGCTCTTGGACTGGAAAGGTTCGGGTGTAAGATCCATTGCATGGTGCTCTAGTACTATTGAAGGAGAGGAGAAATCCAACACGCCTAGTACGGAGTACATGAGATCACCAAATTTAAGAACAGGTCATGGAGAGATTAATGTCCACCTAGACAACACTAGCACCCACCGGCGGGCCTTCGCTGACGATACTGGCTCCGGCTTCTTATGTCATCAATCCGGGGGTACCTAGAGTTGTGTGTGCGCGTGTGAACATCAGGGGCCGGAGCTGTAGATAGTGGAACGGAAGACTTTCCTCATGCCTGGCGTTAAATGTTGTTCGTTGCAAAAGAAGCAGTGGAAACCATCAATTTTTCCAGGAAATATCCTGGAATTTTCGATCAGCTGCTTTTCTGGCGCATTAAATAGGTATCTATTACACGCGTCTACATGATTCAGTCATAAATTTTACTGCAAGCTATGATGTCGGGACTCGATGTGGTTAGAGGAAATCGACTAGCGTGCCTCGCTTCAGCCACTTGTGGCGTTGACCGCAACGTCTTGGCTGATCCAACGTCCAAATCTCTACTCGGCTCAATGTTTCGTGTCCCTCCAATCCTCAGTTGCGAATTTTCAGGATGTCGGGGGTTTATCCAACCATCTTTCAGTCCGCCGTTGTGGCCACGGCCCTGAAGGTGCTCTTGTTCCCAAGTTAGTACGTAGTAATTGAAAAAGGACATCTGCCTAATGGAGTGAATACTGATACAATTTGAACAGTAAATCGACTGATTTTGAAGTTCATCGCAATTGGTTGGCGCTGACACATTCTCTGCCCATCAAGCAATGGTATTATGAGGTTCGGCTGCCGTAAACTTATCATTTGCTTGAATTTTTCAATTAATGTATGGATAGAAAACCTCAGAGTGGACTCTGGACTATCCTCCATTTTTCGCCTACTTTGAATGGATACTATCACAAGTAGCAGCATATGTCGAGCCGGCACTGCTTAACGTCAAGTCTTTAGAATACGATAGCTGGCAGACCATCTACTTCCAGCGTACTACGGTCATTCTGTCAGAACTTGTACTGGTGTATGCTCTGCATGTTTATGTGAAGGGCGCGAAGTCTAAGACTCTTGCTCACGCTGCAGCTTTGTCCATCCTCCTCTCCCCAGGAGTACTCATCATCGACCATATCCATTTCCAATACAATGGCTTCCTGTTCGGTATTCTCGTCCTGTCTCTTGTCCTTGCGCGGAACGATTCGACATTGCTCTTGAGTGGGATCTTGTTTGCTGCGCTGCTCTGTTTCAAGCATATCTACCTTTACCTAGCGCCGGCCTACTTCGTCTTCTTACTACGCGCGTATTGTCTGAAGACATTTTCCTCATTCCCGTACATTGGTATTCGATTCTTTAATTGCATCAAGCTAGCAATTGGTCTATTCGTCACGTTCGCCAGCGCATTCGGACCTTTTGTCAAATGGGGTCAAATCGAGCAACTGTTGTCTCGTCTCTTTCCTTTCTCTCGGGGTCTCTGCCATGCCTATTGGGCACCAAACATCTGGGCAATTTACTCTTTCACTGATAGAGTGCTAATTTACTGTAAGCGCTGTTCACATCGCTGAAATGGACTCCCAATCTAACTCGTACAGTGGCACCCTACCTAAAGTTGGAGGTTGACCCCAACGCTGTTCACAGCGTTACTCGAGGTCTAGTTGGCGATTCTTCGTTCGCTGTGCTACCGGACATTACCCCTCTGACATGTTTCCTATTGACACTAGGATTCCAAACTGTGAGTGTTGGGATCTATTTACATGAAAATTGACGACTGACATTAGACAGCCCTTCTTGCTTCGCCTACTCTACAAGCCAACTTGGGAAACATTTGTCGGCGCTGTCACACTTTGTGGCTATGCCTCGTTTCTTTTTGGCTGGCACGTCCATGAGAAGGCCATTCTCATCGTCATAATCCCATTCAGTCTCATTGCCCTTCGCGATCGTCGATACTTTGGTGCATTTAGACCGCTCGCGGTCGCAGGTCACGTCTCTCTTTTCCCCTTGCTGTTCACAGCGGCCGAGTTCCCGATCAAGACCGTGTACACAATTCTATGGCTGATCCTGTTTCTCATAGCTTTTGATCGCCTCGCTCCTGCGTAAGTGCCAACTTCTCCTTGCTCTTGAAATTACCACTAACGGTGTTAGATCACCCCACCCTCGAATCTTCCTGCTTGACCGTTTCTCGTTGATTTATATTGCGTTGTCGATTCCTCTGATTGCTTACTGCTCTTTGGTTCATGGAATCATATTCGGTAGTCGACTTGAGTTTCTACCGCTGATGTTTACGAGTACATACTCCGCTATTGGCGTGGTTGGTAGCTGGCTGGGGTTCTCTGTAGTATATCTTGATTCTTAGAGTGTAAAATTAAAGGTTCCTCTCTTCCGATTCTTCGATGTACGTTTTATCATGATAAATCACTGAAGGCCATGTTCATATCATTTCCATGGTAAGATTTCCAATGCCCCAGCGGCACTGAAATAATGACCTATGGCGCGTATATTATATGTCTCTTGCTTTAAATACTTTCCCGTGTTAAGAAAGGTTTTCTCTAGGATTGCATAATTTGATCAATGGACCCTGGTTGCCTTTCGTTCTCACACGCTGTCAGCCTAGAAGACTTGTAGCGGAAGGTTAGCATCCAGCGCATCTCAGATTTCCTATTTGGGTAATCTGGAAAAGCATGAGAGATATAGAATAGTAGATGAGGTAGATTATTCAGGTGATTCAAGATCGTTGGAAACGGCGTTCGGCGGATGCGGTGAATATCTTTACCCTGTTTGCCTCTTGGGGTAGTGGGTCATCGTGACCTATATGCCTAGGTGGTGGCTCGAGGCGATGCACCGTGAAGTTATATGTGAATGGGTAAGTACATAAAGCCGTATAATTGGGCACGAAGGTCTCTTGGGTTGTTTGGCCTAATTAAGCTACTTGCAGCAATCAGAACGAGTACAAATACCCCTGGTGGCCGCTGTGTTAACGTGCAACATCATTGACGAAGTGTGTGATGGTCCTCTGGGTAGTTGGTGGACCCGGTCGTTAGTCATCCACATCTATTGGCCGTGTCGCCCTACCTCTTTGATTCTACCCTATTTCGCCTTTCCTTCTCTCTTACTTTTCTTTTCTATTGTGATCGCTCCACTCGCCCCCGACTACACGTCAACCAACACACTATTCAAGTTCTCAGGTGGACGCGCCGGCAAATATCAAGACGCGTCGCGAGACCACAGGCGGAACCGCGAACGGTTGCGACAACTTTTTGAAGGACAACAACTGGTCGCTATTCGAGCTATTTCCCACCTTAAACACGTTCCGGAGTAGCCATTGTACCTCACAGCAATCCAGAAACGCCTTCAGATATCAAGTTTTACGCGACCAGATCTCCGGGACACCTCCGCAGCACCTCCGCAGGGCTCCCGCAGATTGCGGATGCGGAAGCTATTTCGGCACCTTTCGAAGATTCCTATGACCAAGAAGTTTGGTGAAGATGGTAGGGAGACATGGAAACAATAATTCACGTCAGGATTTCTGACCTGGACAGGTTCAATTCAAGCGGAAACCCGTCAAACTCGAGCCGTTACCTCCATCTCTCAATGACCAGACGGAGGTGCGCCATTCTCTCTACCCACTGACCCGAGCACACTAAGACTGACATTTCTGGATAGGTGTGGGCTATCGAGGAGACAGGAGAGGTTTTCACGGAATACGACAAGTTCCTGGCAAGGTAACTTCCCTATTTGACGCCATTGCTCCGCCATTCACTGACATCATCGCAGACGCGACTTCTATTCACAGGCACGTCCGCCCGACCCAACGCCCGAAATTTGTCCCCGATCCTGAGTTCCTATATACTAACCTTTATTTCAGAAAGTCTTCACATGCGAATCGACCGGACACACGGGGTACACATATTTCGAAGCTAGAGAGAGCGAGGTTTGCAAGCCACACCATGTTTGGGATCTAGTTATTCATTAACGCGAATATAGATGGAGGCGTCCAAGGAGATCAACAGTATTTTCCCTGAGGGCTTAAGGTCTCGTGTACTGGAGTTTGTGCAATTTCGAAATACCGCGAGGATGGACGATCTAGGTAAGTTTGACTTGTCACGCACTGCGAGTTGATCATACTAATATGTTTGCAGTGAATACCGTGTTCGACGTACGTTACTACATATTTCGCGTCTGGATAATAACTAACAATTCCTAAGCATTTCAGAGAGCACTATATGGTTGGCGACCGAGTATCCGTTGAACACGAAAACACAAAGCGATATGGGGTCATTTCACAGATTGTTGATCAAACCTCGAGGATTCAAAGCATATACTCGAGTCATGCACCGGACGACCAATTTCGATCACTTGTATATCACATCACCCTGGACGGATCAGGAGAAGAGTTGATTCGCTATAAGGCGGCGGAGCTACAGCGTGACCGAAGGGTTTACTCGAAACTGATCTTGAAGCAATTCTTACGAAGTGCCGTATCAAGGGAAGCATGGAACGGTGCGCCTTGGATTGTAAAGGACCACCTCGCGAAACGGTATCGGATTAGCACCACAATTCCCAAGGCCAAAACCCGCGATGCTGTAATGGCGGCGAAGAAGGCAGCAAACTCTACAAATCATCACAACGCTTTACATCACAATGGAACAGGACCTCTGAACGGTACAGCTTTGGGCAATGGACAAGGGGCCCTACCGCCACACCATCCCGCCTTTCTCAATTTCTCAATAAACCCTCAATTTCCCTTCCACGACCCCAATCCACCTGCTTTACTTCCGCCTCAAGGACACGACAACCTATATCCTCGTCCGTACCATGGCATACCTCCGCACCACCAACCGCCCCATCCGCAAATAATACCTCCAGGCCCAAAACCAGAGGATATGCTTCCTTCCAATCTTCCCGCCTTTTTGACAAACGCGCTATATCTACCAATCGGGCGACCCTTCATAAATGGTGTAATGCAGACAGCACAGTCGGAGATGCAGCGTATTCAGCAGCAGGAGCAGGAACAGCAACAGTCGCAATCAGGACAAAAGGCTCAGCAGCCACGACAGCGACCGACGCCGCCATTAGCGAAGCCGTTCGAGCCCATAAAGTATCCTATGGAGGATCTAAAGATAAAGCAACCCCGAACTAACATCTCACGACCGCCATTAAAATTCCTTTGCGACGATGTACCTGACGGTGCCGATCCTCCAAAGAGAGAGAAGGGTGTTCTAATGAAGAGCGTGGGTCCAATTCTGTGTGCATGGGAGACATTGAACGTTCATGATGGTGTGTATGCGCTGGATTCATTCACCATCGATGACTTTGTGGATGCAATGTGCTTTACTTCTGAGGAGGTAGACTGTGAACTTCTCGCCGAAGTGCACTGCGCCATATTGAATCAGCTCGTGGATGAAGAGGGAGAGCTCCAAGTATCGATTCCCTCAGTTCCAGGAGCTGATGACTCTGAGGACGAGTCGAGTGAAAGCGAGAGCCCTGAGCCCGAGCCTGAACCCGAGCCACCAGCCCGGTCAACTCGTAGCAGCATGAGGAAATCTGAAGCGAACGCATTGGCCAAACAACGTACGCCGACACCAGAGCCCGAAGATCTCCACAGAGCCCCGGAGTTCCTGGAAGAATTCGACTGGATTGAACGATGCAAGCTTCGATACTTCAGCGAGGGTGGATGGCAATCCATCCTTGTTGGTGTTCTATATGCCCTCTCTTTCAACTCGTACCAGAAAGAGACTTGTGAGCAAATACTTGCTGAGCTGGTTCCAGCTGATGAGGATCCGTCTATTGACAATATTGCCCTGAACTACAAGCATCTCGACGTCAACTTACGCATAGCCGCCCTAGAAATGGTCTTGCAATTGACTGTGACTACGGAGACATTCCGTGAACAGCTTGTCGCCGCCTCACAGGAGTTGACTCGACTCCGCAAGGACAAGATCGAGAACCAAAAGAGGCGTAAAGAACTGTGAGTCCATGCATACTCTTCTGTTTATTTCCATAAGAGCTAATTAGAATAGTGCCGACGAGCTGTTTAAACTTGACAACGAGCGGAAGATTCAACTGCCGCTTAATGTACCAACTTCACCGGAAGTTGTTAAAGAAGATCAGGACGCATCTTTTTTGAGCGAAACCAAAGAAGATACGGACGCCGGAGTCGAGTCTTCACCAGAGCAAAAATCGGGCAATCGCAAGCTTCGGCACACGAAACAGAATAAGCGCAAGCGGGAAGCGGACGCCATCAAGAAGGAAAAGGCCAAGAAAGCGAAAATCGAAGCCGCAAAGACCAAGCAACAGAAAGAGTGGGACAGACTTCTAAAAGCGATCGACAAGAAAAAGGACGATTTGAAGGAGTGTGAAGCTACCATAAATGAGTTGGACGAGGATCTGAGGGAAACCATGGTCCATCGTTGCAAGCTTCTTGGAAAGGACCGTTTCCTGAACAAGTATTATTGGTTTGAGCATAACGGCATGCCTTACGGCGGTGTTCCAACAAGTTCGACAGCCAGCTACGGCTACGCAAATGGTCGTCTATGGGTACAAGGGCCAGATGAGTACGAATTTCAGCCCAACCTCGAAGAACCTGCACTATCACAAGACAAAGAGGAGTTTGGCTTTACTGTTCCGCAACGAAAAGAGAAAGAGGAAGGTCTAACCCATCTGAACGCATCCACGGAATGGGGGTATTACGATGAACCAGAAGAATTGGACCAGCTCATGGCTTGGTTGGATGAGCGTGGCATTCGAGAGAAGGCCCTCCGCAAGGAACTCCAAATCTGCCGTGATAAGATTGCGGAGTATATGCTTAAGATGAACAGCCACTTCGCAGAGCTTGAGAAAGCCAAGACTGCTGATGAACCAGTTGGCACGCGAGTCTCGAAACGAGCCAAGGGGTATTCACAGGCAGAAGCCACCGCAGACCGATGCCTTCTGTGGACCAACAGCATCATGAGAAACGAGGTGGGATACAGCTATATGGAGGAATATGAACCTCCTCGTAAGAAGAGAGGTAGCGCCAAAGTTACGAAAGCCAAAGGCAAAAAGTAAGGTGTGGCTCCATGGCCACACCCAAATCACACAAACATCAACCATAACGGCCGATGAACGGTGCCGCTGGCCCTTGCGCGCACTGTTATTCTCAGCCCATTCCATGTGGGTAACGATTTATGAACAGCATGTCACAGCAAAGGCGTTTCTCGAAAGACACTCTCGATTATGCTTGAACAGTGATCACCACCCTGCTGGGGTTGTCGGGGCACTGTCTTGGAGTTTGAAGTCTGGAGGTTTTTTTAAATGTGTGTTCATGCATATATGGGGTGTTGGGGGGCTCGAAACCATCCTGTTGAAGGACTCATTTCTGCCCGGAGGTATAGATCATCTACTTTCTTGCAGCAATAGGCGATTGCTCAGCATGTTTATCTTTACATAGCATTACATGAAGCTTCACTGCTTCTGATATTGAGGTCTGGCACTAGAGGAAACATACTTCCAAAGTATCAATGTATATACAAAATATCTCTACATCAATGGCCCCCGTGCTTCTAAACAAATAATCATTATGTATCAAAAACTGATGAGAGACGTAGTGGTTCTGTTGAATTATGGTATCTTACATAATCATCGGTCTTGGCGGCCCTGGAACGCCTGCTGCAAGGGCAGTCTTCGCGATCACGGCCGGGCAAGGGTTACAGCCATCAACAGAAGCGGCGACGTCCATTTAAGCAGCCCCTGTTGAGCCTGCACGACATCTCGCCGCGCAGAAGACACATACACAACCAGTTCTTGGGGTCTCTGACCCCCATCGCGCACTCGTACCTCTATCGCCATGTCTGCAAATGGCGCTCACAAAGGTGGTTCAAGCCCGCGACAACACGCCCCCCGCTACCTGCATCTGGCTAACGGTGATAGCGCGTCCAGCTTCGACAGCCGGTCGCAAGCCCAGGTTGTTCGACATTCGCATCGTAGAGGACACACTCAAGGAACTGAACGAAAAGGATGGCCTAACTGGGACCGTATCAATTAAGCTCAAGAAGCCGGCACCTCAACCCTCGATTCCAGGCAACTGGAAGGAGAGTGAGACTCTCAGTACGTCTCCCCTGGAGCTCCATGAATTTTCCCTGGACCTCCATAGAGCTTCGCATCAACTAGAATTCTGCGGACTATCGCCGACATTGTCGTTCTGACGTATTTCACGACCATTCGAAACTAACTCCCCCTAGATATCGATGCCCCCAAACCTAACGATACCGACTCTGCGCACCCTCTCGTCAACCCAGCCGACGAGAAGATCCGATCTGCCTTTCCAACAGGCCGGCCCCTCGAAGACAAAGTCGATCTCGTACAATGTAAACACTGCCGTCGTCCCGTTAACCGCGCCGCGGCCGCCAACCATACCCGCGATTGTCTGAACAAGAAGCAGGAGAAGCTTAAGAAGAAGAAGGAGGCGAAAGAAGCAAAGGATGCAGCACTTCGGAAAGAGAAAGGTGAAGATGAGGACGGTGGTAAGAATGCTCGCAAATCCGCCATCAAGGGAGCGGTTGACGGCGACGGAGCTAAAAAGGGCAAGAAGAGGAAGATTGACGCAGATGCTGAGAAACCAAATGCTAAAAAGAAGAAGAAGGACGAGCCGAAAGCGAAACCGGCGAAGACCAAGGGTCCGGTTGATGTAGAGAGGCAGTGTGGTGTTGCGCTCCCGAATGGTGGTTTCTGTGCGAGGAGTTTGACGTGCAAAAGTCACAGCATGGGTTTGAAGAGAGCGGTTCCTGGCCGAAGTCTGCCATATGACATGCTTCTGGCGCAATATCAGAAAAAGAACCAGGCAAAACAACAACGTAGGTGTATTCTTTTCACTCTAAATACAGCGGCACGTGACTCACCCTTTCTTTCTAGGTGCTGCAATAGACGCGAACGCGCCCTTGCCCGAGGATCTCGAGCCCTCGGGTGCGGTTGACTCGGACGAAGAAAAGGAAGCCATCATGGCTGCACTCACTCGATACCGTCCGCGACCAACGGCAACCTTTGTGCACGTGCCACAGAGGTCTAAGTACCAGTACATCCGAATGAAAGATATGCTCCGTTCTGCTCTCGGCGCACCACCTGGCGGCGGAACCATGTTTTCGAATCCTGCAGCAAATCCTGACATGGGAGCTAATCGCGGACTATCCTTGAGCACTATGGGTGCACCCAACAGCGCGACTGCGGAGAACTTCCCAGGCATGGGATTCTCGACCCCCCTGAGTGCCGGCCTCGATGGCTCTGCAGGCGGCCTCAACCCAGGCAGCAGACGACAAAGCTCCATAGGCATGGGAGTCTCCGGAAACGGCCCGCGGCAGATTCTCCCAGGACAGTTACCAGGCCCCGGGCCGCAACAACGCAAAGGAAGCATGGCGAGCGTTGCAAGCGCAGGCGCATCATAGACTTTCCTTCCCGGACTCTTTCGACGGGTTCGTCGTGTGTCGTTACTCCAAACACTTCTTCGTTAGCGCATCATCCCGTGGCTAGGGGAGCGTGCAGCATACGGTGGTTTATTTCTTCTTCTTTTTTGCGTTTTGATCATTTCACCACGGGGCTAGGGACAGGCGTTAGACACATCAACAAAGATACCCTCTTTTATCGGGCCGGTCGTTCCAGAAGGACTCATGGCTCATGGAATCACCGCTATTAGTAATTTTACAACATTCATGTACAACAAAGCATTCAAGACGATGGCGATGGCGGATGAATGGAAGCGTGGCATGACTTCAAGTAAAAACTCATTCGAGTTTAGTCTAGACGAGAATCATTATGAGCAGATTGTGTGTGGGCTTATGAACCGTGTGTGTGTGTGTGTGTGTGTGTGTGTGTGTGTGTGTGTGTGTTTTTCGATTCATTCTGATATCCTTAGAATATTCAAATATTCTAGGTAAGCCCAGGGAGTATCCAAAGTGGGCCAAACGTTGGGCATGTGGTGATTGCAAATACTGGAACAGACTTTTGTCTCCAGGAGTTCCTCATTCCTATGTATTCCAATATGAGATGACGTTCACGATTCATCCAATTGATCAATCCTTCTCCCCAAGCCCGCCCCAGTACCCTGTCCTCGCCTTCGGCGCGACAGCACGGAAATGCTTGTCATCGTCATCTCCAACTTCATCCGCCAGGTCGTACTCTTCGTCGGACTCTCCATGGAAATAATTGTACGCCCCCCTATCGAACTCGTCTTCGGAGCTCATTTCGTCCTCGGGGTAATCGTTCGCGTAGTAGTCTTCCGCGTTCTCGTCCTCGTCATCGGTGTCGAACTCCTTATCACTCGTGTCCTCGCCAAACCACCATTCTTCGTCCTCCTCGGCCAGTACGATGAATCCGACCGTGCCCTCGAACTCTGGAATGTTTCCGTCCGCGTCGGGCATAATGATCTCACGGACGTATGTGTCGTAGACGTACTCGTCGGTGTCTACGTCCATGGCATCGGCGAATTGTTCCGGATGACGGTCCTTGTAGCGCAGCTTGGGCACCGTGGGCTTGAATTTGAGTGGGGATCGGTGGGGAGTCCCTACTGCTGCCTTTGCTATCTCTTCATTCTCGACCTGCTCTGAGAACTGCTCAAACTGACGAATTGTTTCTTCCGAGGGGCCGAGGCGGATAGGCTTGGGTTTAGCCGGCGTGCTGGGCTGAGATGCTTTGAGGCGGTTTGCGGTGTTTGCTCCCGGTCTCTTGAGTGGTGGTGAGGGCTGGGGTTTAGGCACAGGTATCTGGTGAATAGTTTCTCCTTCTTGTGAAACATTCTTGCCGTCGTCATTTCCTTCTAAGACGTGTGGTCGTTCTACGAGTACCCGCTTTCCATCCGTGTGAGATACGTGGAAGCGACGATTTGGTGTTTGCGGGGGAGGTGCTGCCAAAGTTCGCGACTCGGCGGAATGCGGGACTCGAATGCGCCTCCAGATCACGGTTCCATTTCTCGTATGCCCTTTCAATCGCTTTCCTCCTGGGTCAGCGGAGGCGGGGGTGTCATCTGCTGCAGTACTTGATTGCGCTTCAGCGTCTCGATCGAATTTCCTCTTCAGCGAAGTCGTGGAAGATGATGGATGTAGGTCATTGTTGAAACGCTTGTTATTGTGCTCGACCACTACACGAATCAGTATCAGACAGGCAATGGTCTTCTGTAACTTTTGCGCCATACCTAGTGAATCCACAGGCGCCTCATTGCGCTTTCGCATCACCGACAATGTTTGTGGTGCGTTTGTCGACATCTTGGAGAAGATATCATGAGAATCTGATATCGAATATTAGTAAAATGTGGGTTATGTATATATGCACCAATTTGGAGCTTCGTGGGAAAGTTGGTGTAACAATGAAGCAGGGATGAATTGACTTCAAGGTGATGTCTGCCCAGTGGGGCAATGATTGATCGCGGGGGCTTGGAAGGAACGTGCGTCGGACCGCCGCGCTGGCCACGCCAAGCCTCATGTGGTGAGCGCGACATCATGTGCCAGGCACCATCCTCAACTCGTGAACATACATCGTCACCTGCGCCTCCTTAGCTGTTGTCGTGGCCATGCCTTAGACGAGAAAAATGGGATCCTGCCTTTGCAACTCAACCAACACGTCTTTTCTTTAAGCCTCATACATTCCACGGGTGATCCAACGTCCATTATCGCATCGCCGGAAACGTTTCCTCAAAACATCTATATCGACTCGACGATCAGCAGTTCTTCAAGATGGAACGGATACGCAAGATCTTCGAGAGGAGGATCTCTTATGAGCCCTTAGAGGGTGGATCCGAAGGTCCGAATGGAGAACAAATCGAGCACCCCAAGCAGCATGCTGGCGCTTTCTCATGGATAGATTACTCAGTCTTCCTGTTGCTTGGGGTTGCTATGCTGTGGGCATGGTACGTAGACTTACCAATTTTAAGATGATAAGGTGTTGACCGCTGTAGGAATATGTTCCTTGCCGCTGCTCCCTACTTCCAAAAACGATTCGAAGCCGACGATCGACTTCTTCGCAACTTCCAGTCCGCAGAACTATCAGTATCGACCGTTGGCAATCTGGGGTCCATGATCGTGTTGACCAAGCTTCAAGCTAGAGCTTCATATCCAAAGCGCATTGTAGCCTCTCTCGTCCTGAACATCGTTGTTTTCACCTTGCTGGCAATATCCACCCGAATCTTCCTAGGAGTGTCACCTGGAGTCTACTTTGGGTTTCTTATGGTTGTAGTCTTCGTCGCAAGTCTGGCCACTGGATTGTGTCAGAATGGTGTCTTTGCTTTCGTGTCTGGATTCGGCCATGAGGAGTATACACAGGGTATCATGGCGGGCCAAGGTATCGCCGGTGTGCTCCCTTGCATCGCTCAGATTATATCTGTTCTCTCCGTATCGGGTAACCAATCATCAGAGAATGGTGCACAGGGGTCAAGCACGTCAGCGTTTGCATACTTTTTGACAGCTTCTGCGGTTTCTGCGATAACCTTGGTCGCATTCGTCTATCTGCTTTCAAGAAACAGTGCAAAGGACCGGCTCAAGGATAGCTTGGCTCCCGACGAAGACGAGGCTGGTCTACCACTAAGTGGTGGCAAGAAGTCAATTCCCCTGACTGTTCTTTTCAGGAAGCTATTCTGGTTGGCTGCCGCGGTCTTCCTGACCTTCGCTCTCACCATGCTTTACCCAGTCTATACGTCGCAAATTCAGAGTGTCCGCGATCCTGCCACTTCTTCGCGCATCTACCAGCCAGCTACCTTCATTCCTATCGCTTTCCTCTTCTGGAATCTTGGAGATTTGACCGGGCGTATGCTTCCTGCTATTCCCAAACTAAGTCTGACCGCATATCCTCGTACCCTGTTCATCCTTTCCGCCTCTAGGATCGCCTTCATCCCCCTTTATCTACTTTGCAACCTCCAAGGAAAGGGGGCGAAAGTCAACTCCGATTTCTTCTACCTTTTCATCGTTCAAGCATTGTTCGGAGTCACAAATGGATATATCGGAAGCAATTGTATGATGGGCTTTGTAGAATGGGTTGATCCAGAAGAGCGGGAAGCTGCTGGTGGCTTCATGTCACTATGTCTCGTTGCAGGATTGACTGTTGGCAGCTTTATGAGTTTCTTCGCTGCCGGATAAGACCGTTAAGTTGACATCGAGATGAATACACATATGTATCATTAGGACGGCGTTTTCGGAATTTTTTATCATTGTCATGTAACCATTTATATACAGATATGCGACTCAAATCTACTTGAAGCATTGGTGCTATAGCATTCTCATTTTTTTTTTCATCTCTCAGATTGTTAAGATAAGGAAGTGACTTCCCCGGTGTCAACACATCTAGATCTTACTCTCCGCCTGTCCCCTCTTCCCCCTATGTCCACTCAACGTGCTACCGCCATCAAACTCAATGGCATTACCAGTCATGTGCGCCGAACCCGCGGAGCTCAAGAACAGCACCAAACCGCCAAAGTCGGAGGGCTTTCCGATCCTGCCCGTGGGCTGACCGGCGACGAGAGTGTCCATGAACTTGTCGAGACCGTAGTTCGTCATGCGGGACGGGAAGACGCCTGGGCAGATGACGTTGACCATGATGTTCTTGGGAGCCAGCTTGGATGCCTGCAGCTTGGTGAGGTGGATGCAGGCTGCCTTTGCAGGACCATCTGGGCGTGTGTATTAGCATTCATTCAAGTAATGGCCCATTGAAGGACCCAAAGATTCAATAGGGAGTTGTAAAGAAGACATGGAACACTCACAACTGAAAGTTCCATGACCCGGCTGGCTCAATCCACCACCCTCGCCGGTCGTCACATCAATAGTCTGGATACCCGCCATACTAGCGATATTGATGACCCTGCTCGGCGTATCCGCATTCGCGCCCTTGAGCAGCAGCGGCTCCAATTCGACAGTCATGTAAAAGATACTCTTGACATTCAGCGCCATCAACTTATCCCACGCATGCTCAGGGAAATTATAATAGTCGTCACCCCACGTGGCGCCCGTGTTGTTGACGAGCACTGTGAGCCTGTCAACGCGCTTCTTGACCTCCTGGGCGAGCTTCACGCAGCCGTCCTTGTCCTTCAGGTCTGCGATTATGTACTCGCACTTTCCGGGGCCCAGCTTGTTGAGACGGTCGCTGGTGAGCTTGAGCTCGGATTCCTTGCGTGAGGCGATGATGACGTGGGCGCCGTTCTGGACGAAGGCTTGCGCCGCCATTTCTCCCAGGCCTGTTGCGCCGCCTGTCACGAGCGCGATGTGGGAGCTGAAGTTGAAGAGGTTGGAGACGCGGAGGTCATCTTTTGCTGCGTGGTGCGCCATTTTGGGTGGGATTTGTTCAGTGGAGTGAGTATGAGGATGAGGGGGAGTTGGTGTGTAGGAGCTGTATATCAAAGATTGATAATGGAGCGATGATATATATTACTACACAGGAAAATGTTTTCGAATGTTAATTGATAGGGGTATAATTGAGAATTAAAAGTAAGGAAGAGCGGAGGATATGCAATTGTTTGTAATTATAGCTAATTCGTAATGACTCTCTAGAGTCGGTTACAAGCTGCGGTGGAGAGCTCCAACGAACCTCGGCATGATGTTAACTTTGTTAGTAGAGATGGCAGGGAAGGGCTGGGTTGCTAACCCCAGATGAGGGGCCCCGGATCTTCGACACCTATTGGCTAGCGCTGGGCTATCTTCAATTATGTCTACCTCGAAAGTATCTTGCATGATAATCAATCGGAACGAATACTTTAATTAAATAATACACTACAGGCGGGAGTTTTTCTCTGTGTCGAGACAATCGAATGAATATATAGAAGATTTGTTTTGGTCTAAGGTAAACTTTAGATACCTAGGTACCGATATCGTTGATACACAACTACATTACCCATTCTCATGAAACATTTTTATGTAGCGCTCCTAAGAATTCAGACATTACTGTTATCCCAATTTCCAAAATCGATAAAAATCATGTATTCTCTCAATTCCCCGCAGTCCTAACACCTCCATCCGCACCATCCTCCACCTCCATCTTCTCCCTCTCCAACCTCTCCTTCTCCTTCTCATCCAACGCCTTGAGATCCGCATTCTTGATGAAAAACATGAGAATGAGATTCGGCACGCAGAGACACGTAGCCACGATGGCCAATAAGCGCTGGCTCTCGCCGTAGCTTCTGTTGATGGCGTCCCTGGACGGGGTGCCGGGCTTGTATTTCTGTGCGACGACGATGGACTGGAAGATCTTAAGGGCGGAGGCCTTGTCTTTTTCGGGGAGGTAGGATTTCAGTTTGTTGGGGAGCGTGTTGCGCCAGATTGCTCCGGACATACTGAGTAAGGAAGACAGGTCAGTATGTGGTAGTTTAAGGGGGTGGTGATTGGGGGAACTTGAGGAAGAAGGGATACACATACCTGACGCCGAAAGCACCGCCAATGCTGTTCGATGCTTGGAATAGACCTGTTGCGACGGCGACTTCCTGTCTCGAAACGGCCGCTTGCACAGCGACTTGTCCAGCCGTCTGGAACGCAGCGCGTCCAATACCACTAAGGACTTTTGAGACGATGAACATGGCTTCGCTGCCGTGCGAGCCGTCAGGCTTGCGGACGAAGTATATCATGAGGCCCTGGCCGAGGATCACGAGTGGTGGGCCGGCGAGGACGAATGCCTTTGAGTTGTTTGTGTACTTCATTGCGATGGCGAAGAGAAGACCCGAGATCTGGAAAGCGACACGGAGGGAGTTACTGTTACTTTCATCAGCATTGACAAGACTTGGATGCTGCAACACGGGTAGACTCACTCAATTCTCGTCGCGTGGCCCGGAGAGAATCCACCTCCGACCTGTAGGTAACTTGGGAAGAAGATCGTGAAGGAAGAGTACTCCATGAAATCAAAGAGCTGGATAGCGCAGGCGCAGATGACTGTGCGGTTCGCCATTCTAGTTGGAATATACGGCTTACGCGCAAACTTCATGTCCCAGACGAGGAATGCGACGAACAGTACGAAACCAACAACGATCATTGCAATGAATGAACCCTCCTTCCAGCGTCCGGAATTGAAGGAGCCAGTGAGGGAGATGGGGATAAGAATGAGCGAGAGACTGGTGATCAGAAGAGCCATACCGGGGAGATCAAGCTCGTCCCAGAGCAGGTGGAAGATCTTCTTCGTCAGAGGGTCGTTGGCTTCACATCCAGCAATAGCGGACAGGGTCTTTGTCGATTTGAGGCCATGTTTTGCAGCACGTCGCTGCAGGACCGTCATCGTGCCAACGAGTGGAATCGCAACAACAGGCACAATAATAGCCCACATACCGTAACCCCAGCGCCACGAAGAATGATGAAGGATGCCTTCTCCGATCATGGTACCGATGTACAAAGCCGGGATTGTAGTGATGGACTCGGGGAGCGTCGACCAAAATGCACGATTGACCAGGTTCGTGGCATCAGCGATGAAGACCTGTTGCGTCAAACCGAAACCAGTGCCCCCGATGGCGTCAAACAGACCAGCTCCCTAGAGATATCTAACGTCAACTTCCCGTTCCCCTATTCACTGCATTCGATTTTACCACTTACGATGTACTGATCAATGTTCTGACTTGCGGCGTACAATATGAAAGACAGGGCCTGGCAAGCAATGGACATTGAAAACATCTCAGCGCGACCAAAGACCTACGTTCATTAGCGACATCGTGTCTGATATATAAAGGGGGTGAGGGACCGTACGTCACTCAATTTCGCAATGACTGGATACGCGACAATGCGTGTGATATTCATGACGACTCTCGCCGCCGACATGGCAGAATGCTGCTTGAAAGCGCTGGTAACATACGGCTCAAGTACAGTGCCAGAGTAGTCGGAGAAAACAATACACAGGCTCGTTATGATCAAACTGCAAAACCACCATCATTGTTAGGAGTAGAACAACACCAACAAAGAGAGCTAGCTGCAAGCTGCAGTGAATGGATTCAAACGTACGAAGTAAACGCAATCGCCAGCGTCGTCCTCGACCACGCCTTCCTCAAGATCATCGCCTTCTGTACCCCCGTCTGTATGCTATGTTGGCTCGAATGTACGGACGCAGCATCCTCATTCCCTCGCTCTTCCGATGCCGCGTTGTGGTGGTCGATGGAAGAAGTGGTGACATTGCCCTGAGCAGACTTGCCGCTAGAATAGACACCCTTTTCGCTCATGGTGGTAAACTGTTGCCAAAGGTGTAGTTGGATGCAGGAGCATCGCGAACATCTCGCGCGGCGGTCAGGCCCATTATATCTAAGGGCAATTCTTTGCCACGAGCTTGAGAGATGGGGGGCAGGATCGGCGACAAGGGAATGAAAAAAATCTTTTACTATTAGTTCTAGGTGTCTATGCTATGGGAAGACAGTCGAACGATGGGGTAATTGAACCGTTACTGGTGCACCACTACCATCATGAGAAAGAAGGGCACAAAACGGCACGAAACCCTAAATCTTATCAGATCCGCACGCTAGATCAGATTAGATCATTGTCATTCGATGGTCTATGTCCCACGTATGTAAGCTAAAACACGACCAGTTGGCTTGGCATATGCTATTAATCGTGGATTAAGGGACTCATAGAGGTCCTTTTCGTCGTTCGACGGCACGTTCAATCCGATGTTTGCCGATGTCGCTTGCCATGTGGGTGGGTCGTCGGATCGATCATCGTGGGCGCCTTGCACAAGCCCCCCAAAGGCTTGACATGGAATTTCAACAAATTGCATTGTTGGAAGCCGCTAGCTTGGAAAGGCTTTCTGAGCTTGTCTTGCGTTGCTCGGCCAGAGTAGAGAGGTAAGGAAAGATAAGATCTTCCTCGTCTTGGAGTATCAGGCACCGCCAAGTCGACCGTTGAAGGCGACAAGCCGTTGAGCTCGTCTCGCGGCGCAAGCGATGGAAATGTCATTCCACCTATATAGTTCCTCGAAAAGAAGTTCGGAAGCCTAGAAGCTGGAACTTTGCAAACCCTCCAGGAGGCCGTTTCTCCAATACGCTAAACGTTCATGTCCGAACATATGGAGCCTTCGCTTACCCTTGTCAACCTTGGTCGTGAAGTCGTGAGATCAGAAGCCGTGTGTACAGTTTCTAAAGTCGTTTGTTCGTCTGTCTGTGCGGTTGTGCAGTATGAGCACATTAACCCTTCATCCGATTCTCATCACTTCGCCAGGCCCCTTGCCCTTCCACGTTCCCTCCTCCTCTCCGTCTCCGCCTTCCTCGCTTGACTCATACTGGGCGGCAAATTCTCCTCCTCGAGCTTCCTCCTCTCGAGCGCCTGCTCGTCGACGTCGTCGAGGATGAACCGGCCGAGATGTCCCGTGCGCCACCTCTGTATCATCCACAGAGCCGTGGCCTCGGTGTCCACCTGCCCGCCCTTTCCCAGCCGTCCCGTCTTCCGTGCAATTGCCTCCAGCAGATCCATGATCTCGTTCGTGGGCTGCGAGTACTCTCCGTACACGTGTGGACCATGCTCGGCTTTCCTGGCTGGGAAACTCGCGCCGCGGTTGATCTGGTAGAGGAGGTAGTCCGCGAGCATAACGGGCGGGATGATGGTGTCCTTGACGCTGCCGCACAGCGCCAACTTCATCATGGCCTCCGCGTCCGGCACGAATGGGATGAAGACGCCGGGGGTGTCGAGCAGGTAGACGCCTCCCCCAACGCCCTTTGACTTGTTTCCCCCCTCCTGTCCCTCCACGTCGTCTTCGCTCGGGATGATTTTCACTCCCGTGCTGATCTTGCGTGTTACGCCTGGCTGCGCGCCCGTCACAGCGGCTTTGCCTTTGCCCAGTCCTTGCGCCCGCAGTGCGTTGAGTAGTGTGCTCTTCCCGACGTTCGGCATGCCGACGACCATGACTCTATGTCCCACCAGCTTCCACCTGCCTTGGGCATGCTCCCTGAGGAATTTCAGGACCCGTCCTATGCTCTTCCTTCCAGCGTCTCCGGAGCTGGTGAATAGTGTCGGCGTGGGTGCGTGCCATCCTGCGACTATTTTCTCGGTGTTGTTGTCGCGGGGGTTGCCTCCTAGGTCGCGTTTGGTGTAGAGGACGGCGCGCTCTTTGCCTTCGAGGGACTTCTCGAAGAGGGGGTTGCGGGATGTCAATGGTACACGGTAGTCGCGGCATTCGATGACTAGGTCAATGGTCGATAGCAGTGTTTTCATCTTCTGTAGACCAGCTTTGTGGTGTCCCAGGAAGTAGGACCGCGGAAGGGATCCGAGGGGAGGGAATGTGGCGCGCGGCACGAACGACATTGAGAGCTCAGTTTACGCTGCATTGTCAAAGTTATAAATTTTGGCCAGAAGCTGAAGCAGAAACAAAAGCATCAGAGAGCCCACAATTGGCGGATGCATGGATGATGGGACGTGCAGACGCGAGTCATGCACGCTTGGCAACCCGCGACCATGGTAGTGGAGCCACCGTAATGGGTTTAAGGTTTTGATGGTAGACCTCCACTGTTGACTCCTTATTAGGCACTTGATAGTATTCCATGATGTCTTATTAACATATGCACGAATTACAGCAATCCAGAATTCAGCAAGGTGCAATTTGTTCGCTAATACTAATGAAAACTACTGAACCAAACGAGAATGAACGAAAGCAATAACAGCCGCTCAACATGCTGCAGAACCGATTAACAAGACAGAACATGCACCTGCATTCATCCAGAGCTTTGGTTTCGCACGTAAATAGTGTGCGTTGGTAGAGGACCAGCAGTCACTTCCACAACTCTCGTCATCGTGAAACGTGTGGTTGCGGGGACCGGCTGCACGACAGTCGCAGTTCCATTCATGAATATGGCCCGATTGATCCAGATCGGGTAGGCGATTTTGCCATTCTTGGGACAGCTCCTTGGTCCTTTGATGACTAGCTTCTGAGCATGTTTACCATTGTGCTTCCATTTGACAGTGGCACAAGTGTTACTCGGCAAAAATGGATCTTGTATCATGACCTTTTTCTTCAGAGTTCCGCGCTTTGTAACTGCCTGCCTCGCTGCGACTTGCTTCGTCGCGGCCTGCTTCGTTGCGACTTGAACGACAGGTCTTGGTACTACTCGGACAATTATCAACCGTGAGCAAGGTCGTGTTAGATATAAATTTTGAACTCACCTTCTGTTATTCTGACGAATTGCGTAGTCGTGGCGACAGGTATAGTTCTAAAGTTATCCCTGGGATTTTGTCCACACTCGCGCTCCACGGTATCCAAGCCCGATTCGCATTCGAAGTGGACACCATGCTTTTGCCAACATATGTAGCACACATCGGCACCGTTGAAAGGGTTCAGCATCCATACGTACCGGGAGCGTCGGGCACGCGGCATAAGTGTTGGGAGACTCCTCTCGGAGGCAAGCTCAGTGACGAATTGTGTCGTTGGTACGATGACGGCTCCGCCGGTGGGATCGGTGGTCCACAAGGGTTTGAGTACAGTCTGTGTCAAGAGCTTCACACCTTTCACGTTAACACCTCCGATTGTCAACGGTCCAAGTGGAACACCGCCCACCTTTGTCTTGACATCCTTTGGGCGACTCTGGTAGAATGGATGAGGACACACGAATTTAATGGAACGAATTATGCGTCCTCTGTCCTCCGGACTGACACACTTGGTGAGTTTCCAAGGTAGTGCGGCGACTCCGTAATCGGTATCCCTGTATTTCCCATCCGGTCCAGGCGTAGGTTGGCGGGTAATCCTACAGTCCGGGTCACTGAAATACTGGACACCACAGCTGTAGCTAAGATCACTGAGCTCACGGAACCAGCCAAAGTATTTCAACTCATTGTGTGGAGCTTGGACTTTGATACTGTGTGCCATGAGTGACCAGCATTCGCCAGCCTGTAATTCGAATTGGGGACTGGAAGTGTGCCCCTTGCAGCCAGGAACGTTCCATTGGTTAACCTGAATCTTGTCTATACGAGCTTCGGCGATGCTAGCAATAGCAAGAAGGCCAGCGGCAAATAGCTGTACCGAGATTAGATAGCACAGGGCTACGACATAGAGTCGAACTTACCAAGTGAATGGGAGCCATGGTAGGCTATGAAGAGAAAAAGAATACTTGACGATGCTATGCCGTGTTGGATGTCGCCTGAACTGAGATGCTGTGATACGGCTGTTGGAGTGAGTTTTGGAGGGTGGCGGAGAGAGTAAAGAGAAAGTGAGAGGGCGAGCGAAAGAGACCAATAAGGCTCATGAGTGGAGCTTGGAGTAGCATGTTGACTTGGTAATAAGAATTATCAGGAGCGATGAGGTCGACGAGATACTAGGTAGGAGGAAGGCGTTAGTATAGGTAGGAGTACGTTGACAGTCAAGCAGGTACAACCCCAACCCATCGTTCGAACAATAGATATCCAGGGAACGGCATACAGGACCTTGGAAGGGTAGTGAAAATGGACTTAAGAAACATGAAACAAAACATCCTCTATCAAAGATTAGCCATTTTAGACGTGATGTGGGAAGTTGAAGCTTCATAATACAATAATCGACTGTGTTGCAAATGTGATATTGACCTTCCCATGGAAACAGATTGTGGTACGATGAGACATAATCCTGGCCATTCCCTAGAGAACTTACGACATGGCATGAAATCGAATCCAACCCATCGTATTCCGGACATAGATAACCAAACGCTTCTACTGCGGACGAACACCCCAACTCCTATCGGATAAAGAAAACCACTCCGCCACCTCGGAATCACCAATCACCCCATCCCTCGTCCTCCTTTTTCCTACTGCTTGGTCCCTTCATAGCGCTCGTTCCCAGTCCACTCGGCTTGCTCTTGTTGCCAAGGAGGCTGGCACCGGCGCCAGAACTGTCGCCTGCCCTGCTCTCGCCAGCAGCAGAGAACTCGTCCCAGAAATCCTTCTTCTCTGGTGCAGGACCCTTTGGTGCAGCTCCGAATGAGTCCCAGAAGTCTCTCTTGTCTGGTTCGACGGAACGATTGGCTCCGGATGATGCGTGGCGGTTGTCATCTCCCTCGACGAAGCGGGTGAATGCATTGCCAGCATTGGTTGCACCTGATTGAATCCCCTGGCCAAGGAAACCTGCGGTGTTGCGAGCCTGAGATGCGATGTCCGCCTCAGCGAGCTAGAAGAAAATGAGTTCATGTTCGGGTGGTCTTCAGATAGCTATCAAGCTCACCTTCGCCATACCGGGCTTCACCCAGCCATCATAGCCCGTCTTCCCAGCTTTGCTCACGCTTGCTCCCAACCATCCAAAACCCTTGGTGAGCGCTCCGACAGGATCCCTCTGGAAATCATCCAAGGCGGGAGCAGCTCCTGGAGTATCGTCCTTCTTCCAGTGATCAGGCTCGCTTCCGAATCCACCATACTTGCCACCCTGGTTGGGCGCAACACCCTCCGGCCTGTTCGAGTTCTCCGCACCCATGCGTGCAAAGTAAGCCTCATTCTGTGCCTTCTTGGAACCTCCCAAGGAGGATGTACCCAGGGCTGGCGAACCCGAGCGCTGGAATCCAGACTCGTTGCTCCGCGTCTTGCTCAGCGGTGTCTGGCTCCTGCTCCCCGCTGCACTCGCGCGGCCGCTCAAGGGCGCACCAGCACCTGCGCTCGCGGCTGGATCTTTCTTCACCCTCTTCGGGAGCGCGCTCTTGTCGAATTCCCGGCCCTCGACCTTGCAGCTCAATCTCTCCTTCCACTCGTCTCCGGCCTCGCTGTCGTATCTATCCCTGATCTCGCTCCCTTCAAATGTCCGGCTCTCTTTCGTGTTCGAGGCGTGTGCGTTGAAGAAGTCCCGGAAAGGCTTGTTGCCGCCGGCAGCCATGCGCGCGAGCTCGGCGCCCTTGAAAGCATCCATCGTTATGCTGCGAATGAACGAGATGTGTACGCCGAGTCCCCGATGGACTCCAGAGCAGGAGAGACACATGAAGATTCCGAGCTTAGGGGAAGCCTAGATGACAAGGGGATTTAGTATATGACTTTGGAGAGATTGGGCGCGTGGCCACCGCGATTGCGCGAGGTGGATGGCTTGGGCAGTTGGGATTGCGTACCCATTGTGGACTCGGTGCGTTGCAGTCGACGCATTTGTTGTTCTCGTTGGTCTTCTGGATCTCGAGCAACTGGTTACAGAGTACAATTAGCAGTGTACTTCGAAAGGAATTGTGCACCAAACACGCTCCCTTTATAGATCCTGGGGCGTGGAATTATTCTACGTACCTTGCTTCTGGTCTCCGGATCGACCTCCCACATTTTACTCATATTGGACAGGATTTGACGAGGTTTCGCACCTCGCGAGCGTTTGAATGACTGACAAAAGTGACGTTGTTGTTATTCTGGTAATTTTAAAGGAGCTGGGGAAGCGGTTGAGGGTGTGAGAGGGGCACGAGCACTAACGTCAGAAACGTGGCCAAGACCTCTCTAGATACCCAGCAAGGTCACAGCTGCCCGACTTACAACACTATATATTAGGGTCTCAAATCATGGAAATAGAAAGGAAATCCGTGAGTCCGTTCTTGAGACGTGGGCGAAAAACAATTGAAGCTAATGTGCTTATGGCAAGTTTGTCTAACACCGGCTTTTGAGTGTTGGAATCGGACTTCGCGCGTCTCATCCAACGCCATGTATCAGGGTGACCGCCTAGGTACAGTTATGTCGCACAGATTGTTCACGAGGTACAATCACTGGTGAGCAAATGCTTCAAGTCACTGGATAAAAACGCGAATAGTATGAATGATGGATTGTGGGGATGTGCGCGAAACTATGACGTTCACGCTCCCATGCTATCTGAGTGGGTATCTTTTGAACCCCAGCAGATTCAATTTCTAAATCGCTGACTTCCCTCCTTCGCTCGATGGTGGTGCTCCGGATGCCGGCACCTATTGATGGGCTTTACGTTGCTTAAGGCAACGTCCCATCATCCTCCGTCCGCCGTTCCCTATGTACGTGACAGCATAATGGTGAAGAGAATTTACAAAAAAAAGGCCAATTAGTTGGTAACAGCCGAGTAGAAGAGAATCCTAGGAGTTTGATGTTGCTCCAAGGAGGATACAAGATTTACTCTGAATTTGGCAAGTGCCAATCCAGGACGCCAGAACACCGTTGCTAAAATGTAGAATGCAATGATCAATGAAGATCGGATGATTGGGTTTTTTACTCATGAAAGTCGTGACGCCAGTATATTTTGCAGTTCGATTACGGTGCAAAGATATAGTGCGTTCATCGCTAGTGTGATCAGGAGGGATCTGGATTTCGAACCTAATCAATGTTAGCATAAAAGTGGTTGAAGGGCCGAGAGGAAATGCTTACGTTGAGCGTGCGTCCGTAATCGCGGCTGTCATCCATGCTAGCGAAACTTCCACGGCTGGTGTTGTCGAAGTTCATGATAGCAGATGGATTGAGACGTTGGTCGAATATGTATGGTCTGCTGCTGCGTCTATCGGATCCAGACACAGGGCTGATCGAGTCGCTGTCTCCCATCATCCGACTGGTACGCCTGTTGCTCCCAAGACTGGTATTGATCGGAGGAGGGTAGCCAGTAGGCTTTTCGCCGCGGATGAGGCCCGCTTTGCTCATAGTGCTAGTATTGCGTGCGATGCCGGAAGGATCCTGATCGTCTCCTGCTTGGTTCTGTTTGCGTCGTCTCCAGAGGATGAAGAAAATGCCCCCAACGATGGCAGCAAGTCCGACAACGCCACCAACAACACCTCCAGCAATTGCGGCTACATTGGTCCCTGAACCTTCCTTTGCGGTCAAAGATGGAGAGGCTGTTGCACCAGGTAGATTGGAAGGAGTGAGGATGATGGTTTCGGTCACCACTAGCCCCCCTGAAGTCAACACTCGGTTGCTAGTGACCGGCTGGACCGAAGTACTGGTCTGCAAAGTGGTTGGTTTGGATGACTGTAAGAATGCGATGTCAGTGAAAATTTGGCTAAGAGCGGAGGAATAAACAAAGAGCAGAAAAGTGAACACGGATGAGGGTGGAAACTCTAAACAAGATAGAACTTTGAAGGGTCCGCAGGATAGATCAGGGTTCTTGAGTTACGGGATTGATCGTCGCATCAACGAAGAACTTGTTGGGGCCCGCGAGAGCCACACCAAGTCTAACACGATGGCTGACATACGGTTGGAGACAACATGTGAGGAAGACAAGAAAACTGACGAGTGGAGCAAAATCAAAGAGACGAGGAAAATGACAGTGAGAGTGGACTTGCAAGACTTGCAACAGCAAAGAAATGGAGTTCACTAACAGTAGATATTTCCGTTGAAGTAGGTCTCGTAGATGAGTCCGACGATGGAACAGGAGGTGAAGAGGTCGTACTCACCTGAGTGGGCTCTGAAGCTCCTTTGGTGCCAGAGGGCTTCTTGCCGTCGATGGGGATATAGACGAATTTGTCGCCAGAATTGCTGCCGCAGATCTCAGAGGGGAAACCCGGGCAGGTGCCGTCGCAGTCGCTGGTATCGTCCTGGGCCTCGGGTATGTAATTAGAGCACCAGCAGTCCTTGTATTGGATTACAGCGAAGGCATAGGCACCGCATTTTCCCGTGCATAAACCATTCGATTGCCAGTCGTTGTGCCCTTTGAGATGTTAGTTACGTGAGAGTGATGTACGGGATCGGTGAGCACCCACATGTCTGTCCCCCGGAATTTGTGTTTTGCGTGGAACAATACTCGACAACGAATGCCTCAGTTGCGCTTGGTGCAGTCGAAAGGAAAGCGAGTAGGGCGAGAGAGCCGGCTAGTACGATGGAGTTTGAGCGAGCCATGGTTCCCGCAGATGATGATGATGCTATTGATACGAGGTCGACGATGTCTGTGCCCTTGAAATTACGGCGACAATAAAGTCAAAGGGACAATGGCTTTGCGAAAGATCGATTGTGTTTTGTTGATGGAGGAAATTAAAGCACAGTTGGTATCTGTGAATTGTTGCGGAGATGGGTTCCTGTTCGACCCGGTTGAATGCGATTGTGAAGCAGAAGCTCGGTAATCAACGGTGAAGATGTACAATATCGAGCTGAGTGAATGATGTAATTGCAATCGTGGAAGATACGGTTGCGTCGTGGCCGGGTGCAATCAATCCTAAGAGGAGTCGCAGGAACGAAGCCGCGTACCACTTGTTGTCGCTAGCCCGGAAGGTCCGTGATGGATTTGAATGTATATGGCGAATATCTAGATGGAATGGTGTGTTAGCATGGCGGTCCAATGCTCGACGTGCAGAGACGACTGCAGATGGTGCCGTGGCCGTGGTCGAGTTCGAGGGGGGTTGGGGGATCGAAAGCGGGAGTGAAGCGGAGATGGAGGTTGATGTTGATGTTAAGTTTTAGGGATTGGGGGTGAGAGAGGCAGTGCTGAGAAGGCCGGCGTCGATCAAGAGAAAGACAAAAGCCTCACAGACCCTCATCACAAGCAAAAGCGAGTGCGTGCGTTCGTGCGTGTGCGTGCGTGCGTGCGTGCAGGTGTGGTGTGGATGAGTGGGTTGAGGGAGAGAGCAGGAGGAGTAGGGAGACTAGCGTGGATGGAGCGGGTGGGAAGGAGAGTAGAGAAAGAAACAAGAGAGAAGAGAGAGAGTAATACGCCTGTTAGAGCTAAAGCAGATGCAAAACTGCAGAAGTAACAAGGGTATTGTGAACAATAACAGGTAATAAAGCGAGTGGAGTAGGATTGAGTGATAGGAAGACGAGTGAGTGAGTGAGAGTGAGAGTGTGAGTGAACGAGTGAATGATGTTGGATGGGTTGGTTGTTGGGTGAGAGTGAGAGGAGACGAGGGTGGTGAGAGCAGGACCAGGGAGACGGGAATAGCTTCGGTGGCCTAGTCCCGAATTGGAAATACTTGGGCTTGGAGTGGGAAGGGGGAGAGGAGGGGAGGGAAGGGAAGTCCCTTGCTGGGAAAGTGATGGGAAATGCTAAGGAACCAGGAAGAGCAATGACTAGTCATTCTTCGGATTAAACGGCCAAGGTTCAAGAAATAGTTCACTCAACTTACTTTGCTTGTAAACAGTTTAACAAACTGTCAACCAGGTGGTGGTTACTGTCCACTGTAGTTACTGTATCCTCGTAGAGTCGTAGTGTCCGTGCCTCGCTCAATTGCACATCCAATTCGATCCTCCGTCCCGCGAATCCCGCTTTGCGACCCAAACTTCCTTGTTTCTTGGACTCTTCTTCTTCTCTCTTAGCGGTTCTCGGTCGGCGGATTCGACTCTATTATTACTCGTCAATAGTCGACCTTGTCCTTCTCTACAGTCTTGTCGTCTCCTCGTCGTCCACGCTTGGATGGGTGTCCTTATTCTCCTGGATTCCTTGGTCTCCGGCTAGGTATGCGCGATAAATGAACTGAGTGGTAGTCGTCTTCTTTATGTCCTGTCGTGCTGGAGTACGTGTGTTGCATGTACTTTCGACCGACTCGATTAGAACCACTTGTCACCAGATGTTACTGGGGCTTGATATGCGGTGTCGTGTCTTTAGAAGATGATTCCTTCGCCAATGGTCATGACGTGCACGAATGACACCAACTACCGACAAACCAGGTAGGTAGATAGGACGCACTGGGAAATGTCCGATTGCGCTGCCTTATACGGAGCTGTGTATCTTGATGGTTCACAAGAGCTATCCTGATTTGAAAGGCTGCAGCGAATGCGTGCGGAGTCGACCTCTTGTCTGTGGCACTGTACTCCCGTGTCCAGTGGATCCGCGTCGGCTGATGTTCCGCGCGTAAGAAGGAAAGGCGATAGTGTCGAATTAATCTGTCTATAAAGGACAACTCTCCAACAGAAGCGAATGGCAGTCGACCCTCTGGAACGAGTGGACGACAAGAAACACCAAGGGAAAGTAGATAAAACAAAGCGAGTGTTGGAGTTGCAAGCAACAGAAAGGTGAAAAGAAGGAGGATCAAAGGGTAACCTGGGGCCGTCGAGATGATATTTCGTCGTGCTGATCACCTGCTTCATGCTGGACTGCAAGCACGGGCAGGTGGGTGTGCACTACACAGTACGGTATGTGTTTGGCTCCATTCACTCGCTCGCCTGTTCTTGGTGAAGTAGCACAGAACTGCATCCACTGCATCCACTGCATCCGCAGCATCCTTGGACACCCCGATCGTTTCTGCCTCTCTGATCATCCTAACCATCCTGGCTGGCGACATCATTGAGAAACTATCGAAGATTACGACTCCACGGAGTCAAGGGTTGAGAAGGGGGGTCGTGCACAGTGCGAATTGGCTACATCCCTCACCACCTGCCCGCGATTGCTCAGCGACTACGTTGTAGCTAAACCTCGCTCGGCCACGAGGCCTCCGCCAATACATAAACACGAATCGAGTCGCCTCCATCGAGGTTGAATATAGAAGCAACCTGCAAGCATGAAGAGGCGATATCGATATCCAAACGTCCGAATATTGCATGTTTCCAGAAAATCTTCTTCGCATATCGCGATAAACAATCTTTGCCTTGCCACCCTTGACATCTTGTCAACATGCTAGCAACGATTACTATGTATAAGTTAATGTGGGGGGTTATCCTGGGTCCATTCATCAGTGGCACCAGTAGTGCCCTCATTACCACCGAGCAGGTTTGGCAGGCGGGCAAGGAAGGGAAGGGAAGGGATGCCATATTGTTCGGGCGTTGTCCTGCACAACCCAGGAGACGCCGACTTGGATTTCGCCTCTCTACGTCGTCTCCACCTAATCTAATCTACACCAACTCTTACAAGTACACTGTATGGATTGTGTACTCCAAGTCTGTGACGCTGGATCTACAAGTCCAGTCAATTAGGTATAGGTTTTTTCCTGCGGCAATTTCGAAGCCGTGCTGTGACACGATTATCGAGGTTTTGTATCCACAAATTATGGTCCTACAAGGCTGCAAGTCTCCATCTACGAGTGGTTACCTCGTACTACTAGAGTAACAAGATTGGTAGACGGCGGCGACGGGCCACACAAACCAGCCAGCGTGACGCCTGCAGCCGCCTGTCTACCATACTTCACACATCCTCGCCGCACATCCCAAACAAACTGGCCAACAAGTACCTACTATACGGTGTACGGTGTACCGAGTAACCAACCATGGGAATTGTTTGCTCGCATATGCGTTTCATCAGAATCCGCAGTGACGCAGTCATTCTTCATTTCGCCTAATCATTCAGCCTGAACGCCCCGATAACCCTATCTGCGACAGAGTAGGAGCATACACAGTACTTTAAAGCCTCCTTGTGCAGTGATCTTTTGCACCAATCAACTAGGTGGCATGCCTCAACGTTCCTATCTTCAAACCAACACGTCTGCCGCGCTTGTTGCCCTGACGCCGGATTCCATGAATGCCGAAATGGCCTTTCATCTCTGCTCACCTCAACCACTTGAGTCGCCAAGGGTGCAAACTGCAAACATAACGAACGGCGTAGTGGCTTACCCTCCGTTGCGGAGCCGCCAATCTAATACCTATGAGCTCCATTCTCTCCAATCCCATTAACCTAAACAGAGGCACTTTCGCTACCGCCCGCGCAGATCCGCCAAGTATAGTAAACTCAACTGGTGCCCGTCCCGATCCGGCATAGGGGGTGAAAACAGGGGGCCATGGCCTATAGCGTCACCGAGGGAGCAGAGGGAAAATACGATCGGCAGGGGGCTCGTTGCACCATACGGCCGCCAGCATCATGCAAAAATGAGGATGTTCATAACAATCCATCCATCCGCTGAGCAACGTAAGAGCATGTCGTCATACATGTTTGGAAAACCGAGAAGAGCCCGCAGTTTGGCATGGCATGCGATGCGTTGTTATTTACTAATTACTGAGGACTCACACATACGTAACCGCGACCTGGGAGACAGATCGTACAGGGCTCCCGCGATTGCATCTCTGACATCCCTAACATCGTCGCATACCCACCCTCCCCATTCTCAAGTCGCAGATCTTGAGAGACAACAAAGGAGGCTCTGCTAGCTGTCGAGCCTGTCAAGTCCCTCCGATGGATCCTGTTCAAAACTTCCGAGGCTGCAAAACTGGGGTGTCACTAAAATGTTAGCGGAAGGTGGACCCATATCCTAGCTTAGATCATGATCGTACCTGTAGGTAGTCTCATCTCCAGCAAGGAACACGCCTGCGGGAAACAAATTTTTCAATAATTCAATGAGAATCAAGACATACGAGAAGGAACGGGTGGTCAGCGAATAGCGCAAACTAGATCTTCATCTGACAAGAAGGAGAAGCATTCATCTAATTATTTCAGATACTGAGGACTCGATTGCCCTGTTTGGTATTTCTATTTTACAACTTCGACTTCTTGCCGCCTGCAACGCCAGTGACAACGGCGCCAGAAAGCAAGAAATCAGGATACTTGAACGGACCGGAGGACTGCACGCCTGACGTCCGCCATTGTCCGCCATCCACTACAGTCGAAGGTCAGCGCAAGTGGTAAAAAGGAGAGACTAACGATTCAAGATATGACTTACCGACCAGCGTCTCTCCATTCACGTAATTTCCAGTGTCTGAAAACAGATAAATGGTCGCGTCTGAGATCTCCTTGACGGTTCCATATCTGCCCGACGGGATAGACCTCGCGTTCTGTTCACGTCCATCTTCTCGGGAAAGACGCGCCACGCCTTCTGTATCTGCGATGGGCCCTGGCGCAATGATGTTGGACGTGATGCCCTTAGGTCCTTGCTCGATTGCAACAGCATTCGCCATGGCATCAACACCAGCCTTGGCAATCGAGACATGGCTCTGGAGTGGCGTGCCCGAGTAGTGGAGAGTAGCACTGACGAAGATGATACGGCCTCCTGTACCTTTAGCGGGCTTCGTCTTGCCGTCGGTCCTGTGCTTCGCGGCCGACTTCTCCAAGTAGGGCAGCGTCGCCTTGACAGTGTTGTAGGAACCCAAAACATCAATATCAATGACCGACTTGAGCGCGTTTGGCGAGATCTGGTCCATTGGGGCCAGGAAGTTTCCCGCCGCTCCGGCACTGCACGGCATTAGCCTCCCATGTTTCGCTCGAATGCAAGGGAAGGAATAACAGGTATCTTCTTACATGACAAAGTCGATGGCACCGAGTTCTTTGGCACAGCGGTCCGCCGCCGCCGCGAGCGCCTCGGGATTCCTTACGTCCACTGCGCCGATGCCGATGACTTTTGCGCCTTTCCTGGCCGTCGCGATGTCTTTGGCCATGTTCTCTGTCTTTTCCACATTGCGCCCGATTATGCAGGCGTTGGCACCGAGGTGGACTAAGGCGCGGACTTGGGCAGAGCAGATTGATCCTGCACCGCCAGTACAGAATACAACCTTGTTATCTAGATGATATATGACATTAACCACAGCTCTGCATGTAGACTAAAGAAAACGGAGATGGCACAACAGCACCACTGACAGGTCGCACATAGTGGGACTGTACTTGTGGTACTATAGGTCGTGATTTCTTAATTCGTGATAAGAGTGGGCTTTGCATACCAAAGATGCCATCCTTCCAGACATCGCTCAAATACTGATATGGCTCCAAAGGCATGGTTCGGGGAGTTTTCCAGTAAGGTACGTCAGGGTCGTTGGTTTGAGATGACAGCGGTCTCGCGAAGCTGGTGGGGATGAGAAGTGGGTTCCGAGTAGAGTTTCACACCGTAATATAAGACGAGAGGAGTTGCTCACACCTTGCGTATGTTACGGCTGCGGTCTGGCTTGCGGATGGAGTTGATGGCGTCGATGAAGTGCGGTGCTCCAGCTCTGCCGAGGTATCTCTGTGAGCTTACTCGGTGGACACCCCCGAATACTAATCTTGAGTTCACACGACTAAGGGAGCGCATCATATGCATATTCAATAGTGTGGAGTGAATGGTTCTCAAATTGATACGCTGAATACGTTATTCTCATTCAATTTCGACCCTTTTCAATTGATTATATGCGTGTTCTGTTCTTTCTTATGAAATTATCATAGGAGCTTTGACCACCCTTGACTAACCAGCCAGATCCCCGCGATTTGATCAACGTCAAGCTGCATATCTAACCGCCAGCTACTTTTGACTCAACACCACGAACCCGCTCACGCTATCAACCCGAGGTAATAGCATTACAACCAGCTAGTGCCAAGATGTCCGCCGGAACAATCGCAGTCTGCAAGTTCGTAGGCACAATAAGCCTGGGCCTACTCACAGTAAGTCTTATCGAAGCCGCCAGCTCCACGCTGGATTCGTGCCCAATCCTCGACACGCATCACCGGGTGTCAAGATCAATGCAGATACCACAAATCTAGCAAAGTAAATTGAAAAATAGCTAATTATCAACAGGGTGTCTCAGCGACGCTCAGCACGCTGACCCTACCATCACTCTTGACCCTCTCAACCGCCGTGACCGCCCGCTCAACAGTAACCTACCTCCGCACCCGCACCAGCATTCGAACCTCTTATCTAAGACACATCACGACCTTCTCCCTCTTCTCCGCGTACCTCCTCTCTCCACGACGATTCCGCCACCCGTACCTCCTATACACCTCCATCCTCACATTCCTCTCCGGCCCCGGTGTGGACTTCGCTATCCAGCTCAAGGAAGGCAGCGACGCGTCGCGGGAGGCCCTCGACCTCGAGGCCCAGGGCGACGATGTCAATGGCGAGATGGTGCGCAAGAACGTGGAGCGCATGCAGTACACCGAGAACGTGAGGAGCATCGTCGCTGGGCTTGCGTTCACGATGGCTACGGTCGGGCTGTGGGGTGACGGCGCGTAGAAAAAGTGAGCAATTCCGAAGAAAGTATTACATTTACTTCCCGCAAGAAGACGGACTACTCGACGACGACTATGAAGAAATCAGAATTGCAACGATTGCTGGATGGACTGATGGTGTATTGGAGTTTTGATAGATCGCGATTATTCCCCCTCCCCTTACCCCCTCCCGTATGTACATCTGGTGTTTGAGGGAGTTGGAATTGCCGTTGCGTAGCTGGTACTTGTTTATATCGACATTCCCCCTTCTTGCCCTTCCGTAGGGCTTTGTACATCTATGAAACAAGAAATAGGATATCTATACTCGTTTATATGCATTTGGGTAACGGCGATGTGAACTATCCGTGTAGACATGATAACATGGTTTTAGTTTACATGGAAAAGTTGAAACATGCCCATTGAGTTCGAAATATCTTACCATTCTAATGTATCCTCAGTCATTAATCGTTCGGAGCTGGGCTCACATAATGAGGCATCTCGTCATGCCAAGATCCGCTGCCCCACTATCAAGGTACTGCCTCGACCCACGTACACTCAACCTCAGCATCAGCGGTGTGCTTTCGAACACTCCGGACCTCTACACATTGAAGTCCACTTTCCCTTCAATTCGAATAGCTAACCTCCCCATTATCCTCCATCATGCAGTCAGGAATCTCCGGTAACTACAAACCCCTCCCCCACTCTCCCCACAACCACCGCCATTCTAACCTCCCAACTCCAGCATCCCAAGAGCTCAAAACCGCTCTCGGAGAGCTCATAAGCAGCACCACGCAGCGAGGACTTCTCGCCACAATCACCAATGAACAAATAACCCCCAGCGGCACGATCCCCTCCTCCACCCCCTCCTTCCTCTCCGACCTCAACACCCTCAGCCCTCACATCCACCCCAACCAAGCCCTGTACATCCTCCTCCGCCGCGCCGATGCCCTCACCTCCGCGGACAAATCCCTCGTCGCGGTAACCTACGTCCCGAACGCCGCTCCTGTCCGCCAAAAAATGCTCTTCGCCTCCACGCGGCTCACGCTCGTCCGCGAGCTCGGCGGCGAACACTTCCCAGAGAGCGTCTTCACGACCGAAGCCGACGAACTGACCTCCTCAGGCTGGGAGAAGCACGTCAAGCACACGGAGAGCGCGAACCCACTCACCCAGGAGGAGCGCGACCTGCAGAACATCCGGGAGGCGGAGGCGCTGGAGTCGCGCGGCACGCAGGGCAAGGGGCTGATCCAGGGCGGGCAGATTGCGATTCGTGCGGACGGGGAGATTTCTGCGGCATTGAAGGCACTCGGGGAGGGCGGGGAGGATAACTTGGTGCAGTTGAGGATGGATGTGCCGAGTGAGACGTTGAGGTTTGTGGGGTCGGATACTGCGGACGAGACGACGCTGGCGGGGAAGATCGATGCGAGCGAGCCGCGGTATTCGTTTTATAGGCATGGTGGTAAGGAGGGGGCGATTGTGTTTGTTTCGACGTGTCCGAGTGGCGCGAAGATTAAGGAGAGGATGTTGTATGCGGCGAGTAGGGGGAACGTTATCACGTTGGCGCAGACGGAGGGCGGGTTGAAGGTTGCGAAGAGGATTGAGGCGACGAATCCGGATGAGGTTACCGCGCAGGTTATTTTGGATGAGTTTAAGGTTGAGGCGGTGGAGGAGAAGAAGGGTTTTGCGAAGCCGAAGAGGCCTGGAAGGCGGTAGAGGTTGAGCATGTTTTGAAAATGCATTTGATATATGGTTGTTGTTGTTGTTGTTGTTGTTGTTGTTGTTGTTGTTGTTGTTGTTGTTGTTGAGACAGTAGGTTGGGAGAAAGTGTCGGAGCTGCTGGCTCGGCTCCATGGTACGTCGGCATAGATAGACATGAAAAACCAAGGGTATTAAAAGAACGATCAAAGAATTGTGCTTGGTAAGAATCGATATGACTTTTTATCATGATTCTTACGAACTGTCCGTCCAACTATGCCTGTGCATGGACATTGACTCCACCTCTATAGTCGGCCATCATGCAATATTTCCAAAAGAAAAGAAACCTAGATACACCGGATATCTAACTTCAAAGCATACCCAACATCGACAACAATGAACAAGAAGAAGACTTGTCTCCCCTCTCTCATACACACCCGTCAGCTTTCCGTCATAACACACGACAAATGTTCACGTATTTACAGCCTCCATCATTCCTCACCAAACACAAAAATGGAGATAGAATAAAGGAACTCTACTCCTCGTACTGCCCACCCGGTATCATCTCCCTGCCCTTCTCGAGCACGCCCTTGAGGTACTCGTACACGGTGAACGTAACGGCCTGGCCGGGCGCCACACGCATGATGCGAGGAGTGATACCCTTGTAGAAGCTCCGACTGCCTTCCTGTTTCCACATGTCCCTTTTCGTGCGTTAGTGATTTATTTCTCTTCTCTCTTGGAAGACCACAGGAAAGGGGAAGAGGAAGACTCACTTCGAGATATTAACAATCCTACTCACAGCCGTCTGCCCAGGCTCCGCAGGCGTCTTCTGCAACCTTGTCTTAATCGTATCGATCGGCGCATTGCTGAGCGGGCCCATCGCACCGCTCACCAACCCAATGAACATCGTCTGCCAGCTCGGCAGGTCGGTCGTGCCCTGCCAGTCCTGGAGCCGCGCGCGGAACTCGCTGTACGCCGTGAAGTTGACGGCCTGGTTGGACCCCTGGCGGAGCGCAGTGAGCGACACGCCGCGGTACAGGGCGCCGAACCCTTCTTCCTTGACCACGGTGTAGAGGGCGTGCGCGGCGTTGCGGTACTTGGGGACGTCGAGCGGGTCCGCCATTGAGTGATGTTGGGCTTGGAGTCGGATTTTGACGACTTCCATGGGTGTCACGACGGCGACGGCTTCGGTTACACCTGCGGCGAGTCCGGCTGTAGGAGGGGGTGGGTGGTTAGCTGGTGGTTCTCATTCTCCAGGGACTTGCGAGGGGATGGATTGGGGGTATGGAGATTTTGTTGCCGGTGTTTGTGTATTGGAAGTTTCTCCATTGTGTACACCTCTTTCTCATACACTGAAGAGACAGTGGGGAATTGAGTATTTCACATACCAGAAAACGTAGCCTGTCCAGTCACATTTCCCTGTCCATCAGCGAGCATTTGCTTGTACCACTCGTAACTGGTGAACCGAATGGCCATCTTGGGCACGATTCCCGTGAGGACGGCTCCAAGTCCCTTGTAGAGACCGAGCGGTGTCTCCCGTTTCACGATCTCGGATCCGGTTTTGATGAAGCCGCGTTTAGGCGCCTAAGACATGTTTAGACATTGTTCAGAATGTGTGCGTGTTCGCGCTGGAAAAAGAGTAATTGGCGAATGGTTGTTGGGGTGATATGGTGGGGAGTTGGGGAAGACATACGCCGGGAGCGCGAGCTCTTCTCGAAAGCTGCATTCGCACTTTGATTGTGTCTATAGATTGTACATATTAGTGAACTGTCTTTCTCAAGCTACTGAGATGCTCATGGCTGGGAAGTTAACACACCTAAGGGATGGCACACGAGCGCTTCCATCATACCAGCTCCTCCACCAGCTACAGTTCACAAAGTCAGTTACTTGATCACATTTGACTTTTGGTCCGATTCTACGGTTCAATTCGGGGCCATACCAATCAGATTAGTAGCGGCCGAGGCAGGCTTCTTGCCGCCAGGGCCTTGTGTCGATTTTGCGGACATGATGTGGAATTGCGAGCAATGCGCTCAAGCGGAGTCGAAGGTATCTCTTGATGTATGTACGAGATCCAATTGCTACGGGTATGCGCTGATCCTTTTGGAATGGGGTTTTGCGGGTAATGGTTCGCAATTTGTTTCTTGTCTTACGCAGGTATGCAAGAACTGATATCTTTTTCCTCGGCAATGTCTTGAAACAAAGGAATTGGTATATGATGCACGAAGCTCGACGAGCTCACAACGAGACAGAAAGAGCACTAAGTCACTGGGACACAGAAACGATGAGAGAGTATGAAAGTAGAAAGACAGAGAGAGAGGAAAAAGAGTAGGAAACCCGGAAGCAAAAGTACCCAGGCAATAAAAACGTCACAGTCATACTTCCCTTTAAGCCTCTCCCCCTCCTCCCCTCCAGAAAGGGTCATTTGAGCTAAGTACCCTAGTTAATAGCTACCCGCGGGTGTGAATGACCACGATGATTTGTCTGGGATGAGCCTCGGCCCTGCGTGAGCCCAGACCCAGACTGGTGGGCGTTGGAACTTGGAGGAGAGCACCAAAGGAAATGATGGACTGATTCGACTTGGCAAGGCATAGATGAGCTAATGGGTTTGACTGTGGGCAAAAGCATTACCCCAGATCCGCATCGTGGGCGAACGGAAGTTGAGAGCTTTCGGTAGCAGATCGGCTGCTAAGGAAGGCTTTTCCGAAACTGGATTTATATATTTGTATCTATCCTTTGCTGCGGCAGCGATGGAGAGAGTTTGTGCAGTTTGTTAAGAAATGTCTACATTGATGCAATCTGCATCTATCATCAGGTGTGGCGCAGAGGAAAGAGTAGTTTTTTTCTTGCCTTGAGCATAGGAATACATGTGAATGTCGACCGGGTGGAAGGTGGGAGGTCGAGTTTTCGGCTTGTGAAAGAATGACGTTCGGTGAGCTCGGCAAAACATCCCTGTCAACGCACGCGATCTAGTTTGTTACCCTTTTTGGTACGAGTATGTGGGGTTGCTTCCCCGGCTTTGTCCGCGTTGGAGAGCATTTCCATACATGACCACCTCGTGCTGTTGCAACAAGCTTAGGAGCATTTGGAGGAGTCACACTTTCACGTGGACGGGACAGACCTTCTCAGACGAAGATCTTCCGGGTTGTTGCCCCGTTTCACGCTAGGCAATGAAGACATTGAGGCAAATCACGATCACCGTATGACCGAGGTGCTCCTTGTTTCCATGCCGAAGCTTCGATGAGCACCGGAATGAATTGTCCCTGTGTACTTCACTATAGACTGTCGCCTATTCAAGAGAACAAGAGGTCGTGGTGTTGAAATTAGGGTCATTGAGATACTACTCATGCCGCAGTCTTGTGTCAAAAGTATGTACACGAACGTCCTAACCAGGTATCAATACACGCATGCGCCCCATTACACTCAGAAATCATTACCCGATAATCGTTATCATAGTTCCAAATTCTCTTCACCTTCTGGCACGTCCACGTCTTCAGTTGTGTCCATCGGCTTCAACAAGCCTTCTGGATCCGTCTCTGCTTCTGCTGCAAAGCCAACTTCGCCAAGCATGAAACGACCAAAGTACAAAATAGCGTCAAGCATTTCTTCACCAGTGGGGATGATGTTGTCTTTGGGGAGCAGGAAGCCGTAACTACCGGTGTCCCGAAGCTTGACTTGATATGCGTATTTGACCCTCAGCTCGTGGTAGAACCAATCGAGAGCACTTCCTCCGCTGGACTCGATCCGGGGGAAGATGACACGGTCCTTCTTGCCTTTGGAGTCTTTGGTTGTTATGGCGACATTTCCTTCGCAAGCTGATGTGACCTTGTACTGATGTCCTTTCTTCGACACACGGATGGCCTTGGCCAGACCGAGAGCGAGCTCTTCCAGATCCTCGATCGTCGGAGGCTCTATATTGCACGTGTATGAGTATGGGTATAGGATCTGCTGTGAGTAAGAGTGGAGGTCGAGAAACGCAACGAATTCGACATTGCTATTGTCGGTTTCGTTCTTTGCCCATTCGGCGAACCGTTGAGACTCCACGCCATGGAAGGGTTCATCTCCAGCATATGATTCGCTGCAAGGGTTCGATCGGGATGTATTGCCATCCCATTCAAAAGGATAGCTTCGGTCAAGATCTATGCCATGGCAAAAGCGGAGACTCGTTGGCTGTCTGTTCTTCCTCCACAAACGATCTGTCTCCCAGGTATAGGCATAACCATCAGGATTGAGCGTTGGAACGAAGACGAAATCGAAGTTCTCAAGCAATTTAGTTACGGTGTATATCTTTCCATACGAATTGATAAGGCTCCATGCAATGTAGTTGACCGTGCTCGTGGAAATCCATTCGCGGGCATGAGATCCGCCTGTGATCAGCACAGTCCTGCGAGGTGGGGTTGGCTCGTCGTTGTTCGTGGGGTGGACTCCAACGCGCAAAGCGGGAATGTCTCGGCCTTCGTAGGTGATACCAACGTTGATCTTGCGCACATGGGTAGTGAACATGGAAGACATCAGACTCATCCAAGGAGAGATGACGGACAGAGGCTGATAGTCCTGGAAGAAGGGGTGGCCCTTGGATCTGGAGGGAGAAGTGGTTTTGAGATGAGATGAGAAGGCGCGGTCGTTATCGTGGGATTGCGCGGAAGCCGAAGGATATGAATCGAAGATGGCTTGTGCGAGCTCTAGGTTTTGCATGAGTGGTACGTGGGATTTTTGGAGTGAATCCGGGAGGAGGTTTAGGAGAGAAGGAAGCTGTTGTAGGTCAATAATTGGTGCTCTGAGTGTTTTACTGCGGTTGACAGCGCTATCAACGTACCACATCCTGTGCTATCCGCACATCGACCCAGTCCTCATTGAACTCCCATATGTCCAGGAACAAGATGTCGGCCGCGTCTGCTAGAGATTGAGCTTCCTCGGGTGTGCTGATGGTGAATCGCAACACCATGTCATCCCCGTACTGTGCAATCGTCTGCTTTCCCAAGGTATCATCCTGCTCCTGAGAGTTGCCACTGCTAGGTCGCAAGTTGGCTTGGGTGTGCGATTCGCCCCATATCTTTCGGATTACGGCGTCAGATAGCTTGCGCCAGGGCCGAGGGCTTTCCTTGAGGGGCTGAAGAGGAAGATCGTGAGCGAGTTCAGAGGTCGGGTGGTGCGGGGCGGCGTGTAGTGTGGAGGGAGTGAGGAGCAGCAAGCTCAGCAGGGTGCGGGAATGCATCGTGCTGGGAGGACCTTAACGAAACATAGGAAAAGGATTAAGGGAGAGAGCGGAGGGGCGATACCCGCGGGAGAGGAGAGGAGGGTGGGATATTGATTGGGATTGGCGATGTGATGCGATGCGATCCGATACAATGGGGTTGCAGGACTTGAAGGTGAATGAGCGAATGCAGGAATCGTGAAGCGGGTCAAGAAATCTACGCAGGCACAGGCAGTCCTCCGTATCGTACTCGTACTCGTAAGAGCCCGTTAGAGTATTAGCGAATGGAATGAATGGGATGGGAGGCTGCCTGGCCTGGCCTGGCCTGGCATGACATGGATGGGCACATGGGGAAGCTGTCCGTCTCAGGCAACTCCCAATCCGGTAAGTTACGTACCTCGGAGAGACGAGCTGGGTTTAGCTCGGCTTCTAATGGATGACTAACAACTACGAACCACAGCATCTCGTAATAAATAGAATAAATCATATAGTGTATTCTACGAGCAGTGAATGATACCAGATCAATTGCCTAGACTGTGTGAGTTCACAGTTAATTCAATGAAGTCCAGGTATCTCTTGTCACGTAATTCCTAGCCGGCAACGTTGCTGACCTCCTTCTCGTATAACGCCTAACTTATCGTATAACTAGCGGTATGGCATATTCGCACCATGGGTACTTGTAGTTCTGCGACGGGCTGCATGTAACAAATGAAACAGATAAATAAAGGTACAAACAACCTCTACATCAGGAATGCTCTGGTATAGTGTGGAGAGAGCATGAAGATAGTCAATTGAATAGTTAGGTATTTCGTAGATACTTATTGCTTTCGTACGGAATAACGCGAACATGTACTCTTCACATGTACTCCGTACCTCGAAGTAATTACCACGTACCGGGTATGCGCCAAAAGATGTACCACAGTAGCTAGAAATTACCTACTCTTGGTCCTCCTCTTGGGAATCCTGCTCTCGGATCAAGTTGTGGACCATGGGAAGACCTGGATTGCGTGTATCTATGCCATAATAATCACGTCTATGCCCCATGTGTGCCCAGTCTCGGTCTTGTTAGGTTTGGCCTCGTCCCTCTCAGATCTTCCTCTCCACTGTGCTGCATCGTCTCCCCGTGCCCATCTCCATCTCTGCCATCTACTGGTCCCTAGATGGGAGACCTCAGCTCTCAGCTCAGCTCCAATCCAGCCCACTTCAGCTCCATGATAGGTCTCCTCTCCTAAATTGCTAACTCACCTATTTTTGCTATTCCTATTCCTATGGCCTTATCCCATCTCGCCTTGCCTAAGAACATTCTAGCCCTAAAGCGTACCAACAGATACGTATACCCTTCATTAGGTACACCGGTCCAGGTACCTCATCTCGTCTCGTCTCATCCTCCTTTTTCTTTTGTTCTGTGATATGGTTTGATTCGATTTCAATCTCCACTCCAGCTCTGTTCTGTTTCGAATTCCCTTTCAGTAATTAGTACTACGGAGTATTGTGCAAAGAATCAGGTTGTCTGCCTGTCTGTCTGGGTTGTTAACTTGTTTGTCTGCCCCCCGCTGTGGCCGTCATTCGTCCACGCATTCACGTCCGCGTCCACGTCCACAACGGCAAACCCACGTTCCATCCATCCTCCCAACTCACTCAATCTCCACACACCCACCGGCGCCAACTACGACAATACTATCCGTACTACATACCCTACAACCACCAGTCCACCACCTTACCTATTACTATCTCAGCCTTACGGCGCACTTCCGACCCCCCGACTTGACTTCCTGACCTGCCTTACCTCCCACCCACCTCCTCATCCCCCCAGTACAAGCAACCTCCCACTTCCGCCTTTCTCACCACTCTCACCACCCTCCAAAAAACTTAACACGCAACCCGACTGTGCCATGTACCCCATTGTGCGACACATATCTGCGTAGATGAGCTGCTAGCATCCGTGAGCGCAATGCCTCTGAGGGCTCTTCGACCAAATCGTAGTGAACGGGACCTTCAACGCCGCAGCACCCTGGACCTCTTCACTCGGAAGACCGCGCGCATTAATCAATCCAGCGACCAGCTGAGCAGCACTCCCGCTGCAGAACCCGAAGATGCAACTCGACTGTCGTCCACCACCGATGTAGGCAGGCCCTCGTGGGCGGACGAGTCCAACAACAATGGCCCACCCCCTTCGCCGCCGGTGCAGGAACACACCCCGAACACGCGACGCTTCAGTATGCTAAGGTTTCGCCATGCATCGGATTCGCAATTGTCCACAAGGGCAAAGGAACAGCAAGCTGCCGCCGAAGCCCCGCCCGTTCCCACGGTTCCTGCCATGACAATAGACAGTGAGGTTCCCCCTCCCCAATTCTCTGACCCAATCATGCGAGCATCAGCGCTGACGTATGCTAATACAGCACCGGCAATCATCACCACAGCTCCTACTGTCGTAGACCAGCCGGACCAAGCCGATCAGACGGAACTGCTAGCCAAAAGGCGAACGCGGCTCCAGCAGTTCTCCCTGCGAAGACGATCTTTCGACCCTGCATTGGCCGACCGACCAAATAATCTCCGCAAGTCGATGGACAGGAAGTCTAGCACTGATATAAAGAGGGGGCCGTTCTCGTTCAATAAAAAGGGCCAGCAGAATGCGTCCCCGGCGGAGGAACCGGGGAAGTTGTCCACTACGCAGCGCCCGGGCATACTTCACGAGTCACCAAACGAATCGTCGCAGGAAGGGAAGTCCTCATTGTCGCTTCCCGTCCAGCGCGCCTCCGAATCTTCCAGGTCAGACGGTAGCTCTGGACGCCATATCTCCTTCGAGAACACCCCAAGACCGCAAGCGACACCGAAGAATAGTTCAACGCGCCTGCGGTTCGGGCGCCGCAAAACCCAACGCGCATCTCTGTTTCCATTGCCCATGAAAATAACACCTCCTGAATTCCCTGACACGGCACCTGCGACCCCACGCGCGTCCACGAGCGGAGTCAGTTCTGGATCCCCGCATCACTCGCCAGGCGCGGAAAGTCCGCCTTTGACCGCGATACACAATTCTCACCTCGACGTCGAACATGGTCCAGGAACTCCGCCCATTCCCTCGCCTTCACAGGTCGCCCAAGCTGCTGCGGCTATAAACATCACCACGCCACACCCCGAGTTGCTACGCAACGATTCTCAAAGATCCATACGCTCCTCACGCTCTTCACCAAATGCCACGCCTATACGTCTGGGATTAAGGGGGCGATCCTCTACTATGGGTTCGCTAGGTGGCCGATCTGATGATGTACCCCCGCCTACTCCACCTTACGCAGGCAACGGGGGCAGTGGTAGGACGTCGACTTCTACGGTTGGGAGGACAAGCTTCAGCAATCTGTTTGGGCTCGGTGCAAGATTTCGTCAGAATTCAGAACCGCACTCGCCTAGGCATGGGTCTCCTGCTCACGGACTCCCAGGTTCATCCGCATTGTCTTCACATCAGAATTCTATGAGTATCAGCCGAGAAGCCCTGATCCTACCAGAACGGGAAGAAGGCGAAACCCCCGGTCATTTCCTCGAAAGGATGGAAGCAAACAATGTTGGAAAAAGCGCCATTGCCAGTGTCCTTACGAAGACAGAAGATGCGTTTCTTCTTTCAGTCTTGCGCAGTTATATGCGCAAGTTTGCTTTCTTCGGCGATCCCATCGATATGGCAATACGCAAATTACTGATGCAGGTAGAGTTGCCCAAGGAGACACAACAGATTGACCGAGTTTTGCAAGGGTTTGCTGATCGCTACCACGAGTGCAATCCCGGCATCTACATCAATCCAGGTAGGCACAAAAATAGATGTTTAAGATGCTTGGCACTGACTCGTTGTAGACAAGACATATTTCATCTCGTTCTCGATTGTCATCCTTCACACGGACTTTTTCAACAAGAATAACAAGAGGAAAATGCAAAGAGCCGATTACATCAAAAACTCATCCTGCGAGGGCGTTTCCGACGATGTTCTGGGGTGCATATACGACAATATTGTCTACACACCTTTCATTCATATCGAAGACGAGGTTGATTTGAAGAACGTGGCATCACGGCGATCGAAGCGGGTTGCAGTACTAAAGGGTCCAATGAATGACCCAGCAAGAAAAGCGGCGAAAGAGCCTATAGATCCATACACCCTTATTCTTGAAGGGAAATTGGACGCGCTGCGCCCTACCATCAAGGATGTCATGAACCTGGATGATCCTTACAGTTACCTTGGAACTTCACCTACACTCGACACTAAGAATGCGTATAAGCTGTTTTCCAGGTATGGAGTTATCCAAATCGTGTCTTCTCGGTCGCGACCAGAAGCATTCATGTCGCAATCATCTCAAGAGAACCCATTGGAATCTTCCGTTGGGATTGTGGAGATGCCAGTTACCAAGGTGGGAGTGCTTTGGAGGAAGGATACAAAGCGAAAGAAGGCAAGGTCACCATGGCAAGAGTGGGGTGCGGTTCTCACCCGATCGGGTCTTTCTCTGTTTAAAATGTCAAGCTGGGCCAAGAACCTTATGCATCAACACGAGCAGCATGTCAAACATGGGGAAACGGGCGCTGTCGTTTTCCAGCCGCCTCTGCAGGAGTTCAAGCAAGACCACATGATACCTATGGATGGTGCCGTGGCCTTGGTAGACAACACATACAGCAGGCATAAGAATGCCTTTGTTGTCTTTTCCAAGAACGGCGAGGAGACCTTCTTGGCTGATAGTGAAAAGGATCTGAACGACTGGCTTGGGACCCTGAACTATTCGGCCGCTTTCGAAACTCTCGGCGTGCGACCGAGAGGCATGATAGGGGGCCTATATGAGGGACAGAGACATCGAGGCATCAGGCGACTTGAATCTGCACACTCTACCAAATCAGTACCGACAGCGACGGGCGAGGTCACCATAAGAAGCGGCAAGATCGATAGCCAATTCGCCCAGGAAATGATGAACTCTCGGAGGGAGCTAATGCAGCTTCGAATCGACGAGTCCGAAGAAAAGCTAACACAAGCAATCAAGCAATTGGAGGCCCGGCTTAGAGACGCTAGGCATCTGCAAATATTGGCGCCGATTCAACCGAAAACCCGCGAATTGCTCATCCATGCCGCTGGAAGACTGGCTGCAAAACTCAAATGGGCTCGAATTGAAATCTGGCGTATGAAGTGTCATCGCGATATACTGGCACAGGAGCTAGAGGAAGAAAGGCGTACGAACAACGAACGTCAAGCTCGCATCGACAAGATCAGCGCAACCTCACAGGCCTCACCTTCGCAACTCTCCCCTCAGCAGTCCAACAAAACATCAAAACTTGGTAGCCTTGCCCGCTTGAGTTCCAAATCTAGCTCGAATAATGCAATACAAAGGCCACCAAACTCGCCCTCGGCCTCGTCTTTCCGACCAGGCACAAAGTCTTCGCGAGATTCCGACTTTGGTGAGGATCTTGCTTTCAAGACCCCTCCAGAAGGATCCCAGCAATCGAGTCCGAGCCATCCTTCAGGCCAGTTCAGTCTTCCTCCTCTCACATTCAGTCATTCATCGGACCACCGACTTTCCTTCACTAGCTCGCTCGCTCAGTCGCCTCGTTTGGCCCCAAGTGAGCGGGAGCATCGCCCTTCAATATCTACCATGGGCGATGGAACGGTTGACTCGGACGCTGCCTCTGAAAGATCTCGATATACGACACCGCCCCCTATCGAGATTGGGAAAACAGAACCCAAGACGCCTGAAATTCGTCCTGCCGATGCTTTACGTCCAGACATTGACTCCGAATCAGATGCTGAGTATCCACCCTCGGCAGTTGCTGGCTCTCCAGAATCTCGTTTGAAGTTTAGGCGGAGCTTGCAGAAAACTCTGCGCGAAGCTCATGGTGCAACTACAGGCCACCGCCGCGGACACAAGTCGCGTGACTCGGCATCGACTGTAGTCAGTGATGATACGAAGGAGAGTGAGGGTCTTGCGCGAGGCAAGGGAAGCTTCACAGTACATGGCAAGAAGGCATCCGTCATTACCTTCGGTGCTGATTGGCACAACACGTCTGCAGAAGAACGACTGAAGATACGGAAACAGGCACAGGAGGCTCTTGAGGGTGCTGGACCGGTCGATGACAGAGCAAGCGCCGATGGCCGGGCACATTCCATCGCCAGTGACGGCGCTCCAATAATGATGAGTGCTCGCGCCGGCGAACCTGACGATGTCAGCCCTCACCACTACCTGCACGAATTTGACCTTCGCAAACAACGTCATGTGTCATCTCAAACCATCACCCCAGCCAACTACCGGGAAAGTTCGAAGGGAAAGGCCGCCGAAAGTGATGACGATTCGGAAATGAGCGACATCGAAGAAGAGTTGTCTCCAAAGGACCGAAGTCCCACAGATCCCCAACACATTCAGAGCTCGAGTGGTGCTCAGGAACGATCCGAAGCCTCCAAAGCGTGAGGAGCTCGGGTTCAATGCATCTTCCCCTTCTGTCTTCAATTACTTCGTTATATTTCCTTTGTCTCTGCGTGGGGGAAAAGCTTCTGCGTTCGCGCACTACTCCATGATGCATTTAATCATATCCTCGCGTTGTATATCCATGTCGCATTGCATAAACAAGCGATCGAATTTCCATCAAAACATTTCCTTGCTGTCCTCCACAACTTCTCTTTTATACATGATACACCCAGCATATCCACACGCATGCACGCGAGCATAAATACATATACATACACCATGAAAAACCCTTTCAAGTCCACCTCTGCTCTTTCTTGGATGTCTGCAGATTCATCTTGACGTAACACACATGGCGACAGCAGGTACCATACGAGTCACAACCTTCCCTTCCATATTCCCATGAACGCTAGCCACACCCCAAACACGAAACCTCCTATAACATGATCCCCTCCACTGTTCGCCCCCTCATCACGGCATGCAGGTACACGGCCTCTTGATACTGTATGTACATATATATGCACCATAGACGAATTCTCCTGGAATCACTCCCAATACATTCGTCTCTTCCGTCTCTTCCGTCTTGCGCCGTGATTCACATGTTCCCTCTTTCGACTCTTCCCGTAAGAAACGTAATGCCACGCTGTCTGTGGGTTCGTCATGTAGTCGTGGCATGGAGGCTGGCGTTGTCTTTTTCCCTCTCCTTGCTTTCTACCCATGGCGCTCTAGGGAAGGAAGCATTGATTATGCCGATGCCGGTGGGTATGGCAAGGAGGTAGGTGTATCACTCAGGAATAAACTTTCCAAATGAGAATCACTGTGTTTGCGTGTCTGTTTCGTCTTTCCTACCTCATCGTCATTTTGAATCTGCATTCGAGAGCGGCAGTGGATGAGTGAGTAAGTGTGGTTTCCTGTGAGCGTGGGTCTCGAGAGTGGGTGTACGAATGTGTCTATGTTTTAGATTTGGAGATGGGTGGAGGTGTTGAGTTGGGCTGTAGGGGGTGGGGGGATTCATATATGATGTGATGTGATGCGTTGGTGAGTGAATGCGTGGATTTGTGATGTATGTTTTCATGTTCGGCTTGTGTGTTGTGGTGGAAAATGGTTCGTAGCTGGGGAGTTCTTTTCTTTCTGTAGTAGAGAGAAGGGAATACGGACGATGATGCGGTAGATTTTGCTTTGGTTACGTCACAGAGCGTGTCTGCTCTAAGGAAGTAATGGGAAGGAGTGGGTGATTTCCGATGACATCTTTGTTATGTTGATATACTGTCATACCTTGGCTCAAACAGGCGATTTCCCTGCATGTATGCATGTCGCATTCTGTAGGAAGTTATAAAGGGAAGGTCAGGATTCGAATGCACACACTTACATAATTCACGTGCAAAGCATCACAGAGAGACGGAAAGTTGGATTGCATGATTTTGCTACCCTCGTTGCTATCTATGGGGAGTTGCTATTTGGGGAAATGGTGCGGGCTGATTGGGAAGGAAGAAAGGAAGATTGCTGAAGTGTGAGATGGATTTATCTCTGGTTGATGTTTCTCTGAAAAGTGCTCGTAGGTAGTCCTGAGAAAGAACCGGTCCTCTTCGATGTCGAATGAACCATTTGGGAATGAATGAGGCTTTCCAGGATAATTGGAATTTTCGAAAGCGATGAAGCTTTCAGAATAACTGAAGCTCCAGAATAAGTAAGGCTTTCGTAGTAGAAAATGTCTCTGACGAATGACTGAAGCTTTTGAGGTCGATGAAATTTCCAGAAAAGATAAAAGCCCTCGAATAAAAATCAAAACTTTTAGGGAACGCTCGGAATTCGCCGTGAACGCATGGGAAGATGATAGAAAAAATGGAAATCGACCATGTTTGATGCAAGAAACCAGGAATGATGTCCATTTAGGGGAAAGCATGTTTTAGCTAGGCCTTCATAATTCGTATGTATGCTGTTATTTTGATGCTGGATGATGATGAAAGATGTGATGGCTGAATAGCGCGAAAACTTTGGGAACTAAATGGACGATTTGCCGAGAATCCAGTTTATGTGAGTGTTGATGCGAAGTGGATCAGAAGACGCTCTTTTAATTCAGCTTCCTCTTCTTGCTGGGTTGGAAGCTAGCTGTGAAGAGACACTCGTCCTCTTCTACCTCCTCTTGTTTCACCAGGACTTCCTTGCGTTTCGGCTTTGTGATCACCGATGGCTTGGAAGATTGGCTTCTGGCTGCCCTAGCCTTGTCGATGAAGTACGAAAGGTCTTGACCTAAGAGATGTGTTGATAAATCAGAGTCATCATCGGTATTACTCATGTCCAAAATCTCGACTGGCACCATCCCTTGAAGAGCGGCTGCCTTCGTCCTAAGATCGGGTAACATATCTTGGAGAGAGTCGCGAATGCTTTGACCACGATGTGTCACCTCGTAAGGCACTGGCACGAGGTCTTGAAGTTTCTGCTGGAAATTCGCCAGAATAGCATCGGCAAACTGAATATTTCCCTCAAATATAGAATCGAATCGAATCTTGGCACTTTTTTGGAAGGATCTCATAACTTGATCGAATATGTGGTTCACAGGATTGCAAAATTCGTTCAAGAGGCATTTCTTCTGGAATCGAGTTTTAGGCTCCACGTATAGCCGCTTCTTTGGAGTACTCTTGGGCCTTGTGGCTGGCAAAGATCTGTATATCTTTGCGAAAAGAGGCGTCGTAAGAATAGGGACAAGAGTGTTTTTTCGGCCATCGATCATAAGCACACCTTTGTAAAGCCGACTCTGCAGAGACTGTAGCTCTTTAATGAAGAGCTCTATGCTTGAGAGGAGCTTTTTCTTGTAGGAAAGCCATCTGGCCTTAGCAATAGAAATTGCCGTGAGGTCAGAGTTGGCATGTTGCAATGCGTGCTGGGTTTCTGCGTGGAATTGACGATAGAAGTGTGTCAAGGCAGCCCTTAATTCACCGTTCATCTCCCTTTGTCCTTGTCTCCAGAAGTTGAGTATAGTTGTGAATTCGTCGGGCAGGTCTTTGTTCCAATCAACCCCATCCACCAGAGATTGCGCCTGGGACATTCCTTTAGTGACACACCCTCCATCTCTCAAGACGCGATTGAATGCGCCATATGGATATTTCAACCACTGAGATTGTACCAAGTTGTTGATCTCGTCTCTGAAGGTGGAATTTGCAATAGGATCGGACATTAGGTTCTCCAAAGAGGTCTCGAGGTATGATCCGATACCCTTTTGCATTTTGGCTCTGAACTTGGTTCGGTATGCTGCAAAGTCTGCAGCCAAGGTCTTAAACCCCTCGCTGCGGTCCTTCTCATTTACCACTCGATCGATTTTCTCCAAAAAGGAATCAAGCTCATTAAATACCTGATAACGCCAATCTCGCAAATTGCTAGCAGCTGGCAAATCGAACAGATACTTTCGGAGTGCAGGGACTCCAGTATCCTCAGGCGACAACTCAGGCTGCTGTGCGTACGGGTACTTTGGCCTGGTGATCCATTTCAAATACTCAGTCGCAGAGATATGAAAAATCCGAACATCATCTGTTCCAATGATGTCTTCGAATTTCCCATTAAACTTAAGGTTGATACTTGCCCGCCGTTGGGCGTGTTTCATAGCCTTTCGCTGTAGGTTCAAGTAGGCTGAGTAATTTGTGAGCAGTCGATCTTGTTCGTCATCTCCGTCATCTAAAGCCTCAATTCTCATAGCTGCAGCCCATTGCACCTGGGAATTAACGTAATTAAAGTCTTCGCCTTCACATGTGTCAAGTTCGTTGTCTTGCAGTGAGTCGACCTTTGTTGCTGCAATGATGACGCCTTCAGCACCACGGCCGTGAAGGGCAGCTCGAATCTTGTTAATGGCTGAATCTTCAGTTGTAATTCTGATGGTGTCAACCAGAATTATCTCCAGATCAACTGCAGATCGAACTTCGTCAGCGTGTCGCTCTTTCAGTGCATTCCTGTCGCCCCACCCTGTCTAGGTTAGTTTTAAACTATACCCCAATGCAGGGCACCGCAGAGACATACCAGGTAGGTCGATAAATTCAAAGCCTTGCTTCAGGAGCTCCCTGTTCAGACCATAGCTTATAATGTCTACCAGAGGCCACAGCGAGAATTCATTATCAACCTTAGTCGTGAAGGGCCTGAGTTTTTTGGAAAGCTCAGCAACAGATTCTCCGTTGTAAACCACGACCCCATCGTCGCTGGAATTGACTTTGTACACAGCTTCAAGACATTTACGCACTGCCTCCCTTTGAAAGCTCCCATCTTGGAATCCTTCGGGGCTCCATGCTTCTTTGAACTTTTCCTTTCCCCCAAACACAGTCTCAAAGATATCCTGGGCTGTATCTTTCGCCTTCACCTCTGCTTCATCATGCTGGCGTTTCTTCCTCTTGCATTGGATAGCTTCGTCGTCAGAATCGTTTTCATTCTCAATCTCATCGGTAAAATGGTTGAAATGATAAAACGCTTGGGAATGATCCTCAACGATTTCCTTCATGCGATCCGGATGATGGAAGCGAATTTCTGCTCGCACAGCATGTTCCGTAGCTCCTTGGTAGTAGACATATCGGATGACGGCATTCGTGCAGGCTCCTCCATCTGACGCAGACAAGCAAAGCCCTGGACAGTCAAGCAGGCTGTTCAGGAATGTGCTCTTACCAGCTCCCTGAGGACCACTCAGGGCAACATTGAAAGTCTTGCTCCTTTTGATCTTGTATATAGACTCTCCCATATCTAGGAGTGCTTGAACCTCCAGGTCGTCTCTGGGAACCCCTTCCATGACTGAGGTAGTCATATCAGAAATCTCTCTCAACTTTCGCGATATCTCGTCATGATCCAGAGCCCACCAGTCATGCTGAATCTTTGACTCGCCGGTAGAATCATATCTGAGAATGAGCCTGTTCTTCTTGTAGAAGCTTGAAAACTCTGCGTAATCAAGGAGATTCCCAGGCGCCATTCTCGGTATTCACTCAGTTCGATGATGCGGGACAGGCTGAAAATCGTGGCAAAGATCTCGTGTGATGAGCTGGGATATTCGATATAGCAAAGCTTCCGCTGTGGGTCTGCGCGATAAGGTGTTCAGAGCTGGTGAGAGCTGGTCGAGACTACTGTATCGGTGGCCGGAAATCTTTGAATTCAAAGGGCGTGAAAGAAGGAATATGTTAAGTCGCTGATCCGTAGATGCTTTTTGCCTCACCCCAAGTGAGAGGAAACGTGCGAAAAAAATCAGCAACTACCTTCGGCTCAAGTAGTTCGGATAATCACTTGAGAGAATAGGCGGTGGGGTTCTGAATCAGTCAGGGAGGTGAAGTCCCGAAACTTGTCGTGAGTGAGATCAGATGATCAGAGAAGTGCCGTGAAGGAGGAGACCAGCAGTAGATAATGTGAGTGAATGAAATGGAGGAGGGGAAGAAATAAGTAGGTATTAGGCGGGCAATAGAAGACGGCCCTAGAAGAAGCAAGTAGATCGTAAGGCGAATGGAAGAGGAGGACCGTGGATATAGATATAAGCGGCGAAGAGAAAGTGGACGAAAAGCTAGGTAGGAAGAAGGGAGAAGTAGAAGTCGAAGATGCGAGGTGAAGCAGGTGAGAGGTGAGAACAAGAGATGAGAGAACGAAGGAAGAAAGGAAGGTTGAGCCTCGTGAGTTAGTTGTTTAAATAGCCTCGTTAGATGATGGTGATGGTGGCCATGTGAGTCGTGAGAGAGAAAATCGGTGAAAGTGATGATTCTCTAGAGTCGATGGCTATTATAAACCCACCGAGTGAAGTCGCCCTAAGATCATAGTCTCAGCGAGCTTCAAAGTACCAGTATATCAAATCTTATACTGCATGGTACGTTCATGATGACTCCGATGGAGATGCATCTTTGTTTAAAAAGACGGATCTTGAGATCAATTTCTATTCAAGAGAAGGTCTGTCAACTTATGAGTACATAATCCATAGCAATTTAGGACATGCATGTGATGATCCGACTACTAATTGATCTGATCATTACAGATTTGATAAGTTCGGTCTTTTAATTTTGTGATTCGTGTGGTTACTTGTCCAGCATAGCATAAGGTATTATATGCTTTGAATTCGCTGCATACGACTGCGCAACAAGGCAAGATGTGATGAAAACTTTGGGTTGCACGAATATAAGGCGCAATTCAGCTTTCCCTCCATAAAAGGTCTCAAATGATGGATCATCATTTCATCTCTTTGCTTATAGTTAGGTGGTCCTGTGAATTGAACTCAGCCACGACGTTGTCGTAGCGGGTGGAATACCGCAATCTCGAAATCGGAACTCCGCACACAGTGCCATCAAAAGGTCCGCCTGAGCTGCATGTCAACACAACATCAAACACAACCTCTCTCGTCGAACATCTCACTATATCACATCGACTAATTACAGCTTCTTTAGCTCAATTAGTCAATTGTATTTACTAGATAAAATCCTTCGACCTCCTTGCTATAGATTGGCGGAGCACCGTCATCTGGTAGAGTCGCAGAAACATGCAAGGCGAGTTCATCTTTCCCTACACATTTGCGAACATGCACTTATTCTAGATCAGAATTATCGCCATCCGCACGCGAAGCATACGACAGCTTCCTGTCCGATACATCACTCTTCGCGCTTCCATTTAGATTCACAGATGGTTCGCTTCAATCACTGGAGGCAGTATACTATCCTCAAGGTCTCAAATCCAGTTTCCAGAATGCATTGGCTGAGCTGGACGCCATTCTTGACCCGAAAACTTCGCTCTTCCTCGTCATTCGGCGTAATGTTTCTGTGACTGCGATTACTTTCGTTCCCTACCTCGCAGAAAAGGGGACCAGACAGTCTTATATTGACTCAAGACACGACTTCATACGGCTGTTGGGAGAGAAGGGTATTTCTTCGTCCATCATTTGTAAAGAGGTAGGAGAGATTACAGATGTTCGAGCATGGAACGAGCGCGACGGAGACGGAGATCCCTGGATGGTTGCACACCACTCTGCACATACAGAGGAGGCTCTAGATGCCGAGACGAAAAGTGATGAAAATGCCGTGACCAAGGACCTCGGACATAGGGTCACTAAATGTCGGTTGTGTGATCGCCGGATGAGAAATCAGATCGAGCAGAATGCTGTGGAAGCATTGAAGAACCTGAATGAAAATGAGGACTGCGTTCAGCTTGTAAGTACTACCATCTACACCTTCATTTTGCAATGAACCTTCGTTGGCTGATGTTGACTTGAGTCTGTGGATATTACCACCGAGAAACTGGTGCTCAACTTCCAAGCGAGCAACATTGCCCCAGATGAAGTCGCAGCCAGAATCCCAAAATCGAAACCAAGCTATACCTTCTATCGCCACCCAGCATCGGGCTTGCTGTACTTTATCAATTCATCCCCAGACGCCGCGACTGTGAAAGAGCGTATGACCCACACGATGGCAGTGCCGGGGTTGGTGAACATAATCGCTAAAGAGCAAGGGGCAGCGACTGATCGAAAAGTTGAAATTCATGACCCTGAAGATCTGATGTTTGAGGAGAATGATGAAACGATTGGCCGGTTTAGGAGTATTTACTTACTGAACAAAAGTGTGGGCACTGAGAGTGTTTGGGAGGGTATGCCTGTCGCGTAAGGCTGTAGTTCCAGGATGGTACTCGACCAAACGTGTGTAGTATCCACTCAAACCACCCGGTTAAAAATAGATCAAATGGAACGCATAACTAGGAATGAGTAGAGCAATATGGGCTCTCTTGTTAATGCTATGATGGTCTTCTTGTTTGCAGAACGTGATTTAGAATTGTTTACTTCCGGAAGGCGTTGAATCAGGTATATGGTCCATTGCGAATGTCGACAAGAACCTGAAAAGAAAATTAAAGATAACAAGGAACTAATTCGTGCAAGACATGGCACTTTGATTCTGAATTCCAGTCGATCTTTGTTGTACATGGACGCCATATATAGCGCTCGTATGACGATATACGAGTGTTCAAGATGATGATGATGTTGTTGTCACAACAAACCCCATATGTAGAGAAGAGATGCTACAATAGATTATAACAGCCAACTTCGCGTTGAACCAAATGAGTATCAATTATGAGGATGCTGCAAAAGATAAGGCTGGAATATATCTTGACTGGACTGGTAACTGGAATAATAATAAATTAAATTAATGCAGAAGACAAGGAAGTGGGTACCTCTCGTACTTGTGGGCGGTGACGACAAGGGTTCAAGTGCCAAGCGACTCCGACTCCCAATGGCGGCCGTTGAAACAGCCAAAACCTCCAAAGCCACTCCTGTCCCATTCCCAACTTCTCCTTCCCATCGTCGTGCGACTACATCTGGACAGACTTAGGGACCGGGAGCCAACCTAATCCCTATCATCGAAGATCTTCAAAAGTCTAGTCGCATTACCCACGAAAAGATGGCAGGCCGCTTCGTGAGATCTTCCAAGTACCGTGCGTGATGCTGTCCTGCGCCCCGTTCAGCTCCGCTTACAACTAACACCATATTGTAGGCCACGTCTTCGGTCGCGGATCAAAGAAGGTATGATTCTCTCGAAGCTTGGAAGATTGTGTGATCCCTTGCTGACTCGGTCCGCTATAGGAGCAATGCTACGACAACCTCCGCATCTCCAAGAATGCCTGGGACACGAATTTGATCAAGGTCAGCTTGCACACGTGCCCAAACCTTCAGACAAATACTCAGATCTGCGATAGGCAAACCCGCAATACGTCTCGGTCAATTGGGAAGCTAGCGGTGGTGGCGCATTCGCTGTCATTCCCATTAACGAGCGAGGCCGTCTTCCCGAGCAGATCCCCCTCTTCCGTGGTCACACTGCTGCTGTGCTTGATACCGACTGGTATGGAACAGATGGTATACATTGGATAACCGCTCTCTAATTCTCCTTCAGGAGCCCTTTCAACGACTCATTGATCGCATCCGCGTCGGATGATGGCAAGGTTGGTAGTTCACTAGGCTACGCGATACATTGGACAAACTAACAGCAATAGGTCTTCATCTGGAAGGTGCCCGAAGGCTTCAGCCTTCACACTGATGCCGAAGAGCCTGCTGATGTTGCGCCGGCCGCGCGTTTGAGCGGACACATGAGGTACGTTTGCGCGATGTGATATCGCATTCGGGTATGCTAACATGCACATAGGAAAGTCGGTCACGTCCTCTTCAACCCCGCCGCCGAGAACATCCTCGCATCCGCATCTGGAGACTACACCATCAAACTTTGGGACGTGGACGCTGGTGCCGCAAGGTTGACCTTGAAGCATAATGACATCGTCCAGTCGCTCTCCTGGAGTGCCGACGGTTCGCTTTTGACGACAACCAGCCGTGACAAGAAGCTTCGTGTATGGGACGTTCGTCAGGAGAGGCCGGCCCAGGAGGTTCCGGGACATCCTGGTGCTAAGAACAGCCGTGCTGTGTGGATGGGCGAGCATGATCGTATCGCTACAACCGGCTTCTCCCGCATGAGCGACCGTCAACTTGGTCTTTGGGATGTTCGTGCTCCCAAAGAGCCTATCGGTGGTTTCACTATCTTGGACTCCATCTCTGGTGTTTGCATGCCATTCTGGGACGATGGTACACAGTGCTTGTACCTGGCTGGAAAGGGGTACGTACTTCGTAAAGCGCTCGTACTTGTTTGTCTAACCTTTACAGTGATGGAAACATTCGCTACTACGAGTATGAGAACGATAAGTTCGAGTACCTGTCCGAATACAAGTCTCCCGACCCACAGCGTGGTATTGCGTTCATGCCCAAGCGTGGCATCAACTTGCACGAGAACGAGGTGCTTCGCTGCTTCAAGACCGTCAACGACTCCTACATCGAGCCAATCTCTTTCATCGTCCCCCGAAGATCTGAGATGTTCCAGAGCGATATCTACCCTCCTACCAATGGTATCAAACCCGGTACAACTTCCTCCGAGTGGCTCGGCGGAAAGACTGCGCTGCCCCCGAAGATTTCCTTGGAGAGCGTGTATGAGGGTGGTGCACCCGAAGAGGTTGCCTCTGACTATAAACCGCCGGCAGCATCTGCACCCATCCAGAGCCCGCCTCCTACCAAGACTGAGGCGCCCAAGCCTGAGCCAGTCGCTGCACCGGCCCCGGTTCGCTCTGGACCTCCTCCCGCCATGAAGGACAACCAGGCATCACTTGCAAGCCAGGCATCGAGGTTTGCCGACAAGGACGAGGAGGAGTCTGATAATGAGTCTTCGAGCTTCGAAGAGGTGCCGAAGCCAGTGGAGCGTCCTTCAGTCACGGCCACCAGACAAGAAGAGAAGACTCGGGGCCCAGCGATTGCGACAGAACCCCAGCCACCTAAGCCTGCACCTGCTCCTGCGGCTGCCCCTGCAAAGTCCTCCCCGGCACCGGCTCAATCTACCCCAGCTGCGACCAGCACGCCGGCACCCGCCCCAAGTGCTGCATCGGCAGCTGCTGCGGGTATTAAAGACTACCTGTCTGACATCAAGGCTACCCTACAGCAACAAAGCAAGGTCTTGTCTGACCAGTCCGATCAGATCGCTCTGCTGATGCGGGAAGTGAGTACGCTGAAGGCCAAGGTCGGTCCTTCGAGTTCCGACCGTGAAAAGGACGAGCGCATCCGACAGCTAGAACTCGAACTCGAAGAGGCCAGGTCCTAGAGAGCAGGCCAATTCAATACGAGTGGAGAGAAGCCTGGAGCGCGTTGTCGATCACGTTGACATGATAGTAGAAGGGCCGAGACCGCCGTACCTTCTGATCTCGAGATCGGCTAAAGAAGGGGACCGTTTATAAGCATCAGTGTTTGATTTAGCGGGCTTGTACACGGTGTTTTGTATGTTCGATAGTAGAGGGCGATGGATAAAAGATGTTTTGATTTACATATCACTATTTGTTATTACACCTTAAGAACTGGAAACACTCAATTGTGCTGTGGACTTATCATTGCGTGGTCTAGCCTGGGCGATGAGCCTATGACGTGTTCAACGTCTCGCCTCGCCTCGCCTCGCCATGATGCTGGCCGCGTGGCTGCAAGGTACACGGGACGGACACACGAGGGCTGCTCCAGCCGACCTTGGACCATTGGCACATATGGCAAATGGGACATGGTGGTACATGACACTACTGTAGGTACAGGCCGGAGTGCCCTATGTACTAATATCTAGTTACATACAGTATTCCGTAGACTATTGGGAGTGACTCCGAATGAGCGGTTTTTGGACCAAGGAGCATGGCATCATGGTATTATTGCATGCATCCATGTATTCCATTTGTGTCCAATCTTACGGCACGGCAGTGAACAGGGGGTTCCTGAAATAGCCATGGTGGGTTGCACTAATTAGCAATCAAGCTTTTACTGTGATTTCAATTACCACGATACGAGAAGCTTATTCCCGACTATCGGTCGATCGTGTCCAACATGGTGAAAATCCCCTTTCCACTCCAAGTCAACTCGGAATTGTCCCGACTCCCCACAATCGTGTTCATCACCGTTGGGCCATAGACCTTTGAAGAAATGCAACTGCAACGGTAACTATGTGACCATACAGCTCTTCGTACCTCGACGTTGCATAAACTATGTCAATACTCAGCAAAGAAGATGAAATTCGACGCCCCTTTTAGCACTCCTGGAGCCTAGAAGTCGTATTACCCCCTAAGTTGCCCCCGCCGTTTGAGCTTGGTCCTGATGGCTCGAAATGAACCAGTCGGAGTATCGCCAGTTCACCCAGTTATTCAGGCCCGCCGTATTAGCGTAAGATTGGAATCGCTCTAGACTTTCATGCAGGAGAGTCTCACCGGATTCTGAAATCCAGTATAAAAGACTCAATTCCCATTGCCTTTTCCTATCTCCTCCACCCCATAACTTTCTTCAAAGTCGGTCCTTTACCACACACATTCGCTACATAATTGCAGTAATACTTTCTGCGGCCTTTCGTTAATACACACATCTCAAAAAGTCCCAACGATCTTAATCCATTTTCAATCAATCTTCTACCTAATCCAACCATCACCGTCACAATGTTCACCAAGACTATTCTCTCCACCATGGCCATTGCCACCCTCGCCATCGCGAAGACTGATATCGGTGGCTGCACATCCTCTGCCAGCGGAGCCTCCCTCGTCTACTGGGTCCCCGGCACCGGCGAGATCTGCTCGATCCTCGACTGCGGCGGCGGCCGCGCTCCCCCCAAGACCACCGTCCCAGGATGCGCTGCCTACGTCGGCACTGCAACCTACGAGCCCAGCTACCTCCCCGGCTGGGGACCTGAGGGCCAGACCTCGACCGAGGCTCCCTACGTGACCAGCGCCGCATCCCCCAGCTCCAGCGGCTACGTCCAGGCCAGCGAGACCAAGGAGGTTTCCTCCTCCGCATACGCCACTGTCTCCGGCTCTGCTTCTGGCTCTGCCTACCCTACCTCCCACGGAAGCACCCTCGCTACCATCACCTCTGCTCCCTACCCCAGCACTGTCCCAACTCTCGTTGGCACGGGTGGCAGCAGCGTCGTGCACCCCAGCGGCCACAACAACGTCACTGGTACCGCTACCTTGACCACCGGTGCTGATATTCCCGAGCACACTGGTGCTGCTAGTGGATTGAACGTCAAGCAGGGTCTCCTCGGAGTCGCTGCTGGTGTTGTTGGTCTTGTCATGTTGTAGATAAGGAAGGATGGATGTTGTTAGAAGAAAGTAATTCGAGATGGAACAAAATCTAAAAAGGAGTTCGGGAAAATACCTTTGCATAGATGCCTTTATTGAGATACCATAATACCTTGTAGTAAATGAATTGTATATATTATATTAATGTGATACTCGGTCTGATTCTATGATGTGTGTTGTGTTCTAAGTGATGATTACTCCGGATTTTAGATACTGGACCCTCCTACGTCTAGTATAAGTGATAACAACTGGAGTAGTGAAGCGTCTATATAGTTGAGAACCTCCAGGGAATGGCCAAACTTGATCACAGTAAGAGTTCATTCAATCTACGTGGCTATGAAAGCTACGGACTGCCTGGAAATTCATGTAAGCGCAGTGAGCAGGCGTGTCATGGGGTCTTACCTCCTACAATTACCTTGAATGCTACTTCCTGTATCAATGTTCATGACCTCGTGCGCTGCCTACTTGCTCAATGACAGTCTGCAGGCGAATGACCCTCTAGGAGATCTGTATGATGCTCTCGTCTTGTATTACCTACTCACTGTGACCGTTCCTGTACTACCTTTTCAACTACACCTGCAGCACTCAATCTCTGACCGCCTCTCCCTATTGGTATATTCTTTTCACTACAATAAATACTCAGTTATAAATAACCTGTGTGTTTCTGATTTCCTAGAAGTGTGAGAAGATGAGTTGACTTTCTCTAATCATCTCTCACCTTCAATCCAGACAAACAATACTCTCGAGGTTCCGACTCCGATCTTCTCGACCATGACAGGCACGCTCTCTACGATCCTCACAGCCATCCTCCTTTCTACAACCGCCCTGGCGACCACGCCCCTAAGCTGTCCAGCATCCAATGCCACGCTGCCGGCTCCCCGAAACCCTCTCTGCCAGACCGTCTACCCCTCTACCGTCCAAATCCTCTCCTCCCTCTACCCAGCCAACGAATCCGCCCCGACGCGCTTCTTCCAGCTCATCCACCAGACGAACATCACATCCGGATTCAACATCCAAGTCGCCTCGCAAGTGCAATTCCTCAATATCGGCGCCGGCCCGCAAAAGAACTGCACACTCGAGCTCCAGCTCCCCGTCAGACCCGACCTCACGAACATCAAGGGTCCCAAGCCCATCTTCAAGGTGTTCAACGTAGCCAAGGACCCGGGCGCGAAGGCGACGTGGAATACGTTCTCGAGTGCCGCGCCCGTCGTTGGTACTGTGAATGGGACGCCTGAGTCGTTGGCTCGCGCAAGGGGAGACCAGGATGGGTTGATCGAGGTGGCGAATGTCAAGTGTAATCAGACGATGACGTTCCAGATGGCGATGGTGCAGCCGGATAAGGAGCCTTGGTTCAATTATTGGGATTTCTTGAATGTGGCGCCGCCGGCGGAGCCTGTGCAGGGGTGGAGGGTCTCGTATGGGTGTTGATACGGGGCTTTGAGATGGTGTGAGGAAGAAATTTGGATCAGTGATTTAGATGGTTGCTTTCCAAGGGGGATCGATTCGGGAAATTGGAGATGGAAGTAATTCGCTGAAGTCCTGGAGGATACCGAGCCCTTTTAGAGTAATGCCATCATATTGCTAAATACGAATTGAGGGTCGTTAACACAATGTCTCATGTCATAAAAATCCCACTAACACTTCCAAGTAATGTACGTTGAACGACAAACCACGGGAATTTCCCTCTCGAAAAGTAATGTCTGCACTTCCAATCCTCCATGGAACCTACTATCTCCTTAATCACCAACTGTCTTCCCCTTTATCTCTTTCTTTCTCTCTCTTTCTATAAAACTGGGTATCGATACGAATCATACAACCTCGTCCCTTCTACTCCCCCCTCAATAACCCCCAGCAGTGACAGCCCTAACAGCCAAGCACTCAACCCTCCTCCTGTAAACTCCCATCATATGCTTGACCGGATCCCCATACACCACCTTCCTCAACATATCGTCGTCGACCGTCACTGCCTCAACATCGTCCTCGTCCTTCCCGCCTGGCCTCTTCCTCAGCACAATGAGCCGTCCAGCCGGACTCAGCGTCGTCGCAGGGATCGGCCACGTCGGCTGCGCTGCTGCCATCACTGCCGCTGCTGCAGCCGGCGCAGACGACGTAGACGACAAGTTGAGTTTCGACAGTGAGGAGGGAAGAAGCGAGGAACTTGACGACGTCGACGGGGCAGGGGAGGCGTAAAGTTTAAGCAGACTCCTCACGATCAACTTGTCCGCCCTGGGCACGGGGTCCCCCTCGTTGATGAAGTTGTAGAACAGGCTCTTCCGATGTCTCTTATCCGCGGGTTTCGCGAGCGGGAGCAGCGTGACGGGCGGGGCGCCGAAGGTGACGCAGTGGACGCGCTTGAAGAAGCCGGTGAGGTGCGAGAGCTCCGAGTCGATGGTCGTGGACATCATGTGTGCGTAGAGGAGGGCGGCGACGGCGCCGCCGGCGGAGTGGCCGGTGATCAGGAGGCTGCAGTGGGAGCGGGAGGGGTTCTCCTGGAGGAGGGAGCGCAGGCGCTCGGCGACGGGGGCGACCATCTTGCGCGCGACGTAGAGGAACCCTGCGTGGCAGAGGTTGCCTGGGTCGTCGAGGAAGTTGGTAGGGGCGGACGGGTCGGAGCGGTAGTTGACGGCCCAGTCCATGAAGGTGGCGGATCCCCGGATTGCGAATACGATCGTGTGCATGTCGTCGATTGGGACGGACTTGAGGACCATGGCTTTCGTGCCGCTGCGCCAGTCCGATGGGATGTGGGCTTCTTTCTCGGACGTCTTAGGTGCTGGGGGTGTGTAGACTCGCTCTGAGTAGGTTGCTGCTAGGCAGAGGAGAGGGTAAGTGGGCATATATCTGGGAAATTGAGTCAGTATAGATAGAGTGTAGAGCGTCGAGTGTTATAGGCTTGGTTTGCCTGTGAACGTACACCTTGAAAGGGGGTAAATGTGGCGGGAGCCTCGAGTTCTTGTAGAGCCAAACCTTCGAGAAGTGATTCAACCCCTTCGTAGAAGCGTCATTCGACCCATACAGCGCATCAGGGAGGTTGCCCCTCGAACTGCCCTCCGACCGATGGAACTTTGAACTCGAGTTCTGATTCGAACTCGAGGACGGGTGGGAACGAGATGGTTGTGGGGGTGTACCCGTGTCCTGGATGAAGAGATCCTGCTCCTTCCCGCTGAACAAATCGCCATCGATGCTCGTGATCACAGCGTCGAGCTTAGAGCTGATGATATCGCAGAGAGCAGCACCGTGGTTGAGGGCCTGCGTGCTCTTCTTCGCCACGGCTTGTGTAGAATTGTCGAAGTATTGGGACGTCTTGGACACAAGGTTTGTGGTGCTTTTTCCTGTACTGTTCTTCAGGTCTGCGTATGACTTTGAAGCTAGACGGTCCACGCGGTTGAAGTAACTGTCGAAAGGTCCCCTTCTTTCCTTCTGGCCTTGTGGCGGCGAGGCTGCGAAGCTGATGGTGGATGGGTTGACTTGTGCGTGGGTGGCCGGATGGGAGGGAGGGGATCCATATGGTAGTGAGGTAGGCGGTGCACATTGTGGAACTGGACCATAAACAGGATGAGGTGCAGTCGGTGCAGAACCGCGGGGTACTCTAAATGCTGGATGTATGTGTGATTGAGAATGGTTGGGTGCCTGAACCGCTGGAGCCGACGGTGAGGCTGCATGTTGTTGCAAGTAAACGGTCGAGGTCGTAGCGTAGGTGTTGCTTTGTGGGATAGCCTGCGATTGGGACGACTTGTGCGAGGACGAGTGTTTGCGTCTGCGTCGTTCATGGCCGTGACCATTGCCTTGACCATGGCCAAGGAATAGGTTCGTCATCGTGTGATTGATATGGTCTTGCACAGCCTGGTGTGCTTAGAAGGTCAATCGAGCCACGGGTGACTTTGGATATGTAAAGGTGATAGAGGATGGCGAAGAGCGATTGAATAGAGTCCCAAACGAATGACGGACCCGTTACCGAGTCCTGGAATCCTCTGTAAATTGTTTGTAGGTCAATGGCAGTCGAAGTCGTAGTCGTTCTTGTGGTAGCCGAGTCCCCAAGTCATTGAAGCCGCGTGCCCAGTGATTTTTCTTTGCAATAGATCCCTGCTCTTTTTGCTTGCTTGCGCATCCAGTCACAGTAGCGTCATATCCATTGTACCAGTCAATTTATTCGAATCGTCCATTCATTCATTCCATCAATCCTCGATCACCTTGCTTGATGTTACGACTATTCAATGTATAGCGAGCAGGAAGACGACCGAGGTCAAACAGGCGGTAAGAGAAAGAGAAAAGGAATGGACAACTCCAGAGGGGCAAGGCCAGCCAGAGCAGGCCAGCAAGACGTTTTAAGAATCGGGGGCTCCACCTGAGCAAAGCTGGCAAATGGCACGACAAGACGAAGACAAGAAACGATGATTCGCCGTCAGTCAGCTCTTCCGAGTCTTCCCCCCTCGTCTGCCACCTGCATAGCCACGACTGATCCCTGGCCCGCCATCTACAGCACAACCTACTCGTACCAGTAATATAGACGGTTGGCACGTCAGGCTGGCCACCTGCTAACTTCAGGTATGTTCTACACCAAAAGTGTCTATTCAAGAGTGTACAGTAGCCAGTAAACAATCTTAAATGCTCGCGACAAACCTCGCGCAGGCACTGCTGTGGACATAAAATACTAGCAGGGGGTCAGCCCGACGTGCCAACCCTCTATCTCACTCTAGCAATCCACCCATATCTGATTCTACCGAACAAACCCTCACTCCCTCGATACGCTTAATAAAACACCGATCCCATTCTTATTTTGCCCATGTCCATGGAAAGCAAAAGAAGCGACACTCGGCTGCGCAGCTTGCAACCCAATTCGTTGGCTTATGTCCGCTTGGCGATACTTCCATGCCCACATCAAGACATCTGATCTGACATGGGGACAACCACCCACTATCCTCCGCTGCACTCTCACTCTCCCCCCTGTACAAATGGCATCATACTCTGCTCCCATGCAGTGCAGGGATGTAGTCTGGGGGCAAATAAACACACTCGCATCATCATGATTGCCGTATAATGCATTCACTCCCACATTCACCTCGCAGTGCATGCTTACCACGAGCCTGGACAGGATCGTCGTGTGTAAATAAATGAAGGGAAGGCTATGTAGTCATCGAACTAAGGCCGTGGTTTGCTCTCCGGATCCGAGGACGCGCAATCTTGACCCTGACATTGCCTGCCTAGGTAGTCTGTAGAGACGATAGTGATTGTACAAGAGGTTTGGCACGTTGGGCTGGCCACCTGCTGGCTTCATGTATCTTCTATGCCTGAATCGAAAGTATACTGTCGCCAGAAAAGAGTCTGAACTCCTCGCGATAAACTATCGCGAGTGGACTGTTGTCGGCATGGAATACTAGCAAGGGGCCAGCCGGAGGGACCAACCCTCTGTATACTGCCTCTTCCGGTAAAATCTACAGCCACCCTGCTGTGTTCTATTCCCGGGGAGATGTATCTCTGTAAGCTATAGTGTTTGGGGACGTTGATCATGGCCCTCTCTTCCTGCATCTCCGAGAAGTATCCCTGCTGGGAAGCGTGCATGTGATCATGAATTGGGAGAGATTTGCGTAATTCTTTGGCCAAGAGGGAAGTTATTCTTGTTTTTGTCAGAGTACATAGAGCAGGTATCACTTGTTCAAGTTTGTCAAGCTGCTTAAATCATTTGCAATAGTCGGTTGGTACCAGCACATACAAGTATATCAATGTCAAGTCTCACTTCATCGAAAATAGCCATCACTCCCATCCCAACTCACGAAATGACAATAATGCATGCCCAGGTATCGAGTTAGATACTGAATGTTTGTGATTACCAATGTGTAGGCACCATGCCCATGTTCAAATCCTCCTTATCGGTCCCCAAACTCATTCACATAACTCGGAAAATCCTCAATGCATGATAAAGCCTTTAGCGAGTCCAGACCGATCATGGACCGCTTAATCCAGTATTCAATGGTACTCTCCGATCCCACTTGTTGCTGTTAAGAATAATAGATCCTCCTTGATACCCTTCGGAAAAGGATGTTGGGCCTACCCATCCGGGCCCACCCGTTCCACCGTACCAAAGTCGAGTACTGCCCATGCCCAGTACCATGAAACGCAAGAACAAAAAGTAAGAATTGTGATGTAAGGTGTGATTTGTTTTTGGGGATCCAGAGCATAAAAACCCTTCATTGAAAGACACATTGTCCGCTGAATTGATAGGCCGGACTTTTCAGATGTAGAAAGGGAAGATTAGCATGCCGTTCTAAAGGGACGGCCAGAAGAATATAATCGCTTGTTCCGCTCCATCTCGAACGGAATTCCGCGGAATCGGATTCGTCATAATGTCTGTTCTGCCAGACACTGTCCGGAGATGATCTAGAAGTCGGGGAAAAGGTTTCCGTACCTGGATATGTTAGCACCATCTACAAAGCGCAAGAAAGGGGTAGTTATCATACGGGTCATCACCGGTCTGTCCATATGCTTCGGTTTCCTCGGGGTACTTGTCGAACTGACTGGCATCGCCCACGCCAGCCCTTACAGGGGGAACGTAGGGTGCATCGATGTCCTTCTTCTGGAGACGCTCCCAGGTGACTTCGGCGAACCACGGATGGTTCATAACATCTTTGCTACCTGCATGGAGATTGCCAAGTCGCTTGGTAAGATCAGGTGTAATGAGCTTCTGGAGCAAATCCTGTGCATCCGGGTGGATGTAGGGAGGGTACTTAACCCGACCCTTCAGAATGTTCTCATAGATCTTCATGGGTGATCCGCCATCCCAGAAAGGTGTGAAACCGCAAAGCATCTCGAAGATGAGGATACCCAGAGACCACCTGATACAATTAGCATACGCACATGTTATCATTCGAAGCGTTGGGGCTACCTACCAATCCACGGACTTGTTGTATCCCTTGGACGCTACTACTTCCGGTGCAAGATAATCGGGAGTTCCACAGAGAGTCCAGGTAATGTCGGGGACCTCTTTAGCGAAACCGAAATCAGTGATCTTCAAGTGTCCGTGGCGGTCAAGGAGCAAGTTCTCCGGCTTCAGATCACGGTAGATGATATTCTGGGCGTGCAAGTAGTCGAGCGCAAGGGTGACTTCTGCAGCGTAGAACTTTGCGACTGGGTTGGGGAAACGCTGCGCAGGCATTAGTAGGAAGACTCAATGGTTGATAATGGACACTGGACAAACCTGAGATTTCCGCAGGAGACTGAATAGCTCACCACCCTCGACAAAGTCCATGACCATGTAGAGGTTCTTGGAGTCTTGGAAGGTACCCCACAGGGTGATGAGAAACGGGTGCTTGACCTGCTGAAGCATGCGACGCTCGTCGTTTGTATGCTCAACCTGCTTCATCTTGACGACCTGCGCCTTCTTCAGCACCTTGACAGCATAGAATCGCTGATTGTGTTTAGATTGGACCAGATGCACCCGACCAAAACTACCAGTGCCCAGGGTTCTCTGTATCTGGAAGTCGCCGAGTGTGTATTTGCCCTTTGTTACGCGGACTTGGGTCTGCGGTTGCTGAGGGGTAGCCTGCATGCCGGAGTTCGAGGGATTCTGTAATTGCGGCTGGGATTGCTGCTGGGGCTGTTGCTGTGACTGTGCCTGCTGCTGGTACGCCTGATTCGAGTTGGAGGGGTGGATGAGGTTCTGTATGCTGGCGACATTGTGCGAGGTCTGTTGTTGATTAGGCTCGGGAGACGCTTGCGGGGTCGCGTATGCCTGCTGAGGGTAAGATGGGTTCATCGGATCGGCTTGCTTAGGGGGAGCTGCGGATTTTGGAGGAGACTGCGATACAGTGTTGTTGACGGAGGAAGAGTCAGGGTTGGAGGACTTGCTGCCGTGGTTGAAAGAGCCCGTGGTGGTCTTTGAAGTAGTGGGAGTTAGAGGTGAAGACGTCTCCTTGATGGGCGAAGTCGGTGAGTCGAGGTCCCGTGAGCCCGTCGAGTCCTTCGTCCGCTTCTTCTTGAGGAAACCGAGAGTCGGCATAGAAGCGGCGGTGGAGAAGGAATGTTGCCCAGCTCTGGTTCGACGTGATGCCGTAGCAAGCGATGTTCACACACAAACACGCACAGAGCGGGATGTGAATGACAATGCGCAGGCTACAATTGGCTGACGAACAAACAGAATGCGCGGGGTCAATTGAATTGGAGGAGGCGTTCAGAGCGTCTCGGGCATCAGGAGATTGAAGAGGAGGAGAGAGCGGTATGGAGAGGCGACGTGGTTTGGCAGGAATGGAGGGGAGGGGGACAGGCCGTTTGTCGATGATGTAGTTCGAAGAGGGGAGTATGACCGGATGTGAAGAGAGGGTTCAAAGAGAAAGGCGAAGCAGTATAGTGGAGTAACAGAGCGGTTGAGTAGCGTTGGGTATAGGTAGGTGAGGTGGGTAAGGTAGTTGGTGGAGATGGGATGGAGGAGAGCGAAGATAGAGGGGGAGAGATGGGTGGTGGCTGGCGGCGGAGAAGGAGGATTGAGGAGGAGCAGAGGTGGTCGTAGTGGTCGTAGTGGTTGGTGGTTGCAGCTAGGTACACTGCATGGAGGTACCGGCGATGGTTCCCTTCCTTTGGCGGGGAACAATAAGGATCGATTGAGAGACCGAGAGTAGAGAGAGAAAGAGATCTGAGAGAGCAATAGAGGTAATAACAGAGAGGGGGAGTAATAGTGAGGAGAGAAGAAGAGTGATTGTCCTGGTCCTGGTTGTGGTCTTGGTCTTGGTTCTGTTGGTCGTGCCCTGTCGTCTTGTCCTGCAACAAGGATTGCATCACCTACCTCATCCTACGCCTACACTGTAACTACGTACTGACACTAACGTTATTACTCCTCTTACTCCTCACACCTTACTTAGTTACCTCCACCTCCTACGAGTACAATGCAGTCAGTCTAGGTAGGGACTAACTACAGAGTAGCTGTATTGCACTTTATTGTACGGAGTATCTTGATGTTCCCTCTTTACTTCTTTCTTTCTCCCCCTTTTCCTTTCTTCTTTCAACTTCCACCCTCCCACCTCCACCCTAGAATCCTATGACCAAAGACGGTCTTACTTGTGTTATTGCTGTTCCTAGCTCCGGTCCTTTCTTTAGAGCCCTAAGAGTGGAGACGGACAGACGGGGAACAAGAAAACAAAGCAAGCCAAAACTGGACCGAGCAACAAGCCGACCAACCCTCCAATATCCAGTCCAATCCAGTCCAATCCAGTCCAGTCTAGTCCAGTCCAGTTCGATCCGATCCAATTGATTATCCAGGTCCCAGTCAGCCACGGCCAAGACGAGACAGATGATTCCCCTGGGTGAGTCGTCGTCCTGCTGTCTTGACTCTTGCAACAACGGAAAGAGTATTGTATCGGTATGATTTTCGCTCTGCTGGGTTTTACTGTGGCGCGCGCGGACAACTCGGGGCGGTTGGGGTGGTTAGATCTCGTATCCGACCTCTCCGGTTCCTGTCTTCGATGATGCCGATGATGACACTAGGGTATTGATCGTCCCCTCCCCCAGTCGCGGGCTGGCTATCACAGCAACGTATCGGTTACAAGTAGTTAACAACAACAACGATTAGTAGTAGAATTATTGCTAATAATAACATTCGTGGAACACATACCACATATGGCTTTTGCTCTTCTCCCCCCTTCGCCTTCGAATTGACCTTCTTACCCGGACTCAGGCTGACTGGCTGTACCCGAGGGATCTTCTGTGTGTCAATTCCTCTTCTATGTTCCAAGACTTGTTCAAAGAAAAGCGTTGCATCGGTGGCGGAGGCTATCGTTCCCCTTTCAGACACGTTTGCGGACAATGGGCAACGGACGAGAGACAGGGCGACGGGCGACGGAGATATTGCAAGTAAGCAAGTAAATAATTTAGGGGGATGACAAGAAGCCAGCTTCAATATCAAGTATTAATTCGTTTCGTCGAGCTAAAAAAAAATCAAGAAGTACTGGTACAGTGTAAATTGCTTGTTGCTGCACCACTCTGTCTTTATATCACGATTGCACAGATAATTGATGTCCAGTTTGACCGTCAATATTTCTACATTGGATGTATCGACCGCCCAACGCGTTCGTCTGTCTCAATGGTACCATGTCTGGGGTTTCATTGGTTTGGTGAATCTCCTGGGGAACACTGTAAAAGAAGTGATCGTAGCTACGGTTTGAACGCAAGTATTGCCGGAGAGGGCTTATGGGAATGATGCCACTCGGTTGTAGATAAGTAGTTTTGCAAGTGATCAAGATGGCTGGAAAGTATTACTCAAGTGCTCATGAAATTTCAATAGTTGTTTGGTATTCCAATAAATTGCGAAGGCTTGCGTCATGGATGGGAATTGGAGATGGAGACGTGGAGCCTTTCCCACTTGTTCCGTCCCGTCCCTCCCTCCAACCGCACCGCATTCCCATTCACCATCCCTGCCACTATGTACTCGTAGTATGTACCGTATATGTATTGTGTACAATATGTACCGCCATGATGCTCGTTCCCCCCATGTCCCATCATGTACTCTATTTAAATATTCAGTCCATGATCGTCCAAATATGCGCCTACAGAAAATGCAGGCTCCGTACGCCATTTAAATGCATGCCACAAAGACCCGTCCAGACCCCATTCACCAATCCCGAACAGTCCTCCCTCCACGCCCTGCACGACTCAATGCGCGCCGGCCTGCCTCTCTCCCACGGCCACTCCGAAGTTCAAACAGGCATTCCGTCTGCATGTATGCACGCGCGCATGTACTCACGCACTGGAAGAACTCCGCTGCCATGCCGCGCTTCAACTGTTCCTCTCCGGTACTCTGCTGCTCATTTGCTTGGCTGCGACAATGCGCATTTTTCGCATCGTGATTGAAAGGGTAAGAAACGTGTTATCAGCAGAAATATTGGCGTTCAAGTCATTACACCCCACCATGTGATCAACATAGTTGGTCGATCTAAACCTCCGGGACCTCCGCGCTTTGATCTTGGTCAACATCAACCGCGGGTGGTAGCTCAGATTCCGCTTGGTACATCAAGTCGAGTCCACAAACTTCCATACGTCGCTGCCGGAACCGCTCGTACAAATTCTTCCAAGTTTCCCTCGCTTCTTCATTTTCCGGGTGGAGAGCTGCACGTTCATCATACGGAATGTCGAATTCAGGCCCTGGCAGTTCGGGATCCGAAAGTCGGACATATGTCGTAGCTTTCTCAAATAGTGTCGCATTAAAGCCGTCCACTGCATTCCGCAAATTCTGCGACTCGTAAACGAAATTTCCTATTGAAAGCGACCACTCCGAAATCAAAGACTCGGGCGCGGGAAATGATTGGCGGAGGAGGTCGAGGTCAGCCATGGGTCCGGTAGCGCGGATATCTCGCAATTGATGGAAATGCTCGGTCGATGGATGGATCATAAACATTGATGTCGAAATGCTGGTTCGGTCTGGCGAGGCTGGAAATGCCGCCATGGGCTCTGATTTCGAAAATGCGAGCAGCGAGTCGAGCGCGGATGCGTCAAGCAATACTCCAGGACCCTGGAGATACACAATTCTCTCGTAATCGGTCAATGAATACATACTCGCCAGAGAGTACGAAGACGGTAGTGACTCTACAGATAGAATCATTTGTCAGTGTCGACTCCAATATATGTAGGTATTTTTCGGGCAAACTTACCATCAGCGTCCTTGGTAATTGTCTCCATTGGGTTCAGGGATACGCCATATCTTCTTGCAGCAGTTCGTAACAATCTCCGCGTTGTTGACATATCTGCGTCGTACTCGTCTCCTTCCGTTTTCTTCAACCAGCTCCTTGGGAACAGCAAAATCTTCCTGGCTGGGCTCTTCATCTTGTGCACATCAGCTAGTATCATGATAGCGCTGCATAGTTCAGAGTGGTCTCTGGCCATTTGCACATAGCCCAATCGGCTCCAATCCATCGTCTCTCCCGCTAGATATTGCTCCACAGACTCGTCGACATTGGGTCGGCTGCCCACTGGCCTCGCCCATTTCACATCTAATGTTGGAGGCGCAATAGGTTCGGCGACAGGTAATGGCTTCGGGCGCGTAGGTCTTATGGCTGCTTGGAGACTATGTACAGTCCTTTGCTGTAGGACGTAGCCCGAAAAGAAGAGGACTACTGTGAAAATAAGTACTGTGCAATGTTAGTATCGCGAGCCAAAAGTGATTTGTTGACGGCCGCAATTAGTATTGCAACACAGCCGCCCCAAGAGATGTGATTCCACAGAGATGGTCGTACGCACCAATGCATGAAGACAATAAAACAGAGACCTGTCCAGACGTGAGCAGTAGCTTGCCCATGTCGAAATAAGAATATACAAGTCGGGTATCTCAGAAAGTATGATAATAATATATGATCTTGGTGTCAGAGATGCATAGAGAGGGAGAATGATAGCTCGTGCAAGAGGGGATAGCGAGTGTAAAGGTAGTGCGACGTTGTGAATCACGACAAATGCACGCAAGGCCCAGACATCGCTAGGGCTGGCTGCCCCGGTTGTTTTGACCCTCCGTTGTCGAGGGCGATTATCGATAAGGAGCAAGTCTTGGCATCATTTTTCCACGATCGCATCGCATCGCCATCCCGATCCTGAACCTCAGTAACGTAACCATCAGTCCAACGCAGCATCAAATAAATAAATCGACGCATGATATTCAGTGAATCAAGGATAAAAAAGGTTCGACACCAAAACAGCAGTCATAACCTCCACCATGGCCGAGCCCAAATTCCATAAAGCCGATGCCAAGGACCTCCTCGATGACAGAGGCTATCGCGGGACTCTAATTCGCGGTCAAAATCCTGCTCTTCTTATGGAAAAAGGTGTCCGCGACCGTATCATCGATTCTTATTATTGGAAAGAGCAATGTTTTGGTTTAAACGCTGCGACATTATGCGATCGCGCGGCAGAGCTCAAATTCATCGGTGGCACATCCGGCATTATGGGAAAACCTACACCATTCCTATGTCTTGCCTTCAAACTCCTACAGCTCATTCCACCCAAAGAGGTCATTCTCGAGTACCTCAACTTCTCTGGCGACGAAGGGTACGAATCAGACGAGGACCGTCCCAAGGAAGAACCTCGAAATGCAGACGACGAGCCCGCAGCACGCAATGGAGACGGCTCGAGAATCCTGGACCCGAATGCCGAGGGGAAACTAGGGGAGTTCAAGTACCTGCGCTGCTTGGCTGCTTTCTACATTCGCCTCGCATGGGAACCGGTGGAGATTTACACCACCCTTGAGCCCCTGCTGACTGATTTCCGGAAGATCAAGAGGAGGACGAAGAATGGGTTCCAGCTTACCTACGTTGATCAATTCATTGATGATTTGTTGACCAAGGATCGAATCTGTGCAACGAGTCTGTGGAAGTTACCGAGTCGGGCGAATCTTGAGGACTTGGATATGCTGGAGCCGAGAGAAAGTCCCCTGCAAGAAGAGGCGGATAGGAGCGATGACGATGATGGAGATATTGAGCTTTTGGAGAGGGAAGAAATGGAGATGGACCGTGATAGTGACGCCGGTGCTGGTAGTTCCGAGCAAGGTGACTGACTGAAGTGAAGAGAATCAATTGGCATAAAATAGACGCAAACCTATCTACCAGTATACATGGTCGAGGGGACCAATATATGCTGTGCTTGTACATAGTAACACAGACAATTTCTAGGTGTTGAGCGATCCTCAAGGCGCTTCACGCCCCCAGGTACCTCCAGACAGAGACCTTTGTACGGCCCTGCCTAGGCGTTCACGGCCACATGGGGGCAGGACATTAGGTACGAAAGACATATCAAGGCTAAGAAAGAAAGCCAGCCAATAAGTATTACATACGAAGGCACGCGGAAACATTCATTACCTGCACATTTGGAGCCTACATCACAATGCATACTGGAACTACTATTCCACATATTTGGTCACATCTTACACTTGAGTGATCACTACTTCAGGACGCCGAATGCAAGAATGTATGGGGATAAGGAATCGTGTATTACTATCATGAGCTATACACTGTCTATACCAGGTATCGAGAGAATGTCCAATCAGCGTCCTTGCTGGGTCTGATTTGTGAGGTCATTCTGCGAAAGGATACAGAATTAGGTAGCCGACAATGGGCAGGTATCCTTTGATGAGATAAACATATAAGGGTGTAGTACACATAAGGAAATCCAATGACAGAGTATGACAATGGCTGATATGGCAGATGCAAAACCTATTCCATCATGAAAGCTGAAGGAAAACTCGGGTATATAAGAACTGACTGTATTTTTTGGATCACAGCGTGCCCAGAGCGACTCTCCAATAGCGAGAACAACACATTGTGTGTAGCCTCGAATACGAGATGAAGTTTGCCAGAAGGTGTCATCGCGTAGAAGACCCATGAACTCGACGGCGTTTTAGTCCATATCGGTCTCCGGGGCGGTATAGCAGCCCTTTTCTGAATACCAATCCAGGACGTTGGCCCTCTTGTCGCGCCAGCTACGGTTTACGCCGTCGCGATGTTCTGAGCAAGTTAAGGAATCATCCACTGAACCCAATACGATGCCAGAACGGGTCTCCCTGAAGTGGCTCATGATTTCTTTATTGCTCCAGTATGGGAGACTGGCTGACTCTTGCGCGTAGTAGTTGTTGCCATCCTTGTGCTTGGGCTCTTCCGGCTCCTCTGGCTCCGGTGTAATGTGGTAAAGGAAGCCATGAGTCGCGAGGTCTTGCAACGGGTAGTAAGAAGGTCCTCCAAGATTTGCTCAGATATGATAAAAATGGGATTCATGGCGTTGCCAGCGGTAATCAAGTACCTGCTGCCTCAGGTTCAGTCCGAGTGGTTTTGGTGGTAAAGAGTATATGTATATAGGTAGAAAAGGGTCTGGCTGCAAGACTCGGCTGTGAATAGATCTTACTCCGCTACGGACTTGGATACCAAGACGAAGAGATTCCAACTTTGTAGTTTTCGGGCTCAGAATCTTGATGAGGCGTTCTTGGGCAATCATGACGTTGTACTCGTCAAACGTGGTACAATTGATTAAGATCTCAATCCGTAAGGCTCTACGAATCACCGGGTCAAGGAAGTCGTAAGAAACATAAGTATCCGGTAGTATCTTATGCCCTTCATTTAATTGTCTCCATAGAAGAAGTTGTGGGACGACTGGGTCGACGGTAACATTGAAGAAAACTTGGTTGCAGGCCAAGGATTGTCTGTACTCAAAGTACATTCTCTTGCAAACTTGCAATACATGGACGTAGGGCGCATCCTTGACCAATACCTCAACGTCCATTGTGATGTGTGTGGTGTGCTGATTATCCAGTTCAGGTGATGGTGTCCTAGTACCTAGGTTCCAGTCATGTCGGATTTCGTTCTCCATATAGCCGTAGATCATATCACGGAGCTCGCGAGGTAAGAGACGAAAAAAAGATGAGGTTTGCTGCAGGTTCAAGTTTTCGGTACTGATCTCCTGGGGACTCATGATTTGTTCCAAATGGGTGGTAGGTTGCGTTCAGTTTCGGCCGCGAACTAAGTAGGAGTAGAGATAGCGGAGTTGTCTGGCAACAGAAAGACCAGATATGAGTAGCAGTTATATACTGTTAGGCGAGAATGCCAAGAGCTTGTTGACAAGTAAAGTTAAATTACTAGGTGCGAGCATTGCTCTTTGGCGTTTCGGTAAATTCACTATGCTGCCTGGCCCAGGTTGAGCTTCGCACTGCTTCTTAGGTGAAGGCAGGTGAGAAGAGTGACACAGAAAGTGCATCGCTAGTTTTCGAGTAATTGGATTCCTCGAGATCCACAGCCGAAAAGTCTCTGAACCTTACCAAATTACTTCTTCCACTTTGCTTCAATCACTGATATTGGCTTGGCGATCAAGGAGAACGATGTGTTGCTGCTAGGAACGTTATTTTACTACACACAACACCGCAGTGGCGTGCTGAATACCCAGTTGTCTGCATCGTAGTTTTAGCATACTGCCTATTCAGGGTAGATATTCAGTGTGCCTGCATCTTCGATACTGTATCTTTGGTATATGAATTTGAAGCAGTCGATGTACTCTGTAATTTTCGGCATACGCACACCGATCGACTGTACGTCATGCTGTTAGTGATAGCTCATAATGCACTAAGCTATGTGAGTGTTATTATTACTCGTAAGGCGCCCAGCAAAAACCCTAATGGTGACATCCGATTTGTTTGCATTCAACAGGAGTCAGGCATTGATAACAAACCGCGATGTAGACAGAATGACAAGGAATGACTGGGTAGCTGGCTCGTATGTGAAAGGTTTCATAGATGTAAAGATATCTAGTTGCCATAATTGATAGTTATATTACTTGTTTTGTTTTGCTTTTCATAATGCTGAGTCAAACAGAGCCTGTAAAAGGCATGGTCGTCATGATGATATTTATTATGCAACAGCTTCATGAACTCCGTAGTTGGGTTTGGAGACTGTACCCCAATGTCTAATTATTTTACCTTTTCTGCCAGAGAAAAAATTATGCAGTAGGTGAGTATTTTGATAGCTTCCTAATCTTCGCCCCGTAGATGTAGAATAATATTGGAACAGGAAACAACGCTGCAGTTAAGAAAGCCAATAGACTGGTTGCCCAATTAACACCTAAGGTATGATACCTAGCAATCTTCATTAGCACAATGTTTTACTACGCCCGAAGAAAGAAGAAAGTACTTACATAGCTGTAGCAAACAAAGGGAAGCCAGCACCAAACAGGCTTCTAATGAACGTGTTTCCGGCAATAGCGCTGTTGGCATACATGAGGTATACGTCGATGATGTAGTTCAACCCCTGAAGAAATATCATGAGTACACCAGCGCCGATAGGAATACCAGCGAGGACCTGCGGCACCCATGTGATGTTCTTGTTCGATGTCCACGCGAACCAAAACATGCCGATTGGGAAGAGTGCACCGCCGATAATCATGGGAATGAGACGTTCCTCGGGGACGAGATGACCGTGTTCCTTGATTTTGCGGGCGAAACGGGTTTTTGTGAGATACACGATGATTGAACCGCCTAGCAGGACACCGATGGTGATGGAAAGGAAGGGTAGAGCCCCAACACCAGAGTTCCAGCCGCGCTCTTCCTGGAAGGCGATGGGGTAGGCCTCGAAGAAGAGGTATAGGATGCCATAGATGAGTGCCATGTACAGAGTGACGAGATCGAGGATCGGTTCGCGGATAAGCATGACGAATGGTCGGAGGAGGTACTTCTCAGCGATGTTCTTCAGGTCCACCTGCTGTTCGTCGGCTTTGGCATGGATAGCCCAGTTGCGGGTTTCGAATCGTATGCGTTGGGCACGTCGGGAGAGGAGGACTGGACCGAATGTCTCTGGGACAAAGATGAAGGCGACGGCTCCGAAGAAGAAGGCCATGATTGCAGTGATGTATTCTGTCCATCTCCAACCGAGATGGCTCTGTACAATGAAGCCACCGATTATAGGACCGGCGACAGGGCCAATGAAGGTGGCACCAGCGAAGATGGTCATCGCCACGCCTCTGTCTAGAGTACTCCAGAAGTCAGTGAGCTGGCCACCTACGATCCCCAATGGGGCTGATCCAAAGACACCTCCGAAGAAGCGACATAGCATAATGGTTTGAAGGTTCTGGGCGACAGCGACTGGGATTTGAAAGATGGCGAATATGAAGAATCCGATGAACAGTGGGTATTTGCGGCCATAGAGTTCGGACAATGGACCCCATATCGGGGGTCCAACAGCAAAGCCCTATTCATTAGTTAGTAGGAATGATGGTGGATCAAAGAGGCCAGAACTCACGAGGACGAAAAGTGATGTACCAAGCACCATAACCTCATTTGAAACGTTGAACTTTTTTGCTGTCTGTATCGTTGCAGTACTGAACACACTACTTGCAAAAGTAATACAGAAAGTGACGAAGCCCAATAGCATCGTTATCGTCCACTTTTTCGATCTAGAGAAGTTCATCGGATTCTCAGGGTCATCTGGTCCGTCCCAGTCCACCAGATTGGGATCTCCAGCTTCCAACTGTGGCTGTCGAGACTCTTGTTTCTCGATATCTAGATCGTCACCACCCTGGCCCGATTGATGCCGAGCAGCAATAGAAGGCTCATGGGCACTAGCATATCTGCTTGCAGGTATGTTTGATTCCGTTGCAATCGTCCTACTACTTGTGGACCGAAGACCGGGGATCTCTATCGAGGACTTTCCGTCGGAGTCGTACTTGTCCTCGAGATCTTCGGAATAGTTTGCAGTGGGATATCCTGTCGAATGCTCTGGACCTCGTAGGTGATGCTCTGTGACTTGAGCTACGATCTCCGGGTGAGATACTGAGGTACTCTCTGGACTGCTTCGGGGCCCTTGATCATCCATTCTTGATTCCGCCATGACGATTGTAATTTTGGGACTATAAGCTGAGAAGAAGACGTTATTAAACAAGGTTAATTCAAGCAATTGAAAAGTATGAATAGTCAAAGATAGTTTATTTGATAACTAGCTGTAGGTTCAGAGGTTTGATCAGGGTCAAAGGGATTTATCAAGTTATCAATCAGATCTCTGATGCCTGATTGTTCCTAATGCAAATGACCCACGTCGTACTAACGGTGCCGCCAGCTACCGATATATCCATCTTTGCCATTTTATTACCAACCGTTGAGACAAGTAATACTTTGTTCTGTCGTCATGCGTAGTCGCTCATGTGTAGAGAGTCCACCTCGGCCGAGCCAGAAGGACCGAAGCGCGATAATAGTCCTAAAGCCCTACAATCAGCGCGTGCAGATCCCCCAGTCGGGCGCATTCTTTCATGTTCATTGGCTGAAACATCGGCCTCGAGAAGAGCGAACGTGCGATTACAGTACGAGTAGGGCTGGCACGTGGCTAGGCTGTACAATGGCGTTGATACGAGTAAACTATACTCGAGGACTCGGAGTTTGCAGTATGTATTGCAAAGCGTTCGGACCTGAATTGGCGGGACGTGAATAACTTGCAAGAGGTAGGCAGCGGATTGGGACGATCACGTCACTGCATACGAGTATAATCGGAGCTTCGACAAGTTCAACCTCCGAGTACTCCATACCCTTACAAGTACAAGTCTTATTGTTCATGTACGATATACCATTTGTCATCTCTTGATGACGCCTTTGTATGTCCATAACAGAGAACAATACAAGCTGTGTTGGTACTTTCGTCCGTTGAAACTGTTCAAAGGAAGCTGGCGTGCTGCTTGATTATTGCTCAACACTCTCCTGAAGCTATTAGCTTGCGCCAAGGAGATGTATTCTTCAGATGAAACGTGGATAGTAAGCAGAATTCTACTGACGATGTGAATAAGAAAAGGATATCAATGAAAGCAGCTTCCCTTTAGCCACAAAGAGACCGTAACACCCGATCTCCTACCCGGAGTACCCAGGGGCATGTACTGTACTTCCTTACTGCTGGCTGTCTATCTCTTGCTCACTTTTGAATTGGTGCCGAGCGCGAAGCTGAATGTTACTCCAATGCCTGGAGGTCAGCATCCGACTAGTAGTCTTGCAGGCGGCCTATGCGGGAACGGTAGAGACATCTCCGAAGAAATTTAGTATTCTGAATCGTGAGCATGGTAGTGGGCTCCCTTCTACGATAAAGGAGGCTGTTCAATGTTGCATCGCGCGTATCTTTGTTGTTGGCCTTTTGCTGAGCTTAAGGGAGCACTGCTGAGCACGACAGGTTACTTCTGCGATCTTGCAGTGCAATCTTAAGTCTGACCCGGATCACTATTGTCGTATCGTGCGGCCTGCTCTATTCTGGCAACTAGCCTGGCAAGTATTTGGGTCCTATTCCTGACCCTTGTATGCGGAGCAGATATGTACAGCAAGTCTGATAAGATGTGTTGTTGTCCTCCTTGTTTTCAAAGCTGCTTCTCGGTACCAGACGCTACCGGCGAACTCGTCTTTTCTTTCGACCTCCAGTCGTTGAGTTGTGCCACGATATGCTTATGCTCTAATTTTAGCGCAACAACGCGAATAATCTTCTCTATATGTAGTCTATGCAGCTGCTTAGCTGAAAGAACCATCGAAAAGGTTTCAGCAGTTGCTCTATCAAGACATTCCTCGAGAAGTTTTGGCGCAGGACAGAAGACAAATACATGCAATACTAGAACTTGTAGAGGCGTAAAAACTGCGCTATGCTTCATTTGTAGCCAATTTGTAAAAATAGACTGCCGGCCGGCTTGCATTGGAAGGTAAGGTTGCTATCTGTGAAAACTAGTTGCATGCAGATTGCGAAGGAAAAATTCTGGAAAGGTAAATGAGTTAATGAGAGGTGTTTTTACCAGGTCAAGTGTCCTCTCCAGCAAGTGTCGGTTTTGGGGCAAGGTGATGTATTCGTAATGAACAGTGAAAGACTAAACCATAATGAAGAAGTTGGAGATGCCACCAGTAAATCTCTAGGCGTTGTTTGAATGAAGTTGGATGTTGGCAAAGCATTCGGGATACTCTGGGGTTGCTTATTGGGGTAGGGGTCGAGGGAGCCGTCAGTGCGGGAAGTCTTCAAAGTGGCGGTGGCGCTAGTGACATGCACCCACCAATCACTTAGTTTATAGGTAAATGCATCTGTTTACAATATCTGAATTGTATGAGATATACTCCGTACATTCGATTCAGAATACACTTGTCTGTAGAAGTTACAGCTCGTATCTACAAGTTCAGAGTATACGCAATGTATCTATCAAGCATGCTGCTTATCCTATACACAACCCTTTCGCTATAGCTATATTTACATTGATGTAGCAATAGACCCAAGGAAATCAGATGCCCCATAACGACGACAGCACTCTTTCAAGAGGTCAAAGTATGGGATCCTGTGCACTGGGTATCTCTCACAGCATACATAGTAAGAAATAGAGGCAGGGTAGCCTGTGTGTAAAAGGCTGGACACAAAGTGCTATACTTCCTCCAGGCTGAAGATATCTAAAACTCCTCATGAGCGCCTACAGGGAGCGTTGGGTTTATGAGTAGATAGTACATCGTCCTTTCTCGAGTATAAGAATCTACAATCACTTTCACTTCAGCTAATCTTTACGACCCGCTAACGCGTGACGCGTCCGTTTGTCCTCCCGCTCCGTCACCTCTACTTCTGTCCTCCTACCCTCCCTCTATCGCCCTCTCTTCTTTTACCTATCACCTACCTTCCTGCCTCCTACCTTCTCCCTCCTTCCCTTCACCACCCACCTCCCTCATCCTCCCTCCTCCCTCCTTTCCACCTCATAGCGCGCCCTGGGTGTCTTCACCTACTCTCTATGCTCTGGTAAGCCTCTTTCACTCCCTGCACTATACTGCCGACGAAGTGTTATCGCAACTATTCTTTTACTCTGCTTTTCATGACCCTACTCAAGTACCGTCCTTTCCCTGAACCTGTATGGACGCTATAGTCTACCTGGAGTCTCTTGAGATGATATGCGACTGACATCATCATGCTTTTAGTTGAGTTCGATCCTGAAAGTCTACCGATTCTCCTCCAACGCGTTCCTGAGACTTTCTTCAGTCCAGCGCAACACTTCTCACCTCACATATTGCGTACATTACACAAACCTACAGCGCTAAGCTCAGTGACTTCACACCTGACTTTATCATGGCTACGGTCACGTTTGTACACCCTGGAGTCCAAGGCCCTGTGTTCATTGTGTCCTCCATGAGCAACCCGGAGTGGCAGGTCCTGCAGATGAGTGCAAACGAGAGGAGCGAGTATGATAGTATCGTCTTCTCTTACACTTTCAACAATGTCGCAGAAGGTATTTATCAGTACAAGATCCGCATCGGTGATGGCCAGTGGGTTGTGGATGAATCTGAGGAAACAGGTGATTTCGTCCTTCTAGAGCAGCTCTGAACATCACTGACAGATCTCAGACACTGATGAAGCCGGCAACCGAAACAACGTATACCGTGTTGTGAGCCCCGAAAAGTCGCGTCCCGATCAAGCATCGAAGGCGGACCTAGCGCAAGTTGAGGCCAACCTGGGAGAGGACGCAATGCTTCACGACAGGATCAAAGAACAAGCCCAACCTCCTGGTCTCGAATCCGATACTCCTGAAGTCCCCAAAGAAAACATGGCAGAAGGGAAACCGGAACATATCACTGAGCCATCCACACCTGTCAAGCATGAAATTGCTGAAATGGAGCCTACGAGCAACGTATCCGAGACAGCCCCTTTGTTTGACTACGAAGCGATGGACCAAGGCTTTAGGAGACCGAGTAGATCTACGCCACCCCGAGGCCCCATGCGTACAATATCTGAAGGCTATCCGTCACCACCAGAGCGTGGCCGCATGGCATCGATTCGAGAGGAGATGTTTGACTCTCCCACCCACGACGAGCTGAACGATCTGCAGTATCTTGATCGCGCTCAACAAGATGCACTCGAATGCCTCTTGCCGGATGAACTTGACGTGGCCCCTGCCTTCAGGCCTGAAAACAGAGCTTCTTATGTTATTGATATCGGAAACCCTGGAGGACCTAGGCTTTTGAATGATGTGCCTCTTTTCCCGCACGAGCAACTTTTAACAGGACCGAGCACCCAGTACAGATTCTACAGACCGACTCCAGGCTGGGGCAGGTATACAAATCGCGACGGATTGGACGTATGGAGTTGTGCAGGCACAGGAAGTGCTTCTCAAGACGATAATATGGCACAGGCGCCTACTGTGCGTGCTAGTATCTCTCAGCAGCTCTACACGCTCCCTTCGGCGCCTACTGCTATGGAGAATCACGGTATCGGCCAGGCAACTCTAGTCCAACCAAGAGGGGTCTCTGTCGACATGCTTAGAGGATATTCCAAGGACTCACTGCAAGCTGTGGTTGAGGGAGGATCGTCCGAGCCAGAGGATGCAGGTGAACATCCCCCCACTGACACGATAGCCCCACATGATACACTTGAGGCAAGCAAGACCAAAGAAGGTGATGAGAAAGCCTGCACCCTTCAGTCTGTATCGGCTAAGGAGCGTGTTCCTGTCGTTTATGGCGAGACTCCGTGGATTCAAGACGCGATAGCACCACTCAACACTCCTACGAAGGACTTGAACCTTCGCAATCATTCTCTCGTCCCTACTGAGACTGCTCCAGAGGAAGAAATGACTCTATGTTCTGGAAATACACATGGCTCTTCGAAAGACACAAAGGCTAACGAGCAGCATCACATAGCTGCTACGAAAGACTCCAAAGAGCAACGAACTCGATTGAGCCGCGGCATGAGCTCACTGTTGGGGATCTTCACCGGCTGCTTCCGAGCTTCGCGGTAAGCGCTACAGACATACCCGATCCTGTAGCGAGAAGAGGCCCCTAAGGAGCAATTGTGGCTTTCCATGATTCAATTGATTGTTTTTATTTGAGGTTCTAACGAGGTCTGCCTAGTGCGGTTTTCGTCGTCGGTCTTGCGTTCGCCGTCTACTATTACGTCTATCGGAGCCAGTGATAGCAAAGGAACCTACGACCAGACTGAACCGGAGGCAATGGATCAAGGAGTTAGGAGTTTGTTCACAAGGGTACTGTGTCGCAGGACTGGACATGCTAGGTAGCGCATGGATGAAGAAAGCATTCTGTTTGGCAACCGTGGTATGATGAACTCCATCTGCATCACCACACAGTGTCGGTCACTTCTTTCACCGATTAGCTGCCACTGTGACTGGGTTTATAGCTTGGTTCACCCATAGGAATACAGCCTTCATATTCACTGACCATTTATGCTTTTGGTGACCTAGGGCAATGCCAGCATTTGCACCAGTTTGATGCCAGCGCATTTACTATCGATATTCTCTCTAGGAAGATATTATTAACGCGAAACACTTCAATACGCCATTATACCTAAGGAATCATAAAACTTCAGGAGAAGGGGAACTCTTTTACCTCCTATCTGATGACTATTTAAGGTAGATTGATACCGATGATACAGAGAATGGAGCTGATGATGACCTTCTTAACGGTATCCTTGATTCTACTCCTGATATTTGATCCGTGTTCTTCTGGTTGAAGGCATTGAGATTAGCCCCACCATGGAAGATTATGATGATGATAACATCCGAGTTGAAGTCGGATAGCTGTCCACTGGAGATGACTGCTATATTACTGTCTGATATGTGCTTTAGACGATGAGTAGCGAGCATTCCAAAGGGGAAAGGCGCATCTATATTGCTTTTGATGATCGGGAAGTGGGTACATACTGTCGTGATAGTCGATGGATTTACAGCCGGTATCTCTGGTTTGCGTGTTTAAAAAGCGGCAACGAGATACTGTACTGTCGACAGCGTTGCACAAATCTCTAGAGGGAGCAGCGATGTCGAAGGGGGCGAGGCAGTCCTGGCGAGCGAGCAATGAGATGTTGAGGAAGGGGTGGGCTAGTAAGAGGAAATAGATACGAAGTCCATGATGGCTGAATTTATAAGTACGACACAGATGAATCAAGATGGCACAGATTGTGATTGTAGCGATGCATATAACAGTTATTAGGCATGAGCACGGCAACGCCGAGACACTTTCATGCTGCCTTGCTCTCGAATCTCACCCTTGTAGAGGCTAGTTTCACTTTGCTTACACAAACATATAGGCAGGTATACGGAGGCGAGCAGAAGTCTACAAGAGACAATCGGAACGTTTGTAAACGAATAATCTGTTCCGAAATTAGGAATTGATGAGGGTATAGGCTTGCTACATACATACCCTTTCAGGTTAGTACGCGGTGAGCGTATCCCGGTTTGTAAAGTATGCTGCATAACAACATGGCAGAACTTTGCCAGGGATTAATGAGATGACAATACACGCTGTAGCTTAATGTAACAAGCGTATTTAGATTACTTTGTACTAGCACTACCATTATCGTACTTTAGTGTATCTAGGTATGTAATGAAGGTCCATTATTGACTGTCCAAGTGAAACTCGAATGCAACTAGTGATATCTTCCTCTTCCCCGCACTAATGCACCGTGCCGGACACTACGCGTAATGGTACATGTACACCCTCGTATGCATACTACTCGTCTGCGCTCTTCTCCATAGCTTCCCCGCAGCCGTCCCCACTACCGAACAGAGAGAAACCGCCTGATAATCTAGTTCCACAGGTACACAGAGCTAACCACGCCCCTCTTGACCTGGCAAAGGGTACAACGCGATCGATTCAGTGGATGTGAATCATGCCCCAAACGGGCCGGTGTTCAAAGGTCTTGGTCCCCCAGTATTGGCTAGAATGAGAACCGAGGTGTTGAATTCCTAGCACATTCTTTACAGATGCATCATGCTTTCCATTGGCGACGTCCACGTGAGGCCCACCTCGGCAGAATAAAAGGGCAATTGGACCCATCGGCATTTGCTCCATTATCGAAAACTACTTAACTCATCGATTTAGCTGGTCTAAGTGGTTGTATCATTGCAGTCGAAGCTGTTTGCTCTTACCTCTACAAACACTCTGTAAAAACCAATAACATTGACATCATGGCCGACGACAAGACACCTGCCTTTGAGATCCCGAAGGAATGCAGGGCTGGTGTCGTCGTAAATGAGGGACCTGACTTTCATGTTGAAGTCCAGATGGTGCCTGTTCCTGAGATCAGTACGTCATATCACCTACACTAGAGCCTCTCGTCCATTGCTGCAATTCACCGCCGGGAAATCAAGATACCAGTATTGACCCATTCCAGAGCCTAATGAGGTCCTCATCAAACTCAACGCTACCGGAATCTGCCACTCGGACATTCATTTCATGCTCAACGACTGGGCCGTGCCCAAGATGAGCACTTTCGGTGTCAGGTGTGCAGGCCACGAAGGTGCCGGAGTTATTGTCAAAGTTGGAGACGCCGTGAAAACGCTGAAACCAGGCATGCGAGCTGGTCTAAAACCTATTCAAGACACCTGGTATGTTCAAGTCTTCCCGATAAGTTGTACGAAGTACAGCGCTCGCTGACACTAAATAGTGGGGCATGCGAACTCTGTCGTACAGATAAAGAGTGCTATTGTCCAGGAGCCGTTCTCACCGGACTGACCTGCGATGGATCTTACAAGGAGTATGTAGTATCTCCCGAGCGCTACACTACCGTCATCCCAGACGGTGTGAGCGACTACATTGCCGGACCCATTATGTGCTCTGCATCGACCATCTACACATCAATCAAAGAATCCAACCTCAAGCCTGGCGACTGGGCTGTTTTCCCTGGTGGGGGCGGCGGTGTCGGTATGCAAGGTATTCAATTGGCGAAAGCCATGGGACTCCGACCCATCGCCATCGACACGGGCGAGGACAAGAAGAAACTCTGCATTGAAACGGCTGGAGCCGAAGAATTCATCGACTTCAAGCAGGTCTCTGATGTCGCTGCCGAAGTGATCAGGATATGCGATGGCCTCGGAGCGCATGCTGTCTTCGTCACGGCTGTCCAGTCTTACCCTTCATCCATCTCGCTACTCGGTGGCCGCATTGGAGGTAGGGTCATGTGCATTGGTCTCCCGCCCGCTGGAACTTTCCACATTGATGTAGATCCCAATCAGCTTTGCTTCAAGAAGCAGGGTATTGAGGGCACCTTGGTGAGCAACATGGCGGACGTGGACAAGACATTGCAGTTTGCGCAGAGGGGGCTTTTGAAGCCAATCTATACCGTTTATGGTTTGAGTCAATTCAACGAGGCGGTTCAGAAGCTTAGGAGGGGAGAGATTGCTGGACGGGCTGTTGTGGATTTCAATAAAGAGTAGGGACGATGTATTGTAACGAGGTCATAGCGAAGGCGTGGGTATATTCGAATTCAGGTGTAAGGAAGTATGAATCATTGCTTTTCTACCAAACCGATCTTCCCCATCGATACGTTTACCCTTAGTCCATCTTGTTCTTGAGTGAGCCATCATTCTTTCATTGTATCATTCGCATGGGGCCTGGCAATTTGAGGCAGTGGTTCTCTCCACATGCAGCCATACCACTCGCAGGATGCTCATTGTCTCCACCCTTTCTACCTCTATTCATAACCTGAAGCTACCCCAACTTCTTCCTCCATCGTTCTCCTTAGCATCAGCTCTCTCCACAGCCTCCCTAACCCATCTCAAATGACACTCCGCCATCTGCCCCACCTTCGCGACAACCTTTAGTTCTACCATATCCCTCGCCACAAACTCCCTACACAACTCCTCGTAATCCGGCTTGATCGCCAACGCAAGGTCAATTATCTCGCGCTCCTTGCGACTCATATTTGGGTTCTTGAATGGGGCGTAGTATGCGTCGATGTAGCTGTGTATGCGGATGGTTTGCTCGTTGTGGAGGAATGCCGTTACGCGTGCGTTCAAGTGGGAGGATTGGCCGGGTTGGGAATTGACTGAGGGTTTAGGTTTGGAGACTGGTGTGCCCATTGTTGGTTGTGTGTTGTGTGTATTTGGTCGTAAGGGTTGGGTCTTGGTCGATAGTATCTTTATTCGATTAGACGGGAATTCGATGGGGATTCGGATTTTTGAAACGTGCTGGTTGTATTTTGGGGAAAGCGGAAGTTGTAATTTCTGGTGGGTACTGGATTTCGAAGTGAACGGGGCTTAAAAGTGAATGAATGTTCTTGTCAATCACTGCATGGTACATTCACTTCCTCCGTCAATAGTCAAAGGAGGTTGAGATGATTCCGTAGAGACATGTTAATCACAAGAATCAACACTGCTGCACTTAAACCTTTTGCACACGAATTTGAACGAACGGCTAAGTAGGCTGGTGTAATGAAAGTGTACTTATGATCAAACGTAAAATACTACCCAAATATCTATCGGAGGGGTTACAGGCAAGAGGAGCAATGAATTTAACTTTGTTCGATTTGTATATCATGCTTCTGTGCATGTATAATTTTAATTTGTGTCCATATGCTTGAATGAACTCACACATACCAGGTTCCTATTGTCAGGTACCTATGTGCCTATGAAGCATGTACCTCGTCAAGAACTGTGTATGGGGAGGGGAGTCCGTTACACCAAAAAGGGAAGCAATTGGACCAATCAGAGTGCCTGGGTAACGGAGTTCGTGCTTGGCGCCACATGTTTGCGCTGTTTGTCCTCTGCGTCTCAGCCTCATGGACCTAACCTCAACCGTCCCGTAATACGACATTGGACCCTTCTATAGATTCCCGTGCATGAAGATGCGATCGCAGATTATTGACACTCCCGGGGATGTCCAGCTCATCGTCAAGCCAGCCCACACGTGGACAGGCCGAAGCTTCCTCCAGTCGTGCGCCGAAACACCATCCCTCCGTCGAAGATGAGAGCGATTACGAGGACGAGGGACTGCTAGGGGAAGATCCGCTTGATCATGAACTACCTGAACAGTAAGGCTACGTAATATATATTTCGGTGTATGCGACTAACGACAAACATTCAGAGTGTCTTTCAAAAGAAAGCAGAAAGCCACGTCCACACCCTTCTCAATCAGAAGCTTCCTCTCCTCTCCAAACCGACAATCCCCAGTACCTCGCTCACCTCAACCGAGATTACCGCATCTCAGGACGGCCTCGCACCCAAACGATTCCACCGAGCTTATATTGAACTATCTTGACAATCCAGCCAATGCGGGTCACCATCCCCAGGATGCAAAAGATGCCACCGGGCTTGACTGGTACGTTGAGGGTCCAGGTCGCCGCGTAGGCTACGATGATCTCACTGCAATCGATTGGATATTTGAATATGCGAAAGAGAGGCAGCGTCTACGCTATCTATACTCGAGCGCGACAGGTGTGCTCGGCTCGGTCAAACAACTTGCAGATGCAAGCCAAGTCTGGATTATCCTTGTGGCGGCAGGCCTCTTGTCCGGAACCATTGCAGCGTTCATCGATATTTCCGGCGATTGGCTAGGAGACTTGAAGACTGGATATTGCAGTAACGTAGAAGGCGACGGAAGATTTTATCTGAACAAGGCGTTCTGCTGCTGGGGCTATTCGGAGCTTTCACAATGCCACGACTGGCATCCGTGGAGTAATGCGTTGGGCATTCATTCCGAGGTGGGCAGTTGGATCGTAGAGTATATCTTCTTCGTTGTATTTTCTGTAAGTGGCACTCCCCCCCCGCAATCGCCAAAAGCTCATGTTGCTAGATCCTTTTCGCCGCGTGTGCTAGTATCCTAGTCCGAGAATATTCGACCTATGCCAAACACAGTGGTATCGCAGAAGTCAAGACTGTTCTGGGTGGTTTCGTCATCCGACGCTTTTTAGGGGGGTGGACACTTTTGATTAAGACTCTAGGTCTGGTATGCAGACAATTTTGGCGGTTTCATCGAATTTGGGTACTAATAGTCGCAGTGCTTTGCTGTTGCATCTGGCCTTTGGCTAGGAAAAGAAGGGCCTCTTGTCCATGTTGCATGCTGTTGCGCAAACTTGTTCATGAAGCTTTTCAGCAACGTCAACGGGAACGAAGGTTAGTTTCCTATTTTCCTATAATGACATAGCTAACCATTTTGCACAGCAAGAAAACGCGAGATTTTCTCGGCAGCAGCAGCGGCGGGCATCTCAGTCGCTTTTGGATCTCCTATTGGCGGCGTGCTTTTTAGTTTGGAGCAGTTGTCGTACTACTTCCCCGATAAGACCATGTGGCAAAGCTTTGTGTGTGCCATGGTAGCCGCTGTCACTCTCCAAGGCTTCAACCCATTTCGAACAGGCAAGCTCGTTCTATACCAAGTCACCTATCACAGCGGCTGGCACAACTTCGAGATTGTACCATTTGCCTTTCTCGGAATTCTTGGAGGTCTCTTTGGAGGCTTTTTTATCAAGCTGAACATGTCAATTGCCGAGTGGAGGAAGAACAGGACTTACCTCAAAGGGCCGGTTACGGAAGTTGTACTGGTCACATTGGTCACAGCTCTGATCAATTATCCGGTTAAATTTATGAGAGCGCAGGCGTCCGAGCTCGTACATGTGCTCTTTGCGGAATGCATTGACTTGACAGAGGACACGCTCGGCCTATGCAAGTCTGGAAGGGCCAACACTGGTGTCATAACACTACTACTCATATCAGCCCTGATTGGCATCATTCTTGCGGGGTTCACTTTTGGCCTTCAAATACCCGCCGGCATCATCCTTCCATCCATGGCTATTGGGGGATTGTACGGTCGTGCCGTTGGACTCTCTGTCCAGGTCGTACAGGAAGCTTGGCCCAGTCTGTTCATCTTTAATTCGTGTGAGCCAGATGTACCTTGCGTAACACCGGGTACATATGCTATCATTGGAGCAGCATCGGCTCTCGGAGGAGTGTCGCGAATGACTGTTTCCATTGTCGTCATCATGTTCGAACTCACAGGTGCCCTAAGCTATGTCCTACCCATCATGATTGCGGTCATGCTCAGCAAATGGATAGGAGATGCAATCTCTCCACGCAGTATCTACGAATCATGGATCCATGTCAACGGATATCCCTATCTAGATAACCGCGATGAGGGCGACGCGATCCCCGATGTCCCCGCTTCGCAGGTGATGACTCGCACTGAAGACTTGAACGTCATCACTGCAACAGGTCACACTGTTCAGTCATTGCAGCTCCTTTTATCACAACAGCATTATCGTGGCTTTCCTGTCATTGATAGCAGTCGCGATGCTCTACTTCTTGGCTACATTTCCCGCACAGAGCTTGCTTACGCTCTATCGACAGCTCTCTCCCCACCTAGAAACCTTTCCGCAGAGACTGAGGCATACTTCTCCCATCAACCTTTGTCAGACCCTACTAATTCACTCGACCTTCGCCCCTGGATGGATCAGACTCCCATGACGCTCAATTACAAGGCCAGCTTCCAGCTCACACTGAACATGTTTCAGAAACTGGGCCTGCGTTATCTTCTCTTCGTTGATCGTGGCATGCTCAAGGGCTTACTTACGAAGAAGGATGTATGGTACGTAATGAACGGTATGGAGGATAGAGACGAGGATGCGGGTTATGGTAGAGGTCCTGTGCAGGAGGATAGAGAAGAGGAAGATGCAGAGGAACGGGGACTGTTATCCACACCTATAGACGAGGCCAACACTTTAGATATCCATGATTTGCGATAGTCATGTATATATTGTAATATCAACTACGTTCCGTCACTTTGGCTAGGCTATCATGTTCACTTGGATGTTACCCTTCATTGGTGCTTGGGCTCGAAGTCACTGGTCATTGTCCGTGGGATGTCCGTGTACACAATGAGGGCCGGAGCTTGACGGGTCGTCCCTGCCATTGGGAGTTCCAAACAAACAAAACCATACTTGAAACATGAAACAAGATAGGTATGGCACCACGAAATCATCCACCAGTCAGAAGTCAAGATGTGATCGTCGATGGCTTCGGATTTGAGTATTTGCTACGCCGGTCCTGCACTTGTCCACTTCTGCGGTTGATCCGTCACATCTAATCATGACATTGGTCCCTTCACCGATACTGAAAGAATCCACGAGCTCTGACTACCCGACTGTGACTCTACGCAAGTCCCTTCAACAGTCACATCAATGACTCCAAGGTTGTGTATAAATGTTTCTCTCGGTGATGCGTTCACAGCTTTGTTCTTCGCACACTTACTTTCCTTACTTTCACTATCCTTCCTGCAACAATCACTTATTCATTGCCAAAACCCAGCTTCATGATGTCGGGTAGTGCAGAAGACAAAGATGATACGCCTGACGAATGGTACTGGCACAACGTTCTTTATGCCCGTCTCAATGGAGAGCCACTGTTCAATATGGAAATGTTTCGTACTGTACAAGAGCAGCGCGCCAAGGACGACCGAGAACGGGAAGATGGAGCGACGCCTCTAGTCTGCAGACGAATCAAAGATTACTCTGAGGTCTCTTTCGAACTTGATTTTGAGAATACGAGGCTTGAGAAAATAAAGGATCTGGAAATGAAGATTCTGGCAACGAAGGATCGGAAAATGAACCTTGGGGAAATGAACCTTGAAAAGGAGGAACTTGAGCAGATGAAGCTTAACGAATGGAAGCTTGCTGAAATGAAGCCCGACTTCAGAATGGAGATCGACCAAAAATTCCGTGAAAACCTCCCGCACACTGCCCACTCAGATAGTTCGGGGGTTTTCCCGGTCTGCAAGAAATCCAAGGAGACCCAGGAGACCGAGGACACCCTCTCCAAACAATGCAAAAATCACGATAATGATGCAAAGGCAAAAGAACGTGTGGAAAAACTTTGCGAAAATCTAAAGGCCATCATTGCGGCCAACTGGAAACACTTTCAGCCTGTGAGCCAGATCATAGCGTTTGGCCTCGAAATGTGGAGAGGCAAACAACAACTTTGGCTCCAGTACCATGTACTGACATCTATCGCTCATACGATCGAAAAACTCTACAAAGAAAAGGAAGGAAGCACAAAATCAGTGCCTGTCTTCGCTCAAGACCTAAGATACTGCCACCCTGAATGCCGAGAGCCGCTCGAGAAGAAATGCAATATCAAAGTATTGAAAGTATTCGATGGCTTCCTCAGTACCACGGCGGAAACTTTCGTCGTCTCTCTCCCATACGACCAACCCAACAGCCAAATCATCGCCGACATTACGTCGTCTCATGGTGGGCCGCTTGCCATGCTCCGCCCCTTCATTAATGACGACTGGGAGCACCCGAAACAAATACATCCATACGTTGAGGCTTCCTTAGACGAGTCAACCCAGAACATGGTAGCGTACAAGAAAAGATGTTCCGAGTCGAGTTTAGGCGACTGTGGCTGGTTCCTCTCAAAGGGCAACTTAATGGACCTAAGAGAGGCCGGACAACATGACCTATGGTTGTACATCCGACAGGAGGAAGCTGATTCGAAGGCGTCTTGATTATTCCTGTGGGCGATGCCGTAGGAAAGGATCCGGACAGTGATTTCAACCTAAATCTCGAGTTGTTTTTGCCTAGGGGCGGGGGTATCAGGTCTCTTCACTTTCTTCTACCAGGCTGTCAAGTCTGTTTCTTCCCATTCTACCGAGACTATCATTTACATTCTGTCAGGCATCTTAATTGTTTCTTCAAACCTTTTCAATCCTTCTATCAAGTCTCTCATTCAATTCTCAACCAAATAGAAACTCCCCTTTCCCTGTCTATCATGGCTCTCTACTTACCCTTGTCCTGAACTCCCCACTCATTTTTACGTGAGACCCTAACTCCCGTCCTCCTTCTCATCTTCACTGCAACATCTCTCCACGACCAACTTTCACAACAAGACAGTACTACTCTACCTTCCCCTCTGACCTTCCACCCAACACATGAACAAATTACGAAACAAACCATCACATCAATAACCTCCCCGGTCTCCCTATACCATTCATAACCAATACTTCCCGCACTTTCATCAGCTGCGAACCCTTCCATACAATCAAAATAGCAGGACTCGCATATCATATCACAGACAACCCATCACACAAACAACCCCCCGCACTCCTCCCCGCACACCACCAATTACTTCTTAGTCAACAATCTATACTAATTAAGACTATTTCCATACGTCCGAAACTGCGAGAGTTGCAAGACTGAGCTGAGTTACTTTAGTGACAGTCTGAGAACGACGACGAGGGAAGAAGGACTCGACGAGCGAGGTTCTTTGTTGCGGACTCGACCTCGAAGTCGAATCTTTGATAAGTCTACTCGCTTGCCTCGAATGAGGCTCTTGGAGTGGGTAGATGGTTGTTGTTTATGAGAGTAAAGATGGGAGGGAAAGGGAAGGAGGGTACTAAATCATGCAACGTTTTTATTAGGGATGAGTTAATGCATAGTGTAGATTGGGGAAAAAAGATGATGTTGGTGAGTTGTTTTGCTGAGTACGTTTTTCAGTTCTTCGTCATTCATGAACGCTCGTGATGGAGTATTCCAGATTCACTGTCTTCTATTACTTCAACTCAGTTCCCTTAACGACGGGAAGAAGACAAACTCTGAAAGAAAATATTCAAGATTTTTTCACGGGTTTCGGAGATATTCAATCATAATCATCAATGTTTGTGGTATGCTTCGCATATGTTTGATATAATTTTCCTGGTTGTTTCCTCCCTGCATCCCACACACGCGGTTCGACTTCCGCGGAGAAGCTATTGGATCTCTCCCCCTCCCCTCAATCCCCAAAACGCTCGGGCCAACATCATCACATGGAACCAAACCATCATTCCACGAGCGAAACAGCACGAAAGAAAGGCACAATAACATACCGAGTGTGCGTGCGTGCGTGGCGGCAATCCCTCTGGGAAAAAGCTTATTCTATCCTCACTACATGCATGCATGCGCCGGAACGCAGATGCGAGTACACGCACACACGCGCGCAGCCTCTTTCGATAGTTGATCCCTACTTTCGTTGCATGATGTGGGATGTTCGCCACCACGCTTGAGGGAAGTCTATCAAGGTTGGCGAGGACTATTGGTAAGGACGCGTGAAAATATGCCCGTGGCATGGAATCACGTTATTACCTGGAACAGTGCAAAAACTGACGCTTACCACAGGCAATACTATGGCTTGAGAGTGGTTTTGACGAGATCCCGAGACGCGGTGATGCTTTACAGAAAGTACACGGCTGGTACCTAGGCACTTGCAACCGATCTTGTCTGGTGTATCACTGCGATGTGTTATTATGTCAGCGAATTGTCTGAGTGCGTGCGTGTGTGTGTGGATACAAGCCAGACATGGCATCTGCTTCACCACTGCTTCCAGGTGATCCGGTACCGAAGTTACTCCTTACAAGGCTATGACTGATGGCTGGATACGAATACTCTCGATAACGCTTTCACTCTACGAAGACGATGCTGTGGGTCACAGGCGGTTCTAGAGCATCGACGTCAACCCACCGTCAGCTGTGCATATCTCTCCATCGCAGCCAGGAATCGTGTGAGAAAAAGATTCTTAATATCGAAAGTTGAGGGTTTCTCCTCGGACAACATTTTTTCCTGCTTTGCATGGCATGCCACGCTGATAACAGGGCTGGGGGCTTGTCCCTTCTCGCAGGAAGGAGGCTCCGATGTCGCGGATGTGCGAGGTGCATGCTAGCCCAAATGACTGAGGGAGTGTTGAGGAACAAGCACATTACTAGTCTCCAGGATCGCTATCTCGGTGAAATCGGCGGCAGCAAGCCTCACAGAGTCAAGTCGACTCAATTCCGGTCCAGTCAGGTCGAGGAGAGGCTGGATGCATGTGAATATCTCTCACATCAGCCTGGAGAAGAAGGCCGGCAGATCTTTGAGGGGAAATTCCGGGGAAAGAAAAGAAAAAAAAAAAGAAAGAGGAAAAAGGCTCCAATGATGATATGGCGGAGATGTTGGATGAACGACCAGATAGAATTTCTCCGACAGACCTTTTACTGGGACAGTGGAGAATTCTGGCGACAGAAAGGGAATTGGGCGTCATGCGAGATAAGCAGGTTATCGATCGACCAGCATAGAGAGCAGGCAGTAGGCAGTAGGGTACCTACCCAAGGTACAGTAGGTAGGTACTGTCCCCTACACGGTGCAAGTGCAGTAAGAGAAGGAGGCACAGTTTGTACCCACCCACCGCCGTTCCATCCGTAATTCAACGACTCACGAACTTCCGACGAAAAGATAGACAAGAGGACCAAGAAGTAAGTTTCTTGGGTTTTTTTGTTCATCGAGGATTTGCGTCAGAAACCTGGGCTAGAATCGATGGCCAGTGTGGAATCCGAGGGTCCCAGATGGTGGGCCAGTTTCAGTGCGACAATGTCTCTCCTCCGATCGATGAGAGGTATCGCAGTGGCTAGTATCCAACGAACGGCTTCAATCAACTCAGCCCAGACCGCAAAAGAAAAGTCAGTTTTCCAGGATAAGGGGAGTTTACGATGCAATCTGGCGACCATAAGCATTTCGGGATTGTGGACGAAACCAATGCGGAGGGTGGCTGCATCATCATGGCGGGCTGGTATCATTACTGATCACACACACACAATGAGCGAACTGGACCAAAAAGTCGGATGGATTGATTGAAGCGATAGAGTATCAGGCTGGGAACGAATACCGCGGAAATGCATCATTCATATTTTTTGGTGGTGGTGGTTTGATGGTTGAGTGTTGTACTGTGTATCTGGGGCTGTTCCTGGTGAGTAGTGGCAGTGGCAGTGGCAGTGGCAGTAGTGGTGGTCAGTGTATGTACTGATAAGAGAAGTGGAAGTGGATGAATAGCTCGAGTGGGATTGGACGGATGGGATGAGCCTCCTCTGCTAGCGTCCGTGTCTGCGCCAAGAGATAAGAGAATCCACGACCACAAGCCAACCGCTCTCGCCTATCTCTGGCCTATTCTCTCTCTCTACCTAATATTCCCTCTCTACATACAGAGTCGAAGACAAGGAAGACAAAGGGACAAGGGGAACAGGGACGATATAGAAGAAAGAGAATAGGGCAGGGGTATGGGCTTTGACGCTTTCCCCTTCCCCCCCCCCCCCCCCCCCCCCCCACCAGTCACAGCATAGTCCCTCGTTCCCAGTCCTGTCCTGTCCCAGTCGAGAGATTATCCTTCCCACTAACATCCCACGCCCACTTGGTCTCTCTTTTCTCTGCCTTTTTATCGCAAACCTCACTCGCTCGGAGTCGTTTCCTCCACTACCGAGTACATTCAACAGCCTACCACGGCCTACCACAACCAACTACAGACCACCTACCGCAGTCTACTGAACTACGCCCCTTCCATCATTACCTAGCCTGTCAATCTGGCGTTGATCTGTGGCGTCTTCCCGCTCTCTGCTAACCCACCTCTGTCACCCTGTTCACTGCCCAATCTGGAATCCTGGACGCTACTCTCCTCCGACCTCCCCACCCCCAAGAGATAAGGATATCTTCAAGGGTCGACACTCTCAATTTCGTGTTGAGAGATTCCATGGAGACTAGGACTAGGACTAGGACCTTTCCCCCAGTTGGCTCCCCCCCCATAATCCCATTATCTATCTATCCAAACATGGTCGAAATGCTTCCCCCCTTGGCGCATTAGCTGATTTGCGAATTCACTGCTCGTCCTAAGCCATCTTTACATCACTGAACATACCGCGGAGGTACTCGAATCTCTTCAATTCGTCCATACTTCATATCCATCTATATAACTTTGCACCACCTCCTCCAACTTGCTACCCCGTATCACGCCTGCAAGTGAGAAGTAGGGAACCATCGCTTCTGCGCTTCGATAACGACCCTCCCATCTGCATAGATCGGACCACCATCCTTATCACCCTTGCTCCGTTGCTAGTAATCTTCAAGTTCGCTATCTAACGTCTCTCTCTCTCTCTCTCTCTCTCTCTCCACTACCGCGCCCACTGTGTACTCCACTCCCCCAGATTTCGCTATCATGGGCTTCCAGCTGAGGCAACTCTGGTCCGCACCAGAGGTCAACCCCTACAACAAAAAGGCCAAATCCATCCCCATCTTTAACCCTGTCGACAAATACGGTCGAGTCTTCTTCTTCTCTTATCTCGGATTCTTCATCGCGTTCTGGTCCTGGTAAGTCATTTAATTCTCCGTCTCCAATGCCACCCATCCATTCCATACATGCACCCACCCACTCAACTTTTGTCCTGCAAATGCTAACTCTCGCTAAGGTACGCGTTTCCACCTCTGGTATGGTGAACCCTCCAATTCTCGACGCCTCATCCTGGGATATCACTAACACCTTTGCAGCTAAGCATCACCATCAAGAAGGATCTCCACCTCTCCCAGAACGAAGTCGCCAACTCCAACATCATCTCTCTTACCGCCACACTCGTCGTTCGTGCCATTGCTGGACCCTTGTGCGACAGATTCGGTCCCCGCCTAACTTTCGTCGGAACCCTTCTCGCGGGCGCCATCCCATCTGCCCTTGCAGGTACCGCCCACAATGCTGCAAGCCTCTATGCAATCCGCTTCTTCGTTGGAATCCTTGGTGGCACTTTCGTACCTTGCCAGGTATGGTCGACCGGCTTCTTCGATCGCAACATTGTCGGAACCTCGAACGCCCTGATCGGAGGATGGGGTAACTCTGGTGGTGGTATCACATAGTGGGTCTGACCCTCCTGATCGTTGCCGCTCCCCACACTGACAATTCTTCTCTTTAGCTTCGTCATGCCTGCCATCTTCGATTCATTGGTCCACCGACAGGGCTTGTCGCCTCATGTTGCTTGGCGCGTCACTTTCATCGTGCCCTTCATCCTCATCACTGTCACGGCCATCTCTATGCTTCTCCTTACCGAGGATACGCCTACCGGAAAATGGGCAGACCGTGGCAAGATCGCTGCTACCGAGCACACTACCATCGTTGCTACCACCGGTGTCCTCACCGACAAGCCCACTGGTGCTGGCTCCATCTCCTCCAACGACGAGAAGAAGACATCTACTGCTCCCGTTGACGTAGAGGCCGGCACTGGCGAGGTTAACATTCTCGACGAGGTCCAGCACGAGGTCGTCCAGAAGCCCACATTCAAGGAAGCATGGAAGGTCGCAGCCTCTCCCCAAACGATCATGCTTTGCGCGGGATACATCTGCTCATTCGGCGGCGAATTGGCCATCAACTCCATCCTCGGCACCTACTACCTCAAGAACTTCCCACACCTTGGACAGACCCAATCCGGCCGATGGGCTGCCATGTTCGGCCTCCTGAACGTTATTACCAGGCCCGCTGGTGGATTCTTTGGTGACTTGATCTACAAGTGGACAAACCACAACCTCTGGGCTAAGAAGTGCTGGATCCACTTTGTCGGTGTCATGTCTGGCATCTTCCTCATCATCATTGGAAAGCTTGACCCCCATAACTTGGGCGAGATGATCGGACTCATCGCCGTCATGGCCATCTTCCTCGAGGCAGGCAACGGTGCCAACTTCGCACTCGTGCCCCACATCCACCCTCATGCCAATGGTAAGTTCGACTCGAACCCTTTCGTTCATCAGAGACATGTGCTAATTTACAACCAGGTATCCTCTCCGGTCTCGTTGGTGCTGCAGGCAACTTTGGTGGCGTCATCTTCGCCATCATCTTCCGCTACCATGGCAAGAACTACGCCCAGGTCTTCTGGATCATGGGCATAATCGTCATCGCCCTCAACCTCGGCTTCGTCTGGGTCCGCCCCATCCCCAAGGGCCAGATCGGTGGTCG